CCAATTATTGTGATGAAGTAGAGCCACTTGTGACAAGTACATAACGTTACGCCACTTGATCAGACGGGAAACGTCGAGTGACTGCGACGGAGTTGTTACATCTTAGCAGTCTTCTCAACGGCCGCAGTTTACTGGACGAAACAAGAGGAGACGATGCCGGCCCGGAGCTTCATCTCGGCCACACTCTAAGAAGCTCCATGCTGTTTACCAGAAATAATCCCGGAACATCAGAGGCTCAGCTCCAGTCGCAACTGGAAACGTCTTTCCCATCAGCCACGTACGCGTCTCCGTATTGCCTAGCCACGGCGCTGCTCCTATTCCTAGTTGATCGACAATGGCAGCGCTGACAAGTCATAATTCCTCAGGTCAAAGCGCAGACGCGCCTAGCAACCAGTGAAGCGTCCTCAAGCTTGCGATATTGCAAGAAACGGGGAGCCTCGGGTTTGCTTCTGGTGTCTTTAAATCAGGCCACTCGGCTGGAAACCCGCATCAAACCCCAGATCATCGGAACCGCGGGACGCTGCATGAGAACTCGGGTATCGATCAATTCTCCTGACGCTCGTGCGTGCCCGTTGATATTTTTCGAACTGATTGGTCAAAAAGCACTTAAGGATTCCCTGTGGTTGGACAGAAATCGTTCCTGACAAGCACGACAGCAAATATAACGGCTAAGTGCTTCATCTCCGCATTCCCGCGCAGCGATCTAGGAAAGGGGTCATGTAATCCCATCGCGGAAAGCCATGCAGAACAGAACTCTATCCGACGTTCCTGATTGCGTCACGAAAACAATTCATGATATAACGAGGTTGAGACTGTCTCAGACACATACGAGGGAAACAGGAATTTGCTTGTTAACTCGCCAGAAGGAGCCCATCCAACAACCGACGGTGCATATCAAGTTTCCTGGTCCCGAAGTTATGTTTTAGAAACACGCCATCAAGACACGCTACCCAAGAGCGCCTGGGGTCTTCCAAGGTTTCGGGGCGCACGGAATTCAACGGGTTCCTCGCTGTGACTTCGTCGGTTGCCTTCCTCCATCAAACCTTTCTACATTTGGACCATCTAAGACAGTACGATGGTTGGTGTGCGTCTGGATCGACAGAGCTGGCCTGGGTCTTCCGAATGGCCGTCGTATCTTTCGGCATTGGCCTACTCATAGTGGGCACAGGGTTAAAGTCTAGCAGTGGGAGTCTAGCAGATGCGAAGAATCGGGCTTGCCGTTGTGTACGGAACGACGACCTCGTCAAGCTCTCCATTCACCCCATTGATATCAACCCCACCAGTTCTTCTTATGATCAGACCAATAAGCGTTGTGGAACAGACAGATGGGACAGCGTTATTCCTGCACGCTTGATGGACATTCGGTGTCACTGCTCCCCGAATTAGACGTCCGGTTTCAGAGACGTCGTGGCTGTTCGATACATGCGAAGAGTGTAGTTGATAATCTTCAGTTGCTAAGCTTCAGTGAACACTTATTACCTCCTGGACGTTAGTAAACTCAGTTGGAAACCTGCAATATCAACTCGATGAACGGCGTCTCAATTAGATTCTCTAGCGCCACTGCCGCTTCAAGGGGCACATTTCTATTCATTGGTCTCTCGACCCTCTTCTTGTCTGGATGGCGTCGCATATCCAAGGACCATATGATGATCATGTCACTGGATCGAAAAAGCCTCCCTGACTAGGCCTAGTCGACCACAACATATAGTCAAAACCCACATGGACCTCTTCAGTAAGGAATAATATCAACAGTGTGTCTCCATTAGCCATCAGCTCCAAGATTGTGGTTCGGCTCGAGCTAGTGTCGCCGGCGCCTGAAGTAGCGCACTAGCTGACTAGCTGGTCACTATCTCTGGAGACACAGTCTCTAGTCCGGTACTCGCAAAGTACTAGACAGAAGTACCAAGTCGACTGGAAGGAAGTACCAGATGGTGAAGTGGGAGGATTCATGGAAATCCCGCTGCGACTCGGATGGTGCAAGGGATCGGCTTGCCAGTGAAGACCGGCTCATCAATGCATTCTCCTCCGAAACTTTTTCACGGAGTATTGGTGAGGAGTTCCGCCAAGTCCGGTTTGCCAACATCTGAGGGTTATTTATAGGTTTCGAGCTGATGCCTACCGCTTGGTGACTCTTAAGTGAGTCGATTGTGGCATTGGGAAGTTAGCTGGTCTTGGACCATAGTGGCATAGCGAGATAAGTTGAAGACATTTCGTTACAGAACGGCTCGTCTACACTCCCGGGTACGAGGCGATAGCCCCACCCACTTGCAAGCGAAGGTTGGCTGGGCAGGGTTGGTTATTGTGTGGGTTTCCAAATGACGACAGAAGCCATGTTTCTCTGGAGCAACGGGGAGTGGAGAGGAGGATTTGATTCAGGTGTGCTAAATTCCGCACTGACACAAGAATCTCACCTGACTGGTGAAACTGGTTCAATCTGTCCCAACTCTCCTGCCTTCGTCATTTCATTTCCACCGAAAAGAAGGTTTTTGCCTCACCCTTATTCCGACGCGTTCGATGAAGTGATGACAGAAGGCTTCCAGTCAGCCAATTAGTCATCGTCGCATCGTCTCTTGTGGGAAGGCTGGGCCTAGTGGCTCCCTCACCAAAATTTGATGTTCCGGCTCCATACGTGTCCGGCTTGCAGACCTGAGCCACGAGCCACTGCAACGTAAACACTGGCCGGATGTGCCGCAACTTGGTGGTTCAAGGAGGCGGCTGAGTGGCCCCTCGAAGCAGGAAGGGAACGAAGGGATACTACCCTATTTTGGTTCCTGTCATTGAATTTGCAGCTCCAGTCCCTCATACTTCTGTTGCATATACCTCCTCTCTCACTCACACGTCCATCCATATGAAGTACTCAAGCCAAGACTCCTACTGCCGGTTGTTTCAATAGCACGCCTATTCTCGAGCTTGTCTCCGCCGAGCCTGCCACCCAATGCTGGGAATTATTTTCCTAAACTATGATCTGCGTTGCCTACATTTGTCATGCACCCAGGCTTCATCCTCGTAACTGGCAATCAACACAATTGCTAGCTTAATCTCAGCCTCGCCCAATTATTTGACTAGTCAGTCATGCCTGCTTGGGGAGACCAAACTGTCTTTGTTCGCCCATTTGCCACTGTTAGCCAACAAGAGCTGCGGGTTACGCGGGCCACGCAGAAGCTAAAGTAAGCTCGCAGGGTTCAGCCACCTGGGGGGTGCTGCAGAAATGGACAATCCTGCAGCCCTATTGGTACCTTGGCTAGCTTTTGACAACGACGACGAGGCTGTCCCGGCAGAAAAGATTCAGGGCTCTTCCCTATCATCGGCACCTGCTGCTACGAACGCGTAGTGGACGAGGATGCGATGCCTTCTTCTTCTTCTTCTTCTCCTTCTTCCTGCTTCCCCGGAGCGAGCTCTGCGGCTCGTTGGTTGCATGAACCGCGGCGGAGATCGCTTCCTAGTCGCTACCTACTAAAGGCAATTAATTACACCTGCGAGTCCAATGCGAGCTGTTCCTTTCCGTAACGTACTAGAGCCAGCTAATGTAGCTAGCTTTTCAGTTGACACTGAGCCTGGCCCGATCCTACACGGTAGTGGTTTGCCTGTTTCTCGTGTCTCTGCTGATTGCAATTTCGCTGTAGCTGCTACAGATACCGCAGATCTTCTTTTGTCTGTGTCTTGGTCTACCTGAAAGCGCGTGGAATATGTCCTAGCCTCCGGGTCATGGCTCCTTTTCTTCCTTTGGTTCCTTCTGGAAGCCGCCGATGTCGAGCCGGGGCCTGCAGAGGGAGAAGATGGACATATAGCCCACGCTTTTGCTTCACAATCCCCCGCTAGTCCGAATAGCGAAGAAGACGGTGAACATGACGGGCCACCTGGATTTTGGCAAAGCTCATGATTAGAAGTAAACATGATACCAGGGAATCTCCTGCGCAATCTTGCGGTACGGCTGGCTCATTGGCTCATTCTAACGGGGTCCCCGGCATTGGCTGAAGATCACCCGTCATTCGCATGAAATCAATTTTAGCTAGAGGCTTATTTGAGTACTAAGTAGGGAACCAGGAGTAAGGGAACAGGTAGAGACTCCACTAGATATGTTCATCATGGATAGCCCCCCAATGCCTTCGGAGGCCCCTAGGCAGACAGGGAGGCAGACAACTGACGTGTAACCGCGCGGGGAGCATGTGAGTTGTTGCAATCAGGTGGTGATCAGGTGGGATTGCCAATGCCCTGCCATTGAGTAGATATCTGTAAACTAGTGCGGCTATACCGGACGGGGGGAGAGGGTGTGGCTGGCCCTGTGTGCAATGGACTCTTCTATGAGCATTTCTCGTCACATAGCGACTACAGACTTTGGTTATATTGTCTTCGACGTTGAGAATAACACAGGGATCAAGCAAAGTAAAATAGTAAAGAGTCGACAGCCAACCCAAGCTCCTAGTCAAGTCTGTTCACCATGTTTAGTCTGTGTGTCGATTTTGACATATCAAGGGATCTATCTACAGCTTAGACGCATGTCGAAGCTATTTTCGTCTCCTTGCTTCTCTTACTCTCTCTGTCTCTCTCTTTCGGTCTCCTGCATGACAAGTAAGACCTCTAGGCAAACTTTCTCTCGTGGGAGATCATGGTGTGTGCAAGATTCATCATTGTCCTGCCATAACTAGCAGAAGGCACATAGATATGAGCTTAAAACAAGGATATTCCTGTTCTCGTCTGTTGGACGGCAACTTTGTTTTGAAACTCTGAAGTCTGCGGTCAACCAAGGCCTTCCTTGCCCCGGGAGACGGGAACGGAAAGTTAAGGCAAGGCTAGGTACACCCTTCCAACCTACCAGCCATCCATCGGTGCTTATTACTGAAACGCACATGTACTCCTGGGATGATTCAAGTTCGTCTTTAGTCATGAGAACACTGATGAGACGCTGTCAGCATCGTATTCCTAACGAGTTAGATCAAGATCCGCTTGCCCATTGGGTTACAACAGTGAGAAAGTAAAACAGACGTTAGCACGGGATTTCTTTACGGGAAACGAAGCAAAGGTATGCCAAGTGGCGTGAAGTGAAGAATTGTGTCACGTAATTTTGCTGAGCCAGTCGTTTCGAGTTGTGAAAATCCGGCGCCGATTACAGCCACGACGTTGCTTCGTACAAAGTATGCGGCGTACTCACTGGGGGCAAGGTAACGAGGATATTCACACCGTGGGTTCAGAGTGATTAGATTTATCGAGGTATGGAGTGCTGAACGGTATCCAACTCTGCTACACTGAGAAAAGAAAACTGAAGAAACAAAGTTTATGACAATTATACACAGCTGTTGAGGCAAAGTAAAAAGAAAACAAGTATACGGGAACTTGTGATACGCATGAGAATGCTGACTCAAATGCAAGGTCTCCATCATCTGGATGACATGTTAGCAGACCGTTGACAATAAGGGGTGAGTGGACGTGAGGCTTCACGAGATTCAGCATAGAATGTGGCCATATTTGTCCGTAGACTCAACATGAGGTAATTATCGCTTCTGCAGACAACATAACTGCTAGAGGCAACAATGCCACAGCCAGTCATGGCATTTCCACGACCCGAAGACGTTGAGGCAAGTAGTTCATCTCGGACACGCTCGTCACCCGAAGTCCACAACCAAGCGACAGACATGATGCGTTCGTATGTCCTTGCCTGCCGGTCTACAGCTTTACGAGTGAGACGGTATGGGAGATGGCAATCTTGAACCCTCCCAGAAGGCCAGCCTGCACGATCCCTTGCTTCTTTGCTTGGCCCCCGGCATGATATCCAGGCGGTAGAAAGATACTTCCCGCAATCGAAATGATACCTTCGCGCAGCTGTTGAACATGATCATCCCCTTGTTCAAAGCATACGAAATACATATATATTTAGTTTTATGAATATAAAGTCCTTGATGTTTTGAACGACTCGTCAGATTATTACCTGAGAACCCTGAACATGCTTTTGATGCAAAAGTATCACACGAGGTCGCGGCTTGCGTAGGCTGACGATGACGCCCCATCGGATGTTGGAAATGAAACGTACGTACCTGATCTTCGCCGCGAGCCAAGGGCAACGCAAATATGCGAAATATATAGCGCCGATGAAGCCCTTTACCTCCACATTTCTACGGGAAAGGTGATCGAAACCAAGACGGCCTCCCACGTTTTCGCGCGGGAGGTTGGGTAGGACAAACCTGGGAGCCTCCCGCGCTGTCAGGCCGGGGAGGCCGGAGACTCGGAATCACTGCCGAAAGAAGCACGCAACGGGCGTTGCGTCGTTTCTTCTATATAGGCAGCTAGGCAATTCCGTCGAGGGGTAGTAGGCGAAATGCTCGAATCGGGAAATGTAATCGTCTTCATAAATTTTGCAGAATTTTCCCCGAGTGGTCCGACAGAGAGAGACAGCTTTCTGCTGCTCAGGTAACCAGGCATGATCGCGGTAGGCCATGCCATGCGAGATGGATGGCTACGGTCGCGTCACATCTAGATTCAGATCATAATCGCCGACGTAACCTCCCTGCAGCGTCTCACATGGATTCTGTGCTTCTCGAAAAGAAAGGGTGGTGGCAGCACACCAGGGGGTGGGGAGGAACAGGCTTCTTCGATCTGCAGATGCTCGAGGTCGACTCGAGATCGTTGGGCCCGTTCCGAAGAAAGGCCACGAGGCGAGGGGCGGTCAGCCAGCAAGTGAGTCGCAAGCTCGCATATCATCTGGTCAAAATTGATGAGCGGGCTGGGCTTGTATCCTGCATCTTCTGGGTCAGGACGAAACTTAGCGGAGCGCGAACTAGCATTGGTCAGTTTTCAAAATGGGCGCGAAAGTCGGGTTGGTGGGAATGTGAGAAGTGATAGTAAACCGTCCAAAGACGACGCGGCGGTCTCGCTTTCTGATTTTTTATACAGGCCGGAAGCTGCGAGGTGATGAACAAAATTGCGTCCAAGGACCCTGTAACCTGCCGTAGCATCGCAGCAGCAACACCATCCCAGGATTCACATCCTGGTCGCTTCTCGTACAACTATTGTTATATTGGGATTGCCGGTTTTGCCAGGTCGCTCTCGGGATCAGCGGCAATAACAGCCATGAGAATACGACCATCCTCGTTCAGTCGCAGTCGATATTTGTCACATGAACCCGCAGTCGGAACTTTTCGACATGTACGGCCCAGTATATATGACGCCTAATATCGCTGTTCGGACTGGGTGTGTTTGGCAGCAAAGTAACAGTCAGTGCCCAATATTCGCGAGGGAGAGATTGTGCAATTACAGCTTTCAATAACCCAAGAGAGAAAGTGACCATATATCAACAATGATTGTAGGAGAGTGCCGCCGCTGACAACATAGTTACGAGGTTGTCCTAACCTTAGCATTGGGTGCGGCTCAGCACACCAACCCCCGTAACAGCGCCTATAAGAAAACGCGGGGCAGATGAGCCGGAACTCCAAATGCGTCTGACAGCCAAGGTCCATAGTGATCTTCGCAACGGCATCCGGATTGGGGTTGTAACCCTTCATCTTTGATTTCTTTTTTGCCGTGGGGGCAGGCATCATCATCGTCTCCTCTTTCTTATGTCATGGTTCAGGATTGAGGGGGAGCGGAAGGCGTTGAAACTGCATCCGTCGGCAAGCCCGTCATATCTCGGATGAGACTGAATAATAGTCTGAGAAACCCTTTCTCCAAACGAGGTGGGGTGGTTGGAATACTTCGCCAGATCCCTGGATGGAAGTATCGCATTTGTACTGCGATGAGTACTTGAGAAAAGTGTGTCGGATATTTCTGTCAGTTCTGATAGTTCGCAGCGTTAGTCCCAACCGGGACTCCAGCGCCGTGGTCGCAGCACTTGGCTCCATAAAGGGAAAATCGAGATCTGATATGCAAGATCAGCTGGGATTGAGCTCGAAAATGAATTGAGGATGAAAAAGGCCGCTTATGTTTTTGATATTTCTGATATGACTGCGACTGTTTCGACCCACTCAAATGGATTTGCGATAAAATACCTGTAACGTGGTCACAGGTTCCGTTGCTCTAACTCATAGTACTCGAGGGAATGCGGCCGCCAGCCCCCGTAGGAATGGGATTGTGACACTCTGTTGTAGCTTGCAGGCGAGATGACCTCACGAACCACTAGGTGGACACTGTCCAGGGGTTCAAGTGGGTGGCATTGTCGAGACTAAAGAAGCAATAGCGTCAGCAAGTGATTGAACAAGGAAAACGCCGCAACCGCTGAACCGCTGCGGCGCAGAAAGGTAGAGGTGATGAGGCAACCGTCTACCTGATGGACCGATGAACCGACCAACATTTCGAAAGGGGATGGTCACCGCCTCATGAGGTTCAGTTCTAGGCCGGTAGGCAGGATCACAGAAGACTCGTTTATCCAATTCAGATATGACCTGGAAGGGTTGGGAAACGACATCTTGCCGTCCTGCCAATTGGTATCCACCATTGCCGCAACCTCACAGCGATTCTTCGAATGCTTCTAGAACGATCGGATAGCCGAAGGGGCAGTATGACGGAACGACCAAGCAATGTTTGCTCTCAGACCAATGGAATAGTACTGCATCGTACGAGGTCAGTCCACTGCGGACGTAGTAATCGCAAGCTCTCCTGATGACGGACTTGTGATGTTTCCCGCAGATTGTTGCGCAGAAGCCATCATCTCTCCATTTCTGTCGCCGAGGATGGTCATGGCCCGTTCCGAGACTTTAGGCTGCGTCTTCCCTCATTGCCAGGGGAATGGGTCAGAAGAACTGACGTGTGCCACAAGCCGAGCTCAGCAGAGCTGTGTCCTCGAGAAGGAAAGTCTTCAGGTGGAGCAGAGGTCTATCGGGTTGCCAGAGCCTGTGCAATGGAGACACAGCTCTGAAATGACACACGATGGCCTCTCTGGGACTCTCTTGGACAGGGGTAAGGTGATGGTCGTGGGCGTGGTCTGTTGAATTCGATGGCCGACGACTGGCTGGGTTTCTCCTTCAAAGGCTTGCCGCCAGCATTGCCTGCGATCCTCGACAACTGGGCTATGCTAGCTGCTCTGGCCCAGGTTGGTCCTCCGATTGCACCTCCTCCTGACTGTTTTGTGCCACTGTCAGGCCGAAGTGGCGCAAGACAACTCAGCATTCTGTTGGGGTGGTACATTCTTGTCGCAGGACGGATGATGGGTTAGCCCAGGTACGTTGCTTCTTTGGTCCACGTCGTCATTTCAAGACATGCGGGACATACGCGGTGCGACTGAGCAAGGTGTAACATGTACAGCAGGCATGTGCAACCTCCACCCAACGGTGTTCTCTTGAGAAGATGCTGTAGCCGCCGAGATCTTGACCGGCGAGCTGGTTCAATGGTAGACTGAGATAGACCGCCTGGATGGCCTTCCGGACTGCACTTCGGAGATGAGCTTTAGGGTCGTCTGTGATAGGCGCCCTCAGCGATGTGTTCCAATAACGACTTCGAGCGTTGACCTTCGGTTATGGCTCCATCGCGTACGGGATGAGGGCTGCGGCGATGTGAGCAGGTGCAACAAGCAACGCTGAGGTGAACAGCACTAATGCTTCGACTTACATTCATGGAAGACTTGCCCAAGTCGGCCACGACGTACTACGCACCTGCCCCCTCTGTCGAACATCCCCGTTTGAGTCAACACTTCAGTACTTGATCGCAGTTAGCAGCCAGCTCAAGACCAGAAAGACCGCAAAGACCATCCCCAACAGTGGATCATGTAAATACGTGTATCTTAGCGCCGAAAGTAACTTTCGAGGTTGAGGAGAATCAGTGGGGCCAAGGACGGCTTAAGTCGCTCAATCACGGCTTTTGGGTAACCAAACAATGCTGTCGCCAGGTGAGGGCCCTGGTTTACGGAGCCGATGACCTCGCTGGATTGTGTAGTATGTCGTTGGAGCGTGGGTAGTCTGGCGCTTCCGCTGGCATATCGCCGATGGCAGGGGTATGCCGCCTGGCTGGCCGTGACGTCTTCAACCCATCGATTTCCGCGATAGGAGCAAAGCGCTTGCGTATGTAGTTTCATTGAAAATACCGAAGGGCCGTCGTGGTTGAACTTTTACAGCTCAAAGTGAACAAGTCAATCATATCCGAAATCATCTTCATTCTCACCATGGCCAAAGTTCTGCTTACAGGTACGTTCGTGAGAAGCCGCCGCACGCGGGTCATAATTACACCATGAAGCGGGGGTCTCTGAACATCTGGCGCAGACGAAGACCATGAACCAAAGATATTTTCCCCACGCCAATATCATTTCTTCAATATTCCCGTTACGCCGAGTATGAAGCAGACACGCTGACCAAAATAAACAGGAGGCTCAGGCTTCATTGCCGGTAAGTCTACCCACGCCCCTGGCGCAGACCAGACAAACCGTTGACGCCTTGTCGCAGCACACATCCTCGAGTTGCTGTTGAAAAGAGGGTACGAGGTGGTGACGACGGTGCGATCTGAGGACAAAGCCTCCAAGATCCGCGCCGCCCACCCGAATGCCAACCTGACCGTCGTCATCGTGCCCGACATCGCACAGCCTGATGCCTTTGACGAGGTAGTCAAGACGCCCGGTCTGGAGGCCGTCTTGCACAGTCAGTGCCTCCCCAACTCCCAGATGGCAAAGGATAGCAACCCGTATTAACAAGACACCCAGCCGCCTCCCCCTTCCACTTCAACTTCACCGACGCCAAAACCGAGCTCCTAGACCCCGCCATCATGGGCACAACCTCCATCCTCAAGGCCCTGAAGTCCTCCGCGCCAGGCGTGAAGCGCGTCGTAGTCACCAGCTCCTTCGCGTCGATCCTCTCGGTCGCCAAACTCGAAGACCCAACCAAAGTCTTCAGCGAGGCCGACTGGAACCCCAATACGTACGAGCAAGGCGCCAAGGGCGACGACAAAGCCGTATCGTACCGGGTCTCCAAGACGCTGGCCGAGCGGGCCGCCTGGAAGTTCGTTGACGACGAGAAGCCCAATTTCGATCTCGCGACCATCAACCCGCCCCTGGTGTTTGGGCCAGTTGTGCATCATATAAATTCGCTTGCCGCGATCAACACGTCGAATGCGCGGTTTGTGGACTTGATTCAGGGGAAGATGAAGGACGGGGTTGCGCCGACGGGGACGCACTTCTGGGTCGATGTGAGGGATGTTGCGAAGGCGCACGTCGAGGCCATGGAGAGGACTGAGGCGGGCGGCAAGAGGTTCTTCTGTACGGCGGGGAATTTTTGCAATAAGGAGATCGTGGAGATTATGAAGAAGAAGTTCCCTGATTTGAAGGATCAGTTGCCTGGGGAGGATTTCAAGGGCGGTGAGTACCCGGAGAAGGGACCGCCTAAATGTGATAACTCAAGGGCGACCAAGGTGTTGGGCATCGAGTGGATTTCACTCGAGAAGAGTGTGGTTGACACGGTGACAAGCTTGCAGGCTCTGGGTGCTTGAGCTGGTCTGAGGTTATGGAGTAGATATAATAGATGCCAAGCAACTTTGAAAATGGAATACTCGGTCGCAGATAGTAGTCAGTCAGCCTTCTGTGTCACCATTCGACTCAGGCTGTGGTACACTGATTGCATTGCATGTGACATTAAGAACTACACCCTTATCAATCCGCAAGTCTATGTACCTATTACACATCTAAACAATATCATTTGCCTCTCCAAACCATCATGTGGATGGTAACTCGTATCGTGACATGGCTCCTCATTGCTTCGGTCGCCAACGTGTGCATTACCTTTACATTTAACTCGCTTTCATAACTCTCATCCCGCGTTTCCCCGTCACCGCACCACACCAATATCGTTCCCCACACCGTCTCCCCTCCCCTCGTCAACCCTCTTGCTACCTATTCCAGTATTTCAACACCGGTACCCAGCTACGCCTCGCTGTCGCGCCCTATCCCTTGTTCATATAGCCCTCCCCCGATAGCTCCCCCCCAACTTTTCCAAGTCTAACTCCTGCAACGCCAAACTCGACCGCCCATCCCCTCCCTTCTTATCCCCCGAGCTTCGCGGACTGTTACTGCCAAACCCGCCTTTCTTCCTGCCCCCAACTCCAACAACGCCCGGTCCCCCACCGCCCGACCCACTCCAACTACCCCAGCTTTCGCGCGTCTCGCGCCGCTCGCGGGTATACGATTCCGTCAGCTCGCAGAGGTCTTGTGAGGATGCCGGCGCGGGCGCGGGGGCAGTGGCGGGGATAGGGTGAGACACGGGAACAGAAAATAGACACACCCCTGAATCTGAATCGTGTCTGAGGGCGGGGTGACCGATTGGCCCTGCCAAGGCCCGGTTAGGTGAGTTAGATGAAGATAGGGGGGAGATAGGGGAGACGGGGAAGGTTCCCACAGGGGATATGGGGATACGCATAGGTAGGGGTAATGAATAACTAGGTGGCTGCGGCAAAGCCCTATTCGGCGGTGGACCGGCGGGCGTGACCAGGTCGGGTATTTCTAGGGGTCCGCCGTGAGGACGTGGAGGGCGGTTGGGTGATAAGGGGGGTGTTCCCATCGCCACATTCCCCGAAGCCGAGTTCACAGAACTATGTTTGTGGGAATTCGAAGAAGAAGCGATAGTTTTAGATGACATGACAGCGCCGCTGTAGTTCGATCCCTGACTACTGCGCGGTGGAGCGGCTTTTGTCATCGGGGCAGAAGGCGAGAGATTGCCAGAGCGGATGCTCGACTTAGTCGTATGACGTTCATGATGAGGGACCATCTTGGTAGTCCTGGGTGTGCAGATGGGTGATTTGGGAAAAGCCAGATCCGTACTGTTGGTGCTCAATGGCGGTGGGCTCCCGACGCCCGACAGCGAGTATTCGCCCGCGGGCTTCAGGATAGACGGGAGAAATTTCCTATCGCTAAGACGGAGGGGCGGCGGAGTCGAGGGGATAGTCTTGGAGGATGAGGAAGGTGGTGGGCTGATGAGGGGTGTGTGTGAGCCGCTGGGGGTTTCGGAGATGCCCCGGCTGTGGTTCGTGGTGGAGGGGTAATTTTTCCTCGGGTTTCTGTGTCGTCGCCGCCGGCGCCGCAAGAAAAGGAATATGAGGGCTGAGATGAGGGCTAGCAGGGCGGCGCCGGAACATATGCCCACAGCGACTTTGACTCCCGTGGAAAGGCGGCTTGAGGGAGAGGAGGTCTCCTTGATTTCGCTCGTGGAATTATGTGCGATGCCGTATGGCGGTGCCGAAGGCGAGTGGGATGTTGAACTTGGATTTGAAACTGATGCTGAAGCCGAAGCCGAAGCTGCAGATGGAGAGGACGCATACGGAGATGAAATGGTCACCACTTCAACCTGTGATGTCGTGGTAGGCGAAATCGCAGCCACTGACATCGCCGTAAAGCCGTCCGCTGGCGCTGTTGTGCCCGGCATCTTCGGCACCGGGTTTAGGAGACAAGGAGGATCGCCCTCTCCGTCTCCGGAAAAGGCGACACATTGAGGTTCATGGTCTGGAGGTCCCGGGTCATCGACGCCGTATACACCGGCACTATGTACACACAGTCAGCATTCGATCGTTTCAACTCACAGACCGAACCACCCGGCAACTCGATTTCGGTCTGAAGAAAACGAAAAAGAAAAGCGAAGGGGGTAAAGGGGACAGGTAAACTCACTTCTGGCATTCATTAATTATTAGATCGACGCTCGCTGCACGACACAAACGTTTAGACTCCTTTCATCATCATCACCATCATCTTCTTCCTCGTCTTCCCGCCAAGTGGTCATACTCACGACTCTGTCCCAAAGGCCCCTCCAAATCAATATAGACCCCACATTGGAAGGCATCGCACGCGTACAGAGCCCACAGAGTTGTACTCTCGTACCCATCCCTCAGGACCTCGCAGTTTTCCTTCGAAGCCGCGCCTTTCTCTGGGTTGTCGACGGCGACAAAATCCTCGAAGAAGAATTTTCTACATGTCTTGAGGCAGCCTGGTACGTCCTGAGGGTTGAAGTTGTTGCCGTTGGACCGCGTTGCCCGAGAGTCTCCATCCGCCGTAAACAACTCCCCATTCTGTTCCTCTTCTTCTCTTGTCTTGATATTCCGAAACCCGACGGCTGGTGGCTCTCCCTTTCCCTTCTTCTTCAATGGTCTCATCTCTCTGGCCAGTGCTTGTTTTGTCTTTGGTGCTTAGGGGGTTTGGGGGCCAGAGGGAAGGGGGGTAGATGTTAATTTTCGTCTTAGATGAAACCACGGCTAATATATATCTATATTCGAGACGTGGAAAGAGCGAGACAAGAGAGAGGGCAGTTTCAAAGACACAGAATTATATTACCATGGTTGATCTGCGACGAGGATAGTGAAAACCAGGCTGGCTGCTCTTGGTTGAGGGCAGGTGATCTAATGATTATAATGCGGTGAGAGAACACACACGACGGCAAGGACGGAAGAAACGAGCGTCATGGAGAAAAAAGAACAGTAATAAAAAAAGTCTCCGTATGGCGAGGCAGGGCGGGAGGCAGGGGGCGTCACAAGAGAGCTGAGACTGAGGAGCTGGAAGGCCGCATCAATCTATCTGTATAGATCCAGCCCTGTTATGCAGCAACGCTTTGTATATACATGCCTCTTCTTCGTTGTCAGGCCTCGTCCTGCCCTGAGCGTCTGGCTTCTGCACAAGGAAGATCCTCGGGTACACAAAACACCCAGCACAATGACGCTGCACACGACAGGGTGGCCGTGTGTAGGTGTGTTCGTGTGTGTGTACTGCGAAGGAAAAAGTATGCGAGATGGATCCCCATCGTCATGATCGCCTGAGGCAATAGGGAGGCTGTACAGATAGAAAGAACCGAACCGGGGTGGGGGAGACGAATAAGAAGCAGGAGGAGCAGGCGAGCGAGACTACTTGTGCAATAAAATGCTGTGTAACACGGGTGCTGTGTTGTGCCGCTGCGCGACGAGAATAGCCCAGGGAGTTCCATGACCGACTCGTATCAGAAGTAGCGGTGACACAGCATCATACCAATGGAAGCTTTAAGAAGCTGCATCTACCCGTTACCCAAGTTTCAGTGTTTGGGAAAAAGAGTAGCGGGAAAGAAAGCCCGGGCGGTTGCTGATGAGAAAGAATAATGACCAGAGAAGCTGGATAATAACAAGAGCTTTTTCAATCGCACACCTTTCGTTGTCTACATTCTGCGAGTATCATGACCCCCTTGCCAGATGAGAAACAATGCAATGTGCGCTGCCGGCATGACTACAATATGTGTAAAGGCCGGTTGCGCCGTAGGGTTGCTCGAGTCCTGATCTTTTCCCTGTTGGAAATGTCTGCAAGACGAATGCACAATGGCGGTACCCCGGAGATAGGTGGTGGTGATGCCCGACTAACTGAGTCCGGCCGCTGCTATGTCAAGGTAAACAGGCAGTAGACAGTCAGGTAGTAAGTAACGCGACCGTATATCAGGCAGGACCTAGGCTTGATGGGTCGTATGAAACCGAGAAAGGGCATCACCAAATTTGCCAGGCTGGGCCCGCGCCGGTCGATTGTGTCCAATCGATCAAGAGGTGCTTTTCAGCTTGTGGTATGATCTGACTGACTGATTCTCGGGTCGTTTCCCCCTCTCATAAGAGAATAAGGGCCTCGTTTTCCCAATCTTCCGATCCGATAGAGAAAGAGGCTCGCAGTGGAAAACCGGGAACCAAATTAGTGTTTGGCACACTATTTATTAGTCCACAACCACATCCTCCATAAATAAGGCGGCCGTTTAAGCCTAGTCTCTCATCAACGAAGTGGCTCCTCCCCTCTATCGAAATGAGCAGACATAGGCCCCCAGGTTCGCCGTTCGGTGCTGGTGAAGCAGCTCTTGTTCGACAAGGGCAATGTCAAGGGGGGAGGCATCCAATAGCCTCGCGCTCTACGCGAGAAAGACAAATCCCACAAGGGGGAATCTGTGGTACTACCGTTGTGCGTCTCAGCGGTTGCGGCGCAGTGTGACTGTGTCCCCCACCCCCTCCATGGTCCATTATTTGAAAAGCAGTAACGGCAGTTTGAGCCTTGGCTTGTTTGCTAGCTCTTGCCTGCTTCCCTCCTTTCAGATGTCTTCTCATGCCAATCGTCTTCTGGGAATGTAGATGTTTGCTCTCTCGCGCGTTATGTAATGTGCGCTGGATGTGTGACCTCAATTGCTGCGAGATCGGCTCGCGATGAGGTGAACATATTTTCAACCAGGTCACATTGCGGCGACGTCGTACACACACTGTACATCGTTTCTGATCTGCTTGAGATCCCAGAGCGAGAGCAGCTGTCCCCGGTCTTCTCCTCAATGCGCCTGACTTGTCTCCAGAAACTTCGTAATCGTTTTCTTCACGTTGGAAATCATCGGGTGCGAGCATCGTTAGTTCTTTTTCCATCCGAACTATGTTAGAGGAGGTGGCGCGATAGATACTGTGTCTACACACGTCCTCTGAAGGAGCGATCCTGACAGGCTGGAACCATATATCTCCATCCTCACTGGCCAAAGAGACTGCCGCATGGACTATCAGGTCGAACCCGAGTCTGGCAACTTCGGTAGCTGGTCCACCGCAAGGCTCGCATTGACATCTCCCTCCACAATTCAGCCCTGGGCATACGATGTGGTCGGCGAGGTTACCATTCACGGTAAGGACCCTCATGTATGGACATGCAGCTCTCATGTCCCTGTCATCCTTTCAGCATCGGCGACTGCAGCCACCATGCGCAACAGACACACCGACCAGTTATTTTTAGTCCGCCACCGTGGATCAATGGCTGAGCTTGCACGTGGGAAAATATGCCGAGAAACTCTCATCATCCCCAGAACTGAGTATATATATGCCCGAAAGCTTTATCAGCCGGGATGCGATTGGACGGTTGGCCAGGAGGCTAGGACCCGGAGCTGTGGCGTTCCGACAACGAGGAACGGCCGCCATAGGAGAACGAAGATAACTAATACTTATACATTTGCTGCTGTATGGCGATAGGAGCTCGTATTTTGCTTGGTTGTCAGGCAGCCCAGGCATGCACTCATGCCAGCAACGGGTTCTCATATAATGATGATTATCGTGGGGATATCAAAGCGGTGCTCCTACCTGAGCCTCGGCTTTGGCTTCCTGTGTGATCCTGTTGAAGCGACCACTCGGCTTCGTTGTCATCGGATAATGTGAAGAAACGTTATCTGATCGCCATATTCTCGCGGAGCTCTTGGCAGCTTGCAGTTTCCGGAGTTGTCTGATCTATAGCTTCTATCAGTTATTCAGATGCTCCAAGATTGGGTGCTGATTCTTACGTGCTGTGGAACGAGGATATTAGGGGAACCTTGGCCCTCGGGTGATCGGCGCGCCCGGCTCATCCCGTGTTGAACCAATGCATCATTCACACTCCTCATGATAACTCATAATGACGAATAGGTGGTGGCCGTTGCGAAGAGGACATATCGGCAATGTTCAGGTCCGTTCCAGCTCCTGCCCCCGCAACGCATGTGCTTAGTGAATGACGCCACCTACGCAGCTGATATACCCAAACATCATTTTCTGTGAGCTGAAGTGGTAGAATACGACAAATTGACAGCGCGCGATGCATGCGAGAGGTGTCATTCAAGGAAAAACCGGGCAACTCATGCCCACCACAACTTATGTTATTGGCTCGAAACCTCGTATGCCAGTAATCCTGTCCCGTAGATCATATGTATCCTCTGTACGTGCACGCTGAGTTAATATGCCCAAAGCAAACACAACACGCTCTGCTCCCTTCGCCCCGTCTACCCGATCTAGCTCAGGCTGGGACGGGACGTATTGCCTCGCGATCATGCCTTTGCAGCGACTGCGGTTTGGACATCGTTGTCACCCGAGACCTTCTCGGCGCTGCTCGTACCATTCGTGCCGTTTTCAAGTGGATTGCCTGTATCTAAGTGCTCCGACATCTCCTTGATCGCTTTCGCCTCATCCTTGGTCAATCCCTTCCGAATCGCCAGAACGTTGTCAACAATTACCGCGTCAATACCCTCCTTCACTTGCCGCTAGATTCAAGGTTAGCACATAGCCACGTGCGGTTCCCAAACTCGGAAGGCCATACCTGAACCAACATCGGATCATTGTTCTGAGCGCCATAACTGACGCACACCAAGCCACTTTGCTTGACAACCTTGACCAGCCGGGGGCTGTTGACGAAGGGCTTGGAAACGCTGACAATTCCCAGCAAGTTCCAACGACTGGCGAATCGAATTGCTTCTTGTAGACTGCTCGCTCGGATATCTCCCACAGCACAGGTCCCAGCATCGGTTAGAAACATGATAGGGATGCTGGGTTGCTTGAAGCTGAGACACAGGCATATGTCCGGGTTAAAACTGCTGAAGATGATGTTTCGATTCTTAGCCAAGTCGTAAACCTTTGCAAGTACTGTGTCACAGAAGGAGTTGAGCTCCACCGCGTAGGTGTCCATCTCCTGTTCTTCAGTCTCGTGGAGCATGGGATATTTCATCTCGATGTTGAAGCCAACATGCTCCGGTAGACACTTGAAGAGGTCTTCCAAAGTTGCGAATGGGGCCTGGATAAAGTTGCCACGGGTGTTGCCCTTGAAACCCTTGGCTTTGAAGTCTCGCGTGTGCTTCATGCGCTCTTCGAGCTCGTTGTTACCGTCGCCCGCAAAGCCCATGGACAGCGATCTCTGCCGTGGTCCTGGAGAATTGTTTCGGATTCTCTCAATATCTCTACTCGCAATGTCAGGTGAATTCCTGTGATTCCTCGATCCCGAATCTGAGTTGATGTGCAGGAATTGTTCTAAGGTCAATGTGTGAACGGGTGCGTCTATACCCGTCTCACTGACTAGGAAATCATGATAAATAACCGGCACATGGTCTTTGGTGAGCTGGACATCAAATTCAACGTAGTTGGCACCAAGGTTGGCAGCCGCGATGAAGGATGGGACTGTATTCTCGCCAAGCTGCAAGGACTTGTTTGTAGTCAGGTTCTTTCCAAGACCGCGGTGGCCGATGACCATTGTCGAAGACATCTTCTTCCAGTATGTCTGCTGCGAGTTGACCTCCATGTTTGGATGCGAAAAAGGTGTGATGACCAAGAAGTTGAAGTTCACCGTGCCAATGACTTCCAGGTTTGCGGCCATGATAGGGACGCAAACATCGCCTTGGAGGTTCATTCTCTTGGTTCCAATTGTGGGCCTCACTGTCGACAATAGAGCAACTCCTCGACCGACCTTGTTCTTCTCATTTCCAGAGTAAGTCGGTACGATGTCGAATAGAAGCTTGACCTTTGAGATGTCCTTGGCATGGAATAGAACCGGATCAGTGGAATAATGTTCGTCCACCGGAAGGTCAACAATTGATGGCTCACCCTGGGCACCCTGGGCAGATATCACAACAGACAGCGCAGTGTCCAATTGATTGGTGTGAGCCTCTGCAAGAGGAACCCGGTCCAACTTTACGGCCTCGGTGTTCTTCCGCATATCCATTGAGCCTAAACTGACCATGATAAGGCTCGCGTCTCTCAGATACCGATGACCGAAGGACTTGACGGGCTCCGCAACCCTTGTGCTCCCGTTTGACTTCCTATCTTCCAGTGATGAGAACTCGGGGGGGGACGAGCTGCTGGTGGAAGCCTCGGATTCCTCGGAGCCAGAGAGTGATAAAACAGGTTCAGTATGCTGAAGCAGGAGATCAGCAATGTCCATGTGACCCCTGAGTGCGGCATGCTCTTTAGCAGTCCAACCAAAAGCATCCATCTTTCCAACTTCGGCTCCAGCTTCAACTAGAAGTTGGGCAACTGGAAGATGGCCATCAACAGCAGCAATGTGTAGTGGCGTCCAGGCGAAAGATTTCTCTGATAATTCCAGGTTTGCCTTCTGCTCGGGGGAACCTGCCAGTAATGTCTGGGCACACTGGACATGGCCAAAGCGAGCAGCCAGGTGCAGCGCTGTGTTCCCTGTCTCGTCTTGCCAATTAATATCTATGCCAGCCTCTACCAGCATCTTGACAATAGCTGTAAAGTTTGCTTTAGTGGCAATAGCTAGCACGACACTAGACTTTGAGACTGTTCCTCTGGAGTGAGCAATTGCTCCACCATCACCACGCCAGTCTTCACCCTGGAGGAGGGCCTTAGTTGTCAGAGGGTGACCACCAATCACAGCCAGATGGAGAGGTGCGTTGCCTTCTTTGTCTTGCCAGTCAGGAGCATCGATACCCTTTTCAACATTGAACAGACCCCACTCCTGCATTTTGGCCATGATGATCTCACACAGAACAACAAAGCCGAACTGCGCAGCGTAGTGAAGAGGGAACCGACCTAACGAGTCTCGGGCCACCAGTGCAGAACGTTGTGCAGGCTGCAGACAGTCCAATAGGTAGGTCAAAATTTGAACCGCTTCATCATCTTTGCTGAGGAGAACCGTCTGGTTTTCTGACTCTGAACGTGGCAAAAGACCAGGTGTGTTGGGCGCCGCATAGTGACTATTGTAGTGGGAGCTCACGGGAAATTGTACAGCATTGGGTTCCATGTCACCAGCGTTGGCTGACTTTGTCCTGCCAATGTGAATGACGAGACGGTGAATGCAGTTGCGCTCGTTCAAGTCATCGGTTTCAATCAGGGACTTAACCTGTTGGACGAGGTATGCGATACATGCTTTCGAACGCGAGGAGATCGACCTTTGAAGCAGGTTCAAGAGCATTGACTGAGATGCTGGGTCCAGCAAGACGAGATTTCCAGCGACCAAAGCAGTTTTCAAAGCGGCTACGTTGTCCTTCCGGACAGCTTGCTCAAGAGTGTCGAAGACAGTGTGTGGTACACTCAGCAGAGCTTTTACAGATGCTCTTCCTAGTGACCGGGCTGATCGGGCAGACTTGTCAGACTTGGAATCGTCCAGATTCTGCGAGTCGCCTAGTACGGAGAGCCATTTGTTGATCTCGGTAACCAACCGAGCTATGGTCGTGTCCTTTGCGAACGGCTTTGGGTCGACCTTGGTGGTGATATATCGATGTTGAGTGGTCGTATTTGGCAACTTTTTATCCAGCTTTTTCGTTATCTTCATGAAGCCTCTGCGGTTTATCTCTCCGAACCATTGTAGATTTCTCAACTGGTTCCGGAGCTCAAGCAGAGCTCCCATAAGCTCCTCCACCTCGTCATCGTCAAGATCCGTGACAACTTCGGGGTTTCTCCCGTAGCGGTCCTGGAGCAGTTTGAGTCGTCGGTGGGCTTCAGAAAATTTCTTGTTGTAGAAGGAATCGACGTCTTCCAGATTACGGTCCAGGGCAAAGAAGAACTCTGTTTGGTAGGGTTAGGCGATGCACTCGGCCTCGGCAAATTCCGAGGAAGATATCCCACCTGCTAAGTCCGCCTTCTCCCCTGACTTGGCTGCTTTCCCCGCCGCAACCTTGATCAATTTTTTGAGACCCTTATAGTCGATATATGAGGATGCCCACTCGGGGACTTGGTTACGAGGGAGACTGCATCAGGAGGTAAGCGCGTATTCGAAGCAAGTATGATGGTGGCGCAAAGAGGCTCTTACTTCCTGCCAAACTTCATACTGTGTAACTGTTTTCTCTAGCTGTCTAATGGTCTAGTGTTGTGAATAGTTGTCCAAGGCGTGTGTGTAACGGATGTTTAAAAACGTCGAATTGGTGGCGTGTCGGAATTGCCAGCCAGATGAAGTGGCGACTTGCGATTACTGCCTTTGAGAACAAAAACGGCAAGGGTGATGGACTTATGGGGTGACGTCTGGGTGGACCAACTGGAGTTTCGATTTCTGCATTGCGTCAGTACGCCATGCCATTGGGGCCAACAATAACAAGACAATATTCACGGGTGTCTACCTCAATTCACTCTGTGTTCACTACACACTGTCTACACCGTATGTTTCCGATATGCGATGGGCTGGCTTGTTTGTTAGAGAAAGCCGGACGGCTTGAGGGCAGAATTACGACGGAGACACAGCTCGGACGCCATTGAGTGAGAAGCTTGGTAATGGAAGGGAAGGAGTACCGCGCTTCGACTGACCACAGCAGACAGAGGGGAAACGGGATTCCTGGTGGTCCGAATGTGCGAACTTCAGACCATGAAAAAGAGGGAAAGAAGCCAGTCGCTTGCGAAGGGATTAAAAGAACCAGCAGCCATCCAATGCAGTCGAACCTAAGAAGAAGGTAAGGTCTTTGAACTGAACTCGAAGCTTCAAGGGAACCTTGAAAATCCTTGGCGGATTCAATGGCCGACTACTGGTCGATCACGTTCCAAAAATACAGTGCTCATTCGCTAGCGCGTAGAAGGAAGTCCGGTGCTACGGTGCCGCGGCCAGTCTGCTTTGGAGTACCCACCCACTACTCACCTGCAGGTGATCTTTCTTGGAAAACTGCTTGCATGTACAACCAAGCGTACTGACTTGTTATGGCGAATCTCACCTGTCAACTCATGTCTGTTCATATCACTGACTCGAACAGGGCCGTGTTTCCTTCTTTTCTTTCGTTGGTCGAGTCTCATGTCCCAGCTCATCACCGCAATTTCATAATAGCAGAGCCCTTGCGCCATGTGAACTGGACCCTGAATATCCACCAACCCCACCAACAGTGACGATTACCCCGAGAATACTTGGTAGGTACGCTGGGTATGGGCTTGAGTGCAAGTTGTGAAGTGCTGCGAAACAAGACTCTGAGCAGGTCCCGACACCGCCAAGGGATGGTCCGTCACCGACTCTTTCAAAACATGCTATGGCAACGCAGACGGCTCCCTCAGGCTAGGACTGCACTTCGGCAGATGGGGCACAGGGGGGCTCATGAGCCGTCAGGCGCTTGAGCAATTCCACTATGGATTGATATCCGCTTTGCCCAGAAGACTCGCCGGCCACCTGTCTTCGTCAGGTGATAGCTCAAGAGTCATGTCGTACACGTGCTGGGAGACGGTAAGACGGTAAAAATCGCCGGAGTCGGCTTGCGAGAATCCGTACTTGCACATGACCTAGCGAAGCAAGTGGACGTATCTAGTTTTAGGTGTGGAGGGGTTGGATCAGACTTTTCCACAAACTGTCGGCATGACACCAGTACTGTGTGTGATCCGACATATCATTCGGGGATATGTACAGACGAACAGTTGTCTGTTTTGAGTCTCTGTTACTACGTGCATGGGCAAGCGGGGGATTGCTGGTTTGAATTTTGAGCGGACTCAAATCACCAATGTTATGATACATTGCATACAGACGGCTTAATCAGGCCGACTGGGCGGCCAGCCTAGAGGCTGAATGCCGTTGGGAGACAATCGATAGCGCCCCGTGTCCGGTGGGCAGTCCCCTGTCCCCACCGTATAACGGTGTGCACCCGTGCTCCCGAGATCGCTCATCAATCAATGCTTCTTCCACTGTATGTCCCAGCTTAGCGAGCACAGCTTCTGTTGTTTCCAGCTCGTTGTTTGCAGACTCCCACTCACTCTCTATACCGGAGAACTGGGCCCATCGCCTGTGCATTTCCAAGTTATATCGGGTAAAAAGCCGCGACAAAGGTACATCATGCCAAGTTTGGTAACGATGCCGGATTTGCTCCTGTCCTCGGAGTCTCAGGTGCGTGAACAGGATGGCCTTAGTGACTTCCTCAGCTTTCAATACTTGTTCCTCCAACTGCATGGCCACAGTGGGACTTGCTGGCAAATTGGACGTCTCGCCTAAACAACTAGGTTTCCAACGATGCAAACTGATCAGCGTCCCCAGACCCAGGTTTGCCCCAGTTGTGGTTTTCAGAAGTAATTTAGCCAATTGTTTGTCAGGTATAGCCTGCAGAATCTGGGCTTTGATATCGTTTTTGGCGAGCGGCTCCGACGTAAGTTGAATAGACTGCACCGCGTAAAATAGAGCAGGGTAGCCTTGATTCGGTAGGCGGTTTACCCAATCGATGGGCGGAAGTCTGGACCTCGGATCAAGATCCAGACCACTCCTCTGCTTGATCAGTTCAACCTTCACATGAACATCCAACCGCTTGGTCTTTTCCTCAAGTACTCGGCATCGTTTGAACAGCGCTGCCAGCCTCGCCACCTTTCTCGAATGGCTGCTCAGTTTGGTGTCCAGTTGCCACATCGATGTTTTGCCATCCACGGAGGCAAATGCTTCAGCCACCTGATCCTGTAGAGCCTTGCCAGTATCGGAAATTGAAGCACTGATGTTTTCCTTATCCAATTTCTCAAGCATAGTGGCATTGAGATATCGAAACCTCTCTGCCACGTCAATGAGAGACCTTCGTACGCTCCCTATCAATGGCCTGTAGGGCATCTCGCATAGGTCGAATAGGGTATTAAACATATCCGCTATTTTCCGTGCCATTCGTGTCGATGCCTGCGCAATAATATGCTCAATCAACGCCTCAAATTTTTCAAAATTCTTTGCCAGGCCCTTCAACATAGCCCGCGCTGCTTGTTGGTCCTGGTGGGAAAGACACTCCGTCAAGAGCTCGTGGATGGTGTCAATGGAAATCATGCGCCCATTGCGGATGCATGCCACGAAAGACATACTGGCGGCGCCAATTTTCTCGAAATGAAGCCACCCTCGAATCAAGCTATCAAACACTTGGTTGCCGCGTCTTGCTTTTTGAACGTAGGCGCACTTCCGAGAAGCAGCGAGCTTGTCAGCCCAAAGCCAGCCCTGATCGTTGTATATGGCCTCGCGTGACATAATTCGGAAATGCAGCCCATCCTCGGTAACTCCCCTCATCCGGCCTATTATTTCTCGAAAGTGTTCGAGATTATTTGTGCCTCTAGCATGGTTGAGAAGACACACCATGGTCTGTTGAGTGGCAGGCCATCTGACGTTGTCAAGGTATGAATCAATGACGGCTTGCGCCAAATCTGGGCGTTCGACTCGATTGAATCCGGCTATGAGCGTGTTGTAGTTGTGAATATTCGGCGGAGTGGTAGACAGCAGCAAGTTATAACAGATCTTGCCGACCATCTCCTTGGAGCTAGTTGTTCGGTTGAAGATGCGCCTAAAAGACTCGCTCAGTAGGTTCCGCGCTTCCGTGGCTGCTGCAGGATCTGTATGTGGATGTTCAAAGCTGGGATAATGGGGACTGTCTTGAAGCTCCGTCACTTCGTCTAATAGTCTATCTCCTTTCCAGTCCTCTGCGGCCGCCGGCACTGAACGCCCGTCCGGCCCAACGGGGTACCGGCTTCGGTGCAGTAGATGGCGGACCAATGCCTCAACCGTGTGGGTCGTCAACTCCAACTGGCGCTCTGATTTGGGGTGTCGAAGCGAAATTTTGGGATTCTTCTCCTCTGCTGCAATGGCTGACTCGACCCCAACCCAGTCGATCTGGGTGTGTAACCATGACGAGCGAGGGCGACTTGGGTGGATGGCCATAGCCAGACGACCCAATTCATCGAGCAGGTCTGCTGTACTCTGTGCCTCCCTTTCTTCGGAGGATCCATTTTTGCCTCTAGGGTCATCTGTGTTGTGCGATGGAAAGTTCTCGTGGTAGTCGTCGTCGACCTGGGAACTGGGAGCCTCCTGTGTTGCGAGGCTGCCCAATGCGGCTCTGGCATGCTCTAGTTTCTGGTCAAGTTCCCGTCTCCTATCTTCCTTCCTCTTCGCATCGAGCACGGCTGCCGTGCCGAGAATCGTCGTGTAGCATGCCGTGAAGATATCAGCAGCAGTCGCTCTCTGTCGGGATGTCGCGGTGGTCGCTCGTCGGGCTAGCGCGGTGGTTGAATGGAGACAAATTCTACAGCAGCAGGACGATTGAGCCTGAGCAGCCCTTGACCACAAGGCCTGCATACTCTGGGCATATCGTTGGTGTGCGACGTCAGCTATCTTAGCAAATTATCGCACTGGAGCCAAGGCTGCTCAGGTGTTGTTGAGGCACAAACATCCATGATTCCCACCTTGATGCGATTGATGCCAAGACAATGTCAATCAAAGACTGCCCTTACGATTCTTGTGGGGACCCCGTTTCATGCAACACCTCATTATAACTCATATCATGTACCTTACCTAGAGCCTCACCATCGTTTTTATCCATTCTTGCCTTCCTACAAATACGACAAGAGTCACGCATGCCAACATGTACGCGCTGGTATTAAAAGCAGAGCTTTCTGGCGTGACGAACTTGCGCCCGAAGGATGAATTGGAGAACCCATTCTGGTACACTTTTACGGTTCAGTGTACTTCTTGCCGAGAAACGCATCCCAACGCCATTTCCGTCAGCAGATTCGTAAGTTTGGAGCTCTCTAGAAATGATCATGTCAAATACTGAAGATCCCGTAGGAGAATAACGAGTTGAGTGGGAGCAGAGGAGAGGCCAACTTTGTATGGAAATGCAAGAACTGCAAGCGAGAATCATCTGCTTCGATCAAGGCAGCACCCAAAGCATATGAGATGGGCGAGCCACCGAAGGAGCAGTCCATCATTGAATTTGACTGCCGTGGCATGGAGTTCACGGAGTTCAGCCCCGAGGTAGGCACCTGTTCTCTTCTTGCACTGGCAGACCTGAGGCACTAACAAATCACACCAGGGTTCATGGCTAGCTGAGGGTACTGAGTCAGGGACCAAATTCACTGAGATAGAGTTGCAGGACGGTGAGTGGTTTGACTATGATGAAAAGTCAGGAGAAGAGGTCAGCATCAAGGATCTGAAATGGGATATCCGAAGGGTGTAAGAGCTTGAGTTGCTCTCGACGGATTCTGGGGGATTGGACTTTGCGAATATGGTCTAACTTATTCACGAATGGCTTTGCGGAAAGACGGGTTACCGTAGGTAGCTTATGAATTACAGGATGTATCAGCCCATGAAATTTTCTGCGTCCAAAGTTGCCATATCCAAATATCCATTGAGACTGCACCCATTGGCGTCTGTCTGATGCATATATCGGGGTTACGTTACCCCACATGGCTGGGGACATCACATTGAAAACTCCAAAGCGTCAAGCTTCAATTCCGTGATGGGACAAGCAGCAACGTCAAGCCGCCCAACAACTGCCCATCATGAGTGTAAGCAGACCTTTGTCCCTCTGTTCAACCTCCTCTAATGTTTACTAACTCAATCTCTATAGTTCATGCCCATTAACCCGCGGCCCATGCTGCAAGACCTGTACGTCACGCCTTCTACCTAGCTTTGCTCGCGACGACTTGATTCGCCTCGCCTCGCCAACACGGCAGCAGCTGCTGCAACCTACTTAAGAGGGCTAATTGCTAATTAAACATTATTCTTCTTTGTAGAGTCAACAAGGAAATCATCGTGCGACTCAAGTGGGGCGAGACCGAGTACAAGGGCAGACTGGTCAGCATCGACAGCTACATGAACATCCAGCTCACCAACGCACAAGAGTTTATCGACCAGAAGTTCACAAGCGACCTGGGACAGATTCTGATACGGTGGGTTTTCTCCTTTTCCACATTTCCTTTGGCAGAACCCTACGAAGGAAGATCTAGTTGAACGAAAGGAAGGAGCGCAATATTGACTGGTTGGTGGCTTTACAGGTGCAACAACGTATTATGGATCAAGGGCGCAGGACAAGGCGATGGTGATACGAAAATGGAGGGCTAGGCTGTTTTTGCTGGAGAGGTGCAGATACCCCAAGACTACGAGGAAGCGGTGATTTCGATCGAGCCTCTCCCATATGGCTGGGAACGGAACGGAGCGAAACAGGCACAACACATTGACAAAAGAGAGTTGACAATTGCAGTTTGGGAACAGGATGGCAGGCGTCCGGTCATGATATTCATTGGCGAAGAAGGGAGGCCAAATAGTTTGCTACTGATTTTTATCCAGCAAAACACATGTGCTTTTCCCCCATGGGCTCTCGTGTCCTTAGGTTGCTTTGGTCCTTGTGATGTTCGCACATTACGCTCAGTGAAGTGAGATATCCCGTCATCACATCAAGCAAGCCATCTTGCGACTGCTGCACATTTCGGATGCTCCTACCTTGACGCGCTGCTTAGGGCCAACCCAGGTGAAGGCTTCGACCATCCACTCGTACCACACCTTCGTGTCGTCCGTTTGTCTCCACATGCTGACCTCCAGCTCAGTGTCGGGAGGAAAGTAGAGCGGTTGCTGTAATCACGAGTTAGCTTTTGTTCTCAAATTCGCAAGGAACAAAATCAAGAAACGTACCTTCAGAGGGAAAAAGATTGGAAACCAAGAGATCATATCTTTGCTCTTCCGATCAATCATATCCGGCAAAATGCTCAGTTCCACCGGCTCTTTGCCCTCAGCCGTCGGTGCATAGAGAACCGACTCAAAGTAACCAGCTAGGCCATGGATGATGCCTCGAGCCCGGCAGACGAAGGTAAGATGACAGTGGCGCGAGTTATGATCATTCGCGCCAACACCACCAGCCATGCTGCCGCCTCCACCACCAACAACGCCACCTGACCTGCGCGCTTCAACCATATCCATAGTGGACTGCGGCAGGGGATGCACAAATTCCCATGCCTGCTGGAACCGTGCATGGCCCGGCACGCGCTGGGCGACAAAGTCCAGCTGAAAGAGCCTGACTACCCAGGGTGTCTCGAAGGCATTCACGTCGAGAGGTAGGCGTTGGCTAATATCGGCGTGGATACGCGGCGTAGAAATGGGACTCAGGTGCGCGGTGTAGGACTTCGGGATGGAGATGCCGTGGGGCTTGGCCAGGACATGTTGTATGCCATCCAAACACTCAGGCGACAACTCGTTGTCACCAAACGAGCCAAGAAGCTCAGACACCAGGATATCAACGTTGCCGTACACAGGGTTGTCCTCGGCCAGACCGGAGATGAGTGGGCCCTTCCAGGCGCGCATGTCTGTCTTCACCACCGTGACTCGCCCTCCCCACTGCCTCTGGTTCTGGCGGAGTAGATATACATAGGCGTTGGGGTTCTTCTCGACGGCCCATACTTCCACTGGCACACCAGTTGTCTCGCTTGCTTTCAGGGCGCGAGTCACTAAGGGCCCACGGCCAGAACCTGCGACGGCAATGACCACCGCGCCAGAGGATGACGAGGTAGGCTTCTTATCGCGTGACCACTCCTCGAGCGCTTGGGTGATTGCCCCCTCGTACTGGTTGTACTTGACCGGGTCTCCCTCGAAAACCTCGTAGGTGATGGATTCTAAGTTGTCAGACAGCGGCTGGAGTGGTGATTGTAGCCAATCTTGAAAGTTGGCCAGTGTTGACTGCTCTAGCGCTGAGAGAGGCTCCTGCTGTCTTTCAACGTGTCTGAGGTATGACGCGTAAGGGTTCGACTGAGGAAGCTTCTGGTTGGTCTTAGCTGGCTGTTCAGCGGCCTCTGCTAGGGTTGGAAAATTGTCGGCAGACAGAATCTCGGGTGTGCTTGGATCATCTTGAACCTCAGGTCCAACATCACAAAGCAGGAAGTACGGTGCATTCTTCAGTCTCATGTAGGTCATGATCAGGTCCTGATGATGTCGAGTCAACGACGGATGGCCGGTTCTGTTGGTCTGGAAAGCGCGAGGGCAGAACGTCAAGTACTGTAAGGGTTCCGCAAACCATCTTGTTTGAAGTTCCTTTTCAGGTAGCATGTGTGGAATCCTCAAGGCTTCACTTCACGTCAGTACTGGGTCCTTGCGAGTGTGGCCAACAGTAAAGTTGGGGGACCATAGCCGTTCAGACCAGCGGAGTTCGCAAAAATAAACAAAATCACCCACCGACAGAGAGTCTTGCATCATAATTACACGTCGAGCGTATAACATGCCACGAGTCCCAGGCACTGAAGAGGTCGATCTCTTCACGAGTCTCAATGCCATTGGTGCTCTTTCCAGTCGCCAACAGTAAGTCAACACGCTCTTCCAGACCGGGCTCTCGGTACATAGGGAGGTGAATGATGAAGTTGACCCGGGTGCCGACGAGGATGGCCTCCTGGATTGCCCGCGCAAATTGCGCAATGCCTTGGCCAGTGCCGGCCTTCGCTGCATCGTGCCTCGGTCCAGGGATTACAATGCTGCGTACGCCACAGAAATTGGCGTAGGACACTTCGAGATTCAGAACCTGTCGCGAAATGCTGGAGATGACCGGGTTGGGAGAGCACAAGTCAATCCAAGGACTAGAGTAAGCAACGAGGCCCCCCGTGTAGTTGCTGGGGAAAAGCGTCGTATCCTCAATCGTCAGTGGAGGCACGATGGGGTCAGGATGACAGCTGGGGATGTCTGAATTTTGCAGCTCAGTGATGCTAGAAGCTGCGAGATTCTCAATCCTCTTGTGGAAAGTCTCATTTGTGATAGGCGTGGTCACAAAACTGAACTGGTGCAAGGTCAGCATCTGTATTTCATGAACCATGGTAGCCACTTACACCAGCATTCAGAATTTGCCCATATTGTAAGTCCGTGAGACTCTCAGTTCTTGAAGAATCATGCTGGCCGATGTAGAAGACCGGGCGGGTTTCATCATATTCATCGGACTCGAGGTCCGAGTAGCTGGGCGCCATGGTTCCTGCCGTCGTGCCTCAACAGGTTGATGCGATGGTAGATTGTATACCCTGCAGGATTGCCGCTTGTGGCAGGGAGGGCAGGTGCAGGTCAAGAAGTTTTTTGCGGTGAATGTTGATTAAGCGAGAATCAGCACCCCATTATGACTGAGGCAGCTCCCGGATGAGTGATTCACGCTGAAGACAGCTCAAAAGTCTTGATGCTGTGACCCGGTCCTGCTTTCCTATCTCTGGGTCCAAGGAGAGACAGTCTGAATTGGAAGATTGATGAGGCTGCACCATGCAAGCAAAAATGATCAACTTGATTAATAGTTGCTGGCTCAATGCCTGGAAACGCTGAGCTTCACGCCAGATGGAGTCAGGCTTAAGCCATAACAGCTCGTCCTTTAGATCTCACCACGTGCATGCCTTACATGCTTGATCATGCATCTCAATTACAGACAGCCTTACGTACATTCCAGGATGGAATAGACCCTTCAATTCCAACTACTACGTATTACTTATGTACAAGGGACTGTGTTGATCATAGTTGAGCTTGGGACACTGAACTACTCCGCTGCCAATCATCTGACGGGGAAGTGCCCCACCACCGATGTGCAATCGCGGGGAGCTCTGGGAATTTTGTCGCAATCTAGAAAGTTCGCCGCACGCTGGTCTGACTTGGCTTGGCATTTCCTCTTCAATTCTGACAAGATGAATCGGCGCATGGTAAGTCTAGACTGTTATCGGCAGCTCCAATCCACTCTACCGGCAACGCTGACACATTCCTATTGCGGCAGCTTGCAAAGGACGAGGAAGCCACGGCCGACGAGGTCGAGGTCCGCCGTGAGGACCAGGACAAGATCAACAAGTTCAGTCGTCTACATCAAAGGGAGCTGCATATTGACGAGGAGCTCAAGACGAAGAGTGTATGGCTAGCCGACATGCCGACCTGAAATCGAAGGGCGCCGCTAACGATAGCTGGGTCACTGCAGAAGGAGAAGGAAGAACTCGACGACATCACCATGGAGCTGGAGCTTGCAGACGAAGAAGATCTGGTACCGTAAGCCATCGATCCCGCGCCGAACACATTATACCATCGCAGGGGCTATGCTGATATCTTGATGATAATGCAGGTATAAAATCGGGGATGCATTCTTTCACATCCCGCTTGAAAAGGCCCAGGAAATGCTGGCCACGTCGAACGCAAAGATAGAGGAGGATGTGTCTGCCCTTGAAGACAAGATGGGCACTGTTCGGGACGAGATGACACAACTGAAGGTCGAGCTGTATGCACGGTTTGGCCGCAGCATCAACCTCGAAACATGAGCATTGAGACGCGGCTCTTTTGGGTACTTCGTACGCTTGGCACCTAAAATAGCCCAGCAACGCGTCTGCAACACGGGCCTGCTGCATCAATCGTTGGTTTATTCGAGTTACTTTAGCTCAACGAAGGAGCCAGGCCTCAGGGCTCAGGTTTGCTGGGGGATGACAGATGCCAAGACTTTTCCGCTTGTCAGTTGGCCTCACAACTTGAAACAAAGGAGTCTCTACGAAAGTACGAAGTGACTTGCAATGGCGTATGCCTGTCGCGTTTCGGTGATGCAACTTGGTCCAGACCGTGACGGATAAGGTTAAACCAACAAAAACGCGGTTATTTCAAGCTTATTGCAGTCCACCGGGATCTGAGATTTTATCTGACAGCATGATGTCATAGAAGAATGACCCGGATCCCAGTTGTTGCCCTGGCACAACCCATGCAGTAATTAATCCCATCAACAGCCTGACTCTGCTGCATTGTAATATGATCCTAGGATGCAATCAAGCAGGCGCGTTTATCAACTCGACGATCTCTAGACACGCGACCTAATTTTGCTCTTCTACTGTTTTCTTCACGTTTCCTTGCCTCGCACCTCTTGCTACTTCTCCCATCTGGTATCACACACAGTTGGGCAACCGGTTCAGTCGTAAACACATTCAATATGGGGTTGGCCCGAGTTGCTTTGCCATTATGGGCGCTGGCATCGGTAGTTGCCGCCATACCCGCTTCGATTGTACCTCCAACGCCAGTTCCACATCCCATGATCACACCGGGTCCCGAGTTGAGAGCTCGAGACATCGATCCGGGTAGCTATATCAACAGTGTCCTCAGCGGGATAGGGAGCGGTGTGTCGTCCTACATTGCCTCGGGCGTCCCTCAATTCTTCCAAGACTTTCCGACTGGCGACTCGGTAGAAAGTTCGTTAGGAATCGGTGATGATGATTTAGCAGCAAAGCCAACTCAGGTGCTGAATGTGCCGTATGTTTAATCACAGTTATATGTTTGATGTGGCGTTTACTAATTTTCCAACATAGCGGGTACGCAAACTGGACAGACCTGGGATGGAATGTGCGAGTACATGGGAATGTGTTCAAGCAGCCAGACATCTCGCAAGGCAAAGTGGACGATCTCGCCAACAAGTTCCTCATCGACGTCGATATCAACGACTTGCCTACGAGTCAACAAGAGCAAGCGAGGAACCTGACGAGGGAAATTTTTGTTGTCCAGCAAGGGCATCTAAATGTCACGATCAACTTTGAAAACGACGTCTCAGTGGAGCCAGATGCCAGTGGTGGTGTCATTAACGCTGTAAGTCGTATACACAGATCTATCTTGCAATCTAGCCTTAGCTCTAACGGCAATTTATCTGCAGCAAGGAGGTGCACAAAGTGTCCAGCTGCCATATGAGACAACGGCCCAGGGAGATTTCGATACCTTCATCGCCCTCCGCAATACCTCAGGACCAAACGGTGGCTACTTAATACGCGGCAATGAGACATCCTCGATTCAAGCACTGAACATGTACGCAAATGGAACTGATACAGGCAACGCCACCGCATACTTGGTACCGCCTACGGGCCTAACAATTATATCCGACATTGACGACATCTTGCGTATAACGAAGATCTACGTTCCAAAGGAGGGTCTGCTCAACTCATTCGCACGGCCGTTCACTCAATGGATAAATATGCCTGAGATATATGCGAATTGGTCGGCTAGCATCCCGGATTTCCACTTCCATTACTTGACGACAACGCCCGAGCAGGTGACTCGCAACTACATGGAGTAAGTTTACTGACAACTTCAGGCATGAAGTGCGCGGAAACTAACAAGTTTCCAGATTCATTTACAAAACATACCCCTTAGGCTCTTTCGATACGAGGCCACTGAACTTCAGTGACGTCTCTGCCACACTGCAGATCCGCCGCTTCCTCCTCGACAAGATTTTCCAGACTTTCCCGCAGCGCAAGTTTGTCCTGATGGGCGACACGACAAACTCGGACGTCATGAAAGCGTACCCGGCACTCGCCAAGGACTATCCCAACCAAGTTCAGTGCATCTTCTTGCGAAACACCAGCTCAACCGACGATGCGGACTTGTTCCCCTACGACACATCTGGCTTCGAGGGTCTTGACCAGAAAACGTACATGTTTTTTAATGTGCCTGATGACCTGAGAAACCTTGATGTGGTGGGCGGTGATTGCTATAATACGAGCGTTGTTCAGAACGTCACGTTCGGGTACCAGGGGTACGGCTTTGGAAACTCTGCTGGACGAACCTGGTTCAGTGGTAGCTCGCTCTTGGCTGTAGTGACATTCTGGGCCGCACTGGTGCTTCTCACTTCATAAGTACTGAGTTGTACAATATCACCAGGGAATTTGCCCGTGGCTTTGAGTTGGTGAGCATCTCGGACATCTTGGGTTTTATGACAGTTTGTTTAGTCAACCCGGATAGGGTTTTTCATGGGTTAACATGATGTTTTCATCCCATTGGTGATTGCATTGGGAGCGACATGGTTTTGGGAGCATAGCCTAGGGTATGTACTAGTCGTTTCGCAAGATCCATTTTGCTGCTCCAGGTAAATACAAGTAATAAAACTTCCAGGCGAGCTGAGCTTGTTTTTCTGACCAAGGAACTCGATACGTGACATTATATGATAATGAATTACGGAGAGCAGTGCAGCCAGAGATGTTTCGACATAATAAGATCCTAGGAGGCTGTCTACTTCTTTTATTGATGATGACTTACGGAAAGGTATCAATGTGGAACGGCAGCCCCTGAATCCTGAATCCTAAACTCCGCCCAGTTGTCAAGCCGCTGTCGGGCATTAGGGCCGCAGTCCCCTTTTCATCCCAATAGCCCCTTTTCCGCCATTTTGACCACGTCATCAACACCCCTTACCAAGTTTAAACGCCCTCAACCCCCCACATAAGTCAAGATAAATGCGCAAGCGGTATGTTGTAACCCAACCCCGCCTGCTTCTAACCATACCATCTTGAGCCTTCGAAGCTAGAAACAGCGTCAGGAAACTCTCTCGCATCGATGGGAAGGGCAACATAAATACGGTTATGCCCATCCGCGCGTCCGTGCATTGTATCTGCTTAGGGCATCGGCCTTGAAGGGCAAATAGAGCTCTAGCAAAAGGGCGATTTTGCGTGTTTTTTTGTAGGCTGTTTTGCGAAGCCTGGAGGAGATGTTGTGGTGCAGCAGTGCGATGGCGCCGTGGATGTATTGGAAGAATAGAAGGTAGGCTGGGCGGGAGAAGACGAAGACGTAGAGGAGATGCAACAGCATGGTGGGTAGGAGAGGTATTTCTTTCGACCGAGTGTGGTGTTGAGCAGTTTTCGAGTTTTCGTGTCCTGCCTGGAAGCGGAGGACTGTTAAGTAGTGATAGTAAGTCTCAAGAATGTTTATGTCCGTACCGATTTGGTCGAACAAAGCCCTGAAGGACGACACTGCGGTTAGGATGTGGCTTTGCTGGTGACGTCTCACTTGTAAACGGGAAAACCTATCTCCAGAGCCAACTCCCTGCCAACTCCTTGCCAGCAGTTCAGGAGGTAGCTGAGGGTTCTATACCTGAGTCTCACGTCAAATCGACTTATCGATTCTAGGTTATGTTTGTAGTTATTGTAATAACGCCAGGCTTTATTGTGTATAAATTACAGTTGTCTGAGTAAAGATGAAAGACTCGAATACTCGCCTAGCTATTCGTTCTACAGCAATCCAATCGCCGAGAATATACTATGAAGTGCTAGCGTGATATGTTCGTCTGCGTCACAATATAGTTTAAAATGAGTTACTTTAGGCAACATTAAGTGGGAAGCTCATTGGTTAGGTAGTTAGTAAGGAGAAACACGTTCTCGGAAATACCCCTAGCACAGCAAATACTGGCACATACCATGCCAATTTCCTCTGCAATGTAGGACTCGGTATCTACTAGGCCAATAAGTCATTATATGAAGAACGGAATTAGATTATACAACATTGAATTTCTGACCCAAGGAACAAAAACCAAAGTCTTTGACTTGCGCCTCCGTGTCATATCTCCAGGACTTAGACCGGTAAGAGAAGAAATCATCAGCAATGAGTACAAAGACGGTCCGTATCCCTTTAACACCCCAAGTTAGTTGCCTTGATGCTTATGACTTTGCTGGTAAACCAATCGAATAGAGCTCAGGAAATCATGTCATCTTGCATCTTCAGGAATCATTACCAGATGCATTCTCCTTAACAGTAATTGCGGTAGAGATGACTTTGTATGTCGCACCATGAGTTCCAGAATCTCAGTGTAATCAATTTTACCTAGTGTACCCAGTGTATCGTCCGGTTAGTCACACTCAAGGTCAATGAAGAATATTTCACATACAAAGATTTATAAGAAGCACGATACTCTTTCTATCCCTATGACTCGCATTGACCTGGCTAATCATGGGTCCGTAGTCTTGGGCAGCTGCTAGTGCCAAGTAGGAATACCGGCGACGATATTCGACAGTAATGACTAGGGAAATATGAAGGGCCCCTTCGTAGCAAATTTCGACATCGACTTGTTCACTTTTGGAAACCAGAACCAACAAAACCAAATTCCTTGGGGAAGCTGAAGATTTTGTATGCAGCTGGGGAAGTTGACCACCCTAGGATAATTATAACTCCATGCGATTCATGGTGAGGCGGACACAATGTGAGGCACAGCCAGAGGGTTCAGCCCTGTGGGTTGAACCCACTCTGACATTCAAAAGTTTGGGCATATCATTTTTCTATTGAAGGTTTGTTCTTCACTGCCTCGTTTTTGATCCGGGAAACTGGCAATACTGTCTTCCCAAACTTGATGCAAGGTAAGTTCGCAACGAGACTTGGAGGTCCAAGGATATTATCCGCCGCCGTATTTTCATTACACCCCCGGCTGTCATGTCCTGTGATATGCGCGCAGGGTCCCCCGTCTTGACTGTCTTGTTGAAAGGGGCAATCCGCTTCGCATAGCCCACCGAGACAGTCACTTCACCCGGTTCAATTCAGTCTTGAGACGACAACGAGTTGTACTTGCACATTGCTCCAGGTTTCATTGATTGATTGTTCTGTATTGCGAAGGAGTGGGATAATAAGGAGCAAAGATGAAAAATTACAACAAGCACACGCCCCCTGAGTTGAAATTGTTCCCGCAAACTACTTCTCCCCTTTGTCAGAATTGGGCAAAGTCCCTTGATCCTAAAGCCTCCGTAGAAATTAACCATCCATGCTTCCGCTTGAGACTTTTTTGTTATGTTTTTCTTTTCCTTCTGTTTTTTTCTGGGTTTCTGGGTTTTCGATTTTCTCCGCCCGCCTGTGATTCCACCAAAGCCTCCTCTTGTTACCAGTCTGTGTCAGTACACCCCGCGCAATAGCACGGGACTGTCGTTGTTGAAACTTAGCCGTTGTTTGAAAGTGTCGATGGACCATGCGTAGTGCTAGTCGTTGCGATGGCGATGGCGATGGCGTGCTGGCCGTCTGGCTCGGTTGCTTTGGTTTCGGCAGCCCAGTTCTGAACAGATTCCACCCCGTCGACCACTTCCATCAAAGTGTAGTAGAGATCACCATCATGGGCTCATGAAAACCAAGGCGTCATGAGGCTGGTTCCCAGAATTACTTGCGAATCCCCATCCTTTTCCCGACCCTTTGCCTATGGTAGATCATTAGTACGTAATCGAAACTCAGAAGCGCACCGCGTGGAGTTATTTCGAACTTACGGAGCACTCGGAGCATACACCGCCGTAATTAAGGACCCATCCTCTGCAGTTGTGTGAGTAATAGTACTTGCACGTGTACTTGTCGAAACCCGCCATTGTGGACTGGTGGCTGAGAAATTGACGGCAAATGGCAAATAACTTGGGATACTGGGTGGACAGTAAGGTGTACTAAGTGTAAGAAAACTCAACTGCCCGCTGACAGGAGCATTGCCGAGATGATCAGGTCTGTTTTGGAAATTAGGTACTTACTGGGAGTCTTGATGGCTTTATACATGTTTCCATGATCTCAACAGGAGGGACATTCCAGGAGAGAATAGTCTTGTTCAAGGTAGCGGGTCCGACAACAGTTGGTTCTCGTCTAGGAGAGATCTGAGGCCCGAAGCTGTTGGGTGTTACACGATATAGTGCATGCAAGTGGATTTTATGGCGTTCGCTGTAGATCTTAGCTCAAGACCTACTTCGCATGCCCAAACCTCGATTTGTTTCCCATGCAGCCTTGACCCCTGCTGCCGCACCTGTCAGTTCATCGGGAGTCAGCGGGGGACAGTGGCAAGGATGAGTTGTACGACGGGGTCCTCCCGAGTACAATGAACCCTTCTGGTGACACTCTTGGCATCATCGACTATTCCAGGACACGTGTTGTGCTCACCAAGTGAGGTACGCATGATCGTTCTGTATCATTGGAAGGTCTGGGAACCGGTGTGATGGGCTGCACATTTGTCACCACCGGCCGTTCTCCTTTTGGAATAGGGCTATGCTGGTAGAGGACGGGGGAATGAGGTATAGTTACAACGTAGATGGTGACAGGATCTTAAGGTGTTGGAAACGACTTGAGTTGTTGGGCCATTCTAACTTGAGAGCGGTCGTGTCTGCTGCCTCTGCCCCACCAACAGACTCGCTCAACAGGACCCAACATCATGGATTCACCATCAGTAATTAAGTGGAAAGGGACACCAGCCTCTATAATCCTTCGCCCTGACGCCGGTAGGTCGGGTTGGGCTGCATCGCGGCTTCTTCCTCAGGCTCGATGCAGACTGGAAGACCCATGGGTCCCGATGACCCGAATTCCAGTGCATGACGGGACCATCCCGGCTTTGAGTTCTTCTTCTTGTGTTACCTTAGTACTCTGGAAGAACTGAAGTTCACCTGTCTGGTGAGGCTGAATGGATGTCGTTCTGACTTGAATTTACAAATAAGGTGGTGCGACCCGCGAATGACATTCAAAAGACAAGTCCAGGTGGAGCAGCCGCTGCGAAGCGCCTGCCTTGGGAATCGCTAGACCGGACAGGGATCCACCCTGGACTTTCAATGTCCATCTTTCCCGCACCAACACAACTCGACTCCATTCCTTTCCTTGACTTTCTCATCACCAACTGCCATCATGATTCGAACTGAGGCCGCCGGAAAGTCTCTGCGAGATTAGCTTGATTTGCGTTCAAGGTTGAGTTTCTATTACGTGCGAATCAACTTGATACAGCGTGGGACATCTCACGCAGCCCTATTCCTCTCGTCAAGTCCTACCCTCCATGGCGGCCCGAATCGCCATGGTTTATCTTAGGCCCGGCTTACCATCCTCAGCTATTTCACATGACGACTCATGCATGCCCCTAACTTCGCACTACAGAAAAGAAAGACCTTTATTTTGGCCAGCCCAGCCAACCGGTCCAGCCCCACTGTCGATCCCTACCAAAGTAGAAGGAACCCAGGGAGCTAGCTGATCAGGCTGTTACGATTTCGACCACCAGCCAGTGGTCGCTTGACCGGCGGAGCAGCGCTAGTCCGCGGCCTTTGCGAGTTGCCGCCTGTTAGGAAGCACAACTTTGCCGCCTGGCGCTTATTGCCGCGACCCCTTTGGCTCTACTAGCCGTGCCCGTGCAGGCCGGTGGGTTGGTATGGAAATACCCTCGCTTAGCCGACTTGCTAGACGACTGTTGGCACTTACACCAACATCGGACCTAAATTTCATCGCACAACGACAACTGGCAATCGTATCCAGCCTGTTTCGTCTTCGATCAACGTTCATTAAGTTGTATCCTTGAAAAGCCACTGAGATCAGACTGCAGGCGTTATATGCCTTTCACAGCCAACACGTATGGGTCTTCCGACGAACGTGACAGAAGCCCGGGCGAGACTGAGGATCTGTTGGTCACTGTGGTTGGCGCCTGAAACCTAGTATGGAATGACTTAGCTGTGCTGCTTTGTAAGGGATTATTCATTGTATTCTCTGCTTCTGGCAGAAATTCGTGATGAGCAGAGGACGGTGCTGGCGTAGCCAGGGATCAAGCTCCCCTGACCGTGCAAATACCCATGTACTGGACAACAGAAAGAACAAGCGATACCGAATGCAACGTATCGGGGAGGCCGTGTCGCCCATGCTTGAGAGTTGGGAAACTGCGCGACATATTTTCGACGTCCGTGTCCTACATCGCATATCCCTCTATGATCTTCATGTTGTTGTATGGAAGGCAACCCTGCTAACATGCCATTGGCTTGTTTCCATAGTCAAGAAGAGATCACCCAGGCCTCCTTTCCAGCCTCGTCATCTAAAGAGCACTATCAGGGTTTCTCGGCAATGGGGGTTGTCTTAGGTCCGACTAGAAATGCAGAATCGAGTAATGACGGCCTCGTCTGGCCAGGCTGGTGGCGACTGTGGGCACAAAGCAACGTTGCGAAATTCAAACGATCGCAACATGCATGAGTGTTACAGTTATTAGATTATGCAACCCAACCCGCGGCTGCGGGACCGCAGAAGACTTCGAGGGTGCAGGCCTCCCGGATGCCACTGTTGTCTGCGCTCTTAACCCATGATTAGGTCCGCCCATCTGTCTACCAGATGCTGATGTGATGAAACCAATATCTCGCGTGCTCGGAGTAGAGCGTTGCCGAGCAATACTTGGTGAGTCGACGCTTCTGTTACCCAAGAAGACCCCGGCAAGACACATTGACCAAGCACAGCCAGAATGAATTTTGGCGATATCGAACCTGACAAGTTGGGCTTCTCCAATACCTCAACAGACGCACATAATCATACCTTACGTGATCGTGACACTATGCGGTAAGATAAATCCGGGGGTCCATGACAAATACCCGCAAGACTTGTCACCAAGCACGATATGCCTCGCAGTCATATTTCTGTACATATTCTGGGTACCCCAGCGCTTCGAGCGGCATCGAAAGCAAGGGCTGCTTCTCCAGGCCTGTGAGAGGGGATGGTGTAATTCAAGGCTGCTATACCTGCGGGTGCTAAAATAGCACATGTGGTTTTCACCACTGTCTAATAGGCTGCCATGACGTAGTTTTGGGAGTTGTGAGCGTTTTATACACCAGCCCAACATGTCTCGCACTCGGAGACGGAAATTTCAAAGCGCCAACAACTGGTGAGACCATGTCCCAAGCAGCAGTACCCCAATGATATTACCTGCGCCCTCATTGTCAGTTGATTTCGGTACCGCTTGCGACGATATACCTACCGTATGATACGGATTACTAGGATAATATATCAGTCTTTCTCCACCATCAAGAAGTCGCCATAATCGAATGTTTTTCATCCCTTCAATAATTCTCGTGCACAACACGAGATTCGTAGCCGGACGGCATGTTGTCCTAATTTTGGAAGTTGTTTCCCGCGAGGAGCACAACTCAACCAACATCTCTGAGCTCCCTAGATATGGTTAGTATCCCTGGCGTTGGCAGCTCCAGGCACTGACTTACTCAGTTGTCTTGATGCACTCGCTCGCTCACTCACAGCCACCCACCTTGCATCTATGAGCGGATTCCTTTCCCGACATTCCACACACTCGAGTTCCAACCATCAACCGGTTTTATGTGCGCTCTGTACCAGCCAGCCATCAGCTCAACAGCTAACCTGAGGGCGACAAGAGCAGCATCAGGCCCTAGACGTTGCACTATTTATCCGGCTGGCGGCAAATGGTGCCTCAATACCTATTTGTCAGAACACGTAATCGAGACCATGGTCTTGTGATGCATTACGGATGGTCATGTTTCTTTCGGGCCTAATGAGTCGTATGAGGTGAGAAGCGCCTCCTCACATCTCTTCGTCGCGCGCCCGAAGTATTTTAACAGTTTCTCGCTAGCCCAGCCCGCATGCTCGCATGGAACGGCACGTCCGGGTACTTCCAGGCGTAGTGGTCGGCACATGCACCATCCACAGCTGAAAGAGCTATCAGGTCACATCGCCGAGACTGTCCAAGTACTGCCCCTGTTTCGGGGAGACAGACAACCGTCTGCGATCATCCCGCGGAAAGGGGCGAGGCCTCATGATCCACACTCGGACACAAAATGCAGATCATCACGTTGTGATGACTCAGACATCTCGTGAGAAATATATTCGGATTGGATCGTCTCGTGATGGTGCCCTCATCGACCTGCACGTCAACGCTAGAGTGGTGTGAGAACCAGCGCACCGGTTGGAACCACTACACAATGAGGTGATACCTTGCTACGAAAGCTGTTGGAATCCCTCATCAAGATCGCATGCCAACCAGGCAGGCAAGGAGTCGGCACTACTTTCCAACATATCCAACATTAGGCCGTGAGTTGAACACGTCCGGCTGAATGTATCCTCATAGAGTCTGTCACCATGCATGACAGCCTCGAGCTGCAAGTTCGAAGCCTTGCACTGGCGGTTGACAGCCCACGGTCGTTCCCATCAAGATGGTGCCGATGACTTTAGGCGACTTTGTCTACTCATTTCCAACTGAGGCAGTGAATTGACCTTACTTCTATGTCCAAGTGACTGCTACAGTATCCAAACAGATTTTGTTGACACGTATCAGAACTTCTGACCTCTTCTCCCTCATTCCCCATTCCCCCCATTCCCCCCATCCCCCCCTTCCTCCTTATCTCTAACTATGAAGAAACATCCAAGCTGGACGTGGAGCATTCTTACTCCACTCCATGTATCTATCACTATCTATCTCAATATGGTGCTCGTTGTTCTAGCACTCTATCCCATACGCCATGTCAAGTCGGGAACACAGACGAAATGGCATGTCAGGACAGGCATGGTCGTCCCTGTTCAGAAAACAGAGTGGTGTAGACCAAGCCCACCTATCACAAGCAGTTGGGCCGCAAATAAACAAAGGGGCCTCATCATCAGCCATCCAGGCAGCGATTTGGAGGCGACGAGTGGTACTCCTGGCTTTCGCTGGTATCACTTCAAAACTCACATCCGATCAGTCTTGAAATCACCATCATCCAACCCAGTATGATATGTCCAACTAGCCAATCATAATCCAGGACCTTCTCAAGCTGAAATAATTTATCCATCGCCCGTACGTACCTGTCGTCACGTTGCAGAGCTCGTATGGTAATCCAATCTTACGAGTCGCTCTCCACCACAGGCATTCGAAAACAGTTCAGGATGTCCGAGCTACGTGGAACACAACACAAAAAAAAGAGTCCATTGGATATGTTGGTGAGCGCACTATGACCACAATAGAGTCGACCTACACAAGATGGAATCGCATTAGTGTGGGTCATGTGACCGCATACTACGGAGGAAAGGAGTTGGGCCAGCGCTGGTAACACGTCACGAGGAATGACTATACTGAATCAATGCATGTCTCGACGGCCTTTGTCTTATGTCTAATTTCACATCTTTCTCGACGGTAGTAGCCCATTTTACCAGCAGCAGCATCAAGTTCCGCGATAGGCAACCTCCTCGGGGAGAGTGCGTTTTAAGTTGTCCTTAAAAAAGTGGCAATGGCCACCTCAAACACGTGCTCGAACTGATCTTTGTAGAAGCTTTCTCTGTTCTCTGGCTAGTGGGATGATGTAGAGGCACAAGCTCGAAGAGCTTGATCAACCTCCCAGCATCAACAGGACTTGCTGCAGGAGCGCCTCGTGGTAAGTTCTTCCTAGCAGCGCTGAAAAATGCGTCCTGAGCTAATCGCAGCTGAAGACTGAGATGCCTATTATCGATCTTGCTCGAGTTGTACACTTTGGCCTCAGGTCTTCTATATGCCAGAAAGTCCCTCTGATCGCTAAGTGGGATCTTCCAGGACCACGCCAGCCGTGACAGATGACCAGGGTGCATATATCCTCCTCAATACGACCAGAATCATCCAAAAGGACAAACAGGGTTGAGAGCAATCCCTGTCCTGGGCGATGCCACGAAATTCATCGTGGCCGCTGAAATGTTCTAGGAATGCATTTCAACCAGACATAAATGCCAGGTAAATGCCTGCCGTCATCGATATCTTCACTGCCCAGAGATATTTCCCTTTTGTTCGCAACTAGTGACCGCCAACTCAACACTTGCCAACGTGCCAAGTCTTCAGGAAGACGAAGATTCTGCCTTCAAGGTCGAATATCGGAAATGGATGGTTAAAGATTTGGGGATGAAAAAATTTATTCCTTTGGTTTGATCCCGGGGGATCGAAATATCTCCCCAGTCTCACACAGTAAGTTTCAGTGAATTGGTATGCGAGAGAGCCGAGGTGATCTTGCTATTGACTGTTGGTTCCAGTCTTAGTGAATGGTTTCCGGATTGTCCAAACTTGCCGATGACAAGCTCAGAAGTGACCATGAACAAAATCACTCCACCACACTAAGAGCCTCTTGAATCCCCGACGACCCTATCTGGTAAACTCCTCGCTGTAAGCCAACTTGTCCATCTAGTCAACAGTCATGCTAGAAGAACCTTGACGCCCAAACGCAATGTATTGCATGCCGACAGAGACCGAAGGCGCTAAAATGATGCTGTAGGATGTTGCTGACCATCGAGTTTATATAGAGCTACATGCAGCTCGACAAAAACGAAATGTGTCTGGACTTGCGTCGTTGTACTCTGGAACGTATCAAAAATATTTCGGCGAGAAACAGGATGGAACTCTTCATGTTCATCATTGCTGATGTGCCTCTGGATCTCAGAGGCTTGGCGAGTCTCAGTCTCCGAGACTCGTCGGTATGGCGTTATCCACCGGCGCCACTCCCGATCGAAGTTTTAAAGATGGTGGACTAGCGGCTAACTCTCATGGCTTGCCGCCGCTTCAGCCTTTCAGCTGCAGCCTTGAGAGCTCGCTTGACCTCCGGTTGTCCTTCCCATGAGGCAGCGTCGTAGTAGACCGGTGCAATTTCCTGTGGTTGCTCGTTAGTAACTCTTATTGAGAAAGCGGTCTGATGATGGGCATGAACATACCAGGAGCCACTCTGGTCTGATCCCAGTGACCGTTCGGATGTACTGCTTCGTGGTAAGGACAAACTCGTTGTAAATGACCCAGTCGTAGTCAGTTGTGAGGACGGTGCTGGGATGAAGCATCACTGCTTGGTTGTTGTCCTTCATGGTTCGATAGATCTTCCCATTTCCATCCTTCTTCGCTACCTGCATGAAAAAGCCGGCCACCAAGGCGCGGCGGATGTTCGAATAGTATTCCTTGTCCTCGAAGGGGGTGCTGACGAGTTCAAGGCCCCGAGTCTCCATGATTCTCTTGAGCTGGGTCCGAACATTGTCCGCACTGGACAGATGACGGAACGATAGATAGTGTTCATGACACCATTTCTTTGCATCTCCATCTCGGCTTTGGATACCCTTGAAGGCATGGTAGACGTTGAGCATGGTCAAGTGATCACCCTCGGGATGCTTGAACATCGCCTTCATCTCGTCAGCCTCTCGTCTTTTGTTCGCTGGCCGAACAAAGACTTGTGGCACGGAAAGCAAAGCTGTGATGGACAGCATCTCGTTCGAGCAGTAGAACTCAGGACTTGAAATGAGCATGACCGCCATAGAAGGATCCAGAGGGAATTCCGATGCAAGTTCTCCAAGCTTCGTGAGCTCGCCTTCATCATCAAGACAGGCAAGATAATTGAGCTCTTCCAGTGCTCGCATCATCGTCTCGGGGGCAGGTGGATCCATCAGATCAAAATGCACCAAGTCTTCTACACCGAGCTTCTTCAACTCGAGGACGGTGTTGGCCAGGTTAGAGCGGAGAATTTCGGGATACGTTTGCTCGATCAACTCCTTCTTGAAGGCTTCTTCAGTGTAGAGTCTGAAACACTTCCCAGGCTTAGTACGCCCAGCACGTCCAGCGCGTTGTTGTGCGGAGGCTTTTGAGATTGCCGACACCAGCAGAGACTCGACCCTGATCCGGGGATTGTAGATCTTCTGCTTGGAGAAGCCAGGATCGACCACGTAGACGATCCCGTCAATTGTCAGACTTGTCTCGGCAATATTGGTCGAGACGATGCATTTTCGACCCGGTTTGCCGCCTTTCTTCAAGGGCCCTGGGGCAGGATCAAATATTCTCTGCTGTTGATGAGGAGGTAGTGTGCCGTATAGGGGATAGACCCTCATCGGGCCACAATCAGCTTCTCGGATCATCTCATCTACCTCGAGCGATATCTTTCTACAAGTATCTTCGATCTCTTCCTCGCCAGTCAAGAAGAGAAGGATGTCTCCTTCGTCTTCGGTTGCATGAATCTGTAACACCGTCCTGATGGCGCCTTCGACGTAGTCTTTCTCTGCCTCGGGCGTGTAGTAGATCTGTACCGGATGTGTTCGACCAGGGACGGCCAGCAGTGGTGCGTCGTGGAAGTACTTCTGAAATTTCTGGGCATCCAGTGTCGCCGACATGACGATGATCTTGAGATCGGGTCTACGATTTGCCAGCTGTTTGAGGAGAGCCATCAAGATATCCGTGGCAAGCGTACGTTCGTGTGCCTCATCGAGGATGATGCAGCTGTAGCGCGACATCATATGATCGTGCATCGCCTCTCTGAGAAGCATACCGTCCGTCATGTACTTCAGCACTGTCTTGGGGCTCGTTCTATCCTCGAATCTAATGCTGTAGCCGACTTCCTCTCCGAGCTTGACATCGAGTTCGTCGGCGACACGCTGGGCCACTGACATGGCAGCCACTCTTCGAGGCTGGGTACAAGCGATGAGCTTCTTATTCAATTGAGGTAGCTCGTCATAGACAACATATTGAGGAATTTGTGTCGTCTTGCCGGAACCCGTCTCACCGACGAAGACGAGTATTTGCGTGCTGTGGTACATGTCAAGGAACTCCTGTCTGTTTGGCGAACCGTCAGCAGCAAGTCACAAGCATGCCAAGTAGGACTCACCTTTGCTTAGAGACGGGTAGATTTCTTCTCGTTTGCAGAATCTTGAAGTATTGCTGGGAATGAGGCTCCCCTGTGAAGGGATTGAGGTCCCCGTCCTCAGCTTCAGCAGCTTGTTCTGCAGTGCTTTGTCGACGCGTGAAGCCTCGGAGCGCCGAGTTTTCTACCAGATTCTCCAAGCCATAGTCATTAGCAGAATCATTCTCTTGTTTGAGATGTGCCAGGTACGGATTGTTTGAGATGGCCGTGGCGTCGTCGCTGTCCTCCTTCTTGACCCGTTTCAGAGGCAGCGCGTCATCTGCTTCTGAGCTGAGTCGCTTGCGATCGCCCTTCGACATCTCGTAATTCTTACCTGCCATGATCACTACTTTATGCCAGTGAAAATGCGTTGAAGCAGGTGTTGGATTGCAATTGGCTGCAGCGAGGATGGAGCGTGTTTCGAAGAGAGTGCAATCTGCGTGTCACTCAGCTTGCGATGATATCTGACACGTGTTGATGATTGACCTTGCAGCTCGAGGATGGAAGGTGAATGGGTCGTGAGCGAACAAATCGGTGACGACGTATATAGATTTTGGGAGACAGGGCGCGCAAGAGGCCGCAGAGGTCGAAGCGCAATGCTGTGGATTCCCAGGTAGGATTGGCACCTTATCGGCAAAGATAAAATGGCCAGCCGTCAGAAAGGTTGTGGATAGGTCAATCGAATCCTGCGCGATACCAGAATATTGTCCTTTCGGCGGAGGACTAAAAGAAGTTGAAGACGAGGCTGCAGAAAAAAAATCCCAGCCCGGAAGAGGACCCCTCCAAAACGTTGATGCAGTCAAACAGTGACCAATCACCGTGGTGAAGAAGCCAGGGTTGTTAACCGGGGAGTCCTCGGCTGCAGTATTAGGTGGGCCTCGGGCAGAAACCTTCCGGGCAATGCTCTCAACTGGACGACAAATCAACGGTGCACTTAGGTGGGGTTATCAAGTCATGAGCAGCAGTTAGGGTTCCATCACCAAGAAGCAGCGCGACTTGGGAAGCAGACACATTTCTACCAGGGTAGCGGAAAGTGGCATACATCACATCGTGAAGTTCTGGGGACACAACGGTTCCCGTTTTGCCTTACCTTTCTGGCTCGACCAGGCCATTGGTGGACAGAGTCTCCCTTCTACCGCCATGTTGTTCCCTTACAGTCCCTAACGCTGACATCACGTTATTAACTCGTACCGCAAACCGCCGGGAAATCTCTAGTTTATTACAAGCTGCACATTATGGCATTATGGAACGGTGGCAAGAGAGAAGTTTGCGCTTTCATATACCGCCAGGAACCCGCCAATACTTCGGTTGATTATCTGGCGTGGTATGTGGAACGTGAAGCTGGAGCCTCGTGTCGACAAGGCTTGGGGAAGGGTCGCCTCTAAGTCTGCTCGATACGAACTTCAGGCTGAAAAGCAGCCGCTGTGTTGCGGTACCATTGATTCCCATGGTCAGGCTATTCATCAGACAGACTTGCCCGTGGAGTGCTTCATCCTGTATCCTTATGGCAGATATGGAGGGAAGCATCAATGGCTCGGAGTAAAACATGACCTGGTAACACTTAGAAAAAGCCGAGGTTAAGAGCCAGCCGCCTACGCCTCAATACCATATGTCTACACAAGGTCGAGAACGCGAGGGAAGCATCTGACTGGAAGCTTCAGTCTGCGTGTAAGACTCTGGAATGGAGAAGATGGGGTAGAAATGATGGGAAGAAGACAATATATTCGAATGAAATGGGATTCGGGAAAACAAGGTCGGAAACTTCAGATAGCAGGTACTATTCTCTTACTAGAGCGTAACTGATGCCGTTCTCCTTGTAGCGGCAAATTGCCACGCTTTTCTGGCCATGGGAGTGTCAACGTTGGCCGTCAACAGTGCACTGGATGGACAATTTACTTACTTTCAAGCTTTGCTGCAAATATGAGAGCGGTATAGTTTGTCAAGGGTCAGAAATTCAAGACTGTACCTTCGTTTCCAATCATATGGGCACAATTAAGCTGGGCGTCCCCTCCCGTGGTCTCCGCTTCCATGTACTTGATAGCTCACTAGCCCCCTTTCCCACGTCCGTGGCACTGCCTATAAGATTTGGCATGCAAAGTAACAATGGTGCATCCGAGCAACGTCGTTGGAGGTAGCTACCGGTTGCAAAATTCCGATTTAAGGAGGACTGGGGGATCATACCTTGACCAAGCCTAAACGAAGCAATGCAGGCTCGGTGAGGAGTGACCAATGACTTGTTTACCAGTGCAGCTGCATGATACTCAACCAGCCACGGATTTCCTGTCAGTAAGCCAGCTTGGGCGATCTTCCTTCATTGCATCACCGCCGTAACCAGGCAATCGGTGCCCCAATGCGCCAATCAACATTGTTCATCGTATGAGATTTTGGCCGATCAACTGGTTTGTTATCACTAATTGATGCCAGTTCCCCATCTAAGAAAGCAAATGAAAACTCCAACAAGTTTCTCTGGTATTTGATGAAGTCATGCAAGTCATGCCCATCATATAAAGCTCCGACGGCGATTGTTTAATGGCCACAAAGTCCATTAGCAGCAGACATGTTTACAAAGAATAGCTTATTAGGGGATAACAGTCACAAACATCATTCGTACCATCAGCGATAGTGTCATATTATGATTATCTAATGAATCCTCATTCATCTCCGCATCACAACGCAAGAACTCATTCCTAAGCTGCTTAAAAAAATGCTTGAAACCCCTGATCATTGTCCGCAGAGGTCATCGCCAGTATCGACAGTTGTATTGTACAAGCTAAATACTCAAACACCTAAAACTCCGTTCTCGTCTCCTCACTATGGAACCTATTGACGGTTGCGGACTGGATCCGAAAATGAAAAACACCTTATGCTTAGCTTGTAAGCCCCTTTGTCTGTCCGGCATTAAAAGAGCCATTGCGGGCGCCTCGGATATTTACACCGCAAATCATCATAATACCTGCCGTTGCTTGAGCTAAAGCTTCAAGATGCGCCATGATACATTCCAGAAAAACGCCATTTGATGTACCGCAACTGAAGGTCATCTTTATGTTCATTTTGTTCCCTGTGCAGAAAGCATCACCCAGATATGCCTACGCAGGTTCGCGTGCATTATGTACCCTGGTCATGGCATAGTCCTGATTGGCCAGTCCAAGCGCATGTGAACCGGTGGACCGGAGCAACGAAACTAATGCCACTTGCTTTCGCCACTTGCTCTCCTAGCCTGTCTTATGATTTCCTCGACCAGCGCGGCGGATTCCTGTGGCACCTCCGGGAATTCTTCATAGTGCTCTGACATTGGCGGGGTTGCAGTCGGCACCGCAGTCTTTACTGCCACACATGGTAGTACGGGTACTGACTGTGATGCTGTTGCTGGCTGAGACTATTGCTGTTAGGCATTGTCTGCGGATGTTTCTGCCAGAATGGTCCGCTTACATTGCTGGGCTGAAGCCCTTGGCCAGGTATAGGCGGCAAAGGTCCATGTTCTCTGTTGGTCATTGTACCTAGTGGCATCAGTGGTGCCGACTGCGACAGGATGCCGGGTTGTTGAAGCTTCTGAATTTGTTCCCATGGCCTAGGTGGAGGCACAAACGTTTGCTTAGGGGGTGGCGGCCTTGATTGATATTCCGGCGTGGAATTATTGTGGAACGGAGAACCTCGCCGAGCACCGGGTGACTGACCGGGTGGCTGAGCATGCGCGCTCATGTTACCTGGAAAATTCTGATGACTAACCTGAGGACCTTGAGCGATTTGGTGTCCTCGCGATTGGTGCAGCTGATGTGACTGTTGCGGCAGCGATGGCACGGCTGCATGATCTTGTGCCTCAGCCTGCTGAGCCAGCATCCGCTTCTTTTGAACCAACGCTGCATACTGCACACGAATCGCAGGGTGCAATGTGGCGGCAATCTGAGTAGCGTCCCAGGAGCCGTCTACCATCCGTAGTGCCGTTGGACCATGCGGGGAGGGTGTATGTGGTGACCCAGGCTGTAGCCCGTGCGAGCTTTGAGTAGAGTGCCCGGTCCCATTGTAAGAAGCTCCGTAAAGCGAGCGAGTTGATGTGTTTGCAGACACACGACTGTCACCGGCACCGGGTGTCGGTACAGGCTGTGGAGCGATGTCCATCAGGCCACTCGAGCCAGTCTTAGTTCCAAACAATGCATCAGGGGACTTCATCAGGTGTGCTCGTAAGCTGCCTTCGTACCCATTTGTGAACCCACCCCAGTGAGCATAGGGTGTTCGATACTTAGTCGAGTCCCTGTTACGAGTTAGTAGCGAGCGCTACAATACTGTACCTGAAGTTGAAACCTACCTGTTATGATGGACTTGGAAGAACGCATACTTCTGTACAACACTTGACGAGGGCGGCGTAAACGGCGCAGACGGTGGAGCAGGTTTGGCGACACTCGGGGGCTTGATGGCTTGCGGTATTCCAACCAAGCCTTGACTCGAGGCAGATGAAGTCGGTCTTAGAGCCGAGGACGTCATTGGTGTGGTCAATGAGTGAGCAGATGCAGAGGAACTTGATCGTGCTCGTGCTTGTGCTTGGAATAACTGCCCATTCTGTAGCGAGGGTGAGGTGCCAAGACCGGGTGGTTGCATGATGCCATAGCTGAATGGTGAGCTTGAGCCAGAGTCATAGCGAGCGGAGGCATACGTAGATGATGTCCTGAAACGTGGGTCTGAACCAAAAGGTAGAGACTTGTGACGCGAGTGTGCATTCTGAGGGGGTACGATCTTGGTTCGGTGGTTAGATGCTGACACAACTTGAGGAGTGTGTTTGGGCGGAGGTGCAGGTCTCGGGGCCGTCTGAGGTACGAAGTTGGTATTTGGCGTAGAGGGGGCAGCGAAGGTAGATTTGGGTGTCGTATGGGAGGAGAGTGTAGGCTTTGGCGTGCTCTGAGGGTTAGGGCTGAAGGTCGACTTCGGAGCAGTCTGGGGTGCGAAGGTTGACAGGGAAGGCGGGGATGCCCTTGCGGCAGTATTCTGAGGTGTAAACGCAGACGTGAATGTGGGTAACGTCGTCGGCGCAAGTTGCTGTGCGGTATATGGAGAAGGAACAAACGATGGTGTAACCGGTTGCTTTGGCTTGTACTGATAGGGCCTGTTGCTCTTGAAGTGTGCCGCAGGCGTTGGCATTGGATACGTCGGCGTGTATGATTTCCTGGGTTGAGATGCGGGAGTTGCCCTTGGCAATGTATCTAGGAAGTTGCTCTTGGAGTTGTGGGCACATTTCTTCGGATCCTCTGTATACTGTGCCCGTGCCTCTGTCGAGGTCTTGCCAAGGTAATGCCATACTTGGTTGTCCTTGGAGAAATCGACCTTGGCCTGCGCTTTGTTAGTGGGTTCGCCCGTGTTAAACTCGGCCCAAGTGAAGCCGTCGACGAATGGTGCATCGGCTCGAGGCAGTTCCTCCGTTGCACGTTTCGTGGCGTTGATTTCGTCTTTCGCTTTGCGGGATGTCGGCATGGGGATGGCGTTTGGTGACGCCTTCTGCAGACGGTAATCCGTCGGATCTGGCAACAGGAGCCATTTCCATTCGACTTCGACTCGGTCACTGATTAGAGTTAGCGTTGATGGTTCTTTGTTGCTAAATTCTTTGGTGGCTTCGCACCCATTGGGAATGATCTCCACCAGCAATGTCTGCTCGTCATGCCTGTTTTCAATGACTACTCCGGCAAAGATATCGCCTCTGTAGTACTGAAGTTGAGCAATATTGCCCTTCTTGAGAGCAGCTGCCACTTGGCGAGTTTTCGTACACTCATCCAACGCTTCGCCGTCGAGCTTCTTGTCCCGCTTTGTTCGATGGAACCGACAGCTGAATTCGAAGGCCTGCTCCTTATACTCGGTCCCGTCCTCTCCAAATATGGGGACTTCACCCTCTTCGATGAAGACCCCGGCAGCAGCAGCGCAAGTCGCGTGATATGATCTGGCACACTTCCTCTGGGAGCATTGGAAGCAAGCACCCCTCTTGGATCGGCAGTATAGGCACTTGAGATCCAAGCGAGCTTTGCTGATGTTGGCCGTGTTGGCAACAACTTCTTTGTCGTCGACAGTCTCAATCCAAGTTTCTGGACCGTACAGAGCGCAAATGCGGTGAGCCTTGCGCCCATCATCAGTGGGCAGCAGCTCTGCATCGGTGAGATGATTAGGGCAAAGACAGCACGGCGGCTCAACTTGAGTCTTGATGCGAACCCGCAGCCGAATCTTTTTGGCTGTCTTGTCGCCCTTGTCATTGGCAGATCGCTTTCGTTTGCGAATCGGCTGCTTAATCTTAACCATGTGTGAAGCCTGAGACGTTTGTATGCCAGCGTTGTCGTCGTCGTCCTCCTCCTCTTCTTCATCTTCAGTTTCTTCGTAGTCAGTCTCCTCTCCTCGCAACTTGCGCTCGATCTCGTAGACGTCTATCCATACGCTATCCTGTGCCTGGGCACACTCGCACCTCTTTGCAATCTTGCCCATAGGCAACCAGGAGTCTAATGCAAAGTTGACAGCCTCGGCGCAGTTGTATCCTAGATTGTACCCAGAATGGTACCCATACGGGTAAGTGACCACGAACTCTCCAGGATAAGAGACACATTTGTTGACCTTAATATTAAAGTATTGTTGAAGATGATTGGGTGAAATGAGGAATGCTTTGTGGCGTAGGAATTGGTCACAAGCTTTGGCGTCGGAGGGCCAGATGCTCTTCATAGCCGCCTCAAAGCGACGGGCATCTCCTTGCGAAATGCTGTACCACTGCTTCGGCGCACCAAAGTGCAGAAAGTTGATACTGTATAGATCGACATCCTCCAGGTGCCACGCGAACGTCGCTTTCCACATACCAAGGTAGAGGTATGCTGTGTTAACACCCGGAACCTTGGTCCCGAGCACATCCAGAAGATTGGGCAACTTGTTCAAATTCCAGCATTCAGTTCCATCATCGAAGAGAGTGCCAGGCAAGTCAGCACCATACAGCGGTGGCGCGTATGTTAGCGTCTTCCAGTATATGCGCTCTAGCTCTTCACATCTCTCGGGTGTGTAGTCGGAGATGTCCATACGATAGTCCCAGTCCTTGAAGGCTTCTTCATCAATTTTCGCCGATGCCTCTCGTTTAGCGTACTTCCTTCGAGCTGAAATAGATTGGGTTTTGGGTTTGGGTTGCCGTAGCGCACCCATCCTTGGTATAACCGGGACATCATGTTCCTCATCCAAGTCAACCCCTGGATCTTTCTCAACAGACTCGACAACATCTGCAGTTGACTTCGGCGACACAGGTGTCATTGGCCGCTCTTCTTGCTCCGAAGGCTCTTCTTTTGCAGCCCCTTTCTTGGCCCTGCTCCTCGTGTTTCGACCGCGCTTCTTGGGGGCAGAAGTATTACTTGAGGAGGCAGCTGGCTTTGATCTAGAGGCAGCTTTGGGTTTCTCTTGGTGTACCCTTCGCTCGCCGCGTTTCGCTGGAGGCTGGTGCTCACTCTGGTCGCAGAGCTGTCGCCATTGCGGAAGATTGTAAGACCTTTGATGCAGAATATTGACTTGTCGATACGTGCCGTTGGTTCCCATAATATCTTGCTTGATGGGTTCCTTGACCTTGACTTGTTTGACCAAGTCATCCAATGCTGGAAGTTTGTTCTTCCATTCTTCGGGTGGGATGATCTTGACGATGCCAGACTTCATGCCATAGGAATCAACCTTCTGCATCTGTAATAACACAATATCAGCATTCACGACCTGACACCACGGATGGAACGAGCAACATACAAATTTCTTGAAGTCCTTGAACTGGCACATGTCAGGTTTGAAGACAGGAACGGTGCCAGACCAGTGGTCGGGAAGAACTTCGCCGATGTCGTCTTCATCTTGGTCCTCCACCTTCACTCCCCCCTCCGGCTCGTTGGTCGCAGCACGCGGGCGAGCATCGGCAGCTGGGTCTGCATCTTCTAGGTCGCTTAACTCCGAGTCGTCACTGCCATCGAGCTTCATTGCGCTATTGCTGTCGGGTGGTGAGTGGAGGCCGGTGGTTTTAAGTGCATCGTTGGTTGCGCAAGATGCATTTGCGACCTCAATCTGGCCCTGCTCTGACGCAGGCGCAGGCGCCATTGCGGCGATCGCTTCGACCGACATCTTGTTGGGACTACATGCGGTCAAATTTGTGCATTCCTGTCGAAGCTATCCGCGTGGTCACAAGAAGCCGCTGAGCCGAGGAATCGAAAGTTCTAATCGGATGATGGGGGTTGTTGAATCGAGGTGCTCAATGATGTTGGATATTGCGCGGATGTCGAGGTGTGAGGTCCAAGTGAGGGTGAGAACCTTAAGAGTGGGTCCGACGGTCGCCCTGTTCTGCCGGTTCTGCGGGGCTGGAAATTTGGGCTTTACCGTTTTGGGACGTGCCTTCCTGAGGTTAAAAAGGGGTGTTAAAAGTTATCGAAATATAACTATTCTATTCAATGCAAATTCAATTCTCCAAGTGCTCGGTGGATTTGTGATCTGGTCTTGACAGTTGGGCGAGGAAGCTGTGCGAGGATCCGTTTGTGCGGTTTCCTTTGGTAGCTGCAGCTGCACTTGGCCAGCAATCGAACGATCGAATCTACGACTGCACAGAAGGCAGGTGCGAGTCGGTCGGCAATCAACGGACTCCGAAATTGTGCTGGTTGGCTAGTCCCGACTGGTTCTTCCCCATGTGACGTGATAGGCGAGCACTTCAATCTTCAACTCTAGCACAACCATTGAGTATGCTGAGATGATTGAATGATTGAGTATAGCTATGCTTTCATTTTCTGAAGGATTCACTGCTTACGCCATATATAAGAGTCCGTATTGTTTTTTTGTTTTTTTCACTAGTGTCACTGTTACTTTATCTTGCCATCTAACAATAAAGCATTCCTGCTGAAGTACTACAAACACTCTGGAAAGTTATGTTACATACTGCATCGACAGGACTCAAGCCTGGTGGTGATTGGTACTAGTATACAAAGAGATACGAATATGTCGATCAGCGAAGAGAGGGCACGGAGGTGGCACCGTCCCAGTGAGGGTTTTCCCGGTTGTAGGGCCTGGTATTTTTTTCACTACAAGTTGTATTGTGTTGATATGCGTCAAAACCCGGGCATCAAACTTGACATGGCCAATTTCATCATGACACTGGTGCCTTTGAAAGTCCACAAGTTTGACGATGAATATACCTTGTGATGTGTCGAGGTTGAGGATTACTTGCCGGCTGGCCCGAGCGTTGCCTTGAACCCCTACTCGAGACCCCAGAACGCGGCAACTCACCAAGACCACTCTAAGTCGTACAGAACATTCAACCTTCAACCCTAGAAGGTCACTCTGAGACCTGATCACGCTGTCGCGATGGCTCCTGGCCAGAAACTGTACCCCAGGTCTACAGTGAAGAAGATTGTCAAGGCCCAATCAAAATGCAATGTTAGCAAGAATGCTGATGTCATGGTCAGTAATGGCCCGTCACTCAACGCGTATCGAGACGCGTCCTAACACGGCTCTGGCAGATCTTCCTCGATTACGTTCTATTCATGCAAACGTGGGACCCGCATGCCCAACTTCGATCGTCTGGCACACCGTGGGCTAACAAGTGGACATAGGCTTGTCAAGGAGGCGGCCATCGACTCGAAGCAAGCTGGCGAGAGAGGAATTAGCGCCAAAAGTGTCAAAAAGGTGACAGCTGTAGGTCCCATTCACAAAGCTTGTCCTTTGTTTACCACCAGCCCAGCAGCTGAAGCAGTGCGTGTAGGACACACTCGCCAAGTTCAAAGGTTGAGGACGATCTTCTCGGTATCATGTTCCTACACTTGCCACGCCCCGATGTCGACCGAAGCACTTAAGCGTATGGGTTACCGGGGCACCTTGTGTGGATCCAAAGTGCCTTGCGCAACTTGGAAGATGCAACACCGCAGTGACAGGCATCAGTGAGATCCGCCACGCGGATTGCACGTCTAAGAGTGGCAGAGACGGTTTAGACCAGCCAGATATGTTCGCCTGCGCATAGAGCATTGGAGTCGGGGCATGTCTTCGAAAGGATTACGAGATCGGCCTGTTGGGTGATATGATGCAATCGCGGGTCGTGCGTAGACTAGAGCTTGAGCTATCGCGTGAGGTCGCGATGGAGGGGTAGTTCTGAAGAAGCCATACAACATGGGATTCTATCACACGCTAGGAAGTTACAAAGTAGATGGGTTTTACTGAATTTTTCAACTGAACAGAAGGAGCTCTTGCGTACTACAGACTGCTTTTGTAAAAATAGGTCCAGTGACCTCTTGTTATCTCTGTAAGTAGATTGCCAAGAAACAGAATTCCTCCAGGTTCCCCAGGTTTCGCGGGCGGGCAGCAAGGCCCGGGCTCTTGCACAAAGGGGATACGTAGAAAAAATTCCGAGAGCGTTTCCAACTTCAACCAAAACAACAAACCCAATTCCCTTGTTAGACCAACTGCAACTCTCGACCTACATCCTTATTATCCCGTTTGCCGCCAACCCTGTTGACTGTCAATCGGATTCTACTCTGATTTGTCTCCTGCCAAACCTATCTACCCCGCCTCCAACACCTCTTTACGACTGTCAGCAAACAAATTGCCATCTGACGAGCCCACTCCGACAAGCAAGCTCACACGAAGCCCACCATGCCTTCTTCTGCCGTTCAGAATCCTCCGGCTCAGACTGAGTCCAAGTCTGCGAAGAAGAAGAAGTCTAAGGCCGAGCGCACTGGATCCCCGGCGCCGACTGCTTCTCCTGCGCCCGAGAAGGCTGTGTCCGTGTCCGGGGACGATGCATCCGAGAACGCATACGTTCGAGAGCTGCAGAAGTAAGCCTGCTTTTTCTTGACGGACTGCGTGTTTTCTCTCTGACTTTGAATACAGAAACATCCGCAATGTGAACAAGAAAATCGTGGGTGGAACCTCAATCTAGCTGACAGCTTGCCCCTCCTTCCAATACACCATGCTTACCACATCTCACAGAGTAACGCCTCCAAGACCTACTCTCTAATCGCCGAACACAAGGACAAGTCTCTCGATGAGCTCGTGGCCACCAAGATCATCAATGCAGACCAGAAGAATCAGGCGCTTAAGAAACCACAACTCGAGTCACAGCTTGCTCAGCTTGAGGAGTCGCTCGCACAGTACAAGAAGGTCGACGAGGAGTACCGTGCGCGCAGCCAAACCGACAAGGCCAAACTCGAGAAGGAGCTTACGGAAAAGCTGGAGAAGGAGAAGGCCGATGCGCTGCTCGCCGTCACCGAGAAAGCTGCCGAAGACGCAAAGAAGCTGCAACACGACAGCCTGCTCCTGCTGTCCCAGTTCCTCCGACTGGCAGCTGCTAGAAGATCTGAGGATGCTGATCAAACTCTCGACGAAAATATGGCTTTGGAGGGCGTTCTACTGAACGTCTACTCTGGAGACGAAAATGCCGTCTCCACCATGATGAATCTGATCGACGGTGTTGACGAGAAGGCAAGAAGCGTCAGTGGGGACGAGCTGCAAACCACCTGTATGTCATTTTTGTGTTACTAACATTATTTCTTGACTGCTGCTAACAGACTCGTAGACGCTCAGGTCAAGGCTGCAACAATCGCGCATGTCAACGTCTTTGCTTTGGCAGAATCAGAGACCACCCCCGAAGCCGCTGAACCCACGATCGAAAGTAGCGATAATGCTGCAACCGACCCTACCGTCGTTCACGCTGGACTCACTGAGCTCGACACCACAGGCGACGTCCCTGCGATGACCAACGGTTATACGGAAGAAACACCGAGCTCGGGTCTGCCAGTGAATGCGGACGTCGCTGATGGCGCTGCCAACGCCGCCGCGGAGTCTCAATGGGATGCTGGTAATGACATGAGTGCGTCACAGGAGGACTGGGTTAAGGTCTCACGCGATCCTAACGAGACGGACACCGGCTTGACGGCTACACCTGCAGCTGCAGGTCCCGTGCAGTCTTGGGCAGATGACCAGCCTGAGAATCCACCTGAGGTACGTCAACTAACACCTTGATTCTTTACTTGGAATACCCTTGCGTATGAGTCATGACACATGTTCTAACTTAATTCGCTAGGCTTCTGCTGTTCCAGCTGACGATGGCTTCCAGTCAGTCCAGCGCAACCGACCCCGCGGCCAAGGTGAAGGTGGCTGGACCGGACGGGGACGTGGTCGTGGTGACTACCGTGGACGAGGACGTGGCCGAGGTCAAGGCCGAGGTAACATGGGCATGCGAGGAGGACGACCCAGAAACGCAGAGTCGTAGAGAATCTCCCGCCTGAATCCGTCGACTCGCATCTGGAGTGGTGCCAGAGAGCACCGGTTCCCATCGCGACGTTTGAGGCAACTTTTGGACCAATCTGATTCCACGCAATGGGTGATTGCGGAAGGGGCTTGCTGCTCCGCAGCTCTCTTTTAGTCGACACACGGGTGATGAGACATGAGGTTGAGGGAGGGGGCTTAATGGTAGGATGGGATGCGTGTACTTGGACTGGTCTTTGATTTTAGAAGCAGCACCTGGGGAATCCGGCGTTCACGTTCCTGCGGCTTCGATGTGGAATTGGTGCCGGGACGCGGAATCCTGTACAAAAGTCTCATTAGCATTTACAAGATCAGGCCTGGCGTAGAGAAAAGAAAAGTCAATACAATTATGAGCACATTTAGGCCAGACAACCAGTTTCTACGAGGTCAAGCATGAGAAAAGGACATAAAAGTAGCTTTCTACTCTAAACTTTCTTGTTGTCCTTATCCACCATGTGTACTCCGCGCATTTTAGTTGGGAACGGGGCAACAACACTGACTGACCTTCCTTGGGATAGGCGCAAGGCTCGAGATGTTCAGATGAAGATCAACCTAAGTGTCCATGTCGTCCTATCTGACGTCTAACTAGACTTATCCAGTTTTAATGTTATCAGACCATAAGCGCCTGGTGTAGAAACGACTGAGTGGTCCCATGAGAACCAGGGAAAGGGGCTTAACCTGTAAAGGGGCCCAAGACATGATCCAAGATTGTTCCCATCATCACGCGCAAATCTATTTCTGAGTCTTCACCGAAATACAACAACCAAGTGCATTTATCTCCAAACTTGTAGTAGTAGTAATCTTCCAACCCCCGGAATCTGCCGATGAGAATAACAACCCATTCGACTGCAGTCTTGCGCTACTACCGTGTACTAGCCAGGAATCCAATTTCAAACATTGCGCATATATGTTGGGAAGTTAGACCAGGGCATCAGGTATGCTTGAAACTTCTAAGTGTATCAACTGTATTATAAGACACACTGAAGCTGTGGCTGCTCGACTGTCTTTTAGTTGGTTTGAGCAACAACGATAAATATCACAGCCCAGCCATACTCTGGGATACTTGGTGTCGACCTAGCCTATATAGTAATGTCCTAGTCCTTCCAACGCCGTCGCAATGTAATACCGAAATGTCATCATCCCATCATCACCATCACAGGGGGGTACTCCCTCCCGACCATGCTTTCAAACTCATGCCGAGCCTTCACCCTGCCCATCCTGTTCCTGCTGCTCCTCCGCCATCTTCTTAAGCCTCTCCTCTGCCGCCTTAGCAATAATCTCCCTCCTGCTCAACGTCCCACCACCCGCCGTACTACTTCCACCGGCACTCGATCCCCCACCACCGCCGAGCACGAACTGCCCACCTGTCCATCCCCCGTGATCATACGCAACCTCCTCACTACTCTCAGGTGGCTCATAGAACTCTGAATTCCCCACACTATGCCCACCCGATTTCCAATCCGCCCTCGCGACCTCGCGCTCGATCTGATGACACAAATCCCAGAAATCCCGGTCATGCGGCCCGTGGACATTATGCGCGAGCTCATGACACAGCGTATTCCGTATCGTCTTATAATCGCGATACCCATCATACGCATCAGTGCGAAGCCTCAACTCAATAACCTCGCCGCGATTTCTATTCAAACCCAGTATGCGCGTCGTGCCCTCGAGGCTCGACTCCGTGTACGTCAGAGGGTCCATCTCCGTCAAAAGCCCGACGCTGAACTGGTGTTTCTTCATCGCGGCGACGATGCCCGGGTCGGCTTTGAGGCGCTCGAGGAAGGCGCGCGAGCGCTCGGGGTTGGGCAGGTTGGGGAGCGGGCGGATGGAAAGGAAAGTGTAGGTGCTGGCTTCGGCGGCTTGGGTGGGGTTGCGCCGCGAGTAGGCCCGCGGTTGGCTACGGCGCGCCGCAGCGATGGAGGCTTCACGGGCTGCTGCTGCTTGCGAGGCAGAGGTGAGAGACGCGACTTCGGAGGCGGTTGCGCCCATGAGGGTGATTTTCTTGTTTTCAAGATGGGTCAGGGGCAGATCGGGGTCTTTGAAGGGCGGTTTGAGGAGACCGAGTTTCGCGATCACGAATTTCTGGTTGCTAATGGGAATTGAGAGGCGGACTTCAACTTGTTTGGACAAATCAGTTATTGTCGATTCTTTGGGAAAGGTCATATTGTGTGTTGAGCCACTGTGCGTGAACGACATGGAGATGGAGTCCTCCTTCGCTGGGTCCGCCATGTTGTCGCAAGTCGGTGGTCTCCAGACTTCTAAGGACAGCCGGCGCGTTTGTACTGGTGCAGGAGTAAGGTTTTGTATTATTGATAGTCAGCCTTGAATAGCAGCACTTGCGCATTCACGACAGAACATGCCCGGTTTTGTCCTGTGAGGACATGATGGTTTATAATATTTCGTCCTTAGCATCGGGAGCTGGAAGCTTCGGCGAAGGCCAGCTTGGTAATACGTCAGCGCCTAGGTTAGAATAGAGAACCCCGGGTAGCATTTGCTGCTAGCGCAGCGAACCCCCCTGTATCCGGGCGATCTTGAAGTCCATTGTGTGGCTAGAAGTGCCTGTCAAGCCACTGGGCACGGCCATTCTTCAGGGGTCCAATCACGGGTGAGTCGCGTCGTGTCCTTTAAGGCTTGCCGATTCCAATTCGAGAATGAAGCTTCGGCTTGTTGTGGAAGTCAACATCAGCACCAAGCACAACAGCGACTCGCTTGGCGATTTAGATCCCCAACTCACCGCGAAGTTGATACTGCTTCCGTTTTCAGTTTTCCATCCGTCGACGGCCTATTGATGGTGCCTTGTCGGTAGCCCCTCTTACCGGAAACGATCACCAACGAATTGCAAGGAGCTCTAGCTCCTGACAGTCGCCCGCCATGTTGAACATATTCCGAATCCTGGGTGGGTGCTCGATACGTGGAGGCATGGATGGCAGAAATGGGGGATCTAATGCTCTATCGTAGGAGATTTCTCCCACTTGGGATCCATCCTGATACTACTGCACAAGATGACGGAGCTCAATGTAAGTTGGCTGGCTTGCCTGCCTGCCTGCTTTGTTACGCCTCCCCAAATCGACTCGGCTGACCTATTTGCCTCCACTCTTCAGGGCTGCACCGGCATCTCGTTCAAGTCACAAGCCCTCTACCTCATCGTATACATCACGCGCTACCTGGACCTGTTCAGCACAAAGAGCGTGTATAACTTGATATTCAAGATCCTCTTTATTGCAGCGCAGGGCTACATCATCTTCCTGATGACGACCAAGTACAAGCCGACGCACGACCCGGGCCTCGACACCTTCCGCGTGCAGTACCTTCTAGGCGGTGCCACCGTGCTCGCCGTCCTCCTGCCCTACGAGTACACCGTGTCAGAGATCTTCTGGGCCTTTTCCATCTGGCTCGAGTCGGTTGCGATCCTGCCCCAGCTCTTCATGTTGCAACGCACCGGCGAGGCTGAGACCATCACAACGCACTATCTGTTTGCTCTCGGCGCCTACCGCGCCCTCTATATTCCCAACTGGATTTGGAGGTACTTCACCGAGCCCAAGCACCAGATCGACTGGATCGCCGTTGTCGCTGGCCTCATTCAGACCGTTCTGTACAGCGACTTCTTCTGGATCTACTACACCAAGGTCATGAAGGGCAAGAAGTTCAAGTTGCCGGTATAAGGCGCCTGCGTGTTACATCAACCAACATCAACTGGCTCTGGGATCCTGTGAGAGCCTCTTAGTGGCTTTGGACACTACAGGGAAGTGTGCCAACTTGGGGTCCACGCGCCCGTGTTTCAGGGGTCTCGATACCTCAATAATAACGTTATGATGCAGGCCAGTCATGGACATCTGGACTATCTGCAGGCAAGGAGACGGTTCTGGGTTTTGACAGGTGAGGCCGGGAATGTCTTCACGACCGGCCAGCGGATCCGGGGTTCCGCATGGACGGCGTTGGGATAGGTTTGGGTTGGCACCACCGGCGAGCCGAGTATGCGATTTTACGGTGGAAAAACACCATAGACCTAACTTTCGGGCTGTACATAGCGAATGGAAGGATACGATTTGGAACGCTCGGGTTGTGGGGTCCATGTGCTATCAGTCTACACAATGTGCAATTGACTGACCGCAGTATTCGAGACGGAAGAGTCGCATTGGACAGAGGATGCTGTGAAATTCTGTAACTGACATGTCTCTCATCCAAACAGGCAACTGATTATATCCTGCTAATCTGGAGCTGTGCATGTGGTTCAGGTGGGTAATTCCTCTTCCGACACGCCGGTACTGTTGAACCTGGCATCCTGCTCGCTTGACGTGTTATATGCAGTCCATGCTCAGTGTCCTATACAAAAAGAAATCTGTCCAAACACCGTTGGTATGCAACTCTCTGTCAACTCATTCCAGGCCCAATTCATCCATCACTGGTATCATGCTCATATCAGTACAATCGCAGCCAACCCAATCCTAGGGCTGTTCATCGGCGTGACCGTGATCACACAACCAGCCGCCCGTATTCCGATGCCGCCCGGCCCTTGCCGCACCGATCTCGTAATTCATAATACATTTGTAGTGTACATATTGTACACCTCTATTTAATCTCAACGCTGTATCAGCCAACCTCATTTGTCCCCCTCCCTGCCCCCCTGGGAAATGTAGACTTGACCGTCGCCCAATTCCCCGGCCCGACAGACGAAATAGAAGAAGGATGTTTCGGAATCCCCTCGGTGTCCGCCGACCTCGGCGTCATCGGGCTGGACAGGCCACTCAGGCTCGTACTCACAGCCGCTCCAACTCCTGCCGCTGCTCCAGAACCAGAAGAACCGGGCCAGAACACCACACAATCATTCCGTTTCCGCATACTCGTCAGCCGCTGACTAAACGATTCGTCCGCAGACGGCGACTCGGACACCTTGGGGAAGAGACTAAATGTCGCTTGGTGGAGGGGCGAACGTTGGGGTGTAGATGTGGATGTCGGCGCCGGGGCGGAGTCGGAAGACTGGACGTGATTGTTGCCATTATTGTTGGTACGGTCGGGTAAAAAGCGCTGTAGCGCCGCGGGAACAGGGGCGCGTTGGCGTTTGGTTGGTTCTTGTTGTTGGGCTTGTTTCCGTTGCAGATAAAGGGCGGGCGAAGGAAGGGGCGGTAAAGGAGAAGAGGGGGGTGGGCTGATGGGGGAAATGGCGATTGCCCTTTGAGCTGGGGAGGGAGGAGGGAAGATTACGCTAATGGGGCTTACGGAGGGGTTGCGTCGGTGTTGGGATAGTGATTGGGAGTGGATTGAGGACTGTGTTGAGGTCTGGCGGCGGTGTGAGTGTGTCGTGTCGCGGGAGGAGAAGCGTGAGTGGAACGAACTTGGTGGTGGGGTATAGGGTCGTTGGGCTACGAGGGCCATGTGCTTGGATGAGGGTTGTCGCTGCTGCTGCTGGTCTTTTTCGGGAATGGCGGCTTCGAATTCGACAGTGCCCCAGGAGATGGGCACATCGGGGATGTCGTACGCGCTCGGTGGCGGCAAGTTCGGGGGGTTGAGAGATAGGGGGGTTTGCACCTGGGAGGACCGATGCGTCAAACTCCGGGAGCGACCACTGGTCGCGCTACCCAGGATGACGGCAGAGTCTGTTGGCCCCTGTCTTGGTGGATCGCCGAGCTTGATACTACGGCCAAGACTTCTTCCGCTGTCCCTGCGGATGACCTGCAGCGTCTCCTCGCCGTCAAGACCTGGAGGTTTGGCAAGTGCTAAAGGCAGTGGCTCTCGTGGAGACGAACCCGAAGCGGTGGTGTTCGCGGCACTTGGGCCAAACTCCATTCCATCGAAGCCGAAACCGGCTGTCTCGCCACCGGATAGAGGTCTTTCGTCGAAGATGGTAAGACGTCTGGACAGACGCTGGGTGGGTCCGCTAAACATTTCCCGGTTGCGCTGGGGGGGGTATGCCATCTGTCTCTTATCTTCCCGGAAGTCGTCTCCAGCAGGTCTGGAACGGAATCCCGTCTGCGAGGTTGGCGAGTCACTAGCATTTAAGTAGGCTGCCTTCGAGTCGCGTTTGCGTTGGATGAGGGCAATACAGTATACGAGTAGCAAGGTGATGATGACGGACCCTATAATAGTGCCGACCAGTATACCGACGAATTGTGCTATTGTGAGGATAGAGGCCACCGCCTTTCCCGATTGGACGCCGCTGCTGTCAGCCTGCTGAGTTGGTCAGTACTATTTCCATGTGCTATCAGTGTGTTTCAGGGGTTTCACAGCGTAGAGGGAGTACTAGTAGCTGTTGCGCTTTGTTAAATACTCGCGCTGGCACTTACACTTGCAGTCGCTTGAGAAGTCGAAGTTGAAGATGCGGGGACCGCGCTGGCATTGGCACTGGCACTGGTGATAGCAGCCAGACTACTGCTCAACGAAGCCACACTGGCACTCAAGCTCGCGGCCAAGCTCGTCGCCTGCGCAGCCGCCGCATTCGCTGCCGCAACCTGCGATCCCAACGACGTCGACACGGCCGCCACATCAGCCGACGACTGGGACGAAAGCGTGGCAATGACGCCCAAGAAACTCGACGACACGGCCGCCACATCAGCTGATGACTGGGACGAAAGCGTGGCAATGACTCCCAAGAAACTCGACGATATGGACGCCACATCAGCCGACGACTGGGACGTAAGCGTGACAATGATGCCCAAAAAACTCGACGATACGGAAGCGAGCGCCAAAGACGCACTGTTCGTCAACGAGCTACTGATGGCGGCTCCGATGGGGTCTAGGGGCCTCGGAGCCGGTACTGTTGGCTCTAACGGCGACCGCTGTTCGATTTCTTCGTCTCTGGCGTTTCCCGATTCTCTTGATTCGCCTTGGCCTAGTTCATCATCCTTCACGCCCTCAAGCTTGCCCTCAACAATGTTGCGCTGGGCCCTGGGTAGCACCAACGAAGGTGGGAGGATGGGCGGTGGTGTTATTGTCGGGGTCGAGGACAGCACCGTGGCTGTTGATGAGGGCAACGGTGTTGAATCCTTTTCCTCTCGCAGAATTTCGTCCACGTCCCTCCCTATCCTCATCCTGGACCGTGGCTCCTTGTGCTGCCTACAGACACCATCGTCCATTCTCTTCCTGTCGCCATGTCGGCTTTTTTCCTTCACCAACTCGCATGGTGACGGTCCATAGTCACCTGCCAAGACTGCCGGTAGGTATACCGCAGAAAAGACCAGTAGCACGAGGGAGGATATGATCTCGACTTTCACCATTTCGACTGCATCTTTCTTCCTTATCATAGACCCATGTCCATTATTACTTCAAATCCACCAACCGACCTAGAAACTCTCTTCTAATCACCTGAATAATAATGAAAAGTGGTGTCTCACAGAAGAACCAACGATCTTAAGAAGTAAGTGTAAAGAGAGTAGTTTGCGATTCTGGATTCTGGTCAAGAAATAATATATTATAAGACTCTGTGGTGTATGGCCGAGATCACCAAGACAGAACGGAATTATACTCTCGGGTCTCACTTAGCATCTAAATCAGTCCCACGGTCCACAGAATGGATGGGATGGGCCCCCCGGGGATGCCTAGCACCGGAACCCAATAGGGGTGCTAAGGTCCCGGCGGGCTTTGTAGCATGCATGGTACTGCCGGCCTCACCATTGCTTTCTTCTCGCAAGAATAACTCAAATTCGTCGAATAGGAAACTGGCTTGACTGGTGAGCTTTGGCAGTCTCACCAAGCGGCGAGGCGACGTCAGGGACCGTATGGCAGCATTATCCCAGCAGTCGGGGACACCTTGAAGGCGAGACTGGAAGATGCCTGTGCTCCCCTGCTCCCGCACGGCCTTAGTACGCATGATGCAGCAGCGGGAAACCTCCTGCTAGCGCTCATTGTTTAACCGTCTGAAGTCGCCATTGGGCAGCAGTCGAGGCGAGGAAGAAAACCGCAGCTAAACTCTGAGCTGACAGAATCCTGGTTTTCAAACTATCCGGAAACCCACACAACGTCAAGGCATGGAGACACGACACAAGACCTAACACACCTTCGTTCGGCTTCCGACTCGCAGCGTGCCAGTGCCCTTTGCCACGTTTTCTGTATGAGGCAACGAGGCGCATGAAGAAATGAACAAAACAAAAGGGACGAGCCCATAGCTGAGAGACGTCATGTTTCAAGCAACGGATGCTTGAGTGGTTCGAGGTCGTTCCATTCTTTCCTGGCTCATAGTTTGTAGATTTTACCGCTTTCAGCTCTCGCGGCCTGACCCGAGCGTGCCAACCCCGGTGTTCGATTCTACTTCGTGCGGGCGAGAGTCTGAAGAAGTAATTCGATGCACTCGAAAGGGTGACCAAATCAGGTATCGCGAAGGCCTTTAATCCATATGTGTACAAGGCCAGCTGCACACGACAGCCGACTAGCCGACGACTCGCATCATGGAGAACAAAAGGCACGAATTGGGTTTGAGGTTTACATGTACTTCCTTGATGACCCTGTCATCATCGTGACAGCTGCACACACCAAACCCAAAACAACATCACCGTATGTACAAGGAAAGAAAACAAAGCGGACTAGTCTCCGCGAAACCAGTGCCAGCTAATCGTCAGCCGGATACTTGGCCGTGGCCACTCGCTTTTACAGACAGAGTCTCGATCTAGATGAACTGCGTGATCGACGGCAAGACGCCCGTGTAAGCGATGCCAGACGGGGGCTCGATGCTGTAGATGTAGTCACCCCACCACTGTGCCAAGCAATCATTAGCCATCGTAACTTCCCATCAAGATTTTGAATTCCTGTCCAGAGAAACAGGACGAAAGAGAAGCCCGACAACACCGAGGGTGGACATTACTTACTGGACCGCCACCCCACCACAACCACCCCGTCCAAACATCTGAATTATCCTGCATATACGACAACATGCCCTGAATAGCCGAGATACACTGCGTATTAGCACCTCCGGCCGTCTCACCAATAATGCCCTTCTTGCCATTAGCCTTGAGCCACGCCGTAGCCTCCGTGATTCTTTCGCGGCCAATGGTACCCGACACGCACGTCGTCGAGGTGCCTGACCCGTCGCTGTCGAGGTACTGGTGCATTTCATAGACAATCTTGTCCGAAGGGTCCGTCAGCTTGGCCATGTCGGTGGCGGTGCCGCTCGAGACCCAGTGCCAGGCGCCCGTCCACGAGTTGCCCTCAACGAAAATGTACTGCGACGTCGCACCAGCGGCCCGGATCCCATCGATGCCCGCTTGGTTGAGCTGCGCGACCACGGCGTTGTCCTCGTCGTGGAATTCGTTGTTGATGTCAAAGATGACCCGCTCGTTGGTCGCGTATCGCTTAGCTACCGTTGTCCACCAGGCCTTGAACCCGGCAGTGTCGGTGATGATCTGACTTGGTTAGCTCCCACCACGTACTAGGCTCATTCAGGCTCATACGTTGCTGTAGTAGCGACCGAAGTTGTGAGGGTCGATGATGGCATAGGCTCCCCTGAGACCGAGTGAGTTTTCATGTCGCTGAATTGTAATTCTCGTCAACACACTTTCCAGTAATGTAACTAACGATCTGGTAAGGAAAAGTCAGTCTCGGATTCTCCAGTCGAAGATACAAAACCCACATCATCGAGTCCGGCGACGTAGGTCTCGTTGAAAGTTCCCGTCAGCTGGGTGGGAATGATGCGCTCCCTGAAATAGTCAACGTCAAGCCACAGCAGTATCACCAACATCGGAGGCTAACATCATCGTGGCGACTCGGAACGTATTCATGCCTTGTCCAACCATTGTCTTGTCACGAGTTAGTGTCTTGATCCCTCGTGTTGACGAGAGGCTCTTACGTCGATGGCCGAGTGAGCAGGCCAAGTAAAGTCCTTTCCAAGCTGACCTGGCAGTGCTGTATTGCCAAACTCCGCGCCCGATTCGTTGACACCAGTGAACTGGAACTTGCTCTTGCGTTTCCTCACCGTAGGCGTTGGCTCCAGTGTCGGGGCTGCCAGGACGGTAGCAACCGTCGAGGCGCCGAGAAGAAGATCAAGAAACTTCATGATGCTTTGCCACAACGGAATGGCAAACGAAATGTTCAGCTTGAACACGGACCATTGTGTTTCTAGCCTTCGGTATCCATCGTGGCCTTTTATACATCGTAGGTACTCCTATAATGGTGGCGGCGGAGACCAAAGCTCCGCCCCGGTCAAAGTGGAATATCAACGATGCTCCTGGCTCTGATTCAGTCCGTCTGTGTTGCAATTAAGGGATCACCATCGCAGATGTCGCAACCGGAATCGTGAGCCTCAGATTGGGGTTGCATCACCTGCTTGAGCGCCGAGGGGCAGGATGTAGAGAATGTGGGTAACGCAATTGTCATCTCATTGGAGAAGCGTTGGCTTGCCCTGGCCCTGAGACCTTGAATAGTACTATGTAGTACATGACCCAACCTCTGGGATGCGGCGTAGGGGAAGTTCAAGTACAACGACACAACGTCAGGACAAGTCCCGAGTTGGCTCAAGCAAGTACCTTCTTTGCTTGATTAGGACCCAAGACTTTCCATAGTTATGGCTATTATGGATGAGTCGTACGTCGTTACCATATTCAATGCGCCGAGCCAAAGCTGGTTGCTGCTTTGAGGGTGGCGGGGGAACAGCTTCCGGAACACACGGCAGAGACACCGTAAACTTGTGCCAGACGGACGATGACCGAATCTCAGGAGCACTGGCACACACCATTTTGTCATGGCATGAAACAAACAGGCGCAAATCTAGGTTAAATGGGAAGCAAGCAAGCTGCACCGTAAATGAATGGAAGCGACCTCCGGGCTGGAAGGTAACCATATTCAAGTAGTTGTTGCTTGTAAGTCGACCGTCCAGGTGGGGCCAACTTGATAGCACCCTTTACGATATTTCGGACTTTAGTTAAACCCAATCCGTTCATTTTCCGGCAACTTGCGATTAACAGACCACCCAGACCTTCAAGTCAGCCTCTGGACGCGACAATTGACCAGCCAATTCAGGGAAAATGCAACCGACGAGGTGTCTCTTAAAGGGACGTTCCGTTTGGAAGGGTAAGCCCATTTTCTCCCCCGTCCCATGGCAGAAAGGCATGCTAACGAGGTTTACAGGACCTCACATCGTTCCGTAAGAAACATAATCACCAACAACCATCCCGACGACAAGTGTGACTGACCGTCTACGCAATGAATTAGACTTCCAATCGTACGTCCAGCCCCCGGTGAGTGGGTGAAGCCCATTAAAACACAAGCGCGTTCCGCCACCATCCTCCCCAGCTTCGTAGGACTCAAGTTCGCCGTGCACAACGGCAAGGTCTACAACGAGGTCGCCATCACCGAAGACATGGTCGGACACAAGCTGGGCGAATTCTCCGTGTACGTGATCTCCCGTTTTGCTTATTCCACCATTAAATGTTGACCATTTGCTTAGAACGAGAAAGCCGTTCATCTGGGCCAGAGGGAAGTAGTAGAACGGAAGAAATCTTGGCATACCCATGGCGTTTGGAGGCGATTCTTCAGGGAAGTGATAGCATATTTGTGTCTGTTACGGCGACGGCGACTACTTGTACAAAAGGTCAAGCGAATAGCAGAAGACAGTATATGTACATCAGCGTGGCCTTGCAATGGCCTCAGTCGTATCAATTTGGGGCCACACGCGCCTCTATGAAAAATGATGACAACGCCAGTGACCGTGCCTCGGTGCGATGCAATCAATCAACCTTGAGAAGAACCAACCGAAGGCTGCTGGATCGGCCTCGCTCTCTGTCTCTCAAGCGGGCAATCCTAGCTAAATGTACAGTTCCGTAACGCCACCCCTGCCTGACGCCTTCAACCTCCAACCTGTATACCCATCCATACGGCGTGCGCGCATGCGTGCGTGCATCATAGTCGTCATCTCTCATCTGTAAAACTCGCTCCTCTTCACATTAACGCCATACTCCCCAACCGCCATGCCCAAATCTTCCATCGTAAGCACGGTGCGATTCTGGCTACCACCCTGCCCACCGCCACCATAACCCGCGCGCTGGATCCCCAGCGGCGCGCCCCGGCCCTGGTCCTTGGCACCGGGTTGCGTCTGTCCAGGGATCGGGATACCGGCCGCGGCGCCGAGGTTGCCCATGGGGTTATTGGCGCTCGTGTTGGAGGCGCGGATGCGGCTGTACTGATACGCATCGGCTGCGATATCGGCGACGAACTTCTGGGTGGCGAGGGCAAGCAGCCGGGCGAGGCGCTGGTCGGTTTGCGGGGGAGGCGGGAGGCCGGCGCGCGTCATGTAGTAGTTTGTGACTGCGTCGGGGATCTGTTACCATCATCATCAGTTAGAATGGGGAATACGGAAGACGAGGAGGAACTCACGATGGGCGCATAGTCGTCCATCTTGCTCAGGAACTCCTTCAGCGAGATGTCTTTCCGAGTCGGCATTTTGGCCTCCTGCGGCGGGGGGTTCACCTCCTCCTCTCCCTCAGGCTGGGAAGGGTCGGGCGCCATGGGCACCTGGTCGGCATTTTCGAGGGGTGCGCTCGCCATGTTGATAGATTCGGATGGGCGCTGGGGCTTTGGGGTTGGTTGAATGGAGCACGGTACCACACGATGAGAGGTCGAGTCGCGAGACGAGGAAAGCAGTCACGTGACTCTATTATTTTCACTGCAGCAAGGATGTTGCTATGTCTCGTGATACTTGTTTGGGTTGATAAATGGGGAGGGTCTGGCCGGATGTTAATTTGGTCAATGGTTTGAACCTGCTGGTCGCTTCTACTACTGCGGAATGAGCTCCTTTTAGTGCTGAGTGGCTGGTCCAAGTGTAAGTGGCCAGTTGCACAGTGCACCGTCGCTGGGCGTCGCACTCAATAGCCTTCACTCCGAACCATGAAATAAAGACTTTTTCGACTTGAAGCACGTTTGCCACGGTTGTTACAAAAACGCCTGTCGCCCCCTTCTAATCCATAGATAAACTGTTGGCAAATGCTTACTGTCCAAGAAGCTCCAAGAAGCTCACATCGTACACGCAGCGAGCACCGTCTATTTTGCGTGTCAACAATATGTCGGCCTAAATGCCCCTCGTCCATATGACCAGACATATTGCAGGAAACATGTGGGAGTAACTCTCGCCTTCGCAGCGGTTTATACACGAATTTGAATCTACTTGGTTGGGAACAGCGCTGTGCAGGTCTGTAAAAACTACCTGGGACTACGCTATCTTCTGGTATCCCCGTGCGCATGGCGTCCAATGCCAGTCAGCTATGAGAGATAACCGTTGGCGCTCAGCCATTCCTTCAACACCGCGGCGTCTCTCTCACGGTACGCTGCACGTCCCCGTACAGCATCCTTCACCTGCTCGAGGGTTCGATCGAAGTAGCTTGTGTCTTTGTCCTTGAAAAAGGCATCAATCTGACCCAGGTACTTGGCATCTGTAAATTTGTTCAAAGTCACTCTGACGAACCGGTCGAGGACGACAGGGTTTGCCATCTTCTTTGTGGCTTGGTCCCAATTGGCCTGGAGGTACTCCCAGAGCAACGGACGGGATGACGAGTTGCCTGCCAGTGCTGATCCAAGAGTGTGCATGTCACCGCTCGGGACACTATTGGACGTTGGGGCCGGAGGAGAGAGGTTAAAGAGGAATGGTAGAACCTTGTTGTTGATCAACTCTGTGTCCCTGATGTGGCCTAGGGCTGCGAGACACATTTCTTTGCCGTCAATCGACGCGCCCTTCTCCCACTCATTCTTCAGGACGCCAAATGCCTTTGCTGCGTCGGCCTTGATTGCAGCACGGTACACAATCGTTCGTAGGTTGGGATTAAATGCAACACCGTCTTTGCTCCACGACTCAAAAAGTTGATTGGCCTTCTCCAACACTTCCCGGTGTCCATTCATAGCAGCACTGAGAAGAAGTCTCTTCCGAAGCAGACGGGTGAGATACTCCTCGTCTTCAGAAAACTCCCATCCGATCTTCCCAACTGCGTCGTCGATAAGTTTTAGTACGAAGCTCTCCATGCCCTTCTTGATCGCTTCGTCATCCCCGAAGATGGACTTCACTAGGCTGACAGAATCCAATGCCTGTGCCCAAACGATCTGGCTAGTTTCCCTGCCGAAGCCTTGAAGGAACGACAACAGCGCGGGGGTGTTTCCATATCCGGAGAATGCAAGATCGGCGGCAGATCCCACAATTGATACCTTGTCCTCGACAGTTAGTTTGCCAAGTTGCGTGCCAAGCTTGGCCAATCGAGCCGGAGGATAGTTCGTCCTGTAGAAACCGGTACCGTTGTGGTTGAGCTTGTAGAAATCGCTGTCCATATCACGGATGGTGTCCTCTCTGGCAGTAAGCGCTAGTGTCTGGACTTCCTTTGTGTCAGTCTTGCCTTGTAGGCCTAAAGGCACCCACCATGTTGTCTGGTCTTCCTCGGGCTTAGCATCGCCGGTGGACAAGAAGCGGGATTGCTTGACACTAACTTGACCGGGCTCTTCAGCAACAGTCAACATGGGGAATCCAATCTTCTTGATCCAAGTTCCCATCAGGGAGTCGACATCGACGCCCGAGGCCTCTGAGAGGCCGGCCCACAGCGCTTCTGTTTTAGCGTTGCCATAGGCGTGCTTCTTGAGATAAATCGACACACCGTTCAAAAACGTCTTCTCGCCCAGATGGTTAACCAACATTCGGAGGGTAGAGCAGCCTTTGAGGTAGCTGATATGGTCGAAGATCTGGTTGACATCCAGAGCATCCTGGACTGGGACGTGGATTGGGTGAGAGGCGCGCATGGAATCTAGCTTGAAGGCCGATTTCATACCTTCGCCAACAAACTGGGCCCAGACCTGCCAGTCGGGATGGAATTCGTTGACGGCATACCATCCGGCCCATGTCGCGAAAGATTCGTTGAGCCAAAGTTCATCCCACCAATCCATGGTGACAAGGTTTCCGAACCACTGATGTGCCAGCTCGTGAGCGACTACATACGCGATACGATTCTTGTACCTAGCATCCGAAGTCTTCTCGTCAAACAGAACAGCAGTCGTACGATACGTTACCAAGCCCCAGTTCTCCATCGCTCCATGCGTGAATTCATGCACCGCCAGGAGATCAGACTTAGGAAGCGGATAGTCAATGCCGAAGCTCTCAGAGAACAGGTCGATGGTCTTGGGGGCATGCTCCAAAGCGTAGCGGCCTTGCTCTTTGAGGCCCCGAGTGGTGTACACTCGAACGGGGATCTGTTTGCCGTTGTAGCGACGGTCGGTGAAAGCCTCAACATACTCAAAGTCACCAACAGCCCAGGCAAGAAGATAGGTGCTCATGACGGGTGTCGTCTCGAACGATACCATCTGTCGGCCACCACTGGTCTTCGAGGTGCTCTTGACAGGCATGTTCGACAAAGCAATTTGGTCATCAGGGATCTCGATTTCGAAGTCGAAAGTGGCCTTGAGACGGGGCTCATCAAAACACGGGAATGCACGGCGGGCATCACAGGCTTCGAACTGAGTGCTGAACATGTAGTGATTCTCATCATCCTTCGGAACCGAGGCAGCAGCTGGGACCACGGGCTTGTATTTGCTGCGGTAGAACCCAGCCATGTCATTGTTGATGATGCCTTCGAATATGATCTCCAGAGAGGCCTTCTGAGAGGCTGGAATGGCCTCAGCGAAGCTCAGAGTGGCGCGCTGCTTCTTCTCATCGTACGCAAAGTTGGTGGTTTCCAGCGGCTGTAACGCGTTGGGGTGTTGAACAGTGATCTTGGCAGTGTGCAGCTTGATATGGAGCGAATTGAGCACAATCTCTTTGGTGGACTCCGTCACTGTCACATCGATACTATAATCTGTTTAGCCCGTGATCGGGGTCGGTAGACTGGCGGGATGACCTACGTCACCTTCCCTTGGTAAGTCCAATTCTCGAACTCGAGTGCCGAGATGGAAAGGTTGTAGTGGGAGGGCTTGAAAACCGCGGGCAGGATATCTCGGTCAGCCATGATGCTTGAAGGAATAATGGCAGAACACTGTGCTCGAGGCGTGGTGGAGAAGGTCGAACGTGGATGTATATTCGGGTGGGGCAAGAAAGTATATTTTGGAGACAATGAGCCCAGTATCGAACGGGCAGGTGGTGTTGCCTTAAACGGCCGAGGTAGAGTATTCTGCAACTGCGTAGTCGGGTAACTACTCTGGGAAGCAAAAGGCTTGGATGAACTGCTTGTAGTGGTGAAGCCCCTCAAATTCCTAACGTCCCTTGAAAGTGACGTTGCAGCTCGCCTTCCAATCGAGACAATCCTCTGTCCAAGAAAAGGTTCCATGGCTGGATTACGCCGTCTTTGATCGGCGACGGACAAACGGCAGTTCTTGCAGCAAATCTTGTCGCCTTCAACCAACCAGCTGTTCACACATGAGACAGATGCCTGCAAGTGTTTATACAATGCTTGGATGTTCTACTCCAGAATTGTCCGGTTCATACTCATATGCATTGATGGATAGCCATGGGTTTTAACTCAGAACCGGTGCTGCGAATAAGCACTAGTGCCCAAGATACCAGTTGACCTTGCAATACTGGCAGTTCCAGTTCGGGAGCTCCTGCATTTAAAACAACCAAGACAGTTGGCTGGGTGAGGTATCATAGATGTACGAAAACAAAAAAGAAGAGAGATTGATGGGTTGCAACGAAGGACCAATGTATTGAGACACTGACGATCAACGGAAGGGGAGGGTGCTAACATATGTGGTGACAAGCAGTAGAGGCATTTGAATGAGTGCAAAATCAGACGAACTGGGCGTGAGTCCCCCGAAATTGCTATATACAGGTTAAATAGATCCAACTATGGGGGTATGAAACCTCACTAGCCCGCTATAGGGAAGGCTTTTACAGTTTGTGCATCTACAATATGCAATAAAGAAAAATCACTTAATCGAGTACAAAACATCAACCTGAAGAGGACTCGGAAGGAAGGCAGGCTCCTTGCATCGTAACGAAGTACAATACCACCAACTGTGGAGTAAACTGTTTGGCGGTTTATTCGAGCCACTATGACATCGAATGGTGTCTCCAGACAGTATCTAGGTCGTTACCCTGTTCCTTTACACATTTGACAATAGTCATCTTTTGTTGACTTGAACTCGACGTGGCCAGTTCACAACCGCATCATGGACAACCAGCAGCAGATGGGTGGCCGAGATGCCGGCATCCGACGATTTTTCCAGAGGGGGGGTGGACAAGGTCAGCAGTCTGGTAATCCTTGGGTGTTGGAAGCTGGTGGTGATGCCCAAGCCCGTTCACCTGCACAATGGGCGCAACCAATTCAAAGTGAGTAGAGTCCAGCCTGTAATATTTCATGCCTCAGAAGAGAACGTTTTTTTTTGCACCCTAAATTCCACTGTGTTGAAAATCAACCAATTTTCCTGTCTGTCCTGACTTTGCACGCACACCGCAAATGGTATAATTGATCATGCCGCCAATCAACTCCCAAACGCTACCCTACCGGGTACGTACCTCCACCACGGCTCTACTTACTGCACCTACCAGAGAGCAGTTCAAGCCGTGGAGCCACGCGAGGACCGATGGAACACACATGATCCAGCAGAACGAGAGTGGTTGCGTCGTCAAGGACCTGCCCCCGAGTTCCGGCACTTTGGTGATTCGGAACCCGAGAACATCAGTTCCATGGAGGCCACAGACCTTCCTGGTTCTGATCCCCAAAACATCGATCTCATGGAGGCCAGAAACCTTGAATATTCTGACCTCGAGAACATGGATCCCGTGGAAGCCACCGACAGTCAAGAAGACGATGAAGCTGACCGAGTTGAAGGCCTTGAGAACGAAGAGGTCGATGTGGATGACGAAGATGACGGGAATGAGAACGGGGAGGAAGTAGAGGATGAAGACGGCGAAGATGGCCAGGAAGCAGAAGACGAGGCTGATGTCCAGGAGGAGGATCCACCATTTGACCCTGCATCCGTGGGCTTGAAGGAAATAAGCAACCTTGCTAGCTTCACGGTCAGCAGCTACAAGCCCGGATGCGGAGTGAAGGAGCTTCGCGATGACGATGTCAACCAATTCTGGCAGTGAGTTTCACGTGAGATGCTACTCTATGCTCAGCTAACACAAACCTCCAGATCCGATGGTCCTCAGCCGCATCGACTGAACATCCACTTCATCAAGCGTGTCGAGATCCGCGCTCTGCGACTCTACTTGGACTATGAGCACGACGAGAGTTACACCCCGACCAAGATCCAGATCACGGCTGGAACTGGTCCGAATCTCACCATCCCCTTCACCACCCTCGAGCTGAACATGCCCAAGGGCTGGATTGACATTCCTATTGCCGGCGCGGGCGGGGGCCCCGATGGCAACTCGCTCTGCTGCTGGTTCGTACGTGTCGTCGTGCTTGAGAATCACCAGAACGGCAAGGACACCCACATTCGTGGAATTAAGGTCTACGCCTTGGATGATAGTGTCGATACCGCCGAGAACCCGGTCGAGGACATGGTTGACGCCATCAACGACACGGACGACAAACGTGCCAGAAATAAGGTATACGAGGATGACTTTGATGGTGCGGTCCTTCAGCATGATGCCGAGGTCCGTCGTCGCAAGGCCACAACCAAAAAGTACGCCCCTGGAGATGGAGGGCTGACGATTCCCGATTTCATGAGAGAACCCGAGATTCGGTGAGCATCAAGTCGTGACTGGGATGGCATGGCATGGGGAGGGGCGTTTAAGCATTCATGGCATTGGTTGATGGTGGTAATGATACCCTGTGTTGAGTTGAGCGTCGGCCTATCCGAGCACTGGGCGGAAAATGATATTTGGGTCCCACACAAGACTACAGCCTCGAGGTGCGAATTAGTGACATGGGAGTGGCATTCTATTTCAGTGTAGTTGGTGAGTTCCAGAACTGGCCAAGTGGGAGTTCTATACTACTGATCCCAAAGAGGGGCAATCGCTGCTGGGCGAATGACATTGGTTCAGGTCCATTTTGTTTCGACGACAGTCCCACAACAGTCCTATGCTTATGGAGCTTACGGTAGCCTGTCATCCTTTTTATGCCATGATGGAAGGCAAGACACAAATCTTTAGAGGGTGAAGATCTTGAATCTCACCTACGTCTGTTTCGTTTGTGTGTCCAATCGTCCCTCCATCTGACTTAGTTGGTGCAGTATCATGGGACTGAGGTAAATTGCTTTCACTTCCCGCACGAGGAAGTGGAAAGCCTATCAAATGCGTGGCTCAAACTCATGGACTTCTGTCGTGATATCTTCGTTTGTCCCCGTTGGCCCAATCCTCGAGATCCTGGGTTGGATTCGCATACTCATTATACTGTCTCATAATGCTCCATCGTCCTTGCAGCATCAGCCTCCAACATTTCGCCAGCATATAGGGGTACAGCCGCTCAACCTCCCCAAGAAATATTGCTCCAGACGTGATGGCATGTCAAATTTATGTGGTAAAGGTAGATAAAGGCATAATATCTGCTGCTTGATCTACGATGTGACTCCCCCTCCTCATACTGGAAACGACATGCTCGGTTTACCTGCAGCTTCACCTGTCAGCTTACTTGTCTGATACCTCCAGAATCTGAGCAGTGCCAGAATACCAAGCTTGTGTACTGCCAGAGGGCCGATGCAGTCACGGCTGGGATGCCATTACCCTGAGCGGCATTTCCGCATACGGCAATTCGGTCTCCAACAGTGACTATGGCTATCAGCTCCCCTGTAGACTTTTCAAGGTGGTCAGCTACTCGACAAAGGCTAGGGGAAGCAGTCTTTGTACTACACATGTGTAGTAGGCACTCGTCCAAGTAAGCAAGGTATGGAACAGATATCACGAAAGTCCATTCACCAGCATGATTTCGGACTGTACTTTAAGTTTATCAGGATACACCTTGTATAGGTCACTCCTGTTCTCATTCGCTCTTATGATATCTGAAACTCCGCCCGATACAATGCACACAACTTATTTAGTCTATGGTATCCCATTCTTGTACATTTCATTCGCTGCGCAACCGCAATCGGAATAACCTATAAAGACTACAATGCCGCACCTGAAATCATTCCCAGATCTCCAAAAATCCAAGTCCAGATGCTCAACTCTGACTCCGTTCCAATGCAAGCATGACGATACGTAGAAGCATAGAAATAAAAATATGCGGTCGCCTCAAGAAAAAGAAAGATTGCTTGGAACGTCCGATACACGAAGTGCCCAAACGAAGGGCTTACACTGGCCGCTGCAGATTCTCAACGCAACAAGCGAGGAGCCGTCAGGGTGGTCAGCACACTGGCCTTCCATTCTACGCTGATATGGCACAGCTCCAACCGATACATCAAGGCCTGGGAGTTATCTCGATGTGGCTCTTTCTCATGTTGGCATGCCGAGATAAGTCATCGCAACGACAGAGATGCATTTTCGCCTTTAGCGCAGCGGTGTTGAGGATGTCAGCGACAATAACAGGCCGTGAATTATCGTGGTCCGGTCCATAGGGCGCGCTGAGTCGGTACCCCCCATTTCGCCAAATTCGACTTCTGCGGTTTCGGTTTCGATTTCGGCTTTTACTTTTTGGTTCCAAACCCAAATTGGCGACTACTCGGTTTCTCATTACGCTTTTTGTTCTTTATCCTCCTCCTTCTTTTCGTCGTCTTTGGGTATCTTAATCCATTCCTTCAGCTCGGGTTCCCAACGATGGCTGAGGTACTTGTCAGCATGGATATTTGACAGACGGACTGGTGGGTTAGGGGTTAGGAGGAAAAACTTACCCGGCCCACTGTGTCGTCACCAAACTCTTGTGGCCGTACTCGTCTGTCAAGATGTAGTCGAAGCTGTATGGGATGGTTGCAGGTACGCCCTCAAACTCAGTTTCCCTCATAGGATACAACTCAGTGGTGCGATACTTGTGGAAGTTCTTGCAACTCCAGACGCCGGGGCTGTGGCTGTCGCGCTCGGCCAGGCCGGTGATGTCGATGAACATGCCATTGCTCAGATCAATCCAGCGCGCATCAATAACGTTCTGGCCGTCGCCGCGTGTGATTTCGGAGTGGTGCGGGTTGATATCCAACAGATACTCCTTCTTCATGGGCTTGCCGCTGATAGGGTCGAAGTAGTTGTACTCGTGGGTGGTGCGGTTGAGGTTGTTGCCGAGATAGTACAGTGTCTGAGCGCTGACTTGCACGTCGAGGTCGTAGTCCCAGGGCATGATCCTCCCGTTCCACCACCAGCCGAGCAAGGTGCCGTGTGCGAGCCATGTCTCAACGCCGAGGCTGCGGAAGGTGGTCAAGTAGGACCTGATGAGGTGCTGCAGCGCTGGCCGGTGTTCTTCGTATGGCACCTTCTGCTTGAAGTACCGGATGTCATAGTGGCCCAGCTCGTTGTCGCCGCCCGGCTCGTGGAAGTATTTCGTGTCTACTCTTTGTCCGCGGGCGCTTATTTCTCTCCTCTTGATGGACTCGGACGGTACCGCTGTGGCAGATGATGCCGCGAGGGTCAAAGCCAATATTGACTGAAGCAGACGCATGGTCGCGAGACGCAAAGATGCGAAAGAGCAGACAAAAACAAACAACCAAACAAATCGAGGGATTTGCGATTTATATCGAATGTAGGTGGATGATGGTCAAACCAGTCGATCAAACGGTCAGACAGCCTAGATTAGAGTGCCGCGGTGTCACGACCTGAGGTACCAGTAGACTGAGACGGTGATTGATTCGGACAGATTATCGGTGAGGCTGATTTCCCAGATGCCTCGGGGTAACGGTTCGTTCTGGGATTATGGATTCGTCCCGACGACGCGACAGCCAACCGAAAGGTTTGCAAAAAGGCCGTTGAGCGTTTGATGCCTGCGTGTAATGAAGGCCTTGGCAAAAGGTCGTAGCCAATGCGATGGTCTCTTGGCGGTAATGTTCAAGATGGGACGCAGAAATGCTCGGAACACATGAACACGCGAGCAACAAAAAGTAGTAAAAGGAGGGTGTATGGAGTACGGAGACGTTACCACAACGTACATGCCAGCCGGGAGCAGTGAAGTGATATATTCAGATTACCCACGTTGTCCATGGTACCGGGTCCGTTGCGCTGCCGCTACAGCACTGCACAAATGGTCGCTGGGCAATGCCTGAAGAATAAAACTGGCCTTCGCTGCGGTTCGCAGCAATGAGACCGATAGAGCCGAAACCCTGCACTCTATTGGATCCAAGTTCCCGGGGTGTCGTCAAGGGGCACACCAGCATACGTAAACACTGTGACACTTTGGCAGGGGCCATGCGGGTGGAAAACGACTGTTGGATCCATGCTAGCCCCCAACGGGCAAGAGGCCGCGTGAGGCTTGCATCCTGACCGCATGCTACTCAAATTTATATTGGGCATTTATGACGGTGCTGCGTCGAGATACCGAAGCAGAAATCGTCTTCAGATTTGGCAGGTTGTCTACCTGGGATTTCGTTGGCAAAAGAAACTCTGCTCATGCAGCCTGACTTCGTCGCAGAAACGGCAGGAACGGGAGGTCATCGGCGACCACGTGTCCACCAGCAGAGTGTGTTTCATTTCGAACTAAAGCATCTCTTCAGCTGAGAAGGCAGGTTGGCATGCTTTCCCATGCTTGTAAGTCCAAGCTTGCACTTTTTTCACATCCTAGCCGTCCGCCCTTTTTCCTGTCCTGGAACTCTTCAATTATTGACGCGACTCCAATGTTCCCCCAGTTTTGACATGGTGCGACTGTATGACGGACATGCTATGCAAGCTGCAATGGCCGTCATCTAACCAGCGTCTCTTTACTGGCATTCAGGGTATCACAACATGACCTCTGCACCGCAAAGCCAAGGTCGGAGGCAATCACCTCTGTCGTGTATAACGGGGCGAAACTATCGTGGTACTTGGAAGCCTGCAGGCGCCTATGTGGCACACAGATCCCAAAGGTAGACCTGTCGCTGGAAGGCAGCAAATCCAACAACCACGAGAGTGCTGCCGCGGTGGATGCGCGAGGCGCAGCCCAACGAGCACCGTCCTTATCTTGCACATCTTTTGGCCCCTCAACACTACAGTTGGTTAAGAATCACCATGCGAGGGTGATCGCCTAAATACAGACCCCGCGCAGCCGCCCGCGGAAGCGCTCGTTGGCTATTTCTGTACCCATCGTTTAACGGCGTTGCCGGCGTTGCCGAACTTGCAATCCATTTATTTCATTGTCTCCATTTCCCGAGAGCTGACGATAACAAGACCAATCCATGAAGCGCAACAGATTCACAACGAGAAGTTCAACTCTGAAGAATAGAAAATTGATGCGCCGACGCTGATTGGAACATTGGGGCACCAGCAAAGCAAAGAAGCGCCAAGAGCTTGGTGTCATGAGTCGGGTGGGTGGAAATGAAGCGCGTCTGACTTAACTTTCTCGTGGGAGTGACACCCCGGGGGCTCGGCAATGCGCCAACCACACGACCATGACAAAAGTGTCAGCTTTCTTTCTTGTCTTTTCTTGTCTCATGTCTCCTTCTGCAAACAGAATTGCTGCCGAATTCCCGGGGCGTTGTCACCCTCCTCCCTCCCCGATTAATGTGGTGTTTACCAACTGTCGAATCCTTCTGTGTCGGGGCAGGATGCAAACACCAGTTGTGGCTGGGAAATCAAGTCGCAACCATTCAGATCTCTCAGAGTGGTGTCGTGTGCTCACTTGCTCCCCTGGGCAAATTAAAAGAAGTGTTTAAAAATCAATAGAACAAACTCTCTTTATTCCTGTAAATCGACGACTTGCGCCGTACGGTAGGCAATGACCGCATTCGCCAAGAAAGTCGAATTCCTTGCGGGGTTGTACGAGTCGAGGCCAATAAAATTGATTGTAGGAGAGTGCAGACTGTGGATTCGTCGATACTATCCTAGTCGGAAATATATGAGACCATGCACGAAGAAGGGGTGGGTTGTGATACCGGCAAGGTCGGGATGGCAGATCTTGATGCCAAGATATGACACTAAGAATAGCCAGGAGCAGGGCAGACAACCTTTTTGGACGGGGAGGATGAGACGGCAGTTGACTAATGAGTTTGCTGATTTCGCCAAAGGGTGACCAGAGGGCAGCTGCACTCGTGCTCTGGTCTCCATGATAGGCCAGGGAGTTTCGAATTAGTTGACTCGCGATAAAGTTGATGTTGCTGGATCGCAATGCTATTCTGCTTCCAGTAAGCAAACTAAGCGCCTTTCATGCCAGTTTAGACAGAAGTGCCCGTCTGCTGGTAGTTTCATTAAAAGAATATGCGGCGATTGCTGCATTAAATTCTACGGTACCGGCTGGTGTAGTTGGTCACTTCGCTGGTAGATAAGTCCCGATTTGAGCCTCACCCACTTGGGTCGGTGACGAGTCGCGGGTTCGAATCCCGCAGCTGACACACAAGGGGGTTTAGTCAACCCTTACGGCGCGCTGCCCACCTTGTTGACTTCGCCTACCTAGCGATAATAGGGAGATTGGTGCAGTTTAGGATTACGAGCATCCTAGCCAGTCGACCGTCAAGCACTACGTCGGCGGAATATAACTCGACAGCCGGTCCAGAATTCGAATCGTTAATCCGACCCCTTATCGGACCCCCTCTCGCCGCGATTCTTGCGAGCGTCTGACCACGTTACGGTCTATCCACTTGAGCGTATGGTTGAGATGTATACGCTCGACGAGAACCCCAATTAGCAGATACTACGACTTGTCGCGACAAAAAATAGTCGAGCATCTTCTGCACATCAGCAGCATCCCACCCCTGAGGACGAATTTAAGTGCCACATTACCACACTTATCGGTAGTTCAGGCAGGGGTTGTAGCACAGACTTAGGGAGGGACAGGTTTAGTAGTCGTTTGGCTACAAGTTTACCTGTATAACCGCCCGACGCGGCTTAAGGGCCCGCTATATCATCTATAGCCCCTTAAGGGAGTACTTGTAGAGGTACCGAGGGTTAACACCTACGGCGTATTTAATATAAATTCTACGGTGACCTATCCATCTCCAGCATGTCGAATTTATAACGCCAATGAACCAGGAGTCGTTGCTCTAATCACAACATGTTCCATGATAGCTGCGTCCAAGTGATGAAGACTCCGATAACCTCAGCAATGAGTTCTGAGTATTCCAAGGCCACTAGCTTGTATGAGAATAAGAACTAACCTTTCGGTTGTTTCACTCGAGTGGTCTACATCAGTTGCTGCCGTGGAAGTACGCCGGTCTTGGCAACCTCGGTTAGCGTGATGCCTGCAGAAACGGAATGACTTGAGTTGGGTCATAACTCTATTAGCGCTTTCGTGTCGATTTGGTTGGTATAGACTCAAAAGGGTCATCCGATATCTCATCATCACTAATCTCCATGGGCTGCTGCTGAGACGGTTTCTGCGAAAGGTTCAACTTCGTCTGCCTCGTCTTGGCTGCAGGAGCAGCTGCACTCCGCGATGGCTGAGATCTTGTCGCAGCCGCACGTTTGGGCGGAGGGGGAGGCTCAAAGTCGTCGTCCATGATGACGTCATCATCTTCATCGCTCTCCTCAAAGATTGGCTTGCGGCCTTGACCCTTAGCCGCTGGTTTCTTGGCAGGAGCCTTTGCCGGGGCTTTCGCAGGAGCCTTGACAGGTGCAGGTTTGGCTGCCGCTTTTCCTCGTCCTCTAGGTTTAGGGGCCGACGTCTCTTCCACACCCTCCATTTCCTCATCGTCATTATTGTCCAGGATTCGCGATGCTTTCTTTCCCCGGCCCGTCCCTTGGGTTGCTTGTGATTTTTTTTCAGCAGATCCTTCAACGGTCTCGTATGCCTCAGGTTGATCGTCCCAGTGGCCCTCGAGATCAGAATCCCAACCAGCCGGCTTGGGCTTGAGCTTCCTCTTCCGCTCGATCTTCAAGGCCCCAGCTTTGAACTGCTGCTCAACCTTGGCCTTGTAGGTTTCCATGGCGTTGTCGAGGTCGGGGTCCTCGTCCTCAAGGCGCAGCATCTGCTTGATCTGTGCTTCCAGGGAGTCCTTAACGAACTCTTCCATTGCGTGCTTGTCGTCTTTCTGGACAAACTGTGTGACAGCGTCGCCGAAAGGGGCTTGTGGCAGAATCTTCAGGGATTGAGCTTCAAGGTATTCCTCGACGAGTTTCTCCACTTGAATTGAATCCATCCCCGCTGTTGCTGACAACAGCTCTTCGGGTATCTCTACCTTGTCCTTCCCTGTGCCTAGTTAGTTTCCACGCCATGCGGAGCGTTGAGTGTACCTACTCGTCTGCGCAGCTCTCTTCCGGTAAAAGTATACAACATCGTTCGTATTGGCTACTTTGCCGGCAAATCGATTCGAGAAACGTTGCGGGTTCTCGCAATCATACTGACCGCCCTCAGGGGGTGTGTATTCCACCTTTAGGCGTATGAGGGGTAATGGCTGCGCATCAAAATCGTCCTCCTGTATCGAGAGCCACTCAGCATTAGCCTCTTGAATCATCTCTTCGACCACGGCCATTAGTCTTCTCGTAAGCTCTTGACGGTTGTCCTTCTTCTTTTCCAGGCCTTTGAATCTCTTGTCGGTGGCTAGAATAACCTCGCCTGTCATGAACGGGCGCACCGTCTTAAGTCGGCGCTTCTCGACCTGGAACTCGTTGCCCGTGACGTTGAGAATGGCAACATGCTTTGCCACAGCCTCGCCTGGTACAAGCGACGTCGCGACCGAAGATCCCGGCTGCATGACATGGAATCCGGTTTCCGGGTTATGGGAGGGATCGATTAGGCACTCATGCTCATGTCCCCAAACGATCAGGTCCAGCCATTCTGGTAGCATGCTCTCAGGGAGGTAATTCGTTGCGGAATGGGCATGATGGTTTTGATGGACAGCTAGCAGATTGAACCAATCGCCAGACTGAGCGTTAGGTCGAAACCACTTAACCTTGCGATCTCGAAACGTTCTGAACATGCGCTCGTCTCTGACGTTGCTTAAACCGTAAAGCGCCAACTTGGTCTCGCCCTTCTGAAGCAAGACGGGCCGTGCTGCAATGTTATCCGATTCTGGGATGCGGCCGAAATAGTTGACTAGTCCAGCGACCTGAAGAAGATCAAGCGAGCAGAAGTGGCCATCACCGCTGGGGTCATCATGGTTGCCGTGGATAGAGAAGACGGGAATAGAAATATTGATATCTGGGTCTTCATAGTTAACGTGGCCGAATGCGTCGCTATCGAACACCTCGATGGCGTCGCTGAGAAACTGCAACTCGCAAGGCTTCATGCCGAGGCAGTTCTTACGCAATGTTCGCATGACATGGTACATGGACTTCCTGGAAGGTTTGTTATCATGAAAGAGGTCTCCAGCCAGAAGAACCATGTCAACCTGTTTGAAATCAGTCAGTATGTATGATATGTCCGTTGACTACTGTGAAGCTAACATCTTCCTTTCGAGCGAGGTCCATAATTTCCTCGAAGGTCTTCCAGCTATCATCTTTCCGGATGGGATCACGCTCCTCGTAACCGACATGATTGTCAGTAGCGACGAGAATGCGAATCGTATCCGCCTCTAGGAGAAATGTCAGTTGTCAAACTTGCAAAGCGAACCATTTCCCAAGCCGAAAGTTACCTGTATATTGGGATTGCGGCATCTTGCTTCGGACCTCGGCGGTGGTACTTTGTCGTTGCGACACAATTGGTGCTTTACCCTTGAATTTTTTCCCCGGCAGAATTCGCTATGCAGTTTACTATGGGCATTTCCGTGTCTTGAACTTCATCATGACCAAGTGCCTTGAGTGCCTTGAGACCCAAGTCAGGTAGCCTTAGGCAGACACAGGTGCTTGCTCGGACAAACGGTGCCAATTCGCGAAACGCGTCGGTCCCCATGGTCCCCCACCTTTAATAACCCGTGATCACGTGCTACCACTTTAGCAGCAAAGCTCCTGAGTTACGGTTGACATTTGAGCGTTTCTTCCTTTGTTTCCCTCTGAGGATGGTTCAACGTTGAATACTGCATGTCCACCGCCAGATTTAGAAGTCTGCATACCGCCGCTGGGTCGAATCTTTAGGAGCGCATTAGAAAGGCATATATGTGTGGTTCAGCCTTGTATAAACCAGCACATTTGATGCATGTGGCAGATACAGGTACTGGTTGCACAATACGACTTCATTATCGCCAGAGAAAGTCACAACAGGGCCGTGGTACCACCATTTTGAGTAGATGAATTGCATTCTGCCCTTGTTACCAAAGCCCTCGTCAGGCACGTCCATCTCATTCGCTAAGGAGCGCATCGTGAGTCCATTGTACAGCCATGACCCCCAACTAGATACCCGCCAATTCCAGAATGTAATTCCAAAGCAAACTTCCAAAAAAATGCCAAATACCCCACCAAAACGCCATTGAGTGCCCCCATTAACCCTAAGCCAAAGCCAGATGGACGTTGCAAAACACCCCATCAGATGCAGAAAAGCCACCGATATGCACGTGTGCTCAGGTACGCTATCAAAACGCGCCTCTCGTCACCCTTCAACTGCATCACCCTCGAACTCCTGATTGCTTGGTGTCTTGGGCGGGAACTAGTTGCCCCGGGAGGTTGCAGCTTCCTCCTTGTCAGCCTTCTCCGCAATGGTTTCCCACCACATGCCGTGTGCCACACGGTCAATAGCGCCAACTCTTGTAATCTCATCCACCATCTCTCTCACCCTCTCCACGAACTCTGGTAGTCCCAGGCTTGCAAGTTTCTCCCCAGCTACGCTCGTGGCCTTGACCTTCTCGCTCGCCGAGCCGGTTTGGAACCTCGCTAGGATGTGGCCTCTCAACCGCGTGAGTAGCAACCGCAGTACAGGCTCTCGTGGCTCCGTGTTTTCACGCTTGGCGTCCACGCTCGCAGACAAGACCTTGGTGACGAGATTGCGAAGGTGGGCTTTGCTAGCAGCAGGCATAGAACGCCCCGCTTCAAGCGCAGCCATGATGCCATCAATAGCACTAGATTGCTCGAGCGGCTTGTTCACGTCATCTACAGCCTCAAGAACTGTGAAAAGACGCCCAGCTTCCGTCTTCCACGGCGCGCGAACATCACGCTTCAAGATGTTCTTGCATTGGAGTAATATGGCTCCAGCCGTCGCAATGCGAAGCGTTAGCAACCCGAGGCGAGCACGACGTTTCGTGTCGAGGGCCAAGGGCTCTGGAATCGTATTCGCCGATGGGGACGGCTGTGTAAACTCGTCCAGCAACATCTGCCAGTAGATCTTGTCAGCCGTTGGCCGCGACCGGGGAAGGTTGATGCCTTCCGGGTCGCGCCGCGCAGCCTCTGCAAAGACCTTGGCGCGTGCAGTACGCCACGACACCTCGGCATGTTCTAGCGTCATTGAACCGGCTTCCAACTCCTCGGCAAATCGTTTGGTTTCGTAGGATGAAGCATTCTCAATGAGGTTTGGCGCGGCGACCTGCAGCATGTAGTTGGCATAGTCGTACAACATTACGTCGATGAATGATATAAGCGCCTCTAGGCGGTCAACTATGTGGCCTTGGCTCAGCTTGTTCTCGACCAAATCTTGCACCTCGTCATCGCGAACAGGGGCGCAAAGTTTGGGCAAAAGAGAACCCATAGACGAGAAAAACTTGTCATAAGAGAAGCTTCCTGCAACGAACTGGCGCTGAGCAACTTCGGTATCAAGGATCTCGCCGATGAACGTGTACAGCGACGAGCTCGGCTTGACCAGATGCTGGAGCCTTTCCTTGATATAGTTGGCCATGACGATGAGATAGCGAAACTCTTTCTCTTCGTCCCTTCCGCCTGATTTCAGATCTTTGAATAGAGGATCCATGCGCAGTTTGTGTTGCTCCTGGAAATGCTGATACTCGATCCGGTACTCGCGGTTGATGGCTAGTTCATGGACAATGATCCGATTGTCGGGAAGAATGGGGGGATAACTTGGCTGGGGAACACTACGTTTCTCTTGTGTACTGCTGGGCGGAGTAGGTGGCGGGGTGAGTGTCTGCAGTTGTTCCGAGACGACTTTGTCTGCTGTGGCATCATCATTATTCGTTGACCCCTCGCCGCTTAAGGAGTGGTCAGCAACTCTCGGCTTGGTGTCTCCTGTCGGCTTTTTGGCTGCTCTCGCTTTGCGAGCTTCTTTTACGGCGTCGATGATCAACTTCTTGCCTTGTTGAGCCCCTGCGAGTTTCTTGATCCGAACCATCAGCATGAGTTGGTTGTCTCTGATGCTCTGGCGGTATGATTCCGTTACAGCTTCCTCAGTTCGATCCTTAACTGTCTGGAGGATGGCATCCAATTCTACAAACTGCAAAATCATCACCTCTATCAGTGCGTTCGAATCTCGCGCCTTCCACGCAATGAAGGCATTATGGAACGTCGCGTAAGACTCCGGCAGGGCCTCGTGAAACGCGGGTGGTGGCGTATAGTTGTTGGAAGATGTGAGTCGGGAGAGTATGTTTTCGAAGGAGATCAAAAGATCTCGAGCCTTGCCCACAAGATCCTGTAACTGAGGGTTAGCCAGGTCATCACGAGGTATGGGTTGCCCTAGTAAGGATCCAACCTGCTCCTGTTCTCCCTTGTTATCCTTATTACTAAGGACTTGTGTGGGATGGCCCAAGATCAGAAAAGCGCTCAAGAACGTTCGCACCGCCGCCATTTCGTTCACCGAACCTGCATCGCCCTCTTTCAATCCGCATATTCGGAGTACGCGCGCCGTGATCGTGAGGACCTTCTCTTGGGCTAGGAGATCGACCACCTTTTCGAACGATGTGTCTCTCACGCCGTCAATACTGAGCCCGAGCTCTGCAAAGTCACGCCCAGCTTTCTTCCGCATCGCAGCCCGCCACCACCACTGAAGCTTATTCGCCGCAACGTCTTCGCTCATGACAGGGCTCTCTTGTTCCTTGACTTCTGGTAGTACCTCTACATCAGGCTTCTTTGTCGTTAGGCTCGAGCCCCTCGAGCGCTTGACAGCATGTTTGCTGCGTAATTCCTCCCTTCTCCGTTCGGCTTCTGCGAGGCGCTCTTCCATCTGCACCTTCAATTTGCGCAACTCCTGCTCTCGCTTTTCTTTCATCGTCTCGGCAACAGCCTTAGCCCTCTTGACCTCCTCGGCACAAGCAGCCACGATTTCTGCCAGGTTTTTCTCTCTCGCCTGAGCGGCCGCCAGAGCGCGCTCTTCCGAGTTGGAGTTTTTCTGATGAGCTGCTTTAGCCATGGCTGCCCGTAGGCGCACCTTCTCGGCATGCGCTGCTCTATCGGCCAAGCGCGCCTTGCGATCCTCGAGGATAGAGGCGCGGCGCAGCTGTTGCGCAATATACTTGCTTTGTACATCGCCGTGACGGCCAAAGCCATGCGAAGAGCGCGAATGCACCGATGAAATCGAATTTCGGCGCGATGAGGCAGCGGAGTCCTTGCGACGAATTTGACTTGGGCGGTAGAATCGCGCAGCAATATGTGGAGGTGGGGTATATGGCCTCCTATCCTCCTCATCTGACGGTAAAGAAATGTCCATTTCGGGATCTATGGTTGTCGGATCGGGCGCGCCAACTGATTCCTCGATGTTCCGGGACGGGTCGGTCAAGTCGATGGAAGCTCGACGCATTTTGACAGTGACAAGCTAGTTGGTCGTTTCTGGCGTTGCTTTGTTGAAGGAGGGACGCGGGGAGTGGATACAAAGAACGCCGATCTCTTGTCGAAACCGGCGACGAGTAGCCTAGTACTTATTCGCAGGAAATTGTCGATGTTGTCATGAGATGATTCGATGTGGATGATGTGGTATATTGTCTCGTCTGTAAAGGTCAAACGGCCGCCGCGCTTTTGGAACTTTGGGGTCACAGGCTCCAAACAAGTGACGCAGCAGGTCGCTGGCCACAGGCCTCAGGCCTAGAACCTCGGAAGGATAGGCTGGTCTAGAAGATTAAATGAAGGTCGATAGCCCGTACAAGCGGTGATTACTCCAGAGCAGAGAGCAAAGACGCAAACTCGCAACTGAGAAAAGATAGTGTGCGGATAGCAGAACGATGCGGGCCTTCAACAGGCGGCAGCGTGAATGTGAGTTTGACGGCTAGTTTGACTCGCAAATGGAGGATTGCGAAGGGGCTGGGAATATGACGGAAGGATCCACCCTGTTGCACGCAGCACTGCGCGCACCAACCGTTTCTAGAACGGCCGTGCTTCCATTTTTGGCTTATTTTTACTCCCGAGTCGTCCTTTCATAGAGCCTGTTCTTAAGATAAGTCAGTAAGCGACCAGCCCGAGTTCTCTCCAAATCTTTCCGCTTCCGTTCCAGCAGGTCCGGGGGCAAGTTTAGTGCCGAACTGTTATTGGGTACGGATATTAAATTTGGGATCGCGTCAGCGGAACCAAGATCCTCGAAACATAGACTTGCTGGTAGCTCAGACTGCATTATCTAAGGTTAAGTTCGTCGCCCAGACGGGCTCTGGCGAGTCTCTTATAAGTCAGAAGCTCCAACCACCCGCCCATGTCTGGATTTGAAATCTGTGCAATCATGGATCTTCCACATGTTACTAGAAGCACTACAAAACCTTTTTATCTGAGAAGTCACGATTTCGAAGTCAAAGAAAGTCAAAATGTCGACAAGTGCGAGAAAACAGGATCGGTTGGGGACCATATCGCTCTTAGGCAGAGTGGTTGTCAATATGTTTGAAATCTGCCATGTTTCTAGCCAGAACACCATCCAAGGCGACATAACTGAAGGATCAATTCGGTACGCAAAACGCACCCGGTTTCATTTATGTCAATGCTTCAAGTACGCAATTCAATTACCTGAGGCAGCGGGTTAGTATGGAATTTTACTCCTTCTTAACCCCTTCATTAATTACTCAGGGACTAATAGCCTTACTTAGCTAGAACTTCAAGGTCTATTAACGTACGATAGGTATAGTTCGTAGTATTAGATTTTGGTCCCTCGTACCAAGCTTTACATAGGATTAACTGTAGGGCTATTGCAAACGTTAAAATATTCCTATGGCAGTTTTCCTTAAACTAATCAAATATATATTTAATAGTGTAACTACGGGTACTATCTTACTGAATGATAAAGTCTTTATTCTTAAAGTACTTTTTAATATTGTTACACGCAAAGGTGGTCAAAGATTTGTGAGGTTGTAAAAGCATGACATTCTATCTAGTCCTATGGAGCACGAAGGTTGGACTTAGTCCCGAAGGGCTAAGTCACGTGGTAACCTTGGTGGTCTTGGCAAAGCCCACCAAGGTTGCCTAACAAATATTATTTAGGCTGATGCACTTCACTAGAACCCGAGACCCCTCCCCGCAGAGTATCCGTCTTGGAAACGCTACAGTAACGCCGACGGTCTCGGCAAGGTTCCTAGGGGTCTGGTTTGACCGCAAATTATTATTATTATTATTATTAAATACGCCGTAGGCTCGAAGCCCCCGGTACCTCTACTCACCGCAAATTAACTTGGCACGCCCATACCGAGCGGGTTAAATCAAAAATGGCGACTCAGAAGCTAGCCCTAACAAAGCTAGTGAACATGGCGTGGGGCTGCGATCTTATACGGGCGAGACTACTATACACGTCGGTTATTCGCAGCGCGATTGCCTTCGGGGCGGTGTCACGCCGTGCTAGGGGTTGCAATCCTTGCCACTACGCCACCTTACCAGATGTCTTCACCAAAAGAGACCAATACCAAAGTCCCTGACTTTGATATCTGCAACCACTTATCAATCTGTTCAGACCAGTGTAGGTCAATCACGTGACAACCGTCACAGGCGGCTGTGTGGCACACTATAAGCGAGGAACCAGCGGGACCAGCTAAGAGCCTAGTCGGGATACAGAATGAGTGCCTCCGAATAGTCTGCGGCACCTACAAAGCGACACCGGTCCGCCACCTGGAAATCGAGGCAGCGATCTCGCCACTAGACCTCTATCTCAGTGCCCGGGCGGCGAAATTTGAAGAACAGCTACGGAATAACGGCAAAAGGAGCCTGCTTCGGAGCGCGAGCGCGAGAGCGTCACACATACTCCGACAGGATACGCCGGCGGGACGGAAGCGGGCGTCACAATCGCTCAGACCAGCGGGGTACACGATGGAGAAGGAGGCTAAGGGCCCCGAGTGGATGGGCAAGGAGAAGGAAGCCCCGGTCGCCCTCCTAGACCACTGGGAGAAGAGATGGCTCTCCGGGGCAGCACAACACGACTGTCACGACCTGGGTTGCATCGCATTGGTATAGACCTCGATTAGGTGCTATCGACGAAGATTCTACTCTAAGGAGCGAAGGAAAGAAGATGACAACTTAGGTTTGAGGGAGCGCGACTAAGTCATCCACGCTTGGCGGGGCTCCTACAAGGGTTATGATTGGCTTCCCATCCGACACTGCCACGGCAGGTGTTCCAGCTGTAAGTCACCTGGTTGTAGTGAGTCTGCGAGGGTTGACCGTCACAACGACCGCCAGTGACGCGCTATCGCCGAGGAGCCGGAGGGCCCCTCGATGCGAATGCCGAAACAGGGCAAGTACTCAGGCCTAAACCGACCGGAGGCGTCTACCCTATGCCAGATCAGGACCGGAAAAATAGGACTATCAGCTTTCTTATTTAAGATAGGAGCCTTCGGTGTGTACTCGCCGCTATGTCGCTGTGGAGAGGCCCCCGAGACGGCAGAGCACGTAATCCTCTTTTGCGGCCTGCTGGAAGGATCGAGAGAGCGCCTACGGGCCACTATCGCACCATGGCCGCTACACACACGTAGAGACCTGGCGACGGCGACAGGGAAACCAGCAGTCAGCGGGACTATCACAAGGTGGCTACTCAGGACCGGTCGGATAGCGCTTAGGCCCGGATAATATCGATCTTCTCAGGGGGACTTTGTTAGTAGGGTGAGAACTAACATAGTATTGCGGCGGACGTAACGCAGTTGCTAATAGAGCGAACCTATGTAGCAGCGTATGTGTGAAGGTCAACCCTCGCAGACTCACTACAACTAGGTGACTTACAGCTGGAACACCTGCCGTGGCAGTGTCAGATGGGAAGCCAATCATAACCCTTGTAGGAGCCCCGCCAAGCGTGGATGACTTAGTCGCGCTCCCTCAAACCTAAGTTGTCATCTTCTTTCCTTCGCTCCTTAGAGTAGAATCTTGGTCGATAGCACCTAATCGAGGTCTCTACCAATGCGATGCAACCCAGGTCGTGACAGTAGTATCACGGCCTAATACTAGTTATAATCCTTCAGCTTTGTATATACATATATATACCTTTCCCTAGCGCCATGGAATCCGAATTATAGTTTATATGTAAACACTACCTTCTAGAGGAATGAAGTCATCGCGAATTAGGCGAAATAGGTGCAATTCGGAGGAGTTGGATCAAACAAATTGACAACCGCTGGTATCCAACTTTAAAGTAGTGTAACCTAAATGGCGTGCCAAGTACTGCGGCATAGAAAGTGGCGTAATAGTTCAACGGGAATAACCAAACTTACTGACTTGTACATCAAGCACAGACCTAGACACTATCATGATCTCATTCCAATAGGCACATAATGACTATGGCTCACTCGACTTAAAAAGGGTTGTAAGGAAATTATAGCCATTCTTGTTGTATTCAAATTCAATTCGGTACATGTCATCATAGTGCTTCCTGATATAAGTAAACGGGTCAAGTACGAAAGGAGTAGGTGAATATGGTTCGTGTTCGAGTGGACACGAGTAAGTGGTTCCAAGCTTATCATTGCCAGTTGTTTCACGACTATCTGGCTCGAACTGAAAAAACAGATCCATAGCCCTAGAGAAACTCGGATATGGCTTCCGCAGCTGACATACTCCCAGAGAGCAGGAGAAGGACGTCCTAAACCGAAGTTTCTCTCCGCCTGAGAGCACAGTGCCGCCTTTATAAGCTCTTGTCGTAAGCTCCGCATCATCGTCGATCGACTGGAGTTTATACAAAAATTGGGTTCTAGAACTGACAGGCTGCCTTTCATCCTAGAGGCGGCGAGATGATTACAGGAAGGTCACTCGGAGCACGTACGTGATGTGTCATGTCAACACATAACTTGGCGTTACTGTAAGACATGATGGATAGCATATCATGCTGTGGAAATACAATATAATAATAACTATGAAGGGTTTGAAGGGGTCGTGTTCTTTTTCTCGTCTCCTTGCTTCTGATCTGGGTTCGTTTTCTCGTTCTTGATCAAGTCGAGATGCTGTACGGTATGGGGATATGACTACCGAGCCCCGATGTCGTGCTTGGAAAACCTCCCTTACTACTCCATCAGTTCCACTGTATTTCTTTCCGTGACTATCTCACCCGTGTGTGACTTGCTCAAGTTCTCATTGAGCTAGGTAAATCGTGCTATCACTGCATCTCCGAAATTCTTGTGTTAGTCACTATGCGTTTCCGCGAACGGTCTGACTTGTTTTCCCATACAGTCGACTGGTATACTCTGATATGGAGCCTACTTATGTAAGTGCGTTCTGCTTCGAGCTCTACGTTGTTCCCATAGGTTACCTTGGCGACGAGGCTCATACCTGGATCTACCCAGAATAACCCAGGGAAGCTGTTCGTGGAAGCACCCCTGGAAAGCATCATGGACAAGAGCCGCGGGCGGCACACGACGACCCTCATAAGCTTCACTTTGATGGAAACGAAATCAACCTAGCTTAGCTGCATACTTGTCTTATTTTTCGTTATGTGCATTTGAAAGTAATCTAGAAAGGAACCCTATCATGACTGAAAATCTAGATCATTACGTTACAACATACAAAGGGGAACCGCAAGCACTACGAGTTGCATCATAGGCTCATTAGGGATGCAATCTAAATCAATGTAGTAGCTCAAGTTTCTAGCGCCTATCAAGTTGAAGACGAAGCTGTTGCTCCCCATGTACTATGATACAAAGCACATCATGTGACGAAAACGACTGGATCAGATTACTTCGTATGGCGGAGTCATCGAGATGTCCCATTTCACATACTTCAGCCATCTCTAAATCGCACAAGTCCCTCAAATTGTGATGCTGTTAACAACCCTTTACTGGTGCATGAGCGTGTGATCTAAGTAAGGCCCGTGGCCTCTACCAGGAAATAACTACAGCTTTCCTCAAAGAATTTACATCGGGGAGCCAGCAAATAACTTGCTTGGAATGCCCCAGTTCAATAACCTTGGATTGTCGGGATTCCGCATCTTGTAAAACGGAAACCCTCCAAGGACGGCTTTGAAGAAGCAGATGGGCATCGGTATATGCGGGTGAACACTCGATAGTGGACAAAGGAGGCGTCGAGCACCGACCAGCCCCGTCATGAGTCCACCCTTGTGTTTACATCCAAGTACTCAAGCAAATCGTATCTTGATGCAGAAGCCCAATGGTCTGGTCGAGATCTAGACTGCGGGGCCGTTTCATGCAACTACGTCGCCTACGTGCCCAAGTCATCCCAGGTTGAAGTTCTCCAATGACCATCACCAACAATAGACAAGTGGACGTTGCAAGCCAAGCCACCAACTTGATGACATGGTCCAGACCATCGATGGAACGGTGACACCCACCGTAATGGCAACAGCCGCCGGACACCGCATCCGCCTATCTCCATGAATACCGGCGTAGTATTTGTCGCTGTTTATTACTTTGTGCTCTGGCGGCTTTTTCTGATGAGCATCTCAACAAAGCATCACCAGCACCCTGACACATGTACCACTGAGTCTAGAACTGGCCTTGCGAAGCTGCGTATACTGCTTCTGACCATGAGGCTTTTTAACCAAGGCGGCCACTTTGTTCGGATGGACTCATCAGCCCAGCCTACTGCCAAGATAATCCAACTCGGTGGACATGCAGGTGGGTGGCAATGCGAGCACGGGTTTTGACGAGTCGACTTCTGCTGCAAGAGCTACAAAAGCAGGGACGCGGCTTTTGGCGATGCTGTTCACGATGCCCGGTACGGAAGCTTGTTTGTGTCGGGGCAAGAAGATGGGGGTTTATCTGCGGCGATTGGTTGGGCTGCATCAAAGTATTATGGGCTGGCTAGAGATTCGACATGGCGGTGTGGGGTGCCACCAACACACAGCATCTGTACTAGGCGGAATTGCCAAAAATGGCGCCATCTCATGGATGCTGAATGGGAATTTGCCAGATTCCCCATGTTCCACTAACATACCCAGGGTTGTGTAGAATGGAGCCAGTGAGATATGCAGCCTCGCCGCCTTTGCTGGGAGGTAGACCCTGAAAAAATCCCAGTTTTTCAAAATGCGGCGTGCGGCGCGCCGATAAGGATCGTCTCAATCAGACCCTTCTAGAACGCTGCAAAAACGCCCAATTACCTGTATTACTCTAATTCGTTTCCTACTAACTGGGCACTATCACCACTTTCCCCCCTTTTCTTTAGACATGCTGACTAGACGCTGCAAACGGCAGGACCATTTTTTGATGAAGGACTTTCAGTTGCATCGTGCCACACAGCCATACGGCACAATGACGTAGTGTACTTTCAGCAAACGCCTACGAAGCCAAGCAATGCTATACCTGTAATATATGCAGCTCCAAAAATGCGTCGGGTGAACTGTACATACTCTGTCTCATAATTCCTGTAGGCAACGTAAGAAGTACTCGGCGTGTTGAGATTTGTCCATATGGAATGCCATAGAACATAGTCCGAGTCAAGTGCTTTTATGCGATATGCAACTCTTGATCTGACCAAAGTACAAGCTTGGATCTTAATCTGAAAGCAAGGACTACAGGGAGGTAATGTGGGGCGCACAGGTACCTATGTATCTATAGTCAGTATCCAGCGGCAGCTCAACGAGTCAACGACAGCCACTGGAACATGCCAAAGTTGATTAGCCTTACTGTTGCCAAAACCTTGCTTGAAAATAGTCGATTCGTCCTCATTTTAGGCACTTGGCTATGTGATAAACAAGTTGATAACGTTAACGGCGCAGCCAAAGATGGAATAATTTTGGCTTGGCCTAATGTTCCAGTGTGACAAAGCTGAGTAGTTCCATTATTTGGGTGCACCTGTTATTCTCTTATGGACTTGGCTAGAAAGACCTGCACATGATGATACTGTCTACGAGTTGCCTGCCGACGCTATTCAGAACCACTAGGGAGGGGATCCGACCAAGAGGAAGGACTCTGATTCACCTGGTGCCAGCATATTCGACAGCCACTACATCGGCTTTCGCCGATTATTCATACTCCGTCCACCAACTCGGAACTGTGCCGTGAGCAACATCAAATGCTGTATTTTGGCTGCTCAGGTGACTAGTGAGTCTGTCGAGAACCCACCTTCCATTTGTCAATCAAGTAAAATGAAGTTGATGAGGCACACGGAACACGAACTCATTATCGCACGTGGTGTCGACGCAGGGGGAACTAGGTCACGACTCTATATGGGAACCCGACGGTTCTGTGGTGATTTACTTTGAAGTCGCACAACAGACTTGATGTCTGCTCGTGTTGAGATGAGCCACATGGAACTTAAGAGGATTTTTTATAACTTATTTTACCTAACCAATCACCCTAATGCCTGATTCTGGTCCACCACCGTGATGGTAATGGAGCTCGGGAATTGATTGTTGGAGCTGAGGTGCCCGTCAGCCGGTGGAGTCCGATGACGTTGCGTGCATCATTGCAGCGCCACCCCGCCGAACGAAAAGTTGATTGAATGCGGGCGGCCAAACAATGGCATGGAAATGCGAGTGTGGAAGTTCATCAAGTGTTGGCTGTAAACTCCTTTGTTGCACACCGTGAAGGAAAAGACAGTCACCTCAACATGGTAATTTGAAGGAAAACATATCAAAGGAGTGGCGATTGCGGCAAGTAAGGTCGATGGCAGAGACCTCGTCAGATGCGACTTGGCTCCTTCGCGTTTTAAGAATACTAAGTCAGACCCCTACTTTTCGTCATTTATGCACTTGCGCACCACTTAGCAGTCGCAGCCAGTCCCCTACCCCTGACGTTTGCCAATTGCCCACACCGAGTGGGCAAAAAGTTCAAGTGTCCAATATCGTCATTATTCGCCGCCCACTACTCAGTTATGGTGTATCTATCCATGTCCCCCGCTCCCCCTTCCAAGCCTTCCAAGGTTGTGATGTACCGCCTCAAGTACCAGCACCCAGCAATTCCGTCGACGGCTTTAAGCATTAACAAGGAAGCTGATCGTCCACGGGTGGCATACTATCGACAACGAGATCTCCTAGAAGAAACCTATAACCTCTCGCATCTTGACCCTCTTCCCTACGTCGACTATCTCCTGAGAGGCCGAAAAGGACGTAAACTTCGCTCGAGTACCCTGCCCGCGGGTCCGCATAGCGCCATTGACGCAGATCACTTCCTCAGACGAGCAGATTCACCCAGGATCACGCTCACAATTCGAGCCCAAAGTGAAAGGGCTCCCCCGATTTACAAGCCAGCCCGTACACCATTGACGCGCCCACTATCAATTGAGAATATCAGTTGCCATCGCCCCTGGTCCAGAGCTTCTTGGACCAATTCATACTGCACCACAGCGTTCTTGAGCCCCCAGAAAGCCCCTTCATCCCCCCTCTTTCTCGCGTTTCGAGTTCCGCCGTCATTATATTCTTTCCGCTTGTGTTTCTGAAGCCACTAGTCATCTTGCCCGGCATCGGTTGGGAACTCCGTGAGGCGCCTCTCTTGATAGCACCTTCCCACCTTTCCCTCAACACTTGGACTTCATCACGCGAATAACCTTGTCTGACCTCAAAGAGCATCGCATGCGGTCATTGACGCCTCAATTCTTAACACAAAATTTTCCAGACCTTTTTTTCTTGTACATTCCACAGCTGTCTACCACCATGTCAAGCTTATGAAGGGTGAGGTCCAACTGACCTGAAGAAAGTTCCTGTGCGACTGTCACGACGTCATCCTCGACTGGAAGGGACCCAGGGGAACAACTACTCAAGATAATGACACCCACTGAGTACAACACAGCCGGCGCGACTCATCATTACACTATGAAGACATCCACGAGGCCGCCGATGAGTTCGGCGCATTCTCATCCACATCGTTCGTGCCATTCCCAAACCAACGCACAATCATTCCGCTCCAACAGGTCCACCACCCCTATGGCATCTCCACGCCTGCCTCACTCGGTTGGGCAACCGTACCCCCCGTCCTCCAAGCTATCACCGGCGTTTCCTACCGATGTACGATCATCGAGTCCTAATTACTTCGGCCTCAACGTAGAGCCGAATCCAGACCCTCGAGACTCGGCCAAGCTTCCACAGGAGAACTGGAGCCCACCGACATCGTCGATCAAGTCGTTCGGCGCGGCCATGCCAAAGCAACTGCCTCTTGATGCTAATCCCGAGTTCGAGGCGTTCCGTCGCCAAGCCGACGCCAATCGAGGAATGTCTTTCGCCCTAGGTAGCTCTCATTTTGCGTCCCCGAGTATGCAGCCGCCGCCACCGGGTCTGAGGCCTAGACCGCTGCGCCGGCCGACCAATCAGAGTGACAGCACCTCTGACATGGCAGGTTCCAGGCCCTCGTTACTCAGGCGGGATACCAACGGCAGCCGAATGGACATTGACGTGGACAGTCTGCACGATTCCGCCTACGTTTCTTCCGACTCCAAGAGGAACTCCGAGGCTTCTATAAACCCTCCGTCTTTCTTTGATATGCCTAGGCATGAGTCGCCGGCCCACACCGATTCCCCCTTTCACCTCATGAAGCGGTCAAATTTATCGCAGGTTGAAGGTGTCCACCCTCGATTGTCTTTGCCGCAGAACAAGTTGGACCGTTCAGGTGGTGACACGGACAAACCCCGTTCTGAGACGCTACCCTCCAGCCTTGAGGCTGGTACTCCTGGCCTGATCATGCCTGCTCAACTCAAAGCTATGATTCAAAACATGGACGAGAGTGAGTATCTTTTGTTGGATGTGCGGGTTTCAACTCATTATGCCCAGTCCAGGATTCAAGGGGCGTTGAACTTGTGTATTCCCACAACCCTGTTGAAACGCGCCACTTTCGATTTGCAGAAATTGCAAACAACCCTCCAGACTGAGGAGGACCAAGACAAGTTCGCGCAATGGCGAACCGTCAAGCATCTTATTGTCTACGATGGCGCATCCTCGGAAAAGCGAGATGCTCATTCGGCTATGAACATGTTTAAGAAGTTCGCCAATGAAGGCTACGAAGGTAACACATATTTGCTGAGAGGAGGATTCAACGCCTTTGCCTCATCACAAGCGGGACTAGTTGACCGGCGGAACGCAGCGGAAAGAGCAGGCAAACCGGCCACATCCGACCCGGGTAGACCTACCTTTGCTCCAGTCATCGGCGGGGTGATGCTTCCTGCGTCGGGAAACGGCGCAAATCCTTTCTTTGGCAACATCCGCCAAAATATGGATTTGGCCGATGGTGTTGGACAGATGGACATTGCCCTGCCCGCTAACCTTAGTCCAAACTCCCTGCCGCAGTGGCTTCGAAGTGCTAGCACAACAGCCGACCACGGCAAAGCGGTATCGGAGAAGTTCCTGCAGATAGAACGCAACGAGCAGGCCCGCATGAGAGACGCCTATTCTGATTTCAACTCTACCGTATCCCAGAAGCCGGGCATGGGCAAGGTTTCCCTATCCGGCGTTGAAAAAGGAGGCAAGAACAGATATAAAGATATACTCCCATTCGACCATGCACGAGTCCATCTTACGGGTCGACCGGAGGGCGCTTGCGATTATATCAACGCAAGTCATATCCGATCTTCGAAAAGCAACAAACGATACATTGCATCTCAGGGCCCTCTGCCGGCCACATTTGATGTAAGCCTTTTCTGCCTACTAATAACATATATTTTCTAGCTCATTAATCTGACACCGTTACAGGACTTCTGGTCAGTCATTTGGGATGAAGATGTCCGAGTTATCGTTATGTTGACTGCCGAAACGGAAGGCGGCCAGCTGAAGTGTCACCCGTACTGGCAGAACAAAAAATTCGGATCTATTAAGCTCAAACCCTTATCTGAGAAGAAAGTGTCTTTAGATATCGACAAACATCGCACTGCTTCTCAGGCGACCCCCTCTTCGGGCGCAAGCAGTTCACCTGACTCTAGACGTCGGCGTGCTAATACGACAACGACTCTAGAGTCATTTGGCCCAACCCCTCAGCCTCCGCAATCTCAGGCGGAGGCCCCATACGTCATCATCCGCAAGTTTGCGTTGTCTCACGCAGCGCATCCCTTCGCGCCCATACGAGAAATCACTCAGCTTCACTATCCTTCGTGGCCAGACTTTGGTGCCCCCGCCCAGCCCTCACATCTCCTTGCTCTGGTGGAGCTTTCTAACGTGATGCAACGGGCTGCCTTGCCTGTGGACTCGAACGCGATTACTGCAGCAGTTTCCTCCGAACGCCCGGCAACTCTGAACTGGGTTGATGAGCCTGAGGAGAGTGCGCGCGCCCGGCCCATGCTCGTACACTGCTCGGCAGGTTGCGGCCGTACTGGTACGTTCTGCACGGTTGACAGCGTCATCGATATGCTCAAGCGACAGCGGATGGCTTCTTTAACTGCCAGCAAGTCACATGATGGTGATGGTGATGTCAGCATGGATGATGAGGCGATATCGCCCTGCACAAAGGTACCCAACTCGTTGAAGGATAACTTGAATGCGACTCGTGTCTTCCAGCCCCTTGTTGTCGAGAAGGACAAGAAAAATTTAGACGTCAGCTGGGTGGGGAATGATGCGCTAGACTTGATCGAGAAGACAGTGGAAGAATTTCGAGGACAGCGGCTCAGTATGGTACAGAGTCTACGACAGTTTGTTCTCTGTTACGAGATAGTATTGGAATGGGTTGGCAGGTCTCAGGAGCGGAGCAGAGGCACCTCCGCCAAGAGGAGTAGAGCGCGGAGCGGGAGCTTGGAAGCGCCTTCCCGGAGATGAGTACGGTGTCGCTACACAGAACAGGGTGTGCGCACAGGGAGACAGATACTGGCACACAAATGAAACAGGCAACCCACACACAAACACATCAAGTTACGAAAATCACAGGCTACGGAGTTCTGGTTGGGCGGGGCATGCTTTTCAAGATCCGGACGAGGGTATGGTTAAAGCTGGTGAGGATAGGGCACATATCAATGATTGTATAGTACAGAGGATAAGTCACGATCCCGCATCGTCGCATCAAAGGATTATAGCTGCATACATATGTCAGCACAGTGGAATATACCCGATCCCGGATGAGTTGGAGCATTGCAATGTTGATATTATGCCATGACTTACGCAACCTATCCTCTTTATGCTTTTTTATCGTGACTATTTTCTAGCAATGGCCTGCACCCGTTTTGCAAAGCTTAATTGTCCGGAGCTGTTCTCTTTCTAGTTGAGAGACATCTCTACTGAGTATCAAAGTCCCCACGGTCCCTTTGGGGTTCGGACAGTGGGATGCTTTTTTGTTAGAAGTTATATCACTGTTTACCCAGATGTACCACAGCTTCCCTACAGTTAGTACGTATATCGCGCACCATAGCAAAACAAAGTCCCCACTCGAACTTCATGATTACACTGGGAAGACTGTATTACTGTTCTTCAGTAGTGGTCTCTTTACTGGAAGGAGTGCGGCGCTAGGTATGCCCAGTTTGACCATGCTAAGTGCAGCTGTCTGGTAGCGTGCGGTATCCTACCAAGGAGTTCAATAATGTGTTTGGACTCCGTCCTAGTCGTGGTATATAGCCTAACATACTGGGTGAATCATATCTTGTGATCAAGATGGAGATGAAGGGGAATAGCCTCTAGTATACCTTTGTGATCATCTAGATACTTAAATATAGACTACACACTAGCCGAGGCTAGTATTAAGCATTCCTATTTGGTGTCTCTTGTTAAGTGTTTGGAAAGGTATTTCTTCGCCTCTCTTCTAGATGTAAAGAGCTATCTATGCCTCTGCTCCCGGCTTCTTGTCTTCTGGGCCTTAAGGTTACTTGAGCAATTGTACATCAACTATACACTTAATCCCAGGGCATGCACCATTGTCTTCAGTAAATGGCTGGTGATGCAGGATCAAGTCGTATCATTCCATGATGGCCCCGCTCTCCTTATGTCTAAATTATTATACACTGTTTACATTGGGTCTGGTAGTAAACCGTGCTGACCCCCTTCCGCGTTGAAGCCTGGGAATATTTTCCCAGCAAAAATCCAGAGTTGGCTCATCAACAACCCCAAAGTGTAGTTGATAGATTACTTCCAGAACTTCTGCAGCGACACCTCCTTGTCGTCGTGCTTGTTCAAGATCTTAGCCGTTGCCAGTTCGAAGTCCTCCTGTGTAACGTGCACACGTCTCTCCCTCAGCGCGTACATACCCGCCTCTGTACACACACCCTTCAGCTCGGCACCAGAGCAACCATTCATCTTCTCAGCGATCTTAGTCAGGTTAATGCCACGCGTCAGGTTCATCTTTCGGCTGTGAATGCGCAGAATGTCGGCACGGGCCTCGACGCTTGGTGGTGGGAATTCGATCTTCCGGTCAATACGGCCGGGTCGTAGAAGAGCCGGGTCTAGAATGTCGAGACGATTCGTGGCCATGATGACTTTGATGTTCTTGGTGGGCTCGAAACCGTCGAGTTGGTTTAGTAGTTCCAACATGGTACGCTGCACTTCCGAGTCGCCACCGGACGATCCTTCCACACGCGATGAACCGATAGAGTCGATTTCGTCCATGAAGATAATGGACGGCGCGTGCTCACGCGCCATGACGAAGAGCTCTCGCACCATTCGAGATCCTTCACCGATATACTTCTGCACCAGCTCCGAACCCGACACTCTGATAAACTTGCAATCTGTGTGATGAGCGACAGCTCGTGCCAATAGTGTCTTGCCTGTACCCGGGGGACCGTAAAGCAGTACGCCCTTGGGTTGCGCAATACCAAGGGATTCGAAGAGTTCGGGATGTTTCAGGCCGAGCTCGATGACTTCCTTGATTTCCTTGATCTGCTGGTCCAGACCACCGATCATGTCATATGTGCTGTCAGGCACCTTCTCTACCATCATGAGAGACACTAGGGGATCGACAGAAGATGGGAGGATCTTCTCCAGCTTGTAGGAATCGGAGAGGAGCGTTACGCGCTTTCCGACTGTGAGCTTCGCAATGTCGACGGCATCAGATACATCCACGACTATAGGTTGATGCATCAGTATACATGTTCTAACAGTGAAACTGGAATGCTATTCTTCCATACCGTATTTGCCTTCTGGATGCACCTTGACAAGCACCTTTTTGGTGCCCATGACCTTGACGACCTCCCCAACGTATGAACCGGGCTGCTGTAGCAAGCCTAGTTCTTCCCGCAATAACCGTACCCTCGAGTTGTAGTCATTTCGTTGGGCTTCGAGACGGCGGAGGACAGCCTGACCTTTGAGGATCTCCAGCTTCATCGCCTCGATCTTGTTGGCATAGTAATTGTCGAGCGCCATGGCTGCTGCTGGCGACGGGTGCTCCGGAGAGTCTTGGTTTCTGTTCCTGTGGGGAGTGGTTAGGAGGGAAGTTTGGGCTCGACTAAGGGAAATTGTTGAGATCGAGGCGTTGAGGTCAGTATCGAAAAGTGATAAGTCGATGCTGCAATCAATTGATTTGAGGTAGCGTTGAGGCTGATGAACAGGGCAACGGAACCAGCAAGGATGAGCCGCTAGGCAGTTGAGCAACACGTCCACACTTGCAGCCTCGCAATATCTATATCACGGCCCTTCTAAATTCCGAGATTGAACCTCAGTCTCATGTCAACGGCGTCTGGGATCCTTCGTGACCTACTTCTACCGGTAGATAACGCTAGGGTACCTTGAGGAATCGCGCAGTCCACAAAACCTTCTTGTTTGTCAGGGACTTGAAGTTTGATTAAAATTTATGTATGCAAATTTTGTAGTTGCCTCTAGACCTCTTCATTGTTGCAGCTACTCCTTTGCAGCTACTCCTACCAGTTGACCAGTGGCTACCTATCTACCTTTCGATGACCTTTTGCCAAGGCTGGGCTCGCCAGTCGCGGCTGCCCCGGTTTATGCTTGAGGGTTGCGTGCCGGGGTTAGCATCAGCACCAAGCCGCTTCAGGGAAGGAGCAGCCGACCAGTGCGTAATAGAGAGGCAAGGGTGTACGCTATGTAGTGGATCGCGGTGAACTGGAGGGATTGTCATAGCCAGTGCCATGCCCGCGTAAATAATCATGAGGAGCAGTCACAAGGATCCCTCACGACCTTATTCAGTGCAACATTTGGCCTGTGTTGTTCGTGATGCGTGAGGTCTGACCAGGAAGGGTCGCAAAGTCTCAAGTTACATCCTACTGTTCTTTCATGTTGTAACCAGGGGAGCTCCGATCGCCCTTTCCAACATTCCCGACCTAGATATCCTTACTTGTTTATCGAGACTCCGCCTCGAGATCGGCTATTGTATCCATCGTCGCGACGCATTCCATTTCTATGCGACAGGGTCGGCAGCTCCTGTGTTACTTCGCAAGCGTCCCTTTTTTTCCTCTGGACAACAACGCCTGTTGTTGCTCGAGAAACACAGGCTGAACCCCCTGCCTCAACTTACCAAGCTGGCTGGAGAACTAACCTTCAAGCTGCTCACTGCCATCACGCAACCAGAGCTATGGACCCGCCTTCTCAAGAGTCGGGCGAGTCCAGCCCGCATTCTCCCACGGATACTCGACGACAAAGTGATAGCTTGCTGTCGGAAAGTTACCAATCTACTGATACCGTGAGGCGAAGACCCGATACATCCTATGGTGCGTACAGCTTAAACTCAATCCCAACCGTTCATTCCTGTTGGCTGATGTCACCATGGACTCTCTATGTCTGAGCTAACCGTAACTCAACACAGGCACTTTGCAAACACCTCCTCCTGCTGGCAGCACCAGCTGCATAACCGACTCAACCTCCGTACATGATCGTGCTTATCCGCGGACAGGCGGCAGCCAACCTCTTCGTTCCCCCATGTTGGGCCCTGATCGTGGCAGAGCCCGTCCCCGGAAACCCCCCATGACGCGTCGCGCCTCCTCCAACGCGCAGGCGCCCCATCGCGGGGCAGTCTTCTCTGCAGACGATGCGGTCGATGAGGTAGCAGAGGAGGAGACCACTGGCGAGAGGCAACACAGCTTTGCATCGCCACGACCACAATACAGCTCAGACTCTAGTCGGCAACCATCGACACTCCGGCGGCGCACCATGGCCGCCCCTGTCCTATCCCGTGTTCAGTCGAGTCGAAGTGATACTGCTGAAGAAGCCGGAGTTGATGAGCGCTTGGAGAATGACGAGCAGGGCGGCGAAACACAGGATGAAGCGGAGGAAGAGCCCACACCTGATGAGGCAATGCCCAGCAATGAGGACGACGATGAGGAGGACGACGACGTCAGTGATGCTGAGAGCTTCACCCTCAAAGACCGCCAACAAGCCATTAACGAGACGCATCCCTTTGGCATCAGGCTTTGGAAGCCCGCCTTGTACAAGAAAGACCGGTCTGTGCAGAAGACAGCAGAAGGGGACATTCATTCAACCCCTGGCGGCCGTGTTAGCAGCTGGTTGCTCAGCTTCAATGTCGTCTGGACGCTAGTGTTCGGTTGGTGGATGGCACTGATTGCAGCTCTCGGTGCTATAACCTGCTTCATATTCGCCGCAGCTCCTAGTGGGAGAGCATATGGCCGCGTCTTGTGGGGTTTGGCTGGGTATCTCTTTTATCCCTTCGGCAAATTCGTTCGACTGGAGCAAGACGAGGACTATCTGGACGAAGATCAGGGCGAGGGACGGAGCATCAGCGAATATGAGCAGTGGCAGAGTGGAGACCTCGAGTATGGTCGACTCTTCTTCGGTCCTTCAGAGCGCAGCCGCTCGATAGTTGGTCGTTCGAGAAGAAGTATTGATTCAGAACCGAGCGAGACCGACAGTCTCTTGGGGCGAGGTTCACATCACCCCCATCCGGATGAGCATCCCCGACTAAAGAGGCGTCTTTTCGGTCGAGGCCAGTGGAACATTGGGAGAGTCATTTTCTTCTTCGCCTTCTATGGGCTGCTCACTCCATCCCTCATCATCGTATCTGGCATATGCTGGTTCTTGGTCTTTTGGATTCCAATGGGTAAAGTAACGATGCTCCTTTTTGATCACTTGCGCAGACATCCTTTGGCATTGTCTTTCGAGTCGGACATCAACCAGGCCCGAATCGCCGATGGGCGTCATTCATCCATCCTACTTTGCACATACAGAGCTGTGGGTTCCAAATACTGGAAATACACAATCGACGGCACCAACATCTTCCTGATCAACCTCATGGCCGTTGTCCTGTTTGTCATCCTTGATTGGCTCGTGCTGGATGGTGTGTTGCATCTGGACAATTTCTTGACATCTCCTGGATTCCTGTTCGTGGCCGGCTTGTTCTCCATCATCCCGCTCGCTTACTTTATTGGTCAAGCCGTCGCATCTATCTCAGCCCAGTCATCGATGGGGTTAGGTGCAGCCATCAACGCTTTCTTTTCGACTATTGTTGAGGTATTCCTGTACTGTGTCGCGCTCAGACAAGGCAAGGGGCCACTCGTTGAGGGAAGTATCATCGGTAGCATCTTTGCTGGTGTGCTCTTCCTCCCTGGTCTCTCCATGTGCTTTGGAGCTATCAAGCGCAAAACCCAGCGATTCAATGCCAGATCTGCCGGCGTAACATCGACGATGCTGCTATTTGCCGTCGTGGCTGCCTTTGGTCCTACGCTTTTCTACCAGATTTATGGCACGCACGAGCTCAACTGCCTCAGCTGCACCGACCTTGCAATGGACCCACACGGAAATGCGGAACGTGACTGTCGACGCTGCTACTTCTCTCAGGCACCGCAGCTTGACGATCGCTTCTATATCGAGGCCGTACGACCATATTGCTATGCCGCCGCGTTTTTCCTGTTCTTGTCCTACGTCATTGGACTCTGGTTCACCCTTCGAACTCATGCAGCTGTTATCTGGAACACTGAAGTCGACGAGAAGAAGCACGAGGAACAACAGCAGCACATGGCCCGCTTATCCGCGAGCGACCAGCGCAACCTGACAGATGCAAGCGGAGCGGATATCCGAGACAGCAAATTATACAAGCGTATTCTCGGGGCCTCTCTGAGGCATGTTGGGTTATCTGGAGATGAGAGTAGACACCACTCGCGGCAACCATCTAGTATAGTGCCTCCGAATGGCACTTCCCAAACTGCACACCTGGTACCTCCCAAGACTAGTGGTAGCGCCGAGAGTGTTCGCTCTAATGTCCATGTTGCCGGTCTTTCTGAGGCAGAGAATAACAATCTCATCCGCGGAGTCACTGAACTTGCCGCTACCGCAGCTGCCATCGCTGCCCGCGACGCCCGCGTTCCACGCCATATCTCGATTCATGGGTCGACCCACGCCAGCACTTCTCAACCCCGCCCGACACCTCTTCGCACGAGCACATTTCCTGACATGGAAGATGTTGGAGAGCAAGCTCAGGCCCATGGTGGCCACGACGCACCGAATTGGAGCCGAATGAAGAGTGCCGTCATCTTGATGGCAGCCACTGTTCTTTATGCTATTGTTGCAGAAATCCTAGTTGACACTGTCGACGTAGTATTGAAAAACTTTGCCATCGACGAGAAGTTCCTGGGTATCACCCTTTTTGCCCTGGTTCCCAACACCACGGAGTTCCTGGTAAGCTATTACGGTCCCCCCCTTCTCTCCCTTCATTGGCCCAATCATTTACTAACCACGTATATATTACCTCAGAACGCCATTTCCTTCGCTATGAATGGAAACATTGCCTTGTCTATGGAAATTGGTTCGGCATACGCGCTTCAGGTTTGCCTGCTCCAGATCCCGGCCCTGGTACTCTTCTCCGCCGTGGTCCCAATCATACCGTTGCCAGATATCCCAGATATTGGGCGATACACCTTCAGTCTCCTATTCCCGCAATGGGATATGGTCACTGTTATCCTGTGCGTGTTCTTGCTCAGCTACATGTATGGCGAGGGCAAGAGCAACTACTTCAAGGGCAGCATTCTCCTGTTGACCTATATGGTTGTGGTGATTGGGTTCTACTTCTCCAGCATGACGGATGTCCAGATGGGAATGAACAGGTTCGACACATTTGACGCTACGAGCGGATGGACGAGCTACAAGACGATTGGCCGTAGCAATAAGGGGAGGGCGTATTAATGGGCGTTTGTGTTTTTGAGAGCTCCTTGCACAGCAATCCACTCATTGAAGAGCAGCCTTTGTGGTATACTTATGAAACACACTTTGTATTGTTAGGCCCGGATGGAGCATCACATTGGAGCACAGGTCAGGTTGTTCGGTCAGTGTTTTCGGTGGCTGCTAATTAGAATACCTCTTTTGCGTGGTTGTTAGATCGTTAAGGTTTCCAAGGAGTTACTGTCAAGTGGTACAGGGATAATGCGATCGTTCTCTCGCTGAATTTCTGCGTCTTTGTGATGGCCTCCAATTTGGCTTTAATACTATGCTTACGTTTCTTGAATACTGGTTACCCGAATGCCAAGCACAACAGGATTCTGACAGAAACCCCAGAATGCGGTGGTACTGTGCGCATGTTTCCTCAACTACCTAGCTGCACCGCACTCTGACCTCATAGTGACTAATGACAATGTAAAATTGATACGTCCAATATGTCAACCCATCCATGTCTGCATCACCGTCTTGCTATGTGAGTAATTTGGAAATAGATAGTCCAACTACACAGAACAAGAACCTTGGAACCCAAACCTGACCAAGTTCATATGTACTTGATAGGCCAGGGCGTTAACCTCGCGACTTGTCTTCGAGATAGCTTGACAACTATGGTACAGATCAACTTTTTATTAGAAGGCTTTACACCAATTTGTTAATTTTCAGAGATAATAATAATATGGGCTGAAGTTCGATTGTAATACGAAGTATATTACAAGAATTCCTTAACTATTGGAAATCATATTACTTTTTCCTTGTTTTCATATAACTAGTAAAAGGCTTATCTGTTATTTTTGACCGATATCTCCGACCTTCACCAATTCACACCAAATTCGGAGAATGTGCTGTACAAATTGATTAGAAGCTCGCATGTTAGAATTAGAAATGTCGGAATCCAAGTACTACGAAGGTGCGTGAAGGACCAATCCCAAGTTGGCCCGAAGGGTCCGTAAATACTACAACGCGCTACCTCGTACCGCTCCACACTGAGGCCACAACTTCCCACAAAACAGGGGTGACTAACTTCGAGTAATTTAACTTAACAGTAATAAAACATAGTAGGTATCGCATCGACACTAGCATTCCGGCTACATACGAAGGTAAAGAAGGAAAGTACAGGTAGGCGGAGTCCAAGTCGTATAAAATAACTACAGTATCTTATATATAAGTCTTACGCTGTTGAAGTTGTCGATTGAGTACGCAAAAGAGGTAAAGCTCGAACCTAACAGACTCGCTATGCTAAAGTTATGTATTAAGGTTTTCAAGCTAGTGTAACGAAACCTCCAATAGTCTAGCTGCGTAAACCACTAAAGAGTCTGTAAGGGTTTGTGCTAGTAAGTAAGTCCTGCTGCGGAGTCCTCAAGCAATAATATCGGGGTTTGACGTATGGAGTAGAGTGCTTTGGGTAACTGAAGTATTCAAGTAGGGTAATCGGGAATAGAGTCGTTAAGGCAGTTCGCCTCACCAATGGGTTAGATTGATGCTTAGATTGATCACTGAAGTAGAGACTGTCTATCTATGAAATGCCTGGGAGTTCTGTCCCTTATATATCCATCTCTCCTTCACTGATCCCCACCTTAAAAAGCTGGGTCACTAAGCTTAGGAGCGAAGCCCACCAAGTATCTACGTACCTCAAATCTATTTCCTTACCCCACACTACATGAGAATTTGAGCTGCAAACCAGCCACACCGCCTTTAGGCAATTCTCAAGTATTTAAACAGCTTCTCTCATTCCCGGCTTCACTTGACTTCTCTTTTCTTCTTTATGCGATTTTACTTCAGAGAATCTTTTCTTTAGGAGAAAATCCCGCTCTAAATTTTCCAATTTAGCTGCAGAACCTACCCTGGTTGATGAATGAAAATCCCCGCCGTCCTAGAGTGAAGATATTAATGGCTTCCTTCCTTTATTAAGGAGGGAGTTACTCTCGTCCTGCGCGAAAGCGTAGCGGTCGACGCTTTATGCATTGGCTGTATAGAGGGTGTTGTTGATCTCAACCCCGATTCGCTTAGCTTACCTTTGTGGTACTTTGCCGGGGTGGGTGGTGGTGGACGTCTGACAGGCGTATTACTCTTTTCTCTTTTTCGTTGCACACTAGAGCTTGTCTCTGGTGGTGAGGAAGAAAATTTTACCACGAGAAGGACTGTCGGGACAATTGGTCTTCCCAGCCCTTCCTGGCATGTTGTAATATAGCTTCGCCCTTTGTTTTGGACGTTGAAGTTGCTGCTTTGCTGTTTGAGCTATGGTCTGTCTCCGATCTGAGCGATGTTATAATGGTGTATATTGTGAAGTTCATAACGTGCTCGGTAATGTTTGTACCTAATAAGAGATGTCTACAATTTCATAGAGAAAACATGCTTGCGAGCTATGGGTACCTGATAAGATGTTTCTACAATTTCATAGACCTTGTCGATAAGGATCAATCCCTGAGCTGCTTCCATTGGCATCTTGTCCACGTGCCTATCCTTTGCAACGTGATGCTGCTACTGTTCATTCTCCGCGTGCTCGTGTAGACCAACGAAGCCCTTGAAGGCGGGTATTCTGCCACTGGTTCCAAGTCTAGACTTTTCTGTGTCCTAACCACCCATACCCAGATGCTTGCAAATCACTGTCCTGCGTCTTATGCCCAACACTTCCTTACGCTGTTCTTTGTTAAGTTTTGTACCGGCTCAGGTAGTCTCCTCCTTGTATAGCCCTGCCCGTCTCACCCATTCCGACAAGTCCTCACTAACAAGCTTCTTCAAGCTTTCCCAGTCCTCCTTTTGCACAGCACCTCTGACCTTGGTACTGCTAACAACCACATCGCCTTCCTGCCTCCCCTCAACCATCTCCACCTGATCAGCCCACTCCTTCCTCCCGCCCGATTCTTCCAACTTGCCCGCACGAAGATTCTCCAACTGCGCAACCTGCTCCTTGGCATCGCCCCAATCTGCATCAGGCCGCATGGTGACCCGCAGCTGCGAATGCGAGAAGAAGGGATCCAGCGCCTGTTTCATGGAATCATCTGGGTAGTATTTCGGGCTGAAGATACGGATCAATGTATCGAAGCCCACGAGGTAGACCTGCTCCATACCTTGGCTCGACGGCGCTGCCTCTGCGCTGGTTCCATCGGTTCCCTTGTAGAAGTCACAGCCCGATATCGCATTGCTCTTGGAGTGGAAATACGGCTCCGTCGTTATGGCTATGTCCACCACACAGGTCTCGGTTTCTGTTGCAGACATTGTTTTCCTCGAGCACTTCAGTAAGTCCGAGGCGAAAATATGCATCATAGCCAGACGCTGTGGGAATGCTGCCGGCTTCGGCGCTTTGTCTGCGTTGTTGATGGCGAGCAGCAGCAGGACCCGGGAGGTGTGTGCGTATTTGTCCTCGCTTAGCGCTGATAATGCCATGCGTTGGTGCGCAAGTGTGGGAGGGTTGAAAGATGAGTCCAGGATCAGGAGAAACTGGGGAGCCTGCCTCGGCGGTAGTGATACATGCTCATTCTGGCGAGGCTCTGAGGAAATGGAGCATAGCACACGGAAGGTAGCGTTAGACTGCTGGAACGACTTCAGCGCCCGCGTGAAGAACGAGAGGAGCTGACGGGCCATCGTGTCTGTTTCAATGGAGGAAGGCATCACGGAATATGCAGATATAACCCCATCGGTCGTTGAGGTTGGCTCAGAACCCTGATTAACTTTTGGCTTGGTCAATGTCCGGGACTGAACGAGGACAAGATGATGTACGATACAGAAGCGGAGAGGTGAGATGTTGAAGCAGGCCCCACCCCGCCAACCCCGACTTGTATCATACAACTTCTGGCATCGTTGGTCTAGCTTTAGCTTCACACGTCTGGCCATGCTTCACGACGAATATGTTCTTCCCGAATCATGAGTCATCATGAACGAACGTGTATTATGTTCTTCCTTGCCTTCATATCAAGATTTCGTTTGATTTAATAGTGTCAACATTGTAACCCGAATCGCACTTTGGCTGGCCGTCTGCACCGATTCCCAACAGGCCGATAAGTTCAGCAGAGCATGAATGCCATGCGAATATGATGGCTTGTAGCGAACTAGCCGAGAGCATAAGAGTCTAGAACATCATTGAAGCCAGTGCGCTTTTCTCGTGCAATGGAAGTAGTTATGATATTATATGCACTACATGCAAGTAATAGGCTTTGTGGTCCAACTTATTCGGAGTACAGCTAGCTCCAAGTTCTGCCAACTAGAAACGCGTCGAACACCATTCTCTGGAGTAAAGATATCCGCTTCCACGACCAGTGATGTTGAGAATAGTATAGCACGACTCGTGCAATGGCGATATGCCCGAGGCCATGGACTCAAGGTTGATATTACTTGATGAGTAGCGGCATGGGTACTTACCCTCGCCAAGCTTACTTTGCTGGCTTCTCATGAAGAGATAATGTCTCATTGCGCTATTGAATGATCTCTTGCGATCTCCGTGAACACCAGGGAAGACGTCTTCATGAAGTAAACCGATTCTGGCCGCAATGAATAGCGGCATGAAATTCTGCGTGATGACGGCCGGTGGAATAGCCAGGGCTTCGACTGGCACCGCTACAGTACAACCTAAGAGTGGACTGGTGAGTTCTGATCCAAGAATATGAGCATGCTTCCTGTGGGTATCGTCCAAACTTGCAATATCCCTGAAGAGACTGTCAGAAACTATCCCCAAAGTCGCATTTGTCAGTATGTCATGCTTGCAGGAACGGGCATCTGCAAGTTCTAGCCACATGCGTCCCTGACTGGGGTAACCCGAAATGTCGAAGCCAACGATCCACGTCGTCAGTCAAGGAACCATAGACAGTGCTGCTCCTGTATTTGGGATGTCTAATCCCAATGAATTCCCCCTTCAAAGCGAAAAGCCAGTAGCTCATGTAATTCCCACGGCAGTTCCCATGGTAGCTCCCACAGGCTCAGGTCGGTTGGAGAAGGCCAGCTTGTACTTGACAATCTCGACAACCTCCAGCTCCTCGGTCTTGATTCCGGCAGTTGCATCTGTCATTTCCTCATCCCCATCCTCTGTTTTTCCGCGTTTGCGAATCACAGCCAGTGCCTTAGGCAACTTCTTGACTTCTCCCGTGAGCCTCTGATGCAGTCCGACGTATAAGTGCACCCGCTTCATCCATGTGGTGTTGGACGGATCTAGCGTGTTTGGATTGTAGTCCGGGAAAAAAATGCGGCCAACGGATACTTCTTCCGTTCTGATACCATCTTCGCTTTCTGTGGCTGGGAGATTGATGGTGCCTTGAAGTTCTAGAATTGCCAGACCTGATGGGGTATTGATGAGTTGAGGTAGCGGGCTGGTGGGAGGTGCTTGACCATCGGAATTATGTGGATAGAGTTTGACTGATGAAGACATGGCAGCAAAATGTAGAGAACCAATTTGGATTCTGGATTTGCTGCTTCAAGGTATTGTGAAGATTTGCCATACTTCATGTACAGGGTATCAATCACGATGTATGAGTAAGAGCAGAGTGGCTTCTCTAGGCGACTAAGCCGGCAAAACACCGGTATTTCCCACAAATCACCGATCCGACGTGGCCCATGCGCAACCCTAGCTCCTTTCCCAGTTGTCTGAGGAAAATAGGCGAGCCACACGAAATTTGCAATTCTCTCTCGTGCCTCCCTCAGAGATTCGACCTCATCCACCGTTTCGACAACTAACCACCAGGTCGACCAGCCCAACACCGCCGAGATGAAGTTGAATATCTCGTACCCTGCCAATGGCAGCCAGAAGCTGATCGAGATCGAAGATGAGCGAAAGCTCCGAGACTTCATGGAGAAGCGTGTACGTTTTTTTCACCTTTGATTTTGATATTTGGGCCCATGGGTTACGAGGCCCTGCTACCACCGATTCATCATGTAGCAGCCAACACGAGACGCTGGGCCACTGACACTCGAGGGCAATGGGCCAATACGAGCAATACGAAGGGCGCGTTACTGACATGCATTTTTCCGACCAGATGGGCGCTGAAGTCCCCGGCGACAACCTCGGCGATGAGTTCAAGGGCTACATCTTCCGCATCACTGGCGGCAACGACAAGCAGGGTTTCCCGATGAAGCAGGGTGTCATGCACCCCACCCGTGTCCGACTCCTCCTCTCCGATGGCCACTCCTGCTACCGTCCCCGCCGTACCGGTGAGCGCAAGCGAAAGTCTGTCCGCGGCTGCATCGTCGGCATGGATTTGTCTGTGCTCGCTCTCGCGGTCGTCAAGCAGGGTGATAACGACCTCCCCGGCCTGACCGACGTCGTCCACCCCAAGCGCCTCGGCCCCAAGCGTGCCACTAAGATCCGCCGATTCTTCGGCCTCAGCAAGGATGACGATGTAAGAGAACACTTTCTACACCAACACATCGTCGTCGCCTGCCCAGTGGTTGCTGCTGCGGGATGAGAGAGAAGCATCCTCGCAATGAACACCACCAGGTAGAGACTGAGATGAGGAGGGGAACCAATAAAAAAGGCCTCTGGCTAATACAATGGGTTAGGTCCGCAAGTACGTCATTCGCCGAGAGGTTCAGCCCAAGGGTGAAGGCAAGAAGCCTTACACCAAGGCCCCCAAGATCCAGAGACTGGTTACTCCCCAGCGTCTCCAGCACAAGCGCCACCGCGTCGCACTCAAGCGCCGCCAATCCGAGAAGGTCAAGGACGAAGCAGTATGTTATGCCAGCTTCCAGTCACAGTGAATGCAACAACTAACGTGTCTATCCAGAACGAGTACGCCCAGCTCCTCGCCAAGCGTGTCTCCGAGGCACGTGTCCTGAAGGCCGATGCTCGCAAGCGTAGAGCAAGCTCCATGCGCAAGTAGATGTCTGTTCCTGCAGGCGTTTGGTCAGGTGTGTCTTCTGGTTCTTGCATTGGGGAATGAACATGGCAAACGGCATTTGCTATCGTGGCTAGTATTAGTAAGCTCAGGTGAATGAATGAGCAGTATCTAGATCACGAGGTGTATTCTCGGCATGAAAATAGGACGGTTAAGATTCCCAAGATAACTTCCTGAGCCCATCTCTGTCGTGACAAGAAGCTGGTTCATGACAAATCGTGGCCGATGTATTTGAATCCAACAGTCCACCAAAACACCTCGCAGCTGACAACTAAGCTCTGCGCCGGTCAACACGGGGACATTGTCTAGGAAATGTACTTGAGGGAAGGGATCTCTTCTATTTCCAACCTGAGCACCGTTCCAAAGCACCATGTTCCCAAGCTGGAGTGGTGCTTCTCACACAGAAGAGTACGAACCTGTTATTATAGAAGTCATATCAATCCAAGTTGTATTTGCGGTTGCATGATTTGAAATGGTTACTGTGCAATACATAACACGATGACTTACAGGCTTGCAAGGCTGACCCGAAGTTGCGATGCCCCATGTCATGCAGAGCCGACATGGGAGTACTAAGCATCGCTGCCCAGCTGAGTACCCAGGGTACTATATGGTGTAACCTAGAAGCTCAGCTAAGCGGTTGTTGCCAGGAGGCACTGATTGGGTAGATCGACACCGCGTTTGAACTTCCAAGCAACCCTCTCAATTTGTCGCAAACATGATGCAGTCCTCTTGTTTCTGGCTAGGACAAGCCTTTGGAGATAATGCGATAAGACGTTGTTACCGTGATCCCATTGAGCTTATTCCAAGTGCTACCCCACATGCTGGGATGCACTTTACAAGATGCTCCACATTCTCCACAGCGCGTTCGTCGCAAAGTGCGGGACTTGACTCGGCTCGGCAAAGTTTTCGATTATTGAAGGGTTGGATTTACTTAATCCATCGCCGAAAGGTCACCTTTTTTTTCTCACCTTTTTTTTTTTTGGGGACCCCGTAGCTTTCTTTGTTCTTTTCTTCAACCTCGTTGCCGTTGATGGAGAGCTAGCAACCACGTGTCGTAAAGCAAGTTGCATTACAGTAGCGCAAGGGACCTGGACCTGCGAAACACTTGTCGAGCCGCGACTACCCCTCTACCTCCAGCCTCCAGCCTCCAGCCTCCTCCCCGCGCAGCCGCGACCCCGGTTGCGATTGGACGTTGCACTGCAGCGGCGCACGCAAAAGTCTTCCTACGCCCGACAGCGGCTCTTCGATCCGTCTCTTCTTGCTCAACATGGGCGACATGGCGAACGAGATCAAGCTGCTCACCGGCAACAGCCACCCTAGCCTGGCTAAGGGTGTTGCTGACCGGTAAGTCATGGTTCCTTTCTTCTGGTCTGATGTAGCCTAGACGGTGGCAAGCTTCACAGAGGCTCGTGCCAATCTGCGGCAGCTTGTCAAGAATACACCGTGGAGCTGTGGCTGACAATGCTACGCAACCAGGCTCGGCATCGAGATCGCAAAGACGATGTCCCTCAACTATTCGAACCAAGAAACCTCCGTCACCGTAGGTGAATCCGTTCGCGACGAGGATGTCTTCATCCTGCAATCCACAGCACCCAACAACATCAACGATGGCCTCATGGAGCTGCTGATCATGATCCACGCCTGCCGCACGGCTAGTGCCCGACGCATCACGGCCGTCATCCCCAACTTCCCCTACGCCCGCCAGGACAAGAAGGACAAGAGCCGTGCGCCCATCAGCGCGAAGCTGATCGCCAACATGTTGCAGACTGCCGGCTGCAACCACGTCATCACGATGGACCTGCATGCTAGTCAAATCCAGGGCTTCTTCAACGTGCCCGTGGACAACCTGTATGCTGAGCCGAGCGTCTTGAGGTGGATCAAGGAGCATAAGGGAACCCAAGATATTGTCATTGTCAGTCCGGATGCTGGTGGTGCCAAGCGAGCCACTTCGATTGCTGACCGGCTCGAGTGTGCCTTTGCCCTCATCCACAAAGAGCGGCCTCGCCCCAACGTCGTTGGTCGTATGGTTCTCGTTGGTGACGTGACAGATAAGGTGGCCATTCTTGTGGATGACATGGCCGATACCTGCGGGACGCTTGCCAAGGCAGCCCAAACGGTTAAGGATCACGGCGCAAGAGAAGTCGTGGCCATAGTCACACATGGCATCCTCAGCGGGGATGCCATCAACATCCTCAACAATAGCTGCCTGAGCGAGGTTGTCGTCACCAACACAGTGCCCCTGGGTGACAAGGAACAGCGATGCAAGAAGCTGAGGGTTATCGACATCAGCCCAACCATAGCGGAGGCTATCCGCCGGACGCACAATGGGGAGAGCGTTAGTTTTCTGTTCACACATGCACCCGCGTGAGATCCTGTTATGGAACAAGGGGTGCGGGCAGCGTAGGAAAAAACACAAAAGGCGTAAGGATTACGGCAGGGGGCTTTCAAGGGTTACTTAGGGCTATGTGTTTTCTGTTAAATTATCGACATGATTGGAATAAATGGTCTTATCCATTTTGATTATTTGATTGATTGGAAAAAGGACAGCTGTTATCCTCCGGGCTTTCCCATGATCGGACGGTTTGTGCAATTTGGAAGATAGGCATGTCACAATGAACAGTATACCCATCAGGATTACTTGCCGTCTTTTTGCCCCTTTTTGGTTAGAGTCGTCTGGCTGTCACGGTCATATCAAGAGTAGTTATTGCGCTCTCCTTGGCTCATCAGCCAGCCACCTTCATCCAGGATACCAAGCAAAGAGCGAAGTCTAGCAGCGGCAATCGCTGCAAGTAAACAACCAATTGGGATGCTAGATTCAAAAGCAGATGGAGAAAGTAACCATGCACTCCAGGACAGTCCTGGTTGCAATATACTGATAAGTTCCAAATCATTAAATCCACTACTGCCTTGCTAGAAATGCTGATAGTAAGCTTCCAAGTCTCTTCCTGACAACGCTGGGCATCATGCTCCTGCTGACAACACACCAAGATTTACATGCTATCCAGAATATGTCAATCAACGGAGAGGGTTGATTACTTGTCCGAGAGCAAGCCCAATTCAACGTACAGCATTCACCTAGGAACCAGACGTCCCTTGTGTCATGTCATTGGTCTCTATGGAGCAAATATCCTCGTTTATGCGTGGCTTCCTAATCTACAAGGGCATCTGGCGGATATGGTCTTTCAGTTGGATAACCCACGCCAAACGGCCTGCACTCCGTTGGCGTGACCATTAGACCGTAGAACCTCAAAAAGCAAACAAGCAAATGTGCTTCCCTATGCCTTTCCGCAATGCCGTACAAAACAATACATGGTGATCAATATGAGGGGTGTTTTATTGATGGGGGTAACCGATTCCTCCTGCATATGAGAGCCTTTAGGCGAACCCAAAGTAATCGCTGCCAGCCGTAATGGCCTTCAAGACTTGCTGGCGGAGGGTATCATAGCTTTCGTACTCGGGGAGATCAAGTTCTGCGTCATTGTTAGTCTCGTACTGTGCATTCGTGGGGCAGGTCAATTTACGATTGAAGCATGTGTGAGAACTAGGCAGACGGTCTTTGTTGCCGTAGTCACGGTGGATGTTGAAGCGGTTGATACCGTTCATACCCTCGAGCTCCTTAAAGCCGTTGAGGGGCACCTTGCTGGTTCCCGTAACGAACTGGAGCAGCTTGGCGCGCTCCTCCTTGTCAAAGGAGCGCAGTGCACGCCAGAACCACTGGATCTGCTGGCTTGATGGCGTGTAGTTGTGATATTCCGTGTTGCTCTTCCAGTCATCTACGTCGATATCGGGCAAACCAGAAATGAGCAGCTCAAGTTCCTGCTCGTTGAAGATAGCAATCAGCTCAGCAGGAATGATCTCGTGGAAACCTGTAAATTCAGGTTAGCCGCCGTTCGTATCATAATGTCAAAATATCTACTCACCCTTCAAGAAATGCTCCATCTGCTCCTTGACCGAGCTGAGCAGTTTGTGCTCGACAACGAGGCGCACATAGTCATGTTTGTTGTCTTCAGTGACAGGAATGTTGCGACCATTCTCACAGAGATCCTCGATTCGCGTTACGCCGAATTCATCATCCTCGACTGACAACGTCTCAGTGATTATATCAGTGATATCGTTCTCCAGCATCCAGACGAGTGACTTGTAGTAATCCGGGTCAAACGATTCCATGTCCTTGACAGACACGGGCTTGCCAAGAATTCGCTTGTACACGGCACGGCTGAAGTAGCAGTCGAGGACGCGCCCCTCGTACAAGGACTTGCCAATGATGCGTCCAATGAACTTGAAGAACATCAGGTGCTCGTCGTTGATACCACTGAGCTTATTGGGGTGAAATGTTGTGCGATCGCTTGAGACGGGAACGAACAAGGCGTAGTTGGGGTCAAACATCTGTCGAGCCAAGACCTGGAACCATTCTCTTGTGACACCACCAGCATCGACACCCTCCTCTCCGTGGAAGCGGATGTTCAGTTTTCCAAACTTCATTTCATCACCACTCTTGAAATAAAGCGACTTGAAAGAATCGTGGAAGACATGCTCTCGACGAACTGACAACTGTAAGGTAGGGAAGCTCCGTGCACCTGGCGCTCGGCCATTGTTGTGCACGCTGCGGTTGAAGTAATTGCGCTTGTTGTCGAATTCCAGCACCTTGGGATTCTTGACGAGATGGGAGAATGTGCCCTTCATCAGCGACGGGTTATTGCGAACAAGTTCGTTGAGTATCCGGCGATGTTCCTCGGTGAAAGTGAAAAAGAGGCTGGCCATCTGGGATTCAGGTGCAGGACTGGAAAGCATCATCTCAGTGCGGCTCTGGATTTGACTCGGCGTCTCTGACTGAGTGGTATCCTTGCAGACAACCATCAAGGCCTCGATCAGTGGTAGCAGAATGGTAGCCACATTAATGAGGCTCTCACGCTGCCGGATGGCGCCGAGACAGCCACTCAGTCGCTCCCACAAAGCGTTGAAAGTTGGGTTGCGGTACAGAATGGCGAGCAAGTCCTGTTTCTTAGTCTCGTTGCTGCGCTCAGATTCCTCAGAAGACTCGAGCTTCTTCTGGGTGAAGAGGTGATCGAGAGCCGTCAGGACTCGCAGAAGCTTATTCTGATCCGCTGCGCCTGGAGAGAACTTGGCCAATGCCACCCCTTGAATTTCCGTGCCGGACGAAGCCTTCTCAATGTGTGGTAGAAGCTCATCCAGGTGTGCAACAATCTTCTCGCTCAATATGCGTGCTTGAGTAGCCAATTCCTGACCAAAGACGTCCATCGCTCCAGGTATAATTGAGAGATTCTTGATGGTGGACAGGGTTTCCTTGAAGGTCTTGGAGCTACACTCGCGAGCGACAAAGATCTTGATGATCAAGGTGAGATTGTGCACAGGGATGGCTGGCGGGATATATTGCTTGATTCTTTTCAAGATAAATTGCTTGCGCTCCTGTGCTTTGGCAATGGAGTCGGCGGCAGACTCGGTAGCGGTGCCTTCAGCAGGAGCGGGCGCGTCGGATGCTGTAGTCTCAGCAATAGAGGTGGCAGGCTGCTCACCAGAAGGTGCACCGTTTGCTTCGTCGATCTGGGGGACGTCGGAGGAAATCTCCGTGTTTTGCATCTCGTCGTTAGCGAGTATGGTCCCCGCAGTAGCAGGTTCTTCTTGGACTGGTTCCTCAATCTGCTTGTCCAACTTCTTGATAGCCTCAGCGGCCTCCTTGAGCTTCCGGTCCAGCGCGAGCAAAGGCATGGTAACTCTGCTCAAGACTAAAGAGAGGCTATCCATGATGGCGGAGCTTTCGATAACAAGGTCGCGATCGAGTAATGCCAGCAGCGAATTGATGGCATATTTTTGAGCCTTGGCTTCTTTGCCTTTACCTTTACGGCTGAGAGTGCGCTTCAAAGTCGAGGCCACCGTCTCTTGCTCGATCAGAAATATTGAAGGGACGTGAACGTCGTGCTCCGCCAGGTAGCAAAGCAGGTCCAGGCATTGCTGTACAATCAAAACGGGCGAAATCTCTGAACTTGTGTGGCTAGGGTTACTAGGGAGAATATTCGTAGAAGCACGTTTTAGTGATTGCGGTGTCTTGCCGTCCTTGGTTTCCTTGGGCTGCTTAGCCTTGATGGAAAGCTGGGCGAAGCTGCGCTCAACAGCATCGACGTCTGTAGTGCCATCCTGTAAGATTTGCAGCAGGGTGCTGATGACTTCGAGCCTGGTCTGCTTATTTTCACAAACATCTTTGAACAGAAGCCTCAGCGAGTTCTCAAGTGATCCGCCCTTGACGTTGATGAACATCAGCCGAAGCAACGTAGCGACACCGGGCTTATCCAACATCTGCACGACTGTCCTCCTTTGCGGTTTGGCATTGCTGTTGTTGCCATCAGCAGCCCCACTGCTCTGTGCGGCTTCTTGAGTACGGCCAGAGCCAGAGACGTTCCTCTCCCGGTGTCCCATGGGGGCGGCGGGATGAGTGCGATTGAGACGTCGCGCCTCAGCTGCCATGTCCGGAGGTAACGAGTCCATGATGTCTGCGCCTTGATCCATGAGTACTTGTTCTCGGAGGGCTGGGGGGAAAGTCATCAAGATGCTGGCGGTATCCATATCTTGTGCTACAGCTTCTTGGCCAGCAGCAGCGCTTTGTCGCCGTGCTTCTTCACGCTCACGTCTACGTTGCTCTGCCCGCTCCTGCTGGACAATCTCTTGGCGTAGTTCGTCTGGGAGAGCATCGAGGAATTCTTGGAAGACTTCGGTTGATTCCCCGGTCCGTCGAGGAGCCTCACGAGCTTGGGAACGTCGCTGACTGATAGTCTGAGCAATGACCTCTTCTCTGAACTCCTCTGGCAGCGCCTCAAGGTAATCGGGGTCAATACCAAGCTCCGTTACATCCACTTGTTCGCCTCGGATTGTCGTCATGACACGAGGATGATCGACAGCAGGTTCGGCTGGCCCCGACTCTGGTTCTGGTTCATTGGCCGTCTCAACACCTTCCATGGCTTCCGTAGTGTGGCTTTCTTTTTCATCTTGGGCCGTGGCGACAGAATCGGTTACAGCCCGGGCAGCAAGTTCAGCTGCAGCAGCTTCGGCACGCTCGCGCTCTTGTGCTTCGGCCTTCTCCCGTGCAGCCTTCTCCTCTGCCTCCCTGGCCTCTCTAGCTTTGCGCTCTTCTTCTTCACGCTTCTTGCGGTCTTCCTCTTCCCGCTTCCTGCGTTCGGCCTCCTTCGCTTTTAGTTGCTTCTCAAGTTCAATGGCAGGAGGGACAAGATATGCAAGGATGGCGGGCACGATCTTGTGTGCCTTCTCTGCATAATTTACGCTGAAGGCCATCTTGGCTTCCTCGAGCCATCTGCTGATTGTCGAATCCGCGGCGAAGAATGCTGCTTGAGTTGGCTCTTGGTACGCATCCCGGCGGTTCTCGGCTCGAGATTCTCGAGCCGCAGGGGGAAATGGCATAGAAAATTCCTGGACATCACCCCGATGACCTGGCTGACTGATCTGGAATTGAAGTGCGTGTCCGTGGCGACCCATGTGGGGAAGAGACGTAATCAGGTCGTTAATAATGGACAGAGGACTGTCCCCATGCGGCGCGCCGCCGAGCAAACGAACAAAACTACTAGGGTGTGAGGACCGGGACGCGGAGTCCCGTCCAGCCTCGTTGCCACGGTGGAGAAGCGGATTGAGCCCGTCCTCATTGCCAGCTGACCGCTCACTTCGCTGCGTCGTTCTCATAAAGTTTCGCATGTCTGGATCGTTGAAGTCAGCATCCATAGGTATGGCTCTTCGGATTGCATGCGCAGTCTGCTGCGTCGCTCTCGTCTCAAGAATGCGCGCAAGGAGCTGTGCCAGGGCTACCCCAGGTGATAGGGCGGCACCAGCGGCTAGACCGGCACGCGTCGCGGGTAATAAGAATGACATACCGCCAAAGTGGCTAAAAGGGTCGCGAGGGCCTCCCATCATGAAGGGGACAGGAGGAAAGGGGCTGCGGATACCGTGTCGATGACGGTGATGGTGATGGCCGCCGAGCATGGCGCCGCCGTCGTTGATAACAAGTGTTTCCCAGCCCATGGCTGCAAGGGCAGCGTTTGGAGGAGGACCACCGTCTTCGGGTTGTGAGTGTAAGTATGCAACGCAGGATAACAAGGGAAAAGTAAACTTACCAGGATAGTCATCATCAAAGCCGTAGTCATCATCCATGTCTTCTTCATCGTCCTCATCATCTATCAGAAGCCGTCAGCACTACTCCAAAAACTACTAACCGCAGTGGAAACATACCATCCTCTTCGTCTTCGTACGGATTGTTGGGGTTGACGCCGACTTCCTCATCGTACTCTTCGTGCATGGCACGCATGAAACCGCTGAACTGATTAAGGCCATCTACATCATCCAGGCCGTGCATCTGGGCCTCTTCGAGGCCCTGTGCTTCACCCTCGTAGTCGACGTCCTCGCCTTCGTCTTCATCCTCGTCAGTCTCGCTCTCCCAGGCAGAGGCCCCGTCATCATCTAGCGGGTTGCCATCGTCATCGACAATCTGAATACGGTCGTCCATATCATCCATGGCTTCCGAGTCGAGATCGTCATCCTCATCTATATCGTCATCTTCGTCCATGTCTTCTTCATCGTCATCGTCCTCATCCATGTCGTCTTCTTCTTCCATGGTGACTTCGACTACGCCGAGGTCACCAGGCAAACCTTCGATCTGATCCATGCCTTCGACATCTTCATCTTCGTCGCTAACGTTCTCCTCGCCGTCAAAGGAGCCTTCTTCGTATTCCATTTCGTCATCGCCGTACTCTTCGTCGTACATCTCCTCATCATCTGTCTTCCTTAGTACTAGCTGGAATAATTAGGAAACATCGACTTACCATCATCTGATTCTTCGGAGTAGTCACCCTCCATGTCGCGGCCGGGTTCCATCATGCCGAGGGCTGAGTTACGGTAGAGATCGGGGGTTTCTTCACGGTCCTCCTCCATATCCGATAGGGACGTTGCTGACGCAATATCGTCCTCGATGCTCTCTGCAGTTGATGCTATGGGTAAAATATTGGAGTGACTCAACTGTATGGCAGTGCTTGTGAGAATGCGCAATACCCTAAGAATCGACTTGATAGTTTTCTTGACCGGAGGGAATGCGAGGTCAATGTCGGCTATGGAGGCAGTGAGAAGACCAAGATAGCCCTTTTCGTACATAAGGCGCCGAAGCTGTGCATAAGAGCGTTCGGGCGATAGCTCGGGATTGGTTCGCGTTGAACCAGGCAAATCCTTGTCCTTCTCACCCATCATTAGGTGCATGACCTCGGCCAAGGCTACCATTCTGGCATACCTCTTGTCAAATGCTTCATTAGAGGTTGACGCATCTTTGTAGGCTTTGAGGATGGTATCGAGAACGAACTTCCGAACGAAAAGAAGGTCCGGTTCGTCGTCGTAGTCATGTTTCTCACGACTGCGATCCACGGGCTTCTCGCCAGTCTTACTCACAAGCGCCACAAGAAGATTCTGTGCTTGAACAGCCGTGGCATATGCCTTCTTGTTCGCAAGTGAGTCCCCAGAAGATGTGTCGAGCTGTGTAGGACAGACTAGTTCTGTCAGGAAGTAGTTGAGAACGCTCGACCGTGGCTTGATCGGAGTGTTCGTCTGCAACGGTGCACTTCTCTTGAAATTGATGAATTCCACCTTTGTGCGGTTGTAGCTTTGCAGCAACTCTGTAAGGCAGTGCAGAAGGAAACACCGGTAGATGAAGATCGGGTGCTCATCAGCTTTGAAGGAACCTTTGGCCTTCTTGTCTTTGCTCTCGGAAGACCGATTTTCAGAGGCATCAGCAGTGCCGTTTGACGCTGAGGGGCCTGGCTCGTTGCTACCCTTGGATTCCTTTGATGTCTGCGACGGCTCCTTATCATCCACCTCTTTATAGTTCAGTAGCTCGCAGAGTAGGAAGTGTATGACGCCGTCTGGGTTCTCCAGGATTGGCCGTTTGGTTTCAGGGGGCTTAGACAATGATGTATCGGCCATTCGCTTGTCCACGTTCTCTGTTGACGGTTTGACATCCTGAATCGATAGATCTTCTGTGGCTCTCACGGTTGGTGCAACATCATCTTTCACGGGTTCCGGCTTCTGTTCCTTGAGAACAACATGTTGTCGTTGGTTGACACCGTTCTCCTGGAATGTAAAACGTGCGAGTCTGATCATCTCGTTCGAGACTTCAACGAAGAGTTTCGGATCTCGGAGAGCAACATGGGACAACTGGCGGACGTAGCCTGGCACGTCAAGAGCACGTTGAGCTCGACTGTTTTCAAACAAGGCTCGAATCTCGCTTCTCATGATCTGCTTAATAATTTCTTCATCTTCGACTACGTGTCGAAGGATCGTCATTAAGTACGAGGAAATCCGCGTCTCGCCAAGTCGCTGGGAACCAAAGCCCGAGAGCTGTTTGGTCATGACGAATAAGCGTTGGAGGTTCTTTTTGTCGCCGATGAGTCGAGCAGTAGCCCTGTTTCGAGTCAAAATGACAAGGACGCGCAAGACTGATATGGCTAACGATTCCTCTTTTCCTACCCGCGGAAGGATGTCCAAAACAGCACCCAGAAGAATGTGACGGTCATCATCCTTGACCACGACGTCCTTCGAAGGCCATTGCAGACTCTCTATTTGCTCTTCCTCGTTTACCGGGGCTTTCCATCGTATGTCGCCAGGTTGCTCATCATCACTGAGGAGAATCTCAAAAACGAGGAGAACGTAGGGAATCCAAGGCGGCAAGTCTTCGTTGGACGGAGAAGGGACCTGCAGGAAACGCATCAATTCAGTCACGTTTTCTCTCAGTGTACTGACAGTGGCTTGAAAGAAACCCCGATCTTGAAGAAGCAGAGAGAGAAGGTGGGCATAAGCGGCAATGCTCCGCCCATTAGGCTTGAGGTCGTCATCTAGTGCAAATGACATCAAAGCATTCACTAGTGTCTCTCCGATTTCTTGTTTCGAGGTCTCATCTTGAGAGGAGCCGCGTAAGACCACCGCCGACATCAGCTCAGAAACTTCGTAAGTCGAGTCAGGGTGTGCCCTTATGACGTCTAAGCATCTGTCAATGAGGTTGGTCCGGAGAGTTGTGCGCTCAGCGTCCAAATCCTCTTTAGGTATGAGCTTGCGCGCCTCTGCAGAGGCTGCGGCTGCGGCTGCGGCTGCCAGAGCTGGAGTGGTTGAAGTTGAAGCGGCCCCGTTACCGTTCTGTACGTCGGAGAGTGGGTTGGGGGCGTTCTGGCCGCTGCCAGGAACCTCAGCAGAAACTTGTCTGAATTCACCAAGGATTTCCTCTTCAAGAAGTCCCGGGGGCAGATCGGCTGGCAGATCTAAGACCATAGCTTCACCAACAGGAGCCGATGCTGACTCAACTGCTGGCAGGGACTCATCTGAAGCAACCTTGTCCGGAGTTTGGTCTTCGGGGATTGGATTACGAGGACCGGCAATCCCTGCTTTGTGTGCCCTGCAGTATTCGGTGGCATGTGACATCTGACCATTAGCTCTGTAAACGGCCTCTCGTGCTAAGTCCTCCTCATAGTCCAACGCTTTGAGTTGATTGACGACATTTGCGAAAGTTGACCAGGTAAAAGCCACGGGTTGGTACTTCAACAGTGCTGGAGGCAAATTCTGTTGGCAATTAGCATCATGATCAAGCTGTTGTAGGTAAAAATGGATGGGAAGAAGAATCACTCCTAAATGAACAGGCGAAGTCAAGACGTAAGTGATAACACGGCGTGGAAAGCAAGTCGCAATATAATATTGATGGCGGAAAAATACATACCTTGTCAGTACGTTTGTACGCTTGGCTCTCATTGTCCGCTTGTGAGATAGCCTTGAGAATGTCGATGATTTTAGCAAGGATTGGTGCCGCAACCTTTTCAACCAGAGAGGATTCCCAAAGCTCTCGCATAACCGGAAGGATCGCCATTCTCAGCTCCACCACAAGATTTGGGATAACAAGTTGTTCGCTTCTTCGTTCATCACACCGTGGAAAGATAGTGATATTCCCAAGTGAATCGTGCACGACCTTTCCGTTAACCATGACGGCGTATAGCTCGAGGATTTTCTTCATGGCAATTACAGCCAAGCGTGACAGAGAGCTGTCTTCCCCGTCAGCGTGCTCCTTGCAAATCTCACTCGAGAATATTCTCAGCATCGAGTTGAGCACTTCCAAACCACCCTTTTGCTTGAATGCTTCCAAAACCGGTGAAATAACCTGAGTTCCTTGTCGGTCAGAGTGTCGGCCGTCATACTTGCGATCAAGCAGCATCTCATGCACCGTATGTAGCATGATTATCCAATAGTTGAACTGGGCAGTCGACTTGGGGTTGCTAGGCAATTGTAGTTGGGATAGGATCGTGTCCGCCAAACCTTCCGCCAGTTTCACATGGTGTGATCTGCAATAATTGTCCCGTTCTCCGCGGCGAGAGAGCAAGGTCTTGCCAAGGGTTTGGAGAAGCGGGAATGTTGTAGGCATCAAAGAGTGAAGCAAAACTCGGAGTGTCTGGAAATTCCGGAATCGCGGGCTCGACAGCTCACTCTTTGATGGTGGTCCTTCTGTGCGACCCTCAACCTTCTCAATAGACTTGATCATAACTGCGGAAGAGAGCACATCCGGCAGGCTGGTGTCATCATCATCGCCACTAGCAGTACGGGCACGAGTGCCTGCGCTGCTACCACGCCGATCCGGTGAGGGTGTCTCCTTTTTAGTCCAGCTTGTAGGAACACTGCTCTGGACCGCGGTTTCCTGGGAGATGACCATGCGCAACAGAGGGCCTAGAGATTTTACCAATTGTTCATAGTAGTCAAACACATTAACCTGGTGTAGTGTCACCACTTGTGCTCGGTTCGAGTAGGGAAAGCACTGGTATAGGGCTCTGATGAGAGATTGGGCGTTCAAAAGAGCCTTCACCACAGGTGTTCCCTTAGCTAGCTTGTTGAGTTTTTCTAGGGGTACATCTTCAGCAACCTGCAGGTCGGCTTTCACGAAAGAGTCGAAATAAGGCTCAAAAATCGGCGTATCGATGACGGGCTGCAGAACGTCGATCGCCTCTTGCGTTCGCTTGATCAAGGATGGCAGACCAACAATTGGGGAACTCTCTACGAGCTGGGAGATGACGCTCTGCAGGCTTTTAGCTGCCTGCGTGTCCCCAAAGTCATGTGGAAGACTAGGGGAGGTGCACAGGTCCAAAAGGTATTCGATGGCACCTTGATTGATCAACGGCTGTTTGAGTTGTGAATTGGGAACATAGTTCGACAAAAAGGTTGCCACGGCGAAGATGTAAGGAGTAATTGATTTATATGGCGACGACACATCGATATTGGTGTCCAGCTTCGAAGCCTGTGGACTCGCAGTGTCAACCATATCTAGATCCATGTCTTCGGAAGTAGCCGCGGCCTTGCCTTTGCCATGCTCAGAAGCTTCGACACGGTCGCCGGTCAACAAGGTTGGGTCAGCTGACAATTCTTTGCCATTGGCATGCGTGATCAACAGCTTGGCCCCCCAGCCTGAGTCGCGGGCCTTGACTCGACCAAGATGAGTTACCCGGGCAATCATATCCAACACGGCATTAGAAATCGCAGGTCTCAACGCAGGATGATGCCGTGCAAGTTCGTCGAAGTGACCTCCAATGTTGATCGCAAGTTGATCATCGTTCTCCATGGTTCTAACATGCTCTGGACTTTCGAAAGTTTCAAAGAAACTGTCAAAAGCTCTCGACGCTACTACCATCTTCATGCCTTGGTTGTTCAACGAGATGGCATTCAGCACGTTAGGCACAATGTTCATTGCATCCGATGAAGGGACGATGCCGCGGGCCAAAGGCTCGGTGCGAACGACATCCAGCATCTCTTGGGTTGGAGGATGCGGCCGATTATCAGCTTCAAGAACAGACGGAGTAGGGGGGTCCTCTAGCGAATCAGAATCGCCGCCGTTTCCTTCAAACTGGCCAGATTGTGATGCGGCAGCTTGATCAAGTATCACAGATCGACCTGTTACAGACTCCAGAAAGCTTTGCACCAACCCAGCCTCGGAGATCGCCGCAAAGCTCGTAGGGTCATTGTTTAGGAAATCGGACAGAATGCTAACAGCGTGCGTCCACACAAGTGAGCCGAATTCGCGGACATTCTGGATGATGTGACGGAGGCTGTGCAGGAGAGCCGACTTGTCGACCAGGTTTCTCAACAGCCGGTCGGTATTTCCGCCGTAAGCAAATGCACCGGACATCAAGTGATGGATGAACTTCAGAAGCCACTTAAGATTCTGTTGCTGGTAGAACGGAATCTCGTAGTCGACAACAACTGATCGGCAGTTTGACGCAGTTCCACGCCCTTCCCGAGCTAGCTTGCGGCCTAGGTCGACTTCATGCGTGATCAAATCCGTAATAGCATCGAGACCGTTAGCATTGATGAGGGTCTGGAACGAGGTTTGCACGTTGAAGACGAGATTGTCCAAGAACGTAAGCAGCGTTGGGAATGTCCGTTCGGCGACATTAGACCTGATGGTAAGGATCTCGACCATGATGTCCAGCAACCCTGCCGAAATGATCTCCGGCGTAGCTCGCGACGAGTTGCTCGTCATGGCCATTGTGATGTGGAGCGTAAGTTGGAAGAGGTTTTCGCGCCACTCATCCGCATCGGTCCATTGGTTGCCATTGTCATCTTCCTTCATCTCAGCGACTGCCTTTCGTATGACGTAAAGCAGAACACCATGGTTGACGGTCGCATTGAGTGCCGAGAAGATGTCTGAAAGCTTGGTATGAAAATTTGTCATGGCCTGCAACAATGACAGCACGGTTGCCTGTAGATCAAGAGGGACACCGGCGGTGCCATCTGCCGCAGGGTGTATCAACTCGGCGAGTTGGTAGACAAGCTGGAATCGACGGGGTTCATCGTGATCCTGCCTAAGGACTTTCTCGACAAACGTAGGCTCAATGTGAATGTACGCCAAATTCTGGATGGCGAGCAAACGGGCCTTCAACGCTTTCTGTCGGAACTCTACCGATCCTGTGAGGGCCTTGGCAACCCGGAGCCGATTGAGAACTTCGTATTTAGTCTCCTTCGGCGCATCAGATGGTATCCGCTCAATAAGTTTGTATATCGGCGTCGTCACGACGACAGAATGGGGAATCTCCAGCGACTTTTGGCCGGGTGTACTACCTTCATTGTTCCCCACAGCGGGAGAACGAGCACTGGGAGATGGGCTGTCGTCCGAGACGGTCTGCCGCCCAGCGCGAGGCGTAGATTGCGGGGCACTGGTGGTATTGCTGCGCCTCAAGGGGGTAGGGGTTGAGGGCACAGAAGAGGCACCGCGATCGGGATGTGTCTGTCGCTCTGAAGACTGCGAGGCACTTCCAGGAGTAGGGTAGTATGAGACCTTGATATCGCCCCATCCATTCCATCGAGCATCCGAAATACCGGACTTTGCGATTGCGCAGAGGTCGTTCGCATTCGTTACAGCAGCGTGTTTCGAACCACTATGATTTCCCTTCTCCTTGCTCTTAGCAGAGGCTATCGGTGTAGCCAGTGGTAACGGGTCCGCGGGCTTCACGATAGGGGTCTTTACGAACGGCTGTGCCAACTGCTGTACACGGTCAAGGTCGATATTGTAATGGTTCGATAGCAGAGCTGTGTGGAACTGGCGGGTCGCCATTCCTAGGCGCTTTAATGAAGCTTGGTAGCGTTTCGCAAGCTCCGATCCAACTTGCAAGGCGGCACAGACGATGTTGTAATCAGTGCTGTGCAGGAGGTCGTTCAGATGCGAGCTGCTGGCATAGATGCTGCGGTTGCCGCAATGCTCCAATAACATCCGAGTGAACTTCAAGAGTTCCGCGACCAAAAAACTATCGCCATCGTCACTGTAGCCCAACTCTGAGAGCTTGGTCATGTCCCATTGCTGGTCACTGGAGCTCAGCAGTACGTCGCATCCATAATCTCGCATCTGCGGCGCTTCATTGAGCTTGTAGGTAGAGCAGAATGCTTCAAACGTCGAGTCAAATCGGTTCAACAGAGAAATCCAGTGGTATAGATCTCCTCTGGGGAAGGGCCATCGTGACGGGAAAGTGGCGAGGAACTTAGGCAGGAGCGGCAAGGGTGTGTTGGTTGCGGTCTCGACGAATTCCTGAAGCCAAGGAGTCTGAAGACAGTTGTTAACCGACGAGTACACGTAATGATCACATGGAAGTCACGTACCAAGCTCTCCTTGTGCTTAGGTTGAATGATCTTCGTAATCTTTCCCATGGTGAAGGCCGGGGCGGCAGAGCCGCATCGAAAAGAAGCTGCTCCCCCTCCACTGCCAAAGGTCAAACCGGTCGGTTGCTACAGCTTGAGTTTTCGTCGCAGAGCATCCAGGCGAGATGGAATGCTCTTGGTGAGATCGGCAGTAGATCTATTGGTGAAGTGAAGTTAAGTCGATGTTGAAAGCTACCTTTTGGGTCGGTACGAGCCTTGCCTCAAACAATCAGCCTTGCCGAAATGGATCCTGAAGCCCAGGCGAGTGCAGGTCGCGCGGGTCCGTGGTTTCCGTCCTAGAAGACTGCGGTGATGGGGGATGGCAAGCCGCAACGCAATGTTGGAAGCTGGGAATTCTTGGGTTTCGTGCGTTTCGTGATGAAAATGGGGAATCAGGTTGCAAGAGAGAAGTTTATTAAAGTAGAGGTACTGGTTGAAGGTGCATCTGGTGCCTCCGGGCTTTTGCGTAATTGTGGAGCTTGGACCAGTAGGTAGAGCCCGCGGCTTTCAGGTGCTGACGGGAAGTTTTGACTTGGGTCGGGCACGCGGGTTCAATGTTGACCCCACGCGTTGAGATGTTTCTTTTATTAGGGTCCTAAGTCTTGGCTGAATTCAAGGGTTTATCCTGGCTTTGTTAGCGGACAAATTGGAACCGAATAATAAATGGCGTATTACGGCAGCCACACCTTGATTACCTCATTCTACCTTACTTGAAGTCCAAATTACCTTGTTTTGGAAGCTAGCTTTGTCCAAATGAGAGATCATCATCACTTTCGTTCCGGTTCCATTTTAAGACTGTTTGACCTCCTCTCACTGCTCCTGCCTCTAAGTGATCAGAGACTATGTGATTGTTGCCGCACTTATATGTAGGCATGCTGAATAGAGTATGTTATTTGCTACAAAATACCGAGTGATGGTTCAATCGTGCTTCATGCGCATCTGAATTGCAATGATTCATCGCCACCACGAAAGCTAATGTCTATGTATGCCTTTGTCCGTTTCCTACTTGTCCCTTCTCCAGCGGGACCAGCGCGCTACAACTTTCGTCGTCGATAATGATAAAATTAGAGCGATGTTTGTTTCATTGTCCCCATATTTCTGTTTGAAATACTATTAAACTCAAGGCGGTACATAGCTGTCTGTTCGTTCGTCACTGGGCCATTCTATTATCTATGGCAACCTGCAGCTAGCAGGTCTCGTTGGCTTGCTGGTAGAGAAGTTGTCTGAGTATGGCTCCTATTCTGAAGCCACAAATTTGACGCGAAAGTCTGGCCACCCAGATCTAAAAGGCAATGTATCCAGGTAGTTTAGGCCACCACCTGAGATGCCGCCCCCGAATGACTCCTCTACTTGTAGAACATAGACTAATCGGAACAGAGGTTGGCAGACTTTGGGCTCGATGTATTAGTGACGAACTCGTAAAGAACTTTCTGCAATCCTGACACTATCTGCATATGTTTACATACAGCGAACTCCCACATTAAGAGTTGCGGTCTCCTGATTGAGGACTACAGATATTTCAAGGTACCGCCACGACCTATTTGCGAAATTTTCTTTGAGTTGATATTCGCGGGCAAGTCCAGTCAGTACAGTCCGGCGACTACGTCGTCGAAGGGTAGGGGGGATGAGGTAAGATAGTAGATTTGACAACTATACACAAATCTTTTTCATCTGGAATGTCTTGATTGAGTCTTTCCAAATTTATAATACGTACGGGTTCAGTTTGGGCCAGCGTCTGACTATGTAACTTAGCAGTATAATCATTGTAGGAATCACTTACATGGCACAACATGCCCACCCGCTAGTCTCGACCTCCTCTTCAACCAGTCAGCGAAAACACTACATTCGCGGTGGCCTTGGAAAAGAACACGCTGTTGAAAATTTATGAAGGCTTGAATCTATTAGAAGGTATAATTATTACCAAGCGCTTCACCTCTTCTTGGTGGCCGAACGTTGCGAGGCCGATTGGACTAGGAGCTAGCATGTTTGGTCTCCACCCAGAAAGTGACCCGAGCGCAAATATAACATATACCGATAGATCCAGTGGTAGTCAAATACTGCCTTATTGTAAGATTCGATGGACCGCAAGAGCCACCACATGAACCACACTCCAGGTGTAGATGAGTACGAATGGAGTATATATCCCATTAGTTTTATCACCGTAGTATTCGGTTGGTGAGAACAAATGAAATATCTATTTGATTAATAAAACCCCACGTTATGTGCCAATAGTCCACAGAATGGCATTAGAAGCTCATTTGCCCAATATACGACCGTTACGCATCTAGACATTCCGCTACGAAATATGAAGGGTAGCATGCAGTACTTCGAAATGCCCCGTTAGCTCGTTCGGCCCCAAACTCAATGGCTCTACTGACCTGACTATAACCATTTCGGCTAGCTGAGTTTGCTTCGCTTGAAATCCATTCCCACTTTGATATCGAGCATTCTCCATTAGCTTCAGGTTTTTCTTTATAGCGTGCCAAAACTTTACTAAATTCCATCCAATAACCCCAAGGGGATGTGGTCTGTAAGTGTACCTTGGTGACATAAACGGCAGCACGTCACGAAACTAATAACGTATGCACAGAGTGGTATGACGTTTCCTTAGCATGCACCATACGCATGGAAAAGGTTCTGGGTTCGATTCCCAGCCTCTCCACACTTTTTGCAAAAATCTCATTGTAATGTGGACAAAATATTTTGACATCTCCATGTTGTCGACTGCTACTGAAATGGTAGGAATACCAGTTGTTGGCTGATATAATGGTGGGTCGAGATAAGTTTTGCCCATGATTATGCATAATTATGCTCTGTTGAGAAAAGAATCGCGAAGGATCTTGTCTGCAGCCCCTCAACGATACGGCAGAGTTGCGAAGCTTGGCGTCAATGATTGGCGCCAGCGCTCCACCAACTCCTGAGCACTAAGGCTTCTATTCGGCGTCGAACGTTGCTTCTGCTCCACTAACAGTCATACGCGGCATGCCATGTTCAAGTTCCCAACGAGTTTCTCCATTGCATTATGTCCCACCAATAACAGAATGAGCAAGCTGATCGATACTATTACCTCCTCAAATTAATCAAATGATGCAGGTTCTACTGGCAATGTATGTAGTGCGGAAGGAAGCACTAATGTTCAAAATGGTCTCACCCTCAGATATTCAAATTCAGACTGTTTGCTAGTTGTGGATTTGAAACATAAGGTCCTCTGTAGTGGATACATTTTCCTACCACGCTTCATTGCCAAGCTCTTCTGTACGTATGTGAAGATGAGGGAGTGGAACCGACGCAGTCTTCCGGAGGTAGCTGCCGCAAATGTTCAATTGCCTAGTAAAGAACCTAACCCGTTACACTAAGCCAGAATACGCCTCAACGATCCATGTAAACACCTTTGCTAGCAGTTGTCATCACCAAGGTCCTGAAGTATGTATCGTTACGGGACAAGTTGAGCCATCGACATCAAGATCCGACCCCGATGTCAGTCACAGTAAGGCGCTTCCAACGCCCCGTGTACCAGAGATGCTCCGATTGTAGCAGGTCCTGCATTGGCTGGGCTGCAGCTGGGCCTGATGTTCTGGGGCTGTGATGCACGTTGGCATTGCACAACTTCTGATGAGCAAGCTGGGTGAAATGGCTGGGGGAGATATCACAGGCGTGTGCTCTTGATCAGCTTATTCACTTAGCCTAGATGTGATGAGAGATCTAAAAATAAACATTAGAAGCCGAGTGATCAACCTTAGGTATATACACAGTAATGTAGGCATTAAAACCGAGGGAACGTCATATCACTCGAGGCCTCTCGGAAATCTGACTGCTTGCCATTTTTCGATGATCTGGCTTGTGCAATCGGACTGGACTCCTGTTGCAGTGTTCAAGCTACCAGGAGCTTTGCATGCAAGTAGTGGTGAGGTAGACCCCTGAATGCGGCAAGACGGGCTGTGGATGGGTCCTAGCGCTACCGGCTAGCATTTAACTGGCTTTGACGGGAGTCAGGAAACAAGTGTCAGTTGCAAATCGAGACGGTCAGTCTTGGAAGATCCCAGTCGAACAAAAGGCAGCTCAATTTTACTTTTGAAGCTCTTTCATGCTCGCGTCTGCGCTGAATCTTCAGGGATAACAGTACTAATACGCAGTTTTTTCTTTGTCTTTGAGCTGTACAACGACAAAGAAAACCGAGTCCGGAGACAATCATTCCCGTGCTTTACCACCCTCACCAACTCAACCCATCTGTGTGTGCCGTCAGCCGCCCCGAATGCATTCCTAGACGTCGACGACTCGATCGCGAAATTCGACTCACGCATCCACGTGCCTTTCATTCCAGGTACAATCATGGCGGAAGCAGGAGAGCCGCAGTCACCCAAGACTGTCCATCCCATCGACGAATCGCCTGTTGGTTCAGACAGGGAGACGGTATGTCAATCTTCCCAAGACAGAACACCCTTGCAATCCTATTCATAAGGGCAGACAAAATCTGGGCTCGTCAACCTGCATTCCCTCGTCTTGCAGCAACAATAATTCGAGATTTGACCATGTAGCATTGCTGATCATGCACTCTTTACAGGATAACTTTGAGGATGCTGTCGATACAGGGTCTGTAAGGTCTCTGACTGGTCGGAAAGCGTCAACCATAAAACCCATAAGACCGGTCAGCAGCGATACACAACCCCAGTCCGATGCCTCTTCGAGCCCGATTGAATCGGTGAACGAAGACGCTATTGCAGATGCAGAGCCAACAAAGGGGGAGCAAGAAAATGGCACACAAATAGGGGCAGCACACATGTCAGATCGACTATCAAACGCTTCGTTGGATGAGGTCAAGCTGGACGATTCCAAGCTGGAGGACATTAAGCTGGAGGATGACACTGCTACACAGGAGAAGGAGAAAGGTATGCTCTAGCGACAGAAAGGTTGTTGCCGGATGCTGGATGGCTAATTAAATTGCATAGAAGAGCACCCGGTAGTCGTTAAGGGGCCCACCAAGAAGCTCTCTTTGAGTAATATCGCCAGCTCCCTGCCAACAATGCCATGGTCGCCTTCCAACTCGGAATCACCCTCAAGGGGAGGCAGCCCAAGCCTTGGGTCCAACGCGACATTTGCGGGGCCAGCTCCTGCAGCACCGCCGGCTGGACCGTCTCGAAAGCTCACCAGTCCCTTTTCCTGGCTGTCCCGTAACTCACAGAAGGAAACAGTAACATCACCACCTGTTACTGGAGCTACCTCGCCTCGGCGGAATACCGCAAGCTCTATAGCAACGTTGACAAGCAACCCGGAAATGATGCTTGGCAAGCTTGAAGAGGGAGACGAAAGCGGTGGCACAGATGGACGCCGTGGGTCAGCAAGAAACAGCTTGAGGGACAGATTCAAGTTGGTCAGAATGCGGGAAGAGGCAGGGATTTCTCTACCCATGGAGAATGGAGAGGACGACAAGCTTCCTGGGACTCGTGCCAGTCTCACTCGATCGTCTACAGTGGGTATCATGAGCCCGTCTCTTGACGCTGGTCAAGATGCGCAGCCTCTGGCGTCCCCATTGCCTGTCAGTCCAAATCCTTCTTTGGCACCCGGTACCGTGTCGGGGATACAAGCTGGACCCTCGGCGATGGCCGATACCCAAGTCGACTGGGACCTGTGGCAATCTGTTGTTTACGAAGGTCCTGCTGCGGTTGCGAGAACTAGCCCAGAAGAGCTCAACAGAGCCATTGGTACCGGCATCCCGAATGCTATTCGAGGTGTGGTCTGGCAAGTACTTGCCCAGAGCAAGAACGAAGAGCTCGAGCTGGTATACAAGGACTTGGCTACTCGTGGGACTGAAAAAGAGAAGAACCGGGACAGCAGCGGCACTTCACTTAGCGCCTCTAGCAATGGGAACTTGAGTGTCGACAAGGAGACTCTGGCATCTTCTGCCTCATCAATACATTCTGAATACTCTGGCATCAACGGCGCCAAGTCTCCCAGCGTTCCCTCGGAAAAAGAGAATGAGGCAATCATGAAGGCCCAAGCACTGGCCGCCGCGGAGAGAAAGAAGAAGGACAAGGAGGCTGCGGCAAGGCTTCAAAGACTTGAAAAGGCCATCCGACGAGATCTCGGTGCAAGAACCAGCTATTCAAAGCACGCTGCTGCTGCTGGGCTTCAGGATGGTCTGTTCGGAGTTTGCAAAGCCTATGCGCTTTTCGATGAGGGTGTTGGCTATGCCCAAGGGATGAATTTCCTCATCATGCCGTTACTGTTCAATATGCCGGAAGAAGAGGCATTCTGTCTTCTAGTCCGATTGATGAACCAGTATAAGCTCCGGGACTTGTTCATCCAGGATATGCCCGGACTGCACATGCGCCTCTTTCAATTTGAGCGACTCCTAGAAGATCTCGAGCCCGCACTCTACTGCCACCTTCACCGCCGAGGCATCACAGGGCACCTCTACGCCACCCAATGGTTTCTGACACTATTCGCCTACCGATTTCCTCTGCAACTGGTACTGAGAATCTACGACCTCATCTTCTCGGAAGGCCTCTCTGCCATTCTCAGATTTGGCATTGTTTTGATGCAGAAGAACGCAACGACGCTCCTCGCGATGTCAGACATGGGTCTACTCACAAGCTATCTTAAGGACAAGCTCTTCGATGTCTACATTGACCAAGCACCAAGTGCAGGCAGCATTCTAGAGAACGGCTTCTTCGGCAGCAGCTCATCTAACATTGACAAGGAAGTCTACCGGGCTGACCAGCTTGTTCGGGATGCCTGTGAAATTAAAATGACACCCGAACTCCTTAAAAGTTACACGGTGGAATGGGAAGAAAAGACAAAAGCGGAGAAAGAGCGAGAACAAGAACTCGAGTCCCTCAAACTAGCGAATCACAGCTACGCGATCAAGGTACGCAAGCTCGAAGACCGCATAGAAGCGTGTGACACCGAGCAAGCGTCCATGGCCAACGAGCTGGTCCACACCAAGATCGAGAACGAGGAGCTAAAGGATGAAAACGAAAGCCTCAAGGGACAGGTCAAGGAGCTGCGCATCGTCATTGAGAAGCAGCCAATCGAGATCGAGGGCGCGTGGAAGCTGGAACGGGACAACCTAATGGAGCGGAATTCCAAGGTCCACGAGGAGAACCAAAAGATTGAGAAGGAGATGTCTGAGCTTGAAGAGGAGCTTGTGCAGACAAAGATGCGGCACGCTGAGGTATGCGCAACTGAGCCAACTAATCTGCAACTAGTAATATTTTGCTGACCTTGATCCATAGCTCAACTCGCAACACGAAACTCTTCTGCGGAAGTGGACAGATCTCAAGCGCCAGTTTGATTGAGCCGTCCCATCTATCCTACAAATCCTCGGACACACAGCATCAAACTCAGTTTTCGTGTATATAAAACTTCACCGACATGGCATTTATACCAGAGTTCTCGAGATCGTGTCCACCCCGATATGGACCAGACCCGCGACTTAATTGCATCATCATCATCACCACAGAAACGGGAAACCAAAATTTCACTCTACAGGCGTTAGGACCTCCCTAGCTAGTTTTTGACACGCTGGACGGCCTCTAGCTAGCTGGCTGACGACTTCGTTGGGTGTCTGGTTTGGGATTTTCTTGTCGTGGTCTTCCCTTGGACCGCCAACCCTTGTATGGAGCAACATGGGGCCAGACGGGGCAAGCACAGGACCAAGAAAGGCAGAGGAATCCGTGAGGTGCAGGTGCAAATTACTTATCAGGGGCTAATAAACCTATGGCCAAGCCATGAGTAGTAGTGTATTGTATAGACCGTAGTCAGGGAGTTGCGGCGCGAAAAATACCGAATGCAAGCATTATTGGAACACACTTGATATCAACTGTGATGGTTGGGCCTAGCGATGTTGCTCTCTGGACGGTGGTGATCCATGAGATATACCCATATATTTTAGCCTGACAAGGATTTTTGAACCTTCAAAGTTGTTTAAACTCGAGTATCTTCTGAAGAAGGGTCTGCAAGCACGACGTAGTTCCAAAATGGCCATAGGAGAACGCTAGGAGCAAGCATGAAGGGGAAATTCAGCAGCAATACTAATGTAGCTTCGTTAGGGTTCATTACTTGGGTCACATTCACTTCGCAGCTTTCGTATCATAAACTTTATTCTGGTTCATTTCACACTCAACTACCGTTGAGAAAAAATATCATTGCTGATGACACAACTACTGCACTGCACGACAGTGCTTTTGGTAGATCCTTTATTGATCTGATCCTAGACTCGATGATCCCAATCCATGCCATAGACAGAGTGCAAATTCCGCGAACACCGATCCGTAGTTGCAATGACGTCGCATTTTCTTTTTCGTCGCCACAACCATAAACAGCTTCAGTAGTAGACCTTCTACTTGTGGAGCTTGCGCTGGTAGAACGCCAACTCCTCACCCTCGAGGATGTAACCGTCGCAGCGACCGCTCTGGCCAGGACGGCTGGCAATGACAGCGAACACGCGACCAGCCTCGAACTGCTTCTCGAGCGCGGGCTCGACCTTGCCCTGGGCGGCGAAGCGGGCAGATTGCTTGGACTCAACCGACTTGCTCTTCTTCACGGGCTCCTCGTCCTTGGCCTGCTTCTGCTGGCGGCGACGGCCGATGGGCTGGCCGTAGTGAGCCTCGTACCATTGACGGAAGGGGGCGGCATCGATCTGGACGACGGCGGACTTGGTAAGGGTGTTGGTTCGGACCAGCTCGTTGTTGGAAGGGTGGTAGGCGACAACGATGACACGGGTCTTGCGGGTACAGCCCTCGGAGGCCCAGGCGAAGTTACCGCTGTCGAGACGCAAGGCACGGTACTTGTGGTTGCCACCACGGGTGCGGACGGTGTGGACGCGCTTGGGGCCGATCCTCGTGTTGGCCTCCTGGCGGCCGGCCTCGAAAGCGCGCTTCTTCCCTGGTGTGGAGGTCAGAACGTATGATCAAAACAGATGCATACGGGCTTTCGAATGATCAAGATGGGCTTGATCATAGTGCCTGTGTCTATATATTTTTCATGGGAACGACGTACGGTAGTAGGCACGCTTGGCACCGGTCGCGGAGCGCTTGTGACGGGAGTCGCGAGAAATACCCATGATTGCGGATTCTGGTTGACACAGTGATTAGCTGAGGTCTAGCTGAAGTAGAAGCTGGCGCATTTGTGGCAGATGGGTGTTTGATGGCGGGGAGCGGATTGGGGTGATGCTTTGAAGGATTGGCTTCCACAGAGGGTCAAATCAAAAAGACTTCTCCTCCTTATTCTGTACTAACCTGACGATGATCGCTCTCACCAGTGCAATCAAGAAAGGGTGGTTGTGGTTGAAGGCTCGAGAAGTGCTACCGTCAAAGTGGGATTAGGGAAAGAAAATACAGGCTCGCGGCTGGGGTTGGCTCGAGGTTTCTCGCAAAATTGAAATTTCTGGTGGGCTCGCTTCAATCTCGGACTTGTAAGGTACGTACCGCTAGGGTTGTTCCTGCCTCAGGCACAGAGAGTGGTGATGGGTTGGAGGGCCAGAGTTCGAATATGGTCTGTGCACAACAATTTAACTGTTTCTATAGAGTAGTACCTTATCCAGTATCGCCCTTTCAGCGTTCCTTTCATTGCTCGAGAGGTGCCTGCCCATTTTACTCCTAATCTGGGAACAAGGTCATTGTAGTTACAAGTCAAAGCCATTCACCGTTATCAAGAACCGAACACTTATTACATTCCAATAGTTATCGTGGCAGTTGTCAAAATGGGGATCATCAATATGTGTAGGTAAAACAGTGATTCAGGGACCAGACGGGAAGTAACCGAGGTCGACTTGGCAGTATCACTACTAGAAACTACTTACAGAAGAGTAAAGGTCAGTTGGACCGACTTCCTCCAGGACTACCAATTTATAAATGCTCGAAGAGTATAGCCCTAGAATAACCTTTGCAGTCTGGTAATACCGGTACGTTCGGTACTATAGCTGGTACGAGTTTCTAGTGGGTCACAGCGCCTGTTAAACCTACCTCCTTACAATCATATACTAAATCATGCCGCATTTTTAGAACAATGCAGGAGGGAAGTAAAGATTCTGGAATATCAACTGTACTAATGTTATTAGTCTGTAAGAAGATCATGAAGCTAACCGAAAAAAGCCTGAAAAAAGTAGGTCGCTAAGTTCTAGCCGACTGAGTAGTTGTCCCTTGTTATTTTTGTCTACATGCCTTTACCTACGGCAACCATCAATTGTGCCTATGAAAGTGTCATGTTACATCTGCCTCAGCAGGTCCCAACGGCCATATCCCCCCTGTGATGTATCATGATGTTCTCCATCGCATACACAGTGTGGTTAGGGTGCAAAGCAAGTTGTGAAGGTGTCAGGTTGTGGAGGGGAGAAGAGATGTGCAGTCATCAAGGCTTACTTTAGTAGTCCCAAGCGGCCTCGTTGTGGTAGGCATAGTCGGGCTCCGTCGCACTGTCGGCCTCCGCGGCATCTTCATCATCCATGTTGCCACCCTCGAAGCCATAGTTATCCGCCAATTCATCATCATCCACAAAGGCATAGTCCGCCTCGAAGGCAGATACCTTCTTGGTCCCGCTGTTCTTCTCGGTATTACCCACCTTAGTGTCACTGTTGTCCTTAGCGCCATCATCGTTTGCGACGGACTTGGGCGTCAGCTCGTAGGCATTGTTCATGATGTCGTTCGCAAAGGTTCTAGTGATTCCATTGAGCCCATTGAGCAACATTCCCACGGCTTGCTCCTTCCGGGCCTCGTTCAGGTTTTTCTTCTTAGAAAGAGCGAGGTCGCGAGGTTGCCAGGGAAGGTTAGGACCTGTCACGGGGATCGAGGGGATCGATTGAGCAAGATGAGAGTATCCCTCAGCTATCTTGGGAGTTCTGGGATGGGGAAGTCTCGGCTTGATGCCATGCTTAGCGGCATCATCGCCGTGGGCCTTGCACTCCTTAAACGTGGGCCACTCGGCCTGAGGATTATCGGCGGCGTTCGGGTGCCAGATGCGATCTTCCAGCGCGAGCACGGTGGAGCGCCCGTCAGCTTGGGCAACATCCAGAAGTCTCTGGGAGAATGGGGCGTCAGCATGGGAACCCGTGATGTTCGCTCGTTCTCTTGCTTCCTTGTCCTTGTTCCATGTCTTGATCTGTTGTTTACGATAGCGGATCTTAGCCTCCAGGTTGAGCCGCTTAAGCTCGACGTATTGAATGGCTGACTTAGGTACTGCGGGAGACCTGTTCATGCGTTGGTGGCGCATTCGGAACATGCATCTCTCGTACAGCGTGTAGTATTTCTCTCCATCGCTGACCCAGACCTTGGACTGAGAGAAGCTAGGATCATTGATGGGATAGTAGAGCTGAGATTGGGTGTGGGCATGGGTGCTGACGTTGGCCATCTCTGACTCGTCTGAACCAGTTTCTGTCGACGGGCGTGCTCTCGGGGAATCCTTTATAGAGGCTCTTACCGTGGACTGATTAGAGAGTGCCGGGGCCGTTGAGTTGGCGTTCGGCGTGGATACGACTGAGCTTCCTGGTGCGTCTCGGGTGGTACTTAGCATTGGGGAATGCGAGATTGCTGAAGCCACCGGGTTGGTGTTCATGATTAGCAACTGCGAGCTAGCTGAAACCATAGGGTTGGTGTTCATTTCTGGTAGCTGGGAGCTGGTGGGTGTCATTGGGGAGGGAAGTATCGGTGGCAGCTGCCAGCCAGAGGGAGCCATGGTGCTGAGTTTCGGCATGAAGGATGAGGTGATGTCTGACACGCGCTGCTGTCGCGAGCCTCAGAAAGCCAGCGGGGTAGTTGTCGTTATGATGAACGGTGGTGGGTCTCCGAAAGCCGGTAGAAAATTGTTCGTCATGTACTGTTGGGAATATCTGTAAGACAGCCAGGTTGGCATGAGCATGGATTGCTACAAATCCCAATTAGCCAAGTACGGATTGTAGGCTGAGGGTTGGCTTGCGCTGGCAGTTGCAAAGAGATTGGTGTAAGCAATACCCGACTGGTTGCCGTGACAATTGCCAGGAGCTTGGTTGGATGAATTGATGAAGCAGGCAGGAGAATTAGCCTGAGGTGAGTGGTTGGCAAGAGTGCTTCCTTGAGCCGGGGATGAGTGACTCTGGTCAAGGCCCTGCTTGCGACAGACATCGGTGAGGGATTGGGGGTTTTTGTCCCCATCACCAGAGCTGCCCTTCATTCGGAGATGAGCGTTGGCAGTGTCCTTGGGCATTTTGTCCCGGTCGGCGATGATCATGGAGGTATTGTTCTTACCACCTCGACATCAGTGTCGGCGAAGTCATAGTTGTTACCCAGGTGTCTTGGGATTTTTTTAGCGTGAATCAACCATTTGTGAGCTATCTTTAAGGAGTTTAGAATAATTTAGAATCTGGCTATTAGTCGTCTATGAGAATCTTCCTATCACCTTGGTTCTGTCACCTCTTTTTGGGCGGTGACGAGTTCCTTTATCATCCAAAGTGCTTTCAACGCCTGAGAATCGTGGGCCATAATGTTTGACAGTTTGATTCAAGTTCCTAGAGTTAGTCGTACGGCCATGAGATACTTCAGGGTTGAACTTATTAGTTGTCGACTTGTCCAAGTCGAACTCATTCCCATACGTGAATCGGGTTCACGGAGGATCAAATGGTTTCCTTGTCAATAGAGCTAGGTTTAATGCTTACAATGTGACTCGATTTTGAATGCTATTTATCATCTAAGCTGGTTTGAATACCATGGCATGGGGTGGTCGTAAGTCTGTAGCGGTTAACACGTATTGCCGGATGAAATTGAGTACCTACTTGTCCTTGGAAGTGGTTCAAGGCCTGACTATTGTAAGGCACAGGATTCCACGCTGACTGTAGCAATAGGGGGTGAGAAAAATGCTTAAGCTGCTTGTAAAAGTAGATATAAGGGTGAGAAAGCCGAGTATTATAATTTCAAGGACGAATGCTTACTAAAACATAGTCTTAGTGACACCAGGAATATCTCTGAATGGCGCGATCATACGTACGGAAGGTACGATCAAAATCACCGCACATGTGGGGAGCGAAGGAGTGAGCATTGCAATGGCGAGTTCCAGAAACTAAAAGGAAACATTTCGTGGTTATAAGAGCTACAGGGACAGCAAAGAACCACCGCAAATATAGTAGTATCACAGCAATCAACCATCCTAGTGACAGCAAGACAAGGTAGTCGGTCATAGCCATTAGGACACGAGGTGCCATGAAGTAACACTACTCATGTAAGAAATCCCGTAACGCCGAGAAGACTATTTGAACGTGATTTTCCAAACGGCTCCTAGGGAGACACAGGCAGAAGCTGGTAATTATTAAAGTAACTGCAGCACAGCACAAGAAGGATTCGAGATTTCATCACAAATTGGAAATGCCATGGATTAGTTCGTAGCTAAAGTATGCATGGCTCAACATGGAGGCTCCGTTGTGCGGCTATAAGAGTGCTTATGAACTTTCAAAAAGGGGCTTTGTTACAGGCCCTGTGGGAAACTATGGCCTCAGGTATAGATGGGTACAAGACAGGCAGGCATGTATTGTAGGATTCAGGGACCCCTCGGGAGCCAACTTAGGATTGGTCCCCCACGCACGTTTGTAGTACCAATACAGCCCCCGGTAATGGAATCCGACGGGCCTGTCATAATGCCTAACAAATCCAAACTCAGTGCAAGAGAACAAGAGCAGAAACTTCCAAAAATATAAATGGGAACGGAAAGGAGTTAATATTTAAAACCTGCATAGTAAAGTATTATAAAATCGTAACCAAGGTCGTGCAACCTGTCAGGTACGTTTTCCAATCTTTTTGTTAACATAACTCCAGTGCTACGACTATATGGAACCCTACTAGCTTTGTGGAAACTCCCTAGTCATATGATGGACAAAGAGTCAAGTCCCAAACATGTTTCGCATTCCTCTGAAAGTGTGCATTTACTCACAGATCATGCCAGGGACCTGGATGCATGCTTCTCCCTTTCCATGGAACGGAGCTGCTAAGTTCTGTGTTGTCAACGATGCAAATATGCTTCTCAAGCACCTGCAGCCGCATTAACTCACTAGTTCTTTGTATCCCGAGCTAGCTTCAAAGGACGGCTGGCATCATCGTCTTACGAGATCACTCTAGAGATTAGAAGAACGATATAATAAGGTGTGAATGGAGTATAATACCACGGGAGGGATAGGGGGGCTATGTGAAGTGGTCTTCTGATGCCGTTGTACTCTTTCTTCAACTACTTGTCGAGCAAGCACATAACCTGCTGGTGATCCGGTTTCTCGACTGCCTTTGGGGCATTGCTTGAAGTCAAAAGCTGGCAAGGCGGGTGGTTCACATAGATGTTCCCAGGAAGGCTCCTTTGCTCTCAATGATGCACACCGGCTGAGAAAATACCCATGCCAAAGTCTTGATGTCCCATAGATAGCATGCGTCGCAGAGCTTCATTCCAAGGAGGCCAGTGTTGAAACACCCGATGGATTAAAACGCTTTGATTGATTGTCTCGTGAGAACTAGTGGCTGTCAGAATTCACCTGAACCTGAGCTGGTGTTTGTATTCATTTGACACCATGCCATGCAGGCAGATACAATTACTAGTCTAAGTCCAGGTGTCTAGTGCTGTACATGCTGGTACATTCAAGGAGTGAGATAGCTACACTCCTTTTCCGTCCGTAATAGAACAATATTGCCCCAGCCCAACTGCCTCAGTATAAGCTGAGACTTGTGGCAATACTACATCCACCAACACACCAGCGCCATACATTTGATCCCTAGTAAGTCGTCGTTCTGGCTGTGCAATTCGTATGGCTTAATTAGAACGATGACTTATAAAATGTCCCGCTCTCATACCCGGCAGGCCTCTGCTCTTCTGGATCCTGTTGGGCAACACCCCCATGTTGCAGGGGACTTCTCCACACCACCCTAACCATAGCTATTAAGCGCAAAAGCACAAACTCATCCATCGTCCAAAGAGTCAAGAAATATGTATTGACCCCAAAATCTGGCTATGGACCGAACTATACATTACTGCTCTCTCCCTACCCGCCACGCATCTCAGGCTCGTGGCTCCTCCCTATCACCCGGCCAGCTCAAGCTGAGCCGCAAGCCGACGAAAGCCCTAATAAGTAATGGCATCGCAAGAAGAAAAACAGAAACAGGATCTCCTCGCCGCCTATGCAAATAAGGTATCTCTGAAGTTGAAACAATAACGGATCGCTTTGCAGCATTGCGTGTCAAGGTGTTCGTTTCCTTCTCCCTATTCTTCGTCCTCACTTCAGTTCCACGGGTCATGATTGGTTGGCGAGGTAGTTTGCGGCCTAAAGGGTTTATCCGTCAGCAAATTCAGTTCAAAAAGCATCGACCCGAGTAATTCAATACATGTGGCCGAGACTCACCCGTTCAAGATTATAATCATACTTCTCCAGGGCGTTTAAGGCATCCGTGCGTGAGTAGCCCATGCCGGTCAAGTTCTTTAAGATAGGATCGTCGTGTGTCCCCTCCTCGGTCAAAGCCCGTCCAAGACTGCTGGGTCGTCCCGAGCTCTGACTTTTTCCTCCAGGACTTTTGGCCTCTTCCCCGGTCTTCGCAGCATCACCAGCCGGTTCGTCCAAACTTGCAAATATGGCATCCCAATCGTGACCTTCCGGGGCTTTGGGCCCCTGCCCAGGTACAGGTGACGTGCTGTTAGCAGGGGCAGGCGCACCAGCTGAAGTGGATGAGACGTTGCCGAAGTCGAAGCTACTGTCAACACCGAATACGTTCGAAACATTGGTTGACTCGCTCTTTGGCTGGCTCGGCGGCGGGCTGTCGAACACGGCGTTAAATTCATCGAGGTTAGACCGGGAGACGTTGGCAAATTCATCGTCTGCCGAACCTTCTTTGGCATCCTCAAGATCCTCGAATTCGTCGTCAAGATCATCAAATGCACCCTTAGAAGCAACTGGTGCAGTGTTTGTCACAGTTCCTGGCGTAGGAGCAAAGTCTGCAGCCGGAGCGAATGGGTCCCCCGTTTTAGGTGGCGCAGCGGTTGTAGGAGAGGTCGGCGGTGGGGAGAAAGATCGTGGTTCACTTGATAAAAAGTTAGTACTACTGTCATGCGCTGTAAAATGATCGCACGGGATCAAAGATCGTACTTCGAAACGACGGGCGCGGTCTCAGCGCCCTCAGCAGCTGGGACATCCGGAACCGCCGTGGCTTTGGTGCTTGCGACTGGCGATGATGGTGCCTTGGGGGTTTCCTTGCCCTCAGCCTTGTTGACTTGTGGGGAAGCCGGAGCAAAGTCATCGTCAAATCCGTTTCCCTCGCTAGCAGAATCGGACTCGTCATCTCGCTCTAGCTCCGAAATGGGAGGAAACTCAGAGTGGAAGGATGAGAAGGCATTGTGAGTGTCCTTGGGTTTCTCCTGTGGCGGGTTCGACGAGCCTGCGAAGCTAGCAAATGCCGAGTCGAAATCATCCTTGGCCTTGGCGGGATCTCTCTTCATGCTCTCGAAAGGGTCGCTGTCCCTATTTCCGCCGAATGCTGGCGTCTCCCTAGGAGCATCATCCGGGAAAGCACCAGGTATGGCACCATTGCTAGCAGCAGCTGGCTGTTCCTCAGTAGGACTAGTAACAGGGCTCTTGGCAGCCTCAGCATTAGAGGCGGCACTTTGACCGGTAATCGTAGGTTCAAGAGGGCCCACTGTGCTAGTGGGAGCAGGGATGCTGCCTTCACCAACCCGACTAAGAGGAGGAGAGGCCTGGCGAGAGGAAGTCAGTGACTCGGTGGTCTCGCCAAAGGGCAGGAAGCTCGAGGTGATCTGCCGAGACAACGGCGGGGGTGGAGGCTCAGAAGCTAGAGTGGTTTGTTGACTGACAGTAGGAGTAGAAGCGGCCGGAGTCGCAAAAGAGCTCACGCTCGCCGTCGAAGTACCCGTGTTCTGCTGTTTGAATGATGTAACTGGCGGTGGCGGCGTATTGGAGGCACTTCCAGTATAGCCGCCAAAGATATCATCAAACGACTTTTCGCCATAGGGTGCTTTCACCGCGGGAGGTGAAGCGAAAGTGCCCATAATATCAGTGCTCCCGGTCCGTCTGAAGAAAGGGTTGTTACCACTAGCATTCGATGGTGCAGGGCTGGCCACTTGAGCAGGCGGTGCAACTGGCGAGCTAGTGTTGATCTGACGCGCAAATTCCTCGTTGCTCTTGGCGAGATCTTCTGCCTCTGTCTTCAGCTTATCGCGCTCCCCCTCTGTTGTTGAAAGCTGCTTCTTGTTGATGGCTACCATGCCCTTCTGTTGGCGCGCCTCTGACTTGAGCTTCTCTATTTGCGGTTTCAACTGTGCAATCTCGGTGTTGACTGCACTAATACGTTGCTTGAGGCTGGCGTTCTCCTGTTGATCGGCGTGGAGAGCAGTCGCGATCTGTTGGTGCTGGTTTTGAAGGTCTCGATAAGTGCCGTCAATTGCGGCCATCTCATTCAGAAGCTTCCTCGTCTCACCGCGGGACTTCTGCAGCTGATCCTTCAGCTCACTGACGTCTTTGGCTTCCTTCTCATACAGACCACGCAACTGAGTCAAACGGTCCTCAAAATTCTTCTTTTGCTGGCTTGCTTGATTGATCTCTTTCTGCGTCGTTGTCCGCTGACCCTGCACTTGTTGCATTTTGTCAGACAGCGAACCAATCTGATTGGACAGGTTGGCAAGTTCCGCCGTCTCGTTCGTCAGCTTCTTGCTAATCTCGGGATCATTGTCGCCCAGCAGGTCATCCATAGCAGAAGGCATGGGCGAAGGTCCGAGGCCGGGACGCGAAGCTACGGCCGAGCTTCCGGAACCTCCGGTATCGTGGGTCGCCAGAGTTCGGCCAAAAGAGGACGAAGGCACAAATGGTTTGAAGGCATTGCCCGTTGGCGACGCCTGAACTGGCGAGGCTGGCGCCATAGGAGAGGCACTGGCGAAAGGATCCCTAGTGGCGGTGCCGGTCTGAGAAGGGCTTGGCGCATCCAAACCAAAGAGGTCATCGAGAGCAGACTTGGGAGCTGGTGGCGGCTGAACAGGAGCGGGTGCGGGTGCATCAAAGGGAGATGTGCCAATATTAGGCGGACGCACTTGGTTGCGCATTGAAGGAGGAATGAGGCTTAGGGGCAATGTAGTAGGCAACGGGGTAGGCCCGTCCCGCTTAGTCCTTTGTTGACGGATCAGAAACATGGCGACAGCGAAGGTATCTCTGGTCAAACGTCCTTCGGAATTGATATCGGCAAGGTCCCAGATAGTAGCAAGTGCATCCTCGGATAAGTTGGACTGACTGAGGAAGGGCACCGCCTCTTCTCCAGTGATGAATCCCTTGTTCGTCTTATCCAAGTCGGCGTAGAACTGATCGAACCTTGCTTTGTCGGCGGGGGTAATGAGCCAGTCCGACCCGGTGGTCTGCGGTACAAGACCTGTACCCTGAGGATGCAACGCCGATCGAGCTAAGGGACTGGCCTGGCGCATATGAGCAGAGCCACTCAACTGGCGCGGAATAGCAGACATAGTCGGTCCGGTAGCCGTTGGGCTCTGTCTCGGTGCCGAGCCCCGTCTGGTCGCAGCTTCGTACAGGGCAGCGGGCAAGATGCTCGGCAGGCCCCGGAGCGCACCCGTCTTCATCGAGGTGAGCAAATGCATGGCGATGACGAACTCGGCCATGACCAGGGCACCCCTTTGCTCCGTATCTGCCAACTGCCAGATTCTACCGAGAATCTCCGTCGGCAGTCCTGACTTCTCAAAGATGGACTTGGCCTGGTCACCTGGGAGCATGCTGCCCCCTTGCAAATTTTGTCTCTCAAACAAACTTGCATATTGTGATACTTTTTCTGGAGTCAGAGGTGGGATGCGAATAGGTACGCCACCGGTTCCTTGTGCTTGCAGCGGCGCAGCAGCTTGTGGTGCACTCGGGCCCGCCGGGGTGGGCGTGAAGCCGTCGAAACGGGGGATCGGCCCTTGTTGTAGGGCAAGCTCGGGCGTAGGTTCACGGCCAGCTTGCGCATGGCCGATGAGACGGAGAACGATGCCGAAGCCAGCAGGCGTCAGGAATCCGCGGTTTTCCTTGTCTGCGATTTGCCAGATCTGATGTGGTTGAGCAAACAGGCGTCAGCACAATCCATGCATTGTGCCAACTCTATTTCTGCATGTAAACATACCTCTCCCAATATTCTAGAGTCCAACCTCGTCTTCTCAAAGAACTTGACCGCGATCTCGCCTGTGACAACGCCGACGCTATCCGTATCGGCCTCGCGGAAGAGCTGCCCGTATATGCGTTTCTCTTCGGCGTCGAGGTTGAGGTTGGGCCCAGCTGCGACGCGTCAGGTTAGTAACAATGTCCGCTGAAAAGCTTCACTAGGAGCTCTGGGATGGACTGCACTTACAGGCACCAACGCTCGATTCGGCTGCCATTCTCGCGCAAGCCGAGCTCAGTAACGATCCTTTTAAGGCAGAGCTCGGCGACCTTCCCTCGGAGCGGGAACGGATCGGACGGTGAACTGGCGATGGGTTCGGATTTTTTGGGTCGTAGGATTGTTGCTGCCTGATAAGAAACAAACAGCAGCTGCGGATGTCGTTGATGTCCAATACCGTCTTTCGAGGAGGCTGGAGACGGAGGTGGAGTTTGGCTGTAAGCTGGGGTACGCAGTGCAAATCAGCAATCAATAATATTGTCTGGTCGCTTGTCACAAAGGTAACATCCCAGCACGTCTTTAATTGGGCCAACCGGGCCTCGGCTTGTTCCGCACCAACTGGTTCAAGCTTAGATATTACGCCTGCCGGGGACCACTACGAGAGACCAATTCATCTCAATTCAGATTATTTTGCTTTGACGACTTGACTGCTGGGATGCTCTGTGGCATTCCCATTGAAAGCGGCCTATGCTTGCGAACAAGGATTACCCATCATATCCGTACTTGTCACGAGCTCTTGTCATTGAGACTTAATTAGAGCTCTACAGTCGAGTTGCACCCCTTGTCCACTGCAGGCTGCATGCTGCGAGCTGCAAGCTCATGCCCCAGAAACACAGAGCTTGGCTCAGTTGCAGACTGCGTGATGGTTGACGCCCATGAGTTTCGTGTCAATTGGACCATCAGATCTGCAGGTTATCCCACGGCATACCGCAATCGTACGCGTAGCCAGCCAGTCCTGTTGGGCTGCCAGGGCATGTTCACATCATCACGTCAAATGCCAACCATCCATCTGTCTAACCCTTTCATGTTGCACAATGTTCCAAACTGGCAGAAAATGAAACTCGAATACACGTTGACGAGTCGAACTATTAAAAGTGATAGGACGGATTTACAAGTGTATACTACTCCGCATCGCCTGGCTGTTTTCTTGCTTGTGATCAAATTAAGGGTAGACAGCCTGTTTTCGTGCCCCATTCTCACAAAAGAAAACAAAGTTTCTCTATACCCGCGCATAATGGCCAACTCTGTTCCCTGCCGCAAACGAACAGGGTATCATAGCAACAGGCTAGGTGTCCACGTGGGAAACTGAGTGACAAAACCGCTACCAAGCCTCTTCCTCAGGGGCTCGACGCCTAGTACTCGGCCTCGACGTCACCCTCGACCTCCAGAGAGTCTGTTGCAACCTCCTCATAGTCGCGCTCGAGTGCCGCCAAATCCTCACGGGCCTCGGAGAATTCACCCTCCTCCATACCCTCACCAACGTACCAGTGGACGAAGGCACGCTTCGAGTACATAAGATCGAATTTGGAAGAGAGAGCGGACCAAGCCTCGGCAATGGCCGTCGTGTTGGAGAGCATGCACCTATCAAGAATTAGCTGAAAAAGTCCTTGTGCGGACGAGTAGGATGACATACACAGCGCGGTTAACCTTGGCCAAGTCTCCGTTAGGCACAAGCTGGGGCGGCTGGAAGCAGATACCAAGCTTGAAGCCTGTCGGGCACCAATCGACGAACTGGATGGTGCGCTTGGTCTTGAGAGTGGCGACGGCAGCATGAGCGTCCTTGGGGACAACGTCACCACGGTACAGCAAGCAGGTTGCCATGTACTTTCCGTGACGGGGGTCACACTTGACCATCTGGTTGTAGGGCTCGAAGCAGGACATGGTCATTTCCTGGACCGAGTTGGCCTCGTGCGCAGCCTTGGCGGCGGAAACGACCGGGGCGTAGGCGACCAGAGGGAAGTGAATACGGGGGTAGGGAACCAGGTTGGTCTGGAACTCGTTCAGATCGACGTTGAGCGAGCCATCGAATCGCAGAGAGGCAGTGATGGACGACACAACTAGATCGCATTACTACTTGGACATATTCAAATCAGGGGGGGGTTCAGGGCTGCTGAAATTTCATACCTTGAGCAATCAGACGGTTCAAGTTCTCGTAGTTGGGACGCTCGAGGCCAAGGTTTCGTCGGCAAATATCGTAGATAGCCTCGTTGTCCACCATGAAGGAGCAGTCGGAGTGCTCTAGGGTGGTGTGAGTGGTGAGGATAGAGTTGTATGGCTCGACGACGGAGGTGGCAGTCTGAGGGGCGGGGTAGACGCAGAATTCAAGCTTGCTCTTCTTGCCATAGTCGACCGACAGACGCTCCATCAATAGAGCACCGAAACCAGATCCAGTGCCGCCACCGAACGAGTGGAAAACCAAGAAGCCCTGGAGACCGGCGCAAGCATCGGCAACACGGCGGACCTTGTCCAAGACCTGGTCGATCAGCTCCTTGCCCACAGTGTAATGACCACGGGCGTAGTTGTTGGAAGCGTCCTCCTTGCCAGTGATCATCTGCTCGGGGTGGAAAAGACTGCGGTAGGCGCCAGTGCGGACCTCGTCGACGACATTGGGCTCGAGATCACAGTAGATGGTGCGAGGAACATACTTGCCCTGACCTGTACACCACAGATCGTCAGCTCGATTCACGGGAATGGGTGCAAACTCAATGCGGCCTTACCGGTTTCAGAGAAGAACGTGCTGAAGCCATAGTCGGGGTCAGCGGCTTTGCGCTCTTCAGTCAGAAATCCATCGGGCTACGAGTGGCGCGTTAGTGATGAATCGACCTGGACATAGTGAGAAACACAAACCTGAATTCCGTGCTCAAGGCAGTAGAGCTGTAGAAAATAATATGTCAGTCAAATCCAAATTCTATGCCGCCACCGCGGGTCCGATTTCGATTCCGACAGTAAATTGGCCGATATGAACAACGCATGATTTTCGAGCTTACCTCCCAGCAGGAGTTGGCGATTTGGCAACCGGCCTGGCCGACTAGAGAGACAGAAGAGGTCAGTAAGAAAAGATCCAACCCGAGTTTCGACATGGACAAACAATGCAGTTTGAGCCGTCGTGGAAGCACGGATGATGCGGTGAAGCAAAACGCGCGCCGTGGGGAGATGCAACTTTGTGTGCCGGGAAGACGTACCGTTGATGCTGATGATCTCGCGCATTGTCACGAATGGATGTGATGCAAAAGCTGAAGAGGTACGGATGTGGAGAGAGGAAAGTTGGTGAAGCAGCCAGGACAGACACAGCCCTCTGCAAATGTTGGATTTGTCACGATCTTGGGAAAAGGGAAGCGTTGGGTGTTGTTGAAAGGTTAGTGGGGGCAATCAAATATCCCCTGTTGTCGACGCGCCTAAAACAGGTAAGCGTGCTTGTCTAATGTGGTGGCTGCCTTCCGACTCAATGTTTTGTGAAATTGTCGAAGAAACGAACGGTGCAGGGGCCACTTGGCTAGCTTGCAGGGATCGAGTCCAAGACGGAAGTAGCCGGCCACGACCTCGGGACCTCCTTCTTTAGAGCTACAGGGAACCAAGTTCGCAACACAATTGTCCCTCGTCCAGAGCTCTAAGAGATACCGGAAATCACCAACAAAAGCACGACGACAGAATTTCGGATATCTCGGGAATTTATATTATGAAGCTGCACGCTAAACTATTCAGCGTCGCCAGTCTTGCGACATGGCTGATCAACACTGTGACCGTGCTGGCCAATACTGAGAAGGCCATTTTCCTTGGGGCCCAGACAATAAACATGCCTACAACCCATCCAAACTTGGACGACTTGCACATTGACACCCTTACACCTGAAAACTGGACGATCCGAACTCATCTTGAGGCTCAGTTCCCCACCGAGTCTGCCCAATATGGCAAGGCCACATGGCTGGTGCTTGATAGGCTCACCGCCGGCCAGCGATACGAAGTGAGGGTCTGCTGGGCTGCCACCGTAAGTCTGAATCATGGCTTCTTATTTATGACGGTCTAGGGAAGAACCAAACTAAAACTTTCCAGCAACCGACTGAGTTCAGATTGAAGACGTATGAATTACCTGCTGTCTTCGAAACGCCAGAGCTGATCACCAGTTTGTCCGAGTACTCCTGGTCTCGCCAGGCATATGGCCAAGCAGATGAAACAGGCAGTTCTGCTACCTTCAAAGCTACGTCAGGCGCATTGCACAAGGAAAAAATGGCTTCAGTCCTCCTTCTGCAAATCCTTGCAGCTGCCGATTATTACACGACGAATACGACATTGATGAGCAAGGTACCCCCAGTGTTCGTGGATATCATATTAGATCCGTTCATTTTGAATATATTTCCGCGATCCCTTCTGCCAACCGTCGGGTATATCATTGTGGTCGCCGTTTTGTCATACTTCCTAGCCCGGCAGATTTCAATTTGGATACGTCACACAGCACAAGAGCGCGACCAAGCTAAGAAGCGACAATGAATGACCATCAAGAAAGATGTCTACGATGTCCACAATGTCCGAAAATGCATCAGTTCAGCTGAGAACGACTACGTTGCCCTCTAGAATCCAACCCAGTATGCCAGCGTTGGCATGATTCGTAACTCATAAAAGCGTACAACGACCGACAATCGCGTTATGTGGCAATGTCATGCAGTTTCATTCTGCAACTTCAGTCAGGACAATGCGCTGGTATAACTTTCCTCCGGGGGCAAGGCAACCGTGGAAGACTGGTTGCTGCCGAATCAGAGACGATAAGAATGCACCATCAAATAAAGAGTGCTCTGGTATCTATTATGTGCTCATGATGAGCCATCTCATCAAATTTCCGCCTCAACTTTACCAATTCTGTTGGTATCCGCCCTGTTGGCCGTGATGCGGATGCGTGCCCGACGGTACCGGTGGTGCATTTCCTCCAGCATACGAGGGTTGTCCTGGATAAGCGTGTTGCCCGGTTGAGGAAGGGTAGGCACCGGGAGGTGGTGGGTAATGCTGATTGACGGACCCGTACGGAGGTTGGTGTTGTTGGCCCGGTGCAGGAGAGCCATACGAGTGTTGTTGTGCTACATTTGTGAGCCATGTTCCTGATAAGTTTAACGGCAGTGGTGGGCCACTAAGGGTACTTACGATACGGTTGGCCTTGGGACGCCGGGCTATGCCCGTAACCTTGGCCAGGGGGACTGTTGTAGGAAGCGTTGTGTTGACCGGGAGCACCGTATGATGGGGCGCCATGCTGTCCGCCGTGTTGGCCAGGCGGCGGGGGAAAGGAGGGCGTTCCATGTTGTTGAGTTGGTTGGCTGCTGTACGAAGCGTTGCCATGTTGACTATTAGTTTGCGGTGAACTGTACGAAGGGGTCGATGCGTTCGGCGGTTGGTACGATGTCGGAGGTGCTTGGCCGCTATACCCTCCCGATTGGCCGGCATTGGAATAACCGTAATTCTGGTTCTTCGATCTGTCAGAATGAACATACGCGCAAACATGAGTGTGGCAGGCCTACAGCAGAATGTCCTTGACTCCCACCAAACATATTCGCAACCCCGCCCATCATAGAGCCAGCAAAGCCACCGGAGTGTTGGGAGTGTTGAGATTGTCCACCATGGTAGTTCTGGGGTTGTTGTTGCTTGTTTCCACTTGAGAAAATCTGCGACGCCAGTGCGCCGACAAGTTTTCCGGCTGGGTTACTGCTTCCCTGGCTATTGGTATTGCCATGCGAACTGCCCTGATTGCTGTTCCCATGACCAGAGAGGCCTCCCATCAGTTGTCCAGCAATGCCGCCAAGAGGACTCGAACCGTGGGATTGCTTTCCATGGCCGCTAGAGAACTGGTTTAGGAGTATGTTCGTCGCAAAGCTCTGTGAAAGAAACCAGACTTAGCAACAGGCTCGAAAACAAGGAAGTATATAGTCATCGACTTACGCCAATACCCCTCTCCCCTGAAGGCCCGTCAACACCTCTGCTACCGTCAGTCGGCAGCAGAGGTTCCATGCGCCCATCAGCGTGCTTAACAGTCTGTGTGCCATCCGGGTGCGTGATGAGTTCTTGCTGGCCAGGTACTCCATACGGATGCTCAGGTCCGGCAGGAGTGCCGCCAGGTGCAGCCTGCGTAGGCGTGTCCCATTGAGAAACGCCGGTGGAGAGCTGGACATAGTAGTACTTTTTGCTCGTGCCGTCCCATTGCGCGATCCAGCCGGGAGGCAATTGCGGTGGTTCGAACGTGGGGCCTTCGGTGCCCGGAGAGGCGGGGCCAGCCATTGCGACCGAGAGGCTCTGTTGATATGAGATGCGAGTAGGAATGGACGGCGAGGACAGGGGAGGGGAGAAGAAAGAAAGAAAGGAGAAGATGTTTGTCAAGTCATGGGGGGTCTAATAAAGATTCACCAGGTGCTGGGAAGTGGCTTGTTGCTAATGATAGGACGGCCGCCGGGTCAAAGAAAGAAACCCTGAGCCTGTGAGGGACCACATTCAAGTGCCCGCCAAATCTGCACAGCCTGCAACATCCTGCTGAAATCGCCATCATAGTGGCCCGTGCCCCTATCTAACAAGCCACACGGTGGCGTTTATCTACCGCAACTGAGTCCAATGACCAATTTGAATGGCCTCAAGTTCCATTTGTTTGCTCTCAAATTTTGAATCTTGTCATCATTCCCTTGGGTAATCACAGTTTCAATTTGATAGACGTTTGCAATACTTGGAAAGTAAAGAAAAACCGAGGCTTAAGCCCATGATGGTCTTGCATGATCCACGACCATCAGCTCACTCTGAATTCTATGCTGAAAGCGGCCAGGATGAGACTTTTTGGTTGCGTGACGATTCAAAGTTCCACCTATGTGTACGTCAGCAGATCACTAGCTGTCAAAGCCCAACCGATTATAATCGGATCGATAATCACACTCTTTCTCTCTCAATCCCATCTCACAATGTGCACTAAGAAGACCTTCGAGTTTGTGCTGATCAAGCTCACGGATTTACAAATTGTCCTAAAACTCGGATGGCGCTCAAACTTTTGGCAGTATCGGTTGAAAACAGTTGGGATTTCAGTTGCGCAATTATCGCAACTAGGCCGATTGGCTGCCAAGGAATTGTAAGTCTGCACCACAGGCGCCCATTTTGTTTAAGTACTTGTTGAAAACACCCTTGTTTTAGAAGTAAGTGTCCATTATGCTACGTGTTTCATCCAACAGAGATGATCTCATGACGTGTAGCCCGCCACCTCTTTAAGATACAATGTGGGAGCACCTATTTGTATCACTTGCAGCTGCTAAAGACTGCTAGACTTAGTCGGTCACGTTTAGAAGAAAAACAAGTAACACAACAACGTCGCGTTGACCTTGAGTCCTGGAAATCAGACGATTCCTACCAGCATGGCAAAGAACCACTCCCTAATGAACAACCACTAGCCTCATCGTCGCAGATGTGCTTGAATCACAACAACTGATAAGCACCAAATCTTGAGAATAATAAACCACCACTGCTCAGACCATCTGAATGTCTTATCGTATTCGATTACTTTTTATTCCCCCGCCTCCTGAAAACACCAACAAAACCAGGGACCTGCGAGCATCAACAACCCATCCTTCTCGACTCCAGGAAGTGGGATTCCTCCCGAAGAGTGCACCATCATATGCTATGACACGTTGTAAACTTCATGCGCCTTTTCCATATAGTACGGGTACGACGATTTCAATAGCATCGGGTCAAACCTGCAGGAGGCCCTAGAAGCACTCCATAGTGTGACGGTAGATTCTTAGTCCAGCTTCTCTCAGATATCAGGCAAGCCTGCGTGCAGTTTGGTCGAAGTTGCTGGATTGAGCAGCGAACGCGAATCAGCTATACCAAGGCCTTCGTAGCTGCGATCAACGGCGCGCTCGAACTCAATAACGAGTTTGCGAAACGAGAGCGGCATCTCGTATCTTCTTCGGAGCGGGATATGGCAACTTGCGGCTCTGCCGTCGGTTCGGGGTCCAAAGAGGCCGAAACTCCGTTGCAGAATTGACCCAAGCAGCGCTACTCCATATTCGTAGGGATCGGTTTTGATAGCGCTCCCACCTAATAGGCTTCTGAATCGCCTACGAGCATGCTGCAGTTGGGTTATATACCGAGAAGTGCTTCCATCTCTTTCTAAAATATTTCCAGCATGCAGGTTTCCCTATATACTTGATAGATGTGGGGGGGAGGGAAGGGCACGAATAACCTTAACTCGGCAGTTCCGCCAGGTGGAACAATCAGATCATACTAGTGGTTATATCTGTTTGTCATACTAAGTAACATCTACAGGCTCACAGTAGATGGCTCGTTTCTTCGTGTGTCCTTGACTAGGTAAATTGAGGAGTAGGAGCGCTAGAGAGCACAGTTGTTTCCATGATGTGCACAGTTTCTTTCATAGGGCAGCCGTGGCTGTTTTGATACGTAGTATAGCTTATTCTCTCAGAGTGTCTATGACTGGATATACGTAAAAATGCAATACGTGGGCAAGGTCTAAGGAATATTATGCAACAATACGTACTGAGCGCTTGACTCTATCCAGAAATGTAGCCCCCCAAAATTGAACTTTGCCCAGACACCCTGAGGCATAAATCACAGACTCGTTGCTCAAACCTAGGAGGTCAAACTCTTATAGTTGAAGGATTTCAATGTCTGTTTATCAGACTTCTAAGACTCATCTAAACGGACCTATTGGGTTTTCTAGCAATCGTCCAGATTCATTGCCACAAACGGAACCACAAGACTTAGATGGCCAGGTACTGCGAGGATAAAGAGGGTGGCTGATGAAATATGCCTAAGTTGATCTCATGAGGTGGTTTGAGTCTTTATTATTTCTAGACTGGCAGTGTCCTTCTCTTGGAAATATCAAAAGTGAAGCAGGAGCTATGAGTGACAGTCGGCAAAGATGGAAGTACTGGGACACGAGATAGGAGTGAAATGATATACTATGAGGTGTGGCTGAAGTGTGTGGCGCTATTAGTTTTGACGTCAGGCAGTTCTAGTATACCATTTCGATAGAGATTTCCACAGCTTCGCATCTACATTGCTTCTCTCAGATCTGGGCTCTGTTAAGTCAATCTTTTGCCGCCAGTCTCAGGAGCAGCCGGCCGGCTTTGCGCCAGCTAGACCTCCGGAAATCACAGCAGTTACCCACAGCAACGGAGACTCGCCAGTTTCGAACCAGTAGACCAGCCACGTCTTCGTTTCGGCTCTGAGGGGCCCAAACTTCAGGCTCAGACAAGGCAGGGCGACATCGATTTTCGCAGCTGGTTAGGCGGGCAGCGGGTCATCCTATTCTCCTACGCGGCCAACTTTACGCTCGTGTGCACCACGAAGCCGGGCGCATTCTGCAAGCTCAAGAATGTATTTGACCGGGGCGTCAAGATGATTGGTCTGAGCGCCAATAACCTCTCATCGCACGACTAGTGGATCGCCGACATTAACGACTTCGCCAGCACCGATTTGCAGATTCCCATCATCGCCTGGCTCTACGACATGATCGACCAGCAGGACCTAGACAACATTGACGAGAAGGGCATCGCCTTTCCTATTCGGAGAGGTTAGAGAGTTCGGGCCTAACTTGCGAATTGTTCAGGACACTAAATAGGAAGTGTTGTGTTGCAATGAAACTGATGCGAGCGCATATGGAGTGTGAATTGTTGTATTAGGAAGGCTTGGTTGACTAGCTAAGTCGCTGGCCGAGGGCCCTTTTGGGCTGGCTATCTTATTTCATCTATAGCTACAGGGTAACCCTCCTTGGGGTCACGTAGAAAAGAAGTCTGTCTATGAGGTGGACCTATACTTGACTTCCCGTTTGTAAATTAACCAAGATGGCAAACCAGACATCTATACCTTGCCGAACTAGTCGGACTCCCTATTGTCTGCATGACTTAGCCCAGGAGTTATCCTCGGCTTGGATCATTCCGTATGTTGAAGTGAGTATTTACAAAACTATTAGATCTGGGACGGCAGTGGTGGAGATATAACTCGATCTACAGGGTGCTTAGAATGTAACACTGTATTTTATAAACGAGTAAGTATCTATCATGGTTACTCTACTGAGATAATCCTGAATTAACTGAGTTCTCAGAATACTTGTATAAGTTCTTCACGAAGTTTTCAGTTAGTTACTACTGGAATAAAAGAGGCTTTTGAAATAACTCTTGGATTGTGGGCAAATGGTCTTGTATTGAAAGCGTTATGATCTCTGGAGAGTCCTGAACGAAGTGAACGGCGGCCTTAAGGGCCTTATATAGACAGGAATGACTGATGCCTGTCCCACAGGCAGGACTTGTGTGGTTCGATGGGTGGTTGTCATATTGGCCTATAACGTGCGGTGCGTGGCCATATGTTCTTCCAAGACTGGCAGTCTTGATGTAGTAGCCTCGAAGGTCCAACAAGAACTTCAACCAGAGCTTTAACGGCAGCAGGGCCCTCAAGACTCTGAGGCTGGGGTTGAACTTTGACGTAAGTAGAGTCTCCTGCTCTAGAAGTCTCAGATTCCCTAGAAGTAATATTTACTACTAAGTGTCAGAGAACAGAATGCCATAGGCACCAGTGGGTGTCAGGACACTGAACGCAGGACACCGGCGGGCCGCCGGAGGGGTGTTTCGGACAAAAGACTCCCGAATCATGATTACAATCTATGTGAAGCTTTGGGATGACGAGAGTCAAGATCCTTGGCATCGCCGACCCTGCTGTTATGCCGGGTCCAAGCGGCGGCCTAGCTATCTATATAAGGACCATCTCGAAGTAGGATAGGGAAGGAGTTGTCAGAGCCACAAGTGTCATCCGAGGCGGGCCGGCTTCCACCAGGTAGGAAGCCGTTTGTGGCGGCTAGAGAGCCGCTTGTGGCGAATGAGAGCCGTTGAAGCCGTTTGCAGCGGATAGGGAATCGCTTGGTTGCAGATAAGGAGCCGCTGTCCAAGATATTGGCCGAAGTCGGAGGAACACAGACATACGGAAGCAAACATCCAGAATCCAAGAGAGAACCTCGGCTGGCTATAAGTAAGGAGTCGAGACGGAGGAAGATAGAGAGGGCAGAGATCAATGCATCACCGTGGGCACCCCTACCTGAGACCGCCAGTGACCACCCGGTGCTACGTAGGAGGGACGCCCGTTACTCCCCATCACTCTGTACTATTGCCTTCGGCCTAGCCGTACCCTGACACTAAGCTACTTCATAGCTACAGTCAATGCTAGAATTTGAAGAGGATAACGGGGATGGAAACCCGTTGTCAATTATACTCATTATATTCGGATTTGATCGAGAATAACAAGTCTGCGATGACGTACAAACCCTATAGCACTTACAAACTGGCGCCACTTCCAACCTCACATACAGGGTTTTAGCGAATTGAGGTACGGGCATGTATTGTTCTGTACAGTGTACACATTTATAAGGGAGGTACTAGCAGTTTGGTGCAGATTACTAGTATTCGGAAGTACCATAAACAAGGACATATAGCTGGAAAATGACAGATAGACGTCCTGACTCACTGCCAATGCAGTGGCTTATACTGCCGTTTTTAGGCTTGACGAGGAGTGAGTTGTATTTGAAACAGTGCTTACCAATAACACAGGTAACTTCAAACTGAGAAAGATAAGGAAACCTAGAATTTAAGATTAGAACGATACAAGAGTAAGGAGCTACTCCTACAAAGTAATATCCTTATAGCTCCTTAGAAAGGAATTTAAGTGTTAGGGTTGTATTTTATAGATTGATAGCCGGTCAGTCTTCATAAGCCGTAGGTTTGTATATTAAACGAGAATTAAAGAAAAGTCATAGGTTAGCTAGAGGTGCTCCACTTCAATCGACCAGGTGTTTGCCAGCTGTGAAAAATCATCCAAGCAAATCAAGTCCTGCACTTCAAGTTCAACTTGCGATATGGGCTAAAGTTAGCTCTCATTGGCGCTCCAACTAAGATGTCAATTAAATCAACTGCGCACCTGAAGAGCAGAATCGGGTTGTCTGACTTCCACCCCATTCGGTGAGCCGCTTTTCTTGTCATCCGCTAGCCAGGCTCTCGCCTGAGACCTCGACCATTTCTCCCACGACGTGTATGGGCACCCGCGTCAGGTCTGCTAGTCTTACGTGGTCTGCTTCTTATGGTTTCCGCAGTGGGGAATCTACCTGCCTATACCGTTCGCTCCTAACACGCGCTACTTTCTGGGTGGACATCTCGACTTCATGTATGTCGCTCGGAGGCACATGATTATTCAACCTCCCCCCCATGGTGCAAGACAGTTGTTGCTCCGATAGCGAATGTCACGAAAGCCTCCCCCCTGGGTGGCCTTGAATTGTTGGTAGCTTTTTTCATACTGGTGAAGGCCCGACGTCGTCAATGCGCTGAGATGTAAGTGTTCTCTATTTCCATGTCAGTCTCGACTTCAGCTCGGATTTCATGAACCGAATCCGTCATTAGCGGCAACCGCAACTGTGCAACTTGGTATCCAAATCGAGTTGATTTTGTATCCGCTTGTTCGTATAATGGAACACTCGGCTCAGGGCCATGCCGCGGGGAGACTTAAAACATAGGCTATCCTCACGACGGGCGCCTGTGTCGGCCAGCCTCGTCGCACGCTGCACAAAAAGACGAACCGCATACCCGAGTTAGGCAGATTGAAAGTTTATTTTTTTACCCGTCTCCGACGAACTGCGCAACCCGCAGATCATATCTCCAGACAGGGCCCGCTTACAGGCAACCAATGCGGCACCCCGGGGTCTTACGGCAACCCGAACCTTTATTGACGTCGCGCGAATCTGGCGCACAGGTTGTCAGCTTATCCAATCGACCCCAGAACAGGGGCTATAGATTGCACCAAAGCCAGCAATGCCCCGTCCTTCTAAATGAAGATTATTCAAGATCCTGGTCGCTTTACGGGGTTAAGGTGGCCCAGCGCCCGTTTCGTATCCATACGGACACTTACCGGCACCTCCGTATGGAGCCCGGAGTCGGGATACTGATCTAACCGTTGATAGGGAAAATGCTCTTATGCTTATTGATAGAATGTGACGTGTAGCTAGTTATGAATTGCATACGATGGCTCATAGGTTGGAGTAGTTGAGTTTGCACAGTAGCCATAGATTCCTTGCTTATAAGAACCCCGGATGCTCTCATTGTCTTCGTTTCCACTATTTAGAAGATAGCCTTCCTAATTTGTTTCAAGCATACAGTTATTACATCTTCTCATTTGCAGTGTCTACTATCACGCCTAGGCCCATTCGAGGGTAGTTGTAGCATCATGGAGACATCTCGTGGACCCGAAACTCAAGAGTCTTTTGAGCTTACTGGCGAATCTAACCCGAGGACACCAGAACGCCGCACTGGAGAGACTGAGTCTTTCGACACCGACTCCTCCGACACAGGCGATGACGCAACTGTCGAGGTTGAAAGGCGGAATTCCCGGGCAACGATCGAAGAACTCGGCAGAGAAGAGATCGAGCGCATAATCACCACACTTTCGCGAAGATACAGCGTAGCCGATGGAGGCCAACACCCCGGAGGCCTTCTTGACCAGAACGATCCTACTTTGGATCCTCAGCAAAAGCACTTCGATCTTTCAAAATGGTTGCGTCATTTCATTCAAAAGCTGAATGACGAAGGGCACAAGCAAAAACACACCGGCCTAGTGTTTAAAGACCTCAGTGTTTCGGGGTCAGGGGAGGCTCTTCAACTGCAAAAGACTGTGGGCGATTTATTCTTGCAACCACTGCGGATAGGCGAGGTCTTCCGTCGCGGTAAATCCCACAAACAGATTCTCCATAACTTCAATGGACTCCTCAGGAGCGGCGAGCTTCTCATAGTGCTCGGTCGACCAGGCTCTGGCTGCAGCACGCTCCTGAAGTCTATGTGCGGAGAACTATACAGCCTCGATGTGAGCGAAAAGTCAATCATCCAATACAACGGCATACCGCAGAAAACGATGGTTGCGGAGTTCAAAGGCGAGATGGTGTATAACCAAGAGGTATGACGTTCCCCTGACGAACTTCTGCTGGCCGAACACGTCAACTAATTCTAATGCTGTCTAGGTCGACAAACATTTCCCTCACTTGACAGTTGGGCAGACACTGGAATTCGCAGCATCGTCCAGGACTCCTTCGCGCCGGATCCCAGGCATGTCTCGTGATGAGTTCAGCCGTTATGTTGCGCAGGTTGTCATGGCGGTGTGCAGTCTCAGTCACACCTACAACACCAAAGTCGGGGACGATTTCGTCCGGGGTGTCTCTGGCGGAGAGAGGAAGAGAGTCAGCATTGCTGAGATGATGGTGGCTGGATCTGCGATATCTGCGTGGGACAACAGGTAAGGCCGGTTCGCATATATTACCTCTGCCAACGTTACCTTTGCTGATGAAAAAAAGCACTCGTGGTCTCGACTCAGCAACAGCTCTAAAATTCGCACAAAGCTTACGGCTTGCATCAGACTTCGGCGGAAGTTCAAATGCCGTCGCCATCTACCAAGCCAGTCAGGCCATCTACGACGTGTTCGACAAGGCTACCGTGTTATACGAGGGCCGCCAGATCTACTTTGGTCCAGCCGAAGGAGCAAAGGGATTCTTTGAGAGACAGGGCTGGTTCTGTCCCCAACGTCAAACAACGGGCGACTTTCTTACCTCAGTGACCAACCCTCTGGAACGGAAGGCTCGACCAGGGATGGAAAATGCAGTTCCCCGGACACCCCAGGAGTTTGAAAATTACTGGCGCCAATCGCCCGAATTCGAGGCGTTGCAGACGGATATCATAGCATATGAGCGCGAGTTCCCTGTCAATAACGAGGGTCAGAGCATCACTAGAATGCGCGATGCCAAGAATTATGCGCAAGCCAAATACGTCCGTCCAAAGTCAGCATACCTCATATCCGTCGCTATGCAGGTGAGATTGACGACAAGACGGGCCTACCAACGCATATGGAACGACAAAGCGGCAACCCTCTCCAAGACAATATCGACTGTTATTGTGGCGTTGATCGTTGGGTCGGTCTTTTACGGTGGTGACGACACCACGGCTACTGTCGCCTCCAAGGGGTCCATCTTGTTCCTCGCCGTCCTTGTCAACGCTCTCATGGCTATATCCGAAATTAGTAGCCTGTACTCGCAGCGACCCATCGTCGAAAAGCACGCCAGCTATCGGTTTTATCATCCGGCTACAGAAGCTATAGCCGGAGTCGTTTCCGACATACCCATCAAGTTTATCACAGCTGTTGCCTTTAATACCGTCCTCTATTTTCTAGGCGGCCTACGGCGTGAGCCAGGCCAGTTCTTCCTCTACTTTCTCGTTACCTATATGTCGACTTTCGTCATGAGTGCGATATTTAGGACCATGGCGGCGGTTACCAAGACCGTCTCTCAGGCCATGAGTCTGGCAGGTGTCCTCACGCTAGCGCTTGTTATCTACACGGGCTTTATCATTGCCGTGCCGCAGATGCATCCGTGGTTCGGATGGATTCGCTTCGTTAATCCAATTTTCTACGCCTTCGAGATGCTGGTGGCAAACGAGTTTCATGGCCGCGAGATCGACTGCGCTACGATCGTTCCTTCGTATACCTCGCTCGAGGGCGACTCTTTCATCTGCTCGGCCATAGGCGCTGTTGCTGGTCAGCGTTCCGTCAACGGCGATGCTTACATCTCCACGAGCTACCAGTACTCCTACGATCACGTTTGGCGCAACTTCGGCATTCTCGTGGCCTTCTTGATCGGTTTCATGATGATTTACTTCGTGGCAACGGAGCTGAACTCTTCCACCAACAGCGCGGCCGAGATGCTGGTCTTCCAGCGTGGCCGCGTTCCGGCACATCTCCTCAAGAGCAGGAAACCCACCGGAGATGATGTAGAGACGGCAGGAGAGGAGTTGGGCGAGAAAGGCAACGAGAAGGACACCCAAGTCAACGCTGTTGAGCCACAAAAGGACATATTCACCTGGAGAGATGTTGTCTACGATATTGAAATCAAGGGCGAGCCTCGCAGATTGTTAGACAATGTTTCTGGTTGGGTCAAGCCAGGTACTCTGACTGCCCTCATGGGGGTGTCAGGGGCAGGGAAAACCACTCTACTGGACGTATTGGCTCAGCGAACCTCTATGGGTGTCATTACTGGTGATATGTTCGTCAATGGAGCCCCACTGGATGCCAGTTTCCAACGCAAGACTGGCTATGTCCAGCAGCAAGGTCGGTCCTCGTTTACCCCCATCTGATTACAAGTGTGAAGCTGACTTAATCCGCACCTAGATCTTCACTTGGAAACAGCCACGGTCCGCGAGAGTCTTCGCTTCAGTGCCATGCTCCGTCAGCCCAGTAGCGTGAGCACGGAGGAGAAGTATCGGTTTGTCGAGGATATAATCCGGATGCTCAGTATGGAAGACTTCGCCGACGCCGTAGTCGGGGTGCCAGGGGAAGGCCTGAATGTCGAGCAGCGAAAGCTCCTGACCATCGGCGTGGAACTGGCAGCGAAACCCCAGCTACTCCTGTTCCTCGACGAACCAACTAGTGGGTTGGACTCTCAAAGCTCGTGGGCCATTTGCGCTTTTCTGCGCAAGCTCGCCGATTCTGGCCAGGCGGTACTGTGTACGATCCATCAGCCCAGTGCCGTTCTGTTTCAGGAGTTCGATCGGCTGCTCTTCCTGGCCAAAGGAGGCAAGACTGTCTACTTTGGCGATATCGGAAAAAACTCGCGCACTCTTCTCGATTACTTCGAGTCCAATGGAGCCAGGGCGTGCGAGGATCAGGAGAATCCCGCAGAATACATGCTCGAGATCGTTAATCAAGGAAATAATAGCCGTGGGGAAGATTGGCACTCGGTGTGGAACGCCAGCCAAGAACGTCAAGCTGTTGAAAGTCACATCGACCAACTTCACGAGGAGAGACGGGCTACGCTATCATCAACGGATCAAGACCAAAGCGAGGACCACGATGAGTTCGCCGCTCCCTTCATAGTACAGCTTCGCCATGTCACCTTCAGAGTCTTCCAGCAGTACTGGAGGATGCCTAGCTACATCATGGCCAAATGGGGCCTTGGCCTCACGGCAGGCTTATTCATCGGCTTCTCCTTCTATCAAAACTCGGGAAGCGCCAGCCTAGCGTCCATGTCCAACGTCATTTTCGGCGTCTTCATGGTGACAACGATTTTCTCTACGCTCGTCCAGCAAATGCAGCCGCTGTTTATCACACAACGCTCCCTCTACGAGGTCCGCGAGCGTCCGTCCAAGGCCTACTCATGGCAGGCCTTCCTGCTCGCCAACATCATCGTTGAGATTCCCTACCAAATCGTTACGGCCGTGCTCGTCTACGCGTGCATCTACTACCCCATCGCCGGCATCCAGGACGCATCCCGCCAGGGTCTGGTCCTACTCATGATGATCCAATTCCTCATCTACACGAGCACCTTCGCGCACATGACCATTGTCGCCCTGCCGGATGCCGATACGGCGGGCGCCATAGTGTCGCTGCTGACCATGATGTCCGTGATCTTCTGCGGCGTGCTGCAGGCCCCCAGCTTGTTGCCCGGCTTCTGGGTTTTCATGTACCGCGCCAGCCCCTTCACGTACTGGATTGCGGGCATCGTGTCGACGCAACTTCATGATCGGGCCGTCGAGTGCTCGGCTGCAGAGACGTCCATTTTCAGCCCGCCGGATGGACAGACGTGCGGGCAGTACCTTTCCGATTACCTGCAGACGGCGCCAGGTACGCTGCAGAACCCAGGTGACATGACCGATTGTCGGTACTGTAGCATTACTGTTGCTGATCAGTACCTGGCTGGGTCCAACATCTTCTGGGACGAAAGGTGGCGGAACTTTGGTATCATGTGGGTGTATATTGTCTTCAATGTCGCGGTTACTATCTTGACTTATTACTTCTTCCGCGTTGCTAAGCTTGGGGGAAAGGGGAAGAAGAGTAAGAAGGGCAAGAACGATAAGAACGATAAGTCTAAGGTTTGAGTGGCTAGGGGCAATCTGAGGTTGGTTTGGGTTATGGCAAAGGCGTTCATTGTGCAGGTTTCGTCATGTGAGATGTTGCGATGCTTTTAAGACTGGGCTGGAAAGGTGGTAGAGTTTTTAATTAGATAGATCGGGAAATTGGAATACATAGAATAGAAGGTAGAAATCTACATATCCTGATAGAATTTGAGACCATTGGAAGCTATGAACATGTTGAGACATCAGTGAAAATGCTTAGATAACAGCATTTCAGCATCCCTCTTTCATACTGAGAGGAGTAGTACGGAGAAGTGGTTCGCTTTCGTATCCTAGGAAATGTACTTATATCACAAGAATACATGTTGGGGTGAATACACCTTATACATCTTTAGGCCATGCTGCGTTGAACTATTTAAGATACAGCCTATAACCACTGCCCAGGCTGATTCTTGGAACTAAGTGTGCCTCCATCGAATCCAGTATTCACCTCATCCACCTCCTGATATTTGCCCAGCGCCAATACATTATACCCTCACAGAGCCTGGACATTCAAAATAGCACACATGATCCAAAAGGCGACTAGTATAACAGTCAAAGCAGCCGCAACATCCCGTTACCCGTCCCTCATGAGCACATTCCCAATCAGTTCGTAGCAATCGCCAGACCCGCATTCGAGACCACAAACGCCCACCACTGGAGACTGAACCTCATGTACCTCGCCTTACGTAGAGCCGACAGCGTCGTCAGTCCCGAGAACTAAATGGAAATCATCCAGAGAAACAACCCTGTAGGTAAAGCTACCGCATGCCACACAACCCCAACATCTAACGACGTAATCCCCATATAACCCTGCGGCACCTTTTCTTTTCCCTGATTTCCCAGCGCCAACAATCCCGCACACGTATAAGCCGCCAGCCCTAAACTGACATACATGCCCGGCCTCACACTGGGACTGGGCATGTCGAGGCGTATCAATCGAGAAAAACGCACGCTATACATGAGCAGCGCCAACATCCACCCCAACCCCTGTCCCGAAAGACCGGCAATGATTATATGCATATCGTACGGGCTCGGCTGCGTCTGCGCAATCTGCGCTGCTAGAGGTCCCGAAACGAGAAAAGTATACGCGGACATGATCCACGTCGGCACGGCGTCGCCGACGTCCATGTTCTCCATGCCGAAGATGATGTGGTGCTGGAACATGGCGACGAGGAGGCGAAGTAAGTCCAGAAGGCTATTCTTAACAGTGATCGGCCATTTACCTTTACTTCCGTCATCGACACCTGCTCCTCCTGAACCGGGTATCCCGTACGTAGCGGCAACAGTAAGGAGTATAGCAAGGGAGACTCAGAAAGCGCCGAAGAAAAAAATCTCAGAGGGGTGGTGGAGACTGATAAGTAAAGCGACGGGGCGCTTGCGGTGAAAGTTGGGACGAGGATCGACAGCTACTATGCATATTGCGAAATTCCTTTTCCAGGTAAACCAGCAACCTCACGGGATCGGAACTTTGGAAATCACCAAAAGAGAATATAGATCAAGCCGGCTATCCGCCAAACAAACTCATTTCCAATCCCAAGTGCCCAAATGGCTTTGGGCAGTCTGATGAGATGAAGAGTTGAGCTTAGAGGATCCCGCATAACGTAACGTCCTCTATCGAATATGCCAAATGCCGACATCAGTCCACTAGAACCGCACTCCCATGTCCACCAATGCAACTTCTCTCATTTGAATCGAACTTACATGGGACCAGGCAAATCAACGTCGTCATTCCTTGACCCGGATTGCCATCCAGACCTTTACTCGCTATAACATCTGAGCAGAACAGAGTACTCTTCTCCATTGGATCGCAATGTTTCTCAAACCTTCAACTCGCTCTGCTCGCCATCTGTTGTCTAGACCAAGAGCACCAGTTCATAAAAGTCAACTACACAGGACAGCTCCCCTCAGAGCCTTCAGCACAACCCAAGTGGCCAACTTCCCCACCCCGTCAAGTGGTCTCCCAAAGCACGAAATACAGTACTTCCCCGATATCTTGGGGGCTCTGCCTTCGCAATCTGCTGAGTTTCGGAGGGTGTTGTGAACTAGTATGTTATCTTGGTTTCCGAGTCGACATGCATCACTCCATCAGGAGTAGGACTAAGATATTGCAGGGCTATACAGTCAACTTGTCCTCATGACCATCCCGGTCGGTGGTGACATTGGCGAAGAGGCATTACTTCCCCCTTTCATCCCATCCATCCAACTCGGCCAAATCACCTCTAATTCTCACCACATGTACAGATCCACACTGTCGACCAAATCCTAACCTTCACCTCGGGCACAGGGCTCGCCCAAGTCGGCCGCACCGAGCAGAAGGTCAAGGCCAGAAGACCTGGTCATTGAGCCCGCGGGGACAAGCCACCAGTTCCTCAACACGGGGCCGACATCGCTGTTGCTGTACACGGTGTACAGTCCTGCTGAGCATAAGTCTACCACTGTGCATAAACGAAGGAAGAGGGCGACAAGGAAGAAGAGGATGGAATTGATAAGGTGCCACCGAGGAGTCAGCGGAGCAAGGAGGAGAATGAGGGGGACGGATTGGTCAAGGGAGGGTGAATGGGGATTGGAATGATGGATTTGTTGATGAACAGGTTGTATTGTAATATCAACTTGTGTCCCATATCGATGTTTGGTATGAACTTGTTGACTTATATGGATGCTTTATGGTGCGTATCCTCCAGAACAACATTCACGACATAATACGGTCATTTGTACAAATCGCTTCATTGTTGTCAGGATCCAGTATCCGGTTCGCGTTTCTCACTTTGACTCAAGCTCTGGTGATGACAAGCTGAGCGACATCCATCCCATCCTTCAGATCAATATTGACTTGTGTGGCATAACAACAAGATATTGAAAAATGCTCTGTAAAAGCTGAAAATGTATTGCCTTCATTAATCTCATCATGCTCAGGCGCACCTCTGGCAGCACAGAACCGCTCCAATCATTGCCAACAGTCTGACCCGACCTGGTAATAATAAGAACCCGTTTCCCAGGCCGGCAATGTTTCAGGCACCTCCGCGGGTTGTATACACCTCCTCTTTACTGGATCCCGGCCAGTCAGGGGTATCGCCAGATTCAGCTAAACGCCGACAGCCCTTTAGCCGAAAGAAAACAATACCACAAAGGCCATAATCACGGCATTTTATCTCAGTTTTAATATATTGTCTCATGTCGATCTTAGGGACCACATTGCGGGGAAAGCTTAGCCCCCAGGCTACTATGGCAGTTGTGCAGATGCATTCCGCCAAGTCAGGCAAGAAACTGATATAAGTGGTCTTGGCTCCCGTCTTGACAATCCTCGGCCGCGACACCTCGCCAATGTCATTGCTTATTTTAGTGTAGCTTGAATTAAATTATGAAGATGATGCTTTCTACCTTTCTCACCGGCATCCTCGCTACAGCAGCCCTAGGGGCCTCCCTCACACAGGTGTCCAACTATAACAACAATGCCACCTCCAAGGCACAGATGTATGAACCATCCCCTCGTCCTATTTGACTTACACCTAAATAACACCTATCCAGGTATATCTACGTCCCCGATAATGTAGTCACCAACCCACCCCTCGTAGTAGTACTCCACTCGTGCCAATCCTCCGCGCAATCCTACTTCACCAACAACAAGATTCCCTGGAAACAAGGGTCTGACAAAAAGGGTTACATCACCATCTGGCCCTCATCGCCCAACTCCGGTACCTGCTGGGACGTCTCCTCCAAGCAATCCCTCAGCCACCTCGGCGGCGGCGACTCCCAAGCCATCGCCAGCATGATCCTCTACGCACTCGACCACTACAAAGCCGACGCGTCCCGCGTCTACGTAACGGGCGGTAGTTCGGGAGCCATGATGTCCAACGTCCTCGCCGCGACACACCCGGAACTCATCAGCGCCGTGTCCTTGTACTCAGGCGTTCCAGCAGGCTGTTTCGTTTCTTCGAGTGGCGGAATCGCGCAGTGGAATAATACCTGCTCGGGCGGACAGATCAAAGCCACGGCCGACAAGTGGAAGCAGGTCGTGCTGGATATGTATCCTGGTTACACTGGGGCGAGACCCAAGATGCAGGTCTGGCATGGGAGCGTGGACTCGACGCTGGCGCCGGCAAATTATGAGGAAACGATCAAGCAGTGGACGGGGGTGTTTGGGGTTAGTCAGACGGCGACGGCTACGAAGGCTGATACGCCGCAGGGTGGGTATACGACTTCGGATTATGGGTCGAGTGTGGAGGGAATCTATGCCCAGGGGGTTGGGCATAGCGTTCCGGCTAATTTGACGGCGAGTGAGATTTGGTTTGGGCTCTGAGGGGTTGGCGAGGTTGCTGTGATAGTGGGTGTGGTTCGAAATTGAAGATTGGAAGACTGAGAAAGAGTATCTAAATAGTTGTTGAGGATGCACATATGGTTTGTCATTGGTGCAGTCGATAAGTAGAGTCGAAGCTGGTAGGGATAGGGATTGGGGTTGGATTTGGAACATCGATATATGGAGGGGGGATCATGACTGCGAGTATGTAGTATGGCACATCTGACATGACCTACCAAGTACCTCAAAAAGCTTTGTAAAGACAGTTGCATTACCATCAGTCCAAGACCACCGTTGGTAGGTGGCTTGGCCTTTATACTCGGCCGACTTACAACTTTAGCATAAGGTCGTTGGATTCATATGCTGATGACCCACCATTCTATATCGTTGTCAGCACGTGAATTCTCGGGGCTCCAGAGTTAAGTGAGTCATACCAAATAGCAAATGGTGCCATATCGACGATCGTTCACGAAGCACACGGGGCCATTCTTAGCACGGCTCTGACAACCCCGGTCCTTAGTACGTTTCCCAAGACAACATAATCCATGGACGTTGCGGGATCAAGGAGGGCTGAAGCTGGAAGTAACCGACCCCGAAGTCGACCTCGCTATCGACGGAACTGGCGAAGGACTCGCAGAAGACTTGGAAGACGACGCCGGCGAATCCGAGCGGAGCGGATGTCCTACTCCAAAAGCCGCAGCGCCCAGCAGTTTCGTCCCCAGAATGGTCTTCTCGCCCGGCAGCTCCTCGGGGACGTTGGGGTTAACAAGTTTCAGCTTCTCCAGCACGATGCCCGACGCCTTCAATACCCACTGCCCACCCACCTCCTCCGCCTCCGTGCCCGCCTCCTTCATCACCCACTGCCCGTCCGGAAGATCGTAGTGCCGGCCATTGTCACTCACTATGCCGGGCTGTTTGACCCGTGGGTCTCTGTCATTGTCGGACAAATCCTGGTCGGGAGGGGCCCAGGTATCATGCGCGAGGATGGTTTTCATGATTTGGATTTTATCGGTCATGTGCATGATCTTCCGGGGCACGTGCAGGAGGTGTAGCCAGGGTTTGCCTACGGCGTGGAGGATCTCCTTGATCTCGCGGTCTGATATGCCTTGCATCCACCACAGGTCGTTGTTGAGCTTGGCAAAGCAGAGGTAGTAACCCAGGATGACAAGCGCGCGGGGGCGGTGCTCTTTGGCGAGGGGGATGAACTCCCGCGGCATGAAACTGAAGAAGGTGATGATACGCAGATCCAGGATGGAGCTGAAGCCGTGATGGAGCTCGGCGTAGAGCGACCCCATGCATTTCAGCACCGTGTAGTATGTCTGCTGGTGCTCGTAATCCGCGTCGCCTGGCTTGATGGACGACACCATGAACAGTAGATTATTTGGGATGAATTGACCCGTCTTCTCAACGTCAATGGGCGGCCGGTAGAAGAGCACAGCCAGGCCCGAGTCGGTGATGGATTGCGGTGATATGATTTCGATAATCAGTCCGATGCCTCGCCAGACCGCCATCCAGTCGACGATATACAGAGGTTTCGTGTCGGCCTCGCGGAACATCTGGCTACTCAGCGCCGTCATGAGGAGCGAGCAAGCCAGAAGTGCCGGGTAGTCAGCTGGCCGCGCCGCTTCGATGGCATCGCGGTAGCCCTCATATGCCTTGGATTGATACGCGAGGGTCTTAGCGTAGGGGACCTCCTGGCCCAGGCCCCGGAGCTGCAGAGCTGACAGGGCCATGAGGCACTGCATGAGAAACGGCGATTTGAAGGCATGCTCGACCACTTTGACCTTCAAGACGTGGTCGATGGTCGGAGAACGACCGCCTTCGATGGAGAACGAATTGCAGGCCTCGGCCGTGTAGAACCACAGCATCTTCATGTCGATGTCGTCTCCCACACCCGTTGGCCGAAATTGCGGTTCTGTTGTGACTACCACATCCCCAGCATTTCGATGGGGCGATTGAGGTGCGCCGCGCCGCACGCTCGGAAGAGATGAATCCCTGACTGCGACGGCTTGGGACAACGAAGACGCTGACGGGGATTGGCCGGCGGATTTGCTTCCCGGGTATATGCATGATTCCCGACGGAGTGTGCAAGCACGGCAAGTCGGTCTCTCTTCAGAACATTTCACTATTACTTAAATTAGTGGATGTATCACGTTGTCGCGAGCTGAAATATTCGAACCTTTACGTTTTTTACAGTTGATGCAACCCGCCCGTGATTTCTTGTGAGGTCGTTTGGAATGGTAAGGCTTCTCAGTCGTTTCGAGGTTCTCAATTGACGGTCGAGGGTGAGCCGATACTTCCGTCTCCGACAACCGATTGAAGAACGTAAAATCCATATCGTCGGGCATAGGAGTATGGAGATCCAAAGGAAGTAAGTCCATGTTTGTCTCCATCTCGTCTGTTTTGAAGGTATCCGGAGTTCAATATGGGTGACTCAGCTTATTCTCTAGTTCCGAAATCTCATCCACAACCTCACTTGCTATGGCACTCGCTTACACCAGGACATGCGAGCTCGGATCTCATTGATAAGTAAAGCAAACAATCTTGTATTCGCGAGGGGAGAAAAACCGCAATGATATCGCAGCTTGATCCAGTGTTGCTCAAGCGGAAAATCCGCTGATTCGAGGTCAATTCGAATGCATACGTCAACACTTTCAGCAACGGGCGGCGGCGCAGCAGAAAGCGGCTGCGAGAACAAGGGCTGCGAAAACAACGGTTTGGCGACTGGCGGTGGTTGTTCCCCATCTTCCCACCGCTAAGGCCGGCTCTCGTAAATCCACTAATCTCTTCGCTTGCGAGTTGGTTCGCTAAACTACCTTGGCTTGGTTCGCCTGTAGCCTTGAGAGAATCCTTTCGACCACTTTCCAACCGTCAACGCGACTACCCTGTAGCTTCAAGCAGGAAAGGCCGAGGCACAATATCTATGTAGGCGTTAGCACGCGCCATCGTTGGGGACAAAACGCGCCGCACCCCTTGCCGTAGCCATCTACGTAGACCGGCCCGAAACCTTACACCGGAATCTAGAATTATTCTCAACGCTTCAATACTATCACTCCAGCTCACGATCCATAAAGCACAATGAAGATCCAATAGTCTGATATCTGTGCAGCCAAGACCGTGTTGGGCTCTTCTCAGGTGAAAATGAGCAACACCCTCTTCCAGCTCCCCTCAGAGCTTGTCACAACCCTCTTCTCGACCTTCCCATGCCGCGAACCTCAAATCCGGGCTCTAGCAACTCTCGTCTACCCTCACGCAGCACCATGCCGGAACCTCATCATCCACGGCACCGAAGCCACGGGCAAGAGCGCCATTACTGCGAATATACTTAAAGTCCTGCGCGACGACACCGAAACCGACCTCAATTATGCCATCGTCAAGTCGTCCGAATGCGTCACGGCGCGGCACCTGTTCGAGCGCACCATTGGAGCGGTAGCAGACGCTTTACAATGGGACGGTGCCGTCGGGCGGTGCGAGACGCTGGCCGCATTGACGGTAGAGTTGAGTAAGATGCTGAAGTACAAGGAGCGAGGAGAGGAAGGCTGGAGATTCGTGCTGGTTTTTGATGCGATTGATCGCCAAAGGGAGGCGCCTCCAACGCTACTCCCAGCATTGGCGAGATTATCTGAGATTGTACGACCCCCTCAAGCTACTCTAGGCCCTCTAAAACTACATCAATGCTAACCACACCACTCAGATACCGAATCTAATCACGATATTCATCCTCACCTCGCCCACCCCCTCCCTCCTGCGCACCGCCTCAACACCTCACCTCCACTTCCCTCCCTACACCAAATCGCAATACACCACCATCCTCTCCGCGTCCCCTCCTCCACCCCTCCCAAACACCACCGCCCAAGAAACGACCGACCTCTACACCCGCTTCGCAGCCGCTGTCCACGACAGCCTGACCCGCTCCGCCTCACGCACCCTCCCCTCCCTTCAACAAGCCAGTGCCGTCCTCTGGCCGCGCTTCACGGCCCCCGTTGCGGCCGGAACCCACAAAGCGCGCGAGTTCTCCAAGCTGCTCATCGTGTCGCGGGCTTACTTCCAAGACGAGACAGTGCTGGAGCCGGGTATTGTCAAGGGTCGTTCTTCCGCAATAACAACATCAGCATCATCAGCAGCAACAGTAGTGGCAGCAGGATCTGGAGCCCCTCCTGCAGGCAAAACCGAAGCAAGCAACAAACTCAAGACAACTACAGACCTCGCGAACCTCCTTCCCCCGACAGCTCGCTTGTTACTAATCGCCGCCTACCTGTCCTCCCACAACGCCCCCCGCCACGACCTAACCCTCTTCAGCACGTGGCACCACGGCCGGCGCAAACGCGGCGGTGCCATTGTGAAATCACGCGGTCGCAGCGGCAACACCAAACACCGCAAAATCGCTCGCAAGCTGCTCGGTCCGGGGGTCTTTGTCTTGGAACGCATGGTTGCCATCTATGCGGCCCTGCGACGGGAGTGGGTCGGTGACGAAGGAAAGGGAGCGGGTAGTGTAGACGGAGATGTGGGGATGGCGGTTGCGACACTGGCGAGTCTGAGGTTGGTGGTTAGGGTTGGGGGTGCGGCGTCGGCCGGTGGGAATATGGATCGTGGGGGGAGATGGAGGGTTGGGGTTGGGTGGGAGGTTGTTAGGGGGGTGGGTCGGAGTTTGGGGGTCGAGGTTGAGGAGTGGTTACTGGAGTGAAGATGTCATCGCATTATCCATCGGATCAGGCAGGATACCCACCCATATCACATTGGTCAAAGACATAGGCTCAATCTAAGACTAATTGGATAATTAAGGAGACTGAGATTTATGACAAGCTAACCGCCGTCCACAATAATCACAGCACTTCCGTCTTCCATTTTGTCGCCCTTCTTAGACATTGCAGTTGTCTAGAAATATCGTATGCATGACCGCTCAACTCCCAGGATGGGACGGCTACCCCTTCCCCTTTAAACCAGCCTTCTTCTCAGCAGCGTACACCTTCTCTGGCAATCCCGGAGCATAATCAAATTCATCCTCCAGGAAAGCTTTAGTGTTTACTTTCTAGTAAGCCCGCGAGATGGGTGACTCGAGAGCAAGCACCTATTTTTGCAGGTCAGGGTCAGCAATTGGGCAAACGCAAAACCGGTATTTACAACTTGTGACTATGCGAGAGCGCATACCAAAGCAACACGGCAAGGAATGTAGATATGCGTCCAGTTTTTCCTGCCATTCCACTCCATGGGCGTCGTGAAGAAGCGCGTACTCTCGTCGATTCGGCTGTAGCCGCCGTTCTCCTTGGAGTCCGAGTTCAGCACGATTTTGTAGGTGCCGGGGCTCTCGACACCGATTCGGTAGTCCGTGTAGCTGTTCGTAGGATGGAAGTTGAAGATGAATAGGAGGCCGCCACGCTCAAAAACGATGACCTTGTCGCTCTCGTTATTCAGGCTGATGTACGCCTGGGGGGAGTGCAGCCAGCCGTAGTGAGCCTCTGTCAGGTTCATCTGTCGGTCGAATTCATTGAGGTCCTTGTAGCGGAGGAGCTTGTCGTCCGTGAGATTGAGTTGCCGGCGCGCGTACCAGAACGAGTTCTGGTTTCCCTCTCGGGGGAAATCGAGCCACTCGGGGTGCCCGAACTCGTTGCCCTCAAAGTTCAAGTATCCCTCACCACCCAGAGCATGGGTCAAGAGACGAATCAACTTGTGTAGAGATATGCCGCGATCAATAACAGGTGTCATAGGCGTCAACGTTGACATGTTGGTGTATAGCTCAGAATCACAGAGGTGCATAAGAAGAGTCTTGTCTCCCACGAGAGCTTGGTCATGACTCTCGCAGTAAGCAATCGTCTTCTCACCGTGGCGTCTGTTTGTCAGTGTCCAGCAAATAGCAGACATGTCCCAGTCCTCATCTTTCTTCTCCTTCAATAGCTTGATCCACATGTCGGGAACGGCCATTGCTAGTCGGTAATCGAAGCCAACGCCGCCGAGCGAAAGTGGTAGGCACAAAGCTGGCATCCCCGACACATCCTCAGCCACTGTGATTGACTCGGGGTATAGATTGTGTAGCATCTCGTTTGCAATTATGAGATACACCACGGCCTCCTCGTCGACTCCGGCGCCGTAATACTCATGGTAACCACCCGAGAAACCCCTTGAACACATTAGCCAGGTTGTCACTTCGAAACAGACAATTAAGGCGGCCACTTACGTTCCAATACCATGATGGGTGTAAAGCATGCTTGTGACACCGTCGAATCGGAAGCCGTCAAAGTTGTATTCGTCCATCCAAAATCTTAAGTTGCTCAGGAGAAATCTCAGAACCTCGTGACTGCCATAGTTGAAGAGCCGGCTATCCCAGAGCTCATGTCTGCCCTTGGCGCCCTCGTGGAAGTATAGGTGGTCAGAACCGTCGAACTCGTTCAGGCCGTCCAGCACATTCTTCGAGGCGTGGCTGTGAACCACGTCAAGTAAAACCACGAGCCCCATGCTGTGAGCTGTGTCGATCAACTCCTTGAGATCCTCGGGTGTGCCATATCGGCTGCTGGCAGCGAAGAAGTTGTTGACTTGGTAACCAAAACTGGCATAGTAGGCATGCTCCATGATGGCCATGAGCTGGATCACGTTGTATCCAAGACACTTGATTCTCGGGAGCATATTCGCGGTGAACTCCTTATAGGTCGTAACTCGCAGCTCGGGCGAGGAAATACCAACGTGCGCTTCGTATACTCGAGCGCTTTCCGGCTTCTTTGGTCGCGGGTGCTTGAATGTGTATCTCTTGGAAGCAGGAGGGTTCCAAAAACGAGCATCGTAGGCCGGCGATACCGACAGGTCTTGGGTAACGTATTTGATCCACGCTGGAAGGCGGTCGATCCACTCGCCGGTTGGGGTAGTCATGGAGATCTACGGGCTCTCGTCAGTCGAGTATACATACAGCCATGAGATTTGGGTCCTTTGTACCTTGACTTTGGACTGGTGAGGAATGACTGGGCCTCCGTTGTTCGCAGGAAGGTATATCTCCCAGACTCCAAAGTCATTCTTCTTCATGGGGTGGGAGCCCCTGTTCCAGCCATCTTGTCCAACATTAGCCTGGCATCGCAGTACGTTTGTGGGTCGATGGAACTCACTGAAGTCTCCGATCAGAAATGCCTCCGTTGCGTTCGGTGCCCATTCTCGGTACGTGATGTTGTGAGACTTGTCCACGTTGAACCCGAATTTCTCTGTACCCTATACTCGAAGGCGTTGGTCAGAACATGTCTCACATTAGACTTAGAACACATACCCGAGAGAACTTCTCTATTCCTCCCTCGGTTTCGTCAATTATCTTGATCCAGTCTTGAGCTTTTGTGTACCTGCGCTTCAGGGCGTCCTTGAAAGGCGCCAACCAAGGGTCGAGCTCGATGACACCTACCCAAAGTCAGTTCATACACCGGCCGGAGACATCTCCGCCAAGGAGTCTAGGTGAACGATGCTTACCGGTGCCGTCGTTGGGAACGCCTTCGGCTGAGCTACTTTGAGCCAACGAATTGGCCGAAGCATCTGCAATGGGATCCATGTTTGCAAGCGGAATCCTGGACGGGGCTGGACTAAGTGATTCTGAAAAGCGCCAAAAAAGAACACCGACCGCTTGAAGAAAGTGTTGAGCCCTCCGCCTAGAAGCGACTTGAAGCTACGTACTTCGAGGTTTGGGTAAGTGTAGGTACTTATGATGGAACAAAACACCTGAACCGGTCAATTGAAAGACGTACAACCCGGAACAGCTCGAGGGGAAATAAAGTCAATCGAAGAGAGAAATTATTCTCGTTCCTGAGTTCTACTTGGCAAGCTGAACTTTGTTAAAGAGCTCTTTCTCTTTCGTCTGAAGCGGGAAAAGCTCCAATTTGGGCTCCAACATGGGACGTTGGAAATGACGTCGCGGTCTGCAGCAGCGGCAATCAACTAATTCAACGAAACTTACCCCTGCCAGCCCGGCCAAAAACCCTTCCTCGTTCAACAAATGGCTGTGTCTGTCGATGGAACGAGTATTACAAGCTTGCTACCTACCTGCTACACGTTGCCCGCTGTCTATCAGAGGATCAGTATGATAGCTTCCATTCTCGCCAACGACAGGGAACTTCATAGCAACCCCTCTGGTGTTATTGCCAAGTGGATCTCAATATAACCCGCCTCTCCAGTTCACAAGGTTGGATCATGTCATCCAAAGTCATCCAATATGGGGCAATGGAGAGAGCTTGCGCTAGGATCAACTTGTTAATCTGGAGGACCACCACATGCACAAATGAAGGTCGACTCCGGCTTTTAGCGGCACATCCCACCCGAGTCCCCCGCACTGGGCAGCGGGTTAGCTTACAGATGCGGACATCTTGTCAAAGCACGCCGATGTCCGATCAAGGAGCTACAACAAGACACAATCAACAACATCCTTCTTGCCGTCGTTGACCTCTATCGAGCGAAACCTATTGTTCACATAAAGGGCCTCTAAGCGCACGACCTAACCATTTCGCTTCTCGACTTCCGTTCTCTACCAACGTTGAAGTACCCATCTTCCGCAAACTTGTCCGACGAGCCTATTCCATTAGATGCTCGCTTATGAGGTGTAGTGAGGGTCTGCTTGATAGTTCGGGGGTGAACCCCTAGGACCGACGTGACTATGTCGGTCTTTGCTCGTTCTACCGTCTCTTCCCTCGCTATTGCAGTCCCGATTTGTCGATGCCGAGCGTTCTCGACGTCGTCTGTCCTCCAGACCGCGCCACGCCGCACCCGAGACCTCTCATCGAGCTTCTCCAACACATATGACCCGGACGAAGAAGGGCGGGGGCCCATGTTCAATAAGAGTACATTCGGCGTACCGCAGTTCTACCCGAGGGACCTCAAGAAGCGCGTGGATGAATACGTCGTGGGACAGGACCGAGCCAAGAAGACGATATCGTCCATCATCTTCAACCACTATCAGGGGGTGCGAAGGCGGCATCACCAGGAAGAGCAGGAACGCAAGCGAGAGGAGAAGATGATGCGGCGGAATGAGGCACGGGAAAGGCTAGCGCGCGAGAGGGACCCTATGCACCCTGTCGAAGGTTGGCATAAAGATCCTCCGTTCCATTGGTTCGGGACTGACGAGATGTCCAAAGACGAGTTCCCGGGCCACAACGAGTCGGTCCAGCATACCCATCATAGTACATGGCAGTTTGACGAGCAGGAGATTGAATACTACATACCCGAAGACAAAAACCGGCCACAGCACGTTAAAATTGACAAGAGTAATCTGTTGTTAATAGGTCCCACCGGCGTAGGAAAAACGTATATACTTGAGTAGGTAATATCTGACACGGTAAGCCAAGGGGTTTGTTATTACTGAGTACTAATTGCTTGTAGGACTTTAAGCAAGAAAATCAACGTCCCTTTTACGATATGCGATTGCAATTCCTTCACGCAAGCCGGGTATATTGGCCAAGATGTCGAAACATGTATCGAGCGCCTCCTCATCGAAGCCAACTACGATATCAAAGCAGCCGAGCACGGAATTGTCGTCCTTGATGAGTTCGATAAGATCGCGAAACGCGAGACCATGAATGGACGGGATGTAGGTGGTGAGGGTGTACAGCAAGCACTGCTCAAGCTCGTCGAAGGCACGAAAGTTACGGTCAATGTCAAAGACAACCGTTCGGCTGCATCCTCTCGCTCCGCAAGCCCCATAACGACCAACTATTCGGGACCGGGCTCATCGTCCTCGACATCAGGCCCCCAGTCAGCCCCGCCTCCCTCTGGCAAGGTGGACCAATACACCATCGACACGACGAACATTCTCTTTGTCATGTGTGGGGCTTTCGTAGGGCTAGACAAAGTAATCCTCAATCGTGTGTCCAAACCCAGTATGGGATTCGGCTCAGAATTGCGGAGTCGCAGTTCGAATAGCAAGACCCCGGACTTGCCTCCGGAACTGTTCAAGGGCCTCCCACACCACCCTCCAAACGCCACCAATACATCAGCTCTCACGGCACTAGATCTCGCTACCCCGGAAGATTTGCAGGGGTTTGGGTTCATCCCTGAGCTCATCGGCCGTGTCCATAACATAGTGGCCCTCACACCGCTCTCCCAGAGCGATCTCCTGCGTATTCTCACAGAGCCCCGCAATAGCTTGGTGGCTCAGTACACGGCGCTCTTCGAGACCTACCCCTCCCGCCTCTACTTCACTCAGAAGTCTCTGAGAGCGATCACTGAGCGCGCCGAGAAGTCCCAAACAGGGGCTCGTGGCTTGAAGATGGAGATGGAGCGCGTGCTGGCCGAGGCCATGTTTGACGCCCCAATGTCGTACGTGCTGGTCACCGATAAAGCGGTCCGGGGCCAGGAGAAGGTAGGGTACTGGGGCAAGGACGGCCGGATGGAGGTCGAGAGAATGGTGAACGAAGAGGATGGGATCATAGAGCATTCCGGCGCTGGCGGGAGGGAAGTCATTAGTGGAGCGGGGTTTGAGGCTTATAGGGAGGCGGGACAGAGTGGTGCTTAGTAGAGTTGCCACAACTTCCTCCCTGAGCCCCGCTTCCACTACACACAGTACTCGGGCGGAATCTACAGTCCGGGGGAGTTGCTAATGGGCGCCGTTGACGACTTTCTGCTATACTGAACGCGGTGCTTTCGAGTCCAGAGCTCTGGAAACCTTTAATCTTTGGTTGTACGACCAGAGGGGACTGCCTCTCAGGGACGTGGGATGTAGTTCAGCTTACGAACGGGGCATGGCGGCGTTGAGGAAGGTATAGGGTGGATATTTCAGAGCGTATATAGCTTAGTATCAATAATCAGAAGTTGTACATACTGCATTGCACGAATATATGCGCAATGAAACAAAGCTGTTCAGGCTGCTGCTACAGTTAGAACAATGCCATGACTAAGGATCTTGGGTTGTATGTCATTAAAGTGTAGAGGGTCTCAAGGTACATAGGTCGCAGTACTGGGTGCTTTACAACGGCTTAATGGTTTCCTCTTAATACATATTTACAACTTGAAGTTGCCCGTACTTCGCGACTAGGCAACTCCCCGGATCTGGAAGTATCGCCGTAAGAACCTCCAATCCACAGACACATACGCCTCGTCTCCACCACCATGTTTGGGTACCAGATAGGTAGCCAATCTCGAAGAAGCCAGCTAACCATCTACTCCCCATTAGGTATATGCACCTTGCCACGCTCTAATGACAAATGAAAAGATCGAGGTTTTGATTCACCAGTCGGACGGAGTTTGTCAATAGTAGTAGAGCAGCAGCGACAGCGGACTTAGTTGCTCTTGGGCGGCGACTGCACCATGCCCTTGCCCTTGTAGTCGGGAGACGAGACACCAGTGAAGGGGTCTGCGCGTTGGTTCTATTGGATAAGTCAGTTGATAGCGTTCTAGAAACCACATTGACTGCAGTGGACAGATGCAGCATACCTTGAGGAACTCGTTGGACGCCTCCTGGTACTCCTTGGTCATGGTACTGGGCGAGCCCTTGGCGAACATGCGGACTGTAGTGAAGATGACGAACGAGGCTCCTACGCCAAGGGCGACGTACAGAGCGACCTTGCGCCCCTCATCCGGGGATGCTTGAGCTCGGGGGCCGTGAGGGCCGAAAGCAATCCAGTATGCTGCAATAGGATGGCATTAGCGTCCATTTCGAGCAGTACATTCGAGGGGATGGAAGCCGTTTAAACACGACCGACCGGTCGAAGGCAGCATGAGTCTCCACAATGGAGTAGTTACAGCTCTCTTCTCCCAGTGCTTTTGACTCCATCTTCCATCCCGATGCGCAGTGCCGCAATGGCCGCCGCAAACGAAGCCTGATTGACCTACCAGCCTTCTTCTCTTGAATCGTGAGCTCAGCCCAGTTCTCCTTCATGCGGTCACGTAGCAACATCCAGAGCTCAGCCTGCTCATTGCTGGGCATCCCCTCCCATCGCTTCTCGATGTTGGCCAGAGTTGGGTTGGAGATGGCGTAGGACGAGGCGGCAGCCCTCTGGACGGTTGTGAGTCGTGTCGAGGCTCGGGCGCCCGCGCGCAGCAACGAAGTTCGCATCATGGTGAATTAATGGAGTCGATGAGAAGGGCCGGAAAGAGTGGAGAGGGGGTCCAATTGGGCTGGGCACGTCGTTAATATTTGTGCGACTTTGGGGCGTGATTCAATGGGACGGGCGGGTTGAATAGTCGGGTGAGCGAGGAGTTTGAGAGCCTTTTTTTAACGCTTGTGTCGTATGATGGATGGGGGGTGCATGGAGCTCTTGAAAAGTCACGCAGTCACGTAGAAAATGGAATAATCATCGTCTTCTTATTGGCTATTGACGAATGGGCTTGGGATTCTCAAAGGAGGAAGGGAGCTCCACAGCGCAAAAGCTGAAGCTGCGATCGGCAAAATATCGGACCAAGGCTTTCACGTCATCCAACCCGTCTGCTTGGGCGTGAGGAGAAGGCACCTCCAATCTATTAGTTAGCTATATTCATCTGCTTGTAAAAAGTCTCGAACTTGGTATTTTTGAGGTGCTAGACGGCCAACTAGGTATGGTGTCAGTACAGTTAGGCAGGAAGACACTCATTATTTGCTTACCCTATTGCTTGTTGCGGCGAGTGGTTTCGGGGTTAGGTCACAGTAATACTTGTTGGCCAGTCAGTTCTGGCTACCTTCATGTCCGGTTTGAAGTCATTTCCCAGGACTGGCTCTATACAATCTACCTAAGTAGTCCGACAGCATGTGGTAATACGAGTTGCCGCATCATAATAGCTTGGTTCGAAGCCACGCTCAGGTCTTGCATAAACTGTAAAGCATCGCATTATGCGTTCAGTACTTCAGACCGTCAATTGCTAGAATAAATTTAAAGAGGAATGTGAAGGGAAGAATTATCTGAGTGGACGCTTATCAAGAGCCATGTTAGCAAAATAGACTACTGCTGTTGAGTCCATTATACCATTTTGAAGGATCTCTCTGATTAAGACGAGGCTAACAGTTGCAGACGTTTCGCTGCAAGTAGACATAAGTTTCGAGCAGCTTACCAAGTAGAAAATATCAGTATGTAGCAAGGGGAACACCACGTCTTTCAAGATCAAGAATTCAGCCCGTTACTACTGATTGCCTTTTACCTCATGCAAACGTCTGGTCTTTATCCACGAGAGCTAACTTAAACCCTTCAATTACGGCTTGCTCTATATGATGACATAAGCAGAGAGCCTTCCAGGTAGTTTCTGCCATTGACACAGTAGCCCAGGAGCTGTCTTATCTACTTTCGTCCCGCGAGCATCCAGTGCCAAGCAGCAGGGGATAGTTATGTTGCAACTACACATCCACTGCCCCCATGAAGGACAAGGTATAGATAGTTTCAGGATTTGAGTCGTATGAAAAGTCTAAATCGTGTTGTTTGAGAGCCTCTGTTGTCCTTTGGGGTCATGGCTTGGGTGTGGCCCCTGCTCTATAGGATTAGAGGCATTCGCTGCTGAACCCTTCGCTGCAGCAAGTGCTAATTCTTCACTGTTGTGGATGTCAGACGCAGCAGCGATGGAGGGATCGTCGTTTGACGTACGCTTCTCTAGCTTGCCTCTTCTTTTGCTCCTCTTCAAATGCAGGCCTTAAAGCGTATGTGGCTGTGGTATATGTTAACCCCAGGACGACGTCTAGACCAGGATTTAAGGGTATAGCATACCATTCCAGTAGCCGAACCCAACGGCAGCCCCTAGGCCAAAAAGATTGCGCAGATAACTCATGTCTTGCGCAAAATTGATTGATCAAAATAATGATGTCAAGTACTTGACATATCAAAAAAGCAAATTGTCATGGAAGCTGCTGGACTGTATCCAGTCAGGAGCTCATGTGGAGTTAATTCGGGTTGTCGTCAACTTGTTCCGGCGGGCGGAAAGTGCAAACCACGCAAAAACCATTTAGAGAACGCGTCTTGAATATGACTGAAGACGCGTCTCGGCAACGTCACCGATTAGCTCTGCAGGCACCACAGCAAAAATGTTCGAATCGTACCACCGATGAGGCAAAAAAGCGATGCATTGCAGACTCAATGGCGACATGGAAGGAGCTTGGAGAGGTTCCAGATTCGGACGACGAAAGTATTCTCAATAGCGAGGAATCACAGGAGCCGGAGCTTCCTGCGGCTTCTCACGACGTACACGATGTAGACGACGATCCGCTCACCGAAGCGCCGATTACGGGAAACGAAGATATCTGGGATGTACCTCGCTCATCCCAGGATCCCGATCGCAAGACTACGACGTCTCCGGCTTCAAGCAACGAACTACCTACGGCCACGAAGTTGCCTCCGCATAGCCCGAACTCTTCGCCTCTGTCGTCTGCTCCGCAAGTGCTCGACTATGATAGCGTGGAAGGTGTACAGGAGACTGGACACATAGGGCCCGATAAAGCGAGGTCCGAACGAGATGGCAGCCTTTCTCCCAGCTTGAGGAATGTGTACCCCGAAGCAGTGGTTGAATCTGGCCCCAACCCTCTTTCGATCGCTTCAAGGGCGAACAGCGCGGAAAAGGCTGCTGTAACGAGCGCTACTCGTATCCACGATTTGATTCCAGACGAGTTGTTGGCAATTCAGGAAGTTTCTCAAGCGAGTCGCTCCCTACGACCCCGGAAACCTATCCAAGAACATCCGTATCAACTGGAGAGTGCCCGCTACAGCAACATATTAAAATCCCATGGTGTCCGGCCAATCAGAGTCGCGTTGGAGGAAGAGGCGAGGCGGAGAAAAGCAGAGGAAGACTCTCAAGAACAGGACTATGATGAGGACAGCCAGTCCACCGTTAAGAATAGTGCCCAAGTGGAGACAGGGGAGAGTCAAAACAGCCTTCAAGAGGACTTCCTGGACGAACACGATGAGTTGGCACTTTATTCCCCCGTCAGGCACCCAACTTCGCCTCATAGGCACGGGATGTCTTTTAGCGACGTGTTGGGTAGTTCTCAAACTGATGCCAATGAGGACCTGCCGTCTTTGGACGAAATCTTCCAGAGGCGAACGAAGGAGAAGACGATGACATACAACAAGCGGCGAGGTTCTCCCAAAAGCTCATCCAAGTCGAAATTGCTTAAACTGCAAGCGAATGCCTGCTTCAATAAGACAGCCTCTCCCACGACTCAGATGCCAGACCTATTTGCAATACCTCCATCTCCGCCTCAGACTAGCCCCGCACTTCTGTCTATGACTTCTGCGGATCGAGCTAGACTTTCCAGGCCGGCGATCGCTTCTCTCACTCCAAAGCCCAGCAGTACCACCGTCTCACAAAATCAAATACCATCCCCTGCAAGGCAGGACCAGGGCGCGATCGATTTAACGGGCATTGACGACTTTGATGCATCTTCAGAGGTGGGAATGGCCGTTATGAACGATTCTGTGGATGCAGCCGAAGATAGCGAGTCAAGCAGTAGCCAGACAAATGAGATTGACGCGGTCCTTGAAGCCGGTCGAAGAATTCGAGGGGTACTTCCCGCATCCTGGCTTCGATTAGATCGACACGTGCCTCGTGACAGGAAGCAGCAAAATCCACAGCGTCGAAGCCCCCAGCATTCGCCAGAGCGATTCCACCGAAAAGGGGTAGCCCAACGACGTCAGGTGTTGTCAAAACCCAGTAATAATCCTTTCTTTTTCGACGATGATTCCGAGGATGACGAGACGAATTTACGAAACAATAATGATTCAAAATCGCCTGAAATACCCATGTTCTCTATTTTTGATGACGATGATGATGACGATGCAGGCTCTGTTGTCGAAGAAGATCATATCGATCGAATGTTACCAGGCAGGAAACGCGTGAGTTCTGCTTTGGACAGGCAGCAACCGCCGAAGAAACGGAAGAAGAGCCAAAAGACGTTTCAAGGTCAACCAGGCAAGAGGAAATGGCAAACGAAAATTACCGGACTTCTTGGTCGATCCAAAAGTGGCACTGGGTCGAGCAAGACCACTACAGGGTACTCGCGCAATGCGAGAGAACCAAGTTATCCAGTGCCCAAAACACGGATGCCCAGGCAAGCCACACCTCCAAGGCTCAGTATCATCGACGTCGTCAAACCAAACGCCCCCCCCTTCATACGAATTGCTGCTCGAACGGCAAATCGAAGGCCAGACAAAGGCCGATCGAGCCCCTCTTCAAAGCACATCAGTTTAGGGACCAGGAAGGATAACATCGATGCCCTGGGCACGCTCAGAAGCTGGAAAAATGGGAAAATCCAGTCTAGAATTGCATCGACAACCGCATTGTATCATGCTCAGTCAAGTGAGCCGCAACCTCTCCAACCTATATCAAGCAATCCGATTATTCAGTCGTCCAAATCCAAGCCGAGACCACGTGCTCCCGCACCGGTAACTGTGCCAGTCTCACGCTTCTCTAAATCTCGAAAACTGGTCAGACAGACCAATCTCGATAACTTCGTTGCCGTTGAGCAAGATGCTACGTCGGTGAATTCACCTGATGCTGTGGCAGAACCTCGTCCAGCCCCCACTCGGTGTCTTCACATTCATCGAATAGGATCCGGGCGCGCCGCATTGAGACCTGCCCAACTTGAGGTAGCTGGTGGGGATGGCATAAATCGATACGCTTTCGATGCTCAAAAGAAGCTTCTCGATAGGTTATATCGAAAGACGCGTAAGACCTTACCTGCCCCGGCCGACGTTCGTCTGGAACAAATCTTCAGAGAAAACCCTACTAGCCCAGTCCCCCGGGCACTTGAAGAACAACCGCAACGGGATGATAGAGTGCAAATTGCTAAGAGTTCACCGATGAAAACCCGGTCTAGGCCGCGGAAGCGCTTTCAACCCCGGTGCATTGATACTACGGCACCTCAGTATACACATGCCAATGATCCGCTACCACCATCCCACGAACCGAGTGCGACTCTAGAGTCAGTCGTGCTCCCCAAGGACAGTCTGAAATTGGTAGGGCTAGGCCCATTCGGCACACACTACACACAGCACTTCGAAATCTTCCCTCTCGATTCTGGAGTGTTCTTCCACGCGAGCACTATTATTGGTGATGGACGATTGGCAAAAGCTCTTGAAGGCAAACACTTGGATGAGCTATTAAGCCCCAGAGGTCATAACGTCCTGGCTTTGGGCGACACAGTCCTGCGATGGGGATCGTGGGATGCCCAGACTTCATCAGAAATGGGCATCTTGTTTGACTGGGTTCTAGACAAATTACAGCCCGGGCAATCGTCCTTGGAAACAGATTTCTTGACTGCGGTACGAGCCATGGATTTTGCACTAGAATATGTCCAACAATATCTTAGCGTACCCGACAGTGAAAGTGGGAGACACTTCGCGAAGAGGATGTTGGAAGTTATGCCGGGGTTCACGGAGCGCTTGATGTCGTTGCTGGGCAGTCTCGATTCTATGGCAAGGCAACCGATAGAGGTACTAACACGATGCACCATCATTGTGATGCAGACTTTGAGGATCTGCGAGAAGCTCGCCGTTCCCGAGTCGCTTCAAATCGAGGAATTGCTGAAAAAAACGTGCCAGCAAACAGTCCGTATGCTTCTGCAGATGGACCTAGCAGACATCCGAAGGTTGTATGACGACCTCCAAGCCGCATCTTCCAGGGACCGTGGTATCCAAAATGAACAATTCTCCGCTGTCTGTTGGGTTGTGTTGGTACGAACTCTACAAACAGCGCGCATCCCTCGAGCAGGGTTCTGGGATGTGGTCTCTACCGCCATGTTGACCAGTGATCCTGCTTCCATCGTCGACGCCCGCATGTTAGAGCGGCTTTGGCGCAATCTTTTTACCCTTCTCCCACTCGGCGAGTTCGACGATGCAGGAGTTGCTGTCCCTGGAATAAGGCACACGATTCCTCTTGAAGGTTGGTCACTTCCACAGAAACTACTCAGCCGAGTGTTCGAATTGTACAAAAGCAATCAGAGACAATCGCCAGGCTTCAATGAGTATTGTCGCGGAATTGTGAGCCGCTGCCACTACTTGGTGGAGCAATGGGGATGGCGCAAGTGCAATGGAATTGTTGGCACAATCTTCGATTTTTTCGCGTCTCAGAAGTTGTCACACCTGCGAAACGAGGAGGCCTACAAGTCTCCCCAATTCCTCGAGGACCTTGCCGGGACTCCCTCTCTGATGATCATGCCCGAAGACAGGTGTTTTCACATATTTCTCAAACTCCTGGCTTTGGGTATCCGACGCCTAAGAAAGTTTGGCCTGATCAAAGATATGAGGAACCTCGTGGCGCGTGTGTTGCCCAACCACAATCGACAGTACCTAAAGGAAGACCGCGTTCATAAACACGAGCTGGCTGCGCTACGGAACCACCACGATCTTCTCTGTACTCTGTTTTGGAGCGCCCCAGCCGACCTGCGTCCATCCATGCAGAATATCGAAAAACTCATTGTTCCTGGCAGCTCCCACAAAGAGGCATGTTTGATCAACTTGCGTGCTTGGAACCAGTTGGCTCGATTCATTGTATCATCAGGTGGGGGCATGGATACATACAAGCCCTTCATGCAATGGCAAAACAACGTCTTCAAGCAGGTTCTGGACCAGTACTCATCGGCAGAATCCGACATTCAGCAGCAATTCCTCAGATTATCCAAAGATGTGTCGAGTGGGGTAGACCATGAGATGGTGAAAAGAGTTGTCAACATGAACAAACAAACCGCTACGGACGTGCTGCATTTCTCCTTGAAGGCTAACTTGGATGTAATCCGGCATGCACCTTCTCTTGCAGCAGCTTCTTTCGTCATAAACACCTGTAAGTAACACCTTGGTAATGTAAAACACAGCATACTGAATTTTTCAAAGACCAGCTCTTCGAGGTGTTTACGCGCTTCGCCTCGCCCGAGCCCGAATTCGATTGGGGTACGCTACAGGCAGCTGTTGACACAGTCGACGAATATTTGACGCGAATCGAGAAGTTCCTCGGCCGTCAATTAACAAGTTCAGAGTCGGCAGACCACTGGCATGGGGAGGATGCTATCTCGGTATGTTCATCTCATTCAAGCGTTGTGTTGTATTCTATTAACAAACTCTGCAGCGCCTTGACCGAGACATAGCCAAGACTTTCTTTCCCATGGCCAAGAGACTTTTCTCAAGCTCTATAGAAAACAAGTCGCTGGGTTCCAAAAACGGGAGGGTGCGGTGTATAGAACAGGTTGTTTTAGTTGCCAGTCGAATTGTGGCCCGGTTCCTGGACGTTGGGCTCTCGGTAAGTTGCTTGACTGATGCTTCCGAACAAAAGCTTACAATAACAGCGCCTGTCAAACTTCTTCTCTCCTGGAAAGTATTGTCTGTTTGAGTCACTCCCAGACAAGCTGCCTCTTGGCTCAAGACGGTATTTATGTCTCTTCGTTGCGAACTTGATTGATCAGGAGGTCACAAGCTTCCAGGTAAGCAGAACCGGACGATCCAGCATGTAGCACAAGCTAATAAGTTAAAAAGGATATTCGAGTGATCCAGATAGAATTGTTGTTGTGTGCAATTGTCAAGCCATTCTGTGCCCTTGGCTATGAGAATCAGCTTGTTGAGACAATGATACGCCACGGTCATGAGTATCTCCAAGACTTCAACGATGTCGGCATCAAGATTGGAATTTCTCCCGACTATAATTCTAACAGAGATCTGTTTAATCGTGAGTGAACATGCTTCCCTAATAAACTGGCCGAATTCTGATTATATTCTAGATGTAATTACGAAGATGCGGCAAACGTTGCGCAATGTGAATCCGAGTCGCAATCATGAACTGAAAGCGGAGTGTTCTAAGGCTATCCGAGCTGCGATGGAACACATGAAGCAAGATCTAAAGTCGATGACTTTGGACACAGCAGAGCACGCCAACTATATCCAGTTCATGCGTTCAATCATTTCAATCATCAAAACGAACGACATATGCCCTGTCGACCAATACTTTTACCAGATCAGCAGGGAATACTCACCCTCTGCACAAGATCCCGGACTGCATACCGCAACCATCTTGTCATTCGGGCTGAAGCTCGAAGATGGAAATACTGGTGCCGTATCTGGGCTGTTTTTCCACCTTTACTTCAACTTCAAGCTTGCTCTGTCAAATGACAAGCTTTCCGAAGAGAGCGCTATATTGGTGCAGGGCATGAGGAATCCACACGTGTTTTCATTCGTACTCAACCGGATGTTTCCGGCCATCATCCAGGCCGCAATACGAATACCAACTGCCTGGTTACTGATGACGGTCTATGTGGATGCATTGGAGCAACTGCTCACGGAATCATGCGTACATCGAGAGATCGGAGAAGAGAGTATGCCTGACGTATTGACATTACTGAAGTCCATTTCGACCGGTATCCAGCATCTTCGGAGACTTGATATCGCTCATCTGCAGCCCGAGCATTTACACATCATGACACACATGACGAAGCTAGTCAACCTGATTGGACCATCGATGGAGGCGTACCTTTGTATGAAGTCAGTGTCACAGCCAGGGAAGGCGTTGACCAAAGAGATCAACTCGTTTACGGACTTCACACGCTCGGCAGCAGACTGTCTAAGCGAGACTCTAGGTATCTCTTCAGATGCAGCATTGCCCATCCAGTTAAGCTCCAGCACTTTACTTGGAGGGATTCGGCATTATAAAGCCGATCCGACGTTAGAATGCAACGCACAGATCAACAATTTTGTCAAGGAAATCATGACGGATATTCCGAAGAACTGGGTCGTCAAGGGGTCGATAGCCACGATAAGGGGGCCGGCGCGACCGGCGGCGCCGTCTTCAACGCAGTCGGGCATGGGTACTACGGTGCCAGTATGGAATATGAGGAATTTGGCGAGTGATCTGTATGAGCAGATCATGGAGTGGAATGCGGACCACGATGTCTCGAAAGACGGGAAGAGGACGGGCAGGAGCAATAGGAAAATGATGATACAAGAGGAGTTCCTATTTTGAAAAGTATGGCTACGGAGTTGCTGGGTTGGGTGGACTGGAGCTCGGTTAGATTGCATAGACTTGCATATAGTAGCACAAGAGCATGAAGATACCTTTTGAAGCACCGTAGGGACTGCGTAAGAAGTCATGTTCAGTGATGGTTCACGGGAATTTGACCTGGGGCGACAAACCAGTCAGACAGTGCCTAGAATACGATTTGTGAGTCGGCAGATGTTATCATGAGCTATCACGGTTGAGAAACGTCAACCCGAGAAAAATCGTAAATCACTTTCCGTACCCACCTCCCTAACATGAATTGGAACGACTCCTAAATGTCGTCGGGTGAAGCCTCGGTGTGTTAGCGACGGACACCGGCGCTCGGGCCAAGCCGTGTGGCTAACATCGGAAGACGGAAATATTTTTGAGGACACTGGTAGAAGAAGATAGCAAGACATACATTCGCCCGCTCACGCCGAGCGCCAGTTCCCCGAATGTATGCTCCGTGGATGCGTGCCTTTCGCTCAGCGGCACTACAAGTTTCCAGGGCGCGATTAGCGACGCGACCGATCCGACCAAGACGATTCCACGTCTCGGCGCAAACCAGAGCAGAAGCAGCAGCTCCTCCGTCCGCGCCCGCTGACGACGGCAACCCCCGCAGTGGCGGTGATAAGCCTGACAAGGACGACGGCAGCAGCTCTGAGGCTAACGGCGAGGAGAACCTATTTGGTGAGGGCGGGCTGAACGGCAATGGGGAGGTACAGGGCGGACGACAGAGACGGCTGAATGGGACGGCGAGAGGGAGGACTTCGAGAAAGCGCACACCAGAGGAGCTGCCCCCCGTCCAGCTGCCTCAGGGGTTCCGTGAGAAGCACATCTACCGCTATGGCGATGCGCGGCAAAACGTCGACAGCCCATTTCTAGCCACGTCTCTGTTGACCGACCTCAACGACATTGTTCAGAAATTCATAAAGATGCTCCCAGAGGAGGACGAAAGGAGACGCGAGGCTGACGCGCCAGAAGACGGCGAGACGGTGAGGAGCGATGCCGACATTTGCGCTACCGACGGGCGGCTAATCTTGCTCAGGATGTGGATGCTATTTTCGAAGCGGTTAAGAAACCTCGGAATATGTTACAACTCCAAAGAGGCTACGGCGCCATGCTGAAAGCTGCCGCCTGGGATGAGTCTGCTGTGCGGGAGGCACATAATTTCCATTTGCAGGACGTTCGGGGGTGGGCCAACCAAGATGACTATCTGCAGTACATTTCGCGCAGAGGGGACCTAATCGTCGGTGCTGCTTACAACTATGCCGCCTTCGTATTATTGCAGATGCACACAGATTACAGCGAGGCAGTGAAGGCCTTGGAGAAGTTTCTTACCGACATGAGACAACACACCCTCAATGTCCAACTAACAAGGGCGTCTCTAATGGTGGCTGAACCACCATATTTGCCCCTGTCTCTTCCAACCGATGAAATGCCCAAGCTTGACGACGACCTGCGAGCCGTGCACTATATCCAGAACTCGACTGGCCCCTATGTGCCCGAGCTCGGCCTTGCTCATAACGATCTCCTCTTCGAAACAATAGCCTCCATTCGAGCAGATTTTGCTCTTGACTATCCAAAAGCCATCAAGTTGACTGAGTTGAAGCGACCCGTCACCATTCTCAACTTCCCTTACTACCAAGGGGCAACCTGGGCTCGAAATATTATACGAGATGTTGGCGCATCTCTCAAAGCCGATGTTTTACACCTGATGCCTCAAGACATTGCGCTTGTAGTCGGGTCATATCTCGGGCAAGAGGCCACTAGAGCCCCCAGCGCCATCTCAATCCTTGGCTTCAAGGTTGCCGAGAACAGTGGAAGGATACGAAGCATTGTTAATACCGAAGGCGAAGATCCAGATGACATGGGTATGCCTTTCCACCTTGTACTAGCCACGGGGAAGAAAGATGGCAGCAAGAAGCCGTCATCCATTATAGATCAACTTTATGGCGACAGTCGAGGGAAGTCGGACGAGTTGTGGGAGGAATTGAAAGTCAATGCCGCCCTGGAAGAACTCGTTCGCACCGCTGATTCCGACACACCGGAGAAACGACCTCTGATTATTCATGTTCACGACTTTAATGCTTTGGATATGGACTCGGATTGCGGTAGTATAATACTCAGCAAGCTTCGCAAGATCGTCGATGGCATGTGGCTCGAAGGCCGGAAGGTAGTTCTGGTTGGGACATGTTCCAGCCTGGATGCGCCGAAGCCGTACAGGCAATGGCTGAAAAAGCTGGATGCCACCGAACGGGTCATCACATTTCATACGTCTCCGCCAAGACTACAAGATTTTGATATTCCCAGTCTCATAAAGAACGATTTCCTCGCCGAGAATTCCGCGAACCTGGAGGTCATGCTCACTACATTATTGCGTCCCGATGGCGATGAAAGCGCCCCTGTCTTGGATTTCGATCTTCGACGTGTTGACGAAAAGCACCGTTCGAGGTCCTTGTCTGAAAGGATTCTGCCATTAATGGAAGTACACAGAATCGCAAAAACGATGATTGGTCTTCGGGGATACAAACCAGAAGTCTTTGGGCAATCTGTTTTGGAGGAGGCTGTTTACTTGACCAAGAGGATTGACGAAGCGAAGGACTTTTACTCCAAAGTGAAAAATGGGGCCGACGGTAGGAAGGGCAAGGACGACGTGAACGCCCTCTTCCGGAGACTCGACCCCCGTCAACAGGAAGACCACGAGGAAAAGTTATTATCCGGGTTGGTAAACTCCAAAGATATCAGGACAACATTCAAAGATGTCCATGCGCCACGGGAGACTATCGAGTCTATCAAGATGCTGACGCAGTTGTCTCTGCTCCGCCCCGAGGCTTTCTCGTATGGTGTACTCGCCACAGAACGAATACCTGGTTGTTTACTCTACGGTCCTCCTGGCACTGGCAAAACTCTTCTGGCGAAGGCCGTAGCCAAAGAAAGCGGCGCCAATATGATTGAGGTCAGTGGGGCCAGTATCAATAACATGTTTGTTGGTGAAAGCGAAAAGAATGTCCGAGCCCTCTTCAGGCTCGCCAAAAAGAAGGAGCCCCTAGTCATCTTCATTGACGAGGCAGATGCATTACTTGGTGCTCGAGGACAGCGCAACGATGGCGCTGCCAGGAGGGAAACCATCAATCAATTCTTGCGCGAATGGGACGGCATGGACAGAATGAAGGCATTTATCATGGTGGCCACCAACCGACCATTCGACCTCGATGAGGCAGTTCTGCGACGTCTCCCGAGGAAACTGCTCATTGATCTGCCAGTCGAGCAAGACCGTGCCGCAATCCTGAGAATTCACCTCAAGGATGAGGCACTGGACGACACCGTCTCTATCGAAAACATCGCCAAGCAGACACCCCTGTACTCAGGCTCTGATCTCAAGAATCTGTGTGTCGCGGCAGCTATGGCAGCCGTCAAGGAAGAGTTGGACGCAGAGCAGCAGCGCGATCCGTCGGAGCCCATGGCCGAAGTGAAGAAGCGAGTTCTGAACGTCCGACATTTCAACAAGGCGCTTGGGGAGATCAGCGCCAGCGTTAACGAAGATATGCAAACCATGAATGCTATCAAGAAGTTCGACGAGAAGTACGGTGATGGTAAAGCGAAACGCAAGAAGAGGCCCGGTATGGGATTCGGCGTCTTACCGGATGCTGTTGGGGAGGCTAGAATCAGGAGTACGGGTGCGTGATGATGATACGTCGGACTCGTGGTGGGGGCTGTACATTAACTATTCATGTTGTACAATACTTGGTTGCATGCATGTGCCCAAAGGACCATGATGGGAGGTCGGGCACCAACGGTTGGAAGGTGGCTTTGGCGCAGTTAGACAGCAGTTTGCATAGAAACAGGATGGTGACCCGGGTCGAGTAGACCTGTCAACTTTGAAGGTGCGGAAGTAAACTGGTTGAACAGCATGGGATGTATGCCATTCGATATGTCCTCCACTTGGGGGCCAGTGACTGGGGCAGCAGTCTGCCATGCAAATAGGGCGAAAAGGAGGCGTGCGTCAGCCAATCAAAGCTACCTTGCTGCCGCCGACTATTCCACCCTCTTCCGACACGTACCTTCTGTTAAGCCAGAGCCTAGTTGGGCTGTTGCTTACCTAGCAAAAGAGAAACAGAGTGGTGCCTCCCACTACTATGTATATACTAGCAACAGCATTTCCGTCCAACGCAAACACAAGAAAGCAGCCCATCTCGACCAACCAAACTCCTTTCAACCAAATCACCCTCCAGCGCTCCCAATAGATACTGTCTCGCCAACATGTCGCGCTACGTTTTCAACTTTGACCTCACTGCCGCCGAGGATGCCACACATGGCACGTTCCGGTACTTGGATCAACTAGCTCAGCCGATAGGCACTAATGAGGACACCCTTGATCCCACCTTCCTCACCCACCCGCCTCTCAATAGTGAAGACTTGGACTTCTCTGCACCGCAGCTCGGCGGTAGCTTAGGCTCCCTGGACCCAAGAGAATTTGTTCTAGACATGCTGACTAAAAGGGTGTTAAGAGTCCCCGGAACGTCCCTCATGTTCTGGACTCGATATTTCGTCCTTCTATGGGACCAGAAATGCTGGGGTAAATGCTGGCTTAGTAAGTCTGATGTCTTTGCGGTCAGCATTTGTTCTTGACAATCCTTACGGAGGAGCATCTGGTAGCGATTATTGAGGCGCTACAGTCTCCCTCCGAGAGCACTCGACTTATGCAATACTTCGAAGGCCCTTCGGATGCCATTTGGTATCAATGCGTTGTGTGCAATAACAACTGTAGTTGTGAATGGTATCCCAAATATCACGTCAAATACAAGCAGCACAAGACTATACTTTGAAGTATTCACTTGAAGATGAACCCTTCACCTGTGATAGGTGCGGTGAGATATTCGGGAAACAAGCAGACTTGACCAAACACTTGAACGAAGATCACGATGAGAGCCCTTTTCCTTGAGACGTCGAGGGTTGTGGCAAGGCTGGTGCACTAGAATATGCTAGTGAGAAAGATCTCATCAAGCGTCGAGCAGTTAAGCTTCCGATGGAGACCTGTGCGACTCGACTTCGGCCTGAGACATGCTTGCACGTACCAAGCTTGTGGCAAGTTGTTCGACTCTATTGATTCACTTTTTAACATATCTTATGGACCCACTGGTCAAGAGGATAGAGATGCCTTCTATGGTCGAGAATGAAGTTGTTGGGTGCGCTAGTTACTATTCTACTTTTTGGGGCTGTTATATACGGCGCTATAGCTCTAAGCAGCCTCTTAATCAAACTACACTCTTGGTATGCCACCCCTTTCACCTTTATTACTACATCGACCGACACCTATAATTGAGAATACCCCCCGGTCTTCGTTCCCAAGAAGTCATGTTCTGTTCCATCGTTTGTTTCATTCTTGTGTAAAAGCACAAACAGGGACTGTGCTTAATCTGTCGATTGTTAAGGTGGCGTCTGCTCGCTTTTCCTGCGGTCTCTTCGAGTTTAGTTTTAAGTAGCTTGCATTAACCTTTATCGCTACTTTCACATTGGTTCGCAGCAGATGCTATAGAGTTCCTCTAAATCAGCATGAAATACTCATGTGCTCATATATGAAGCGTGCCCATTGTCGGGTCCTGCACATCACCAATACTTATGAACATTTTTCACAGGATAGTCAGTAGAAAGTATTCAGAACTTCGGGCCCTCTTGATCAAATGTGGCTGTTGTTCATTCCCAGATCTGTGCTACAGCTCACTCTGTATCCAAGTGGGTATCTGGGGAACAGAAAAGCAATTAGACACCGACCCTGCGCCTGTGTTACTTGATTAAAAGCCTGTGGATATGATAAACTTGCACTGTGGATGTTTCATTGGACATATTGGACGTGCGTGTCCCTCTACTGCGAGATTGGCCGAAAACTCGTGCAAATATGTACCCCTTTTATGTATATATATATATATATGCCTTGACAGCTTGTATAGCCACGGCCGAAATTTCCCGCCAGATAAAGTTCGGAATTGGCTGCTTGTAATCTTTCTAACACGTGGTATGCGTGCGGTGTTTTGGCTGGACTCTGCAACATTCAGGCCACAGGGTCGCCATAATGTCCTTCACTCGGGGTTATAGTGAAAGCCTTTGAGTGCTGTCTCGCAGGCACGTGCTAGGATCTACTGTGAGAACAATGTTTGACAGCAGGATGGAGGTTGAGGATTTAGAACAGGGTGCTGCACGTGCTCGTTTGGGTAATCGAGTTCATGCTGGGAGTGTTGATCTGGGAACACTGCTAAATAGGAATTGCAAGGGATAACTGTACACTTCACATTGCCAAGAGTACGCAAACTCATAAGATGATTCTCAGTTAGCCGCGTGTCAAGAGACTTTATTAGTAAATCAGACGATGCGTTACTAGTAAACTTGATGGTCTGTCCCAGAAATTCACCTTTGAATTTCGTCTGGGGCCATACCGCGGCGTCCGCCGTGCCAACTCAAAGGCCATTCGAGAGCAATCTGGCAGATAAATGGAAATCATGGGATTATGGTCGCATAACTGGCTGCATTTTGGCTACCTTAAGAGCCTGCTGACGATACTTTGTGGAGCTTTTCAGCTTGAAGCTCTGTATCCTTCTCCGCACCTGTTCCTGCTTTTTTCTACGACCATGCGTTGTGGCAGTCTCACCTCGTCTGCGGCACAACGATTAGTGTGTTGCTTCATATTGCCCTTCATTGGGCTATGTTCTTCCAACTTGCCCTTTGTGATGGATAGGCCAATCACCGCTCAAGCAGTTAGCACCTTAGAGATAGATTATTTGAGACTATTGACCGATTTTCGGGCAGCCAAACCATAATACGCCGACTTACCAAAACTTAAAAGAGTTTATGAGTTTCTCAAGTAGCCTTTATAGACTGTGTATGTTACCACAGCAGATTCTCCCTGGCTTTGCATGTTCCCGTTGCGCTCCTCATATCAAAGATGCCAATCAATCAGCCTTGCGTGTTTGTGCCGATCTGAAGAGCTATAACCTGTTGATCTTCGCATCTCCATCTCCTGGTCAAAGAAGATTACCTACTGGCAGCAGCTGATTAGGCACATTTAGGCAGGTGTTCACTAGAAGAACGAACCGATCCTGAGCAGCTCAACGTTCAACGCGTCTACAGGGGCAAAGTAACACGCGCCTACATCCTAATAGACTGAAAGGGGCCATTTATTACCTGCCCAAAGCATTCAAACAAAAAGACCAAAAAACAAGAATGGACTTACCTCCTAGTGGGTCAAGGAAACATGGGTTTGTTCCCTCCGCAGTTTCAGAAACACTTCCATAATGTACGTGTGGGCTATACGTAGTCGGACAATATAGAGGTTAAGGTTGCAAAACTGCACTAAATAAGATACCACAAACCCGGGAAAAAACAACTCAATTTCGCGAGTATTACAACCTTGAGTACGATGAGCTAATGTAGAATATAACTCATATATTAAAAATGACTTAAAGAAGCGGTCTGTCCGATTGAACTTTTGGCCGCAATTTCAATAATTGGAACTCTCTTGTTACTTCAGCTGCCTAGAGACCCATGTTATGGTACATTTTATAGACATAATTAACAAAGACGGTGAATCAAGCGGTTTTGTGGCCCAAAAAAGGCTTATTTACCTCGGTATCTTAGATTCTCAGCGTAATTATTGAAATATCTAATGAATATCGTCTCTCGGCATCAGTGTGGCTGGTTACTATCAGCAGCTAGCTATGATTGAATGAGCTGATGTTGGAGGAAAGCTCGTTTCTTCCCTAATAGTCAATAAAAAGACAGTGAACCTCGAGTATCGAGGGGGTGCTGAGATAACTCGTTAGTTGAGATTTTGTGTTTAGAAACTTCCTGGCAGTAGTCTCCTCCGCGATTCCTTGAGATTAGTATTACTGTATTACATGAATTAACTATTTTGAACTTCGAGCTTTGTAAATACATGACACTCACGAACGATTCTATCTCGACTATATTGTAATGAGCCGTTCGTTATAGCGACACATATACATAAGTCGTGCAATGGAAAGACAAAATAATTCCACCTAAGGAGCTATAGTCTGCACTAGCAGAGACGACATTGAACCCCAGGCAACGTCCGATTCAAAAGTTTCCGGCGTATCTGTTCCTCCGATTAAGTCCTCATACAAATATCGATGCAGAAAACTTATCAAGTCTTGTCAGACTATAGTACTGGTTATCTCCAGAGCTGTTACTGCGCACTTAGCCGTGGACAGCGCATACAAGCACTTATTTTGCTCTGTTAATTAGATCGTGAACCCTCCCCTACGAGCCTTGTAGTGTTCTCTACTTTTCCGAGCAATCGCCCGTGACCTCTGCCAAGAGCGACGGGGTATAATCCATGGTAGATAATGGCGTCGATATAATCCGGCTTCATGGTTCATCAGACACGCAATTCCGCGCACAACACACGTGGGAGACATGAAGGTAGGCTCTTTCACTCAAGACAGGGAGGGTTTGGGAGTTATTTGAGAATCACAGATACTTTATTCAACCTCGCTAAAATCCGACCTCTGGCCAAGTGGGAATCTCGATATTGATTAAATCCTGACACGGAATCACGCCTACACAGGCCACCGGGCAATGAAGCTCCAAAGTGATAGGAGTCATTGTTTGTCTTTTCCATTACTTCAAGTATAGAAATTACGTCTTCTGTTTCCTTTTATTACCCCACCCAAGCCAGTTCTTGTGTATATGTTTTGGTCATGCAACCCAAACTACACATATTTCCTTCAGGGTTAGAATGGACATGGATTCTGCAAACCACGGACATGATAACCAAGTAAGTACCTCTAAGCACGCCTTGCTTTTCTCAGCCAAGCTTACGCCACCCACAACACAAGGGGAAAACTTCAAGCCAAAGACGGGTAGGGGCACTGCTTTCCCCAGATATGACGTCAAACTGTAGGGTTGACTTAATGCTCTTTATACTATGATTCTTTTATGGAGCCATATAAGAGTTTACGAAGCAATGTATCAACACAACAGCAGTTATGACATATTGGCAGGCGACCACTTCATGTCACAAGTCACGAGGCGCAACTGCAATAACGACGTCGAACTCGACACAGGGCGGGATTTTTCTCGCAAGTGGTAGTTCTCTGGCCGCTGGTAGACAAGCAATTTAGAGCCACTTTCTTACCCAGATCAAAACTTGTATGAAATTTACAGGTTCTACAACCCAGACTTCCGGTTTTGGGGAATCTATTCGTGGCGCAAACGTGTCAAGTCTCCTTGATTGTAAATTTCTTCCCACCAGAGCCTAGCTGCCAGTTCTTGCAGTCGCTCACCACTTATTGCAAAAGGAACAAGTCAATCGCAAATCCATTTCGCCGACCTAAATGCTATGCTTGACACTGCTATGCCCGGCAAATCAAAACATCTGCAGCATGCCGAGTATCTAAGTGATAACAATAAATACAATTATTTGCAACCCTTGCGTAATCGCAGGTTTGCTGCAAGGTATTGGAGTAGAGCATATTTCCGCCCAGCTCAACGGGAGTTGCCCACTCAATTCCAACCTGTCCTCTCTTGCTGGGGAGGTGCCGAGTTTTCAACGCCACGGTGGGGGGTCTTCCTATGCGTCGGTCTCTTTCCCGCAACAGTCGTTACATTTCCATTCGCGACTGGTGACGGGCATCTTTGCGTCAGTGGACATGCAGCCAGTATGATACAGGGGTCTATCACAATTCTATTTCCCGTTTGTCAATTTGCGTCCCATGTTTCAGAGGGGGGTTGAAAAGGGGGCAAAACTCACCAAATTGGCGCAAATGAGCATGTTTGGCCCAGAGGCCGGCTGCCCGCACACCACACACCCTGAAGCAGAGTGCCGGTAACGAATTCTTGGTGACGTCGTGTTGATCGTCGGCTCAGGCAAATCGCTGCCACCATGAGCTCTTGCATTTCTCGTAATTTCTAGCGCTGTGCGAACGGTCTCTTCTGTGAGAACTTCCCTTGCCTTCAGATATGCTAGATGTTTCATGGCTTCGTTCATGCGACTCTGAGAAGCGGCCAACCAAGTGCCTTTCTCTCGCAGGAAATCTAAGTAGACTTCCTGCACATGTGGCCCCAGAGATGTTCTTTCTCGAATAGCGAAAGCATCCCATTCTGAAATATACTCCTTCTCGTCAGGAAGCACATCACTGTAGTCACGAATAATGTCTCTGTGCTTTTGCATGAGCCATGTGTTGTCCACCACGGGTTCATCAACACGGCTGTTGGGCTCTAGCAAGGCTTTGCTCAGCCTGTCAAACAGCTGTTGATTGTTGTTCGGTATAAGCTGTTTGGTTTCTCTTGGCTTCACTGGGGTGGGCCGCCGCTGTTCTCATCAGTCAGAGTGACTTTTGCCACGTGGAGCCGCGATGAGTACTTACGTGGACCAGTTTTGGTCTTGGCCGCTCTCTGGGCTTCTGTGGAGACAGCTCTTCTCCTGTGTCGCTCTCACGATCATCCGGACTAGGTGGTTCCAACAGTTCTGATGTCCTGATGGACCGAGGAGTTTCCTGTCCATGACGGGAAAGGCCGATTCTCCAACCGCTTCTTGGGCTGTAATCGAAAGCGAATTTGAACTCGGAATGAGCCTTGTTGTCTTCCAAGTGCATCTTCAACATTTCGAAAGAGGTATGCGATGCGAAACATCTCACGCAGGACCAGTTTTCCAGAGTGACACGACCATTGGCGGGCAATATCCACGTTATTTGACCGCTTTCTGAGAGGCTATCCCCGGCCTTCCGCTTCTTCCGTTCCTTCTTTTCCTTGCCTCGGGCTTTGTCGCTCAACAGCTTTAGGTTGTAGTTTTGTTGTTTACCTCTTATCCTGAGAGACCTGCTTGGCGTTGTTGCTTCGCCATCGCCATCTTCCTCGTCGTCCATCAACCCCTCTGATTGATCTTTTTCATGCCCATTTGTGAGACTTTCCACCCGTCCGTTGACATGGCCATTGGTCAGCGGTTTCAACGGGCCGTTTGTCGCCTTGACTTCCGCTGGTGCATCCTCTTCCGATGGTCTCAAAGCACTGCCCACAGCACTGAAAGTCGACCAACGCAAATCCATATCCATTTTCAGGCCAGTTTCTGTCTCATTCCCCGTACATTTTCTAAGCACAACAAAATTGGTCATACGGCCTTTGGCATACTTGTAGACGAATTGTGATGAGAAAACCCACTGTCGGGGCGGACCTGGCGAGGGTTTGCGATTCTCTTCACCATGCAGGAGATCCATTGGCGGCCAGTTGGGGTCGCCTGTGGACTCAAGCTCAGCCTGAATGAGATAGCGATCGGCCAGATTGAAGCCTTGGTCGTCGTCGCGTTCGATGTAGATCTTATCGACCGCAATATGAAACGGCTGGGGGAGGTAAATCCTAGCCGTCCGACAGACATCATCTGGATCGCGCAGCACCTTGACATTGCAAGTCTGGCTGTCGCAGTGGAGAATGCGCATCTCCACCTTGGGTTTCCATCGAAAAATTGAGATTTTGCAACGGGCTTTGATGAGAGGGCTTTCCCTCTTCGTTGGTGAGCCGTGACCATTCAGAAAGCCGTTGATAATGGGACCAGGACTATTGTCGCGCCCAATCCTGAGCACCTCAATGCGAAGTGCCTTCTCGAAGTCGCCAGGGGGCTCTTGAAACATCTGGCTTAAGCACTCGGCAGAGTTGGGCTCTGGCGGATCCTCCATGATGCGACGCCGTTTTGTCGGCCGAGTGTGGTCACCGCCAGCCGGCTTGTCGCCATTTCCTGATGATAACCTGAAGCCCATCTTGAAGTCGACTGCACTCTTCCAGACCCGATGAAGGAAGGGCGATTCGCGTTTGTATGGAGTTGTCGCCGCCATATCTGAAGGAATACATGAGTGCAAATCGCCACGGTCTTGCGGCTCCTTTTCTGGAGATACGAGTGTGAGATCCGTGTATTTCACAAAGAACTAACCCTCGCAACACAAGCAAGAGTTTTCCTCATCAAAAGGACATCATCATGAGCAAGTCTGTGGGTATACAAGATGGCGGCAGATGTCTAGAGGGGATCTCAATGATGCGTCAACCGCGAAAGCGATAGGGTGACGTGCTTTGCATGAGATGGGAAGTGGCTGGGTGAGATGCGACTCAAGGTAGACAGATGACAGAGTGCAATGCAAGGCTACCAGAGCAGAGTTCACAGGCGAGGTAGCAGCAAGTCGCTGTCCATGCCAATGCACGATTGAGCCTAGATAGTGTGGGCTTGATGCGATTCCAGAACTGTGGAAGTATAATCAATAGTATGGGACTGGGCGGGCGCAGGTGCTGGTGTAGGTGTGTGTGGTGTTGAAGAGAAAGGAAAGAGACGCGTACCGTGCCGCCGATGACCCAACAGGGGTTAGCAGAGAGTGCATTGTGGCGCGTCTGAGTGGTTGGCCACTCTGAGCAATGGCTTCGAATTCGCACTGGCTGGATCCGATCACGTGCCAAGCATGCTGAGAAAAGCTGTGTGTAACTGGGATGCCTTCGTGCCACCCAAAGTATTCTGCTATTATGAATTGAAATGTAAAACCAAGGTACTGCTTGCTAAGGGGTGAGTGCGTACTTTGGGCGGAGGTGCAAGGTGGGAGGAGAGTATAAAGGATCTGATACCGAATGATTTTGGTCGTGTCAGGATAACTCAGATATACTGTTAGCATCAGGGGGCAGTATGAAGACGTTTTGGTCGTGATTGCCTTCCCTTGTGACCTCGGCTGGACTCTAGAGATCGCAAGGAGAATTGTTAGGAGAATTGTTAGCCCCACACGCTTATATTCACCACCCAACTGCTCTCTACGCTCTACTCGGTCTACTTCTATTCCAATCCATCTCACCTGATTTGTCTTCTCGGGGTGTTCGGCATTCCCAGCACTTACCACGGGAATGGGAATTCTAAACAGCTTGCTCTTATAACCCTTTTTTTTAATCTCACTGACATGAACAACGCGGACTTTTGCTAAGTGTTTAACAGAGGTTGGGGCTACCAACTTCAGGAAGGCACTCTGGGAACGGTTGCGACCCCGCATCATGGAGCCAAATTGGTGCTGAGGCTGGACAAATACTCGAGATGAAATCATACATAGTAAGCAGCGGCTTGGATGCCAAGCTAGGGATCCACCCTGGAAGCCATTGCTCCATTATAAGAATGCTGAGCAATGTCACAATCTAACACTACAAGTGCAGGGCGTCACTATACCAAGTAAATCAGCCTCGTTCCGTGAGAGATCCGTGACACCCTTGATATATCAAGTAGAAGTTTCGGAACGCTCCAGTTGCTGAGCCTTCCCTCACTTTAAGCACCTGCCGGTACAAAGGAGATGACAAAACTCTGGATTGAGGATATCCTGATCTGTCGAAAGTATCAACACACCTACAAGATAGGTACCAGGGCAGAACTCCAAAAGCTGAACTGGTACTGCGTTCTGCCATTCATGGTGATGGCAAATGTCATCTCTCGTACGTGTTTGATGCGCTGGCAAAGATGAAACCAAGATATGAGTACAAAAGTTGTGAGCAGGTTGCGGATATAGAACTTGTGAGTATCGTAGCTTCGAGGTTCTTTTTGGGGTTTGGGGGTTGACCCCCACAGTTTATGCACAGACCAGTTCTTTGTCCAAACTGCCCTTAACACTGATAAGCTTGCGAGGCTAAGTGACATGACGGCAATGTCGAACGTTCAGTTCACTTACACTTCGTCATTGCAGCATTCTTGAGCGCAAGTCACTCACCATTCACCATTCGTTGATACCTGTCCCTTCTAGGTTTACATCCTCTCCTTTCACCGATTGATTTCTATTCTTCATCATTGCCTCGGCCTTTCTCTCCCATGTGTCCTCTTTTGCAACTCCGGACCCCTTCCTTCCTTGACCCTCTTGCCCTTCCTTGTAAGCAGTTGTAGCTCTACAATCGCATTTACCATGGATAGCGACGATAGCCCTCGCAAGGGCACCCGCCAGTTGCCCGGTCGAGCAGCTAAAAACAAGGCACCCAGTCGCCCCAATCGCATGACCAGATCGACCGCCGCATACTTCAGCTCCCAGAGCGACGAAACCGAGTCGACCGACGATAGCCCGAACCCCAGTAGGAAGCGCAAAAGCACCGCGACTCAAGTAGCCACCAAGAAGAAACCCCGTCGAAACCCTCGCCGAGGTCAAGCCCCTGCGCCACCGAAACCTCAGCGGCAGCCCATTCGCCCGACAGCCAGGAAGGCCAAGGTTATCGCATTCACCCCGCAACCTGATATCGTGCTACCAGGAGAATGGCTCACGTTGCCATACCTGGTCTGGTGTGGCATCTTTGAACATGTCGCAGCGGCGCTCCATGATCCTGATGCGCGTCGAGAAGACGTCGCAGAGGCATCTGATACGCTCCTGTCGGCAGCGCGTGCTGCGAAGGTCTTCACCGAGCCGGCATTGACTGCGCTTTACAAGATAGTCAGCTTGTCGCCCTCTTCTGCACCTCGCCTGTTGCAGAAGATCACGTTGCCATGTGATGCGACGTCTTTCAATTATCGACTAAAAGTCGAGAGCGTACGGATGGAGGTTGGCGAGACATTGGGCAAAAAGCTCGGGGGCAACTACTTGGATCTGAAGGCTCTCGTTCAGAACCTACCCAGGTTGCAACATGTCGACTTGTTCTTTGAAAAAGACGGGGCGCCGTTTCGTGAGCTAGATATCCCGAGCCGCTGGAAATATTCCGACGAGCTCTTCAGCGCTCTGGAGCCGCTCCCGAACGGCGACGCGGATGCTGGCGACAAGACAAACTATACACAACTGAGAAGCTGGACGTGGAGTTCCCGCCTGGCCGCGGAATCTTGCAAGTTGGAGAAGCTCCATGAAGTGCATCGCACGCCGCCTTTCTCAACCTTGCGCAAGATCACGTTCATCAACTATCAATTACCATCATTGAACAGCCGAGCTAAGGACCCTGCTGAGATTATGGCGATGGATGAGCCCGTCACCAAGAAAATGGCGGCTGCCATCAAGGCCTTGCCACGATTGGAACATCTTGTGCTGCAATCATCCACGGTCGCTAATGCCGCTTTGTTGGAACTCCTGCCCAAGAATCTCAAGCAACTCGAGCTGATCAATTGCTGGGATGTCGAATCTGAGCACTTGACCGCTTTCCTGATCACGCATGGCCATTCCTTGGAACGGCTTACACTGAACCACTGTCAGTCGCTGAGTCTAGGCTTCTTGCCCGTTCTCGGCTCTGCTTGTCCCAACTTGACGCATCTGAACATGGATCTGCAATATTTTCGACACCATGAGTACTACGATGACTCGGAGCCCAACTACGAGACTTTGCTCAATAAGGACCAAGTTCCAGTGTGGCCTTCCACAATACAATGCATCGACATTCAGCATTTGCATCATTGGGACATTGATGCTGCCAGCATGTTCTTCCAAAGCCTTGAGGACAGTGCTCTCCGCATGCCCAATCTTCGTCGGCTTGCATTAAAGGCGACACTCAATGTTCCCTTCCGACAACGGGCTGAGTTCAGGGAGTACTGGGTTGAGCGGATGTCGTACATCTTCCAACGACCAAATTCGGATCCCAAACCCGTTCTCCGAGCAAAGGCCCCCGTCGTATCTCCGCAGCGCGATGGGCGCTCCTCAGTGTCGGGGGGCAATGCAAAAACTTGGAAGTTTTCCACCACTCCCGCACGGAGAAGCACCAGGATTGCGGATTTAACTCTGAGCCCCGTTTCGCCACATGAGGAAGACGTAATTGTGAGTGGAAGAGAACACGCACGAACTAGACAGCTGGCAAAGGAAGCAAAACACCTTAGGCTCCGTACAACTAGGAGGGGTAATGAGGCGGATGACGAAGACAGCGGGGACGAACTGGCTGCGACGCCTCTCAGCAACGATTCGGACAATGAGCCTGTGCACAGACAGCTCCTATGTAATCTCGTCGATGTACAAATTGACAACCAAAAACCGACAGAGCGCCGATATGGGATGGAGGACTTTCTTGACTCGCCCAACGCGTCAGACGACGAGTGGAATGGCCGTGATGACCCTGACATTTTCACTTAGGCAACTCGCCTCTTTGTTGAGCTGATGCCCGTCTTCTAACTACAGAACACAGTATTGCATAGGGCCCGGCTTTCATTTGGCAGTCAACTTGATTCAACTTGGCGTTTAGGTTTAAGGCAGGCGGACTCTGTTGAGTTCTTGGAAGCCATAACCGTCGGTATACATGAGAGACATGATAGGGCATACAGGGTATGAGATGATATCAAGAATAAAGGAATATAAACGGCTGGCTGGTTTGCTTTGCATCATACCCGTATATAATTTTCACTGTCCATAAAGTCATTAACTCATCTGAGGGGTATTGATGATTTCAGATATCTTCCCTGAGTATATACATAATGATTACTTTACCATATACCTCTGTCTTTCTCGTTCGTCGTCTTGCCCTCGAACCGTGATTGATTTAGAGTTTGCAAACTCTCTACGGACTAATCCCTCCCCGAAAAGGAATGGTAACAAAGAACGGACAATATGCAACCCTTTCCGTCCTCCGTTTGCCTTGACTACCCTTCTCCCCATAGAACACTTCCTCTGAAACCTCCGGCTCATAGCTACAAGAAACTAACCACAAAAGCCATCGTGATGACCAAAGCCCGTGAACAAGCCACAAACCGCTGGTAGTTGGCCTAGTCGCGTCTGACTTCACAACCCTGGAGAACAGATCCTACCAAACACTATGCGGCCTTTCTTGCACAGCTGGTCGCACTATCGACGTCGCCTTCATCGTCTCGGATTCTCCCACAGACGTCATGTAAGATCGCGGGAGTTCCCCATGTGGTTCAACCTCGGGAATTTAGATAACAGGGCCGTCCGTAGGCTGATGGAGCTGATGGAGCTGATGATGTCTAGGGTGCCGAGGGAGGATGGAAGAGCCATTTTTGCAGTGGAAGTCGAATGGTGCTTGAGGATATTTGACTTCCTGCAGAAGAGATGAGATCGGTCTGGAGTTCTTTGCTTTTTAGCCGCTTGATGTTAAAGCGAATGAGACAGGATTTTACTATTATATATCGCCAGCCCAGAAGCTATTTTCAGTGGGGGCTAGATCTCCGATATAGAATGTTGAGGATGATTGAATCTTCGGGACTATATTGTCGTATTCCAATGACACTCTTCGTTCTTTTCCATTTTCTACAGATAGCCACGGCTTCTAGCCGAACAGGTCGGCACTGAAGTGCTCTGGGGCTGAGTACTTACGACCGCCTTGCGTTGAGATTCAGCAAAATGCGTATAGTCAAGGCTCGTACATTAATTTGGAAATCTTTTGATGGATGGGGAAACGTTCAGGATGTGTCTGAATAAGGGTCCACGCGAAAATGAAGGTGTCTTACCGCAATCGTGGTTGAGCCATACACGCAAGATGCCTAATTTATAATTTGAATCAGGTCTAAGACTATGGTTCTTTACAATGAAGAAATACTTTACGAGCTCCCTCACTTCCAGTTAATGCATATAGTGTCCTAATGAGACAAAATCGCATGCCCAGAGGAATGAACGCAGAACAATAGGAACATAACTGAGCTTAGAGTCTTTATCATTATCCAGTATTATGTCTTACGATTGCACGCTTATTCCTTCTCCTACTGCCGTAGGGGGCAATAATTGTTCTAGAGTCGCTTTTGCCATAAAGTCCTGGATTTCTTGCAAGGTTGCTTCCCTTGCATGTATGGGTAGTGCCAGTATTGAAATTAGCCCCTTCCGACATCCGTATAAATGAAACGAGGCTGTTGCTCTTATCCTCAAAATCGCATTGGGTTCTATTTGCTCGGAAGAATGTTTCATTTGAAGTGGGAGGGTACCCGAGAGAAGTGCACTTCCCATGTGTATGTGAAAGAAACAAACTAGCTGCCTGGTTATGAATTTCGTCACAAGGATGGCCATCGGTAAGAGACTGACGCATAACTTTGGTTCCCTGTGCCGTTGATGGTGGGGGTAGTTTGTGTTGCCTATTGTTTCATGCGTGCAGTGGTAATCGAACAAGCCCAAATGACTGTCGAGAGAACACAAAGACTGCATCGTAGGTGTTTCGTGCTTTGAAATGATCCACACTGATACCATGGTTAAAGTACTGCTTGTAGAATAATTACCTGAGAAGTTCCAAGCTGGACAGCGGTACAGATGCCAACGGCTCTAATTCCCATCCACTGATCCCAAGAACAACATTCTTGCAAATGTACGGTGTAAGTTTTACATTGTCATCCTATTTTTCGACATTGTTGAGATATACAGTGAGGAACGATTTCAGTGCAAGTAAAGCATAGGCCAGAAGTACAAGTCGTAGAAACCCCTTTTTTCCCTTTTCTTCTTCTATCAGCCTCCTACAGTCCTTATCGTAGGATAGTATATTTTTCTGCTTAGCTCGGCTGTAGCAACGTATAGTTAGTAGTTCACGACAAAAGTTAAAATTTGCATCAGTAGACTTGTTATCTTTAATTTACATAGTAGGTAACGGACATTCATCTTGTTTCCTTCTGCCATACTTGTCGAGTCGAGTAGGGTTTCCTATAGTTACTTACCCTAGTGCACCGATTATGCTATAGTGACGACTGGAAAGGTAAAACAAAATGTGGATATAGCTGTAGAGATATTTGTTTAGTCTGGAATAAGTTCAAACGAAATAATTTGATCCACATACTGTATTTTACTATTTTAAGGAAGCAATCAATTAAAAGGTAGGATTTGCCCCAAGTTGTTCTGTAATTCGTGGTTAATCCTCAGCCTGCGACGCCACCAGTTTCTATGATAAGTCGGGTGAAAAGCGAAGGGAGTTTCAGCTATTCTAGCGTGCAATTGATACTGCACTAAATGCTTTTTCTTTTCTTTTCTTTTTTTTTTGCAGATAGAACCTCGACAGGATATGGCTGCTTATGATTGTTGCAAACCAGGCATACAGGCACCTAAGGTATTCGTTCCTAGACAAAGGAAACAGTGTTGACCTTTCCGAGGGAACGACTTCGAAGTAGGCAAACACTGGCCGTCTTAGTCGTTTGTCTTGTAACAGCGGCCTTGATTTGCAGGCATATTTACTTACTCGAGGAAGACAATAAACATATATAAGGACCCACCGACTTCTCTAAAACTATGGGCTTGTGCACCAGGTCTCACTTGACTATGACATCCTCTTGAAAGCCCATACACGGTCTGTCTTACCACCATTAGCAACAGCACACAAAAGATCACGCATCTCATTTGAGGCGAGAAGTCCAGCAAAGATGAACCGTCGACGATCGTTCTCGAGTGTCCCCATTGATACTGGCATGGCAAAGGACACTTGCAAGTGTCCACACATGCGACGGTCCTCGAGTGACACAACCGTACAGCGAGTCAGCCGGTCAGCAGATGCATGGCCTCCTTACCCGCTTGAAGACCCGCGACAGAGACAATTGTCAGAATTCTGGCGAAGCCCAATTTCTGCACCCAGACAACAAGATTGGACCGCCGCAGGTCATAAAGTTGTTGTTTTACAGCAAAAATGTTCCGGTTTCAGCCTGGACAGCGAAATAAATTTGAATAGAGGGACCCCTCTTGCCAGCGACTGTGTGACCGCACCTGAGCAAGCCTACTCTCAAGTAGAAAGCCTCTCATCCTCCGCCGGGTGTCATCGTAGTTTCGATCCAGAGTTCTGCAATGGCCGCAGAATGAGTGGCCAAGTCTCTCCTCCTTACGATGGTGGTGAGCTTGCTCAACGTGCCAAGGCAATCAGAGATGGATTGAAAATACTGGAGCCGCAAAGTATGCTGTTATATACTAATCACCTTGGTGCAACCGGCAGACGAGGTGCTGTGTCTGGTATCTCTCCAAGAGAGCCAATCGTCTATCCACTTGTCCCCTCGGTGGGGCAGCAAGACTATGATTCTGATGAGAGCCGCCTTGGATGATGAATTTTTGAGAATGATGGGAGGAAGTAAAGGAGTCGCGAGATGTGGGCATCGATGAATGGGCAGTTATCGACGCACGGTGGTGCGAAACAGGAAGATGCTGGACCCAGACCAGGAGACAGCTGCAGGACATATTAATACCAGAGATTTCTACACACAACGTAATTGTTGCCTCCATCTTCTTTGAAACCATGCAGTTTCAATTTATGTTTAATCCAGGTCTACAACTAACTCTATTAACCCAGAAGCAGTTTTCTATAGCGAGTTCAATCAAATTCCGAGAAAACTTATTACAATATACCACTGACTTTGTTCTAGATGTCCGGCTTGGAGAACCAGATGCCACAGATATTGTTTCTGTGAAGATCTTTTGCCTCATGGTGATCCAAATAGTCTCCAATTGCAAGCCCAACCCCAATGCAGATCTTGTCAACTAACACGTCGGTCCCTCCTTGGTCCTTTAAACATCTTCACTAAGCTCCACTGCCAACGACACCTGTGAACAGAGGACTAAACCTGTGGTGATACCCAGAACTACAGTAAACACCACAGCAAGCTGCTACCTGTCAGCCCTAGTAATTCAAGACAATGGAAGAGCAACCTCACGAAGGCATTCTCGTCCCACCAAGCATCCCTCGGATTCTTATAAGGTCCCCAATTTGTGCTGACCCATATAAGTATGGTCATTCCCGCAATCATGCACAGGGCAGCCAATGTCAGCAATGCCGTGCTTGCTTGCCAGGCATGCTGTAGCATACTCCAATTAGGAGCGGGACCAAAGTGATGACGGTAGCCAACTGCCTTCAGCTGCGCGCTTGAACGCCAATGGAGACCGAAATGCAAAACTTACGACCTGTATCCATCTAGGCTCCTTCTTCCCGTCATGCCTCAAGTCTCCCATCATGCAGCTCCTGATGTAGGCGAGACCGTGCCGATGTGCACTCAAGCGATGTAGACGAAGGCTGTGCTGTGCGGCTACAAGAACTGCAAATAGCGCAAACACAATTCCACTGTACCAGAACGCGCGAACATGCCATGGCTGCTTGTTTCCGTTTTCTAGGAGTTTCGGCCAGCTGCCCGTACTGGTGAGGGCACCGGCGAGAAGAGCGCCCTACGACCATTGTCAGCGATAAAGGGGCAACGCAAGGAAATAAATACCGTCCAAGGGTGGGATCCTTACTACTACACCAATCAAGTTCAGCTCTTGGAGCTTATGGTCTCGCCATCTCTCGGTCAGCTTATCCTTCAATTCCTGGTCCTCCTCATTGAGCAGAAGCACCAGCGAGTCATACGTGATCTGCTTCGGCGCAATTAAGCCATTGCGGAAGATGTTGAGTGACGACAATGCGCTCTGGATGACACTCAAATAAGTTGGTCTTCGAATTCAGATGTTCCCAGTCGACAAGAGGGGTTGGTTGATAGTTACCATGAGGCCGTCCTTTGCCTTCTGCGTAGTAAGGCTGTTGGAAGCACCTGGTAACAACGGAGTTCTGTTGCTCATTGTCACTTAAACTAGAAGGTTCAGTTGAACGTCTTATGTGTTTCAAAAATATGTTGTCCGTTTCCAAATATTGTGGAGGGTAACTTTGACGTCGGGGTGGTAGTTCTCTAGATTAGTTGCCCGAATTAAATCGCCCCATGTGACGACTCTAGGGCAGTTTTCTCCGAGCTGAAAAAACACACTAACCTTAAATCCTTACGTACATATGTATGATATTGGCGTGAGGTTGTTGAATTCAGTTAAACAATTGGGGTGCCAGGTGCAGATAAGCCACAGTGGCTTGCCGGGGTCTGGCCTATGCGAGGGTCGAAATGCATAAATAGGCTACTGTGTCTCCCCTTTCTTGAGGAAGGGAAGTGATTAAGTTATCGTTGAGTCCTCTACAATACACTGCTACTACCCACCTGGCGACTCGCAACCTACTTCTCTCTAGCACTCCCGTGTGTGTCACTCTGTACTTGAAAATACCTGTGACATGGGGCAGAGAGAGAATGGGCCCTGGGGTGTTGGGGAATCCCCACATGAAGACGAGGTTCGCCATTGATTATACTCCGGTATACTGATGCGACTGGATTTAAAGTACGGATTTGGAAAGCCCACTCCTGTACGTATGGGTAGACGATACGACTACTGAGAACATCAGATAAGTATAGTAACTAATGTCGTCGTTCACCACGCCCAGAATCTTCGATTCGTCTTTGGAACGTAGTTAAAGCAGTTTACCGAATATATAATGAGCGATACAAAGGTGCTCATATTCCCTCAATATTTTGACTATGTGTCAAGCCAAGCCAATCAAGTTTGGTTGAGTGCGTACACTTTTGCGCACTGGGTTGCGTAAATGACGATCGGTTAGACTGAATTTCAACAATTTCATGCATTAAAACAAGATGAACATAGCGATGATATGAACGGAAAATTATCTAGTACCTACGTGAGAAATTTTGTGCGAGACAAATTGCATTGTAGAATCCGGCGACATGACACATTCCAAGGTTGAGAAACATGAACTCGTGAGCCGATACGCACCACACCACACCACAACATTGAAACCACAAAACGTGTTTCATGTACAATGTAACAAAAACATGTGACATAGGTTCGTCAAGATGCCATGGGCAAGAGTTCATAGATTAAGAAACCAGAATAATATATTACGAGAGTGGGGCTACTGTGTCGGGAGGAGGCTGCCTACGTTCACGCATTGAACCATTCACATGATGGCCTTTCGAATATATACCATTCTTTTGAGTTTTATATGCTTGAACGCCAGTATAAACTACTGTCAAAGCGCAAGAAAGAATGTGAAGCTACGGAAAGAGCCAAGTAGTGGTTTACAATCCCATTCGGTCGAATGACAAACCTGATCATATTTCAATCGTCCTTAGGCCTGTCTCCAAACATGCGATAATAACAACAGGATCTGACAATTTCGAAGTATGAGATAACGCAGTTGGGAAAGGTCGCTCTTCCGGCCTTTCTTGCTGATATAGACAAGTAAGTTTGGCGAAAGTCTGTAGTTTGAGCGAGATTCATGGCAGAGGCAACTGCCTGGAGTGCCTCAGAAAGGAATGGTTAGAAGGAAACTAATCACGATGAAAGTGCAACAAGACCACGAATTGACTTTCATATATACCCCCCCAGAGTCCGGTCTGCATCGCTCGACGTGCGCTATTCAACTCCTTAAGGCCTCGAGAAGACTACGTCATGGGTCCACCTCCAGGAGGAATTGCAAGCTATCCTGAGGAATTTTAGAGTCCCAACAAGGGGAGTCGAGGCAAACATACGCCGCTTGCTATGCTCTGGCTCGTCGGCTAGTAAAGAAAGTAAACATATGATCCGAGTTTTGGTTAACCTGGTGACTGCTTGGCGTCGAATTCGGGAAGACCTGTCCAGCCGGGCTAGTCAACTCCACAAAGCCACGTGATGGCTCCTCGTTCGCGTGTTTATATAGTCATTCCTCCGCACTCATTACTCCGTCCCATCTGAACCAACGGAGGCTAGCGATATTTTCGGCTACATCCCCGGCCGCGGCAGGTGGGTACCCCGCACACAAGCCAGGGGGTGCGGAGAACATCCCCGCATTGCTAGCAGACCCCGCACCTTATCCTCTCCTCCGCGGCCAGTGAGGTTGCAGTGGTCAATATGAGAGACCTTGTCGAGTGCTCTGTCCATAACACTGGGATATGTTATTAGTTACGGGGAACACGGAGCCGGCGGGAGTATTAATGGCCTGCGATGGCTCTCCAATTCTCACGATGTTTGCTCCGCATGATCGGGGCCCTGGACGATCTTCCTGCATCTGAGTTGTCGACAGGTTCCTTACCGTTGGCGGATTGTATCTATCACGTATACTCATCCCAGCCTGTGAGAGAACGAGTACCTTTTCAATCGTTTTCGCCAGTCTACCATGGCCAGAATGAAGACCCTGGCCATTTACTCGTCTGTGGCGTTGCTCGCGACATCTGTATGTTCGTCATGGGTTCCCACCCCACCAGCACTGCCTCATTACTATGCTTCAAGGGGGTTGAATAGTGCTCTTCCACGAGCTGAGAATTCGACAGGCTCATGGCCTTATGGGCCACTGAAAACACAGGGCAGACATATTGTCAACGCTCGGGGCGATGTAATATCCTGGGCTGGTGTCAACTGGCCTATGAGTGGTAAGTCGAATCAAGCTGGGCTGGGAATGTACCGCGACTGAATTTCATCTGCAGGAGAGTCAATGATCCCCGAGGGTCTCGAATGGGCATCTGTAGACGATATCTTGGACATGATCCAAAGTGTTGGGTTCAATTTCATCCGCATGTAAGGCTGCTTCAATATAGAGAACTATTTAGTGAATCTAGAGCATCCGCTGACAAAACACGAAAGGGGATATGCTATACAGATGGTCGACGAAATCTACGATCGAAACGGCGAGGACGTGCCTCTCGACGTAGCAATGATCATGGCGGTTGGCTACGAAAACGGAACCAAAATTACCAATGAGATAATCAGTAAGAACCCCGGCTGGACGGCTCAAACCACTCGCTTCGAAATTTGGTCCGATATCGCCGACGCTGCATTGAAGAAAGGCATTTTCATTCATCCCGATGTTCACGTCGGCAAGGCCATGTGGTGCTGCAGTCACGTTGATGGCAACTCATGGTTCGACGACTTGAACTTCAACGCATCGGAGTGGCGTCGCGGTCTGGCATACATTGCCACTTGGGCTAAGGACCATCCCAATGTTGCCTCGATGTCTCTACGCAACGAGCTCCGCGAGTCCTGGAATGTCACCGATCTGTACTACAACTGGCAGACCCTCATCGGAAACATGAGTGCCGGCGCAGACGCCATCTACGAGGCCAACCCTGACCTATTGATCAGCTGGTCGGGCATGCAGTATGACCAAGACCTTTCTGCCCTCATCTCCGGAAAGAACATTCTCACAGCACCGTGCTACAAATGCACCGCCATACGCGACGCGTACCGCAGCGAGCCTGAGTATTTCGACCTCGACAGCTACCCCTGGGCCGACAAGATCGTCTGGGAGTTGCATCTGTACGGCTCCAGCGAAGACGTTGACACGGGCACCTGCGAGATCATAGAAGCCGGTTTATATCGCAACGGGTTCAACGCGCTAGGAATCGACGCTCCCTCCGGTTGCAATATCACGAGCGACTGCCCACCTGCGACGCGCCTCACGCCTGTTATATTGTCGGAGTTTGGGCACGCCCAGGCTTCGACACTGTATAACGATACGTTGCAGAACTGCCTGCAAGAGTATACGAAGAAGCACGGCATTAGCTGGGCCATGTGGTCCCTGGCTGGCAGCTACAGGATCAGGAGTGGGGTTCAAGGGCTGCAGGATATTTGGGGCCTTACGAACTTTGAGTGGAGTGGGTGGCTTGATCCTGATACTATTGAGGGATACTGGAAACCTTGGGTAGAGGCCATGAACGTCACGACTTTGTAATGTTGGATAGTAGTAATTGTCAAATACTGTTTTGATGAACTTGACCGTCAAATGAGCCTAGCTACTTAAGTAATTTGAAGTCAAGTCCTACTTGCACGGTCTCGGAACTGCATGAACCTCTCCTTTGACATAATATGATCAAATTTTAAGCTTGCTTTCTGCATCTAAATAATTTCTTCCTGAACGGGCTTCTTGTGCGCCAAGTACTTTGCTTAACGATCTATCCTCGACACGGCATGCTTGGGATCAGTGGTCATGTTTGAAACCAGCCTTACAGACTCAACCGTTTTCTTTCTACGCCTTGTGAATAATTACCGTTATACCTGCTATATGTGTTAGATGTGAGAATACTTATGACAGTGCACCGATGTCGAGTTTCAATCTACTAACTCCTGTTACGGTAGAGAAGTTGACTCTGACTAGATGCGAGGGTATATTATCAACCTTCGGCTACATCCCTCCACAATTCAGCATTTAACAAGGCTCCAATTTCTGGAATTACTCTATATGACCAAAACCAGGATACTTTCTGTGTCTTACTCTTGGAAGCCAGGCATCCAAGATTCCCTGTAGCAATCTCACATGCAACAACCTGTTCCTTCGTAGTAGCACTGTCGTGGACCATCCAGAGCCTTGATGGAACTCAAGCATGGTCGTTGGATAGTAACGTTGTGATTATGATTCTAGGGGGCGATTATGGGATCACTAGCCTGGTGAAGTAGCTGAATGGGTGTAGACGGGCCCGTTAATTGAAGCCAACACGCCTGTCGACGCCGTGGTGCCCTGTTCTGGTAACTGTAGTTGGTATTAGTTAATGGTGAGCTCGTCACTGCCGCCCATGGAGTGTGTAATCTTGAGCTTATGCCTAAATGGGCACCTGGTATGTGTTCCTGGTTTGCCCTACCGTGCTACTATTGGCACATATTCCTCAAGGCTCTAACTCAAAGCAAAATTCCTGATGAAAACATTGAATACTCCCAAACTATGATCTGAAATTCCTTGCATGCATGTTTATTAGTGCCATGAAGAAGCAGGCGATCTCATGGTCGACAACGCCAAGTTAGTGACAGAATACACGGCACAGGGGAATACGGAATAACCTGGGATTGGCAATATTCCAGCATAGTAAACCGCATGAACGTATTTGTTTCACCGAAGTGCGCCGTTTATTTTGTCCCCCCAACTCGATGCAGGGAGCTGACGTTTCTCCATGGCAAACAGTGCTTCGTTGCTGACCCATAGGCCTATTGAAAGAAGTCCGCCTGGCTCGAGGTACACATCAGTGCCGCAGCTTTCGTGACAACAACTTCTTTCTGTACTAGTAGACCGTGAGAATACCATTCCAAGGTTACCCGTCACGGCCAATTTCCTGCTCGAAGTATATTTTGATTAGGGACTGCTGTACTCGCTGAGATGCCATAGCCCCGACCCTGAATTACATGTTGGATGACAATATCCATGCTCTATTACATCCAATCGACGCCAACACAATGCAACCTGGCTTTTCGTATCCACAAGTGCCTACCTTCTGCCGAGAAGCATTTCCCCTCATATCATGTCGTGTCGTATACCTCATTTGTTGTACATACTTATTAACTGTGCAGAACATCTCGTTGCGCACCCAGCTCAGAGGCGTATGTTGAGATCCATGCACTCGATCCTCCACTCCCGCCGTCCTAGGAGGCTCCTCAACCACTCAATACCCAACCCAGTCCATTCCGCTTTCCTGCGCGCCAGCTCGTCAGCTGCCGCGCCTGCCAAAGCATTTGCAGTTGTGTTCAGCATCTCGACAGCAGTGGCGTTGAAACTGTCCACCGCAGGTTCTGTCATCGATGTATTGCTCGAGTAGTATGATGTCGATGGCCGGGGCGCGAACCAGTTACCACTGAAGTCGAAGAAGCACCGGTCGGACCAGTAGCATGATGTGACGAACAATATCAGGAGCAGCACCGAACAGTAGACACACGGCCGGTTGAGGAAGTAAGTGCAGAGGAAGAAGAGAACGATGAATGCCGGCGAGGCGTTTGTCGGGATGAAGAGGAGGGGAAGCCAGCTGTAATTCAAGTGAGCAATTGCCCAAGATGAAATGCCCGAGATGGCATCAAAACCAACATACCTCCGTAAGCAAAACATGGCGCCAGTCGATATATAAAGAGCCAACTGAAGCAGAATTGCTCGTTTGCGATGAAAGTTGGCAGCAAAATCCAGATAGAGCCTATGTACACATCCGAGCACAGAGTCGAAGCATATGTGACTCGGGGGGAATGGCTAGCGGACGGGATGGACAGGGGATCGAAAGGAGTTCGACGAATATACGAGGTTCGGGTCGTTTGTGGCGATGTATCCACCGGTGTTGGTATGCGATGCGCGTTTGCTTTATTCGAGTATCCGGGTAGGCAATGTAGGTAGATTTGAAGATTTGCTGTCTGGAGCGATTCGAGGGCTGCAACAATTGCGCTTCGGCGCCGCCAAGGTGATGAGACTCCACCAAATTTCTGCAGTCCGGCCACTAGAGTTTATTCTCTATCCCCGCAAAGTCTAGACGCCTAGCAAGGCCAATCGGTTCGGTCAAAGGTCGGCCCGAGATTTGGTCATCAATGACAATTCGACAGCTCGAACTTTCAAGTCCCGCACCGACCGTTGCCGGTTTGGCTTCACGGGCGCAAATGATAACGCACATCTGCATGGCCGCCCAACGACGCACTTGAGAAGTATTGTTTTGTTCTGCTGCAACCATTGCTTGGTTCGCAGCTCGAGCGCAATTCCTTCCAACTTCTTCCCCCTCTGATCCTATCAAATTTCTTGTTTCTGGTGGCGCGTCTACCAGTTCATCTTGACTCCCCTCGTCACTCAACAGGGTTGCTCATCCCAGACAGCTCTGCTCAGTGTTGGCAGGAGAGCTCGGTGATCGGTGGATACCGATTTTGGGCAGCTTCGACCCGAAAGTTTTCAGCCACCTTCAAACCGTTGATCACACCCGCGACTATATTCGTTCTCATTTTTCCTTTTCTTTCCTTTCCCTCACCCGATACCCATACCCAACCGACTGGCTTCATCGAGGCTTTGTCATTAACTCATAGCAGCAGTTTCTGCATGCTGCTGCGCCGATTGGTCGCTGTCCAGACAAACAGCCATGGCAAGCTACAATCAATCGAGTGGGAACGACCCAAATAGCCACCTGAATGGTCTGCTTGCGCGCCTGCAAGCTGGACGTAACGGGGGCAACACTAGCGACGATGGCACTCGCGACCTTCTGTCACGCTTCTCGTCTTTTAATTCGGGGGCTCAGTCGCAACAGAGCTACTATGGCGGTCATCAGTCTGAAGGTCAAGATTCGCCGTTGGTGACAGGTTCCGACGGCTTCCCCCCTCCAGCACCTACGCCTCCAATGAGCCACTTCTCGCACTCTCATCATCCCCCGGGCATGCCCCCGGGCATGATGGGAGGTATGAATTTGGGTCCCATTGGCACCATGCCTCCCTCTGCTATGAACAAATCCGACCAGAGCGCCAGTTTACTCAACCTTCTGAAGTATAACGGCAACGGCAACGGCAACGGCAATAGCGGCAACAATTCAACCCATTCTCATACGAATTCTCAATCGTCCCCGACAACTCAGCAGCATGCGCCGTCGCTCGATGATACCATGATTCTACCCCATGCCAACATCCCGACCCTCCATGCTCCGGTCCCAATGCCCGCCGACCCCCAAGGCTTTTTAGCTTCTCTCATGAAGGGCGATCCCAATCACGAGAATTCAAGAACCGAGGTGCAAGTTCCCAAGTGGAATGCGACCGCTCCTCCCGAGGAAACCCAGGCGTATCTACTCAACCTGCTACAGCGCAAGAAGCCTTCCCAGATCGATCAGCCTTCCACCGTCGAGGCGCCTCAACCGCCGAGTCTGACTCCCCAGTCTGCTAATGAGCCGACAACGGATGATCCTCAAGATTTTCATCTGAAGCAGGAATGGACTGAGAAGAGCTCTCATGATGCCACGCCTTTGGCTTTTCAGCAGCACAATGAGTCTCCACTTGGGAAATTCGAGTACGCGTCCCCGTCATCTCAGACTGGCGCTCCCGCGCAGCCATCTAGGAACGGCAGGTTCGACTATAACAACCCTTTCGAGGACCTTGCGGCGTCGTCCCCTCATACCAAGGCCCCCAAGTCCTCGACGCCCGGGACTGCCGTGCCAGGTATCCAGATTCTGAAGAAGGCGCCTAGCAATGCGTCGTCTCCCAGCTCGATTGATCGCAAGCGCCAAAGTCTCAATGCTCACCGCAGCCCCTTGGTCAGCCCAGACATCAACAGACGGAAGATCGAGTCGCCTTCTCGCTTCGAGCCCGAATACGCCCAAGACACACTGGAGGAGAACGAGACGGTCGCCGAGGCAATCAATGATCTTGCCGAGACGGCCAACCGGGAAGCGCAGGAGGCGCTAGCGCGAGCTGAGGATCAACAGGTACAAGCCAGAATTGCTAGGGACCTGGACGACATGATGAATGCGACAACTGACGCTGCTTTCCAGGAGAAGTCGGAGACTGCCGCTCGGCACATCAAGGAAGAGCTGGACAAGGCAGAGAATGCTGGTCTTCTTGAGGATGCTTTATCTCCCGAGATAGCCCAGGCTGTCCGCGATATTGTTGACGAGACCGCTGGTGGCCATGGTGCGCTGGCTGACAGCTGGGAAAGCGCTGAAGCTGACGAAATTATCGTCATCGAGGAGGCCCCCGCGCCTGTGAAGGTTTACAACTTCCCTATGAAGCCCTGGATCTCCATCAGTCTTCAGGACACCGACGAGACCCGCCCGCTACTCCGCGACGAGGTCATACTTGATATCGCACGCATCAAGAAGGACTTCGACCAGATTGATCGCAACCTAGTTGCTGCCTCGGAAATCTACATTGTCTATGGCATGTCGAAGGCCGGCGGCTTCCGCGTCATACGCCAAGATGATGGACGTGACGCAAAGCTTTTCACTGACACCAAGGACCGCATTTTCAACCTCGCCATCTCGTCTACTCCTTCTGATCTGAACACTACTCAGAAAGAATCGATCATTGGAACTGGCATCAGCGGCACCGTCTACTACGTTCTGATCAAAAACGGGGACAAGGACTACCTTGATGACGCACACCCGGAGCAATATGGTTTTGCCCTACCTCCCATCAGCACGCAGGAAGGAGATGCCCCTGGTGGAGTACTCAAAACTCGGGCCAGAACATCGTCCACCCATCCAGACTACTTTGCCGTGGGGCGTGGAAAAACAATCTCCATCATTTGGCCCTCCTACATCATGAAGCACAACCTCTTCAAGCCCGGCCATGACCGCGTTGTGGATACCGAAAAGCTCTCCGCGAAGTGCTCACTGAGAATCAATACCGGTAAGGCCGGCAAGGACTTCACCTTCAGCCAAGATGACACCATGATTGTGTCTTTGGACAAATCAGGCCGCGTCAAGTTTTGGGATGTCACAGACTTGACAGCAGTTGACGAAGGCTCTGATTCCCGATTCCCAATGCCGGCGCAGACATCTCTCGAGATCAAGGAGCCCCTGATGACGCTCACGACTACCCCAGAAGGGGAGAAAGCCTGGCCAACCTCGGTGTTACTGCTGGATAAGCAACGGCCGTACCAGAAGCGTTGTGCCCTGCGCTACATGATTGTCGGCATGAAGCAAAATCATACGCTCCAGCTATGGGATCTGGCACTCGGCAAGCCGGTCCAGGAGTTCAATCTGCCCCATTCCAAGGAGTCAGATGCGGTTTGCAGTGTGATGTATCATCCCGCAACAGGTATGGTCGTTGTTGGACATCCCACTCGCAATTCCCTCTACTTCCTTCACCTGTCGGCACCCAAGTACACGATTAAGGGTCTGTCCCAGGTCGACTACATACAGAAGCTTGTTGCCAAGGATTCGTCAATTCCCGAGCCTGATTCGACCGCGGTCATTAGTGGTGTGCGCGAATACTCCTTCTTCAACAAGGGAGTGATTCGGAGCTTGGATATGTTGTCTAATCCTACAAGTACTCCTGACGATGATGGCGAACAGACTCTGTTCGAGTTGTACGCCATGCACTCCAAGGGTGTTGCAGGAATTTACGTCAAGCAGGCCGAGCTGGGCTGGAACAAAGATAATAAGGTTGTGGTCCCTGTGGACGCTGTGGAGGCGGGCATTGTGAAAATCACAAAGCTTAAGGAACTTCCGAACCCTCAACAATCCGAGCCACAAATTCTCGAAGACACAACTTTGCCCACTCGAGGCGCTACTCGCTCCAACAAAGACGCAAACAACCAATCTGTAACTGCTGAGGAAGGTGCAAACCGAAAAGGTACAGACGAACTAGCAACACCGATTCCTGTATCAGAGCGCAAGGCTGAGGCACCTGTCACGCCCATTAACCAACTGGACAAATCGGAACGGAAGGCACGCAAAAAGCGAGAGAAGGCTGCTGCTGCTATTGCCGCCGCCGCGGCTGCCGAGAAGCAATCCGGTGATAACACTCAATCTTACGCAAGCTCGCATTCACCTCGTATCATCCCAACATCTAAAAGCATGGAACCAAAACCTGCTTCTGCTCTTACCCAATCTACAATGGCGCCCGAAGCACTTGAGGCCGCTTTCAAGCAGTTGGAGCGCAACCTCGGTGGCGTTATTGAGAAGACCCTCCAGGAGCAGCGCTCGATGATTGACGCGGAGTTCCGAAGCCGCGACGCCGCTTTCAGAGAAGGCCAAATGATGTTGCTGGATTCTGTATCGTCTACCCTAGACGGCAATGTCCAGAAGCTCTTGACTAAAACCATCAGTAACACAGTTGAGAACAACGTCATTCCCCAGCTGGGCGACGTCCTTACCCGCACGGTTTCTGAGCAATTGGGCCGCGTCGTCTCAGATCAGATCGACAGTAAGATCAGCGGTCGCATCTCGCATGCGATTCAGAACCAGATGCAGAAGCTGCTGCCTGCTGCGGTTGCCCAAGCTCTACAGAAGCCCGAATTATCGCAAGCGATTACTGACAAGATCGTCAAGAACCTGGCTTCCAATGTCGAGACTAGATTCCTCGACGCTCTGCACAATACCGTTACGCCGGCTTTCACTCAGTTGGCAGTCGCAGCTGCCGGCAACATCGCCAACGACGTGCAACGACAAGCTACCGAGCAGATCGACGATCTGGAGCAGAAGCTGCGAGCCGATAGCAACAAGATCGACCAGCTCACTGCTCTAGTCACTAGACTCTCTGACACCGTGACTTCCATGGCGGCCACGCAAGCACGCTTCCAAGATAGTTTCCTTAAATTGCAGCAATATACGCCCCGGGATCGTCAGCCATCGGAAACCATCAGCCAAGCTCAGTACTCGCAAACTTCTCAAGGACAGTCGTACGGCGGCCGTTCCCAGCAGAACCAGTCGTATGACAGTCCCTCTACGCACTCGAACAACCAGCTAGTCGCATATCCATCCAGTGTGGGAAGCAGCAGGGACCTTGAATTTGACCGCAAGGTCGCTGAAATCCAAGCTCAGGTTGAGGGCGGACAACTCGAGGGCGCCCTTGTCAAGTGGCTTCAATCCGACCGCAAGGATGAGATCTTTAAGGCCTACCTTGTAAAGCTCAATCCTCAACTTCTAAGCGAACTGTCTCCGTTGGTATCACTTGCGGCAATCGCGGAGATTGCCCGCGAGCTTGATGGAAACCTCCTCAGAGAGAAGATTGGCTGGATGGAAGTAATCGTTCACAGTATCCACAACTCCCTGCCTCGCATTGTAAGTCAATTGATTCACCCTATTGGCCTCCTGTCGCTTAACCTCGATAACCTGTTGGCTAACACTACCTTCTCTCAAAAGGAACCCCAAGTCCGCGAGGTCATCCCTAACATTCTGAGTGGTTTCATTTCCCAGATCGAGCATTTGTTCATGCGCGTTAGCAATGTCTCACCTTCTGAGCCTATCTTGAAGCATCTATCGGGAATGGTCGCCATGGCCAACCGGGTTGTGGAAGTTGCGCGCAAGCCCAACTTGGGCGGCTACTAAGCGTCATCTCACGCACACTTTTTCTTTCTTCGGCACTGAGAAGGAAGGCTGTAAGAACATTGCGAATCATTTATGGAGTTTCGGTTTCTCGTTTCAGCTTCCTTACCGCGTGTTATCAAGCAACAAGTACATTTGCGGTTGCCCAAGATTTCGACTCAGTACCTAAGCTAGGGTCGCAATTACTCACAGGGGGGGGGCATGATGAAGAACGGCACTTGAGACTGACGACCACTAATGACGGGACGTTTCCGGTTACACTTTTCGGTAAACACATTGCGAGTTGTCACATCGCATTATCTGGTGTTCAAAGGCCTAGGTTATTGCAAGTTGCATCTTTGCATTTTCCCGAGGGTTACTAATGAAACACTTCTGAGGGGCCACCTTGTCCTCGACGGCGATGAGGTTGGCAGACGGCTGGAATGAGTGGATATGGGTCGTCAAAGGTGGCAACACGTTTTCTGATGGAGGGTGGGGGAAATCTGAGGAATTTGCATGGGCAAAATCGTGGTATGCTGGAGGACGCCCCAATTCATATTGAGGGTGAGGACAACACAACGTAACACACATAGCTTGATGTGAAGGTTGCAAAAGTCTGCGACAATCACGAACGCCATATACCGCCCTTTGCCCGCCTTGCTTTTCGTGTAGAAGATACTTCTGTAGAGTAATAAAAAAGGAGTAACTAAGGTATCTTCGGCACTTTTACTTTCGTGCGGCCACTATACTCTCACAGAGACCTCGCAACGGCAACAGGAGAACCAGTAGTTAGTGGGACTATTGTAAGGTGGCTGCTAGGGACGGGTCGGACAGCTTCAAGGCCCAGATAGCATCGATCTTCTCAGGGGGGACTTTGTTGGTAGGTTGAGAACCAACGTAGTATGGTAGTGAACGCAACGCAGTCGCCAATAGGGCGAACCGACGACGCAGCGTATGTATTTAGTCCAGCCATTAGGGCACGGTTTGACATACGGGAGTACTAGCAGAGGTACCGGGGGCTTCGAGCCTACGGCGTATTTAATAATAATAATAATACTTTCGTGATGATACATTTACTGTATCGTGCTGTCAACTCCCTCGTTAACTCGGCGTTAACTCGGCGGCGAAAATGACCGAGTCCTTGCTTGAAAGGTAACACATCTGGGTATTTTAACAACGTGCTGGATCGTTTGTTTTTCGGAGTAACAGTATCTGAGTGCTCAGTAGACCCGATCCTCCCAGGTTCCTGACGATGCGGTTCGGTAGAGCACAATAGCCATAGTTCTATTACGGGGCATCCTAGTTGGACTTTCTTCCATATTAAGCTGGCTATGCGTAGAAACTGATTCATTGAAGTCTACTCGCGGATTGATGTTCAAATAGTCAGTGGACGCTGGCCACTATCACTGCTAGCATCTAATTGCCTAGTACCTGCCTCCACTGGCCATACCAACGCCCCACAATCTCACAAGGTCGCAAAGGCAAGCTCATACGCGAAGCCGAGCGTCATTTTGGCATGCTCCCGTACGTGGTTAAAGTTGATGGTGTCGATGGTGTCCTTGTCCGAGTGTATGTTTGGGTCAGTATTCGCGAAAGCCGACTCGATGACAAAGGCCGAAGGATATCCAGCTCTGGATGCCGATGCGTGGTCCGAGCAAGCGTAGCCGCACTTGGTCTCGACGTAGGGAATATCGCAGTACTGTACACATCAGCTGTTCACTTCCGCGATGGTAATACAAGTTGAAGGTTGGAAGAAGGGGACCACGTACCGTGTCAACGACACTTTTGATAAAATCTGTCAAGCCTGCGTCGACGTAGTCGGTAATGACTCCTACGGACTCCTGGCTTCCAGCCTTGACGTAGCCCGTCATGTCCTGCTGTAGCATTGCCTTGACGTCCCTCTTGGCCGTAGCGTAGCTCTGGAAGATGGCTTGACTGCCCAGTAGGCCTGCCTCCTCGGCCGAATAGAAATGGAACTCAATCGTGTTGGGGGCTTCTCCGGCAGCGATCTTGGAATCCGTCATGAGTACGCGGAAGGCCTCTAGGATGGTCACGGTGCCGCTCCCGTCGTCATCTGTACCACACTTCAGCACTCATCGCATCAACTAAATTTTAGGGGTGGAAAGGGGTCAACGCCTTACCGGCTCCCGGCGCTCTAGCATTCACCCTGTCTGAGTCCCGAATGTTGATCGAATCCTGATGAGCCCCAACAACGATGGTCTTGTCACTCTGACCGGGAATGGTGGCAATGACACTGCTCTGCGCCCACGAGTGATCGAAGGGCTTCGCCGTTACGTTCGCAGCCCCGCTGTCCGAGATGATGCTCTGTACCTGAGCCAGCAGCCACTCCGACGACTTCTTGCCGTAGCTTGATTTGTAGTAGCGGTTGCGGAAGTCGGAGAAGGTTTGCAGATTCTTCTGCATCTTGGTCTTGTCCAGCGAAGGAATCAAGGCCTCGACGGCGCGTGTCTGGGACATGCTGCTGGGGTAGGTGACGGCTGCTACCTCTGCGAGCGACGCAGACGAGGACTGCTCAGCGAGCTGGGTGAACGACGTGATGTCGAAGAAGTTCTTGCCTTGCTGTATCGAGAATGAGTCGTGCTGGTGAGCAGATTGGTCTGTGAGGGTAACTTACAGCTTTCAGAGCCCATTTCTCTGCCTCGGTCACGACTTGAGTCTCGCCAGGGCCGAGTTCGATGGTGTAAAGATCCTGGACTTCTGCTCGTCCGATGGAGAGAGCCGACGCGGTCGTGGCGACGAGCGCCGCAAGCAGAAGTGTGCGCACCATAATGAATTATTGAAACTTATTTTTGTTGGAGATGCTCAAAGTAGAGGCGTAAGAAAGCGACCGGGAAACACAGGAAGTCTGAAGAGGCGAAACCAATGCGTGCCGGATGGTCTGGTTGCAAGAAATACGTGGGTGCGCAGAGATTATAGGCACCTTTCCAGGTACTATCCCAAACTGCAGCTGTACTTTACGATGTCCACATCGCAGCTTCCCGATTCGGAGTCGACCGCTTCTCGTTTTTAGGGAAGTCACCGTGGACTCGAATACGCTGTGTAACCCTGGACCAACGTGGAGCAGTGGAGAGACCGGAGTAGCACCTGCGTTCGTTTACACGGTGCTTAGTAGTATGTACTTGTAAAAGTACCTCGGTATTGAGAAATTTGTATAGAAACCCTGAGCAGCTACGAGTTGGGAACCCGCTTTGATCATGGCAGTTCAGATAGTCGGTGGCCTCGATGCAAACCTTATAGGTTTTAACCCATCAACCCCAAACAGAGTCCACCTTCTCGCATGTCTATAGGTGTTATATATGCACAAAATATGTTAGATGCCAGATAGGGGGGGTGGCTGTAATGCGACTATGCAGGTACGTGGGAAACCAATATGCCAATTGGCTTCCAGGGGGTCCCTAATACATATTCCGTGCCTACCAACCTGGGCTCCACCATATTTGAGGCCGCACTTGTCCACAGTAGCTTGTATCTTAGGGCTGATACAATGCGGGACTGCTGCAATGCTGCTGCGAGTTGGCAGCCAATCACCGTTGCACCGACGCATCCCTACTGCCCAAACCGGCAGAAGGCAAGCAGCACAACTCTGTTAATCCCTGTCTCTAATGTGCTTTCGAATTCACAGCACTTTACTTGCGCAATTGCTATAATCCAGGAAGTTTGCGCAGCTTCCACAAAAGCAGCGGAAAGCCGGCTTGAGTTGCAATAGCCAAGAATGCTAGAAAATGCATGCGGAAGGCACTTTCTTATGTAACCTCTTGGTCCCTTGGCATCAAAGCAAGCCTGTAGGCAGCACTTTCTATGGGGGCACATATATATCAGACCTCACTCAGATGGGAAGGTTGCATCTACTCGTAGCCGGGCCGAGATGGTGGCTTGGCAAGCTCAATACCACTTGCTAAGCCTAATCCGTACTTCCAAATTTGCTTGTTTGCTCTATTTGGGCGGCAACATACTTGTGCTTGAAAGCAGAGACTTCTAAAGTTGCCGCATATGCCGACCATCGCCTTTTTCTAGGACCGCATACTGCCCATATACTAACTCCGGAGTTCTATTGGAATGTTTAGACGGCATGATACTTTTCCATAGTCTACCCAGACGCAAGTTCGTCTAGACATCATCATTCAACTGACAATGATCAGTGCACCATGTTTTACTTTCCCATGAGGGCCAGCGGATTAACGAGCAAACCAATAATGGTGCCCTTGGCTTCACGACTGAATATTGCAGCTTGTTGATGTTGCGTGGTAGCAAGTACTGATCTTGTTATATTTGGGACCTCAATACCCTTGAAAAAGACAATATCCCAGCTCCCGTTCGACGAAATGATGATGAACCGTTACCAGAGCTGCTGCAGGAGTCCCAGTCAGCACATCATCGGTACAGCCCCTTTTGACGTTCATGTCGTCAGTCAGTAGTAGCCATATTGCCGCCATCATCACAGCCCTCGAGGAAACTGATGTTGCCCCACATGTGGCCAATCTTGGCGTCGTAGTCGACCTCGAACCAGGTTCCCAGGTTGTGGACCTTATCTTCGTTGTTCGCAGAGGCCGTGTCGCAGACTTGGACGAAGCGGCGGGAGCCTTTTGGGATATACGACGTTTATATATTAGTGGCTGCGCTCGGAGGCCCCCATTCAGGTGTTTAAGTAACTGGCAGAAGCGTATTTCCATGGATGCCCATCACAAGAATTCTCGTAGATGACGTACTGGACGCTGGGGTCGGCATCCTCGTTGGTGACCCATAAGCTTAGGCCCTCCTCTTTATCGCCGGCTAGAAGATGTTAGTCCGTCTTGAATGTTTTTTATGGAAGATGGGACTGCCTTGTTCTGTTTTGAAGGTAGTCTTTAGACTGGTGTTTGGCATGGTGGACAATGTCCCTCTTCTCGACTGGCAGCCGGGTAGAGTGACCGAGGCTAGCGAGATAGCTAATGGTGGCAAGACTAGAGACAATGTTGGAGTGCATGATTCCTGGGATGTACTAAGTGCAGTTTTGGTTGGAGAGGTGGAGACGCGGTGCCGTTGAACTATGGGTGTGAGAGAAGGGTTGAGCACCAAGCTTCTCTATTTTTGTACTTATACGCGGAAAGTTGTGCCGTTTACTCGATTATTTTCCAGAATCGCTATGGTTGTATTGGACGATCTTGGTGCAATCCACTGCCTTACAAATACTTATGAGGATGCTGTGCTACTTTTAAATAGCATCCATTTATTGGTATTGCCAACTCAGCAAGATGTGCTAAGGATCTACCTGCTCAAGGATTCAGGGGCTACGGTCTGGTATAGATATGTCAGCACACAAACCATGCCAATTAGGGTTAAAAGTCTCTGGGAAAACTTGCCGAGTTGAAGTTATTTGTGCTACATTATGTAGCATTCTCGGACCCTCAGAGCAAATAGGCCTAGAGACGCCAATACGCATGTATTTTGACCTACCAGCTAACAACACCCAGAGAACTTTTTGGATCACGGCACCCTATCGTCTCCAGAAAGAAAATCGAGGGACATAAACCCGAAGGTTGATGCAAGGTGGTCGCCAGTGTATGGATGAGTATAGATGCGTAAGACTTACTAATTCATGTGGTGAGACCTTTCAGTACGACCGCACGATCTCTCACGAGTGACAAAAATTGACAACCGACGAACTCGAGATGATCCCTCTGTATTAGGTCAACTATATTGCGACGACCGTCTATTGGCAGTACTATCGATCCAGCCATTCGTTAGCATTAGTGAAGCATAGACGATTAATGTAGGAAACACACCTATCATATTGAAGGCGAAAATATGAGACCAGGTAATAACATTATTTGTTTACTTGCGACAATTCTGTTTAATTATCATTATCTGATTATATTTTTAATATCCTACCGAGTAAATCCTGTCTATAATCTCAGGTAAGAACCATGCTTGAGCTTTGGAACGTTGGTTGATCGACTACGTATCTACCGGTGTATACTGTGGAGACCTTTAGTAATGGGTACTTCGAATGATACCTCAAGCTTCGATTCGAACTACGAACATGCAAAATGGATTTCCTCCATTATGCTTTTCCTTCCCTCCGTTATCTTTTATAACCCAGCGACGGTCTCAGGCTTGAACGAGTGAGAACCAATAACCCTGATTTAACATGTTGAAGGACGTTGTCCCTCGCAACGTTATGAAAAGATACCCGGGGAGGTCTCGTTGCAGGGTCGCCCTTACGGTACTGGACTTCCCGTCGTGACCAACGAGACTCTCTGGCGCCAAGTGAGAAGGACATCTTGCGATGTACAATTTCTATAGAAGTCCAACGCACAGCCATGACAGTCCAAGATGAAAGCTATGTAGTTATGTAGCTAGTTGTGTTTGTGTAGGTCACTCGTTAAAGTTTGCCCATCTCAACATAGGAATCTGGCTCAATTATCGTGCGAAAAGTCACTTTACGCTCAACTTGTCCGATTTAAAGCATACGAAAGTTGCTCAATGCTCAAGTGTGTCTAGTATACTAGCAAATTCACATGATGTCAAAATAAAGATGCAACAGCTCCGCTATTAGGTTCAGTAGATCCAAAAGACTAATCAGTGGAAAGAAACAGGGTCCATTCCACAACGCCCAACTGCGTAGTACCTTACTGGAATGCTCTGCGGACTCTGACTGCAAACGCTCACGGGCACGAAAGCACAATATATCAAGTACTCGTAAACGTGCTTGAAAGTGTGTACGAATATACTTCAAACGACAGGCAAAACTCTGTAAAGACCTTTTTGGAGTGAAACTTTATCCAAAAGGTCATGGAGGGCTCAGAAGCATGCGAGAGGTCTGTTCCAGTCCTGCAACTTCTACGTTGAAGCCTAGTGTGGTGTCCCGAGTCAAGATTCCTGGAGAGGGCGTCAATCAGACGCGCAGCTAGCTCTAGACCAGGTCTGTCGATACGCCACTCCAGTAGGACAATCAATTGAACGTATCAGACTGCCCGAAAGTCGAATTTGCAGGGATATAACTTCAGACTGGAGGGCCTCTTTCATTTGAGAATCCTGGTCAAAAACGGGAAGCTACAACTGGGTGCAACCCCTCTTCCGTGCCTGCCTAAAGAGCTTACCAGATTGGATGAAAATCAAAGTTTCTGACCAATCTGCATCATCGACGTCTTCAACCGCCCTTCTGCCAACAAAGCCATGCGCTCAGCCGTGCTTTGTAATTTTTTTCCTTTTTACATCGAGCTACTTCAGACGCCGGTAGAACGTCGCGAATTCTTCACCATTACGGCTTCTCCGGACCTCTCCATCGTTCAGTCAAGCACGCTGTGAAAACGACTATTCCGCATCTATTTTCAAGTACAGCTATCCAGTCTCCTCACACCATCGCCGAAAGCACACCCGAAACCATGGCGAATCCCATGCTCATGTACCCTCTTGTACGCCTAGTCTGAAAGTCGTAGAAAGCCTCGTTGCTGACCCAATGCCTCGAATAGCTAATTGCTGCTCTGGTGGCCGTCGCCATGTAAGATTGATCTCTACATTGCTCGTCCAGCATTGATGTCAAACCCTTACACGTTGCCCTTGGCTTGACCAGCTGAGGAAGCCTGGAAAGTTCACAACCCGGGTCGATGACCAAAATACGGCGCACCAAGGGTGGGCTAACTGGTATAGCCCGATATCCCCTTGTTTTAGACAAGTGTGACGTGATTATTACACTCGGGCGGGTCGTCTGTTTGGTCATACGCTTGGAACCTAGTGTCCCAACCATAGGGTTACCGATTAAGTAGTGGAATGTGCTAACACTCTCAGCTACGTCCAGGCTACCTCTAGCAACCTGTCTCTTCCCATTTCCCTGGGCACGTCAATCCTGACTATACTCCTCCCGTTCATCGCAACAGCAAATGTGTTCTTCACCCCACTGCTTCAGCGCTTGTCTTTTCAAGAAGGTGCTGTGCTGATTGCACTCCGGTTTCTGCCCCCTACGCTACACATACTTCAAGGAATCCTCACAGTCGTTCTTGCCACTATCTCCTTCATGAGTTTCTTGCCCGGCATGAACATGGACTGCAACATGCGGGGGGCTTGGGGACAACTATGGAGTGCGCATGATGGGAGGTCAATTTCACGAATCCAGGACTCTTTCAACTGCTGTGGATTCAACTCAGTGCGTGATATGGCGTGGCCTCCACGTTATGGTAGCCAGAGCCAGTGCAGCGAACTGTACAGCAGATCCACCTCTTGCGCCACCCGTGGAGAGAAGCAATGCAGCGCAATGCGGGCCTGGACTTCACAGTTGCCGTAGTTGTTGGCATTCTCCAAGTAAGCCATCATTCAAAATATGCCTTTGTTACAAGCTAATGTGATTAGATGATACATCTCGCAATGTTCAGACTGAGAAACTCTCAGCCAGTGTCCAGAAAGACATATAATCGGCTGGTCCAGAGCGTCGGTGCGCAACCCGACGATGCACTACTTGAGGACGGCGAAGAGGACTCGATCAACGACGCCGGTGATCATAATAATACTTCCCATCATCCTCGAGGCTACGGAGCTTTGAACAACACTTCGAACCCGCGACTGGAACCATCTGGCCTTGGAGGAGAAAGGAACGAATGGTCTTAGCTTTATGGGGCTCCCCCTTCCCATGCCGCTGGCATGTCCACTTGGAGAACACGTCATCTGGATTCATTTAGGAATGATCAAGGCTCTAAACAGGGCCTTCGCCAAAACTTGGTGGCACAGAATGTTAATCACATTTTCTCTCCTGTCTTTTCAGTGCAAGTTTTCCCAAGGTTGCATATTGGCAGGTACTCATGCATTTCGAGAATTTCTTCGAGCAAAGTCTGAGCTTCTGCAATCTTCCGAAATCATGCTGCGCTTCCATTGGAAGGTTCGAGCGTTTGTAGACGGGTTGACAGGATGGAATTTACCTTGACCTCATCTGAGCACGATATCTTGAGGACTGAATTGGATCAAAATGACCAGGCTAGCGTCGATAATACCAGCTACCACAACCGAAGCTCCAATTACCATGATTAGTATTCGTGTCTCGCTTTGGTAGCTTCTTGAAGTCAGTCAACCCAGCATATGTTTCCTCCGGGCCCTAACATATCTCAATTTCACTCGAGCAAGAACGCACACTCACAACTGTTCCTACACCCCAACAACATGCCTTGACAACGGAAAGTACCCTTCGATCGTCTCACACTCGCAAACCAAAGGCACTATACGTTGTGTTTATAGTGTGTTTGCAGCAGCAAATTCCTTTTATTCGGAGGCCACAGTGTGACCCAGGAGTCGATGCTGAAATAGACGCAGTCGAACCCCCACCCTCCCCCGTTCTCCGTTTAGTCTGCGATTGCTAAAATACAAATTCACTAAGGGGTATCAATATTCCATGTCCATCGTTTCCACATTATTCCTGCAACCTCCATATATCCATCATCCCTTTTCCTGGTGTACAGTCTATACCCAAAACAAACATTGTACATCCGAATCCAACGTCACTGCTTGTAACAAGCGGGATTCCTGTACGTGCACCGTGGCGAGGGTGGTTGTTGTTGATTGGTGGTAAGCCACCCCAGCACCGGTGTTGTCAAGAGTTGTCTGATCAGGAACGGGATGATTCCTCATTCGTCAATTCCAACTCCAGCTGTGCCGCCAAGTCCGGAAGAGTGACCTTGCCACTGATTTCATTCTCACTAACGGGGCTGTTGAAGTCGACGTCGTGCCCGCCAAAGAGGTTGCTAATGTCGTCGTCGTCCCCAGCACCGTCGTCCTCAGTGTTGGTGGCTTCTTCGTTCTGCTGATAGACGACAGTCTCATCTTGATCCACGCCATTGCTGGGTGTTACCGATTCGGAGACGTGAATTCCGTTGTTATTGAACCACTGTATCCACTCTTGAGGGTCGAATGTCTCGTCTGGGAATTCCCAGGCGTTCTCGGGAGGAGGAGGAGAAGAAAATGTTGGGCCACTCTGTCCGATGACGAGACTGGTGTCGTCTTGAGTGCTAGCTGGTTCGATTGGTCCTCCCCGGACGGGTGGCAGCGTGAGTCGATGTTGCTGCAGTTGAGGGTCGATTGGCATTAAATCGTTTTGTCGAATGGCGGGTACCATGGCTGGTTCAGGGGCCGGGACTGGCGTTGGAACGGGTGCTGGGGGATGCTCTTCGTAAACGCAGGCGAACATCGGTGTACTGGCTCTCTGGCTGTGTGTGGGGACATCAGGCGCTTTGGGAAGTTCATCGCCGTATCTTTCTCCCAAATAATTGCGAACCCATGTATGATCACATTCAAAAAGAGTTGGAATATGATTGCCCTTCCACACATCAATGGTTGTGTTGTCGTTGACTGGATACAATGCAATATCCGACTTGGACTGTTCAGACACCATAAACCCCCAATGCTCGAGCATGAGGATGCCTATTCTATCCGTTTCGGCGAGGCGATTTCTCAACTCGGGCAGGGTTGTGTTGTCGTCGGCGGTGAGGCGTTCCAGTTCTCCGAATTTCAAGCCGGGCTTCCGCGGGGCATCGTGCTTGTGGTAGATCTTGATGCCCTTGAGGACCTGGGAGGGGCTCAAGTTGGCCTCCCAGCTGTCGATGATAGCCTGGCGGTACTCCGTCGTCAGGAGTTCCAAGATGGTGTAGATGTCTTGTCCGATGGCGGTGTATTTGTGCTTGAGGTCCCACTGGTCCTTGCAGTTGCTCCTTCGGGTGCGGCCGTCGTTGTTGTCGAACACGCAAGGTTTTTTTCTCTCTTGGCATCTTTCGCAGGCACCCTTGAGGGAAGCTTTGCACCTGACCTTGCTGGTGCGGCAGGCTTTACAGGAGAACGGGCGGCACGGCCGCGTCCTGGGCTTCTTGTTTGACGGCTCGTCGGAGCCGTCGTCGTCGGGAGAGGATCGCTTGTTTGGGTTGACGGCTCGTCGTCTGTTGCTCGTGAGATCATCCTGTGGAGCAGAACTCTGGAGAGGCTGGGCAGTAGGTCTACCTCGCCTGCTCCTTGGTGCTTGGGCTGGAGCTTCGGGGCCAACATCATGGTCATATCGGATTCCCTCCTGAACTGGCTCTTGTGGGGCGAGATACTGAGGGGTATCGCTAATATCTGGGTCTTCTTGTTCGAAGTCGTATGATGTCGTGGCCGAGGCCAGGGTTTCCTGACTGTTAGGTACGAATTGTGATATTCCAATCGGATGTCCAGATACAAGGGGGTTGCCAACAACCTCTGGGTTCGAACTTGGGTTGTTTTCGCAAAAATTGCCGTTTGAAAATTGAATGAAGTTGGTACCAATAGGTTGAAGGGACGTTGTGGTCGAGAGTTCCCCATTGCCATTAAGTTGTTCAAACTCCAAATTCTGGTTTAGATGGTTCTGGTTGTATGGGGGAGCTTGAACGCCCGTGTTCGTGGGCGGGTACCCTTGAGCTCGAGCGGCCGTTCTGAAGGCGTTGACTCCCATAGATTGATGAGGTTGCTGAGAAACCGTGGTATTGTGTAAGGACATATTGGGGGGCATGATGGCTTGATTGAATGAGAGGTTGTCACCCATGCCCATGCCAGGATGGACTTGTTGAGAGGGAATAGAGTTGCTGTATCTGTCTAAATAGAAGCCGTAATGCTGTTTCATGATAGATGCGTTACCTCCAGCGTTGAAAGTGGTGTCTTGGAGCGGCATCCACTGGGGGATGGGATCGTTGTTCGAGGAATATTCCGTTGTGACGAAGTATTGTAAAGTGGTTGAGTCTTTAACGAGTTGGGGTCGGGGTGTGAAAGATTGTAACTTGACACGAAGATATTATCTCCTGTCGTCTCATGACTTGGTAAAGAGTAGGATGGTAAAAGAGGAGTTGAATAACCGTCACTGATACATTCAACCGAAGTTGTAGAATACGTAGAAGTGTTTCTGCTCAAGTCCAGCTGCTCTAAGTAGGTTATTCGAAGCAGAAAGATCGGTGGTGTGGTGGTGGTGGGATATTTTCCACGCAATTCGAGCAGAGCATTTAGGAAAAACTGTCCCCTTATATGTGAGCGAGCAGAAAGCCAAAATCCCTCTCAAAAGCGTGTCGTGTCAAGAATGCGCATGTTCTCAATTTCGTCAAAATTCTGAACATATTTGAGTGAATCGGGGGACCCTAATGACTGTAAGTTCGGAATCTATGGGTTCCAAAAACAGTATAGGAACGCCACCCCAATCGTCCCAACGGTTGCCAAAGTCTGCATAAAATTCTCCAATCTATAGGTCATATTATAATCAAATATGACTCCTCAGTCACTATGTGGGCTTTATGGGTACAGTTCGGGGTGAACTCAAGATTAGAGCACTGTCAAGGTTTTTGCAACTATACCGCCAACTTCTGGAGGCACTGTATACCATGCTTCAGCGTATTGGTAACCAGGTAATATTCAATATTGAAAATCTGTTATTCATGGCCAGTGTTGAATGTCGACAGGAGCTGGTCAGGGATGTGCTGGAGGCCAGCTTGTGGTAAGTGGGAGAATCATTGAGAGATTTGAGTCAACACGCTCTGGAGGTGTAACCAGGCCGAATTATTCGGTGCAAATAGAACCTCAATCTGTATTAACAAAACACACGGGTCAATTATCGTCGTTGAGAGAAAATTTGCGTGTCACTCGCAGATTGCAGCCTCATCATACCATCAGTCATTATAACTATCACAGTGTTATCGTGTCGTCTACCTCCGCCTTTCCCCCTCCTAACAAGCTTTTCCCAGGTACTTCTTCTTTTTTTTCTCTTTTTTTTCCTTTTTCGTTTTTGTCTTTCCTTTGTCTCATAGCGTGTTGGCACCTCAGGTATCTTCCTCCCATGTGGACACTGGGCGTAATTGGCATGTTGCTGTGTCAATCGAAGTTTTGCATGCTAAAACTATGAAGAATCAAATCCAAGGGACAGCACAGCTTTACAAGACTTTCTCTCATGGAAAATCTCTACAATGGGTCTGGGATGGGGGGTTTATGTAGATATTGCAGTCCTAGTAGTTCAAGCTCATCGACTGAGCCACAAGACGACAGAGCACAACAACAAAACCCCAGGTGAAGAGTACCTGTTTCCCAGCACATTTGGAATACGTCGAAATCTGGGAGAAGAATGCCGTCTCGCTCGCTTCGTTGTCTCTTATGTTTCATAATCGTGGTGGTGTTTTGATAAGTTCAAGGTTATGGTACCTCCATAACGCAGTTCTGCAAGTCCCGTCTGTGCACACGACCTACAGCCGTCCATTCCGAACAGTTTTGAAATATATGATAGCATTGAGATGAAAATGCAGCGACTGGGTTATCTTGCACTGGCAGTAATAATAGTGCCCAAAATAAACTTGGAAATAAGGTGAAATCTACTGCGGTGTCCCTTTCACAGTGCAAAGCGCCGTGGCCTCACGTATCTGTTCCAGGCGAGGGTTTCGAAGATGGAGGTGCGGTGCGAGAAATGGCCATGCCCTAGCGACCACCCATTGAGTACAACGCGTTTTCCCCCCTTAGGTATGTGGGCTTCGAACCGTAGGACTGGAAAACCATCGACCGGGGCTCTGAATCCGGGGAGGTCGGGTCAATCACATGTACACAGGTTCTTCGTACCTGTGCTCAACAAATTCCGCAGTAAATTTACGCCCAGAAATGGAGGACATGCGACGCGATTAAATTCGAAGATTCGCAAAGCTGCTTCAACTTGAAATAAATACCGTCAAGGATCTGAAGTAACTGATACGGCTCTCATCTCTCGCACAGTATCCAGACCGCAAACAGTCATCATTGTTAGTTTGGATGTTCCAGAACATGGTTGTAGAACACGTTCATGACTTTTCAAAGTTTTCGTTGTTTCGCAGACTTTTCCATCGGCAACGGGCCTACGAATGAATCCGCGGCGGGAGCTGCCATGGTACGTTGAGTCGCCACGCCCGCGGGAGTTGTTTTGATGGTGAAAACTTTGCATCTGAGTCCCACCAGAGATATCAAGACGTTATGGTATGGATTGAAAATTAATGAAGGGTGTGGTTCAGCTAGAGCTAGCAGGTGGACCTGCCGTGTGACGTCTCTGGCATATCGATTTGGTACAATGACGTAGGAAACCTCTCCCAGGTGCTGAGGCAGTATTCTCAGTACAGATTCAACATTCTGTCGGGACTGAGCGTTATTAGTTGCAAGTAAACCCAAGTTGAGCCGTCTGGCCTCATGGTCATGAACAGGGCAAGTCGACTATTAAAAACAGCTGTATCCTCATGTGTTTATTTGTTTTAACTAAATTCTCCCTCATTTGGCTAAGTGATGCTCCCTGCACGGCTAATATGGGGTTTGACCCTCTTCTGGACGTACATAACGCACTTGTTTCGGCAGGGTGTGGATATGGTCAAATCGTCTCTCATTGGAGACGTTGAGTAAACAGGGCAAGCATTCTTTTGGGAAACAACCGCTCAGAAGAGAAGTTCAATGTTGACTTGGTCCAACTCTCCAACCTCCAGACAGTAGTAGTAGAACCGCGATGTTCCAGATTCGTAAAAAAACTGCAAATCAAGCATTTCTGAGCTACTAACATGTATCATTGAACCAGCATGGATAAAAATACATTTGAAAATCCGTACACAAGTGCCACATTGCGTGATAAATGCCAACATAGCCGTTCGCACTCTAGGTGGAAGATGTCAATATTTTTGAGCCGGCAATTACTGGGTAACAGGTGAAGTTGGGATCGTTCATACGACTCCTGAATCAAGTATACACAACGCGGACGCTAACGTGGCTAGTCACGGTTGTGTCAACAGATGCCGGCGACCTTGTTGTACCAACTGACAGGTCCCACGGCAGAAGTTCAGCCGCAGAGGACAATTATAGGGTCAGCAGCGAGCTTCGAGTGCCACGCCTGACTAGAGCTGTCAATATTTCATGCAAGCTACGGATGATACTTCACCACGCGCTTATTGGACGGACGACTGCAGCTCCTTGAGCTAAGTTGTCAGCTTTTATCCGCCCACATCAGATATTACCCAGTAGCTGTATTATCTACGAAATTCAACATTCTAGTTGGGCATCCTTCCATATCTGATTGGAACTGGAAGCTATCAGTCTATGATTACAAGACCCCTTGACCGTTACCTACTCAGCATCATGCACGTATATCTACATGCTAAAAGTAAATTCTCATAGCTGCCCTTCCAAACATGTAAACTACAAATGTGATCTATCATCACATGGTCCTCGGATTCCCAGGTTTAGGTCGTCAAATGGTCGCTCTCATGTATCTACGTAAAGATGGGTTGTATAATAATGCCGTCTGGCATCGTAACGTATCAAACTCGCAATAAGTCGCACGAAACTCCATGGGAGATGGTAGCATATCTACATTTCATCTCACTTCTGTTGATATATATCATGGTTTGCATTCACCCAGCATTCTGTTTATTTCATGTCGTCTCGGAATGTCAAACTCGGGAATTAGCGAGAAGTTCCCCGTCCCGTGCCCCAGCAAGTCTCACAACGGCCCTTCAATGCTTCAACCCCTCCCTCCTCGTTCTCTCCGCCTCCACCAACCCATCGAACCTTTTAAACGCCATTGCCCCCTCCGTAAACGTAGTCGCCACCCACAACCACCACACCTTCCCCCCGGCACCGACCCTATGCGGCCCCAGCCTCGTCTTCACCATCCACCACGCCTCCGTGACATGAATCACCACCACCGGTACAAATATCGCCTTAACAATCCATCTGTAACCCTCCGCCCCATAGGGAAAAACGCCCTCCAGCGTGTCCCAGACCGCCGTCTTCGGCACCACAAAGCTCCTCGTCGCGGCGGCGAAGAAGTAAAACGCCACAGCGAAGAAAACAACCCAGTGGAATCCTCTAGGCGGCGCAAACTCATCGATCTTGATATCGCTCAGCCCGAGCTTCCGCAGTGCAACCTGTGACATATCTACAAGCCGGACGCGGGATTGGCCGTAGGAGGCCAGAGGCGGGGAAATGGAGATGGTGTGCTGCACGCCTCGGGCTGTGCGGACCGTGAGGGCGTCGAGGGACGTGTCGACAATTTGGGCGCCCGCAGCGGCGCGGGCGGAGAGGCCGTTGAAGGCGCGTAGGTAGTGCTCTAGTTCGGCGCCGTGGTCTTTGTTCATGTGGGTAACGACGCGGGACTTGATGGCAGCCTCCGAAGGAGGGGCGGGCGGTGGTGCCGGTTCGCTCATGTTGCCAGGATCGAATAGGAAGGATCCAAAGAGAAGAGTTACAGGCAAGATCGGCAATTCAGGCGGCTGGGAAGCTCTCTGCAATGCTCTAGGCGTATGACACGTCGTTAAGGTAATCGCGAATCGCAGCCGATCGCTGGGAAAGTCCGTGCGTCTGCACCAAATATCTCCGGGGCTCGGAGCTTATCTCCGGTTGCAAAGAATAGGAGGGATGGGTCTTTGAGCTTGAAATGACAGCAACACAATGTAGATCTTGGTTCAAGGGTAAAGACATTTTGACACTTCAAAGTTATTAGTTGTGGAATCAAAATTATATGATAGTGCCAATACGTAAGAGTTTCCTCCCACCCAAATCTAATTCTTTCCAGGAATCCCCTGGTGCGGAACAGTCCACCCAAGGGTATTGAAGCTGCCTTCAAATACAGACAAGCATATCGATATTTGCCACTCGTCCTCCAGTACTTGCTGTGGGATAATGCGCCGGCACAATATAGAGGATTGGATAAGATATGGAGACCCAGGCGCCTGCCAACTGTGGGATAGACTTTGGCCCCCATTGGGGCATCGAGAGTACCATCAGCCTGGCAATACCCGTAGTGATTCATACCATGGAGAAACCAGAGTATCCAGGAAGGATATAATCCTTTACTTATTACATGAGGGTTGTAAATTGATCGCTTGCCATCTTGAGCCACTGCACCGAGTCCGAATGTCATCCAGTCGTCGTCCAGCTCCAGAGATCGAGTAAGCTGCGATGAAATCTGCTGGGGAAAAGCATGCCATAACTATTGCGTTGCAATATAAAATACAAGCCCGCATGATGTGAGAGCTATTGCTATGTCGCATCATATATATAGCTATACTCGTATAGCGAGTAGGATAGTCTTCCGCTGTTTCTGAGATGTCCGATCTGTACATAGCCGCTCCGCCGCCGCTTTCCAATTTCAAACTGCGTCATCTACGCACGCAGCATTGGGGTAGTTCTCAGGACACGTTACCGTGATTCGGTGGAGCTATTCGATCGGTCGTCCCTCAGATCATAATCCACAACGACTTCCGTCTCGGTGCTACACTGCTGCCGATCACCTAGCTCCAGCTGGCTTTCGGCATCGTCATCAGTTTGAGCGGATCTCATCGACAAGAAATCCATAATTTTAGATTTATTCGTAGATGGCTTACGAGACCTAGGTGGCTGAAACGAATTGGGTGTGTCTTTAGCTTGGACCGCATCGCCCGAGGCATCGGTCGTCCCCGCGGCCGAGCCGAAGATCCTGGGAAACGTCACGATTAGATATACTCGTATTGCTGGTACTGATGCCACAACCATGGACACGTTGATCTTTCCACGTTAGAGGGTCAGCTAATGGTCTTTGGGGAAACCCTAGGGGTTGCGAAAAGGGGGACGAGAGTCGCGTCATATTTGAGGTTTCTGAAGTGTAAAATTCCCCAAATAGAAAACCCGGCTTCTTCAGATAGACCGCGAAAATATTGCAAACCCGAGACACTCACCTCTAATCCCGACCACGTAGAGCTCTCAACGAGGTCCCATGTCGGATTTGTAGTATGACCGAGGTTTATGAGGTACTTCATTCTAACTGCAACCCCATGCGTCAGCCCTTATCATCGTCCGGAACTAAGCGAGGACCTAGAGTTCCTAAACCACTTCTCAAGCACACGAATTGTCTGAACAGCTGGGGTCTGAACAGCTGGGATGGGGTAGCCCCTTTCGGCGACATACGCCATCAAGGAGGACGGGGGAAGGGGTATGAAGTTGACTTACTGCAGCTGGTGATGACGATAAAAACACCGAGGCTGAACATCACAATAATACCGGCTCTCTTACGCCGACTTGCGTTGAGCCCAACCACAAGAGGCAAAGGCAGAACAAGTATGATAGTGTCCTGGGCAATAGCGATGCCACCGGCAGTGAGAGCGATAACAGAAATATCAATACAATGGTATTCGCCGAAGTTGCCTTTCCACCCTTCCCAAAGATATCGGATTGGCCTGCACTGAAAGATGCTAATGAAGATGAAAGCGATTGTGGGGATCACCACGAACACCATAGCAATATAGACGGAAATGCGGAACCGGTGGTGAGGGAAAATCCGAAGGTAGAAGAAAAGGATGGCCATCTTGCAGGATGATAACGCGAACATGTATAACGACTCGTCGATGTAGTACAACTGGACTTGTTAGTTGGAGGAGCATTTCATGGCGGGAAAATCTGTACTTTGAATGCTGTGGTCAAAGTTTCGCTGTCGACTGTCCAAACATCGACCCCAAAAGCCGTTGTTCGAACTGGAGGACGGTTAAGCTCGGGGCTCGTAGTAGGAATGAGAACGACCAACACACCATAGATCCCAATGGAAAGGAAAACAATAAAGACTACCAGGGCCACCACTATGATATAATCATCTATGTCGTATCGGTGTAGTGTCTTCCATCTGGACCAAATGCGTAGCACTAAACACAGAACGGTGAATATCTCAAATAGAATAAGGCCATAGTATTGGGTGCGCCGTGAGCGTCTCGGTCGGTTGCAAGCTGCATCTTGTATTCTTGCGAGTTCTGGACCAAGTCAGCACTAACGGCGTTTTTTCTTTCTTTTTCTTTTGCATTGTCGCAATACTTACTCATCAACTCTTCCGGCATGCACTTCTGCATAGCACACGTCTGGACATTGTGGGCGAGGTCGGCATCGTTACATATGCAGGTCTCATTTGTCGCCGTTTTGCAAGCTGAAGTGGGAATCGCCGTGAGAATACACGGCACCTGTGATGTAAGTCAGTTTCCCACGCCCTCTCAACCTGGCAGGTGGCAAGAGAGATAAAACCTACGCCGCATTGGGGTAGCTCCGAGAAATACTCCAGGAAGCCTGCTCGACATATCGTCACCAGACAGGCCAGCAGGCAGAGAGACACCCTCGTGACTTGCATCGTGACTCCTGGTGACGATGAAGAAATGCTTGGAAGAAGTTGAGAGCACGAAAACGCCGCACGGACAAAGAGCAACGTGGGATGCGTGCCACACGTATTACGGTCAGAAAATATCACCATTTTGCAGAGAGGTCGCTGGCTAAAGACTAAACTGAGCGGCTGCTAGAGTGCATTAACAAATTCTCGTTGAATCTATAGACTCAACTTAAATCTCACGTCAAGACCGGGCGCCCGGGCCCTGGGTGTTTTGGTGGTATATTCCAAGCTAGCGTCACTCTTCGGAACAGATCCACGTGATTTGCTGTGTTTCGACACGAAACATGTTTGGGGCCCTTAGGTATTATTGAAGTGATAGCGAGGGATATTTCTAGTCTGAGTTGACGTATAGTCCGCGTCGCTCTTGTGGCGCTGTTGGTGTGCCGTGGTGGTTCCAGAGGCCGCCGTTATAATGTAGTTCAGCGGCTGTTTCTCCAACATTAAAATTAGACGGTATTGATTGGGCGGCGATGTACAAAGAGTATCGAGATCTCGGTGTGTTATGTTGATTAAGGAGGGACAATCTTGTGATGCTGCAGGATTTCTGCGCCAGTCGTTCTTTCCAATATCTCTTGTAAAGAAGCGACCACAACCCCAAGAATGTCGATAGCTAGATTCTGAGGCGTTGCTGGGCCAATCGAGTGAGGAATGAGTCATCATGTCAGATTACGATGACACAAAGTAGATTTATATCATGAGTCTCGTTTAAAAAGGAGTGAACAAGACCGTGACTGCGTAAGATGAATCCAGCCAGGATATGAAGGGGCAGATTAAGGTTCAGTGCTCCGACCCCAAACGACGACCATTTCGACACCAGCCCCTTATTGATCTAATTTCCCAGCTCACCGATATTCAGATCTGGACGTCGCTTACAAATCTTTCGCGGTTGATATCCATGGGCTCAGATCATTTTGCGGCGTGACGGGTCCATGGGACGATCTCATGGCTAAGAATTGGGGGTCTGCATCACTTTGATTCTATTCGATCTCGACCGAGCCACACTTAACAAGCAAGGGAGATATTGTTGGGAAGGCCTGTGACCGCTACCGGATAACTCTTCTAACTGCGTGGCTAGGCGTCGACTCTCCACATAGATGGCGAGTAGAGTAACACCCATACGACCACCTGCTCCAACAGAAGACGACACGGGAACGTTCTATGGGTGTCTTTCAACTCGCTGACGAGGCCTTCCGAAGCCCATGTCAAATTGGACACTATTTTCTAACGTTTGCCTGCACAAACTAGTGAGCAAAGCACACTTGGAGCGCGGTTCGGTAAAAACAAAAAAAATTCTCCTGTTCTGGAGCCACGACGATATTTTAACTTTATATTCTCATACGCCAAATACTATGGGTAGGGGTTAACTCGTAACAGACATGGACAGAGCCTCGCCCCGATGAACTCAATGTGCTGTATGTGACCCTAACTCTCGACTTGCATGTGCCCCCTTCTGAATAAGGTTGCCTTGTTCCGAATGACATGGATATGATGCTCTCAGCAACTCAAACACTTAAATGCACTGCGAATAATACTGGGACTGCGCCTTGCAAGTGCCCGTCTGTATTCGTGTCAGCAAGGTATATCATCAGTTTAACCACGGATCGGACAAAACTCACAGCACAGGTCGTGCATCCGGTGTAACCCGAGCCTCCACACTGCTGGTACTGAGTCTGGGCGCAGCCGGCGCCAGCCCCTGGAGTCGCTCCCGTCTCCACCGGAGCCGGCAACCCAATGGCAGTGCCGACGGCCCCTTTTCCGGCCGTACACGTCTTCGCGCAGCCTTCGCAAACCCCGCCAGGAGTCTTGTTCACACCACCGGCGACAACGGTCGGGCCGGGATTCACGTACGAGGCCACCTTGGCGTGGACGTTGAAGAGGATTCCGGGGTCGCTTGCCTTATACGCCCCTGGGAACGAGACGCCGGCGGGCACGGCGGCAGTACTGGAACCACCCGTGACGGTGAGCTGATAGCAGGACATGTAGAATTGAGCACCGCCCGATGAGGCAGCTGTGTGTAGAGCGATGACTTCGGCCCTCAACAAGTAGTCACCGGCTGGAGTATCGGCGGGAATGGTGGCGTCCATCTTGCCGCAGCATGCGTTGAGGTCTTTGGTGCCCCAGTTGTCGTCGTCTCCTGAGTTTCCTCCTGCCTTGGCGGACCACGAATCGGCGAAAATCTTATACCACTGAGCTGAGCCATCGGCTGTCGCAGCGTCGTTGACCTTGGATAGATACACATTCACGGGACCGTAATGGGCGCCACCTGCGAGCTTTGAGTTAGCCTCCGTGTATATCCAAACTTAAGCGATCTTACCAATGGCCTCTTGCGAACAGCCTCGGTCTCCAGGTTGCTAGTGAGAAACAGTGAGAAACACGAATCCACCTTCCACACAGAATCATCTTTTCATACCGCGTGCATCTCAACTGTGACTGTTGAGCCCGGCTTAACGGCGCACTTGCCCGAGATACCCTTTGTTCCGCCGACGTTGCATCTAATGTCGCTACTTCCAACGTTTGTCACAGGGGAGTTGGATGGAGGCGTACGGACGCATTGGGCTGCGTGCTACGGTCGTCAGCACGCGTCTTTCAGCGGTAAAGCGGAAGACATATCATATCGACTCCGTCGACCCAAAGCTGTTGGAACAGAGAATGGGCCGAAACAGTAGAGGCGGCCAAAGCCGCAAGGGCAGCATAGTATGTCAACTTCATCTTGTCAACCCACAATGTAGATTTTCGTAAGCTGGAATGAGCGAGGTAGACCTGACGACCAGAAGAGCAGATTCATCCATGCCGATGTAGGTCCCTCCCTCCCAGATATATCTATTTCGAGCGGCCCGTCGTCTCCTTACGGCACGAGCGTCGAGAAAGGACCGATAAACTCCGTTTGTTTGCATTCGGCCAACTTTCCATTTATACGAAGTACTTGACAATCAATCAAAACAGGCTGATTGGTCCGACCGTTCCAAGACGTTCACGGCTCGAACTGCCGAGGCGGCTGAATACCCTAGACTTCTCCACAGAAACCAATTACACATACACTTTGGGCATAAAAGTTCCCCGTTCGGCATGATGGAAGACCTCCATGCTGTACTCCAATTTGTTGCCCTGTTGTCGTTGGCTCGACCAAATCACAAGTGCCCATCGTGGCCGATCGTGGAGTGTGCAACCCGGTGGTGATATATGGTGTTGGGGAGCTGCGGCCCTTCCACGGCGGCTTATCATGTGGCCATCCGGTAATCGAGGCTTGGATGGTCGTTCTCATGTGACAGTGAATGTCATGCGTTCGGCCATTCGTCTGGTCCATCTGGTTGATTGAATGCACTGTTGACGCATACAGGTGTTCATGTCCTGCTGGCCCCTGGTTCATGAGACATCAATTAGTGGCTGTTGACCATTTCAGAGCAGATGTCACGATCGTTGATTTCTAGTCTGGAAAAAGTGAAGAAGGGTTCTGCATTTTAAAGACTTAGCTAAACAAGTACTTCATTTCGCCGTATGCATCAGGTAAGCAATCTGTCTGGCGAGGTTCGTACAGATCGGAGGACAAAACAAGCACACAAGCAGAATAACCAAGTTACCTGTTTACTACACTGTAATGCGGGCTATCAGTCAGGTATTAAGCTGGCATACTACAGAGGATTAGATAAGATATGAGGACCCGCGCCTGGCAAAGCGTGAACATACTGTGCGATAGAATTCGGCCCAATTGGGGCACCGCAAGCCTGACCAACCTTGCAACACCTAGAACGATTTCTAGTATCGAGTAACTAGAGCACTTAGGAAGGATCGAATCCTTCACTATGCCGCATTATCCGCCATTGGAGCACTCAGATGAAATAGCCAGGTTACGTCAGTCTATTACACTGGAATATCGGGCTATCCCGCAATGCTCTATCCCTTAGTGCGCCGTTTGTTTTGTCCTCTATTCAAGCTGCTGGTAGGAAATTGCTCGGAGTTCTGTGATGAATATCCTGACGGAGAATCGAAACGAAGGCCGTCATCATGCGGAGCAGGCAGAAACATTTATCTCAGGTCTAGTTGCGGATGGAATCGAGACGTTGGTAGCAAAATCAACGAGAAAGATCTCATATCCTTTGTCCTGGACGGGTTCACCAACTGCCGTAGTCGCTCACAGCGGATTGCCAACCAAATGAATAATAGGCCCAGCGGCTGCAACATTGGGAGGTTCGAACATTGAGGAAGCAGCTTGACGCAAAGCAGCAGCTTCCTCCGTTTTCCAACGTCATTGAAGCTCCCCATCGGCCGCGCAGCACTGTACAAAGCGTAGTCTGGCATTGTTTGAGGCACCCATTTCAGCCTCCCAACAAAGTGCTAGTATGCTGCGAGGCAAGAAACGAGATGCACCGTCACGACAGCCTTCGTGTATCAAGAACAAAGGGCCGACTTTGCCGTTCATCAGGGGGTACGGTGTTCGATCTCCCTTCAACCTACAGCGTTTCGCAAACGACAGCCAATGGGGTTGGTCTGACTCATCAAGGATACTCTCTTTCTGGAGCTGCCTCTGGATAAAGCACCTTCGGATTCGGCATTGCTGGACTTCACTGCCCCCGCAAATCAGTCATGCTGGAACAAGGCAGGAAGCCCGGCATGGAAACCCCACGAAAATCGATCCTCACCTCTACCCGCGTCTAAGGACCGTCTCGGTTGTGGCCAATCCGTTCTAAATCGGAATGTTCAATGACCTTCAGGCCGAGGCTCCATTGTTCGGCAAAGAAAACTTGCCGTTCGCCGTCGAATGGATGATCCGTCTTCCTGTAACAGAGTGGCAAAGTTAGTACGTATAGAGGCTAAACACGCCTCGCGATTGGGAGATTGGCCGATGCTGTCCTCTACGTTAGTCGACCTACAAGTCAGGGCTACGACGTCGCACACTCAAGGTTGGGCATGGACTGCGCACAAGGCTCTCTCAAAAACACCAGGCTGCGTATGCAGTTTGACTTTTATCGATTAAATTTATCAGAGACGAGGTCTAGGATGTTGACGATCCACAGTTGGATCATGTGGGTGAAGATAATGCTGGACAGAACGCCAGACTTTCGGAGAATCTCAAAAAAGGAATCACTGAGCTGGATCTCAATTGCTCAGCCATTACCTCGCACGTCCCCTTTTGGGTGGCTTTGGTTCTGGGACAAGTTGGACAATACAATATGGATGTGGATTAGCTGATACAATGCAGGTCTTCTGAATGGAAATACTATGTATAATTCAATTATGTCTGGTGATATCTGCGGGTTTCATAAGTTGTTACGAATTCATGGTTTTATGAAAAGGGGGCGTTCTTGTACGAGTTACATCTAGGACCGTCAAGTCAACAAGTCGTCGAGCCCTCGTCAGCATGATAGAATAAACGAAGCACCCGGGGCAGAATGATATATGATAGCCCAATTATTTCACTGTAGTAGGTTGTCATGACGTGTAGTTTCAACTAGGAGACCCTGGAATATCGGGCTATCCCATATTATCCTACTCTGGGTGCGCCGTTTGTCCTGTCATGTTGTTGTCGGCCGTGTGGTTGGATTTACTCCATGCATCCCGCTGTTTAATACGCGCTCTGTACTAGTGGAAAGCTATGTCTTATGCCAGAGTGCCTAGGCAAGTCCGTCGGGAACGCGGATTCCCTGGTTAATATAACTACACGTCGATGGGAATGAGGCAATCTCACCGCCCCTATTATTCTTGGATTAACGTCTCAGCGCTAGGCTCGAAATTAACAGCGAAGGAGATTAGTGCCCTTTTTTGAAACAGTCAAGCACCGAGTGACTGGTTGATTGACTAGTTGATTGACTAGTTGATACGTTAGTTTGGCATGGTCACTATGGCATGTTCATGTGACACCTAAAGGAGTAGGCCAGACACGGTGCCTCAAGAGATTGATAATGTCTCGATTTGTGTCTTTCTTGACTTCTAAAATGCTGGTTTGGGCTCTTACATACCTTCTTCCCAAGGGGACACATACATATTCGCCGTCTTCTTGCCTCATAACCTTGCCGCAGTGTCTTCTATGCACCACATTGACAGGCTCCGTATTGAGTCGACCATAAAAAGTGGTGCCTAGTCCATGGCTATCAACTGCCAACGTATAATCTCCGGTTGTGTATATCACCTGATGGCATACTATTAGGTGCTATTTCATGAATTAAGTAATTGTGTAAATGTTTCAGGAATAGTGAGCAGAATTTATTACCATGTGATGACCTACACATTGACCAACCTACACTTCAGAAGGAGGCTTTTGTATGTTCGTATTCACAAAACCCATGCTCGCTGGGATGTGTTGATGCATGGAAAATATTAGATGCAGAGAACACCAAAATACAGGTAGTTTAGTACCCGAGTAGAATTTGATGCCGGATGATTATGACGAAGGCGTACGAGAAGGCTCCCGGACATGAATATGACGGCCAGTCCTGGCCAACAGAGGAGAGAAAGCGACCAGCACATGACCTCACTAGTTGGGGAGGCGACCTTTACGCCGAAGGGGTAGAGGTTAGTAGGTAGGGTTAGTCCGAGGATTCGGGAGATGGCGAGAAACCCCCGAGGCTTGGAATAGGTCCTTGTTATTATTGTTATCGTTGTTGAAGATAGCAACAGAGAATGGTACTTGCGAATCCCTCAATACCGTCCAAATCCTGAAGTGTACCGTCACGTTCCGGGCCCCACCAGTCAGGGTGAAGCTCTATTCAGTTGAATTGGCTATGTTTGCTTTTCTTGGCCTCGGAACAATATGAGATGGCTATAGACGCGGCCAACGTCATATGAGGCCGTTTAACAAGTATAGAAGCGCGGACCCCGGCGCTATAGTACCTCGAGCCTTCGTTACACAAAGTAAAGACTGAGCATACCACTGATACCTGCCAGTCCAGACTGCCAAGCAACATCACCAACATTCCCCTCGCGGTATTATCAGCTCGGATCCCTGAGCTGACATCAGTGTACGATGGGTACTTCGAAGTCTTTAAAGAGGAGAAAGTACTCAAGTACCTTGTCCCCGGCGGAGTGGATCAAGAAGCGCAAATAAACGGCATGATCTAGTGATTGAACTTGAAAACGAATCAGTACACAACCAAATGTGTCAACTCCGGCATGGGGGGAAATCATCGGCATGGCTGCGTGGGAAGTGTATAGTAGACTTCATGGAACCGGTTGGAAAAATCCGAGGAGCGCAGTGTGGTTGACATAGCGGGATCGAGTGATGGACAAAGTGCTCGCTCCCGTCTTTAGAAAAGTGGAGGAATTGCTCGGCTCGTATAGTAACGTCTGTAAGTCGCCCCCAGAGTTACGCCGTCAACTTCACTGACAATATGAACATTGCATGACGATGGCAGTACATCCGAGTCACCGACGGTAAGTTGCAGGGGCAAAGCTCCTTAAGTGGGGACGTGATCTTGCTGAGCAGCTTGTATTGGCGGTCTATTTGGAGGTCACGAGAACGGGTCTGGTTCTGTACCAAACAATGGGGTTTGAGACATTGGAGGGTATCATGCAGAGCTTGAGGTGATTGGGGAGAAGGAGGAATATGAGGTTCCTATCATCGTAAAGATGCCGAGCAAGTCGAATGGTATATCGTTCGAGAAATGGGCAGGTAGGACATGATTAGATATATGCTCGAGATAGGAACAAACCTGCTGCAAAGTTAGTTCAGGACCCTCAGTTTGAAGGTATCAAGAATACTTATCCCTAAAAAAGGGGACTGCCCTCTGCCAACCTGTGGAGAGAACAGCCTAGGACTACCTCAGCAAAGGCCTGTCCAGATGTACAAGAACAAAAAATTGCAGTTTGCCAGTCGTCATCCAAGACAGTCCACAAGTCCGGACAAGCCTAAACTTTGACACCAACTCAAGATGGGTCCCGGCCTTGCTTCATGCCTTACACAACAAACCAAGCGTGCAAACCAACAATGGTCCAGCGAACCAAGCACGATTCCCCCATCTAACCAGCACCATCCTCGACAAGTCCACTACCAAAATCGGCGAACACCAAACATATGCTCTGCTACCAAGTCAAAATGAAGCTCTTTCTGTTTAGCGCACTGCCAACAAGGACTTGTTTTTGATTCCTCTCCGTCGAGCTTGTAAGAGCGGCAAGGAGGGCATTCCGCATGGCCAAAAACGTCCGTAAAAGCCATGCTATCATCTCTGAACAGTCCGAAGGCCGATTTGAGGCAACTTCATCGACCGCTCATTTAGAACGACCAACGAAGGCTTTGGCGTCCACCATTACCGACGGATATGATCCACAGCTGGTGGCTAATGCGCCTGGCCGGATCACACAGAAGTGACACGTCATTAGGCGATGCCGAGACGTGGTCCTGGGAGTATAGACGCCTGATGGAAGGATTGGATGCGCGACGACTTCGCTGGGAGCAAAGTCGCGTTTCACGCCAACAGCTGAAAAGTTCTTGATTGTGACTAGGACCTGAGGGTACCGAGAGCATGTGGCATGGCGAAAAGGGATCAGAACTAGTCGCACTTCTGTTGTAGCCATACGACCATCGCTCATCCGACCGAGGGGGAACAGATGATTCTGGCGAATCAGGTCAAAGGCAGAAGCGTGAAGTGATGTTGATCTGACTGTACGTAACCAGTACCACGCTCTCCCTCTTAGTCCCAAGTGCAGCGAAGTAGCCTGTTAAGGCACTCCCTCCTCTAAGAACGAAGTAATGTTGAACACGTATCTTCCACCCAATCAGGTTGGTCACCATCACCAAGACGACCCAGATGACCAGAAGTACAACTTCCAGCGGCACATTGCTGACGAGTGACCCCAGACCAGGAGTTCTTACCATTAGACTCATAGCAAGCGCCCTCGCCCGCCTGATGACGTCTGGAATGCCCACCACCCTTCCACCACTCAAGGCCAGCTAGCCGCACTCTGCTTTTCAGCAGGACACAGCTCTGCAAAACGATCGAGCAGTTTAAAAGGAGATCCAGGCGACTGTGAGCGCAAGACTCAAACCAAAAGTGAGCTTAGGGTTAAGTTCCGAAACCACATTCCCTCCAGGCGGCCCTGCAAACCAGGCCAGCTGGCTGCCCTCGCGCAACGATCCAACCGCGTCAAACCCGTCAGATCTCCATGATCCCGAGCTTGCGACGTGTTGCGCGGGTTCAAGACCGGATGGTGGGGTCTGAAGACATTCCTTGCGGAAAACGGGAGTCGGAGGACTGTTGGGGAGGCGAAGGTGCGATTTCTGTGGTGCTGTCGTTCCTGCCAGAGGAAGAGCAGTGAAAGAGATTCAATTGACATCAAGCAGCAAGAACGGAAAGTGTAGGCGATCGCAAATTGATTGAGCATTGGCAATGGACTCATCTCAAGTACTGATTCAGGAAATCATTGTTGGCTGCTGGAGTCAAAGTTGTTGCTGCTGTATAGGAAGAGATGAATTCAAGACGCGAGGGAGACGCATCAGGTAAATACCAGGTCACGTGATCGTCTCGAGACACAGTGTCCATTCTTGTTGCACACTGTGAAAACGAGGTGCCGGCAACAACTCTGAAATTGACCACTTAAAAGTCATCCACCGTCATTCGTCGTGACAGATTAGGTAGCGTATTATGACAATATTCGGCACGAACAGGGAAATATGTCGAACAGTGATTCGGCCTCGTGATACCCATTTTCAGTTCGTTGCAGCCAGTCTTGTCAATCATGGATAAGAAACCCGCGACCCAAGAGTCGCTCATCTCGGCCATCGAGAATGCCGGAAGACAGGCATTTGAACCCACGGGCGACGATGCTTCGCGCTCTGCGGGCCAACGCGAGTTTGGCGCACTCATTTCCAGGTAGGCAAAAAAAGCAAGGCGTATTATTCATAGCCTGTCAAATCTGAACGTTCCTAAGAACAGGAACCTCGTCTCTCATCTCAGCCCTTAATGCTCTGATCAAACCAGAACGAGTCCCAAGATGGCTTCGTGTGCACCTGATGGATGTGCTCACTCTGCTACCTCAACGGCCTGGCGGTGTGAGGGCGACGCTCGAGTTTGTATTTGCAACGCATCCGTCGAGTACCGTGCGGAAGGCCGAGGCTGCTGAACCCCAGAAGCAGGGCGGCAATATCACTATGGAAGCCATGAAAATGGCCGCCACTATGTTATCGATACCGCCGAATGGCGTCAACCCTGAGAAGTGGTATCCGGGAATTGCGCCTCAGATTCTTGCTCTTCTAGATGGAAATGAAGGCGCGGATTTGGTCATGGTCGCTGCTTACGTTATAGGGTATGGAGTCCTGGGAAGGAAACAATTGGGCGCACCAGGTATGCTTTCTTCTAGCACCTGCTTACAGGTTGAAAGGGAAAAAACTGACAAATGCAGGATCTCCTGGATGGGCTGCCTTTGCTGAGCCAATGCTGGCTGCGATTAACCCGTCTCTTTCATCGCAGAAGCCTTCTAGCGAGACGTTGATTTTCAGCGCAGGCCCAGATGAGGTAATTGATCTCCAACGAGAGACCACAGCTGTCAAGCCTGAGGAGATAATGCTAGCGCTGCAACGTTTGACTGCGTTACTCAACTCACACCCCAACCATGGGTTGACGACGAGACTTCTCGCGCCCCTCGTCCTGCCGCTGTGGGCGCTATCTTCCTGGTTAAGCGCAGACGAGAAATGCAAAAAGAACGTCTGCCTCCCTGCGAGGAATCTCCTCCAAATCTATCTGAAGGTTTCGGGATCTGCCAAGAAGTATTCATCCATTATTAACGATATGATGTATGGTGGCGGCCACAATTCGGACGGCAGCCATTGGAGATTCGACCTGAGTCAATCCGGCATCCAGGTGAAACGACTCCGAGCAGCTTCTCTACTGAAGAGTTCCGGGGTTGCGTGGGAAAGCATAGAATCGAAGGCCGCTGCCTTCGTAGACCTCCTGGAGGCGGCCGCATCTGACAGCGAAATCTCGAACATCTTCCTGATGCTCTTTGAGAACTCATTCGGACGTCAACGGTCAAGCGATGGAATCAAGCTCGTGGCAGAAGAAGAGAAAGTGGATGACCCGGTTAACAGCTTCGTGAAGGCAAAGCTTCTTCAACAAATGATGAGCAAAATCCCAGATAAGCTAGTGGCAGATTCGAGTGGAATGCTGAAACTCGCCAGCCGAATTCTAGCCGAGTTTAGCCCTTGCTCGGAGAGTCTCGACGCGACGGCCATTGCTCTCAGTCTTGTGAACATTGTCGTCACAGCACCGAGTTTCCAAAAGTCAAATGTCGACAGCAGTCTTCTCGAGAGTATCAAGGTTTCGCTCCACACTATCAGCCAAGCGAACCAACACGATGTTTCGAAAACAGCTAGCAATCTGTCCCTTCTCCTTAGATACCGTGACGAGATCGACGACCCGTCGGAACGACCGACTGCACCATCGACTCGGCAGATTGAGGACCGCAAGACGTTCAGTCTGGCAATCTCGTACATCACTCAAGCCGAATCACCGCCTCCTGTGCGGTCTGAGGGGTTGAATCTGATTTCTGGGTTGATTGAAGCAAACAGCCCAATTCTCGATATCCAAGGTGTGCTTGTGCTTCTGTCCTCGCTACTGAGTGACGACGAGGAATACATCAATCTCCGGGCCATGAGGATATTCACGCAACTAGTGGACAAGCATCCGAAGTCTGTGATCAAGGAACTCCTAGAGCACTGCATCGACGCCAACGAGGAGGCGACGGTAGACACGCGGCTCCGTTTTGGAGAAGCGATTCTACAGGTCATCCAGCGGCTTGGTGCGGCATTCTCGGGCGAAACGGCGACGCAAGTCAGCGAGAGTCTGCTCTCGATGGCCGGGCGACGAGGGTACCGCCCCAAGACCGAGGCCAAACAAGCGCGTGAAGAGAGACTGCGGCAACGGCAACAGAAGGCAGCAGAAAAGGAGTGGGGCGGCGTCGTCCCGGATCTCAGTGAAGAACTCGAGCAGACTGAAGAGGAGAAGGTTCAGAACGACATCGTGGCCCAGATACTGGCGGGCTGGGAAAGCAAGCGCGGCAGCGAGGACGTGCGGATGCGGGCATCAGCACTATCGATCTTGTCGGTGGGGATGGAGACAAACATTGCCGGTGTCGGGGCAACGCTCGTTGAAACGGCGGTGGATCTATGCGTCAATATCCTTACTATGGAACCCGAGATGGAGAAGGCCATTATCAGACGAGCGGCTATCATACTGATTCTGACTTTTGTGAAATCTTTGGCAGCTGCTAAAGAACAAGGGAGGAGACTGGGTTTCGGTTTGACGGACCCGAGTCGCGAGGATATCATGCGCATTCTGCGGTATGTGTCAAGCTCGGACAACGACGGGCTTGTGCGGCAGCATGCCAGTGATGTTGTCGAGAGTCTCCAGAACTGGCAGCTAAGTTCCGTGCTGCCGGAAGTACGAGATCGTTCCCCGGATTTGACGAGGCTGGCTGGGTTGAACATAAATATGCCTAATTTAGACGCTCGAGCAACGGTCACGCGGCCGAGGATAGAGGAGATTGAATGATGAAAATGCGTTTCTCTGTTGAGCTCAAGTGTTGTCAGACTTGCATACGTTATCGTATTTGTCTCTACTCGACACATGCTTGATGTAAAGTAAATCTAGAGCAACCATCGCAACAAACATGCAATGCCAATACCTCCACTACGGAGAAACCCTCCAAATGTCACTGTCCATGTCCATGGTGTCACTACCAACAGTTCGACTCGCAGCAGCAGCAGCAGCAGAAGAAGAAGAAGAAGAAGAAGAAGAAGAAGAAGAAGCGCGCTCCTCAGCCATCCTCCGGACAATCTCTAGCGCGATATCATTTAATAACTTGTTCTTCCTCTGCTGCCTCACCAACTGCATCGCCCCACTAAACCCATCCATGTTCCGACTTCCCCACGCAACAAGATTCAGCAGATCCCGCTCGGCCGCCTCCCGCGGCGTGTCTCGCATCTGGTCCATAGTCACGGGCGGCACATCTTTGGCCGCGAATCCATAGGGCACTTCGAATTCTCCTGGCTCGACCGAACGAGGCGGGACCGTGGCTAGGCCCTCAATGATGGATTGCTCCTCGGCAGTAGTCGGGTAGCGCGGGTTGCGGTATAGGGCTTGCGCTTGGCCTTGCTCTTTGAGGCGCTTTTCGGTTTGAGCGAGCTCGCGCTGGATGCGGGTTGCTTCGCGGTCAACCATGAAAACTAACGTTCAACGGGTAAGCATCATCTTTTACTCGAAACAGGTCAGGACGCATGTCTCGGATACCAAAGGTAGCCAACTCCCACAGGCACTCCGGGAAACGAGACAACCGAAGCTGGCTTGGTTTGTTGAATCTACTTACTGATGTTATTCTTGACAGCCCTGGCGTTGGCATCCAGCACATCCAGGTGTTGAGCCACGCGCTCGCTGGTGTCAGTAGGCTCATCTGGCAGTGGCTTGGTGAAGTCAAACGTTGCGGGCACGAAAATGGCCGGCGCGACGGACTGCAAAGGCAGGATTTCTTCTTCTTCCTTATTGTCGTACCGGGAGATGTCATCCTCCGGACTGGGCGACTTGCTCAGGCGCTTTCCATCACGCGTATAGGGGTAAGGTGAACCCGGCATTGTGTATTTGTCCTGGCTGAATAGTGAAGACGGCACTGTCCTAGAAACTCTGCTGTGATGTGTTGCTCTAAGTATGTAAGTATATACAGGACGATATTGCCCCTTGCTCGAAGCGACGTCCTTGTGTTGATCTAGAAGCTGGTAAGTATGGGAGGTTCATGCAGTCTGGGTGGGAGATGGTCACACCGATTGATGCAATAAGCAGACGAAGAGCACTCTGCCTGTTCAAAAGTTCAGTCCCAGGCCATGCGGCTGCACGCCTGGGAGATTTGTAACAACAAAACCTCAAATGGTGAACCCCGATAGCTGGCCCCCGCAATGTCTGCGTTCACTTATTATTGCTTGAAGCTTGTAAGTTGGCTGAAGGTGAGAAGTCGGGGAAATGCAGGTACTATGAGCTCCACTTGAGCATGGGATCCCTGCATCAATACCAAATTTGGCTATGTTGGCTCCGACCTTGATGAATTCCAACCGGGTTTCACGGTCTTTTCTAGATATTCTCGAGTAGTAGCCTATCTGCATGGCGAGTATCCAGGCTGATGGGATCTTAAGTGAAAGATATATTTGACAATGGCTTCAGTGTCTCAAAGTTGTGTTGGGTTAGTTGTTAAAAAGACAAGGAATCTACTTAGTCAATGACTTTCAAGATGAACCAGTCAGCAAGAGATCTATCATTGCTTAGTTCTTGTTAATAAAACATCCTTGTTGTAAGTTCCTATTGCTTTATTTGAATTCCTCTTATCTATATCTTATAATTCTTTACGTAGAAGGTTGTGTTACAGCCGCTCAGAGCCTTCATTATACCCGCCAAATACCCCAACAACTACGAAATTTTGTCTATTTGTGCCATCTTCCAGGCATCGTCTCTGATATTAGATATTTCAAGTCCTCACTTACAAGCGTCGCAGCTCCTTCAGATGACGTGAAGTATTTGTTGGCATACAAGTCGACAACGCCGGAACATGCAGTGGCCTCGGTGGAAGCTGGAGATGCCTCAATAATCCTACACGAAAGCAGTAAACAGCTTAGCAGGGCGCAAGATCAGTGGATATTCCGTATCGTAAGCCACATCCAGTAACTATTGGAGGAATAGCTCAGACCGAGGCCGCTCGCAAGAACTCGACAGAAGTGAATAGCGTGCGGACAGCCCAAACCGTGGAATGGCATCTCGCCAGTATCGTCATGGTGAAGCCAGGTGTACAAGCCCGGCGCGGCGTTTCGTTTCATCATTCCCTCATCGAGAACATCTAGCAGCCAGGTCATCTTGACGGCAGCACTTTCCTGGCGTACTCACGCCCGAGCTTCAGCGCCGACCGAACCAAATCCTCCAGCCGTCTATCCTTTTGCCTGCGCATCCACAGAAGTACGATGCCGAGTATTACTGAGTCGACCACCAGATGTTTTAAGAACAGCCACACAAACCACCCAATCCATGCGCCGAAGCTCTTCTCTTTCCTTGACCTCCATTCCCGACCGGTGGTGATCTGTTCCCTTAGTGCCGCAATCTCAGCAGATAATTGCACCAACGCCCTCTCGACCTTCCGGGACCACCTGTCGCCTTTCTTGACATACTCGCCCTCATCGCCATCATCTTCCTTCTCCCGGTACTGCTCGGCTTCGTCGTTCTCACTCATAGGACTGAGGACCTTCATAGGCCCCTCGGTACCGCCGAGGGGTACGGGCTGGGTAAATCGCCGAGGCTCGGTGCGCGTATCCCTCTTGGGCGACGAGTCAGATGTCGTCGAGCTATTGTTCTTGATCTGATTCCAGACAAACTCCAATTCTCCGACCAGCTCTCTCGCGTCACTAAACCACCATGGTCAACTACTTATTATCCCTACGTTGCACCGGTCTCTTCTCGTTAGGTCGTACTCACGGCGTAGTAGCATAGCGATGCATCGTCTCCATCAGCGCCTCAATGTACCTCCGCTTGGCCTCGGTTCGGCTCACACCGCGCTGCGCATTCCACGCATCCCACTTGTCCTTCTCGCGCTGTAGATCGTCGCCGTCGACGCCCGACAGCGCCGACGGTCGTTCCATGACGCCGTCCACGTCCCCTTCCATCGCCTGCTTATAGAGTCCATAGAGTCGGAGTCGGTCGCCGGGCGGCGGCCGCGAGGCGCCTGTTTTGGGGATCTTCTTGACCGTGTTGAGCGCGTGCACGAATACGCGATCTGTTTGTTTGCTCGCAACGTTGGTTAGCCGGTGTTCAAAATTATGCTCGGGTGGTGTGTCGGATCTGGAGCACGTTGGGTGTTGAGGGGTGATCGGAGCTGGGGTGGATGCAAGATACGAGAATTCAGATGCACCCGCTTGCGTAAATTCACTTACCAACCGAGTCGGCCATGTCAGGTTCCTTTCATCGACATTAGTTTGCGAACACCTCCCCCACGACTTAATATTAAGCAAATTTTGGCTGTCGAGTTCGACTTGGGCAAGGTCGGCGATGGAGTGAAGCAAGGGCGGATCACGGAGGGCCAAATGCAAGGGACCTTATCGCGATTGAGGGAGCCGAGGATGAACTGCTGAAATTGATTGGCGTCGTACAACTGTGATGAGAGCCGGTCCCAAACCACAGCATGTCATACAACCATCAGTCTTCACGTAACGGGAGAGAATCGGTCGTTAAATTTGCTGGAAAGGCTGCAACCTTGCCCAATACTACCCTAGCTGCAGTGCCAGCGAATATGCAGATGCGTATAATGCTTAAGTAAAAATCCACACACCCACTACGCGTCGATCCGGGGAACTTTCAGTGCTGGGAGCCGAGTTGCCTCGGCGCAGCCTGATGCTTGACATGCAAAAACGCCGTGCGGAAGAGCAGGTGTCAATTCTGCCCTGCAATCGTCACAGACTTTAGATTCTATCTCAGATTCTATCTCAAAAAGCAACTCAGAGGCCAGAGACATGGGAAGGAAGCCAATCCATGCAGTAACCCCAAGCTTCAGTCGTTCCGCCTTCAGAATTCATGTTGCGCATTCCGATACCGAAAATACCTTACGTCCTTCACGTGTCCGATGTTGCCAAGAAAGATCACTGTCAATGTAGTTGTACAAATACAATCTGGGTCGCATTGTTCCAGCTTCAAGTGCTCTCTACCACGGCTTCATTTTTCTATCTGGTGCTGGTGCATCTGCCAATCGTCATGACTCGGCTACTTCGTCGAATCCAAGTGGCGGGATGACTGCCAGACCTTGATTAAACGAGCGTGACGTGATCAAGTCACTACTCCCGTTGCTTCAACTGCCGCCATCAATTCCTGTTTCTTCTTTACGAACCCCTTAATCATCTTCTTGTTGTCAAAAGCTGCTTGGGCAGCTTTGCTTCCGGCCTCCTTCTTGCTGAGAGCACTCCCAAAACCCATCGGCAGATTCGTAACGCCCCAGCCATCTAGATAGACCCCAACTGTATACCAAGGCAAGCCTGTCTTCTTCTCCTTCTTTGGCTCACCCTCATCTCTGTACGAGATTTTGACGCCCGTGGCACCGATAGCCTTACTCAGATGCACCTTGGGGTTGAGATCCTGGACTGGTGCCTGTGAAGAGGTTCCGGGTTCTTGGCCGTTCGGCTGCTTGACCCGCTGCTGACGAGCATTAAATTCCTTTCTGATTTCTTCGGACAGCTCCTTGCTCCACAAAGCTTTCATCCAAGCCGAGACGCGTGCAAGCCCTTGCTCTGGGTCTCCCAAGATAGCTCCAGCTACGTAGGCTTCGAATACGTCGCCAAGAACTTTCCGTTTGTTCTTTTGAGTTGCTGAATTCCCACCAAGCCTGCCGTGCAAGTCGAACTCAGCTGGGAATCGAGTGCGGTTGTTTAGTCCATAGTCTACGGTATATTTTGACAATGTCAAGTTCTTGATCAGCGTCTCGCGATACTGAGAGGCCCTCCCTGCCGGCAACTCGGGGAAAGTCTGGTAGATGAAAGCAGTGGCCATAAGATAGAGGTAGGCATCGCCAATCCATTCGAGTCTCTCATAGCTCATTTCACCTGGCTTGGTAACCATCCCAGAGTGTGTGAACACTGCTTGATCCAGGGCCGGATCCAGGATAGGTGGTAATGGGGGCAGGGCTGTAAAGTCGTCTATGGGTGACCATGGTGTTAAAGTAACCGAGGTTGGGATTCTGAGTGATTGCTTGGGACGGTCTTCGACTTTCCGAGCCTTTGAACTTTCACTCGATAGAGATCTGCTGAGCGACTCAATAGCAGGGGCAATATTGTCACTGATAGCTGTCAGTGAAGTGATGTTGACTTGTTCGGTTTTGCCGGCATCAATTTCATTTTTGAGAGCCTGAGCTGCTTTCAGTAGTTCCTCAGCATGTTTCACAATCTCAGAAATAGAATTCGAAGCAGAAATCGTTAGTGTTGAGCCCTGCGAGAAGTCTGAGAATGATCTCTTGGACATCGCGAGACTGGCAGCAATAGCTGTAGTGATGCTGGTGGAACAACTGCGATGTCCTAATTTGGAAAAAGAAGAAACGGTAGTAAGTTCATTGGTATAAATGGCAGAATCGGCCTTTAGAAATGCAGCCTAATTGAGACCATGCTGCAATGTTAAGAAAGAAGCTTGAAGAGTTGTGACGCAAAAGTCCATGAGGTTCCAATTCTCGAAACGAAACCAAGCAGAATGTTACAGTGTGGTCCCGGCGATTCGCACCACCGGGCCATCCCTGTTCCCGGCATTTAGCCGCCTGAAGCAACGACAATGTTGGGGAACTAAATCGCATGCGGCTCATGTGACTTGAAGTAGCAATCCTGACGGCTTTTAGCTGACAACCAACATCCGACAAGATGGCGCAGGTGCCGCGTGCAAGGTTATTGAACCTCATGAAGGTATGCTGTTCGATGCACATCATGTCGGTCTGATTGGTACTGACAAAGCAGATTCAATGCCAAATATTCTCGACAACCTACAACCCAGAAGGCGTCCGAACAGGCAACAAGATCCTATGCCAACGCCTCCGAGGACCATCGTTAGCGAAATACTACCCTCCGAAGCGACCGGGAATCACTGAGTTCTTCAAGGAGTTCAAAGATTTGGGGCTGGAGGGAATAGATGAGGACGAGGAAGACCGACTGGAACACATCTCAGAGCAAGCTCTCCCACACCTGGAGTTCGGCGGTGGACTGTACAACTGACAACTTTACCAGAGTGAGATTGCGTGGCAAGGGACCACCAAAGAAGAAGCGTGTTGCGCCGGCAGCGATAGGTAGGCTCGGCACTGATTTCAACTTAGCCCAGGTACTAACTCTTAGCTACAGATCGAGGGAAGAAGAAATAGCCAAATTGACGATTTGGTGAGGGTATGAAACTATAATATAACGCCGGTGTGCATGTAGATGGTTGTTGTACCAATATTAGGGTCGAGTCTAGAGCGCCTTGACTTCTACTCCATTACGGAAGGGTCACTTTTCACCCATCTTGTCCTGAGCATTTTGCAAGGGAGGTTCTGATGTTGTTCCCTGCTCTTGCAAAATGCTCTACCAGCTCAGTTTAACGTATTATTTCCTTCGATGGAACCATAAAGGTAGGTGTTGTTTGCAGTGCAATTGCACAACAACACATGATATGGCGTGCGCACAAGATTGAGAAAAGGTTCGACAGACACACATCCAGGACAAGTGAGAGATGATTTCAGATTTCGTATTGAAGTAGTATACGGTTCGTTGGATGAATGGGTTTACTTTGGGAAAACATGTGCTAGAGGTTTAACCCCTTTTCGGGGAGATGATGGGCAGATGACTGGACCCTCGTAAGTATAGTCCCATCCTCACCTAAAACCACATAAGTTGATGCACCAAGAATTAAAATGTACGCGTCTTTTTATAAATGGCGGCTTTCGGAAGGTGCCACAGGTTGTCTGCTAAGAGTTGAAAGAAAGCTTCTGCTTGTTGGTAGCACAAGATGTCTATTTGCCATTTCCAAGTATAAGCTGCCAACTGTAAGCATGTTATAAGTTAGAGGAGCCTCAATATCTTGTCAGGTAGCCCACCATCCAAAAAGTCGGCCTTCTGGAAACTACGCGGTGTGACGCGACCAATAAAGACCATCTGCAGGTTTTGAAGTCACAGGCAGTCGACCCTTCTCTCTCAACTGATACCTTGGCCACTTCCAGTGCGACCCCTTCCTCGACACGGTCGCCTGGCGCTAACTCTTCACCTCCTGCACTCTACCATCCTCAAGGTGCTTACTCACGCGTACGGACGCGCTTGTGATCTTCTGCATAGATCAACGACTTCCATATCACACCAAGCTACTGCCTCGGGCTTGCCTTCTTCGAGCAGATCTCACATTCAGATTCCACCTTTGTCTGTCAGACTCCAATCGGATTTAGCAGGCCCTCGGGTTCGCATCGACCAAGTCAATATTTGCCTGCCGCTTCGCAGGAACTAGCACGGGAGCCATCTAGGTGAGCTTCTGGAAGTCATATCAGGTAGGAGCGCCCCTGGGTTCCTACCCTTTTCAAAATCTGAGAAGGTCGTAGGCCGTTCACCGACCACTCTGAAAATATAGACGCTGAATCTAACCTCCCATCCATTCCTCTTCCTCTCTCTTCACACTGAGGTTGGTCGTGCACCACCTTTACTTCTTCCCATTCACTTCACCCATCACCTTCGATCTATTCTGCTTGCTATTCCAGCATCTCTGCTGCCATTTCCCATTTTTGTTTTGAGGAATTAGAAGTTCAACCCCCCAGAAAAACAAAACGGCACACCAAGCCTAGGAACTCGCCAAGATGGCTGGGAATCCTTCGACGGGTTCACCGATCGTCCGTCGAGCAATGGCAAGCAAGAGTGCTTCGCAGGAAGAGAACATCAAGGTCAGCAAGGAGGCTTCCTCCCCCACGAATGTAAGTCACAAGGCTTCCATCCCTTCTCTGATCATCCAATGCCCGCAATTCCTCACCACGGTCACCTCCAAAAATATTCGTCACCTTGGAAGCCGTACTCGGGCTTGCACTTTGAGAGATGGAGGATGCATATGATTGGATGCAGGAAACATTTTCCTCGCCGCCCTGACTCCGGTAACTAATTTCGCGACACAGGGCTCGGACGGACCGTCATCCTTCAAGCGATCGTCGACTGCTCTTTCAACGGCTTCCCTGGTCAATCAGAGCTATCCACCTAAGGCAAGCGCGTTCCCCTTGTGTCGTTGAAGCTTCAAAAACTGACAGTCCTTGGTAACAGAAGATGAAGCTTAACCACGAGCCTTCCACCGCCTCTGCCCTGTCGGACTCCAACCCCATGGACAAGCTCCTTGCCAAGCTTTCCGAGCAGCAGGCTGTGCTTAACAAGCAAAACGAGGCTTTCAAGTCGTCCGAGGATGGAGGTGTCTATCGTGCCGCAGCCATGGAGCACAATTCATCTAGTGCCTCGATGCCTATCACGCCGGCAACCGAGACTTTCGGTACTACTGCCCCGACCACTCGCCCTGCCAGTGCCGCAGTCAACGATGGCCAAGTCAGCAATGACGAAGTTCTTCGTCTGAAGCTGGAACTGGCTCAAGCCCAGAACAAGATCTCTCGTCTGGAGGAGATGTCCCAGACCCACCAGCCTAAGAGCGAGTTCGAGGTCGGATATCAGTCTGACCAGGGTCCACCTAGAATTCCTGGTTTGTTCAATGGTGGGAGTCGTTCTGCACCCCGAGACCCAGGCAATAATTGGTATGATGACTCTCGTTCCGACACTAGCGAGGCGTTGTCAGCATCAGGATTCAACCGCGCTCGAAACATTTGGGACAACGGAAAGGGACCTCAGACCTCCTTCCCTCCGGCTGGCCTTCCTGCGCCGGATGTTCCTCAAGGTCCAACCTCTTGGGGAGGCCGCGGTAGGTATGCGGATCCCAGCATCCCTTACGCTGCCTCGGATGGCTACAAGAGTGAGCGTCTGACTCCAGATTACGACATGACGATTCGAGCACCCAACCGACGAGGTGGTCGGTACAACAACGACAGCAGATACGGTCATCCCGCTTTTGGTCACCATCCTCCATACAGTGGAGGCTACAACAACTACAATCCAGTCCAGTTTGATGGAGGTAATGGCAGCTTGGCGGCACCCGGCCACTATTCAATGGGAATGGGACCATACTCCTCCCACCAGCCGTCTCCGATCGGAACTCCTCTGTCACCCCTGGCAAGCGAGTTCACCTCGACTTCGGGAAGCGGTCCATGGAAGAATGAGGTAAGTTACTGGGTTTGAGATGTTGGTTGACCAGAAAAAGCACTAATCCTGGTCATCTTCATAGCACATGTCGGGCGAGGGTCAGACATATCTACCCACCACCGAGCCTCTGAACTACCGTCGTTTGTTGGACCGCAATGTCAACTGCAACTGGAAGTACATCGTCGACAAGATCGTCTGCAACAATGACCAGCAAGCATCGATCTTTCTTCAACAGAAGCTCAAGGTTGGTACACCAGACCAAAAGTACGAGATTGTGGAGGCCATTGTCCTGCAAGCGCATCCCTTGATGGTCAATCGATTCGGCAACTTCTTGGTTCAGCGATGCTTCGAGCACGGAACCCCTGAGCAGGTCATCAAGATTGCTAAGGCCATTCGAGGTAACACTCTCAGCCTATCTATGGACCCTTTCGGATGCCATGTGGTCCAGAAGGCATTCGACTCTGTGCCTGAGGACTACAAGGCCATCATGGTCCACGAACTTCTGCGACGTATTCCGGAGACGGTTATTCATCGTTACGCTTGCCACGTCTGGCAGAAGCTGTTTGAGCTGCGATGGACCGAGTCCCCGCCGCAAATCATGAAGTACGTGAACGAGGCTCTGCGTGGCATGTGGCACGAAGTTGCGCTCGGCGAAACCGGCAGCTTGGTTGTCCAGAACATTTTCGAGAACTGTCTCGAGGAGGACAAGAGACCTTGTATCGAGGAAGTGCTTGCCAACATCGACATCGTCGCCCATGGCCAATTCGGCAACTGGTGCATTCAGCATGTCTGCGAGCACGGCGCCCCTGCGGATCGAAGCCGAGCCATTGACCACGTCATTCGCTTTGCGGCGGAGTACAGTATGGATCAGTACGCCTCCAAGGTAGTTAAGAAATGCCTCAAGATTGGAGGTGGCGAGTTCCTGGGCCGCTACCTCGACCGTGTCTGCGAAGGTCGCATGGACCGTCCGAGAATCCCTCTCATCAACATTGCCAGCGATCAATACGGCAATTATTTGATCCAGTGGATCTTGAACAATGCCAACCCGCAGCACCGGGAGGTCGTTGCGGCACACATTCGCAAGCACACGGTCTCGCTTCGTGGTTCCAAGTTTGGATCCAAGGTTGGGCTGCTTTGCACTAACCCCGCCGTCGCCACTCGACCTGGTCCTGCAATCGGTACCCACATGGGACGCCTTCCTGCCGGTCCTCGTTACGGCCGTTCCTACCAGTAGTGGAACCACCTACCAGTGTCTGGCTTCCATGTTCAAGTTCAGATTCGTTTGATTCGGACTCTGATGAATCACGGCTGGCCGGTTTGTCATTACAACTGATAGAGCCCATCAGCGGCTCACGAGATTCCAAAGGTCTACGCGCGGGGAACGACCTCGCGTTGAGGCCTGCGATCATTGTACATAACTCTGTGCATTACACGGCGTTTGCGTTTCTTTTTACTTTTCTTCGTCACCCTCACCACCAGCACAGCATCTCATCGCGTATAGAACCGCCGACATATGAACATCTCGCGCAAATCATTTATGGAATCATACGTCTACGCATCCTACCCCTCAGCAGGCTACTGCCTTGCCAGAGGTGCCTTGGACAAATCATAGTTATGGATTTTGCGATATGAAGTTGAAGCGTTTGGCGAGTCTATCGACCATTCCTCGCGTAATTCCAACACGGTCTGCCAAACTTGGATGAGCGGTGGACGAACCAACTCTTTAATCTTCGACGCCTTACCCTTTCTACGATGCGGCCTACCTCACATCACCTCTTTCACCCACGGTTTGCATTGTCCTTTTCCATCTTTCATTCTCATACCGTATTTCAATATAGTTGCATGGATCGGTCGAGCAAAGGAAAACCTGCATGGATCGTTCATGGATCGATTTCGTGGAGGAAAATGCAGGTCATAGATACTTGCTTTGGGAAGCAAGGCTTTGTATGAATGGTTTCGGCTTACCATTACGGAAAAAAACCCACCAAAAAATACACACAAAAACTGGAGAGACAGGAAGTGAAGAGAGACGTTATCAGAATGTTTTATTATGGTTCTTGCGTGCTTTTCTTGCGGTTGGAGGGAAGTCTTACATATGCCTGCCTCTGCTTGTACACTAGTGTGAAAGATCAGTTCTATTGCAGTTAGCCACCCAATCAATGAGTTGCGTAGATTTACTACTCCCAAATCGCTCTGTTCTTGATGTGATTTGTGCGCCGAGAGTCTCTGGTGACAATCCAAAAAACGCAGCTTTCGCCATCTATACTTGAGTCGCTGCTTGGAGACGTAACAATAGCAGCGCAGCGCCAAACCAGGATGCGTTTGTTCAGAATCACTGAGCTTACACGATGTGCGCTGGGACATGGTTTATTCACGTGTCTATTACTAATCAGCCTACAAGCTTCATTTACGGATCATCACTCGGAGTATATTAGCATTACTGGATTTGTTTTAACGTAGTCCACGGTCCAATTGCACACCTCGGCAGATTTTCGTACGCTACCACTTTGACCTGCGGTTTTTCACCACATAACTATGGTTGGTTCTTGGAATGAAAGTGATATGATTCTAGCATTACATGCGCTTCAATCTGATCCAAAATTAAGTGTACGTCGCGCTGGTCAGATCTATAACGTACCTTTTAGAACCCTTGCGTATCGACGCGACGGTAAAACCGCTCGAGCGATTACGCGATCGCCAACGCAAAAGTTGACTCCTTCCGAAGAAGAGGCAATTGTACGACATGTAACCGACCTAGATTCGCGAGCATTTCCTCCCCGATTGAGTGGTGTTGAAGATATGGCCAACCGATTACTTCGAAGTCGCGACGCGGGACGCGTCGGCGTCAACTGGGCCTCGAGCTTCGTAAGACGACAACCAGACCTCCGGACGCGTTTAAATCGAAGGATCGACTATCAGAGAGTCCTCTGCGAAGACCCCGACGCGTATCGCGCGTGGTTTGACCTGGTACGGAATACAATTGCGAAATACGCGATCCAGGAGGAGGATATCTACAACTTCGACGAGACCGGTTTTGTGATGGGCCAAATCTCGTCCGAAATGGTCGTGACGACTTCTGATCGGCGCGGAAGGACTAGAGCAGCCCAGCAAGGAAATCGGGAATGGGTTACAGTTATTCAAGGCGTTGGGTCGTCCGGTTATGCCCTCCCTCCGTACATCATTTTCGCCGGCAAAACCCACCTCTCGTCATGGTACGAAAACAGCCCATTACCGCCTGATTGGGTTATCGCAGTTACTAAAAATGGCTGGACTACGAACGAGAGAGGCGAAGATTGGATAAAACACTTCGATCATCACACCAAGTCTCGTACGAAAGGTACTCATCGCCTATTGATCCTCGACGGTCACGAAAGCCATCACTCGACCGATTTCGAGGTATATTGCAAAGCTAACAATATCGTCACGCTTTGTATGCCTCCTCATTCGTCGCATAAGCTCCAGCCTCTTGATGTTGGTTGTTTTCGCGGGTTAAAAGAGCGTACGGAAAAGAAATCGAAGATCTCATGCGAGCACATATAAGTCATATCTCGAAAGAAGACTTTTTACCGGCGTTTTTAAACGCGTACAACGCAACTTTCACGGTTTCAAATATCCAAGGAGGTTTCCGAGGGGTAGGGATAGTTCCGTACAATGCAGATTATGTCATATCACAGCTCGATGTGAAATTACATACGCCAACACCTCCGGGTAGCTCGGCTGGTCTCCCCGTCCCTTGGGAATCAAAGACTCCGAACAACCCAACCGAAGCCCAATCACAAAGCGATTATGTGAAAAATAGGATTGTACGACATCAAAATAGCTCACCAACGTCAATTTTTGCTGGAATAGATCAGATTGCGGGAGGTACAACGAAGGTTATGCATCGGCTTGCCCTTTTAGAAGGCGAGGTCGAATCACTTCGAAAGGCAAATGAGACCTTAAGTCGACGTCGCCGTGCGAAGAAAAAACAGCTACAGAGTGGAGGGTCACTTCGTATACAAGCTAGACAGGACCTACAGTCTCAACGAGAGGTTGATGGGCAGTTACATGACGAATTTCGTCAAATTGGTGGTCGTACGAGGCGGCGAATTGCGCGTGTACGGCGCTGTAGAATCTGCGGCGAGCCCGGACATAATGCGCGCACTTGTGGAAATGATGTAGAGACGTCTGAAGATAACGATTCTGAGTAGTCTCAATTGATGATAGGCGTTGTGGTTGAATTAACTTATACATTGTCGTATAAGGTCTGTCAAAGTGTGCAATTGGACCGTGGACTACGTTACTGGTTGTTCACACTCGTATGGGGCTGTCCAGCAACACATTTTAGGTCAACATCAACCCATCTCGCAGGCTATGGGGCCATGGAAACCAACATGTCAAAGCACATTTTGTCAGAACACAACGCAATCGCATATTGCGACCTGAATCAATTCAGAGAGCTCTCAAATGAGCTGAATACCCTGAACACCGCGCCGCGGCATGCTATCCTATGTGAATGGCCTCGGGGCTCGGTGGCTAAGTGATGTCCCTACTAAAGCTTACGTACAACTGTAGCTAAACTCCCTGCTGGGATGAGTGTGAAGCCGAAACATGTCTAACATAATTCTTGATAATGGTGCAATGATAGAAACCCTGCGCGCGGCATTCGAAGGCAGCGTGATCCGACAACACCGTGTTTCTAGAAGTGCGAACCCGTGCCGAATGAATTGCCACAGGCCATTCGATACAACGCAGCTTCAGGACGAGGTTAGGCAGGCTTCTTCTTCTTCTCCCAGGGCTTGGGAGGAGCGGTGTGGACGATCCACGTGGAGGACTGGGAGTCGGTTAGTTTGACTTCAACTCACAAATAGAAAATAGGGGTCATCATATCAAGTGTGAAGTCAGGGTGCTGGGGTTGACGTGAAATGGCAGCGACTTACAGAATTCTCAATGACGGTGTCAGGGATCTGTCGGATACCCTCAATCGGCTTTCCAGTCTGGATGTGCTCGATGATCTCCTCGAACTTCTTGGGGTAAGGTTCCTTGTCCGAGCCTCCTGCGACAGCGCTCTTGTCGACGTAGAGGGCTGCCTTGGGAGCAGCGGCCTGCCACTGCGGGATGCTGGCGGCAACGGTGGTTTTCTGCCACTGCGGGATCTTGCCAGCAAGGCTGGTAATTGAATCCTCGTCATGAGAAGAGGCCTCCGGGCAGCCTTTCGCCAGCTGAGCGAACTGGCGCTTCTTCTCATCGGGCTGTGATGGCTGGTCAGAGGCTGGAACGAGTAAAGCAATGAGATGTAGAATTTAAGCCTTGAGACAAGACATCATGGCAGACGTACCTCAGCGAGACGCTCCGCCTCGACCACGGAATCAGGGATGATCTTTACCGCAGGGTGGGTGCGATTCTGAGCGCAGCGGTAGGACAAGTACTCATGCAGACTGATCTCGACCCCGAGGAACTTTCGGTACAGAATGATGCGGCATCGCAGTCCAGTCTCCATCGCATTCGGAAGCGGATCAGTGAACAGTTTGTGCTTGAGGAGGGCCTGTGATGGTGTCAGTCAAGCTCATTGCGGAGTTGAGAAAGATGACTACTTACCTGGAAATTTATATCCTTGGCCCACGGGTAGGCGTCGAAGGCCTTGAGCTTGACATCCGGGTTTTTGGCAGCCAGGGCGACCTTGGCCCGCATGGCGGGAGGTGCAGGCTTGATAACCACAGGTAGAGTCTCGTCATCGTCATTACCATCCATGGCGTAGCCTTGCTCTGTCTGAGATGCCAGGTATGCACCAAGGTTGAATATCGGTAACTGGGTCCCTGATCGTCCTCGTCGCTGTCCTGGATGTCCTTGTCAGAGTCAAGGACGGACGCCATTCCGTCAAGGTCATCCGGACGCGCCAGCATGATGAGTGGGATGCCAGTATACTAGTTTAACCGAGGCTTCATGATAGATGGATACCAGACTATCGGGCGTTATGCTCCTATCGGAATTATGAACCTCGCAAAAGGCAGATGGAGGGGTTGGGGAAAGTGGGCGCTTCACTGGATGATGGTATGTGCGCCTGCCTAAGTTAGTCTGGATGGAGGCCAGGTATTGGGCTTTGGCTGCCTTGGCGTCTGCTCCAGTGCGCAAGTGCCCCAAAGCTCACGGAGCTTTCCATACCCACTTGGTAGCTCTACCTGCAACTGCCAACCGACTCCGCATTCTCAATTGGTCACCCTCCGCCCGTCTGCGCCCGTCCCTTGGACCTTACACATCGCTTCTTCTTGACTTGAGCATCCAGGTTCCTTGTCCACGTTTCGGACCTCACCACCCAGGGCCCAATACGCCTCCCCTTGGACCCAATGCGTCTTGCAGCCGTGGGAGCCCTTCGGACGACTTGTCATAGCACTGTCCGGGGCTTTTCTCGTGCCAGCCGCCCGAGACGCGCCGGTGTCCTCCTGCATCTGCACAACAGGACCACCAGTGTTAGCACCCGATTGGGTGGTGGTGTGCGATCTCTTACCACGTCCTCTTCCCTGGCCTCAAGGCAGTCCGTTTCCTCCAATACTCGAAAGCAGCAGCAGCAGCAGCAACATCAGCATGTGTTAGGCGAACCGCTTCGATCATCCATGTACTTCCGTAGGGTCTCTGTCGCTTTGGTTTCTGGCCTCGTTGGCTACGGCGCATGGTATGGCTACAAGGGGGACGTGACCGACCAATCCTTCTTGCAGCCCTACTCGACCGGTGCCAACCTCCCCAGCAGTAATGCCGCGCCGACCCGCAACGTCCTCATCGTTTCGGCCGACGAATTACACACTGGGACCTTCGTAGGCGAGGGCCCGATCGCCAAGACTGCAGATGGTAGCGGAGGCAACGTGCTGGAGATGTTGACACCGGATCAGGCAACCGAGGCGTTGCGCGAAAATGAGGCGTCTTTCATGATCAACAGAGGGCATGGGGTTCTACGTTACGATGTGGTGCAGCTCGCGAGTAATAACCCGATCGAAGATGACCATGCCGAGAAGATCGTGGAGGTTACTATGCCCTCGGCTGACAAGGCCGAGCCAGGAAGCAATGATTGGATGTTTTGGGGTGTGTTCGATGGGCATGCGTACGTCTCATTGAAAGCGCAAGTGCTTGTGCCTACTGACCATGTTACAGCGGATGGACCACCTCTGCCAAACTGCGGCAAACACTAATTAGCTTTGTTGCCCGAGAACTTAACACGACGTATAAGGCTGCCAGTAGCCTCGGTGCTTCCCCGTCATCAGAGGCCATCGATGCCGCGATCAAGGCTGGCTTCACCCGGCTGGACCATGAGATTGTCCACGAGAGCGTGGAGAAGGTTTTGAAGTCCAACTCCAAGCGAGTCGCCGCTGAACTCCTAGGTCCTGCACTCTCGGGATCCTGCGCCCTCCTTTCATTCTACGATAGCAACTCCAAGACATTGCGCGTGGCATGCACTGGTGACTCGCGAGCTGTTCTTGGCAGACGCTCGGACTCGGGAAAGTGGACAGCCACGGCCTTGTCTGAGGACCAGACAGGCAGCAATCCCAACGAAGAGGCTCGGATGCGAAAGGCCCATCCCGGAGAGGCTCGAGTTGTGCACAACGGCAGAGTCCTCGGTGGATTGGAGCCCACGCGCGCCTTCGGAGACGCGAGTTATAAGTGGTCCAGAGAAGTGTCGGATCGTTTGCGGTCATCTTTCTTTGGACGGAGCTACTCGCCGTACTTGAAGACTCCTCCTTACGTGACGGCTGAGCCGGTTGTGACGACGACCAAGATTCAGCCCGAGAAGGGAGATTTCGTCGTCATGGCCACCGACGGGCTGTGGGAAATGTTGACGAATGACGAAGTGGTTGGTCTCGTCGGCAAGTGGATCGAGACTCAAGCCATGGAGCCGTCAAATTCTCAACTCAGCTCCGTTTGGTCCAAGATCTTTGGCTCATCGCCGGACCTCCCAGTTGTGGCCGGGAAAGCTGGCGGCAATGATGGCCAGAAGACGCCCATTCGATTACGGCAATGGGGCATCTCACCGGACGAGAAGGACCGATTCGTCGTTAAGGACAAGAATGTTGCGACCCATCTCATCCGCAACGCACTGGGTGGCAAGAATGAGGAGCAAGTTTGCGCATTGCTCACTCTCGTTTCGCCGTTTTCGAGACGGTATCGGTAAGTTCACACTTTGTCTGGTCCAACTACACGAAGGATATTTGACTAACGTTTCACTCAGTGATGATCTCACAGTCCAGGTTATCTTCTTTGGCAACGGTCAAAAGACCGACGACAAGGCCGGTGACGTACTCGTCAACCAAGAAGCGACGAGCCCACCCAAGTCCGCTATCAAGGCCAAACTATAGGCCCGTTGATGACCCACTGACCCATCTCCTAAGCTCCATACATAATACACTCAACCAAACTCAGGCAAACTACCGCCTGTTAAACCTCACCTCGTCAGCTACAGCATAGCGGCACTGTAGAATTAGGCATTCATCTTGCATAAAGTATTCCCATGATTCACTACTGTGAATAGAATCATCTGCATTACATTGCGCCTTGCTTCTGGTGGTGGCATGGGCTTCTGGTAGGGCACATTTTCCCCAAACATGCTGGGGAAACGTACTCGGTGGCGAAATGGGGAGCATGTGCTCGACACAAAATGTTGCTTAGGGGCGTTTTGAAACGGACATGCATTGAATTTGTCGACAATTAAATACCATTTCCAAGTCTCAAGTTTCCCTTTTACTGAAGCCACGCCTGCGTGTCCATCTGTCTGTGATGCCCGCATAATCCGAGGACAATCGATTGATTATGGCTGCGATGATGGCTACGATGCAAGTAGTTATATACAAACATCAACTAAGTCATAAGTCATTTTTATTTTTCGAAACTGATCTCGATGGAGGGCTCGAGAGTTGGCAATGACCCGGCATCCCTGTACACAACATCTTTGCACCAATTGGCGCATAACCCAACCATATGACGCCAAGACGGTAGGAAGGGTTACAAACGAACCTAAGGCCATAAGAATTGCTCAATTATACTCCTAGGTTTTGAAACCTTGCGGCAGCGGCAAGTCATTAGAGGTCAATCCGAGGCCAAGTTCCTCCTCCCTTTTCCGTCCATCCAGCCCAATCATCGCATGTGCCCTTCTGTTAGGATAAACGCCCGCAGAACAAACCGCTCGTCCTCGCCATCACTCCACAGCCACCCCAATCGTCATCTATTCCGTACAATTCATCATTCATCACTAGTCCTGGTCTCAACCTAGTATTGATATCCACCCGAATAATCACCTCGGGGCGGTCCGCCGTATCCCGGATATCCTGGCTGCCCTTGTGGGTGATGTCCCCACTGCCCTGGAGGAGGAGGGGGCCCTCCATAGCCTTGCTGGGGAGGTGCAGGAGCATAGCCTGGTTGAGGGGGGCCTCCGTAACCTGGCGGTATCCCATAGCCTTGCGGTGGCCCGTAGCCCTGTGGTCCTCCATACCCGGGCTGCTGGGGTGGTGGTGCACTATAGCTTGCATATTGGGGTTGAGGTGAAGGCCCGCCATAGCCTCCTTGTTGCGAATATTGATTCGGCGGAGGGTTGGAATATTCTTCGTGCCGCATATAGCTGTCTGCTTCACCCCCGGTAGTATGCGACTGATAACCATAGTCGGTACCAGCAGGTGGCCGGATCGGTGCCTGCGAGGGCTGTGGGGAACTCGCTCCCATGTATCCTACCCCTCCATGGTTTCCAGCGCCCATCGCATCCAAGTCTCTTGTGGCAACTTGGCTCCAAAGTGATCCGGAGGGTTTTCCGTGGCCCAGCTGCCCCACTAAATCGCCTACGCCGCCGTCAAATATGCCGCCGCCGTGCGAGTGGCCCTTGTGAGTTGAACCTGCCAAGACGTGGTTCTTGCCGGCCTTGACGCTCTGAGAACCAAGTATGTGATTCAGCTCGTGGCGGCGGGGGTACTCATCGGCCCATTTTCTGACAGTGCTGAACATGTCACGTTGAATCTCGATGCGCTCATCCCGGATTGTGGGGTGGTGGAACGCACGGAGGACGTCATTAACGATCTCGTCGACGGGCACGCCGGTATGTTCCCACGCATATAGGATACGACTATTTTTTTTTAGTTCCCTCTCTAGATTCTGCAGGTTTGGAAAACTTACGGCACAACATACTGAAGGATCGTGGCGGCCACTCGTCCAGCGCAGGAGTTGAGTATGTTGGTAAAATGGTCTTTGCTCAGCATGGAGTGAGTAGGATCAGTGCAGTTCGGGTTCTTCCATGGCTCAAGCTGGGAGTGTGCGCTTGCGCTGATGACACCCGAGGATCCATCCTTGAGAACTTTGGTGACCTGGTTGATGATCGGGCGAATGAAGGGTGCCAATAACCCCAAAACGAAAGCTGTCAGCGTCTCGCTAATGTGCTCAAGTAGGCTCTCCAAGCCTGGGATCTTGGCAATGCCCCTGTTGATTGACTTGACAATCTTGTCTCGGAACTCTAGAATGGGATAGATCTGCTTGGCAACTTTGACTGGATCGAAATCCGGGCTCATACCAGGTACGAGGTTGGTATTTGCTCGAGTGGAATCACCTCGCGACGTTGTCATCTCGTTTTCTCGCTCCTGTTGCGCTGCCATTTGCTTCAATTTGCGCGCTTCGGACGCAAAGCCGCCGCCAATGCCTGGTAATTTGCCGACCAGCGAGATGAAATCGCCTGTTCCACTACCACCGCCAAAACCACGTGTGCTATTGCCGCCGCCAGACATGGTCGCAATTTCGGCGTTTTTCAGCGCGACGTTCATCTCATCGACCTCGGACTGGGTGAAGTGATCATTCGCTTCTCCCAGGACGGAGTGCAAGAAGTCGACGCCGCCAAAGGTACCAGTGACCAGCGGGTAGACTCGCTTGCCATTCAATCGTATCTCGGAGGCGGTTCCACAGTGAGGGAAAACCTCATGATAGCCGAGCTCACGAAGCGCCAGTTCGCAGTAGTTGCTGTGGGCAGAAAAGTCCTCCATGCAATGCAGTGATTGTCCGAGGCATCTGAGTGCTTCACACAAGTCATCTTCGTTCCCTTTTCTACCGGAACCACTAGTGTACAGGCGACCATAGTGGATGCTGCGTGCGATAGAAAATCTGAGATACCCGGCGCTGGTGGCCCAGTTTCCGTTTTCGTTTGCAATGTAGTTCTTCATTCCAGTCCGCGGGTCGATTTCCGTCTCGACGGGCATGACTGGCCCTCTAAGTCTTGGATCAAACTCGCGCGCATCTTTGCCATCGGCGTAACCAAGCGGATTGTCAATGTGCTCTTCGGGTCTGTAGACGCCGAGGCGCTCCTCGGTGACCTCGAACTCCTCCGTCGCATATCCGTTGGCCAAGAAGGAAAGGACCCAAACGAGGATGCGGATGGTAGCGGCATTGACGCCCTTCAAGCTGCCGACGTCGACAGCTTGAGAATAGTCGCGGAGCCAGTTGCCAAAATAGGTGCGCTGTACTAGCAAAGTTGTCCATTTCTTGCCGTGGAGAAAAGTGAGGGTCTTGAGAACATCCTCGATGTCGCCGTGTCGCCAGTTGTGGCCCTCGACCTGGGCGATGGAGGGGATGTTTCCAGCGCCAAACGCGGCAGCTTTGCTGGGCATCAGCACCAGAACGATGCACAAGACCAGCACGAAGCTGCCGATTCCGAATCTGGACGAAGCCATAATTACCATTACGATGTTGCGATCAGTCCAGAGGGAAAATCGAATACTCTCGAGTGCGAGGCGACGGATAGTGTTGGTGGGGGTTTGGGGATGGCGGGGTAGTGAAAGAAATGCAGTCGCAATGAGGTCACAGTCAACGGCGACGGGCCACGACAAGTGGATTTTATCCCAGGTACAAGTGGCATGCAAGGTCAGGCAGTGAGTAGAATGCAACGAGAGGCAGTGCACGGAATTCGGCACAGCCTGAGGAGGAAAACAGGCTAACTGCCCACATGGCCCAAAAGTGTCCACGTAATAGTGACTGCTGGTCGAGCCGAAGGTTGACCTTCGTCTGTCATCATTGGAGCTAGGCTGAGCTTGTCGCCTTGCAACAGTGACGAATAAGAGTCAGCCCAGGTAAGGCAGCCGCCACCGAGACCACAGTTGCCAAGACACAATCGAGCATGCTTGCGCCATACAAGCTGTGTTGCTTCTTCGCAGTATTGCTGGCTTGCTGACTTGCTCCCGTTCCCATGGTTGCTCTTCGCACCTTCGTCACCCAAAGGGGTTTGATCCTTCCGACCGTAGATATGTTGTCGGCAGCGCGACCATTGTGTCCAGTTGGGGGCGTTGAGCGTTGGGCGTTGAGCGTTGAGCGTTGAGCGTTGAGCGTTGAGCGTTGAGCGGAGCTAGGTTCCAAGCTCGTGGCTGATGGGATGCAAGCAGACCTGCACCGCAGTCAAATCCCGTTTATTGGATTCAGGAGATTAGTAGGTAGCTTCGCTCAAATGGGATTTTTCCAAAGCCCCTGGGGTGGCGCTTCGTAGCCAGGGGTAGCAAACATTCCAACATCATTAAGCATATTAATCAATCGACCAATCGACATTGAAGTAGCCAACGTCGACATGACGATCCTGGGCTGCATATACTAACCTAGTAGACTTTGTGTCTCAATCAGACGAGCAGTTTCTCATCAATAAAACTGGCGAATGTGATGGATTTGCAGAGAAGCCCCCTAAGCAACTCAACCCCAATACAGCCTAATGGGCACGGCACATATGCCTAGAGTTCTCCCCATGGGATCCGGTCATCAATACGGTTCTGAGGAAGAACACATCTGAGCTGGGTGGTGCCCACGACGGTTAGACCCTGAGGAAGGCTGCCCGTCCATAGTCCAACAACAGGGCAGGATCTACAAATGCGCGAATCACACCACCAGACCTAAGCATCAATCTTCATATCCCGGTGCCGAATACGCGGTGTTCCCTGATCTACACCACCTTGAACCCCCGAGTCTGCCAAGTCTACATCGCGGCATGGAAGCCTATAGTGGTGGAAGAGGTACACATGGTGTATATAGACAAATAGACAACTGTGATGGAACGATCTGTGGGTCGAGCAAGACATGGTCTGTCGGGCCGAGATCGTTCGGTAGGCGTGCGGGTGACCAGACATTTTTAACTGCCACCAATGATGGGGTCTAGCGTCATGCAGTTAGCTGGATTGACGCATTGGGATGGGTGCCGGAATCAAGAGATCGTACGAGGTTCGAAAGACTGGACAATGGGCCGTCTCTTCATCAAAAATGATGGTAGCATTACGGCGCATTGCCCATTCTAATATCCGCGTCCTCCCACGCCAGACCTTTCGTTCTGTCACATAGCTCTGGGCCAACGCTGGCCCATTCCGTGGAGCCGAGCCCATAGCTTACAGAACTTATCGGCGCATACTTTGGATGGGGTGAATCTGAGCCATCATTTCGGTCGTGCCGATCGCTCCCAGTCAGTCAGGACAGAGCCCATGAGCCCGTGACCTTGTGTTGGTGAACCCGGGTTGTTTTCATTTACGTCGACGGCGGGTGTGAGGCGCAGACACCGACCTGCCATTCCGGCGAATCAGTGCACGCGTGTTAGGCAAAATCCCGCCTTGCCCCGTTCATGGTCGTCGGTAAATGAGGTTACCGACTTCGGCCAACGGCGTTCGTGCTGTTGACTACCCAAAACCAGGCCAATAGGGTCGTTGGTGATGTTGACGTAAGCTGAGTGCGTATACTAGCTCCCCGAGCCGCCGCTATCGTATGTCCTCCGCCGCCATTTAGGCCCACCTTTATCGAGCCAAAACCATGGATCTCAAACAAAGCATTGTAGCAATATTTCCTTCCTTTCCCAACAGTTCAGCCATAGAGCCCTAAACCTAACTTTAAAGTCTTGGCTCCAACAGACAATCGTCTGCTGGGCATACCAGACCTGTCTTGCTGCTAGATTGTCGACTGCCGGTCCTGTGCAACTGCCGGCCTTGTAAGACGCCATGGGATTTAAAAGAATCAATGCGAGATGGGGTAGGTAGTTGTCGACCCCGTTATGTGCAGATCCAGCCAAAACCGTATGCCCTGGACGCGCAGACCACGTTCAAGTGTTGTGACAGGATTCGGTTCTGTGACTCGATGACACGGTCCCTGTGATTGGGGGGGGTTTAAAATACCTCATTGGCGAAGTGAGGCACCCGTGGTAACCTTGGTTGGCGTCTGCTCGAGATGTTGTTCAATCGGCGGCGGGCGACAGGTTCAATAGGTCCCTCCCCACACCCCCCCCTCCCGACCTCACCATACCATTGGCGGAACCACATACCCGGAATGTATGAGTAATCAGGTCGCTGCATATAAAGGCCATGCTGGAGCTCATTGATGTCTGCCTGAATACTACCATGACAGCATTGTTAAAGGGACACGGCCCTAGCTTCAAGAGGGTATAGTTGTCAGCCCTATGCAGTCAGCTTGTGGGTCCATCATGCTATTGAGGAGAGGCAGCAGATCCACGAGACCTAGGCTGTTCCTCAGTGAAGAAAATTACCCTAGCCTCAGAAATTGGCTTCCCAGAAGGCAAACCAGTCGCGTAACTGGAACGGTCGATAGCCTAACAAACCTCGGTGTATGTGGTGCGCAACGGCAGCGGTAGTAGTATCTTGGTTGTGACAGTACCACGTTGGGAACTTCCAATTGAAACTCGACTAGAAGGGAGGGTTTCTGCGGTCAAAGTATATGCAGGGAACGGTGTCACTGGGCAGGGTCCGCGGATTGTCGGGAATCCTCCGCCCATGGCTGTCCTGCCTTTTGAGGCTCTTCCATAAGTATACGACCACCGTTCGGTGAGAAACCCAGTACCTGGGACTGTAGTGGTACGACTTGACTAGGTATAACTTCTCGACTTTGGTAGCGGTGGGCTGAGTACCCAATCCTTGTGAGTACCTTTACTTGAAAGGACAGTACTAGGGGGGCCCTATAGTTTAGTTCCCCACGAGGTAGGTATCTTTTGTGGCCACTCACGACTGCAGACAGTGTGTTTTGCCAGAGCATGCAGGACAATATGAAATGTGATATATGCTGTGATTAGATCAGCAGTATACTGTAGCCTCGTCGCGAGCAGCATCGCGTAGGTCCCAAGACGAGTCAGCATGCCCACGTAAGGGTATAAAAGGAAGCGGCAACGACCACATCCGCTTGCTGGAACCATTTTCCGAGACCAGAGAAGCAGCCCGGTTCCCTTTTCGTTGAGCACGCCAACCTTGAAGACAGTCTCGTCCAATAAATACTTTGTTCAATATGCCTCTTACTCTCTGGAGAGACCTGTCGCCACTAGGCCAGCGTCTGAGAGAGCCAACCGCGAAATCACCACATATTCTTGTCGTAGGCGGCGGTGTCACTGGACTCGTGAGCGCTTGGGTCTTCCTCGACCGCGGTTATCATGTCACCATCCTGAGCTCGTAAGTACGGATGGACGTCCCGTTTTTCAACAGAGCTAACATAGTTTCTTCTCCAGTGCCTGGGTCAACAGTGAACATCGTTTGACATCGCAAATAGCCGGAGCGCTTTGGGAATTCCCCCCTGCGGTCTGTGGTCAGCACACAGACTCCATATCCCTCGCACACTCGAAACGGTGGTGCATGACGGCGTACCACATCTGGGATGGCATTGCTTCGATTCCACAACTCAGGGAAGCTTCCGGAGTCCGAATGATGCCGTCCGACTTCTTCTTCCCCGAAGCCATCGACAAAGATGTTGCGCAGTTGTCAAAGATGACGGAGATCATGGCGAGCGGTGTGAGAGGCTTCTACCGCGGAGCTGACCTCATCGATGAACGACACGTTGACCCCGAATATGGCGCTGTTGATGCCTACGAGTTGATGGCACCAGTCATCGACACCGACAAGGCCATGGAGTGGCTCACTCAGCTTGTCCAGAGCAAGGGTGCCACTCTCGTCACCGAGACAATCGAGAAAGACCTCTTGGATATTGAAGAAGACCTGCGGGTGCGATTCGATGCAGACGTCATCGTCAACTGCACTGGCATTCAGGGTCAGACGCTCGCCGGCGACGACAGCGTCTACCCAATCCGCGGCGGCCTCATTCGCGTCATCAACGACGGTATGGATTTCCCGAAAGTGGACGCGGCCTTGACCATCACGGCCGACGCAGCACACAGCGCCAATGAGATCATCTTCTTGGTGCCCAGAAATGATAACATCCTGCTCATTGGCGGCATTACTGAACCGCATAAGTGGGATCTGAATCTTACGTTAGAGAGCCCCATCATCCAGCGGATGCGGGCGAGGTGCGAGGCATTCTTGCCCTCTCTGAAGAATGCTCGCCTCGACGCGGATTATCCCCTTGCCCAGGGTCTTCGCCCGTTCAGAGCGAAGAACGTAAGGGTTGAGCGGGAATTGCGCCGTACTGGCAGCCGCATTGTCCACTCTTACGGGCAGGGAGGTGCAGGCTGGAGTCTGTCATTCGGTTGCGCGCAAGACGTTGCGTTGCTGGTCGATCAGGCTCTGGCAGGTGAGTCGGCAAGGCCGATGGAGGAAATGATTCGCGAGCGAAAAGAAGCCTAAGCACAGCTTCTGAGGGACAGCAAGGTAGCTCTTTCGGTATACTTGAGTCATCCGACCTGCAACAGGTCTGTTTTCATGCCGTCAGAATCCATGTACGAAGGCGGCGTGAAGTTGGAGTTTGGCCCGTTTGTTAGGTAATCATCGGATTTTATTAGCCTCAATACATCATATGAACCTGCAATGTCACATCCGCCGGTGGTCTCATCGGTCTGTTATGTTGCGTCTGACCACCACCGGGCTCACAACTTCATACATGCATGAGCCTTGATCGAGTGCAGCCCTAAGGTACCTAACCCTAGGAGCCAGACAGCTGGTATAGAGTACTAGTCAGGAGGCCAAAATGGTCGTCGTTAAGCGTTTACAAGCGAGTCACTGCGACAATTCTCTTGTCCTTTTCCAGTTTGGAAGCGCATACCTGAAGACGTGAGAAAGTCCCACAAGATTGCGCCGATGCGCACGCGGTCATCCTCCAATCCTCCAAGAGCCATTGTACCGCTCGTTGAGGACTGCAATCGCATGACTGGACCTCAGGATACAACATGCATATTGAATAGAGATGACTGTTATTCCTGAATGGCGCTCGGAGGTTGCTCGGCTTCAAGCGGTTGTGTCTAGGCCAGTTGTGTCACAATGAGCCTCATGTTGCACCTTTGCAACGCTCATTCTAACTCCGAAGGTGCTTACTCGCTCACGTTTTCAAATGCGTTGTCGCTTTTGAAGTCTTTGAATGAGCAGTTACCAGAAATGTCGAACGTGTGATTAAAACCATCTGATTTGCCACTCATTCCCGCTCGTTGCGGAAGTCTGTCTTCCTAGGCAATGGCGTGTTCAAACTCTCCATTTGTCGCTTCCCTCTTCAGGTTTCCAAGAGCGTCGCGACTCAGCACACAACTTAAAACTCACCCAAACCAAACGTGTAGTCCCACAAGACGAACAATAGTTGTCTTCCACACAGCAAAGCCGTAACAAACCTCAACCTTGCAACTCATTTCAGAAACTCAGAACAGGTCTCGTGCCCAAGTGCCAGAGTTAGTTCCATCACTCTCCAGGCCAGCACCACTTAAAACGGATGACAGCGTATACCTGGCCCCCAGCTGCTCCACATCAGGAGGCTTCGCTTCAATCAATCGGGCCTAGCTCTGCTGTGTCCCAGGCCAGCGGGTCTCGCCGGCTGGTTTCCTAGCGCGTTCTGACCTGCGTACGGGCTTCCATTATTTCCGAATCGCGAAAGCCGCAACGCTACAACTTTCAATGTTTCTTGAACAACAACTTATTATCTAGAGTGTGCCCAGCTGTTTGATGTAGGAGCTGCGTCACTCTCAGCGCAATTCAAGGCGGGCACCTAGCTTCACGGCAGCCCTTGGCATCGGCTCGGTACCTCTGAAACTATGACGACAAGCCAACCGGACTGCTCTCTGCCATTAAATGGTGCTATGGCAACTCCGCTGATCCTCGAGATCTGGGCGTGAAGCTTCGTGGTAGTGGCTGGAAACTACCGTCTACGGGAAACCTTCGCCCGTTGCGACCCCTAAAAGCGACAATATTTAGCTCATACTCAGGGGGCTGCCCCCACAAAGAAAAGTCGGCCGCGGCAGGTACCGGTACCCTAAATCCCCGTCCACGCTCAGACCAGGCTACTACTGCCAGGTTTACTTCACCTGTCAACCTCTTCTTCTAAGCTCGACCTAAACCACCTTCTTCCCATCGGAGATCGACCTCAATCTCTTTCATATAGCAAACAGTATTCACCACTTCCGCAGAAAATACGCAAGATGAATTTCTCGTTGTTTTCCAAGACGCTTTGCCTCTTCGTTGGTCTTTAGACTCGACAGTTGAAGCCGGTCTCTATTATTCCCGACTTCGACAGGCTCTCTGTCTCAGAGCCGGTTGACTCCGATTATACGCGTCCGACTTCACCATCATCTCATCGACTTCAAGTACACAATTCCCCCACTGCTACTACCTGTCTTCCATACAGCCTTCTTACAGTCTTCTTCTATTACAAATGTCTGTCATGGAAATGGAAATCATGGACACGATGGAGACTACCCCTCTGCAAATGGAGCAGCTAGAGGAGGGACGTCTCGTACATTACTCGCATTACTCGTCCAACTCAACCCACCACACCACCAGCATAGCGTTGGCAGATTTAAGTCTCGCCGCCAGAAGCATGGACACGCCAGGGTTCGTCCTGCAAGATGTCTACCACTCCGCAAGAGATGTCGTCAGAATCGAACGACCACTCGCTACCCCGTTGACGCTGCCTGACAACTTCGGGTGTGTTCTTCCCGGCGTTTTCAGAAGTGCATTTCCTCAAACGCAGGACTATGCGTTCCTTCGCGGCCTCAAGCTCAAGACGATTGTCACCCTCGTCAATAAGGACTTACCGGAAGGATTCGCAGCTTTCATGAAGGGCAGCGGTATCAAGCACCAAATCTTCAGCATGGAGGGAACGAAGAAAGCAGATATCCCACTGTCGATGATGCTGAATATCGTCAGTTTGGTGACGGACCGAAGAAACTGCCCCCTTCTCATCCACTGTAATCATGGCAGACACAGAACCGGTTGCGCTGTCGCCGTTGTTCGCAAATTCAACGGTTGGGACACGGCATCTATCCTCAATGAGTACGCCAAGTATGCCGCACCGAAGCCCAGAGAGGCTGACGTGGCTTACATCAGCAATTTCAAGCTGAAGAATCTGCGACATGTTGTTGCCCGGAAGGTCAAGGAGCCGGAGATGGGCTTCAGACACTTTTTGTTCCTGTTCTCGATCACGATTTTTGGCATTTTCATCTGGCTGGTAACCCTCAAGAACCTGAAGATCCGCCAAGCTCGCAAGGAGGAGTCTTGAGTCTAATCTCAGGAAACCATGGTCATCCTTAGACAGAAAAAGTTTGGCCTATGAAAAAAATATCCGCATGGTGAATTTGGATGCATCGAGGGGCAGGAACATGGCGTAAAGGACTGGCGTTAGGAGAACGGCATGCTAAGAGTTGGACTGTGTCACAGGCAAGGTCGAAAAGGGTTCTATAGACATGTGATGGGTTCTCACAATCTGCATTTTTACGGTTACAGGCGAACAGAAACGGGGACTGCTCAAGCGCTGACATGTCTCCTCGGAATATTTGGCGACACACTGCTTTATGTGTCGTACGCACTGAGACGGAATAGATATAGACATAGATTATATCAGAGCGCATCCCGTCATGAATGCTTATGAAGGTGTCTGATGCATCAAGCTAGAAAGCACCACCATAATCCCCATTGTCCATGCATAAAACTGCAGTCTTGTGATGTCCACAAGATGCTGGGGCCGTTTATGTGCTACAATGCCCAGCCCGACCAAGCACATGCCTCGTGTTTCCCAACATCAAGAACATATGTACAGGCCCCAAACGCCGCTCTATGTCGCAATCATTACCAATCACGCACTCTCCGAACTCCACTACCAACGACCAAAGTCTTAAGGAATCTTTCCCTTACTCGACCCATCTCGGATTACTCTCCCGCTCCACCTTCTCAGCCTGCCGATCCACCGTCGCGTAGACCCATCCGCAACCAACGGCGTTCGCAGTGCCCAGCAGCACGGCAGCCCCTCGCACGGCACCGCGGACGCTGAAGCGATTCATCAAGGCGGTTGGCTTCCGCCGCAGCGCCAGCAAAGCGTAGGTGCCGCTCGCTGCTGCCGTTAAACCAGCGCTGTCCTTCTTGAAACCTTGCAGGTTGATGTAGCTCGAGAACATGAGAATGGGCACGAAAAGCAAGGGGCGAATCTGTAGCGGGCGGAAGTGCAGGGCCGTAATGAGGGTCGCGAGGCCGGCGGGGGACATGGAGGACTCTGGGGCGCGGTTGTTAGCTGGAAAGCTCCTTGATGGGCCGAAGAAGGAGGGGCAATTGGGGATTTCGTACTGCCCCAGGCCGACACCGTGGCCATGGATGATTGGGGCGGTTCGGCCGTCGCCATTGTGAGGGTATGGGGTTGTGGTTGGTGTTGGTTGACAGAGCCCAAGGTAAGGAAGTTTGGGGGTGGAAGATTGAGTGACGTCGTTGCAAGCGATCTAACAATTTCGCTAGCTGCAGTGAGCCGAGACACAAGACTGAAAGTGCCTGTATCAGATTTGACGCTTCAAGGATTATTTGAGAGGAGAGTAACTACGGCAATAAATTCACAAAATACCTTCGGCATTCAATGACAACGATTCTAAGTTCGAGGACTACAGACACTCGTCTCATTCCTTACAGAGCTTGTCGCTGTGTTCTCACGACTTGCTTGATCATCAATACAACGTAGACTCGGACTTCACAGCTCCAAGCTATTGTAGTTATTGTACAATTGCACAGTGGGGTAGTCCACCAGCCACACGCCACAACCCGAACTTGTGGTTTTGGTCTTGATCTTTGTCATTATCGCGAAGTTAGGCCCGGAAAAGCCACTTTGCAGAACGCGAAGCGGAAGCGAGCCTTTGGAGACACGAACATCTGACTGCTACCAAAGACGCCCCCAATTTCCATGCTCCATCAGCCTTACTTTGCACGGCCGCTCCAGTAGACTTCACATCGACCATTTTGCTGCATAATTGCTGTGCGGCCTCTGCGCTTCTCTCCTCACTATCATCGACATTGATATCCAACCCATCGCTCCAGCCAGTACATGTAGACATCTGAGCAGCAACTCTCTCCAGCAAACGGCCAAATTGTCAAACCGACAACCTGCGCTATGCCCAGTGCAACCGCATCTAGCGCAGATACCGGCAACGGCTCAGCGCGCAACCGCTCGCACAACCAAGGCAACCAGGAGCGCAAATACACAGCAGAGCAAAAGGCCGCCGTGCTCCGCATCCGGAAATGTGCCCCGACGGCGTTCTACGAAATCCTGGACCTCGAGACGGTCAAGAAGACGTGTACCGACTCCGAAATCAAGAAGGCGTACCGCAAACAGTCGCTCCTCACACATCCGGACAAGAACGGCCACGAACATGCAGACGAGGCTTTCAAGATGGTGAGCCGGGCGTTCGGCGTGTTGGGTGATAAGGAGAAGAGGGAGAAATTTGACCGGTTTGGCACCGATCCTGACTCTAGGTTCGAGAGCGCGAGGGCCCAAAATCCGTTTAATGGCTTTGCATCGCGACAGGCGGGTGGGGGGGCGCCGGCTGGTAATCCGTTTGGAGGTGGTAATATGTGGGAGGATGAGATCAGCCCGGAGGAGATGTTCCAGCGGTTCTTTGGTGGTGCCTTCGGTGGTCCCTTTGGCGGTTCGTTCTACACCCCAGCTCTGCCCCGGGTTCTCCTGGACAGATCAACTTACTGACTATGAACAGGTTTTGACACAGGACCCCAATTCGTCTTTAACATTGGCGGAAACAGAGGCTTCCGAGTCCACCAGATGGGCGGGGCCGGACCACGCAGACGACCACGCGAGCAAGCAGCGAACGGCCAACGACAAGAAACTAGCGGGTGGGACACCCTCATGTCACTGCTGCCCATCATCTTCCTCTTCCTCTTCCCACTTCTCACCTCGCTCTTCTCGAGCGGCGATTCGCAACCCTCTGTGCCCAACATGGTCTTTGATGAAGCCAGGCCTCCCTACACCCTCCACCGCACGACGGCCAAGTTCGGCGTCAACTACTACGTCAACCCCAAGGACATCGCCGGCTGGACGGACCATAAGCTTAAAACGCTCGACCTCCAGGGCGACAGCACCTTTATGCGCGTTTTGCGCGCCCGGTGCGAATCCGAATTGAATACCAAGCAGGACCTGGCCGACCAGGCGCAAGGTTGGTTCTTTCAGGACCCGGAGAGGATGCGCTTGGCGAAGGAGTACCCGTTGCCGAGTTGTAATAGGTTGGAGAAGATGGGCATCCGTCGGTGACCGCCAGGGGCGTAGGCTAAGCATAGGTTAGTTGCTTTTTTTTCATTGAAGGCAAAGAAAGAAAGACAGAAACGGGGAACGAGGTGGAAATGAATACAGCTGGCGTTTCGGTGCGGGTCCTCATTCAAAGTGTGGCATTACAGGTTATCCAAGCTGTGGAATTTGCATGCGCAGTCGTCATTGCGGTACGATATAGCGTTATGGGTGCCTCAACTCCAGAGTCGAGCGGTGAAGCGCATCGGGGCTATTGTCCCTAGTTTCTTGTATAGACATAATTACAGAGCCGTCCGCAAGTTTTATGGCTTATATTACAGTCTAAATTTCGACCCCTGACAAGACCTATGGTTCGGAATGTTACCGTCAGTACCCTTCGACACGGGAGATACGGTTGTATCTATGATTTGCAATCTGGGACCCTTGCAAAACGAAACCGCTCTGCGTGGCTTCTTATTTTTAATCGGGCATGTTGGCTTGCGTCGCTGTATTCGAAGCAAGGAAGCAATCCGACTGGCTCCTCATCCAAAAGAAAGCTGCGATGAGGTTGGCACCATTTTGACATTCCTCTAGAACGGGAGTATACAACACCCCCGAATGAGAATGAGAACCTAGATCCAAATAGCTACGTAATATCCACAATTCAAGCGGTCGCACGGTATCAATTCAAGACTGACATAGTTCGTCTGGTACAGATTTTCCTTTCAAATACATTTTATTTCGATGCCTTGAGAGTGTAAGGGGGCCCCTTCTAAACTCCATCCCCTCAGGAGAAACAACGGTACATTGGATACAAGTTTTCTTGGCTCTTCACGTCCGTCTTGGGCTGGTCTAACGCCAACCGCCTGGCTCGTCATATAGACAAGTGAACGGGAAAGCTCTCCCAGCACGCCATTACCAGAAGTTATCATATGCGCAGCTAATTTACTACGATTAAGAGTTACAGTGTGATAAACTTACGGTTATAAGCTCCTAAAAGGCTCAATACGTCGGAGAAAAACCTATTTCTTACTGATGGCATACAAAGTTAAGAATACGAGAAGAGGTATTGGTACGAATAGGTATGGGATATATATTTATCTATCAGGGTAATATCTAACGAGGAGGCAGCGAATGAAGGCCGCCGTAACACCGAGGGGTGGAATTGGACGATGGCAGAGTCGGGCCAGAGATTCATGAACTATTTACCGGTTGAGACGAGAACAGAGCTAGACCAGGCGATCGATTGGGTCATCCAAAACCTCCAAGAGATCGCCGAGGCAGCGGCCCCTAGGCGTACTGTTGGTAGAGGCGCCGGGACCCCGTGGTGGTGCCCCCAGGTCAGCAAGGCTTGCGCTGAGACGAAGAGGCGACGACGAGATTACCTCCACGCGAGGTCGCAGACTAACTGGGACGAATACTTAAGGGCTAACCAAAAACAACGGCTCGAAATCAGCGAGGCACAGGCGCGGAGCTGGCATGAGAAGCTCGAGAGGACGGCAAAGGATCATAAAAGCCTTTGGGCACTACAGAGGTGGGCTAGGCTGCGGAGCTGGACACCCCCTGACACCCATGGGATGCCGGATCTTCGACGGAACGCAAGTGGTGCACCCACGGCGCGCACCCACGACGAGAAGTCAAAGCTACTAGCTGAGAGGTTTTTCCCAGACCCGGATATAGACCTGTCGGACCTCGATCACAACCCGCCACGGACGAAATCAGACCTGGACGTCCCTAAGGAGGTAAACGCGGAGGACATCGAGGCTATTATCAAGAAGACAGCGGCTTGGAAGGCCCCCGGCGATGACCAGATCCCTACGGGCCTGCTGAAAATCTGTGGTGAACCCCTATGGGAGATCCTAGCGGATATAGCGACCGCAAGCTTTAGGCTAGGATACTACCCGGAGCGCCTCCGCTCGGCAAAGGTAGTCGTTATCCCTAAGCCGAACAAAACGACAGCCCAAAAGCAGACCCCTAGCGGCTGGCGACTGTCACGACCTGGGTTGCATCGCATTGGTATAGACCTCGATTAGGTGCTATCGACGAAGATTCTACTCTAAGGAGCGAAGGAAAGAAGATGACAACTTAGGTTTGAGGGATCGCGACTAAGTCATCCACGCTTGGCGGGGCTCCTACAAGGGTTATGATTGGCTTCCCATCTCACACTGCCACGGCAGGTGTTCCAGCTGTAAGTCACCTGGTTGTAGTGAGTCTGCGAGGGTTGACCGTCACAGCGACCGATAGCGCTGCTTAGTACGATAGGGAAGGTGATAGAGGCGGTGATGTGCCAGCGTATCACTACCGTCGCGGAGACGGCCGGTCTGCTACCAAACGGCCAAATGGGTAACCGAAAAGGGCGGTCCACCGAATTAGCGATACGTATAGTTGAGGACGTAACCCATACAGCGTGGAGGCGCGGAGGGATCGCCTCACTACTACAACTTGATATCAAGGGGGCGTTCGACACAGTCAACCACAGGCGTTTGATTTCCATACTAGCCCGGAAGGGCTACCCGGAGTGGGTTCAGGAATGGGTACACAGCTTCGTAGAGGATAGGACAGTACGCCTCCGGTTCGACGGTAAGGAGTCAGAGCTAATCCCTACGAGCTGGCGTCCCCCAGGGGTCGCCACTCTCCCCGATACTATTTATCCTATATATCTCGACGCTATATGAGGAACTAGCGGAGAAACACCCCCTACTCTTAGTCGTGGGGTTCGCGGACGATACGAACCTACTTAGCGTTAGCACAGACACGGGCACGACCTGCCGCCGACTAGAGAACGCTTGGGCTACGTGCCAACGGTGGGCCGCCAGGCACGGGATGGAGTTCGCTCCGGATAAGAGTGAGCTGATGCACTTCACTAGAACCCGAGACCCCTCCCCGCAGAGTATCCGTCTTGGAAACGCTACAGTAACGCCGACGGTCTCGGCAAGGTTCCTAGGGGTCTGGTTTGACCGCAAATTAACGTGGTACGCCCATACCGAGCGGGTTAAATCAAAAATGGCGACTCAGAAGCTAGCCCTAACAAAACTAGTGAACATGGCGTGGGGCTGCGATCTTATACGGGCGAGACTACTATACACGTCGGTTATTCGCAGCGCGATTGCCTTCGGGGCGACTGCGTGGCACACTATAAGCGAGGAACCAGCGGGACCAGCTAAGAGCCTAGTCAGGATACAGAATGAGTGCCTCCGAATAGTCTGCGGCGCCTACAAAGCGACACCGGTCCGCCACCTGGAAATAGAGGCAGCGATCCCGCCACTAGACCTCTATCTCAGTGCCCGGGCGGCGAAATTTGAAGAACAGCTACGGAATAACGGCAAAAGGAGCCTGCTTAGGAGCGCGAGCGCGAGAGCGTCACACATACTCCGACAGGATACGCCGGCGGGACGGAAGCGGGCGTCACAATCGCTCAGACCAGCGGGGTACACGATGGAGAAGGAGGCTAAGGGCTCCGAGTGGATGGGCAAGGAGAAGGAAGCCCCGGCCGCCCTCCTAGACCACTGGGAGAAGAGATGGCTCTCCGGGGCAGCACAACACGACCGCCAGCGACGCGCTATCGCCGAGGAGCCGGAGGGCCCCTCGATGCGAATGCCGAAACAGGGCAAGTACTCAGGCCTAAACCGACCGGAGGCGTCTACCCTATGCCAGATCAGGACCGGAAAAATAGGACTATCAGCTTTCTTATTTAAGATAGGAGCCTTCGGTGTGTACTCGCCGCTATGTCGCTGTGGAGAGGCCCCCGAGACGGCAGAGCACGTAATCCTCTTTTGCGGCCTGCTGGAAGGATCGAGAGAGCGCCTACGGGCCACTATCGCACCATGGCCGCTACACACACGTAGAGACCTGGCGACGGCGACAGGGAACCAGCAGTCAGCGGGACTATCACAAGGTGGCTACTCAGGACCGGTCGGATAGCGCTTAGGCCCGGATAATATCGATCTTCTCAGGGGGACTTTATTAGTAGGGTGAGAACTAACATAGTATTGCGGCGGACGTAACGCAGTCGCTAATAGAGCGAACCTATGTAGCAGCGTATGTATTTAGTCCAGCCATTAGGGCACGGTTTGACATACAGGAGTACTTGTAGAGGTACCGGGGGCTTCGAGCCTACGGCGTATTTAATAATATATTTATCTAATGATACGCCTTTTCATGCTATCGTATAAGTTATCCCCCAAGCCTGGTAGTCCCCGTATGCAAAGCCTCCTTCGTCGGTACACTTTATAAACTTGTTACCTCCGCCCTCTTCTAGGATCCTGAGCCTCATTACGTCTAAAGTCTCGGATTTCCTTAGTGCCCAGACTCCCCAGGCCTCCCTCACTCCTGCGCTCCCAGCCGCCGAGCCTAACGACCAGACACGTAGTATTGTCTCCGTCACTAGTGACTTCCATCGCATAGCTGATGACATCCAGAGCGCCCTGCTCGGGCGTTTTGGCCTCCTTGACCACATCGACAATCTCCTGGTCGCTGAGCGTTCCCGAGACACCGTCCGACATGAGCACGATGAAGCTGTACTGAGCGGGACCCAACTCGGTGCGCGTGATCTCGGGCTCAGCCGACACCCCTAAGCGCTTTGAGCCTACGTCTCCGAAGGCTCGCGAGTTGGCCAAGCCCTGGATTCGCTCTTCGCCGAAGGAATCGGTGACGAAGGAGGCGGTGTAGCGGCGTAGACGTTGGGCCTCGCTGGGCGAGCTGGGATGGTGATCGCTCGTGAGCGGCTTCGCGAGGCCGGTCGCGGTTTCGCAGAGGAGGATACGCGTGTCGCCCACGTGGCCTACCAGCAGCGTGCTCGACGCTGCGGGATGCCAGAAGGGTGCCGGCGTCGGGGTCGAGATCAAGGCTACCGAGGCCGTTGAGCCGCCTTTGAAGCGCGTGCGGCCCTGAATGCCTTGCCCTGACGGAGGCATGTGATGTGGCTTTCCCAGAACTTCATCATTGTTTAGGGCCGAGTCAGAAACATAGGGGTCGTCGGGGTCGGGCTTACGTGCCTGGGCCGAGACGAAGTCCAGATCGGCGCGTAAAAAGGCGTACGTTAAAACCGACTCGACAGACACTACAAATTCAGGTGAATCAGGCTCTTGTCGGAGATTGAAGTGTGGAGGATTAAAGCGGCGAAAGTAGCCGCCCACTGTGTCCTTGTACTCTTTGACGATCTCCTTCTGTAGCCTCAGAGCTTTGGGCTCGTTGGCTTCGGCCGACTGAGGCGTGGAGCTTTCCATAGCAGACGCCTTCTCCACCTCTGCAATAGCCCCATGTCTATCCTGCTCGGGAATCTGAGCTTTGCCTTCGACATCCGCGGCTGGCTTTATTGTAATCTTCTCCAGCTGCACATCCCCTCCGGCTTCGGCATCTCCCATTATGGGCGTAGGGACCTGCTGCTGTTGCTGATTCAAAGCCAACTGCTTAGCCCTCGAATGGCTTCTTAGACTGCTTCCCAACTCGAACTCGGCCGCAGCTTCCTCGATGTAGCCATGAAGCTCTTCCCTGAGGAAATCGCTGCACTGGGTGCCGCCGTGGCCATCGAATACGGCAAAGTAGAAGATTTGGGGATCACCAAAGGCACTATCTGCCGGTGTCCCTTCGCCGCTCTTTTTCATGGCAGTCCTGACTAGACTAATTGGGGTGCGCTTCGCGAAGGCAGGCATGTCGAGGGTGCCCGCTTGGTTGGTATCTTCATGGTACGGACGTTGGCCTCTCGATTCGGCGACACCGAAGTGATGTTTAGCACTGCGCAACGGTATCCGGACTACGGTCAGATCGCGGTTCGGCGGGATGTGCGGCGGCGCGGCCGGGTGAGAAGAGCCTAGGCCCGGCACATGAGGGGCAGCAGCGGAGCGCGGCAGTTTGTGGTGTAGCCCAGGGGATGATCTCGAATCTGGGTGCATGGACGAGGAGGGGAGGTGTGTCACGAAGTAGTTGTGGAAGCCTCGTCGAACACCGTGCGACTGCGATATCGATGCGGCATTCTGCTTCTCTGTGGTACTGGTAATCCCATGGGCACTCGTGCTCGGCTTTGTCGATATCGCCCTCGTTCTCGAGCCAGTCGGGGCTGGACCTGTACGCCGCGCTGGCTCGGACACAGGCACGCCGGACGCTTTCTGAGCATGCGTTCGCGTTTGGCCTTCGATGTAGGTTGCGATGAACCCTAAAGAGGCATTAATGAGCCTGACATTCTGGCGACCGGTTGCGACTTGATTGCCCCTTGCGAACTCACCATAAGTGTCCTTTAACGACCACTGCCTGGAGGGCCGGGGACGGAGAGGCATCGTTCGAAGACCATCAAAACAACGGGAACCAAGAAGGCCAATTGAGGAACGAGAGGCTGGCTTCAGCGGCAAAGCGATTTTGTGAAGACGCGCAGATTGTGCGACTTTTCTCCATCGACAGCAGAATACAGAAGAGGGTTCCGGTGCTGGATCACGAAAGGTGGAGTAGCGTCGTGGTACCTCGGTTTTCGTTGAGATGTATCTCCCTCAAACGCTTAAAAATAAGTGTAGTACGAAGTGCTGGAACACACCTGCGCAAGGGTCTGACTGGCTGTAATGAGGAACCTAGGTTACTGTTTCGCGTAAGTCACCCTCTAAACTAAATATACAGAACAATTTAGCCCCCAATTTCAAATTTCACGGACAACTTGATACAAAGCCTTCGAATTACCATTGACGGTTTCAGGTGATCGTGGATATCGTCCCCGGACAAGCCAACATTGAGGCCCGCCGCTGCGGATAGCCCCACAGAGGGACCTTGAAGATCGACACTCAAAGAATCCGAATTACGGAGCTCACACAAGCTCCTGCAGTCGTGTTACGTGAAGTACCTCTGAGTTTGCTCTTTCTGGAGTGAAAAGCCCGCCTATTGCGCTGTATGATGCCGTGTGCCGACACGCAACAGTGATGGGGATGATATTGAGCGTTTATTAGCCCAGTATTTGCGCTCCCAGGTGAGTGACGACTTGCTTGAGTGGCCAACAGGTCATTACCATAAATCCAGCTCCCTCCTGCGCCTCTTCCACCGTCATGGCAAACGGAAGAGTCTCTTCTCTCACGCTGGATCCCATTGACTTATATGTCTATCGTATCCTGATGCGTGTGGGATGGGTTATCAGCTCCACGGGTAGAATCTGTCAACTGCCGTCAGATGGCATTTCGGCGTTCTGGCCCGGGCATGCCGTCACAGCCGAGCTATGACAGCATGCTGTCCCCAGGGCCAGGCAATTGCATCACGCGGGGTTTAGGTTGAACTTAGGATGAACTCCAAATGCCGATTTGATATGCCAAACCACGTGCCAAGATCCAGAAAACCTGCAGCCTTCTCGACTTACACACCGTCTTACACTGTCGAACGCTCATCTTCGCATTTCGTCTTACTGGTGTGTACAAACTGCATCCAGACTTTGCTACTCGAAGGCCGTTTTGGTCCACGGCAAACCGCCAATTCCGGCACCCAGTCACTCGCTCCCATCTGCTCCACTTCGGTGCACGTAGACTTTGGATCGTCCTTCGCACAGCTCTGGGCTTCCATCTTCGTTTTCTCAACGGTCCAGCAGGTACAACCGCCACCGTCGCAACCTTTCCTTCCCTATTTCTCGGACAGTTTTGCCGACGTACCATGTCTATTTCCAACGTTGGCTCCATCGTCCTGAATACGGTCGTGTTCCTGACGACTATCGTCAATTTCCACTCGGCACTAGCCCATGTGGAACCCATCTTCCTCATCGTTCTGTACATCCTGTCCAAGGTGCTGTCCCGCTCCGTGGACGACTTCTACATATTACAATACCCAGATCCGTGAACAGGGCGCTGGAACAGGCCGAGAACGGTTATGCGACGCCGCGGGAGGAGTATTTCATGCGAGGGGCGTCCGCCGTGGAGTCCAATCGACGTCTAGAGCACCAACTGTCTGGTTCTGATCCCAGTCGTCTGCGGCAGCCGAACCCGTCGAGTCTGGCGAATATGATCGCTGAGGCGAGGAAAGACTTGCGCCGATATGGCAAGAACGTTGGACTGCGGGATCGGATATGTTGTTATCAGTGGACCCGGTTTACTATGGTAGAATGCATCCCGATGGCCATGAGCCATATGATACCATGTGCTAACAGAATGGCCAGGTCATGGTAAGCCCAACGGCAATGGGCCAAAACCAGCACCTGCTCAACTCGTCGACTCAATAGGCAACTGGCGGCATATCCAATGTTCTCCATTTTCACAAATATCTAAGTAACTTGCCCGTCGGCCTACGTTATCAACTAATTTCATGAAGCTAGTATCGTGAGTATAGAAAGAGAATCCGATTTGACCTTAATGAGATTAACACAGTAACAGCGCCGCCATTATTCTAATCAACATTTGCGAATACGGCATCCCTAGAAGTGGTCTGTGGCTCCAGCGAGTGGTCGAGTTGATGTTCTGGGTGTATATCGGTGCGAGCTACGCTGCCAGCGCGGCTATGTATCTTATTATATGGTCAACGCAGTAGGTTATCTCCTTGCCCCTAGTTAACGTATCCTGCTCATCGGACAACAAGGATATTTCCTATCCATATCATGACTCCCGTGTCGGTTTTCCCAGCATACACTTTGTTGCTAGCAGCTCCATTCGCAAGCAACCTGATCAGTGACGTCACGCAGGCGGATACTGATACGGTCATCAACACACTTACCATCGCATTCTGTACTGTCACGGTCCAAGGGACTGGCTTTCTCATTAGCTTCATGGTTTGTGCAGCCTTTCTCTATCGGCTCTGACGCAAAAGCTGCCGCAAGACATGCAACGTCCCGGTGTGTTTATATCCAGTGGTCCCAGCGGGGTTACAGCTGCTGGTATTATCGTGCTGGGAACACAAATATCCCTCATCCTGCCGGTCGACTATGAAGGCCGTCACCACGCCATTGTCATTGTTCAGCTGTTTTCACTTATGACAAGGCTTTGACTGTGGGGTTTGAGTTTCTGGTTTCTTCTCGTGTCGGTCGGTTCGCTGCATAAGCATCTGCGCAAGGAGCACTCAATGCCGTTTCAGATGATATGGTCTTTTTTGCCTTGCCCAATACGGCCCTCGTTGCAGCAACGATTGCACTGGCCAACATACTGGATAACACGGGACTGAAAATATTTGGGTGCGTCATGGCTACGGCTTTAATTCTTGTGTGGTTATGGTTTTTGGGCGTATGATAAGGGCGCTGCGGAAGAGGAAACTATTGTGGCCGCAGGACTCTCAAAGCGAACGAGCCGGTTCACATCGAGATTGTTGTTGGACGGCGGTTACATCCATGTGTCTCAAGTGATCTTACCATAATGCAGGGCATATATTGCTTGTCTGGTGTTTGGAGTGGGTTATACTCTCGTTCCCAGTGGGGGAGAGCAGTCCGCTCATATGAGGACTCCCATGAGATTCGACGTAGATCTACCTTGTCACGAGACTCGACGCACAGAGAATAAAGACGGAACTCTTCAAAGCCTTCGCGGTACTACAAGGGTACCAAAACTCCAGCTGCCGGCGTGCCAATCATGACCGGTATGAACATCTCAATTCGGCCCTACACGATCCCAGACCTAAACGTGCCCAGCTTCACAGAACTTACCAGAGCGGTGTTGAGAAAACACCTCACACTTTTAACTACTACGTATAAGAGCGAATAACGATGGGAACATTGTGTAGAAAATCAGTCAAGCCGGGTGGACTCGTGGATATCTTGATGTCCTGAGAGACTAAGTGATTCAACCGCGAAAGATGGGAGGGATTCATAAATGGGTTGGCACTTGGCACCGCCGGAGTATTCAGAAAAGACCGTGTGCCTGGCCTACTCGCCCCTTTGTAAGCCTCGCCTCAAACCGGCGAGTAGGCCGGGCTTATTAATCATCGCGTCTGGTCGTACCATGGTACCATGCATCGACCGCACATGTCTCGGTGCCGCGCGTTGCATAGTGGTGCCATTCACGAACTGGTTTTCGAGGACCTCGGGCGCCCCACGAACAGCCTAGGCTTGAGTAAATAAAGCGGGTCGACGCCGTCAACTAATAAGAAGTAGACGACGACGACTCAGAGCTCCCTCCCTCGTGCTCTCACAAATCCCTACCAAATCATCATCCAATATCGCGATGACTTCCCTTTCTGAACACGTCGTTACCTACGGCAATGACAAGAAAATCCTCTACTACGCGGCGGGCCCCCTCCAGGGCCCCCTATTAATCTTCGTGCACGGCTGGCCCGCTATCGCAAAGACCTGGATCCACCAACTGACAGCCTTCTCAGCGCTAGGCTTCCGCGTCGTGGCCCCCGACATGCCAGGCTACGGCGGCTCGACATCCAACAAGGTCATCGAGGACTACTGCCAAGAGTCCATCGTGGAGGGCATGGTGGCCTTGCTCGCCGACACAGGCCGCGACGACGCCGTCTGGATCGGCCACGACTGGGGTTCCGGCTGTGTCTGGAGCTTCGTCGCTCACTACCCCGAGAAATGCCGCGCCGTGGCCAGTTTGAGTGTGCCGTACCGCTGTGTCGAGCTCGGTCTCGAGGAGCTCCTTAAGTGGTCTAATCGCGAGATCTACCCCGAGGACAAGTACCCGCACGCCCAGTGGGGGTACCAGGCCTTCTACGAGCAGGACTTCGAGAAGGCGACGGCCTGGTTCGACAGTGGAGTAGCCGGCTTCATGAAATTCATTTTTGCCAAACGGCCGCTTCCGCAGCTGGGGCAACCGTCGGGGACGGCCAGGACGGTGCTGGACGGCGGCTGGTTCGGCGGCCCGGAAAAGTCGCCTACGCCCCCGGCGGAAGCGGCGTTTGACAATGCTGAGTTTATCGCCTCGGACGAGCTGATGGATGACGTTATCAAGGCTATGAAGAAGACGGGGTTCTTTGGCGCGGATGCGTATTATGCCAACCATAAGCGCAATCGTGCGTACAACACGGCCGAGCATGTGAACCCCGTGCTGGAGATGCCCGTGTTATACATCGAGGGCAAGTTCGACGCCATCTGCGACACGGCTGTTTCGAGCTTCGCTACGCCCCAGCAGAAGTACTGTAAGAAGTTGACTTCTACCAGCATTGATTGCGGGCACTGGATTCAGATGGAGAAGCCGGCTGAGGTGAACGCAGCATTGGCGAGGTGGTTGGCCACGGAGGTCAAGGAGTATTGGCCTGGTTTTTGGAAGAATGGGTTTGTGAAGAACTATTAAGGGCGCATGCAGAGCTTACCAGATGAAAGCGCCTCTATCCAGAACAAATTGGGCCTAAGAAGGAGTCTTGATGAGCAATTGAAAGCAAAATATTTCCAACAACACGTGTTTGAGTTCTTGTGATGATACAGGTAATATGCTCATCAGTCACTTCTGATTTCTGAGTGATAGAAGTCTGATAAACTGGTTGACTGCTTCTTCTCTGTAGGATGCAAGGTTGGGGAGTTCGTATGGATAGGGGTGCATGAGACTGACGAGTCTTTCTGACCAAACCTGTGAGAGCCGTTGAAATTCACAAGCACACATTCTCTACACAGCGACCCTGGGCCGTCTGTCTAGTACAGCCCTCCATTGAACACAACATGACTGATACAAGAGGGAAAAAAACAACAACATCCGGAAACCATGGTGAGGGTTTCACGTTCCCACTTCCATCACTCAACACCGCTAACCTGCTGTCCGGGGCTATAGCACACCGGCCTCCTACTTCCGGCTCATTCACCTCAGTCATCAATTCCACCTCTCCCTCCAGTTCTCTCACTGGCCTGCGCATCATCCTCGACGTAACACTCCAAGCCCTATTATATCCACTCATCCTCCTTACCACCCTTCTTCGATATACGTGCCTTTCTCGTCGAAAGAGCATAGTGGAGGGTATCGATCACCATCTTCGGCTTCCACCTCTGCGGAGGTATCGCTGTCATCTGGGTCGTCCATTTCGGGCATCTCTCCGTGTCTCGCTGATTCTGCCTGTCGATCGGACTGTTCAATAAGGCAAGTGGAACCAATAATATGAAGTGACATGGACGCAACCGGGAGACAGAGAGGCGCGCCGTATACGTCTTCTAGAACTGACAGCAGACTCACGGGGGTGAAAATTCGGTCTGCGTAGAAGGGGGAGTTAGAAAGGAACCCACAATCTACATGACTGGTAACGACGCAAAAATACAATACTGCCACTTTCTCTACGGCTACTTGCAACTACCATGATACATGTTCCAAACAAACCGAGTCAGCGTTCAGCCGGACTAGGCGGAAAGGGGCATGGATGGATGGAAGTGGTCCTGAGCGTTTTCGCGAGCATTTGTGATTCTTGCGAATAGTAGACCCTGTTATATTTGTCCCGCCATTATGTGCTCAAGGACACGTGAACCAGCAACTTTCTGCATTGCTGCGCAGTCCATGATCATTCACAACCCGCAGATAATCTTGGCCCCTTTTATCCTGATGTTAATACCAACACGCAAAGGTCATGGACGCATTCAACCAGAACCACATCGCAAATATTCAAGACGAACTGAGGTGGATTTCGTGATATACAGCTTACAAAAGGAACTCAATTGATGAGCTAGGAAAGAAGACCTGAATCATCTCTGCTCTCCTTTTCTAGATATACACAGGTCACCACCTTTCACCCTCAACGTAGTAGCGACGCTCTATTTAACAACCCGGCTTCTGCTACGCAATTATTGCTTCTCCAACTCAGCCAGGATCTTCTCACCCTTCTCGCGAGCCGATGCGAAGTCACCAACCATGTAGAAAGCACCCTCGGGCATGTCATCACCCTCACCGCTCAGGATGGCCTTGAACGAGGTGATGGTGTCCTTCAGGTCGACCAACTTACCCTCGATACCAGTGAAAACCTGAGCGACAGTGAAAGGCTGGCTCAGGAAACGCTGGATCTTACGGGCACGCTCAACAGTAAGCTTGTCGGCTTCCGACAATTCGTCCATACCCAGAATGGCGATGATGTCCTGGAGAGACTTGTATTCCTGGAGAATCTGTTGAACACGGGTGGCGGTGTCGTAGTGGTCCTGACCGACGACACGGGGGTCCAGCATACGCGACTTGGAGTCAAGAGGATCGACGGCGGGGTAGATACCCAACTCAGAGATACCACGGGACAAGACAGTGGTGGCATCCAGATGGGCGAAGGTAGTGGCCGGGGCGGGATCAGTCAAATCATCAGCAGGGACGTAGACGGCCTGGACGGAGGTAATGGAGCCCTTCTTGGTGGTGGTAATACGCTCTTGCATTTGACCCATGTCAATGGCGAGAGTGGGTTGGTAACCGACGGCAGAGGGGATACGACCGAGCAGAGCAGACACCTCAGAACCGGCTTGGGTGAAGCGGAAAATGTTGTCGATGAAGAGAAGCACTGCCACACGTTAACTCCAGTCAAATATGGGCGCTTCGAAAATACATACCGTCTTGACCCTCCTCGTCACGGAAGTACTCAGCGACGGTGAGACCGGTAAGAGCAACACGGGCACGGGCACCCGGGGGCTCGTTCATCTGACCGAAGACCAGGGCGACCTTGGACTCGCCGTCGAGTTGAATGACGGAAGTCTCCTGCATTTCGTGGTACAGATCGTTACCCTCACGGGTACGCTCACCGACACCAGTGAAGACAGAGTAACCACCGTGGGCCTTGGCGATGTTGTTGATAAGCTCCTGAATGAACACAGTCTTGCCGACACCGGCACCACCGAAGAGACCAATCTTGCCACCACGAGCATAGGGAGCGAGCAGGTCGACAACCTTGATACCAGTAACGAGAATTTCAGCGCTGGTGGACTGGTCGATGAACGGAGGAGGGTCGGCGTGGATGGGCAGAGTCTTCTCAGACTTGATGGGACCGCGCTCGTCAATGGGGTCACCAGTGACGTTCATAATACGGCCTAGCGTTGCATGGCCGACAGGAATTGTGATGGGGGCGCCAGTGTCGGCAGCCTTGGCGCCACGGGTGAGACCTTCAGTACCGTCCATGGCAATGCAGCGGACGACGTTCTCACCAAGATGTTGCTAGAAGCTGTCAGTAGGCAAGCGCGAGTCAATGTCGTTCTGTGTGGTGAAGCTTACCGCGACTTCCAGGACGAGCTTCTGACCGTTGTTGGTCGTCTCGAGGGCGTTCAGAATAGGCGGCAGTTTTTGGCCGTCAAACTTGACTGGAGCAATGTGTTAGTTGAGCTTCCGAGAGAGTTGCTAAAGCTCCGTTGAGACTCGTGTCGACTTTACTAACCATCCACAACGGCACCGATGACCTGTTTTTGCCTCATGTTAGCTCGGGTCCATTCACCCGGAGGACCAGGTTTTCGGGCCAGCTCTGAATTGAACTCACCTGGTAGATCTTGCCATCACCGACACCCTGTGTGCTTGCAAACCGGCTGTTGACGAATTGTGATCGGAAGGCAGTTGGCCTCACAGCGCGGCGCGAGCCGGCTGTGAAGGTCGGGCGAGCCGCTCGAGCGAAGGAAGAAATGCCGCTGTTGAGGGAAAACACGCTATGGTTAGCCCAATTGAACCCAATTGGCGGCGATGCCATCAAAAAGGTCCGTCAGCGGGGGTCTACATACCTCTTAAACATCTTGAAGAGATGACGAGCGACGTTTGAGGATGGAGTGGAGGTGGTGATGAAGTTTTTGGGGGGAGAGGGAATCGGGAGAGACAATGGATGAGGTTGCTCGAAAATGCTCAACCCAAACTTTGCCGAAGCTCGAGCCACGTGACGTGCAAGCTGGAACCTGCTCTCAATTTGGAAAATTGGTATCTGTTTGTTGCATGAGGTCGTTGAAGTGCATGAGCTAAGTGTGACGACTTCGGCGGAAATCGGACTTCGTTTTGAAAGGACTATTATGCATTTAAAGAGCTTAGGTATTCACATTTTTACGGGGAAGCAACGCAACAGCGCGGCGCTTTCCACGCTCTCCAGAGTCCTCCCATTACCATGGCTCGAATCATGAAAGTCTAATGTTTAGTGCTTTCTGTTCTAAAAGTTCATGGAAATGGTATCCAAACGTCTATCATACCCTTAACAAGCACACACGCCATCCCCATGCAGGCAAACATTCGTATTTGACAGTTGCAGTGCAGGATGCTCATACGTATGGACAAATCAAAATGAGATCCCCCTAACTCCAGTCCGCTTTATGTCGTGTTGGCAAGCCCGCCTGGGTTTCTCAAATCTATCTCCTTGAAGGCCATCCTCATCACCTTCCAGGTGCCGGCCTTCTGTGAGTGATCGTACCCCGTCCCTCTACAAAAAATAAATGTATCAAGGCCGTGTATGCTGAGCTGTGCTTTCTGTGAAACCTCACGGAAATTCAATGCGCCCCGTCATGTCAAGTGTCTTCAGTTGACACGCTGGGCTCGTTGCATCTTATCCTCAAGCCTCCAAGTGTCTTCTTGTCGCGTACCGGGCGCCAACCAAGCGGCACTGCTGTTTCCTCTCTGCCTACCAGGGCCTGCTTGGTCGTTCTTCTTTGAATCTTCGCTCCCGCTATTAGCGAGTGATGAATGCCCACTTGTATAAATATGAAGATTCGGGGCTGCTGACACAGTCATCGGACTCTCGAAGATAGGCGCCCCATTGGTTTGTGCAAACGCTCCCTGGGTGTTAAGCGGGAGCAAGGGCTGGCCAACCGCACTCTGGCTCAACAGGCGGGCGCGTCGGTCTGCCTTATTGCTCTCACTCGTACGATCGTATAAGTACAACCCGACAAATGTGAGGGCAATTCCTACGGCTTGAATCCTCGTGGTCGTATTACGGAACCACACAATCGCCACAACGATAACGAAGACGCGCTTAATAAGGGACGCGACCGAGTATGTGACGGGGGAGACAAGTGATAGAAGGATAAATGCCAGTATGTTCTGTCCAAAATGGAAAGTGCCGTTAAACAAGAACTCGAGGAATAACCGCCCATGACCCATGGTATTCGGATTGCCAGTAAGATCCAAGGAGCCGTCGCTATACATATCGCGTAGCAGTCCAAGGCCATCGCTCCAGAACCAGATAGGCACTGTAAGCACAAATGCCATCCCTGATGAGTAGCACAGCAAGTTGAGCTTGTCGAGCTTTCGAGATTTAGCCGAAAGACCATCAGCCTCGGCTCTGGCCGCCTCGTTGAAGAGTTGCTTGGAAAATATGTTCTGCGTCACGAATATCACCGTCGCCAAAAGCGCGTATATCAGGCCCAAGAGTTCGCCTCCAAAAGTACGATTTCCCGAACACGCCAGCATCACGCCAAGGGTTAGGGGTATGAGCGAGAAGTACGTCGCCGTTGGATATTTGATATTGAAGATGAATCGGTATGCGAGGACAGTAAAGAGCGGAGACAATCCCTTGACAGTATGCACCAGTGACACTGGTATCTTCGAGGTCGCCGTGGAGCTTAGCAGATGGCCGCCAATCTGGAAAGCGGCCAAGGGCAGAGTAGTCATAACGACGTCGCGCGATGGATAACGAATGGGATGCCTCAGCGCAGGTATCGACATTCGCAGGCTCGGGAAGACGGAGGCGAGCCATGATGACGCTAAACAGTAAAAAGCGACGAGAAAGAATTGGATTAACGTCAACGTGGCAGGCTTGTCGAAGGCGTTCAGGATAGACTTGGATGACGTGTTTGTTAAAGCGGAAGATGCGTACCACAAAACACAGAGTATCTACAGGTACAACGTGTCAGCAGCGGTATATGCAGAGGGGTGACAAACTCCAAGTTCTACGACATACAATAAGTTTCGCTGACACGGGGGCACGCAGAGCGCCCGCGATCTCATGGGCATTCTGACTGACGCTTCCGTTCCTGTCTCTAATGGTTCGAAAGGCCTCGCCGATGCTCTTCTGCTTCTCATGATCGGGCGCACCGCCGCGAACTTGCGATGGAACAGCCGACCGTCCCAGCTGTCCCCATTGCACGCCTCTCGTCTGGTCTTTCTTTGGCTGCCAGCGATCTGCGAATGGAGACAGCCCTCGATTAAGGCCGTTGCTGTTCCCATAGCCATTCAGACCCAGCCCCACGGGACTGGCAGACGTTAGGCCGTTGCTGAAGGGCGGCGCATCGATATTGTTGAAATCGGGAAATTTCTCGAGCCCTGAATCGACGCTACCATCGGCGGCTGACTTAGTTGTTGATCGCGACACCGAGGGGTCCCGAGAGTAAGATCCGGAGGTAGTGGAGTGAGGCATCGCGGGGAGCTCGGTTGATGTGATGGAGGGTGGTTGTTGAACGAGTGACGAACTTCTTCGCAAAGAAGCAGAAAGTCTCTTGGAGGAGCTTCACTGAATCATTGCTGTGGTACCTGCTGCTGACGCTAGGTAAGATGAATAGGTTCCCTTGGGCTGTGGGTCATTGAAATCTGAGACGAATAAATCCAGTCAAAGAAATGTCATGCAGCTTCACCAAAAGAAAATATCCGCAGTTGAGTCGAGTCGGTGGCAATGGTTAAATGGATAGGATAGGCAGTAGTAGTAAGGTGTATGTAATTTAATTGCAACACTTGCATCAGTATGAGCCCTGTCACTTCGAGCATAGCGGAGTTTCCTTGGCCGCGTCGTCCAGACACCCCTGCGAATCGCAGTTTGCGCGACGCCAACCATTGACATAAGCTTAGAGCACGGGCCAATAGAGCAACAACTAACTGACTGACTTTACTTTTTTAGAACGCCAGTTCAGACCTCATCAGCCTCGTCATTTCGAAGGCGCGTTGACTTCTTCGTGGGTTTCTTTGAAGTCCAGACATCTGCAACTCTTCTCACAGTCGCGTACTTCCCCGCGGATGCGCCAAGGGTTTTTCGCGTCTCGAAATCATATATCCCGATCATTTCGGTGCTGTGAACAAGAGGCCGACTGCCTCTGCAGCTGTCGCCATGGCTACATCACAGATGACCAAGAATCAAAAGCGACGAGCGAAGAAGAAGGCCGAAAAGCAGGCCAAAGTAGAGGTCTGTATTTGCTCTGATGCTGTTCCCGCTTGCGCGCCTACTGATACGCGATAGGAACCTGCCAAAACCGAGGAGACACCTGAAGTCCAGCAGAACGGCGAGGGCACCGATAAGCCACCAGCGAATGGCGAGGCAAACGACTCATCAGAACTCGATCTAAAGAAAGAGCAAACTTCAGGCAAGAAGGCTGAGCGCGATGGTCCCGTGTTGCAAGAGTTCGACTTTGACGATGATGACCCGGCCTTCTCCATGTACAAGGACATCTTCTCAAAGTTCGGCGCATCTGGAGACGACGACGTTGCCAAAGAAGCCAATGCAGGCAACACGGGAGAGGTCTTCTTCGATGATGACGATGACATACCCGATGAGGTCGACGAGTCGGGGCCGCCAAAGCTCTCCAAGAAGAAGCGCAAAATGCTCAACAAGCTTTCCATCGCCGAACTGAAGGCACTTGTCAAAAAACCCGAAGTCGTGGAATGGCATGACACATCATCATCAGACCCGAGGTTATTGGTTCAGATCAAAGCACAACGAAACGTCGTCCCCGTACCTTCTCACTGGTCCCTCAAGCGCGAATATCTTTCTTCGAAAAGGGGTATCGAGAAGGCGGCTTTCAAGCTGCCCAAGTTCATTGCAGATACCGGTATCGCTGAGATGCGAGACGCCGTCCTCGAGAAGCAAGCAGAACAGACTTTGAAGCAGAAACAACGAGAACGGGTGGCACCCAAGATGGGCAAACTTGATATCGACTATCAGCGACTCTACGACGCATTCTTCCGATTCCAGGATAAGCCGACATTAACACGCTTCGGTGAAGTGTACTACGAGGGCAAAGAGTATGAGACTGACCTGAGGCATCTGCGTGCGGGCGAACTGAGCGAAACCCTGAAAGAGGCTCTCAGCATACCTCCAGGGGCTCCTCCGCCGTGGCTGATAAACCAACAGCGATTTGGTCCTCCACCGTCTTACCCATCTATCCGCATTCCTGGTCTTAATGCGCCTATTCCGCCAGGTGCACAATGGGGGTTCAATCCGGGCTGCTACGGCAAGCCGCCGGTGGATGAGTACAACCGACCTCTTTTTGGTGGTGACATTTTTGGTATCATGCAACCTACTCAAGGAGCGCATCCCTCGGGCGAGCCTGTCGAACGGACTTTGTGGGGCGAGCTGCAACCACCCGAGGAGGAGTCTGAAGAGGAAGAAGACGAGGATGACGAGGAAGAAGAAGAGGAAGATGTTGGTGCCGGCCTGGAGACCCCGTCGGGTATGGAAACACCCGGTGGTCTTGCCAGCAGCGTGCCGACGGAATACGGCACTCAAACCGAGTCGGTGGCTGGTGAGTTCGACCTCCGCAAGAACAGACGCGGATACGAGACCGAAGAGTCGACACATCCCCGTGCCGCTTACACAGTCATTCCGGAACGGCAAGCGAGAGCAGAGGGCTTCTTTGGAAGCGACCGAGTGTACGATCTCAGTAAAGGGGGTGCCCAGGGTGATATGCGTATTCTGGGGCAAGATGAGGATAGAGGCCAAAAGAGAAAGAAGCCCGGCGATGTCGATGTGGCCCTGGACCCAGATGCGCTCATGAGCGGCGATGGCCTAAGTAAAGATGAGGTGCGAAGAAGATTCGAGGAGCGCAGTAAGGAAGAAGGTCCTGGTGCACAGTGGAGGCGCGAAGAGGGCCTTGATGAGATGATTGCTAGTGAGAGTCGCAAGCGTCTCAAGAGGGACGAGGAGAAGCGCGACGAGAGGAAAAAGGGCAGCAAGTATAAGTTTTAAGGGGCCATAATATTTGCGGCGTTAAGTTGGGATATTGTACTGCAAGGTAAATAAGATGTATAAAAGAGCTATTGCATTCAACCATCAGTTTCATATGTGCCCGGCTTGTGAGATACGATCTAATAATGGCATACAACAGTTTGATGGATGTCTGATGAGCTGGGTCTTCTAAGTTACCCAACTTCAGCAAGCAACTGTGTACTAAGTTGACATTGAATACAAGTAGGAGTCGTTACGGCATCGCCTACAGTATTTGCTTTCCAGCTTCCATTCTAATTAGCGAATCATATATCTGATATAGTGCTTTTAAAGGCAAAATCGGGCATAAGCACCGACCACTGCCCTTGTTTGATAATCTCGGCCTCCCACAAGACCCAGACGTTTTGGCCTTGAAATCCAAACCGAAGACTGAAGTTAGCCGAATCTCATTGAGAACATCGATCTGATGAGCTTCCATCCGTATCATCATGAACTCTGCGCGTATTACATAGTGACAGAGCGAAAGAGAGGACTCACCTTCTAACTTTCAAGGCTTGACGCAGAGAACATAAGGAAGTTCTCTTCAGATCGGTCTTCATCCAATATCTACCTGCTTACCCCCCCCTTTTGTCTCGCCTCTGAAATGAAAGTCCTTACCAAAGGAATGGACAAGACACGACAGGCAACTCTTCCCTATCATCAGTATCGTTCTAATCTCGTTCGGTCATTGCGACATAACTATCGAGCCTGAAGTCGTATCTATCTATATGTTAACCATTCTTCTCTGATAAATTATTCAGCATTATGTAGTCTACTGCCAGATTCGGTAACCTCTCAGGAACAAAACAACATTTCTTGAAGGCTTGTAGTGGTAAACGGAACAACAAGGCTTATTGGGTTCTTTAATAATAAGCTAGTTAATGAAAGCGAATTCTTAAAATAATGGGTTCCCATTGCAGGCTTACAACTTACTCCTTGCATTGTGGGCAAAGATTTCTTGGCTACTGCATTTCGTTTTAAATCAACTCTCATGTCCAAATCAGCGATGGTGGCGTCTTATGGCTCTTGTAGGCGCTTACGCACCACGACACAAGCTTGTAAATATTGGGCATTAGTTGCTTCAACTCCGCAAGTAGATTGAGCCATCGCTTCGCCGTGCTTAGCTCAGGCGCAAGAAGTGTATGGCACTTTTATTGATATGCCTTGTTATTATTGAAGGATTTCTCCTAGACTCCCAGACCGTAAATAATGGTAAAGGCATCCAAATAATACACATGAGAACTGTTGTCTGTTTGGTGAGCCATTTATAGCACACTTAATAGCACCGTTGATGAGTTCCTACCAAAGCAGCAATAAATTCAACACGATGAACTCCCTGTAACCATTGAAATTGACGTGTCCCCTCTTATGCGACTAGCTTGCAGTTAGAGCTAAGTAAAATCCACCAAGAACTGTGAGATCATTTCACAACAGGGTCGCTATGAAGTCGCTTCTCAGCTGACATGGGGACTTCATTTCCCAGTCATGCCTTAGTCTGGAAGTCTCTTTGATTCTGGGGCTTTGTTTCTCCCCAGATTGTGAGACAGAGGACCGGGAAGTGATATCTGGGCGTAACCTGGCATACTGGAGGTACCCGGTTCTGTACTAGAAGTCCGTCAAACTTAATGAACCTAAAGGCTTCAGTTTAGCAGATCTCAAATCCATCCACAACGAGGAACGACCCGGCCTTGTCAACTAAACGCCGCAAAACCAGTACACTAGCTGTATGTTCTTCCTCTTAAATATCGTGATATTTCTTACAAGGGCGATTGGACTAAGTGAATTTTAAGATTTCACCGTCTCGTAAAGTTCAGTATTGGTCATGAAGAACCGACTAGCCTTATTATTATTATTATTATTATTAAATACGCCGTAGGCTCGAAGCCCCCGGTACCTCTACTAGTACTCCCGTATGTCAAACCGTGCCCTAATGGCTGGACTAAATACATACGCTGCGTCGTCGGTTCGCCCTATTGGCGACTGCGTTGCGTTCACTACCATACTACGTTGGTTCTCAACCTACCAACAAAGTCCCCCCTGAGAAGATCGATGCTATCTGGGCCTTGAAGCTGTCCGACCCGTCCCTAGCAGCCATCTTACAATAGTCCCACTAACTACTGGTTCTCCTGTTGCCGTTGCGAGGTCTCTGCGAGAGTATAGTGGCCGTGGTGCGATGGCGGCCCGTAATCGTTCCCTCGGTCCTTCCAACAGCCCGCAAAAGAGGATTACGTGCTCTGCCGTCTCAGGGGCGTCGCCACAGCGGCATAGCGGCGATTACACGCCAAAAGCCCCTGTCTTGAATAAGAAGGCTGCTAGTCCTATTTTTTCCGTCCTGATCTGGCACAGCGTAGACGCCTCCAGTCGGTTCAGGCCGAAATACTTGCCCCCTTTCGGTATCTGCATCGAAGGGCCCTCCGGTTCCTCAGCAATGGCGCGTCGCTGGCGATCGTGATGCTCTGCTCCGGTGAGCCATCTCTTCCTCCAGTGTCCGAAGAGGGCAGCCGGGACCTCCTTTTCCTCACTCATCCACTCGGAGCCCCGGGCCTCCTTCTCCATAGTGTACCCTGCCGGTCGGAGTAGCTGCGACGCCTGCTTCCTCTTCGCCGGCCTATCCTGCCGGAGTATATGTGACGCTTTAGCGCTCGCGCTGCGAAGCAGATTTCTCTTCCCGCTAAGTCGTAGCCGTTCTTCAAACTTAGCAGCCCGGGCACTAAGATAGAGGTCTAGTGGCGGGATTGCTGCTTCTGCTTCCAGGTGGCGAACCGGCGTCCTCACTTATAGTATGCCACGCAGTCGCCCCGAAGGCGATCGCGCTACGGATAACCACCGTATATAACAGCCTCGCCCGTATAAGATCGCAGCCCCACGACATATTGACTAGCTTTGTCAGGGCTAGCTTTTGAGTTGCCATTTTTGTTTTAACACGCTCAACATGGGCGTGCCACGTCAGTTTGCGGTCGAACCAGACTCCTAGGAACCTGGCTGAGACTACCGGCGACACTGTGGCGTCCCCAAGGCGAATACTTTGCGGCAAGGGCTCTCGGGCCCTAGTAAAGTGCATTAGCTCACTCTTGTCAGGAGCGAACTCCATCCCGTGCCTCACTGCCCACCGCTGACACGTAGCCCATGCGCTCTCCAACCGGCGGCAGGTCGTGTCTGGATCGGTGCCGACGCTTAGCAGGTTCGTGTCGTCCGCGAACCCGACTACTAAAAGTAGTGGATGCTGCTCCGCTAGCTCCTCGTACAGCGTTGAAATGTATAATATAAACAGTATCGGGGATAGCGGTGACCCCTGGGGGACGCCAGCTCGTAGGGGGATTGGCTCTGACTCCTTGCCATCGAACCGGAGGCGTACCGTTCTATCCTCCACGAAGCTGCGTACCCACTCCTGAACCCACTCCGGGTAGCCTTTCCGGGCTAATATGGAAATCAGCCGTCTGTAATTGACCGTATCGAATGCCCCCTTGATGTCTAGCTGTAGCAGCGAGGCGATGCCCCCGCGTCTCCACGCCGTATAGACCACGTCCTCAACTATACGTATTGCCAGTTCGGTGGACCTCCCAGCGCGGTTACCCATTTGGCCGTTTGGTAGTAGGCCGGCCGCCTCAGCTACTTTGGTGATACGCTGGCTCATCGCCGTCTCTATTACCTTCCCTACCGTGCTAAGCAGGGCAATGGGGCGCCAGCCGCCAGGGGTCTGCTTCTGAGCTGTCGTTTTATTAGGCTTAGGGATAACAACCACCCTCGCTGAGCGGAAGCGCTCCGGGTAGTACCCCAGCCTAAAGCTAGCTGTTGCCAGATCCGCTAGGATCTCCCATAGGGGTTCACCGCAGGCCTTTAGCAGGCCAGTGGGGATCAGGTCGTCGCCGGGAGCCTTCCGAGCAGCCGTTCCTTTGATGATAGACTCGATATCCATTGTGGTCACCTCCCTAGGGACGTTCAGCTCTGGTCTCGTCTGTAATAGGCCGCGATCGAGGTCCGATAGATCTATACACGGGTCTGGGAAGAACCTCTCAGCTAGTAATTTTGCCTTCTCATCATGTGTACGTGCCGTAAGCGTGTTGCCGGCGTCCCTCCGGAGATCTGGCAAGCCGTGGGCCTCAGGGGGGGCCCAGCTCCGTAGCCTAGCCCACCTCTGCAGTGCCCACAGGCTTTTGTGATCCTTCGCCGTCCCCTCGAGCTTCTCGTGCCAGCTACGCGTCTGCGCTTCAGATATTATAACAAATTCACGTGTACTAAGTGCTCCGATAGGCTTGTTAGCGACATCAGAGAGGCCCAGGTGAGTGAAAGCTCCATCTATAGTATCCTAGTAGAGCTGACATTATGTGTGAAGCCACTTAAGTATGGCCAGCATATTCGTCAGCTTGGCACAGGGGAGAGTCAGGAAGCACTGCAACTTGGGCAGCAGCATGTAAGTGCTTGAGTCTCTTGCTTAGAAAATTGCACGAATCTGTAGTTTTAAAAAAACCTGGATCAGGACGGAAAAAATAGGACTAGCAGCCTTCTTATTCAAGACAGGGGCTTTTGGCGTGTACTCGCCGCTATGCCGCTGTGGCGACGCCCCTGAGACGGCAGAGCACGTAATCCTCTTTTGCGGGCTGTTGGAAGGACCGAGGGAACGATTACGGGCCGCTATCGCACCACGGCCACTATACTCTCACAGAGACCTCGCAACGGCAACAGGAGAACCAGTAGTTAGTGGGACTATTGTAAGGTGGCTGCTAGGGACGGGTCGGACAGCTTCAAGGCCCAGATAGCATCGATCTTCTCAGGGGGGACTTTGTTGGTAGGTTGAGAACCAACGCAGTATGGTAGTGAACGCAACGCAGTCGCCAATAGGGCGAACCGACGACGCAGCGTATGTATTTAGTCCAGCCATTAGGGCACGGTTTGACATACGGGAGTACTAGTAGAGGTACCGGGGGCTTCGAGCCTACGGCGTATTTAATAATAATATAATATCTATATAATATATAACCGAGAACATATATCCCCCGATATGCAGACAAATCCGGCAGGATTCGTTCTCAGAACCGCATTTTCCCATACACAACGGTCGAAATTGTCGAAAATCGAAATGTTCTATAAAGGCATTTCCACTATTTGGTGTATGGATGTAACTCAACCCCTTCACAATGGCCAAGTGGGGTGAGACATTCGCAGACAGTCTTTCAAGGGCTGCGCTTGATCACCAGTGACTCGTGAGGGCCTTTACTGTAATAATTAAGGAACACTGCCATCGTAGTTCCCGATCATAGTCTCTTCAATAGCCCCTTTTTCGACAACAGGCAGCACGCAATCATGTCAAGATCTCGATATTTGCTCGAAGATATCGTGTTGCCGCGCTGGCTTGCATGAAGATCAGACAGCATCCAACTTCCCCTTGAAGTAGAAAAGAACTCCACAGGCCCTTTTGGAACGTTGTGCGTTGCCCTGTGACCGTGTGAAGGACTCTCAGATTCGTCACCCTTTTTGAGATAATCCAGTCAACTAAACCTCCGGGAGGTGGAATCAGAGCAAAGCCACACAATTTGTAAAACGACAGGTCCATCGCGACCAGCGAGATATAGAATTTCTTTTACGAAGGGTAGTCAGCAACCTTCACAGCACGGCTTGATTGACTGTACACTCTCGATGAGCGGATTTGAACAGAGACTCAATTTCTCGCACAGCTCAATTCCGACAACAAAGAGTTAGCGGGATACTCGAGGCTCCAAGGCGTTTGCCCCTAATTGTCAGCCTAAAACTATGAGCGACTGCAGACGAAAGGTGGACTACCATCCATATCCCTGAAGGCTTGTGGCACAGCTGATTGGGATGGGCGAAATGGGCTAACCGGCTCAATGGAGATTTTCGCCCAGCTCATATCCGAGGCATTTATGGATCATTTGTAACATCCATTGCGAAGACGACGCTCGATGGGCAGCAATACCAATGTGAGTGAACAAAGTACTAAGAGTATATGCGACATCCTAACGCTACGTACATAGGTAACTCTGGTTGAATGCAAGGTTTTGAGTCTCTACTACGACTTTCTTCAACTGCTCTTGCATAGCTTCTATATTAGAAAAACTTGAACTGTGATATAGAGAACGAAAAAATAGCCAGCAACCGCCAGCTTATAAATGCGATTCATAAATTAACACAGCACCGAGAGCCGTCGACCTTGAGCACCTCCAACCACCTGGCGCGCTCAGTATCTATGCCGATCCCCACTCCTCCTCGAACCCCTATCTCTGCTCCCCTCCTCATCATAAACCCAGTCCTCCACATCCCGCCAACTCCTCGCATCCGGATCAACCTCCCTCTTCCTCCCCCCTTCGGGCAAATCCCAATCCCAGCCCTTCTTCCGACCAGACGCGCTCCTGGGTCTCGTGATCACCTCCCTCTTCTCAATAATCTCTGCCTTCCCCCCACTCCCACCGCTTATATATCCTAGGCTCTCCCGACTCTGTGGTCTGAACTCCCTTTCCCACTTCTCCTGCTTAACTCTATCCTTCTCCCTGTTCAGCTCGAGCCGCTTCTCGACCGCATTCGCGCCGAGCGCTCCCACTGCAGCACCCACCACCGTGGAGATAAGCTGGGTGCGCTTTTGCGCTTCAGTTTGATGACCATTCCCTCCGTGACGACTCGTCGCCTCGCTCGCCTCGTGCGCAGCGAGACCGCCCACCAAAGCGCCCAGAACGCCGACGCCGAGCCCCGTCGTAGAATCAGTAAAAGTGTCCTTCACAGCATGACGGGCTCGGGAAATGGGACTGTGATCCCGCTCCTCGGAGTCATCGCGCTTGCCCCGGCCGTTATGGGATCTGGATCCGCGGCCGCGATACTCGACTGGTGGTCCGAGGGAGCGTGGGCGCGAGTGCGAGTCGGAGTGGACGTGTAGGTTGGATTGACTGGTGGTATATAAGGGACTTTGCGGTTCGTAGGTTAGTCGGGCTTGCGAATGCGACGTCGAGGGCGGGTAGTACTGTCTGTGCCCGGGGCTGGGGATGCGGACGTTGGAGGAGCTGCTGTAGAATGCGTCGGGTGGCGGGTAGGGCACTTGCGGAGGCGCGGTGCCGCCAGCGTATTGGTAATCGGGCGACCGATCTCTGTCGTTTCGCGACCGGCCGCGCGAGTAGCTGTCGTTGTAACGGGACATGTCGATCTGGTACGTTGCACGACCGTGTTGTAGATTTGGAGTTTTGAACTTCCAGACGTCGGTGTGTGCGACGGCTCGGTGTGCGACAGCAGAAATCCGTCGGTTGTCTGGTGTTCTAGGTTCTTGTCACAAGGTTGTCCTACTAATCGGAAGAGTGCCGACGCAGAGCGTGTGATACGAGATCTTCGAATTTCAAGAAGAGTGGGTAGGTTCCTGGAGATATCCCTTACATATGTCTCACGCAAATGCCCCAAAATCCAGACTCGTTGCCCGGCTCTTCTGTGGTCTGCTGAGTATCGGTCGAGGCTTGTGGAAATGTTCTCAGCCCCCTCAGCGGTCAAGTTTTCACTCCAAGCTCCAGTTTATCGAGTCTAAAACCACTGGCTTGGGCGCATCTTGAACTGCCGTCGGGAAACACAAGGCTAGGGGCGTAACAGCGGCAATGAGAGTGGAAAATTGACGACCGACAACTGCAAGCCGCAAAGGGACCTCCGGAAATGCCTCAAGGGCAGCTGACCATGACTTAAAGCCATTATTTGCCTTGCTCTGTGGAGATGGTGTGTGTCTCGTCTTGTAGCCCGATGGAACCGATAATTGGAGAGAGTGCTGCATGCTGCGCGCTGCTGTCGCTCTTGGCGGGGTATTCGCATGATGTCATGCGGGGTGTCGGCATCGCACCCAAATGGGTCTGCTGCAGATTCTGCGAGTAGACGTGGTCATGGCGACCTCGACCGTTTGCCATCAGAAGGTATCCCCGTCGACTGCACTGGATTGGGCAAGGTTACGAGTATCACTCGATGAAGTGCGTCGTGGGTGAATACGATTCCATGGTTCTGCCCGCATACACTATACGAAGTAACATCAACGGCTATGGCGCAGCAATGTCCAGGCTCTATAAATGTGGGGACTCAAATGATAGCTCGCGTAACCCTCTTCGATCACCACCCCCCATTATCCTACCGCGAAGCTATGAAAATGAACTCGAATTGGTCCGAATTTGTCGTAGAGCTGATAGTGGCCATTACCGAGGCGCTATGCTTAGTCCCCTTCAACGCGCTGCCCTAATTACTACTTTGAGGCTAGGACAAAGATAACGTACCGTCGTGTCGAATTTAACGTCATCGATCGGTTATTACTAAAGTACTTCAACGCTAGTTGCATTACTGCAGCTTTGATTCGTTAGCCTGCGGCGGTCGTCCTTCTAAACTAATACGTCGTAGTAAGTATTTCCTTTTCAGAGAATATGAAAAATAGAAATAAGAATATAACGAGTTAATAAATAGTCTACGTCACGGGGCTAGCCCACTTTGGGCTAATGTGGCGCTCGGGCCACATTCAATCCAGCGGCTCTAACTGCGGGTGCCTGTGAAGGTCAACCCTCGCAGACTCACTACAACCAGGTGACTTACAGCTGGAACACCTGCCATGGCAGTGCCAGATGGGAAGCCAATCATAACCCCTGCAGGAGCCCCGCCAAGCGTGGACGACTTAGTCGCGCTCCCTCAAACCTAAGTTGGTGATCTTCTTTCCTTCGCTCCTTAGAGTAGAATCTTCGTCGATAGCACCTAATCGAGGTCTCTACCAATGCGATGCAACCCAGGTCGTGACAGATACTATTTTACGGGGATGCTACACGTCTCAAGGATAACAGTTATCTTAAGTATATATATGTAACGAAACCTCTAATAGTCTAGCTGCGTAAACCACTAAAGAGTCTGTAAGGGTTTGTGCTAGTAAGTAAGTCCTGCTGCGGAGTCCTCAAGCAATAATATCGGGGTCTGACGTATGGAGTATAGTGCTTTGGGTAACTGAAGTATTCAAGTAGAGTAGTCGGGAATAGAGTCGTCAAGGCAGTTTGCCTCACCAATGGGTTAGATTGATGCTTAGATTGATGACTGAAGTAGAGACTGTCTATCTATGAAATGCCTGGGAGTCCTGTTCCTTATATACCCATCTCTCCTTCACTGATCCCCATTTGGATATGTTGGTTGTCCAACATATCCAACATATCCACCCCTGTAGGTCACGTGACCTGTCGGTCCTTTCCTTCCTCCGATGCGGGGTCCCGTGATCCTAGCGTCTGTATCCACCTGGCCTGCCGACGGGCCTGTAATGTTGGTTCAGGGCCAACGGTCCGTAACAATATAGGTCTGTTAAAAGGGGTGCCTGAGTTAGACTAAAAAAAGTAGTCTTGATGTTCAAGGCTTCAAGACTATACTGTCAAAGACGTGGATAACAGTACCGGGCGACCTGATTAAGCGGCTAATCACTATATTAGAGCGCCGGCTTCCCGCGGTCAAAGGGCCCGCGGCTAGTATACAAGATACTAATCTCTTCACGCTAGGCTTCATTGGAACTCTATTTTGTGTGCACATCGCTTATATTCATGGAGAAATGGCCAAGTGGCAGTTGTAGTGCCCTGAAGTAGTGTGATGTTTTAGCGGGGCAGTCCCTAGACTTTTGGAATATAACTTCGCTGCAGGGACCATGCTGCCATACCCCCCACCCCCGGACCTGTAAAAGACGGGAAGAAAAAGCGACCACTGTAACGAAGACCTATACCAATTACGACCAGTTCACCCCTGGCGCTTTTCGTTTTCGGTCACGACAACGCTCAACTCTATTCCGCTATGGTTGCATACTGACTTCATTCTCCATTGAAGCCGAGACGGCAACGAGCACACCTAGAAAGAAGAGTGATGGGGGTTCAGAGTTCACCGCGAAAAGGACGTCGTGATGCGTCTAGATGAATCCTTTCATATTGATCTGCCTGAAATACTATGTACATAAGTCCTACAAACGTCTGAGTGTGTGTCCTTGGACTGTCCGAACTCGATTCCGCGAATGCGAGAAGCTGGGAGTGCTTCAATGCCGTATATCATTGACCAAGCTGCAACAGGGAGCTAACAAAAAGAAGAAATTGACGCCACATCAACGCCAATTCACGGCTCAAGCAGTTCTGATGAGGCATGCTTGGATTATTCCATTTTGGCACAACCAGCATACATTAGGAAATGCCGGGAGCCAGCTTGCTCTCAAAACTAAATATGCTTTGGCTGAAACGAAACCAACAACAATGCCAAATGGCTCCGTACGGGAAAATAGTGTGAAAGGAAATGCAATGTGAGAGGTTACCCATACCGGACTATGACCGCTTAGCCACAGCACCCAGGTATATATCTGGACATAGAGTATAGCAAGCATGCCGATGTCTACGAGGAAAGATTGCCGACAAGCCAGGCTCAAAAGCAATCTGGAAATGCCCGCAAGAGAAGATGAGGACACGATCTAATTCTTGTACGCCCACTTCTCTTGAGGAGCAACATACTCATGTGGAACGGCCTTCATGCCATAGCTCGGGTCGTCCTTTGCGACCTCGCTCTTGCTATGGTTGGTACTCTTAGCGTATGAGGTAGTCCGCGACGACTTCTGCTCCCGAATGGCCTTCTCGCGTTCAATGATAACCTTGAAGAACTGCGACACTTCCGCGAGCGAGATGTGCAGCGCATCAGGGCTGTCGATGAGCTGGAGGAGTGCCTGGGCGTCGAGGATCTGCTTCGCGATGACGGGGTCGGGCTGGCAGAGGGTGCGCACGCGCATGGCACGGGCGTTCATCTTCATGGCGTGGAGCAGGCCCGCGACGACGACATCGTTGATCTGGTAGCTGGTTGTGAATCGGAACATGTCGGCGTGGAGCGCGATGAGGTCAATTTGGGTCTCGAGGTCATAGCGGAAGCCGATGACCTTGGGACGGCCATGCTGCGCCCAGTTATCGGCGATTTTCTTGAGCTTGTTGGGGTCGAGACGGCCGCCGTTCAGTTGAGCCTTGATGTAGGAATCGATGGCATTGCTCAAGATGAACTCGAGCTCGCAGTAAAGCAAGCTTTGCTCACGGGGGTCCAAAGAGATGTTGACGCGTTCAACGGCGGCTCGACTTCTTGATCTGGCGGGCTTGAAATCTGCCTTCTCAGCCTAGGATTGTCGGTCAGTTCGAACGCGGGTGGATGTACGATGGTCGCAATTACTTACAAGCTCACGGGCATACTTCTTGATGCCGTCGATGAATCGTGTAGGCTTCTGGTGCTCTGTCTTGCTCCCTCCGATAGCAGTGTCATGAAGCCAGCCATGGTCACCAAACAGTGTCTTGGATGCTTTTCTGGTGTGTCTGTCATCACCCATGATCCAGGGGGTCAGCGGGGTGAAAGGCGTCACCTGCGGTTCGGCCACGATGTCGTTCATGGTGGCAGACTTAGGAATCCCTTGGAAGCTTTGGGAACGCTGCGTGTCTGGTGGCGGGACATAGACCGAATCGGGCAATTGAACTTGCTTGTCGCGACGGTCAATGACGCTCGTGGAACGAGCAGGACCACCCGAAGTGGCAGTCACAGGTGTATTGTTTTCCTTCCAATGTTTGTATGCCTTCAGAACATTGACGCGCTTGCCTGGGTTCGACCGCTTGATGATATGAAGAGGGCTGATGGAAGGGGTTCCGTCACGAGGATTGCGGGGAGTCTCATCCGTGTACACCGAAGATGATCCGTCTTCATTGACACTCCTGAGCTCTGCCTCTGCTGGAGTCATGGGAACATGAACAGCTTGGACCTGCTTGCGTTGGGTCACCATTTCCCCATATCTGCGAGCATCACTGAGATCCAGGGGTGTAGGGCGTCGCTTTTCTCGTGACTCGCGAGAAGGTGGGAGAGCAGGCTTTGATGGTGCTTTTTGAGGCGATCTGGATCGCGCCTTCTTGGGAGATGGGGATCGACCACCATGTCTGATCAGGTCGGAGAAAGTGGTGATGTGGCTCTCCTGTCGCGCGTGGCCTCGACCGTGGTTCTCTTGTCGTTTCTGGTCTTCCTTGCCCTGAGAAGCAGTGGATGGATCCTCACTAGCTCCAAACTGGACATTGAAATCAAACTTGTGTTGGGGTCGTCCACGCCCCTGGATGGAATTATTCTCATTTTCTCGCTGAGGCCGCAATTGCGACGACGTGCTGTCGTTTTTCGCGTGCGTAAGGCCGCGTGAGTTATTGATTGCGTTCCTCTGATGCGGATTGGGCTGTAGAGGCTCAAATCCTGGTGCATATTTTGCTTGGTCTGGTTCCTTTTCAGGACTTCCCTTCTCCTGTGTAGAGAACCTAGAGCTGTCAGCAACCTAGCGCAAGACGAGATTATACGAAAACTGACATGTTGGTAACTTGGGAAATCTGCACGTCGGTCAGTCTGGGATGGATGTTTACGTCCTTTCTCTTAAGCTTGTGTTCAGGCGGAGGCGAGAGGATGCGAGTTGGCCTGGTGACATGAACGAAAGCTCCTTTGAGTGGGTTTGATGTTGAGGATGATTTTCCAAAAGGCGTAGATGTGTTTCTCAAGTGATGCGATGCAATAGTGTTGGCAGACTTTTGCGGACTAGATTTCATCTCTTGAATTGTTTCTAGGTGATTGAATGTGGTAGCAGACTGAGGAGTTGGCAAATTGAGCTGGCCAGACCTGGGAGATTGCCAGTCTGTGAAAGGACTGACAAGCTCAGGATCCTCGTATCTTTCTGGTTCAGTGCCTTTAAGCCAGCCCACGATTTTTCCGATGGGTATTGTTTCTGTGCAAAACGCGTTAAAATGTGAACGCGTCACAACAGTCGTTAGGAAGGCAGGAGCATTACTCACCCGAACATTCGGGGATACCAATACATTCATTTCCTAGGTTACCATGGGCATTGTGAGTACATTAAAGAAATTCTTCGTGTCATGAAGTTCAGCTACGTACGGTTTTTAGGACTCAATGTATCTTGTCTTTGATGAGGAGGTCCATGCCAGCCAACAGTATTACCACTGCTAGCGAAGCATATTAGATCATCTAGGAAAGGTCAGTCAGGCACTTCCCAGAATATTGTGAAAATATTGATGATTGGCAACTGACCTGGAGATAACGCGTCTTCTGGAAATTTGGGTGCTTTGTAACCACCACTCCAGCTGTTCCGCCGCCCTTCAATATTCTCCTCGTAATGTCTTATAAATTTCTCCACTGCTGAGCCGTGGGTGATGGACGCTTCTTGGATCTCAATACTCGACATATTGTATTCCTGTGGGGGCGTACCAGCCTTGCAATCAGTTATCGTCGACTCGGCTTCTACTGGCTCTGGGGTTGATACAGTTTCGTCTCGAGCAGCTCCGCTTGTCCTAGTAAGAGAATATCGAGGTTTTATTGTATATCTATCGCAACCTAAATATACCTGTTAGGGTACATGGGCAAAATCTCGGAGAGTTGAGCCAAAGTTGTTCACAGCACACCTGATCCCGCCATTCTCGGCTTAACATTTCCCCCTTCATATTCCCATTGCAGATCTGCATTCGAATCACCGGAGCGTAACCGCTCAGTCGTAACCCCTTGAGACACCCCACAAAGACGTGGGCCAGGATTTCTTACTTCGCAAATAACGGGTCGTTGGGATATCAGAGAGACTCGCCTTGCGTCCTTCATGCATTCATAGCAACCAACATTGTCACTCTCCGTTTCCACATCATAGTCGGAGCCAGAGGTCTCATTGGATTCGTGCGATCTTGTATGGGCAGGACACATTCGATGTGGCCGATTTAGATCAGATATAGAAGGCAGGCGCCGTAATGTTGGTGGGGACAGTTGTACAATTGTGGTTTTTCGGTTTGCGGACGGCGTGGATCTTGCAGCATCGCCTTTTGGGATAACGAACTCTACATTCTCGAAAAGCAGCGAGCCTTGCTGGCGCAGTCCGGATCTTCGTACTGCATTAGTCGAGGCCCCTATGAGGCATAGGACGTATGACGAAAACATTACCTATCTGGAGCGACATCACTCGCTCGACATGACGCGATGTTCGGCTGGCTCTTTCGGGAAAGGGGTGAGGAAACCGGCGAGGACATGCCAGAATGTTTGTCAAGCATTATATTATCGCCGCTAGGATTTGTTGCCACCACTTCATCGATTGTTGCCCTGGGCTCCCTTATCAACAAATCCATGTCCCAATCGAGTCCAAAACGAAAGCTTCTTCTCTTCGAATCCACACTCGAATATACTTTCGATCTGGAGTCGCAATGGGATTCTTCGCTCCTGGTTCTGTTTTCGTTTCGCGGGGTTTCAGGCTCATGTCTAGCATGATTAGTTGCGGGTTCATCAGCGTGACCGCGAGATGCCCACTGGTAGTCAAGTCCTCCGTCATAACCAAGTTGAGGCGTGAATGGGCCACGGAAGTGCCACGTCGACTCCTTCTCCAGAAAACCAGAATTTGCAGCTTCAACAAGCATATCAGTTGCTTTCAAGTCGGCAGTTGGCATCTGACTTATGGGAAGGTATGGCGGCAATGACTCCCCTTCCTCCACGAGTAGATACTTCCTCGCGAAGATTGCGTTGGGAACTTGACCATCTGGAAGTGGGACTGGAATCTCTCCTGACCCTGTTCGCAAGTCTTTCAGCCCAGAACCAGAGTCAACCAAGAGTGCACTTGGTATCCAACTACGTCGTCTCTGCTTGGGACAAGGTTCCTCTTTTTTCTGTTTACCGAGTTTTTCCACAAGCTTGCCGAGTAAGCTGTATCTTGACAATGACCCGCGGGGCTTGCCATCTGGATTTGAGGTGCCCTTTGAATCTGAAGTGTCCTGTATTGTTGATTCACTGTGACGAGTTGAAGATGACACGGAAATTTCTCTCTCGTCAACCAGTCTGCCCATGTTGCTGCATTGCGTTCTCCACTGCATCTCATGGAATTCCTTCGGGTTGGGGGTGTTCAGTGGCAACGTGCCCCCATTCCTAGAGGATACATAGAAGGTGTTGTCTATCAACCATGCCTTTCGGTTACGTATGCAACTACGATCAGCTGACAGTCTATCCCCAGATACTGATGAGTCTGAAAGCACAAATGTGTATCGTTCTGGATGCTCGGCTCGCCAAAGTGTGAGCCTGCTGGTAGGAATGATAGATGAAGTGATCGTTGTCATATGTGGAACGTGTGGAAGTTCAAAATCGTTCTGGGCCAAAGTCAGCATCAATGACTGGTTTGCCTGTATGCATATGCATACATATCTACTCATGTGGTCATGCCTCCAACGCTGAAAAGCGGCTCCAGGATCATCAGTATGTTCACAGTCAATCTCGATCATCTCATACAGCACGCCGCCTGCGAGGTCTAAATTCTCATCACCAAGATGTTCACGTAGGATGAGGAATATCTACGCCAAGTTAGTCATAAGGCGTCTATACAACGGTGATGAGCACTCACCTGCTGGACTCCATCTTTATACTGATAGTTTCTCGGGATGTGTGCGCAGTATCGGACAAGCACGTTGCGACATTCTGGGCCAAGTTGAGTTATTACTGTTCTTTGCACCGTTTCTTATAGACTCTTGGTGCCGACTCACTCTCTTCATCATAGCCACTTCGTGAAAGATGGAGATGACTGGGTTGTTTTGGATCGCCCTCGAAAGTATGGACGTCGCTGACGGAATCATTGTTAACTTGGCTAATGGAGTGTCGTAAGGGGGACGACACAGCCCGAGCACGCCTCGTGCGAAAGACTTCTGGAATCATGGTGTTCTCCTGGAACGTTTCAGATCGACAGGCCTCGAGGCTAAAGCACAGCGCGGCCCGTCGGCCTTTGGGCTGATATCGAACCTAACACCACAAGCAAAGGTTAACTACTCTCGGCCTTGTTGTCTAGGAAAATTCGTGTCAATCTGTCAAGCATTGAGGTCAAGACCTTATTTTCCCATCTGTCCGGCGGGGTTTATGTTCCTCGTGCCTTCCCTTGCGACTTATAGATACCAACGCACCTTCCGGTGAAGGACTGCGCTTTCCATTTTGTTCAACCTATCTCAAGCTCCTCAGGTTCATGTTATTTTTACTTAATGGACAGAACTCTTGTGCGGATGCAGAAGCACTCGGCATCAAGACTGAGCAGGAACCTGCTGACTTTAAGCAATCATCTAAACGATTGGCACGCGAATTTGTCAGAGACGTCCAATTTTCAATATATCATGGGGAGGTGTTGACACACTTTGCCCTGGCCAACAAATAAAGGTCGTGCGAGCTTCGTTTTCTTAATTTAAGGGTGCCGATGACATGAGCATGTGTCAGCTAGCCTTTTTGTGCCATGATTTCTAAGGCCAGATTCGCCCCTTTTCTAACTGATATAGCAAGTGCTTCTAAGAGCTTTCTCAATTATTCCCGAGAAACTTTGAACCACTCAATCCTGTATTGCGACAACAACCACTGCCTGGCATGGTCGTTCCGTCCCTGCAAAGGCAACCATTGTATTATATTCCTATACTGCTAAATCTGAAGTGAACTGGTGGGGAAGGGGGGGTAGGGGGGATTTCCTTTGCACGTCAAGATTGCAACATCACTTACTATTGTTTTCTGTCATCACCTGGGCGCCTTCAGACATTCTATTCTTCCGTAATTGGAACTTGCAAGTTCTTGATGTTCCCTAAATGTGCCTTGATCTGAGGCCTATGAACCTCCCAAGAGTACGTCTTAAGGAACGGGATGGCCAAAAAGAAATGCACTTAATTAATAGATTCCTTCTAACAACGATTGATGGCGTGAATAGTGAGAAAACTTGGCGACGTTGAAATGGTCGTAGGACCAAGTCGGAGACAACGATGGACCGACACGCCAAGGATCAAGGTCCTCAGCATGTGGGCTATATCTGCTAGCATGCTAGGGCTACGGTAGGCCGACACAACAAAACCGACGACACCCTAAGAATCCCAGAAAAAAACCTATTACCCGCTTACTTATATGGCGTATAGGGGCGGCTGTACGCATAAAGCACTAGCCGTGCTCAACTCCCGTTTGCAACACTGAACACTGAACACCCGACGACACTTTATCATTGAATTATGCAGCAAAACGCACTCTTTTGGGGGGGTGGGGAGGTTTAAGCCATAAATATCGTTTGCCGAACACTCTTTTTCAGCGACGGCTTGCTTATAAGAGCAGTCTTAATTTCTAACTGCTCATCGGATAGCGCAGGCCGCATGCGCTTCTCGACGCCTTAGCTGGGTCTAGTATTACCTGATCTCGTTGCCGTTCTACTTCAAGGGCTCGTGATGCGAGTGCATATGGGGTGTGAATTGTTGTATTTGGAACGGATGGCCAGGTCAGCTATTCTGACCTGGCAGATGTCACGACCTGGGTTGCATCGCATTGGTAGAGACCTCGATTAGGTGCTATCGACGAAGATTCTACTCTAAGGAGCGAAGGAAAGAAGATGACAACTTAGGTTTGAGGGAGCGCGACTAAGTCATCCACGCTTGGCGGGGCTCCTACAAGGGTTATGATTGGCTTCCCATCTGACACTGCCACGGCAGGTGTTCCAGCTGTAAGTCACCTGGTTGTAGTGAGTCTGCGAGGGTTGACCTTCACAGGATTCTTCGGACAAAGGACTCCTGGGTTATGATTACCGTTTACGTGAAGCTTCGGGTCCAAGCGGTAGTCTAGCTGTCTATATAAGGACCATCTTGGAGTAGGATAGGGGAGGTGTATGTCACGACCTGGGTTGCATCGCAATTGGTAAAGACCTCGATTAGGTGCTATCGACGAAGATTCTACTCTCAGGAGCGAAGGAAAGAAGATCACAAACTTAGGTTTGAGGGAGCGCGACTAAGTCGTCCACGCTTGGCGGGGCTCCTGCAGGGGTTATGATTGGCTTCCCATCTGGCACTGCCATGGCAGGTGTTCCAGCTGTAAGTCACCTGGTTGTAGTGAGTCTGCGAGGGTTGACCTTCACAGAGCAGAGGTCAACGGACCGTCGTGGGCACCCCTACCTGAGACCGCCAGTGACCACCCGGTGCTACGCAGTAGGGACGCCCATTTACTCCCCATCACTCTGTACTGTTGCCTTCGGCCTAGCCGTACCCTGACATAATTAGAGGGAAGAGGGTGGAACGCCCTATCGCAGGGAAGCCTAGCGCTAGGATATCCCTTAATTAACATTGTTAAGTGCGCTTAAATCGAATTTTCTAAATATAGAGGTATCATATAATAATAGCTAATACCGACGATAATCTGTTGTACCGAAGTGTTACGAACCGTTGGTTCCTAACTCACTAAACCAACCAGGCCCGATGGCAGCCGCAGGAACCGGACACGGGAAGGAAAAACTATTACCAGAAAGACAGGAACGGTCACGTGACTGTAACGAAACCTCTAATAGTCTAGCTGCGTAAACCACTAAAGAGTCTGCAAGGGTTTGTGCTAGTAAGTAAGTCCTACTGCGGAGTCCTCAAGCAATAATATCGGGGTGTTACACGCAAAGGTGGTCAAAGATTTGTGAGGTTGTAAAAGCATGACATTCTATCTAGTCCTATGGAGCACGAAGGTTGGACTTAGTCCCGAAGGGCTAAGTCACGTGATAACCTTGGTGGTTTTGGCAAAGCCCACCAAGGTTGCCTAACACGGGGTCTGACGTACGGAGTATAATGCTTTGGGTAACTGAAGTATTCAAGTAGGGTAGTCGGGAATAGAGTCGTCAAGGCAGTTTGCCTCACCAATGGGTTAGATTTATGCTTAGATTGATGACTGAAGTAGAGACTGTCTATCTATGAAATGCCTGGGAGTCCTGTCCCTTATATACCCATCTCTCCTTCACTGATCCCCCCTGTAGGTCACGTGACCTATCGGTCCTTTCCTTCCTCCGATGCGGGGTCCCGTGATCCTAGCGTCTGTATCCACCTGGCCTGCCGACGGGCCTGTAATGTTGGTTCAGAGCCAACGGTTCGTAACAGTGACCTGGATACCACCAGATCAGTGAGCCAGGCGTGAGCCGCGAGTGAGCCATAAGTTGGGCTCACCAAAGGATCACCAATGAATCACCTTCTGAGCTGTGAGCCGGAAGTGATCCAAGGAATCAGTGAAGGAGAGGTTGGCTATAAAAGGGATAGGACTCCCAGGCATTTCATAGATAGACAGTCTCTACTTCAGTCATCAATCTAAGCATCAATCTAACCCATTGGTGAGGCAAACTGCCTTGACGACTCTATTCCCGACTACCCTACTTGAATACTTCAGTTACCCAAAGCACTATACTCCATACGTCAGACCCCGATATTATTGCTTGAGGACTCCGTAGCAGGACTTACTTACTAGCACAAACCCTTACAGACTCTTTAGTGGTTTACGCAGCTAGACTATTAGAGGTTTCGTTACACGAAGGTTATTATAGTTAGCAGAATAGGTGGCTAGGAAGGTGGGTAACCAGAAAGGTGGGGTTATATGTTATATATCTCAGCGATTGTAGTACGAGTACGCTGGTCCCGAATAGAGTTTTGGGGGTGGGGACGGGGGCTCTTGTTAGGGAATGTCAGTTCGCCAAGGCCTTTGCTGACCATCATGGATCTCCCGATTTCCTCAGCCGTGAAGACCCCGCGCTTTCAGCCCCACACCTTCATTACACATGTACCGTCGTGATATCCCGAACGCGGATTCTGGGCCGTGCCAACAATTTTCTACAAACCTTGTTAGCTATATTGACGAATGGGGCAGCTCAAGCAAATGAGCATGACCGCCTCTTCAAGTTTGCCTGCAAGCATGCCCGGACAGGCTCACAGCAGCTACCAAGGTGTCAACATGGATCCAATGAGGCCCATCCTCCCCGTCTCCGTGATACGCTAATAGAGACCATGTTTCTCGTGCAGCGTGCTAGACTTCCCGATTCCTTTGCCGTGCAAGCGGTTTCATTGATCTTCTCAAAAGATAAGTCTGACATACCTGCCAAGTTCTAACTCTCGCCCACAAGTGTAAACCCGATCCGGGCCCGATGACCGAGTATAAAGAGTCTATCAATTCACCTTCTTTGCGTTCAGCTTTAACAAGTCGTTGCATTCACTTGATTCATATTGAGATACCCATTTGTGCTTGGATTTGTTGTGTTTGCCTTCAAGAATCAGCTTGTTTTCCTTCTAATCGAAACTTCTGCCATTCATCATTCTCTATCTCTGCCACTATAATCCTCTCCGGTAGCATCTCAGCCCAATCAAGTCAACATGGAGCAGCAACCGTCCATAGGGTCTTCATCACCATACTATGACATTGGTAAGGACGAAGGAGCTCAAAACAAGAACACAAGGTTGACCTGGCCGCAGTCATCGTCGGAGCTGGTCCTGTTGGTCTCATGTTGTCCACCTGCTTATCAAGATGGGGCTACAAGATCAAGCACATTGACAATAGAGCCGAACCGACGCCAACCGGACGAGCAGATGGCATCCAGCCCAGATCTTTGGACTTGCTTCGCAACATGGGCCTGAAATCGGCAATCATGGCCCACAAGCCCGCCAGAGTCTACGAGGTAGCTTTCTGGGATCCCCCACAGACAGGCCACGGTATCGTCAGAACCGGCACATGGGCCAGCTGTCCAAGCTTCATCGATGCCAGATATCCCTTCACTACACTTCTCCATCAAGGTCTTATCGAGCGTGTCTTCATCGCAGATCTCGAGAAGAACGGGGTCCAGATTAAACGGCCATGGACAATCACCGACTTCAAGTCAGATAATAGCGAAAATTTGGAGTATCCGGTTGAGGTTCAACTGAAGCATGTCGACGGCACTGCTTCAGAGACTGTTCGTGCCAAGTACTTATTCAGTGGTGAGGGTGCTCGGTCATTTGTGAGACAACAACTCGGTATTGGTGTCTCGCACAAAGATCCAATTGCCCATGTCTGGGGTGTTATGGACGGTGTTGTCAAGACTGACTTTCCTGATATCAAGGTATGCATTCTCGTCGCCCTTTCGGGAGCTACCAACTAATGCTGTACAAAGATGAAATGTACGATACATTCTGAACACGGTTCCATCATGGTGATTCCTCGAGAAGATAATATGGTTCGACTATACATACAAATTGCTTCTTCTACAGACCCAGACTGGGACCCGTGCAAGACAGCAACTGAAGGTGAGGTTCAGGCCTCTGCAAAGCGAATACTTGAGCCTTACTCCATTGAGTGGGAACGCGTGGAGTGGTACTCCGTCTATCCAATTGGTCAGGGTATATCCGACAAATACACACTGGACCATCGGGTATTTCTTGGCGGTGACGCATGCCATACTCATAGCGTATGTACAATTGAATACCATGATCATATACATTTCTAACTACTGCGCAGCCCAAAGCTGGTCAGGGAATGAATACAGCGTTCTTGGACGCGCAAAACCTTGCTTGGAAGATACATGCTGTCGAAGGTGGTCTTGCAGACCGGGCATTACTAACCACCTATGAGCCGGAACGAAAGGAGGTAGCAGAGAACCTTCTGGACTTTGATAACAAGTACGCTAAGCTTTTCTCACAACGACCTCCAGCAGCCGCAGAGGTTCAGGCAGCATCGGAGCAGTCTCCCACACACGCAGAAGATAACGAATTCATCAAGACTTTCAAAGAGTCCTGTGAATTCACAAGCGGGTATGGGGTCGCGTACGGCCCCAACGTACTGAACTGGTCGCCCAGCCACCCTGCGCAGTCGGCCCTGCTTAATCCCAAGGGCACGAAGCTGCGGACAGGTCGGCTCATGATGAATGCCGACGTCACTCGAGTTGTAGACGCAAATGTGGTGTACCTTGAACAGCAAATACCCCTGAACGGCTCGTTCCGCATCTACGTCTTCGCTGGCAAGCCGTCGGTCACTCAACAGGCACTCAAGGACTTTGCTTTCAACCTTGGCGACAAGCGTTCCTTCTTCGGCGCGTACTATTGCGACAACATTGCGTCTGTCTCCTACCACGATAACCTCGACCTCAACCCCCACAGCCTATTCTTCACCATCTGTACCGTTTTTGCAGCGCGGCGGAGCAGCATCGAAATCTCTCGCGACTTGCCGGATCTCCTGGCTAGGTACCGGGACCTGGTGTACGCCGATGATCGATGGGATCGCCACATTCCGGATGCGAAGGCTGCGGCGCATGCGAAGATGGGACTTGATGAAGAAAACGGAGGCGTTGTGGTCGTTCGCCCGGATGGGTATGTTGGCTGTGTAGCAAGCTTGGTAGAAGGTAGCGGGACAGTTGATGCGCTGAATGATTACTTCTCCGCGTTCTGCACGAAGAAGCTGGGCATAACGTGAACGATAGGCACATTATATTGTACCGTTTAGACCGGCGTGAGGACTCGCATGTCTTTCTTTGCTACAAGGTAGACACGACTTGCATAGCGATTGTAATAGCATTTATGTTCAGCAAATCTCACGGTCAATTCAGTGATGTATCCTGTTAGGACCTGTTATCTTCTCTCAACAGCTTTCTGTATTTATGCACCTTGACATTGATGTTGCCTAGTCGACATAAACCCGACAAGTTGGCCAGCCAGGAGAGAGTCGTGTGGCAACATCGTTCGGAGGAGAACTAAGCAACCGTGGCCTTCCAATGATCCATATACCTGCGAGACAAAGTCCTGCAGCTCCAGAAGAGAGGGGCCCTTTGCTTTCATTCAATGCAGAGATTGTGCTTACTGGTAAATACTGTAGTAGAGGTTCCAATGATAATTGGTGTTATGGCAAAGAACTGGATGACTTGAGAAAGACCCCAATGCTCTGTGGAGTAGTCTCACTGTGCACAGCGAAAGCTTACATCAGAATCGTTGCACTGGCTTTAATCCAGCAGCGTTCGGGCTGCTTCCTACATTTTTATCAAGATAAATGTGCAGTCTTCATCATATATCCAACAATATGAAAAGACTTGGAATTGTCGAAGCGAGAAGAGAGAGTATTTCAAAGTAGATAGAGCACATAGTCAACTTGTACCCACCCCAATAATGGCTCACATTGGCAAGATCACAAGAGCCTCAAGATATCAAAGTGCCACAGATTATTCCTGACTCTAGTGTGGTCGGATACCGATCATGGTCAACATACATAGGCGTACATGATGATAAAGGGCTCCTGGAGACATTATTTCCTAGCAGTGATATGCTCGTGCCGTGTTAGCCTGGTGAACGGATTACGAGGGCGGTATATCATTTGCAGGTCTCATCCCGACGTGCTTGTCAATTGGGAGGCAGCGTACTTAAAGTACCTAAGCAGTTGCATCAAGTAGAATCACACAGGAAAGCTGCCAACCATATGGTCAAACCCACCCAAAGCGCCAGTGAACTGAACAGATTGAGCAGTCTCTGGCTTCACTGCTTTTACGACGCCTACAAGTATCGGAAGACACAGTTACTGAATCCATTATCCGCCACTGTTGGAAGTATCTTCGCCATCTGTTTCATCATACTGCCTAGATCAGCCTTCGCCTATCAGCAGTCTTTGTGACATGCTGAAAGGTATTATGCCGGCAAGCCGACCGCTTACTCCCACTGTACCTTACTTTTCAGTCGTGAAGAAAACAAACAGGTCAGAAGGAGAAACTGGGATTGCAAAGGATTGAAGCGGGATTTTTAGGGTCTCATCTAGACATCGATGAGCTTGGTTGCTCCATCTGTTCCGCGTCCCGAATCAGCTAAGTATATTCCGTTTTCATTCCAGGCTGGATGCAAGCGAGCGCCGCACCTAAAATATTCCAGGGACTAACAGCGGAAAACGTATTAAACGAACTTGGTTTTGATGGCATACTTGAGACTTACCAACACATTTTGTCAATCTACAGACAAATAAAGATATGTGATGGTATTTTAGGAAGTCAGTCTCAATACGATTGGACGCTCACATGCGGCTTTAGGCGTGGTAAAGGGGTCTAGAGGACGCCGCCGCAAGATCCGAGTTAAGTCTTGGCAGGTTTGACAGATGCACCCTCAACCGGCCACATCCGTTGGTAGGGCTGAGATGCGCCCCACAAATGCCGGAGCCGTTGAAGCTGCAACTTTCCTGGCAACCATCAAATGGATGTGGTTCTGTCTGTTTCAGATGTGAGAACATGGCATTCCAACGCAATTCACATTAGCCTTATAAACATCGGGCCTTGTCTGCAAATGGGACCTCCTGTTAATGCGTACTGCAGGTCACTTGTATTCACAAATTGCAGGCCGCATCAATTGGACGCAAGCAGCCAATGAATTTAGTCAAAGACATTTACAGCAGTTACGGGGCTGTTTTCGGCATTCAAAGCCCGAGCTTTGATTCAAGTGAGGTTGATATTTGACGGGCATAAAGCTTACCGCCTACCTATTAGGGAATAGCGTCCCCGCTACAGAGGGTGCTGCAGCACCAAAAAAAAGTCCCAGCTTTCAACAACTCCATCGTGCCTTCCTGCAACTCCCATTTCTAACCTTACCGTCGCTCCTTCCCTCCGAATAATCAACACGATACGCACCCAACGCGCAACGCGAACGTTAGGAAAACACGCATTCCGAAAACGTAGGATAGGATAGGTGTGTGGGTAACTCTGACGTATGTAATTTGATTGTTCCCCTCGTTTGCTCTGATTTTTGGTACTGCTCATTGGCCATTTTTGGCCATTACTCGCAGCACCTGATTCGATGCTGCCTTCAAATCCACCTCCACTTCACTTCCCCAGGTTCTGCTTTCCTAAATCCATCATAAAGTACGTGTACTGAATTTTGCATTCACATTCTTGCATTCAAACTTCTGTCCGCGACTGTGCTTGATTGATCATTCATCACCCACTGCTTTGATCATTGTCATTTCCTTCTTGATTCGACAACTGCAATCTGTGATCTGCAACCTCACCTTTACCTTCACCTGCACTTACCCATCCCATTGTTTTTCTCTTGCTCATCATCCATCGCGGCCTACGTGGCGCATCCACTGACACGATGTCAGCCACTTCCCTGGACGAGATTCTAGCGTATGCGCCTCTTTCAGCCCAATTCCAGGCTCTTCTCCACGCCAACCACCAGTTCCAACTGGATGATCCCATTCATTTCCATCATTGTGTTCTCTGCACCGAGATTCGCGAGGCTATCGTTGGGCAAGAAGCTCTTGATCTCCACGAGCGAGCACGCCAGTTAGCTGTAGATGTTGGCGCTCCTCAATTCGACTTCGGCTACGTCCCTGATGTGCGCACCTACACTGCTTTCAAGGCACCCTCGACTGGAGACTCAGTTACTATTTTGGAGCCGCACATGAGCGAGCCCGTGTCACCTACAAGAACCCCAAGTCCCGTATCGTGCAAGCGCACCTGGAGCATCCGTGAATGCCAAGAAGACGACGCTGAGAGATCGGCTTCTGGCCCTGAGCATCGCGCTCCTTCTTTCATAAACAACTCGGCTGGATCTACTCCCCGACGTATTGCCTCCACTCGACCTAGAAACCTGTCTCATGTCCATTTCCAGGACCAACCCTCCATCATATCTTCAGGAGGCCCCTTTGCGGACAGCCCTTTTAGCATCTCTTCGGCAAGCTTAATCCCAATTCGGCCTCGGGAAAACAGTGGCTTTCGCCCTCCAACTCCTTATAGAGGACTGCGACGCACCCTTTCCACGGATCCGGTAACCCCAACAACTCCAGTGCTTGGCTCCACAGCCTCTGTGCCAATTCGGCCTCTCTTCCCTCCTGACCCCCTACCTGAGTCTGAGGAGCGAATTTTGCCGCCGCCTGTACTGATCAACGTTGAACCCTGGCCTGAGCCAGAGCCTCTTGCGGAAGAGGCTGCCCAGCCCACGAACTTCGGTATGCGTCTTCTTCAAGGAGTCAAATCTGCTTGGACAAGTGTTTCCACCAGTGTCACAAGCAGAGTCTTTGGGCGACAACAGCCGGCCCAAGAGCCCAATTATGTACATGTCGACCCTACTGGTGCAGCAGTCTCTTCCGATCTTACCGAACCGCCCCCCAGACGCCGCAGAATCTCGGATGGCTCAGAGCAAAGCTTTGTCGATGACCCTATGGACATCGACGTACCTGATACCACTCTAGGCGAACCCATGGACATCAGCACACCTCCCCAAACTGATGTTCCTCACGCCACCAACACTGAACAGACTGAACAGACCGAGCAAAACGCCGGTTCTCCAGTCTCTCTGTCGCCTACTTCTGATGCGGTAGCCCAAGGAGCTACCACTAGCTATCCGCGACACCCTATACTGAACCAAACAACTTCCCGTGCTTTTGAGAGGATGCGAAGGCATCGAAATATCGGGTCATCTACAGTGGGCCCCACGCCGCATACTGCGGCAACTGGAAGAGCAGCCGATGTTGAGCCACCCCAGCAGAATGAAGAACATGCTCAGACTTTCCTAGTTCAACACGCTGAAGAGTATCGTTGCCTCCAGTCTCGTGTACAGTCTCTTGACCAGACGGACCAGCCTGATAACTCTCAGCAGCAGATTACCCACCCTAACCAAAATGGTCAGCAAGAGCTCGCATCGACACAGCAGGCCGAACAGCAGACTGAGACGGCATTGGAGCAGCCTGCAGTATATAGCAGACCAAGCAGTTCCTGCAGATCGAGCAGCGCAGGCAAATCAATCAGTTCACGGAAGATGACCAAGACGGAACAAATCCGGGCATCACTACGACAGAGGAGCGCGGCATCCGGAGAAGCGGTTGATGCACCGGATCCTTTCGTTTTGGACCGAAGACCTATGTGTGAGCTTCCACCACCAACTCGTCGATACAAGACCACGTTGGAATTCTTCGAGAATGACGATGAGCATTGCCTGCCTGGATTGGAAAGTCTCTCGCTTGACCCTAGCAAGGACAAGCTTGTAGAGCTAGATTCGCAACGAAATGAGCGTGCCCGAAAGGAAGAGGAGGCACGCAAAGAGGCGGAGCGCAAGGCCGAAGAAGAACGACTCGTCGCCGAGCGTAAAGTCGAACAGGAACGGTTGGCCGCTGAGCGCAAGGCTGAACGGGAGCGCCGAGCGGTCGAACGCCAAGCTGCCCAAGCAAGTCAGCCACGACGTGAGACACGTCGCATCACTCAACAGCGCTGGGCGGACGACCTGCCAAGTCTCGGTTTGCGCAAGCCCAAGACGAATTGGATGACCGGTGTCAATGCGGAGTGGGAGAATCGCATTGTTGCCGCCCAACGTGGCATCAAGCTGGAGGCTAAAGCTCACGTTGAGTCAGTGCAATTGAACGAGGAGGACTTCAGCAAATTGGTGAACGACAGGGCTTGGCTGAACGACAACTGCGTTGCTGCGCCCCTCCTCCTGGCAGCTTTTGCCATCAATAACGCCGCCGGTATCAAATTCAAGGTGGATCCCCCGAAGGTTGTTACATTGAACACATTCTTTTTCCAGCAGCTTCTGAAGAGTGTTGCGAACAAGGAAAGAATGCTGAAGCGTACATGGGGGTTGACGCCTCAGAACTTCTTGGACGTTGAGACAATCGTCGTCCCCATCTGCTCATCTAGTCACTGGAACTTTGTCTTAATCCGGCCATCTCGACGGGAAATTGCCTTTGTGGACTCGTTCCACAAGACCGGTGAGGTCTTCCTGGACAAAGTTACGGAGTTCATCAAGGCGTTCCTCGGCAGTGGGTACAAGGAGGAGGAGTGGAAGACCGTCCACTTCAGAGTCCCTTCTCAACATAACGGGTACGACTGTGGTATGTTCACGATCACCAATGCCGTCTATATTGCCCTTGGAATCGACCCTAGCAATTACAAAGAACCGGATTTGCGCATCCACAGACAGAAAATCGCGGCTATTCTCCTGAATGGCGGCTTCACGGGCGAATTTGACCTGTCGGAACTCTGATATCCTATCCATCATATTGACTTGGGCGGAATCGATACCAATGAAGTGAACTTTAGTTTTCTCAAAGGTTGTTTGCCACATGGCATGGTATTATTTCACAGTTTAATGAGACATAGAACGGTTTTCGTTCGCAATTTTCCGCTACATGGTGTGCGGGGAGGTTGATTTTTTGTGGATTTCGGAAGGAGGCTTGGTTTTGCAGTGGAGTTCAGGATGGTTTGCTGTTAGCATTCGGGTTTGACTTGTTTGATATAAGATGGTTGGATGCATTGAACAGGGACATTAAAGTGACGGAGTACTGTTTGAAATAGGCAGGCAATATCCTGTTTTGCATCAGATATCCAGAAGGCGTTGTTGTTCGCTGAGGTTGTCACAAGGGCGTTAGTGGAATAGAGGGATCGACTACATCAATTGATCAGCCTTTGTTGCATAATGTTGGATTCTTCTTACGTGCGACGTATAATGCCGTACTCGGAGGGCGCAATGAACAGATCCCTGTAGGCACACTTCAAAAGGAGAAGAAGCTAGCTTACGTCCTAGCGAAGCATTGCCATCATCACGATCTTGGTCGCAGAAGTAGGACCATTGCATAAAAAAACAATACCTCCTTTCCCTTGCTCTAATACGAGCCTTGATGATGCTATTCGGGCCGACGTGAGGTTAGTAGCCGACGTAATAGATCGTTGAGACAAGTCGCGTCTGGTTGGTCTCTCAGCAGGCTTGGAAAGCCGGCGATCACTGGAGAATACCGGATACATTCAAGTACTTACGCATACTGAAGTATTCGCGGAAGGCTTGAGAGTGAAGACACAATGGGTCGTTCCTTGGCGGTCAACACAACATTTCAAATTTACGGAAACCAGGGTTCGAGGAGAGATGATACGTGGCATGGCATGGGAGTCTGTAGGATGGGCGAAGAAGGATCTGGAAATTGACACCAATTTAGTATGTTATTGGAGTCTGCGAGACTTGGAAAGGAGGGATTGGAGAGAAATGGGTCGGCTGGCTGTATAGTTCATGGTCATCAAGAAGAACGGGCTGAAAATTCTGACGATCAGCGGTAGATCAACAAAGTATAGCCATACACCTTCCAGTGGCAACAGGTATAGGTAGGCCGGAGGCATCTCATTGCAGTTCATGCTCTCTTGTGGTAGATCTAGATGCCAAACTGACGCCCGAAAGGGGGAAAGCCGAGTGAAATTGATGGTCTTGATGAGTACATATCTAAGTTACTCAGTTAAGAATGGCTTAACAAGTAAGGATAACTGGATTCACCGCACACTATGCTCTTCTGGAAGGACAGGAAGCAATTGCTTGCTGTCTTAATGCCTCACCGTAACTTCCATCTGAAGTCCAACCCCTGTCACCAACCTCTTCTGCTTCCTAAATGGAGCCACGTACTTCGTGCTAGGCTGAACCCAATTCATGGACCCGGTCACCGCACAATGTTACAATTCTTGATGCAGGCTGCGCCAATATAAGAAGATCAACAACGAACTCCAATGCCACAGGGTTTCAACCAGAGTCAAGTGAGGAGACTTGACCATAGTTCTATCGGATCTTAGCTAGGAGTCCGAATTCACCCTCTGACATGGCGTCTGGCAATAAATTCGGCATCAGAGTCCCGAAGTTGGCAAATATGGCAACCATATAGCATGTCTCATGGTGGGAGTACTCTAGTCACTTCGTTGGCAGTCAGGCTGCTTGGATGATTGATAGCAAAAGCAGCTAACTGACGATCAATTCGGGCTTTTCGGAACCAAAATCGATAGGATATGTTGGGGGCTGTGTATGTCATTTGGTATCTCCAATAAACTAATGCTATTGTACTGAGTAAGTGATTATTAGCACTTATATTGGTTGAGTGATTTCTATATATATCTAGCCCAGGGTGGCTTTTAATGCCCCCGTGCCAGGAGTGCTCGCTGCTAGCGGCTTTTCGGAGCGGAGTATCCCATCTCCGGCGCAAAGTGCGGATTGAATCAGCAAGCGGCTGTGCTTGCCCAAACTTTGTGCAAATGCCATCTCAGCAGGATTTATCTACCCTCAACCAGCCATCATCAATTGTTTTCTCTCTTCCCGTGGTGTCCCGTTGTCGCGAATCACCTTGGGTTCATCATCCATTCACCGGTAAGAGGACCAGACGCATATCCAAAATTGATGCCATTGAATCGACGCAAATACATCCCTTGCCTTCTTGGAAGAGGACATAAGTGACTTCGCTCTTGATCGATCCTTTTTCTGCTGGCATCCACCTTCCCTTAACATTTGCCCTCGCGGTGAGATTGATGCGACAGCAGGAAAAGCCACACCAACCACACTGGATTGTTTTTACAATACGCGGTCACCCACCATCATCAATCTAATATTTGATTCTCACAATACTGGAGACTCTTTCCACCAACACGTTTCTACTGCACATTGACTTGCCGTTGTTGTCACTGCCGTGCAACCTCTCTGCATCGTCATTTGCGTCGTCTGCATCATTGTCTGCTCCGTGCTTAGCGTCTGCATTCACGTATTGAAACGGACTTGGAAGTCATCGGTCTTTGTCTGCTTCTTTTCCATTTCGACTACTACTGCACAATTTGCGTACTTGCCGCCGTTCGAGACACTGTCTGCTGCCGGAATCCTTGGTCCAGCTGAACACGGTCTCGGAAGTCAACACAGCACAATAAAAATGGCGGATCAGTCGAGAAGCATCGAGTCCATCCTCGCCGCCCTAGGTTCGTGCAGCCCCAAGGCCCCAGCAGTTTAATAAGGCTGGACATAATGGCCATAAGCGAATAGGCACTGACTCTGCACTTTTCTTGTTCCAGCGCAGCGACCGACACCGACTCCAGGTCAGCAACCTCCTGCAGGTGCCGGATACCAACAAACACCGCCTCCCAATGCGTACCCGCCGCCGATGCCTCACGGAGCCCAACCCACACAGTATACCCCGAGCGCATACTCTCTTCCCCAGCCTTCGTCTAGCGGAAATCTTGACTTGAGTGCCATCAAACCTGTCAACTCTGGCACCGTCGATATTGCGGATGCTATTGCTAAAGCGAAGGCCTTTGCCAATGAGAAGGGCATCTCATCATATGATATCTCACGCGCACCACCTCCTGCTGCTCAATATGGCGATGCCAGACATTATAGATCTCGCTCTCGTTCGCCACCTGCACGTCGTGACGCGTTTCGTGACAACTTCAACCCATACAGAGATGAGCGACGTGATGACGGCCGTGGCAATGCTCGTGATTATGGGGGTGGACACGAACGCTCCATGTCTCCGGGTCCTGGCAGAGGCCGATCCTCTGGCACCTTTTCTCCTCGTGGCTCCAACGGCCGTGACCGCGGCGGCGCTGATGATGATTCAGAAACTGTTCAGATTGAATCCAGCCTAGTGGGCCTCATCATTGGGCGTCAAGGCGAGAACCTCCGACGCGTTGAATCTGAGCACGGTGTGCGCGTACAATTCATTACTGGTCCTGACAACCAAGGCCCGTATCGCCAGTGCAGAATCTCTGGTCCTCGTGCAAGACGTGCTGAGGCTCGCGCTGCCATTGATAAAATCATTGAAGACTCGGGCATGGGTGCCCTCGCTCGTGCCGGACTTGACAGCTCGCACAGTGGAGGTCGCGGTGCTGCTGCTCACGCTCCTGGCCCTGCCACCCTGCGCGAAGGCGAAGACTGCATGCAAATCATGGTTCCTGATCGTACCGTTGGTCTCATCATCGGCCGTGGAGGCGAGACTATTCGCGATCTCCAAGAACGAAGCGGATGCCACATCAATATCGTGGGTGAAAATAAGAGTATCAATGGCCTGCGACCTGTGAATCTCATTGGCACACCTGAGGCGTCTGCTCAAGCCAAAGGCTACATCATGGAGATTGTCGACAGTGACAACCGCAATGCTGCTAATGGTGGCGGCGGTGGCGGCGGTGGAGTTGCTGCCAAACCCGAACGTCACCATAAAAATGAGCATGGCCGTGACCACGGCCAAGGCGCCGCTGTTGGCGACAAGATCAATGACTCTATATATGTCCCCTCCGATGCTGTTGGCATGATCATTGGTAAGGGTGGTGAGACTATTCGAGAGATGCAAAACACGACTGGCTGCAAGATCAATGTCTCCAGCTCTACCGGTCCTGGCGAGGTCGAGCGTGAGATTGGGTTAGTGGGATCGCGTGATGCAATCAACAGAGCCAAGCGTGCCATCGAGGACAAGGTTGATGCAGTAGTAAGTAGAGATAATCATGATATTCTGTACACAGTGAACTAATGATCTCAACAGCGTCAAAAGAACAATGGAGGAGGTGGTGGTGGTGGTGTTGGTGGTGGAGGCCGAGGAGGCCGCAACCAGAACCAGGGCCGCCGTGACTATGACAACCCCAACTATTCCCAGCAAAGTTCCAGCAACCACACTCAATCAAACGCGGCACCTGGTGGCCAGCCCCCCGCCCTTGCGAATGGTGCTGCCGACCCATATGCGCCCTGTAAGTTTCTAGCCCTTTCTATTTCTGCTGCGTTCGAAACGACTGACGTATTTTAGATGGTGGCTACCAAGCTTATGTCGCCCTGTGGTACTATTCCCAACAACAAGCTCTGGCTGGTGGTCAAGCTGGCGGAGACATGCCAAAGCCTCCTGGTGCTTAGAGTGGCTCATTTCTTTGTGGATCACGCGGGTTGTTTCATCCGCCTGACTTGACCAGTTTGTCTTGGTCTTGCCGTCGTTCTTGAGCGATATTCATGCGGCTTTTTCAAGCTCGTCCCGTGGTGCTCTTGCCCTTTCGTGATGTATCTTCCACAACAAGCGTTGGTTGATATGAGAGATATCACCAACTGATTGTACAACATGGACTCTTCTTCTGAATACCCGGCGAACTTTCTATATCTTTGTCCATCGCCATCGACACGATACCCACAACATGATCTCTCCCCTCGGATTTCACATGGTTGGCAAGGAACAAGGCTTCCATGCATCCGTGTCTGGCTTGACTCGCGGCTTCTGACGTTCTCGTACTCGTAATTTCGACGAGCATTTCAAGACGGGACGATGCATCATAACGTCTGTTCGTCTGAGCCGCTTTCAACATGGCCTGCCGCAAGTTTGATCTACAACTTGCTTGGACATAGGGTGGAGCATTCCTCACTCGGCCATTTCCGTGACCTCTTCACTTGATGTGTCTCGAGGGACTTGCGTATAATATGCTACTGCTACTCAACCGAAGCAGCAAGCAAGGGGACTTATATAGGAATCAGGTTGCCACGAATGGCTCGTGGACTTTGTATGTGTAATAACTAGGATGCGCAGGGAATCAGGGGACGGAAAAGCTTCACAATCTATCTTCTGCTAATGCCTAATGACTTGTCCAAACGTGACGTACGATGTGATTTGTCATTGATGATGCAAAAAGTGGTCGAAACACCCACCCCTGACTATAAAATACTTTGTAAAATGCTTTGAGACCAGCCAGGCTCTTACTTTGAACAGCTGTCTACCTCTATTCAGTACACCAACACCGTCCCAATGTACTTATGCAACCATCTTCCCACTTTATCGCAGCCAGCAGTTTCGCCGGTCCGATGCCACTGTTGAAGCAGCCCACTATCCTAATTCCCGAGCTACCGAGTTTCCTGACCTCGGCCCAAATATATCATTCCCTTACCATCTAAATTCACACCTCTTTCTAGGTTGATTCTACACCGACAAATCATCCCCCCAAACCTCCTTCGCAATCTCAACCTCCAAGCGAATCTTAGCCCACTGTTGTTCCTCCGTCAACTCATTTCCCTCCATAGTCGAGCTAAACCCACACTGGTGACTCAAACACAACTGCTTCAACCCGCGGGGACAAAACCCCGCCGCCTCCTTCAACCGCTTGATGATATCCGCCTTATCATCCAGCTCGGCCTTCTTGGAGCTCATAACTCCCAAAACGACGATCTTGTTCTCGGGCAGATGGCGCAGGGGCGAGAAATCACCCGATCGCGCGTCGTCGTACTCGAGAAAGTAGACGTCGACATCTAGGTCCTTGAACAGTACCTCAGAAACGGGTTCGTATCCGCCCTGGGCAAACCAGTTGGAACGGTGGTTGCCCCGGCAGAGGTGGATTCCGATGGCCATGTCCTTGGGCCGTTTTGAAATGGCGGCGTTGATGAGGGCTGCGTACTGGCGGGCGAGCTGGTTGGCGTCGCCATGGCGCTTCTCGGCCTCGGCGCGCATTTGAGGGTCGCACAGGTAGGCCAGGTTAGTATCGTCCAGCTGGACGAAGCGGGTGCCTGCCTTGTACAGGTCGTCGAGCTCCTCCTGGAAGACGCAGGCCAAGTCCTCGAAGAAAGGCTCTAGCGTCGGGTAGGCCGTCTCGTCGATGGTGTCCCGGCCGCCGCGGAAGTGGATCATGGTGGGCGAGGGAATAGCCACTTTGGTCGTGACGGTAGCCCGGGCGCCCGAAGTGGCGATTTGGGACTCGAGGAACTCGAAGTCGGACACTTGAATCGGCTTCGGGTGCGTGATTTTGTCCACGACCACCAGACGCGGCGGCATGGTGCCGCCCTGGGAGACATTGGTGCTCTGCAGGGCGCCGCGCTTCTCGATGCCGCCCAGGCTCTGCAAGAAGTCGATGTGAAACCAGGCACGGCGAAACTCGCCATCAGTGACGGCGCGCATACCGGAGTCTATCTGCTTCTTCACGACGTCGGCGATGTACTTGTCCTCCAGCTCCTTGAGTTGCTCCGGCTGGAGCGAGTGCTCGGCCACCTTTTGCCGCGCGGCGAGGATCTCCTTGGGCCGCAGGAGAGAGCCGACTTGGTCGGCGCGGTAGACGCCTTTGGGGAGAGACATGACGACTGTAGACCGTAGATACCCTTACTTAAAGTAGATACCGTGGCCTAGTTATGGTATAGGTGCAAGCGAGTCCGAGATACTAGCTCACTCTCGAGTTCCAATGTGAAGTAAGGAGAGGAAGGGACGCAAGGAGAAGAGAGAAAAGAGAGACCACGAACCTCCGGACAAACTCTTCCAATGACCAATATCCCACACCGACGCAGCGACTTCGCCATGTTAAGGAGGGGTTAGCAAGAGACGTTTACACATTCCGTTGCCTTACCCCACCCATCATCATGCCGCGAAGTAATTAGATGTGCCGTGTTCTCCACTACTCCCTCGGCAGTGGGGAGATGGCTACGATGATGGTATCAGGACGAGAGCCCAGTCACGGCTCAAGTGCAACGCACTGGTAACGGCTCTCTTGCCACCAAGGATTTCGTTGGCGCCGTTGCTTTGTGCTAAGAGGTTCGTGGTGTTAGCCAGCTAAGTATGTATGTAGGTGGTGAAATTGGAGAAACAACTCCAACCAACGGTTCGCATGAAGAGCGAGTCCGTTCGGATCTATGCAAGCGGCGGGCTTAATATGCGGGTGTCATTATCGGGGTAACCAAACACTCGGTATGCTCCAAAGTCTTTTCTGGATACCAACCACGAACGACTGACTCGTCAGTGCATGATGGGATGGGTGTCGGGACTGTAGCGAAGGCCGCGAATGCAAGTAGAGGCGGCCCCTACAACAGCGTCTTAGCTACTTCGCAGGAGACTCTTTCTCCACCCATTGGCAATCAGACGTTTGCTGAGCTAAGAAGTGATGCCGAGGCAAACGACTCAGAATGCTGTTGCATGAATTCTTGCATTTCGGCACTGCAGACAGAGATATAGGTGGATTCACCTGCAATCCTACTGCAACATTAGACCGTAATCTTACAGAGGGAAGAGAAATACGTGTCTTACGAAGTAGAGCGTATCGGCACCGATCCCTCTTTCCACGACGCTTCCACTCACCATCCGGCGCTTAGAAGTCGAGACTCCCAAAAATGCATTGGGCGCTGGCCTGAAGAGATGACAAAGTCCAACTCAAGTGATAAATGAAGAAAGTGAAGTTTCACTAGCGGGATGTTGGTGTTACAGGTAGCGATTTAAGCCTCTGGTAACGCTATGTGGTGATCCGTGCCGCCAAAGCCTATGCGTTCTGGTAGTAGCCCGCGGTTGCCTTAACGCCGTCGCGGCAAGCTGTCTCACGTCAATCCGGAAACTACATCATCGCATTACGACGAGTCAAACCCCATCGTTTGAAGTATATCAACTGCTTTCGCTTATTTTGCCTTGTCTGCAATCATTGACTTCTCGCGCAAATTGATTTGGCCATGTCCGGTGGAAACCATCTCTTCCTCCTCGCCGACCACATCAAGCTGTCGCTGCTTGAGCGGAAACGAGCGCAGAGCTTCAACCTCGACGACGACTCCAAAGATGGACACATCTCCAGGTCATTGGACCAATTCCGCGACGGACTAGAGGCCTTGGAAACAGAGCAGAAGAGATTGGAAGAGGCTGGTGACGAGGAGTATGTTCCTCTATTTTCTCCGGTGCCTGCGATTTTAAACGCGATGCCGCTGTGTTCAAACTCGGTTTACTGGTGCCTTGCCAAAGCCGGCCTTCTATATGGCTCAAATGGGCGATCCGCCGAGTGGTGATGCCGGACAGTCGCTAACTATTTCAGTGGTGCCCTCACAATTGGCGACAACCTACCGGGTCTAAAGCAGCAATACAATGACCTCACCTCGCAATTCCACGGCTTCTCCTCGCCCTCCACCTCCATTACCCTCACCCACCCCAACGATCGCGCCCTCGCCTCCGACTTCACCCACGCAACCACCTCTCCCGAAGATACCGTCGATGGGCCCTCTTCAAGTGCCAGCCTGCGCCCCAACGCCGGCCAACGCACCGCGTCCAAATCCGTTCGCTTCTCCGACAACCCCCTATCGTCGTCCTCCCGCGATAACAACGTCGACATCGAAGCGCAACAGCTCTTCGGCAGTCGGTACACGGACAACCCCGACAGCGAGGGCTACCGGGATGAGGCCTCGTCCATGGATAACCAGCAGGTGCATGCGTATCACCAGCGGATCCTAGACCAGCAGGACGAGCAGCTGGATGCGCTGGGCTTGAGCATTGCGCGGCAGCGCGAGCTGAGCATGCAGATCGGGGATGAGCTTGATGATCACGTGGCCATGCTGGACGATGTGGACGTCGTCGTGGACCGGCACCAAGGGACGCTGGATCGGGCGCGGAGGCAAGTGGGTAGGGTTACGAGGAGTGCGGGGGATAACAAGCAGATGGTGGCTATCATTGTGCTTATTGTAATTTTGGTGCTGCTCATTGCGCTTTTGAAATAAGGGGATTGCGGCTTAGACTTGGGAGCATGCTCAGGTGATGTGTAAGAGGAGGGCTCTTGGACTACACTGCATCATGTATGGCGTTGGGGAACACTTCTAGCCTTGCGCTGCCCTCATGTTGTCTCTAGAGGACATAATCAAGGGGTCAATTGGTTTTTGCAGAAAGAGGTACATCTCATTGAGCCATGAATATAACATAGGTATAGCAGCGTTGATAGAATGCATTGCTATTCTAAGATGGGGTTTTTGAAACCTGTCTCTCACCGCATACATATACTACACCTCTCAGTTGTAGGAGTCAATGTTACTTGACAGGAGTGTAACTCCTGTATATTGCCGTGGATTACTAGTTGCCTCGTATCATACAATGCAAGAACCCCTCCCTCCGAACGTCCAGAAATACTGCGAATGGCAACAGAACCTCAATTGCCCTTTTTCCCGGTAAGCCCATCATACACGTTCCAGAATCACTCGGTGCCATTTCCTCAGGCTCATAGCCCGTCTCGCATGCTCGTGCCCGACTTGCTCGTCTCATTGGCGGCATGCTTAGTGCGCTCCTGCAACTTCTGGTGGTCCTCGGCCTCGCCACCGCCACGATCCGCCTTAATCGCCTCCTCGCTGTCCGACGCCAGCTCTGGCTTCCAGTGTGCCTTGCCATCTTTATGCTTCTTGAGCAGGTCCTGCTTGTGCTTTTCCGTGTGGTCCTCCTCGTTGTCTGCTACGGTGTTAGTCCCCGACGATCAGCAAGCCAGCGTGTCTTTGGGGCTTGATAAACAACAATTCAGCAGGACGGGCAGGTTGTGGGTGTTGAGGGATACTTCTGTTCCATGCGTCGCCCCCTTCTCTACATCGGAAGACCGAGGAGGTGGTGGAACGGGTTAGCCGGAAGAAAGAGTGCGCTGAACATACGGATTGCGCTCTCCTTGTGTCTGAGGATGGCGCTGCTAGCAATGGTGCGTTGTGTCATTGATTGTCTGCTGCACATGGCGCCGCGAGCGGCCGTAGTGGTCGACTTGAAGAGAACTCGAGATGCCATTACGTCGACAGTTGCTTGTTTTCGGGGAAGGTGTATAGGTATCAGAGGGTCAGGGGATGTGCTGTCGATTGACTGTCAATTCTTGCCAGTTTACGTATTGGGGACTGCAACAATGGTTCAAGCCAGATTCTTGAAGGAATGATGACCAGTTCTAGTTAGAAGTAAATACGGTAATCACAATATACGAGGATGGAAGGGCGCACTGAGGGGAGCTGTGTTGCGCTCATTGGTTTATGGATCTGACGTCACCATCACAACTTTGACCAGAACGGCCGAACCCCCAACTCTAACAGGCCAAGCGGTTGGCTGGGGCATTTGCCTGCCATTTCTCCATTTCTCCACAGCCAGTGGGACACTGTGGTTAGGCCAGACGCTCGCTACTCCAAGGATGGCACGGGCGGAACTATTCAGCATCGGCCTGTTGGATGGAGCTTTTTCCATCGCCAGCTATCCCAACACGGCTCGTAATGAAACTCCATCTTGTTGATCCTGAGATATGGAACTGTTCGAGATGGGCATCTATCTTGAATGCGGTCGGTAATCGCTAAGCTTGCTATGCATGACGCTTACAATAGCGTGTAGCAGCAATGCTAAACACCTGTGACGGACTCTTATCATACCTCCGTCTGCAGGGAGCTTAGCATACTTTCCCGTCAGCCATGATAGTAAGGCATTGGTTGTAAGGCTTTCCGGACTATCTGCACTACGGCGAGCTCTGGTTGGCACATACTTCACGGCGCACCGAGTACGTTCCCATGTGACGACGTTGGAGCTGCTTACATATCTTGTGGGAAGCAATATAAAGATTGTTCCCAGCTGCATCTCATTCCCTCTTATGATTCTTATGAGCCAGCTTGGGAAAACTAAATGGCCCGTATAAATGGTAATGAGAGGCTGGTCCAGTGTCCAATATGATGAGGTCGGGCAAGTGAGTAATTGTCATGGCTCGGTCCTGATGTAGCTCCTGACAGGTCTGCATATGCCAGCTCGGTCAAGCTTCGTAGAGGTTAAGGTAGAGAAGCTCGTTCCAGGACCACGAAAGCCGGTTGGCCGTGAGGCGCAGCGCTTTCTCAGTGTCGTAATTCAGTAGAACGAGAGCATTGCGCCTCGTTCTATGTATTTCATTTCGATACACACCATGATGCCGCTCGGTCTTGATAATACTTAGAAGAGTTCGGCATATCTGTCGTATGCAACTAAGTGTTTTATGGCCCCTGTAGTTGGAAGATACAGAGGCTTATTCATCAAAGCATCGAATTCTATCTGTGGAGCGTCAGCGTACACTAGTAAGCTGCTAGAAGCTGGGCAGCTGAAGTAAAAGTTTTACCGTCAAATGATGCCCGTAGATGTGTTCGTTGGACGGAGGTTTCATAACCTCTTCGTGTTTACAGACGCTGCTCTACAGAGGGCTAAATATATGCCAGGCTGTTGTTAGTGTACAGCATAGCTCCACTGGGGTTCAGACTGCCGAGCGTAAGTGTCTTTCGACTAAATATTGTGACGGACGAAGGTAAACCATCAAGGTTTGTATCACGATCTACTTATTTGATTCTCTGCATGGACTTGTGCAGCCCGCTCTCAAAGGCATCGAATCCTGTGCGAGTGAAGCTGCTCGAAAGCTACGAGCCGAGCCGATATTCCTGCATATAAGTGCACGTGGCCATTCCAGCTATAACAATCATAGATAGATGGCCCAGTATCCTTTAAAAACATTCCTAATAAATATGGTATCCACATTTACCAGAGTTCACATTGGGGGGGGGGGGGGATGTATTCCACGAGGGGTATAGGTCATGGGGTTCATGAGAAGCAAAGTCTGCGCTTACGCTCCGCTTTACAAGACACCTCCTCGGAGACGACACTTCGTCAAGTTTGTTGGCTTTGCACGACAGTTAATCAGCAGCATCTTGGGCTGGTGTGTCAAGACCTTGGTCAAGACCTTGGTAACTTATCGTTTAGTGTTCACCCGGCCTCTCGAGCAATGCAATTTTATCTCCGAATACGCATTACTTCTAGACTTGGGTCATTCGCGCGAACCTCAAGATATACTAACAAGTGTTGAAATATGTAAGGGGGGAGAAAAGCAATAGTGTAAGAAGTGGTGTTCGGCTCAGCTTGGCCTTCCTTATCGGAGATTTGGGGTTGGACCTTGCGGTCATAAAAATTCAGGAAGAGACACATCAAGTCGAGAAAGAAGGTAAGCTAGATCGTTCATCGGCGTCATTATTAGTACGGTGGCGCAGACAAGCCAGAGGTGGTCCGAGTCACGTATGAAATATTGGCTGACTATCATGATATAGCATCGACTGTACCAGTGCTCGACTTTTTTAAGGAATGGGACGTTGATTGTATCTAATCGAATTATCAATCTCGAAGAGCCTCGAAGAGTTGAATCACGACATATCACCAAGGCGTGGATGTGTGTAACACTCGACCAGTTTCTACCAAGGCAGTGGAAACAATCAGTCCAACTCTTAACCAGAGTGGGCCACGTAGTTGTTTATTTTCAGGCGTAGTATATAAGGTTTTGATTGTGCAGAACGACTATATATGACACAACATGATGCAGGTTCCAACCGTGGTTGTTTCTGGTTCAGGTATTTCAGTCTTGGCAGGTCCAGTCATACATACCCCAGTTATTTGCCGTTCTTAGAACTCTTGACTCTGGTCCCCAATGTAAATATTCCTAGTAATGATGAAGCTTGCGACGGTGAAATTGACTTCATGTTGATAATGTGTTGTTGTTTTTGGAGTAGGTGATCCCGTGTGTTCCGTCCTAGCTTACCACACTGATACCGCCAGGGGTGAACTCTAGGGTAAGTCTGCCCGAATTATTCACCACAGACTCAAGCTGAACAACAACACTACGCTGCATATATAATTGCGGACACCGGCCCGTCCTCATCTAGCAAGATCATATCTGAATTCCAACATAACCTGTGGGGTTGAGCGCCACAGTTATGCCCTAGGCTGAAGGCGGTGTAGTGGCAAGTGTAGCAGCTAGTGGGTCCGAACCTTCGTTCCTCCCTGATAGATTAGACAGCAATAGCGCTTCTAGCAAGCAACGCAGCACAACGTGTGCGTAGACACCGCAATCGATACGAGAGCCATACAGAGTCATCAACAGAGGAGCGAGTCCCTCACAACCACCCATTGATTGTTGCTGATCGAACAATTCTCCATTCCTCCGCCTCCGGTCCCTCCGTTCTCTCCAACTAAGGTAACTACGTCGTGTCTCGTCCCACCCACCCAACCAAGACAAAGAAACCCATTTGGCTCCCATCCTCGGGAGCCCACATGGCTAAGAATGCAACCCGCGTCACACAGCGACCATGCACGCCATCTGTTCGGGAAACCGCGACTGAGCGCAAAACCATCCAATGTGGTGCTGGATCGAGGAATCGGAGACCGGTGTTGAGTGGCGTTGTGACACTTCAACCGGGGATGTCAGGCGAGATCGTGTGATGTTTGTGGGTGGGTATATCTGGGCATCGTGCGAGGGGAGGCTTGAGAGGGGTAGGGGCTGAGATCGATGTCTCAATGTGGAGGAGAGAGTGAAGCTGACAAGACCGCGGATTGAGGTTAGCTTGGGGGCTGGAATCCTAGCAATGCTTGTTCATCGGTGTGCAAATTGGAGAAAGCTTCGAAGCCAGGAGTCAGTCACGAACATAAGCGCAAGTCAAGTCCATAATTATCTTAATAAAGTGAGAGGCTTTGGCTAGTTTCATTGAACTGGTCTAATTTACTCCCAGGGTACCAGAGGGGGTCTTACGACACCACCACCGTCCGTCATCAAAAACACCTTGTTCATATCATCTCGTCCCAGTTTCCCAAGCTGCAGCTGCGGTATATCGCCAAAAAGACATACCTTGCACAGGCAGTTTAAAGCGCTGCAAAGATGCGTGCACTCATATGTCCCAGTGCAAACCCCGCAAGAAGACAAAGTGTGGTGGAAGTGAAGAAAATAGGTAGACTTTCTTTTCGCAGAAACCGTCCCCGAAATCGTACAGTAACGAAGATATGATGGTTGTTGTGGAACGACAAGATATCAGCCCTTTATTTGCATCGCAAAGACCAACGAACCAACTCCCTTCTCCGTGAGCGCAAGAAAGCACAGTCGCCGTCGCCGTAAAACCGACACCCCATTTCCCTGTGCTCTGTGTTGAGATTCTCCCTCTCCCGGAAATTCCCATGTTGTAGACCCGTTTCCCAAACAGAAACACCCCAGTGACTTGAAACAGCCCGCCCCTGGCTTTGCGAGGCCAAAATAAAACCGCAACCAACCCCGAACTCGCACAAACACATGCTCTATATGTGGTGGTATTCTTTTTCTCGAAACGTCATTCATGACCGACGATGACTGTATCGTACCGCTCCCCCGTATGAACCCGTAGACTCCGTAGTGTGAAGACCGATGCAATTAATTGGAAATGCAAGACCGCCATTGTTATGTAAACGCCATTCGTGACCCGAAACAGCCCCCATCTTTCGAGGTCGGAACACCGAGTTTTGTGTGGTATTTTTTCGTATACAACCGTAAAACCGAACAGAAAACGAACAAGGTATCGAGGTATCTTCATTCATGCCGTGCGCCCATCGTAAAAGCTCGAATCATTTTTGCCGATGACCACAAATTTTATGTCGAATAAGGATGATTTATACAATAGGTGGAGAGGATGCCATTGAAGAGTCGATGCCTGACGTGCCTGTCTGTGTCCCGCCAAAATGGCCAACTGCTTTGGGGCGAAAAGCAGAACGTGAAGCTGAAGTTTTGAGAATCTCAATACAACGCAATGGAGACAACGGTGAATGAGTACCCATCCGCTACCATACGGTAGCAAGATGACACCCATTACCACCGCCGACCCATGGGAGGTGGAGACAGAGACATGCCGTTTGCTGGGTTGATGATAGCAATGGCATTGCGGGCTCGTGTGGCGGCAGGCTGGTGTACCTTCAATTGGCTGTGGTGGCTTTGATAGGTGGGAGGAATGAAGGCTGGGGACGTCGAGTTAAGAGAGAAGCTGGGTGCAACCTGTTGAGTTTGTTGCGTCGGAGACGCATGAGGGGAGTTGCTAGACAAAGATGACCGATCTGAAGAGGCACTGCTTATCGAAACCAACTGAGGCGGTACGAACTCCGTTAGCATATGCATTCTTCACTACGATCCATCCCGCAGAACCATTGTAACGGAGACTGGCGGTGCGACGAATGAAGATACGGGGTAGACGTCGGCCAACTTACATCACTCTCGGTTAATAACTTGGGGCAGAACTCCATGTCGTCTTCCAAGTCGAAGGACCGACTGGACTCGAACTGGGTTCGGAAAGTAGACACGGCGGCCGTCTCAGAAAGCTCCTTCATGCTGCGCACGCCACGAAACTGCCTCTGGGAGTTCTGCGAAACGGACAGCCTTGGCGCCCTCCGATTTCGCCCGCCGTGGTGGTTGTGGGAGACAGATGGCGCAGCAGGCGACGGTTGGTGGTGATTGTAATGGTAGTAAGAAGACATTATGATATTTTCCAATGCAAGAGAAAGAAAAACTGGTCCTTTGGGGTCGTCGTTATGCCGTGCAGACGGATAGAAGTTTGTTGTTGGGGTGGCGGTGTATTTGTGCGTCTCTGGTTTGGGGGTAGTTTGCCGAGTTGTGCGGTATTAAAACCAGTTGAAACCACAATGTTGGGGGTAGTTTGCCGAGTTGTGCGGTATTAAAACCAGTTGAAACCACAATGCAAGATGGGCGGATCGGTTGGAGTAGGAATCGCAAATGTCAAAAGACGGAATGGCTTATAATGTCCCACGGTCGTCGTCGAGATGAAAGAGTTCTTTTTTGTTTTAATAGTACGTGAAAAGTATGTATGTGCGTTCGGGTTTGAAGTGTGGTTGACAGCTTTGATAGTAGATATTCTAGTTCAGTCGAAAGAGGAGAAGTGTACGGGAGGAGGGTGCGATGCAAACCGGTGAAGGCGAAGGATTTTGTTGGACAGAGACAAGAAGGAACAAGACTCGGCAAGAGGTCTGGTCATGGAGGGTGGCAGCCGGGGGGGGGGGTGTGGGAGGCAGCGAGCGGCCTGTCCAAGCTGCACGCTGGCCAAGGGGAATAATGGAGGCGCACTCATTGGCCAATCAGATAGGTGTGTCTAAATTCGCCACGGCGCCATTCCTAGCTGGGCCTTAGTCTACAGTGCAGGGTGGCGGACAAAGCTCGCCGCAACTTTCGGCCAGGACCCAGGGTGGTCAGGCTCGAGCTTGTTGTTGCTGGGTAATTGCATACCCGATTCTCCACAAGCGCCCCCCCCAGCATTCAAGGAACCAGGGGTGTGTCAAGGACAGGTGTGTGGAAAAAGGCGCAAAGAGGGAAACGCACAATGCCATTAACACCCACCTTGACAACTGGGCAGAAGGGCAGTGGGCAGGTTGTGGCTTCATTCGTTCGATATGATCTCCCTTCAATGGCAATCATCATGAGCCCTGCTGCTGAATTCATGGCCATGGTGGACAGAACAACCTTTGTAGTAGTATCGCATCAGCTGTTCCGGGCTATCCCGGTCCTCTGCCACTCTATTATTACTGTTCTGGACGAGACTGATGATGTGTGCTTGTGAACTAATGCAGTCGAAGAGCGGCAGTAGAAGTAATTCAAGGACAGCGTCTGCATCCAGCCCAACCGTCGTCGAGGCTTGAAGAAGATCATCCATTGTTGGGACCAAAAGATGGTGGGTCAAATGTGAAGTTGAATGGACGCAACATCTCATTAGGGAGTTCGCAAAGCCCTTCACGGTAATGCTTCGTACTTCTAATTTGGTCATGTTTGCTAGGTTTCTCATCGCATTTGGGAAGCAGTCACTGGCCTGCAGCTCATCATTCCATGTTTCGTTCGGCAGTCTGTGTGCCCTCCGAGCCATTTCACCTTGGCATCGTGACCCCCTTTCCGCTTCCCACTTGGGCAAGCTTCTGGAGTTCCTCGGCTTTGGGACGGCAGTGTCGGCATGCTTTTGTTCTTCTCAGGAGACTTTTGGATGGCTTTCTGGAACCCTGAGCCACAGTACTTTAATTCCAAGCCTCGAAACGTTTGATGGGACAGATTGAACATGTACATGCGCAGGTGTTCCTGGACGAGGGGCATAATAGTCCATAGATTGTACAGTCATTTCTTGCAGGTGCGCCGCGCATACGTAACTCGACCGAAATGATGCTATGCAATAAATGAGAGCGAGGCGGAGCGCCGTGCAAGATTGGTCCCACCGTGGGGACGAAAGCCTCATCAAGACCAGCGGTTCCGCCAGACACTGTGCTTGGGGCACACAGTCTGACAACACTGTAGCTGGGTCTAGCTCTGAGCTGCATATTGACTGGGGACCCTGCAACTCTGGCATGCTTGGTTGGGCTGCTGTGAACCCGTGATGCACACATTCGGTGCACCGCGCATCAAGTAGCTCTGGCCAACCTTGCAGAGTCGGGATCATTCGAAATGGCCCGTCTCGACATTTGTCCTGCACGAAACGCATAGGGAAGCCGTCGTTGGAGCTTGGCAGAGCTTGTGGTAACGCTGGCAAGCTGGGTTGGGCTGGTGTCTAACCTGGCGGGTGACGCTGTACCTGAGTAATGCACCCACGTCCATCTTTCTGGTGGGCAAGTCGGGCGTTGGCAGACTTTCGCGTTGCTGGCCACCCCAACCACCGAGCCGCCCAAGCCCGCAATTGACCTGCGTTCCCGCTTCCGGCACTGAGTGGCGAGCCAGCGCATATGCACAGTACCAAGAGTCTGACAGCCAGTGGAGTCGACAGTCAGTCAGTAGACAAGTCGGCAGTGGACAATGAATAGGAATACGCGTGTTTCAGATATCTAGATGTTGGCCTTGTTGAGCGTTTCACGCGAACATCTCATTGCGAGACCGTGCTGCGATATTCCCTTCTCCAGTCGGAGTGTTTCAAGGCCCGTCAATTCCATCCATCAGCCGTAACGTAATCTTGCGTCCAAGATGGCCATCGCCATTGCATGTAGATTCTAGATTCTAGGGCGTCGGAATCCTCGTGGCCCCTTTTGAGGCAAGATCGTCGGAGGCAAAGAGTGGATCGTATGGCCGTCATTCGTTGATTGGAGCGCCAGCAGCCGCCTTGTGCTTCTGACCATCGTGGCTACGGCCGTCAACTACATGTCAGGGCGAGTCAAAGTCCCCTGAAGTGCCCATACAGTAGATCTTGACAATGAACTATTGGACCCTGTGGAAGGCGCCAGGAACCTCAAAAAGGCACGCAGGCATGTGGCACGTTTGGCATGAATCTCGAAATGTATTCGAGACAACTTCTCGACTCCTTCCTATTTGGCTGGCTAGCTGACTGATGTGGGACGGAGCCGGCCACAGTGCCGGCAACAAAACGGATGTGACGATGGAGGCAAAGATTGGCGCTTCCAGCTGTCGCCGCCGCTGCTTCTTTGGGGGATGTCATCATTTAGCTCGCCCTTGTGCTTGTGTTGCCGTTTTACCAATCCCTGATTATTCCCCAGTCAGGGTTGCGCAAGATTCGGAGCTTACCTCAATAATGTGCTTATCGCAGTGATCCTTAATCGAGTGCGAGTGAAGCTTCATGGCGGACTCGGCAGAGTCGTGGCGGTCAAGCTATTCTTTTGCTCCTCTGGACCCCTATCATAGTCGCACCAGAGCTGTGCAATCTGTAGATGACGGCCCAGCGCGAGTCTTTGCGATGAGGTCCAACCCAATTCATCCTCCGTCTCTACCCAGCTCGTGCTGCAATGTGCTTGAAGTGGAAGTGGCTGGACAATGAACCGACTCATCGGCGCGGAGCAGTAATAGTTGAAATTCTATTTTAGTCCCTTGAGCTAGCGGCGCTTGCATTTTGGGGAGAGGCGTGAAGGCTATCCTCTGTGGTGGGAAATGGACTCCTGCTTGCTTTGGCCTACTTGCCTGCCCGCCGAGAGGCTGGTGGGATGCTACGGTGTATCATCTAAGTGATCCACTGCGGCGTTCTGCCGACCGACCTAAGCTCCGATGCGAGCTTCACGCAGCCTCGATCTATGCCAATAAACACCAAGTGTTGTTGAAGATTCCCGGCAGGCTCTAATTACAGTAATTACAGGCCTTTCTCTTTGTTTGAGCGAATGGGATTAGTGGCAGTCTCACCCCGATGTCACTGCTGCGGTATAATTGTGCAAAAGCTGTTGATCTCTGCCACCGATGAGGAACTGATCTCCACATACCGTGTTCCTCTAGGACCAGCGGCGATGCGACCCCATGCTCTGGAAGTATTGTACGGAGCACCACACTGTTTATGCATAACCCGTCGACACGGTAGAACAGCGAAACACTGCACACCGCTATTTTCATAATTACATATTTTGGTGAACAATACCCATAAACACAACTTCATATAATTGTGCTCACTTACTGCGGAACGGCGCCGCCATGTATAATTTACCATCATGCAGGGCCGGTTCTAGTCGCACGGCTTGCTGGAAGAGAGTCTAGTTGTGTCAGGCGTGGTGTGCCAACTGGTGACAAGCGCTGGACGTGATACAAGGGAACTGGAGTTCATTGAATTGGCTCGAGAGACTGGAGGCTGTCACCAGCTGGTGGGTGGGATGTCTATCGTATGGAGTTGACGGAACGAGCTCGGGTTCTACCTGTTGATAAGACCCCGAGGTAGCCCGAAGTTGCGCGTAAGCAATAATTCCACGTGATCCCGATCTTACAGAATCGCACCCTTTCTGAGAAGCGTGTATTTGATCGCCTGGTATTTCAGAGACAGCAAGCGCCGAGCAATGCATTTTTGTTTTGTCTTTAGACTGACTCTCTTTCTATCGGTCAGATCATTCGAGTTTGTTTCCATCTCCTGACTTAGGCGAACGCTCAATGACACTGCCCAGCCAATTAAATGTATCGGCATTATGGCGGTACACTCCGCAGAGTCGGAATGTCTTCAACTATGTTCTCCAATGGAGCGGTTTCTCCCGAACACGTCGTTCAAATGGCACGATAGGACCCCAGGGACTAGTCGCAATACCGCGAGCCGACACCATGGTAATGACCGTCTTACACTTTGTCGTCAGGTGTTGATGGTGTGACCGCATTAGCCTCATTGTATTATTCGACGTCGGCTGGTGTAGTTGGTCACTTCGCTGGTAGATAAGTCCCGATTTGAGCCTCGCCCACTTGGGTCGGTGACGAGTCGCGGGTTCGAATCCCGCAGCTGACACACAAGGGGGTTTAGTCAACCCTTACGGCGCGCTGCCCACCTTGTTGACTTCGCCTACCTAGCGATAATAGGGAGATTGGTGCAGTTTAGGATTACGAGCATCCTAGCCAGTCGACCGTCAAGCACTACGTCGGTGGAATATAACTCGACAGCCGGTCCAGAATTCGAATCGTTAATCCGGCCCCTTATCGGACCTCGCCTATCCGATAATGCTCGTCGGCGAACCCGTCCCCTCACGATAGAAGGCGCACAGCACGCCCCCTCGCCGCGATTCTTGCGAGCGTCTAGACCATGTTACGGTCTATCCACTTGAGCGTATGGTTGAGATGTATACGCTCGACGAGAACCCCAATTAGCAGATACTACGACTTGTCGCGACAAAAAATAGTCGAGCATCTTCTGCACATCAGCAGCATCCCACCCCTGAGGACGAATTTAAGTGCCACATTACCACACTTATCGGTAGTTCAGGCAGGGGTTGTAGCACAGACTTAGGGAGGGACAGGAGGTTTAGTAGTCGTTTGGCTACAAGTTTACCTGTATAACCGCCCGACGCGGCTTAAGGGCCCGCTATATCATCTATAGCCCCTTAAGGGAGTACTTGTAGAGGTACCGAGGGTTAACACCTACGGCGTATTTAATATTTATTATTATTCGACAGCAACCATTCTACGAATGCACTCTGTCCCCCTATGCCTTATCCAGACCACGAGCTTTAACAAACCGATTGATTTGGTCTCGAGTCGCCTTATCGTTGTACTGTTCGTGGCACTCGTAGAAGGATATCAGCTCCTGCGTGCAGTCGACCATAGCCTCAATGTCGACGTTGCTTTCGGCCAGGAACGCCGCAAACCGTTGAACTTTCCCAACTCTGTCTTCCTGCCGCTTGTCCTTATCAGGTGCTCCACCCGGCGTAGTTTGACCACTGGCCAGCCCTCTTCCTGCTTGTACATGCGCAAGCGCTGCCGATGCTGCTGCCATGTTTGCACCTGGATTCCCTGCAGACGGCGTCACTCTCAGCACCAGGGAGAGCAAGATGGCCGTGAGGGCTATAATGTGGGGAGGATATAGGAGTGGGAGGTCGGTCATGTAATGGTCGTTGATGACGGACCAAGAGAGGTTGACCTCGTCTTGAGAGAGGGAGAAATCGGCTTGGAGGCTAGCTAATGTTCGATACGGCTGGTGGATGATGAGCTGGGAGTTCATCTCCGAGATGAGGAAGAATTCGCATTCGCCGAGTCTCGAGACGTCCACACTGAGGAGGTCTAGTAGAGCATGAGTATTTTCTGAAGTTGGCTTATAAGTGAGGATATGTACGCACCGGGCCACAGAGAGCGTGCTTCCGTAACGACAAGCCTAATGTGTTGCGGGCACTCCTCCATCTTGCAGGCCAAGTACAAAGCAGTGGCGATGACCAGGTATGGATTCGTTCTGCGGATTTCGACTTTGGTATAGAACCTTTTGATGTAGAGTTGGGCAGTAGCAATTGCCTGCTGGCGCATGCTGAGTCTCTTGCCTAGTCGGTTCATCTCTAATGGTTTCTTAGCAAATCGTCTTGCAAAGATTGCCTCGTGGCCGTCTCACGCTGGTTGAAGTAGATGCTCAAGTGTCTCCATTCAGGAAGAGGAAACATCTGGACAAGATTGTGTTCGTCATCCTCGAGCTTCTCACGCAGTTCCGCCAGTTGCTCCTTGGAGAATATCCAGAACCGCCGTTGCGTCGATTCCCAGAAGCTGGCGGCCATCGCCACTGGCCAGGTATCCAGCTGCTTCGGTGGTGAGTTTGGTTCGATATGAATGAGGCCGATCTACATGGGATAAGTACGCTCATCCAGCCGAGCAGAAGCTCAGGAACATCATGCTGCACAATGCCAAGCTGACAAGGCTGAAATTGCACCGCTTTGCTTCATCTGGCTTTCCCAAGTGGCGCCAGATCGAAGAAACAAAGCCAACCTATAAAGGCAAAGCTGGCCAGTCAAAGTTGAGGAGATCAGTGTTACACACTTATCGACCTCTTATCGTTAGCCGAAGACTGCCCGAACGGGTATAGCCGGCGTTAGCTAATTGAAGCAGCATCCTTGTTTCGTTTCCAAGCTGCTCATTACTGGAAAAGGCGCCGCTGCAGCCTTTGTGCTCATTCCCACTGGTGAAATTGAAGTGACGTACCATAACCACCATTCACCGATTGTACCCTAAGTATACACACGCTTATGCTCACATGAGTACTCTCTACCAGCCAACGCGACAATTGCACCAACCGAAGAAACCAGCTTCTGCCATTGCCAGCCGATCCCAAAGCAATGCCGTACCCGTAACGCGCTGCTATAGCGATCGCCTCCGCCCGCCAAGTACATGATCTTCGGCCATGAAGGTCTCGGATGTGGTCACCGAACTCGAGATGGAGCTAGAAGAGTCGCAAAACCAGCGAGATTCGCGTATTGAGCACCTGTGGAAGAAGCTGGACTTAGAGCAGAAAGGCAAGCTCGACTGGAAGGGCTTGCAGAAGGGCCTGCGAAAGATCGACCACCGTTAGCAACCCGGCTATCTTCCCTCGGTCAATACTGTGCTAATATCGTTGGGCAGCTCTCAAGAATGCTGATGACATGCTAAAAACCATCATCAAGACCGTGGACACAGATGGTGATGGCAAGGTTTCATACGAAGGTGGGTGCCTTTGACCCCAGAAGAGCCATCTTACAAGGATGCTAACGACGCAATGAATCAGAGTTTAGAGTCTTTGTAGAGGCCACAGAACGACAACTCTACCTGCTTTTCAAGTCTATAGACTGCGACAACAATGGAAGACTGGACAAGAACGAGCTACAGCTCGCATTTAAACGTGCTGGTCTTGCTGTGCCCATGCGCAGATTGAACACCTTCTTCGAGGACATCGATATGAACAACGATGGCTACATCAGCTTCGATGAGTGGCGGTAAGTTCTGTTTGATACTCATGGCTGTCCATAGTCACCGGTATTTCCTCCTTGGCACTATATTATTAGCGGGTTCACACCCGGCTCTCTCACAATACAATGGCTTAAATGGGAAACTGGGGATGGTATACTCATATTGTAGTGTCTCGATTCAACGACTTAGGAAAGCAACTAATCACCATGGATACATATAGAGATTTCCTGCTCTTCATGCCTAGTGATGAAGCTAAGACGACGCTCCATGCGGTTTTCACCTTCTATTCGGATATTGTTACACTCACATCGGAGGGCGATTCAGTGGTCAGCGACGAAACACTAGAAGGCTTAGGTACGACTAATAGCTCTCTTATTCAAGCTCTCTTTGGTTCACTCTTATACCTCGCCATCCCTCCGGACCAAAAGGCGCGAGCTTCCGTCCCACAAAGTCCTACAACACCACCCTCGTCATCACAATCTACACTGCAGCTTGAAGAAGGCGCACAACCACTTGCTGCAGGCACAAGCTCGGCACAAGCAGTCGACAATGCATCAGACCCAGAAATGGATGTTCTGGAGACTCGACAGTATCCTGGTAATGCAAAGACTGCTGCACTTGATGCCAGCCCCTCGAAGCCAATTCCCCCCACTGCGCGAAACTCTAGGATTGATATTGGACTGAGTCAAAAGGAAATAGGAGAGAAATCCTTGCTGATCAAGTACCTCCCCGATCCAGGCTACTTCGTTGCCGGTGCCGTCGCGGGAGGCATTTCGCGAACTGCAACTGCCCCTCTCGACCGACTGAAAGTCTATCTTCTTGTCAACACCAACAGCGGTACAAATGTCGCCATTGACGCCGCTAGGAAGGGTCGTCCTGTGGTGGCTATGAAAAATGCTGGTCGGCCTCTCTTCACAGCTGCACTCGACCTTTATAAATCGGGAGGGCTTAGGGGCTTCTTCGCCGGTGAGCCATCCCCGTTCGCTAGTTGGGATAGACACACCTTGGGCTAACATTTCTTACAGGCAATGGTTTAAACGTCATCAAGATCATGCCTGAAACCGCTATCCGAGTTAGTACTTGCCATGTGTTCTTGGACGAATCAACTTCTTGTTAACATGTTTCTCAGTTTGGTGCCTATGAAGCAGCCAAGAAGACTCTGGCAAGACTCGAAGGCCATGGCGACACACAGCACATCAACCCAATTAGTAAATTCGTTGCTGGTGGGGTAGCTGGCATGACTGCTCAGTATGTCAACTGCAGTGAGCCCATCTGTGCGAATGGCTAACCAACGCCCCTTAGGTTCTGTGTTTACCCGTTGGATACCCTCAAATTCCGGTAAGTATTTCTCGCTAGGTCTCAACCATATCAATCTGACAGATCGTACAGACTCCAGTCGGAATACGTACACGGCGGCCCTCGTGGCAACAAGCTCCTAAAGCAAGTGCTTGTCCATATGTGGGCTGACGGCGGTACCCGCGCTGTATATCGTGGTGTTACCATGGGTCTGATCGGGATGTTTCCTTACTCGGCCATCGACATGGGAACCTTTGAGTTTCTCAAGACGTCGTACATTCAGTACAAGGCTAAGTCCCTAGGCATCCACGAAGAAGATGCAAAACCCTCTACCTTTGCCACAGGTATCATGGGCGCATCCTCTGGCGCATTTGGTGCCACCGTCGTCTACCCCCTAAACGTGCTCCGCACTCGACTCCAGACGCAAGGAACCAAGATGCACCCGGCGCGCTATACCGGCATTTGGGATGTCGCAAATAAGACGATTCGGAACGAGGGAGTCAGAGGCCTCTACAAAGGGTTAATGCCCAACCTCCTGAAGGTCGCCCCCGCCTTGAGCATCACATGGATGGTTTATGAAAATGCGAAGCGAATCATGGACTTGAACTGAGCTCGGGGCCCAGACCGGAACCGATACCCCTCAAAGGCAAGGCAATTACCATTGGCCATGGATAGAGCGAAGCATGTTTGAAATGGAGGCTTGGGGTTGAACCAATGCATCTTTGGCATTTCGTTTAAAAGATGCAAGCTCGCAGTAAGCACCATCTTGAATGCCATTCGAGACACCGAGACCTCATCGACCTAGATGAACAAAGATGAGGATGAAAAAATGAAGGATTAGATACAGGGTTTTTGATATTGCGCGATTTGCATTGGTTAGGCGTTTTCACGGGGCAGAGGATGTACATATACATTGCGATTGATGAAAGTCATGCAAGTGACCTTTTTTTGAAGCAGCCTGATAGCCGCAATACCGTCCAAGCTCGTGGTGGAACCGAGCAGATAGTCAATAAGATACCCTTGCTACGATGCGTTCGCTTCTTGTGTTGGCGCTTGTACATCTGCGCACAGGTGTGGCTGCTAGTGAAGTACCTTGAAAGTTCGTGTCTGCGTTCTAACAAAATAACGTGTTCTATACAATAAGCATACATGAGCGAGTACTACTACTCTCATCCTACATATGGGGCGCTAGAAAGCCCCGTTTACCCATACCATCTCACAGGTCGAGAAGCTCAATCCCGATCATCTCTGAGTGAAACGAAGCATGACAGGGGGCAACGTCGTGGTGAAAGTATCTTTAGCCTCCTTATCAAACGTCTCCCCAGTCTCCCCAGGGGCGAACGAGATGTCGAGCTGCTGTGCCAGGCGGGAGATGGCAATACGCAGGGAAATCATGGCGAGGTTCTTGCCGGGACAAGAGTAGGCTCCTGGGAATTCGCACGCGTTAGCAACCGAATCTTCAAATCTCTGCATACCTACGTAATTGGCGTTGAGAGTTTGGGCCTACCAAGACTAAAAGGAACAAACGGCGCCCCCTCGGTCCCCATCTCTTCCCTCCGCTCTCCGAACCTCTCAGGCACAAATTCATTAGCTTGCTTCCAGTAACGCTTGTCTGTATGGATCTGCTGCACGGGCACGAATACGTTGGTGTCGCCGGGGATGAACTGCTCGTCTACTTGGATTCCCTGCGGCGGCGTGACGCGATATCCGCCTGTGAGCAGGGCGGGTTTCAGCCGCAGTGTTTCGTTGATAATGTCATCAATGTACGTAATCGATTTCATCTTTTCGTATGTCCAGGAAGAAGGGATGGGCATGAGGGCATCGACTTGGGACTGTAGTTTTGCAAGGACGGCGGGCTGGAGAGCGAGATAGTAAAGTATCGCGGCCAGGGTCGTGGCCGTGGTTTCGCTGCCGGCAATGATGACAACGCGGGAGTCTTCGTGGAGGGCTTCTGCAGATGATGAGGCGGAGGCGTCTTTTTCGAGGAAGGATTTGAGGAGCCAGGTTATTATGTCTTGGGGGTATTGGTTGGGGTCATAGTCCTGAAAAGAAACAAGTCAGCGGTGAACTCATAAACAATCAATGGCCGTCTTTCTCTTCTTCTTTTTGAGTTTGGCTTACCTTCTGCTTAGTCTTGATCTCGGACGCACACCACCCGAAGAAACCAGTATATCCAGCTGTGGCAAACGGGATACACGAGAGTAGATTCAGGAGCCAGGGGACGTGGCTCATGATCCCAAGGATGTTCACTGGAGTGACGTAAATTAGTGTTCACCACTTTTAGGAAGCTAAGCGATGACACGGGGGTTCAAAAATTCTTGTGCTCTCGAGACAGGCCGCAAAGGGGAAAAAAAGACCTCTGGAAGCTTCATACTGTGTTCATGTACCCCTTTGATGGCAGGGTGCTCCGTCCCGCTGGCGACACTGCCAAAGTCCTTGCTGAAGCCGACCTCGCCCATGACGTCGAAGGCGAGGTACATAGACCACGCTGTCCCGTCAAGAGGTCCTTTGGATTTCGACAGTTGAGTGACGAATTGGTCGACTTTGGCTTTGATACGAGGTTCGTAGGTGTTGAGTGCTGTCGTTCTCATGTAGGCAACAGCTGGTGAGATGAGGGCGGTGATATTACTTACCTCGGATGGAGAATCCCCTATCCCATGCTCTGCGTCTACTCTTGTGGTTATCAAAGTCCCTCGTCATGTGGATCGAACACTTCTTGTAGTTGCTGTCAACCTGCATGTACCAAGTCGATTTCAAACACTCTGAGTTCGGGCCGTATATTAATGGCACAGCTGACTTTCGAACGATGCACAGTTCGCGAGGGCCTGTGGTACTCATGTGTCGGTTCACATCTTGGCAAGCAGAAGGGACGAGTCAGATGCCGACTTACCAGTACGAATGAAGTCACCGTATTTCTCATGCATACGGTCGACCTCCTTGAAGTATTTGACTTCCTTCGCTGCGATTATTGCAGAATAGAACCGGCTGATCTTGGCACCTTTTGGGCCTGGGAATTTGTGTAACCGGTGAAAGAAGAGCCGGTATATGACGATGCTGAGGAACAGGCCGGAATTGAAGCTGAATACAATTATAGCGACTCTTGTGAGAGCCCCGACAATGGAGAAACCGACGATATGGTATGCGAATACAAGACCGCCAGTCGCCAAGGAGAGGACCTCAAGAAGTTGGTACACTGCAATAACGAGTGTCAGTCATCAATTTCGAGGGCACTATCTATCCCGGATGGGACTCAGGGGCCGATCGAGTTTCCCGATGCAAGCCCGATCGAGAGGTGATTCTCATGAGATAGGTCACCAAGGGGGATAATCAAATACACATAGTAAGCTACTTACTAAAGTTTTCCACCTCAACATTTCGCAGGATGGTAACATGAAACAAGAAACCCAAATTAATGGCAATGACAACCGTACGACTAACATCAGTGTCAAGAAAGGTCCTCAAGCCCTCAAGTGACAAGACTAAACGAGCTGCCATGTTGTGCGTATATTCAGTCTACTAAAGCAGGCTTCAGGCGAGTTCGAAGACCTGATAGAAGAGCCAGATCACGAAAAGGGTAATATATATATATTCCAACCCAGGATGCGTTCTAGACACATAGACCGTCCGACCAGATGCAGGAATCACACTGGTCCCACTTCCCCGCGATTCAAATTCTCTGGTGTATAGCCGAATTAGGTAGGTAGGTCGTTTTGATGGACCTCGATAGACCAAAAGAGTGTGGTTGAGTGGAGGCCCGGGCCGCGTACGTGAAATCGGTTGACTTAGAGGACTATAAGTGCTGCCTTTCTGGAAAATAGAAATGTCACTCGTTGATATTTGCCGACCGAGAGTTTTTTCAAAAAGAAATATTTCCACGGGACTTCTCGAGTGACCAATTCGCATCGTGCTGATTATGCGCTTGGTCTAACCAAGAAAACGTAGCGGGGGTGTTCCGGGGGGTTATCTGGTCACAGTGACGAGGGCAACGATTTCCATACTACTTATGTAACCACGTCCGTATGTGAACAACTGCGTCCGCCCCCTGTCATCCGCAAGGTTGGACAGTCACTTCTGATCAAAGATTAGAGAATGCCAACGCATACATAAGAGGTAAAGTCCAGAACCTGCCGGCAGGCCTTGGCAGATTTGGTCATGGGGAGATATTGGGGGTGGCTACACTCCTGTAGATCTATCAATGTTGAAGGCCAGGAAAGTCTAAGAGCAAACATGGATATCTGCAGCAGATATACGCTCACAACCCAAATCTCTAATATCGTTCAGCACCAAACTACACGAGTAGCATCCAACAAGCCACTGGGAACTGAGATATGTTCTCGCGCGGAGGATACCTCCGTCTTTAGCCAAAATTGCAAAGATATGTCAGAAGCTAGATGCTTGGATATGTGCTCAGCTGGGTGCAGATCAATGTTCCGCAAGGCAGGGATGTGAATGTTACTGCCAATCATGAGGCCGGCATTTCTGCAACGAAACCAGCGTTCTGGCGGAATAGATCGGGGGATAAGGTCCAGGTAACGCACTCGTTCCAGGTGACTAGCGATGACAAGGGCACTGAAGTGGCTCGAGAGGGTGCGTATTGGGAATGAAGAATTGGGAGTGAAAGGTATTAACGACAGGTTTGAAACATCGGTATAGTGCCACATACACGATCTGTTTGCTTGTTTGATAACTCGCTGCACCAGCCTGATAAGCATTGACACTTGCGCAAGACTGGCTGCCGAAAACGAAGACTGAAGCAGACTGGACATAGGCACAGCCTGGGAAACAACAACTGTGTACCCCTCCGAAATAAATCAAATACACTCCTTACAACTTGCAGAGGCCCATAAGCAGTGATGTTAGAGCTCCAGCGATTGACTTAAGGGAAGGTGGCGCACAGCCACCCCACTTCAGAGACCTATGGGACTGCCCACTACGCCTCCCGGATTTAGTCCTTCAACGTCTCTCTATCAGCCTCATTATCCTTTAAAAGTGTACGGTAGCGTGTCTTCTACGAACTAGGCCTTCATGTGGCGCTACGTATGCTCGATCAGCGACTGATTAGGACTGTAAGCAGGCTAATCGGTAGTCCATATGCCGTGAGCTTCTAGCCACTCTTGTGAAGCCCTAGAAGCGTGTGTTCTAGCGTTATCTTGCGGGAAAAATATGCTAGGAGTGCACACTGGTAGTAGCGCTTCCTATAAAGCCCATATATACGACCGGGAAGAAAAGCTATCACGCGCAGCGCTGAATCCCGCTCCACAATGACGATATTGGGGCGCTCCCCCTTCTATATGGACCCCCAAATGATAATGTTGATAGCCGGCTTACCGTGCTCGGTACAGTCAACCATTCTATTATCAAATGCCGGCGCTAGCATTCGTCGTATTTTGGACCGTTTATTCGTTATTAAAGATGACCTGTTGATTTGCTGGAAGATCGCTTAGAGATCGCTAAATCTGACACCCGGTGTCACTCGTACGTACCTTGGTTGATTGTTCTTCCCTGCCCTTCTAAGAGAAGTCGTAGATTACACGTTAAGCAACGGCCCTGATTATTAGCTATATACGCCGTAGCGACTTCCAGTGCCGTAGGTTACGGAACCAGAAGGGGGCCTAGATAGGGTTACGGCTGAAGGAACGGCCTATATATTCGCGGCCCTCTTTGGATAGTAATGCCTAGCTAATTATGGGGGTCCGCCGTACTATTCTGGTTATGCAGCGAGCCTCAAGTATAGTGCTTTGGGCGGCCGCTACGTTAGCATGAGGTGAATGATTAAGTGTCTTGCAGGCGGTTACGCGTGACACTGACGGCGAGTATTCGCATCGGCTGGCAACCCCGCATACACTTAAGCCACCAATATGCTAAGCCGCTATGGTGGCGCGTACGGTTTGAGAGTATTCCTGGCTTCTCTGGTAACCGGCGATTAAAATGCGCGCAAGTGCTTTTCTTGGAGTATTTTCCATTGTTGCTCATGGCCGATTGAAACGGTGTGGTCGGGTAAATTAAATTTGACGCGAGAGTTACTTGTTCTTGAGCTCGTCTGCGTTGACGTTCTGCTTTATTTTGTAGCGCTAGAAGACTCCAGTGGATTATCAACAACAACGAACGACTTCCTTGATGAAGAGGAAGCTGTTGTGTGCACAAGCTCGGCGCGCTTGGGTGCGTGCAAGGTGACCCTTCGTGTGGATATCTGATATCCGGGTTGCTGGGGACGAGCTACATGGAGCTCTTTGCGAGCACAGGAACATACGAGAGAAGAAACACTTGAGACAAGCGCTCTTGCTCGGGTGTCATTGCCAAGATTCGCTGCTAGGTTGAAAGCATGAGAATTAACGCTGAGCTTCAAAATAGCTGTCTCGAGTATACCAGCGCTTGATGGTTCACTGGTCATTGAGGTCGGCACTAAAGAAGGGATCCAGCGTCGGGCGTTGCCGCTCGCTCCACCAGAGCCTATTGATGGCCACGAGACAACGGCCATCAAACCCCACTACGGCGGCAGGAACACCGATATTCCTGGTAAGAACTGCAAAGTCCCGAAATCATCAGATGATCCGCTGCACGCCTCCATTGCATGCTCAGCCACCAGGCACACCACCTCTGTCCAGTCGTGCATTGGAATTTGAAGAAACTGCCGGGTGACGTTTGTGATTCACCGTTGAAATCGAATCAAACAAAACAGGATTTTGGCACCGTAGGTGGCGAAGATACCATACCCCTGGCTGATAGTCGTGAGCCGGGCTTTTAGCGAGAGCTTGCAGGGTACCAATCGGCAAAATGATTGGCTAATGTGTTCTGCCATAGCCAAACCTTGATCTGCCCCACCTGAAAGTCATTGGGCAGATGGACCAGGATATCATTCAAGCATCACCCAAGCATCACCCAAGCTTCACCCCATTTCGCCGTCCTTTCTGTACCTTTTCCGGAAAAGCGTCACCCAGGTGCAGCTGTACAAGGCCCGAGGGAACCAATCTGTGAATTACCCTTCGTGCAGATTTTTATACTGATTCCCAAGAGGCAGGAGGGGCTCTCTACCTGCACCGCCTCACTCGTGGTCCAATGTCGTCACCGATGCCAGTCGGAATGATCGTCGCAACCATGAACTTGAATAAATGCCAGCCAAGTCTTGCCTTCCACGATGGCGAGTTTTTGGATAGATGGGCACCATACACCTGTCACTCCGTGGGTGTCCCCTTGCGCAGTTCGTCAAGCACCGATCTATCCAAGTGGTCTCGCCCGTTCAAGCTAGAGCCAACTGGGTGCACCTTGGTATCTACTATACTGTGCAAGTCAACAACGAAGGAGTGAATTCACCTTTCGACAAAACACATCCTGCCCACCTCGACTCACTCACAAGTCAAAATCGGTGGAGATCAAGGGCAGCATTCTTAGTCAACCCTCATTTTGATCTAGGTGAACGCCGGGGTTCGTCTGGTCGCTTCATCAACAGGGTACGAAAGAAAAACCACTGGCCAAGAGACAACGTTGAGCGCTTAACCAGACCCGCGTGTAACTTCGAGAGGTAGCCGACAAAGAAGCCTCTTCTTCCGTCTGCAGGTCGGGACAAAGACGTTTCTAATTCTGCTTGTGAAACCCTGTTCAATTTGGTCAGCTGGTCCTTGACTGGCCTAGGCTTGGCCTTACAACCATGAGGTGCGTGTTGTTTAGTTGACTCGACTATTTCCTTTAATCGTGAATGTCCCATGATTGTCTTCACCGTCTACTCACCATCGAGTTACCCACAAACAACCCTTTTTTATTATTCTTGAACAGCAACATGTTTATTAATGAAGTCATAGCGGATCAATAGACCATTGAATCATTATTCAAACATTTCTTTTCTTTGACTGTTCGCTTAGAGTCTATTTCCTCAGCCATTCCCCGTCCTTTTTCTGTCTTGCTACCTGCCCTTGATACCCTTTACTTTACTTTACTTTACTCTGGTACACTCGACCAAATTCCTAAGAATTACCAACTCTTCTCGGCTTTCACTTGGCTCAACCGACGTTTCTCGTTTTCTCATACCCTGGCAAAAACATATATACTAAGACAAGACTCCGCAGGACCAAAAGAGTCACCATCATGCCTCCCTCGGAAGAAAAGGACCCATCTGCTTTCCCAGACGTCCCCAACAGCGTCCAGGATAAACCAGTGGAGACCAGAGGCTGGAAACGTCATGCCAAATATGTGGGAGGACAGATGCGCGGAGGTCCTACACCTTATCTCGGACTGCCAGCCCGACTATCGCAGGTCTGGTTCAATCGATGGACCATTCTCCTGCTTCTGGTCCTTGCCAGAGTACTCATCATGCTGGCGGGTCTGAACGAAAACCTCGGTGACGCCAAGGTCAAGGCTCTAACGGCGTGTACGAAAGTAGAGGACATTGGAAGTGCCATGGCCTCTATGCCTCATTACTTGTCCGTCGGAGTCAACTCCCTTACCGCAAGTGGTATCACACATGCAGTCCATGGCATGATGTCCGTCTTGAACATGGTCCTCACCGGCGTCGAGCAACTCATCTTGTTTGTCATCCACATGATGACCGACACGTACATGTGCTTGATCGCAATGGCAGTACACGGAGGATTGAACGTCTCCGCTTTTGTCGTGGAGAAGGTTACGGATGGAATGAACAGCGTCGTTCATGGCGTCGCCGATGACATCGGAACTATAGCCGACGGTGTGTCGAAAGCCATCGACGAGGCCTGGGATCTCATCGATGCTGCCACTTCTGCTATTGGTGTCACACCGACCAAGCCGGATTTGGACCTCTCGAAGGACATCGACAAGTTGAAGAACGTCAAAATCGATACGTCAGGCTTCGTTGCGGACCTCACGCATCTTGAAGAGGATTTACCAACTTTCGACGATGTGCGCGACTTCACCAACAACGCCGTGTCCATCCCCTTCGACTTGGTCAAGCAGGCTCTCAACAAATCCTACGGCAACTGGGAGTTCGACCAATCCGTCTTTCCCGTGGCGCAGAAGGAAGCGCTTTCGTTCTGCTCCGACAATTCGGTCATCAACGACTTCTTCGAACGCCTGTTCGAGCTTGCCGCCAAGGCTAAGACCGCCTTCATTGTCATATTGTCAGTTCTCGCCGTCCTTGCCTGCATTCCCATGGCCTACTGGGAGATTCGACGCTGGCGCGCCATGGAAAATTACCAGGATTTGTTCCACAAACGTGCATCCGACGAATATGACCTCTATCTGATGTCCTCGCGCCCTCTGACATCGAAGATCGGTCTCAAGTTCACAAGCAAAATCATGAACCCACAGCGGGAGAGACTGGTTCGATGGAGTATAGCCTACGGGACGTCACTGCCAGCCCTCTTCGTCCTATCCCTTGCCATCGCTGGCTTCTTCTCATGTTTCTGCCAATGGATTCTCCTAAGGGGGATCGAGAAGGAGGTGCCTGAGCTTGCCAACCAGGTCGGGGACTTCGCCGGTCAAGTTGTCACCACTTTGGAGAATGTTTCTGTGGACTGGGCCAATGACGCCAACGGTGTCATCACCTCATTCAGCGACGATATCAACAACGATGTTTTGGGCTACGTGACGAATGCCACAGACGCCGTCAACGACACCTTGAACACATTCACCCAAGAGATGGATCGAGGTCTAACCGCTGTCTTCAACGGTACCATTCTGGAGAACCCAATCAAGGATGTGGTTCGTTGTTTGGTTGGCCTGAAGATCGAGTCTGTGCAAAAGGGCCTGACCTGGGTTCACGACCACGCCAAAGTTACTTTACCGTTGTTCGCGAACGACACCTTCTCGGTCGGTGCGCAGAAGTCGATATCAGGAGACTCGGACCTCACGTCGTTCCTCGCCTCACCAAGCAGTGTGACCACCGACGAGGTCACCGGCGCCGTCACCCACGTCACCACTGCGCTACGGAACAACATCATTCAAGAGGCGCTCATATCCACTGGCCTTCTCCTCGTCTACGTCCTCGTCGTCTTGATGGGCATAATCCGCATGCTGGTAGCCTTGCCAACGGCGAAGGGAGAACCGGAGCTCACGGGCGGCACCCAATTTGCCCATGACCAATATGCAATGAGGCAAATTCGGCGGTCCAGAAGTGCGGGCCCACCGTCGCCAACGGACCCCAATCCTTTCAGCGAACGATACCGCATAAAAGACGAGGCATTTGGTAACGTGCCGCGGTATGATGGCGTCCAGCATCACACGGCCCACGCGCGAACCAGCAGTTACGGCGACGTGAAGTACTAGAATTACGGACCTCCTGATATTGATGGAGCACGCGATCTTGAAAAGGGTCACTGCAATTAATGTCTTTTTTTTTGCGCCTTTTCCGTTCCTGCCTGGGCTGGAACCCAGATAGACAGCGAGCACATGAGGGGAAGGGGGTTCATTATGATGAATCGGTTCGGCATGAGTTTGACGACGCGAGACCATAGCGGACGGCGTTTTCTTGCATATGGGAACAGCGGCCACCTTTTTTTGCGTTCATTTTCGCATTTTCTCCAGCATACGACAAGCAAACACATCCCAAAAAAAAGTCCACGTCTATGACCAACAGCAGATTGGATTTGATCGTTGGCATCATCAGCACAAAAAGAAAAGAGATATCTCGGCTTACGCCACAGCGTTGACATACATACGTTCTATTTATTGAATAATCACTTATCTTGAGTTGAGATATTCCCGGGCCTTTTGGGAGATTGACGAGCGAGGAAGAGGTTGGTTGGCGGTAGCCACAGCGACAAGAAGCGATAGCGATGATGGAGGTGAAGGTCTCGGCCGATTATCTATAGCCCAACTACTTACATATCAGACAATTACCAGAATACTACTATCGTGTGGCTACTGATTTTATGTCTTTAGTGATTGTGGATCGTTCGAGTTTGGAAATGTGTGAAATGTAGAAGAGTAATCTCGACAGCTCACATGCGGCATGGAGCATTGAGTTGCCAGGGTGTTGGCGTGGGTATCAATGTATTACTATTTCGCTGATGGAAAATCAAAGTCGCTTGCGGAAACCAACTAAGCCCCAAGCTCATCGTAGTACTAACGATATATCTCCTTATCTCGGGCAAAGGCACCAGTACCTCACTTTCCCTCATTACAAGCGCGCCGTCACCATTTTACGCACCGTCTTATGAACCGCCTTGCGTACCTCCGTCAGAAATTCCGCCCTCGGCGAACTACTCGATCGCGGACGCGGTGCCCGTCTCGTGGGATCCGTCCACAGAGAGAGTTCGTCAACTTGGTTCTGAAGATGCATCAACTGGCTTGAGCCCACTACGTGAAGAGCTCGGTGGATACGATGTGTTTGGCGCCCCAGTGACATCGTGATCAAATCTTGCTGGATGATCGGCGTAGCAGAAGGCCCGCCTCCGAAAAGCAAAAATGCATTCCAGTGTTGACGTTCTACGGGATGGGGATGGAGTGGTGGGGGCTCCGGTTGCAGGACTGTTATAGGGACGGCTGTTCGCTATACATGTAACTCATCCACGGGCGCTGTGGCTCCGAGGTCGTCGCACTCGAAGCTGGGAAAGGTTGAAGCACTTTCAAGATGGTCATTTCCAAACTCGCTGACATGCTCTCTTGTGTCATGATTTGCTCCCTTGGCGGATGTACTCGGACAAGTTGAGCTCGGGAGAGTCTCCACCGCCTCAATGCCATCATCAGTCAGTGCTGATGCATCCCAGTCCCCGAATGTGCTGACAGTATTGGCGCTGCAGACACGATTTTCGATTTCGCTCTCGGCAGTCCCATCCAACTGCGCCGGTGCAACGGGCTCCTATCTCGCCGATGCAACGGAATCCTGTCTCACTGCTGCTGCGGCCGGAAAATTCCTCGCTGACAGGAACAATCCCTTCACACTACGTATAGCGTCCTTAGTCTTCTGATATTCGTCATTGGGCTCCGACGACCGCCCCGTGCCGAACCCAGGCCCCCCGTACAGGGACGTGTACTCGGGCATGGGAGGGTAAGCCAGCTTGTCGACATCGTCGCGGATCTCGCGCACTGTGTTGTGCAGGTCGGTCGAGTTCTCGGCCTTTTTGGTGTACATATCGGTCAGATCCTGGAGCGAAGACGTGAGCTGGGCCAACCGCCGCGCTTGCACGTCGATGGGCGCCTCAGTTGACCCGGCGGCGGTGCCCCGGGGGAAGGCTAGCGGTGGCGGCGAGGTCTGCGTCCCGATGTCGCGGTGGAAGAGCTCCGTCGGGTCGTCGTAGCTACTGTTATCGTCGACGTCGACGTTCTCGTCTGACTTGAGCAGCTTGCCGTTCTTGTAGGGCACTTCACTTGCGGCGCCTTCGAGCTTTTCGACCAGCTCCGAGAGCTTTGAGTTGACGTGGCTGTAGTAGTCGGTTCGTGACTCGTTGAGCGTCTCAACCATCGGCTCCACGATGAAGCGTGCTGCTCCATAAAGAAACGTCCAGGCGGTGCCTGAGACGGTGAAGATGTTGAGAAGGCGTGTCGGGGTTATGAGAGGTGGTGGCCGCGGAGAATGTGTCAAGAACTCGGGGTAGGTAATGATAGGGGGGGTACTGCTTGGTGTTGTCGATAATGCTTGTGAAGACACAGTGGATGGACGTGGCTGCGTAACATCTTTAGACGTCTCTGGCGGTTCCGACTTGGTTTCCACCTCTGTTTTTGCTTGTTGCGGTTCGGCTTCACCGCCCAATAGTTTCTGAATCTCCTCATCCCCAAACCCCTTGCTTTTCAGAAACTCTGCCTTCTTCTCTAAGCTCGAAGTGCGGACTGCATCATCGTCGAGAAACCTCCGCGCCTGCTCGAGCGTTGGTCGCGATTCAGAGACCGACTCTGCGTTCTCGGGTGGGTTATCCGATGGAGTTTGTTGCCAATCTAACACCTTCGTCTTGTCTGACTCAGCCATGATATCAAATAGGTTGTAGTGACTAGAACATAGGTCGGTTTAGGAATACGTGAGAGGGTTAAGGCAGCTGTGTCGCACCAACCGGATAAGAAAGGTAGTGAAGACTGGATGTCATAGCCTCGGCTGCTCTACACTGCTTCCGAGCTCCACTTACTTACATTAGCCCCGCTCGTTGGTGTATCACCTAAAAGTGCCTTAATGAATCTAGGTTATTGCTTCACCGAGCTCACCGAGCACTTGGGAAGTTTCAATCCACGTGACACTGATTCAGTGGTTGAGCTGGGGACGAGCCCTCTCAAGGTTGCTGAGAGTGCGAAGCTCTGAAAAATCCTGGTTGCATCAAATGAAATTCAGTTATTTGGATATTGTCTTTTGATGAAGCTGTTGTTTCTAGCTTGCGGAACTCTTGGTCTTGCAGCAATCGGCATTCTAATCGCCGACATCTGAAAGCCAACTCGCTCCTCCACACTCAAACATCATCACTGACCGCAGGACTTGGAGACTGTCTGCAAGGTAAACTCACAGCTGCCAGGTCAATCTGATCATCCAAAGCAAGCAAGCGCCTTTTCATGCAACGCCCCGCGATTCTTCGCCTCCCATAAGCCCGAGCAGACAGGCTAATCGGCACAACCACAGAGGATCGCCATCTCATCCAACGTTGGACAAGCACAGCCAGGGGGCCGCAAGCTCAAAGGGTCTCGCACCATTGGTCTGGCCAGCCACAGGCTCATCATCCCGTCCAAATACTGTAAGTACCAGGCTGCTGCATATCAGATACACAAACCTGTCATTCCCCAATTTCATCCAGTGTCCTTTCAAAGGGGTTCCATCGGTCGCATATTTGTCGTTGTCAGCGAAGTCGCCGGCTGCAATTACACAAGTGCGGGAGCCTTTGGTGTAATCAAAGGAGAAGAATCAGCGCTTGTCCATGATCCATGGCAAACATATATCCTGTTCGGGATATTTCCACGTGAGGCGGTTGGCTGTTGGCTCAACCGAAGTTTGTCTGGGTTTCTGCGCCAGCGACTGGATTTTACCACGCACTTCGACTTTGCCGGTGCCTGTCCTGTGGGCTCTCACTTCATCTATTCCTTGCCGAGCGCACCCAGCGTGTCACGGTCTATCTTATGCCGCAAGCTTATTTCGACCTCACTTCCCTTGCATAACATAGCAACCCCCCAACAATTCCCATCATCACCTTTCCTCAATTCTTCCGCCGACCACATCAACCATATCCCAGCAGAAGCAACTCCTACCCACCTCCCTGTATTCCATCATCCCATCTTATACTCCACCATAAACTACGCCACACTTACTGTCTCGCCATGGCGTCACGCCCGCGCCGAGCCGCGGCCCAAAAGGCCAATACAGTAATCGCTGACATGGCTGACAGCGATAATAACGGCAATACTCGGCTCAGTAGAACCATGTCGTCCAGAAATTCATCACGCCGATCTGAGGGTAAGACCGCCGTAGCAACTGTCACACGCGGCCCTCCGTCGTTACCCTCGGATTCTAACCAGCATATTCATGTCACAGTTAAGCTTCCTGCTAGCAAGCTCTGCCAGGCTATATCCAACCGCCAGTCGGTGGCCAGCAGGGAAGGCTTTGTCCCCGGGGAGATAGTCGAGGGTAAGAGGAATCGGAATCAGAAGAAGAGCTACGTTGTAGACTCTAGCGACGATGAAGATGAGGACGCCCAAGGCGAGGAAGACGAAGATGCTGAAGGTGATGACGATGACGTGGTAGAAATGGGCGAGGACGACGTCGAGGGCGAGATCGTCGTCGATGACACCATGGATATTGATGCCGATGGAGATGAAGACGACCTTGTAGACGAGGATGCCGAGGGTGAGGATGACGATATGGTTGACCTACCGCCTCCGCAACCCACCATCAAGGTCTCCAAGCCTACTAAAAGCACCCCTCAGAAGAAGATCCCCGTCAAGTCAGGAAGCAAGGCAGTCGTCCAAGCGAAAGACAGCGATGATGAGGAACTTAGCGAGCTGGAGAGCGAGGAAGAGGAGATCCACGACACCGTCAAAGTCGGAGGGATGGGGGCTGCGTTGGGCGATGACGACGCCGAGGGAGAGGAAGACGACGATATCGAGGCAGCTGGCGCGGGCGAAGAAGAAGAGGACGACGATCTCGAAAGCGACGACGATACTCCAGGAGGTGGCAGCCGAGCAGAGACACCTGATCTCACAAAGATGACAAAACGTCAACGAGCAAGGTTTGAGGATGGCGATGGACAACTGATGAAACTCTCTGATGGTAAATACTCATTACTTATTAGTAACACCGAGTATCCGAGCTAACCATTTCCCAGAGGTGCAAGCAAAGAAACACTTCACTGCGGAGGAGTTGTCTATGAGACGTTCTGAGATGGCTCGGAGACGACGCAACCTTAGTGACAAGCGAAATGAGGAAGTCAAGGTAAAACATAATTTCTCAGAAGTTGCCGAATATGCTGCTTACTAGGAACCACAGATGGAGACAATCAACAAGCTTCTAAAGAAGCAAGCTCCCAAGATCAGCCGCAAGGCTCAACTGGCTGCAGATGAAGCCACCGATGCCGAGTCTCAGAAGCCGAACCCTGTCTTCGTAAGATGGATCAGCACCAAGGAGGGAAACCGGGTCGCTGTTCCTGATGAGATGCTTGCTGGCCCAACTGGTAAAGTCTTCATTGCAGGTGGGCTCAAGAGCGGGAAGATGGTGGAGGAGGTATCTTGAGCATGTGCTCACACCGCCGAGACTACTTGCACACATTCATAATTTCAGCGGCATCGAATTCTCTCCTTAAATTAACCACTGTGGCACCGGCAAAAGTTCAACGATTTGCAGATGAACTACTATCTGTGATGGACATCTGCAACATCCATTCCATCACCTTGAGTCACAGCATTGCACAACAGGCTGTGTTAGTTACTCACACGCCTGCATCATGCTGCCGAGAGTGTTACCCAGAGCTTTTGGTCTTTCTGGAAAAGAACTACCAGTGACAAGACTGTTCGTTCGATCGCGAGAAAGCAACGACTGATAAGAAACTGGGTTGGCTTACATGGGGGCGACTCCGATCTACTTTGAGGATTGACAGGGGTCGAAGTCTTGCTCTGATCAACTATTTCATACCGCGAAGCCTTTGATGGTACCAAACTGATTGGCTTAAATATGGGCGTCTTTCGATCCACATGAAGGAACGTATAGAGAGGCCGAAATATTTTCCTTCACCAACTATCCACATCGCGAAGCCTTTGATGTCACAAAACCGGCATTTTGGATGTTCCATGGTTTCTAGCAAGAACATATTACAGCAAAGCTAGCAAAGCTGATGTAAGTTCTACGTCTCAACATCGATCATAGCCGGATAGTGTTCCTATTGAACGTAGACAGATCGTTTCACTTCAGCCCAAAGTGTGTACCTACGTGTAAAAAGACCGAAACAATCTGTTGCAAGAATAATAGCACATCACTCACCTCATCGCTGGATTTTCTATACGTATCAGTTACGGTATAGATAATGTGCTGCCTAAATTGGAGTACTAGAACAATGAAAAGTCTAGCCCTAATTGGATTTCTCGATTGTCCCCATTGCTTCACTAAAGACATCTGGAGCCATGTCGTCGATGGATCATTTATTGAATTCAACTCTTATAGTTCATGTCCTCACGATTCACATCCACCCTCACAGTTCATGGGTATCCTCACGAGTCACGTATACCTCTAAATTCACGTCTCACAACCCAAACATACTGTCCCCAGGTCTACTGTCGCGTCTAGTATTTAAGCACCTGCCACTCGACTGACTGACCACTTTCCACCCCCATAACCCACAACCAACTACAGCTACTCTGGGATATTCCATACTGCACTGGTGTGGTGTCGGATATTCTCGCAAAACCTGCTGAGCTTTCTCTTGTCTTCACTTTGCGCCACACCGCTGGTCGGACATTTTGGTTTTTACCCACTTTGCATACTTGCGAATTTTGCAGTATTGCCCTCGCCGTTGCTTCATCTAAGTACCTTGCTCTACAGCACCAGCATTAAAACAACAAGATGCCGAAGAACTGTGAGGAGAAGTCAGACGCGGAAAAGCGCGAGGAGAGACAGGCGAGGAAGATCAACCGCTGGGGCTATCGCGGAATTGCTACCGAAGAGGACAAAGAGCGAGCCCTGGACCTCGCGCTGTCTCGAATTCCCAGGAAGCGAAAGACTTTCCTCGACAATGTAAGCCTTTGTTTTGTTTTTAACCTTCTCACTATATTTTACTTCTACTCCCTGTTCCTATACTTTCTTTTTGCGGACAATTCCGGTCTCCCCCACAACTTTTCTATTCATGTGACTCCAAAGGGTAAAGTGATACTGATGAGGTATTGAAGGCTGAGCTCATGGCCAAGTTGAAAGCCGATGCTAAAGCTCAAGGGGCTGCCGAGGCATTTATTTCTTCTCCTTCGGCTGTCCCTCCTTCCTTCAAGAAGGCCCAGAAGTCCCGTGGCCCTTCGCAGAAGAAATCCCGAGCTACGAGTGCGCCGGTTTCCTCCTCGTTGTCGTTGGACGACCTGACTGATTCTGAGGCTGCCGGCAGTCCCGAATCTACCACTATGTCGGAACCCAACTTGGAGACTATTGATGAGCACAGACTTGAAGTCGAGTTACTTGCAGCGCCCGGTGAAGAAGTCGTGAAGCCGCAAGCGCAACAAGGCCCTGAGCATCGATCCAAGACCTCGACAGCGGTATTAGACCCCGAAGAGTCCGACAAGGCTGTATTCGAGGCGGCCTCGGAGTGTGATCCAGATGAAGCTGACGACCTGCATGTGGGATTCAAGACCTCCTCAACTGTGACCATGATCGAATCTGAAGCCGCCATCGAGGCACAGGTAAAAGTAACTCGAACTTGCAAAGAGAGCTCGATGACTACCTCTGTACAGACAAAAAAGCGGATCTTCGTTGATCTCGACGCCGAACTGAATGATGATGAGCTCGATGCCGAATTCGATGCCATCCAGGATGACGAGACTCAGTCGCTTGCGGGGTCCTCTGCCGCTGACTCGGATGTTGACGAACTTGAAGCCCAGCTCGAACGAGCCCGATGTTGCGGACCTTGAGGCACAACTTGTTGCAGAACTCGAGGCGGAACTCGACGAGATCCCGAGCGACGAGAAAGGCAAGAACTCTGAGCCAGTTCGAGTTGGACTCTTCTAAGTACAGCACATGACCACCTACTCCTGACGAACTCCTCTGGTCATCGGATATCCCTCTTCAACTGTGACCACATCTAAGCGAACCTTCTATTTCTTCCTCTTTTCCGACGAAAACCTCACGTGAGTTTTATGTTATTTCACACCTCAGTAACCCTTTGTTTTCATCTTTTCGACAGGAACCTACAGCGAAACTTTACGATTATACTCCCCAGAGAGTTATTCTCCGACAAGCAGGACTCTTGGCAACGCATTATACCCCAGCAGATTTGTTTTATCTTAAGCACGAAACTTGTCAGCGCTTAGTACGATCATATTAAACATTTTCTCGTAGGATTTCTGAGGGCTTTCAGAGATACATAGGTTGATCAGATATCCCCTAACATCCATATACAGGTTAGCCCGCGTCATACAGATTTCCGTTTATTGAATAATAGGTGAATGCCAACAAGTCCAAGGTCTCAGACAGCGTCTACCCTTCTCACTGCTCATCGCAAGCAGCAAGGCGCGGCCACCATATCAACCTGAAAAGCTCTCATTTTGGTGCGCAAAGTCTTGATAATTTTCTTCTATCTCACTAAACAAGCAAGCCATGAATGCAACAGAAGAGCTTGATGGATCGGGCCAAAACCGTTCCTGGCTGCTCTCCTAGCTCAAAACGACCTGAGAAATTTAAAATGAGAAGGACCACGTTGGGTATATCCTTCCTTCTGCGAGTGTAAAGAATTAGGGGCCAAATCTCAAACGAAAACCAAAACAAAGAAGGGGTTGTGCAAATGTGAAAGGTCGATAGGTCGATAGGTCGTGTGGGCTGGGTAGTTCCTATTCAGGATTATAATTAGCATATGGCCTCAGCGCAGTGACTCGTGTGTCTTACCTCGTGGACAACCTCATGCTTGTTGTACTGTAAAGGAGCAATCCCAAGCCTCAAATGTGTATGGACAGGTCCAGACATTCTGGCTACTTCCATTTACTTCTGCTGAGAACAAGCAGTCATGCCCCAAGTCGGCATCGTGGACATTCTGAATGTTGGCGTTTACCTGTGCTGAGAGCGGGTGGTCATGCCGTGCAACCCTAGCCCGTTGTTCTGCAAAGCGGGCGGGCTATTGGACGAAGACTGAGCCTGTAACCTATCAACCTGAGCTTCAAGTCTCAAAGGCGAAGGCCGAGTGAGAGTCTGGCCAGTCTGAGGTTCAAGTCTCAAAGGCGAAGGGCGATTCCGTCTCAGGCCACTCTGGCTTCCAAGTCCCGAGGTGGTGGGGGTAGGCGTTCCCGGTTGGGCTCCACGAGGACCGGGCAGCGTAAAAGCGGTAGGCGACATCATCTGGCCTCGACCAATAGCGAGGTTAACGGCAGGCTGGCTGGGCGTCGGAGCGGTGGGACTGTAGCCTCGAGTTTGCGTCGCACGGGGGCCGGCCGGGGCGCCAAGGCGGAAGGGCTGGGGAGGCGTGGGGCGGAAGTTGGCGTCGCGGCCGCTGACAGTGGTGTTGTCGTTCATGCCTGAGAGCCATCCCTTGCACTTGCCGTCGTTTGCCGTGGCGAATGTGTGGTCGAACGTCATGGACTTATGCGACGAATCCTGTTGAAGGGTTCGGTAGGCCGGACCGTGAATGCTGAGATCGCGGAGGTTCACGAAGGGAGTGTTGGGAGAGCTTAGATGAGGATTGACCGAGCGATTGGCGTTGACGGGAGCCTTAGCGGGAACATTGGCGGGAGCATCGCGGGGGTCAACCTTTCTCTTGAGGCCGTGAGTTTCACGGGTGTTCAGAGTAAACTCGATGTACTTCCTGCCGGCGTACTGGGCGGCCTGCAAGCCTCGGCTTTTGTCTCCCTTTTCGATGGCGCGGCGCTGCTGAGCTCGAGTCTGGCCCGGGTGGTCGAGAGGCACGGGGAGGCCGAAGATGGTGCCTGCTCTCTCTAGCTCTTCTACGAGGACCTTCCTCATCTCCATGACGCCGAGGCCTATGCCAAACTGGGCGCCCGTGACGTAGCAGCGGTCACTCTCGTCGGTGACGCCTTTTTCCTGGAGAAACTGATCGAGGCTGTTGAAAATAGTCCTGGGCGGATCGAGTCTCATGAAAGGGGCGACCTTGGACAAAAGCGAGTCGCCAGCGGGGTCATCGTCATCCGAGTCGTCCGCATCGGAATCATGATCCGTGGCCTCGTTCATGTCTTGATTCGAGTCGCCAACGTGGAAATCATGGCCTGCATCGATGGGAGCGCCTCCCTCTTTCGAGTCGGAAGAGCTGGATGAACAAGTCGACATGGACAGACTGGGAGCACGTGGGGCAGCAGCAGCCTGGTTGGGTCGGGTCGGGTTATCATCAGCTGGGAAATCATTGCCTGCATTAAACCATTCGAGTCCTTCGAACGAAGCATCCGGTGTAGAAATACTAGACAAGCTGGAAGAACCAGGAGCATGAGGTGTAGCACCGGCGTTTCCCTTGTCCTCGTTCTTTGGTGTGACGACAGCTTCTCCTTTGCCCTTGTCCTTGGGCTGAGAGTGAGTAGCATTCATAGCGCCAGTCGAGGTGGTGTTGTCAGCAGGACACAGAGGAGGCATTGAGCCAGCTGAGGTCGAGTTGTGAGTCGAATGTGAAAGTCGAGCCATGGTGCCAACTTGAGATGTGGATTGAACTTGTCAACTGTTCTGCCCTTGTTTGCCGTTTATGTTGTGCTGTGTGTGGGTGTTCCTCGGGTATACAAGTGAAGGCAGGGACGCGGTTGGGCTGGAGCGTGTTCTTTGCTTTTGTTGACCACCAATAATGCTTCTTGGAACCAAGCTGTTGTTCTGAGGTGGAATTCCAGGAATGGCCACAAGAAAATCAGGCCGAAATCCTGAAATCTGAGGACGCAACGGAATTGCTTGAACAGCTTGATCAAACCCAGTGCTGGAGGATAAAGCTACAGGATCGTAAATGGTTCCTCGCGCTCCCGGTTCATCAGCGTTGTTGAAACCGAGGTATTCGTCGCTCGAAAGACCCTGTTCCCGCGTTCGATGATGTAGCTGCAGGATCACAAATGGTTCCTTGAGCCACCACTTCATCAACTCTGTTGCCGAGCTCGAGGAATCCGCCCCTCTCAGGGGGTGAAGGCGCAATGGGTCTTGGAAGCAGGAATTGTCATTGCTGTTGGCCCGACTGAGGCTGAAAGGTTGCAGCTGAGGATTGATTGCCAAGTCTATATCGAGACGGCTTGTCTGCCTCACTTTCTTCGCTAGGCGTATCAGCCCAGTGAGTAGGCGGTCGCCAGGGTTTCGGATTTTGATGCTGAGGATCCTCATCGCTGTCTCCGCTGAGTGTGTTGTCTTAGTGCAAGCCTAATTGGCAGTCCTCCATTCTGTTGGGCTAAGGACCTCGCGATGATAGGCTACTGTTCTCATCGTCTTCCTCATCCCTTCGTCGTCGTATTCCCCGTCGCGTTGCTCATCGCCTTCATCGTCTTTTTCCTATGGGTAAACCTCAGGCCTTCCTCAGAGGCCGTCGCGTCTCAAACGCGCGCTTTCAACCTCGAGCTGTTTTCCCTTCTTATGAGGGACGAACTCCTCGTCTGAGAAACCCTCCCTGGTATTTCTCTTGGGCAACATCTTGCCGTCGACCTCGAAGCGGGTGCTCATCAGTGGACCCGGGTTGTTGGCGTTGGAAGTGATGGTTGTGTGGGAGGAAGAGGAATTACTGTCTGCGCCCAGCTCATCCTCCTCTGGAAAGAGAATTCCATGTCAGTGATTTGGGAGTGAACAAGAAACGGGGCATAGAAGTAGAATAAAGAGCAGAGCTGCGCCGAGGGCTAGGAGAACATAAATCCGGGAAGGTACACGTCAGGAGAAGTGAGTGCCGCCATGGAAATGGACGCTGCGGTAAGCATGGACATCATCTTGAGATCGCACGCAGCCGTGGAAGAGGGTGAAAGCACAGCCCTGAACTCCAACGACGCAGGAGGGCCGAGTATCACTTGGAGGCTCCTGCGTAAAGTCATGATCGGCTAGATCCCATGGATCAAATGAAGCATGCGAGAAACGTGGCTGATTCAGAGAATGCCAAGTATTGTTACTGTCAGATGCTATCATAATGGTTATTAAAGTCACCAACTTTGCGAATCAAGTATATATGAAGTGATGAAGTTAACCTGGAACTGAAACAAAGGGGGCTAATTAGAATAGAAAGGAGGTGTTGTTACCGAAAGAGAACGAACCTTGCCAGGACTAGTGGGTTCAGGGAGGCGTAGGTGCCCGCTTGCACACATTATAGCGACTATTACACAACTCTAAGGCAGATGCAGGATTGAAGGGGTATGTATGTCAGGGGAGTGAGCAAACAGACACTGGCAAGCTCAGACACACCACAGATAGCTGTGTTTAATCATCATCGGTGACGACACGTAAAAGTAGCGTTGATAGAACTGAAGTGTAGTTCCTGAATAAGGAGAGAGCCAGTAATGAAGCAAGTTTATCAGTCAGAAAATGAGGGGATGGCGTTTAAGGTGACAACAGAGAAAACAAAGTTGGCGAAAACATAAATTGGATAGTTTGAGAGTTTTCGTCGGTTAGGAATGGAACAACGCAGGAGGTGGAGTTGAACAGAAAACATAATCAGAGTTGGCAAGGAGTTGGTAGTATGTTGTGTAGTGACATATTGATTTTGGCATGCGAAATAGGTTAGAGGCAGACAAAAGGTGTACACTAGAGTTATCGTGCGAGTGTGGGAATAAGTGGACAGATACTAAGGCTGACATGCGAAGGAGTTGGGATTGACATACATGCTAGAGGGTCAAAGACAGACAGGGGTAGATAGTGGGCTGCAACAGTGAACAGCCGTTTCGTTTCGTTTCGTTCGTTTAGTACGATGGCAAAGAAACAAGGCAAAAATCTTGTGAAACGAATGCCAGTAATGGAGAAATAGGCCATATCAAGAAGTACGCTGGTGGCACTAGATACAAAGTTACAGTTTCAATAAAGTATAAAACATGTGGTTTTCATTGAGGAGGGAGTACAGTCATTTGTAGAGATGCAAATCAACAAGATCAACCCAGACGGAAAAGAAGCCCAAACAAGATAGAATATGAACTGATAGGCATTGGGACCAATGGTCCAATGAAGGAGCAAGGTGGGTTCAATGAGCTTTAGAAGGCTTGGAGTGGTGCTTGCTAGCTTTGTTCAAGATGACAAGAGCTTAGTGTAAGCCCAGCCATTGTTTTGCGGGGAAGAGTGCAAGTACTGAGGGTTCCCAAGTTCTCAAATTATAGACAGGATATCATCAATCTTCAAGAGTACTGTGCTAGTTATAGTGTACTGAGTGTGTACAGGTAGGAAACTCGGGTCTACGACATCAATAGCAGCGCTTTGGAGAATTGGTGCTGCCATCATAACAGAGAGCAGCACTTTCTGTCGGCCCAAAGTACGCAAACAATGCTTCGAGGGAGATATATGTAGTCGACGGGTCAGACAAAGTACAATTACAAGAGCTGACATTGCCATTGTCATCCCAGCTGGCTGTATGTCTGTGTGTCGATGTCTCGGGCCAGCGGTTATGAAGCTGATACTGAAGTATTAGGCAATATCAAGGAGATATTCTATGACGCCGGTGTATTTGTAAAGAACAGATATTAGGACTAATTAAATGTAGGTGGGGTCCTTGCATGTTGATTAGAATCATCAAGGGTGTTTTGACTTGCTGAAGGTAAATAAATTACATAGCTGTTGCACTGCGAAAAAGTGAGTGTAAGATGCCTATAACGCACCAAAGTACAGAAACAAAGCGCTTGTACTTACGAAGATCGCAAGGAAGTATCCGTACAATGGATCATGCTTGGAATAGGGGTTCTTATGTGTTGTGATCGAAGTTCAGCTTGTCGTGTTGAAGTGTCCCATATTCGCCATGTGTAAGTACGCAATTATTCGAGTATTATTGTGATTATCCTCATGCGAGGTCAGTATAAGAATATATATAAAATACCTCATCTTATGTTCAGTCAGAGTTCCATCAGTTTTCGCGGGAAGAACAGAAAGTAATCAACTTTACATATGGCCAATCTGCTTCTTCAGATACAGTTATACGAAGAGTCTGACACAAGTTGAGCGCAAAAGAACTACGGGAGACACCTACTGAAGAAAAATTGGCCGCCTGTAGGAAATAGTGTCTCAAGACGAGACAGTGATATTGTAGACGAAATGAGTGCTGCTTAGCTAGCTACATAGTATTCATGCGTGGCATTGAACTGAGTTACAGGTAATAGAGGCTAGCCACCTCAGTGAATGAAAGCCAGTACGGTTCCAAAACAAGAACCCTACTTTATATTGTCGGCTGGCGCATTGCTATGTGTGCACGAGACGGATTCCGGCCTTGAAACTACCTAGATAGCATGGCTGGGAACTGATGCGGCTCAAAGTGACGATTGAACTGAGAGAACAAGGGAGTCGATCCTCTTCATTGCATCCCGGATGGGAGATGCGTGTCCTAGTGTGGCAGAAAGATCACAATCAGAACAACGGGGTCAGTGATGGCTTTTGCAGGTAAGCAACATATGCAGATACCAGAAGGGGCATGACTCTCGCACTACATGCAGCTCTGAACTAGGATGACTAGTGTTAAACAGCAGCTTTTCCCGAAGGAGGACAACTTTTCGAAGCCGGGCACATGCATTGTCCAAACTTGGACCGCCCGAAAAATTGAAAGTTTGCGGAAATTTGTCACGCGCGACACGACTCAGCCAGGCGATGTTGACATAGCGAACCATTGATGACGTTGAGAGCTCAACCGAGGCATTGCGATTGTCTGTTTCAATCGCGCTTTGTTCCCGCCAGCTGCGCGACAACAGCATTCGTTTTGTCTAGCCCGGTTCTGTGGCACAGCAGCCGTTGGTTGCAATTTATCGGGTGCAAGGGCGGGCAAGCGGACAACGGCCTGCAAACTCCTGCAGCAGGCAAGCCCGACCTGGCAACCTGGCACGCTGGGAAGCGACACGGCGCCGAAACATCCACAGAGACAAGGATACAGTCTGAGTTTTCGAATCACCAGATTTCGGCCCCAGACGTTGATCTGTCGATTACTTCGAACGTCTCGCCGCAACCTACAAGTACAGATGCACCTTGCCTCGAACCTTGTTTCGCTTTCGAGTGGATTCTAGATGCCACTGCCGGACCCAAGAGCACTACGCTAAAATCGCCCACGACGCAGATACCGGTAAGTACCGACCCGCCGTTGGATAGCTTCATGTCAACAGGTTTTGCACTTCGGGGGAGAGGGGGGGGGTGTTGTTCCATGGCATGGCATGATCTGCACAGATTCATTAGCTGTCCCTAACCCTACATACCTACCACTGCTACCTCGCATCTTGCCTTGCTCCATCGTCGAACGTCTTGCTCCAGCGGGCAGCGGACATCACCTTCCATCATACCATGTCCCGTTCAAAATCAAGCTTGGCTGCTTGGGGTAAGCACAGCTCAAGTGAGACAAGCAAATTGAAGTCTATTATTGTCGAGGATGATCCCCATCCCATCTGTAATCACTATCAATGCGCAAGCGCCTAGCCGGCAAGCTCCATGTCGCTGACCGGCTCCCAGCCTTCGATATGCAGCTCTCGCTCGACACCCCAAGCCGTTCCCCGCACCCCACATTGACTGGACCCGTTGGTCAAGGTATAATAGGTTTGCCTTCTGCTGCGGATCCTCTTACTACGGTCTTGGAATACGACTCGTCTGTCCCATCGAGCTTTGCTGCTGTTGCTGGCGGTACCACGAGCAGGCCGTCGGTTCCTTCGTCAAATATGCTGTTTTCGGATTTATACAAATCTCCAAAGTCGCCATTGTCACGGCTGCGTCGAGAACCCCAGCCCATACCACCGCCATCACCTGACTATGAAGTCGACCTAATCAGCAAGGACAAGGTAAAACAGAAAGAGGCAGTGAAAAAGCACCTAGCTGCGAGGATACGCAGTGACTGGGAGTTTAAATGGCCCCGGCCGACTGAAGGTTCGCCTCCTACCTTCTCACCCCATGGACTTGCGACCCCCCCCGAGGACAAGTCCGGGCCCCATCAACAACCACCAAACCTTAATGGCGCAAGCCGCCTGGACGTTGACGATGTTGACTCGGATGACGAGACTGCTTCGACATACAGCACCGTGTCCGATGATCCAGTGCACTTTCAGCCTCGGGCCGAATGGTCGTCGGATATCTCAGATGATGATATGCCAGCATCGCCGTCAGCCTACCGATTTGATACCCCTGAAGCAGTTGGCTCCACGGTGAACACGTCGGCCTTGGTGAAGCGCGCTAAGAGGCGGAGGGCGATGCGCGCTGAAGAAGCTTGGAATCCCGGTCTGGCGTGCTTCAATGCCCGGCGCAATGCCTGGACGGGTGCGAAGACAGTTCGCATCAAATCAAAGTCATCATCCAACCCGACATGTCCATCTCATTCATCGCGGCGCCTCTCATTCTGGCGCATCACAATTCCGACATCCCCCACGACACCATCAGGACACGCAGCATCGACTACATCACCCCTCTCCCCAAGTGTCACGCGGACATCGGGTGAAACTACAGCAGTAGCATCGTCTGATGCTGAGTCCAAAGAGGCGGCCCCGAAGCAAGACTCGGCCAACCTCCCCGTGGAAACTCTGTTACCCATCCCCCCGCCGCTGCTGCCTCCCGCCAACCCAATGCGTGCTTCCATCACACCCGCCACATACTCTTCGATCTACGACAAAATAGTGGTCCAGTCCATGACACCTGCTTGTCCCGTGAATTTAGGCGACATGCTGCGTGCTTGTGTGGTTGGGTGGAAACGAGATGGCGAGTGGCCTCCTCGGCAGTCAGTCATGGCGAACGCCGTCGTAGCCGTCCGTAAGAAGAAACGGGAGAGTAATGCGAGCGCAAATAGCCGCCCGAGTACAGGGAGGCGTATGAGTTTCGGATTCCTAGGTCGGAGAGAGAGTTCTGCGGGAGACCCGAAAGCGGGGCCGAGTGATAATCACGAGCACCATGGGGATGATGGTAGCGGGACGGGCAAGGGCATCAGGAGAAGTCTTCAAAGAGTACTCGGGCTAGGGCATGAAAGGAGTGCTAGCAACGCGAGCAACAACGGCGGGGCAGCCTGATGCTGATGACGACGTACCCAAGGAATAGGATGCGTGCGTGGCATCGGAAAATATATCTTACCATCAGCAATTACCGACCGGCCAAGGAACCTAATGGTGCATAATGGAGGTGGTGGTCAAATTGGCTCCTTAGCATTGGGCAATACCAGCATTGGATGGCGTTTCAAGCGGATTACTATTTCACGGACGCACTTGGTCATGATTGAACATCGACCTGTTGATAGTGGATATTCGTCAGCGATAAAGTCTTACTACTTGAGTAGTTGTTAGAATCATCAACTTCGCTGTTAGTTGTACTACTATTGCTTCTGGTGAAACTCCCGTAATACTCTAACCGAATTTTGATAATGTACTTAACAAATCCATCCACTATTTGGTTCCCTTCTACCGCGAGACACCTTCGTACTTGATTCACTGAAGTAGCTTCTCTTCTTTACCATTTCCCTTCCCTGGATACCTTTCCTTTCATCCCTTCTGGAACTGCTGCCCCTAACAGGGCGTGAGGCATCTTGTGTAGATCGCACCTGATCGGTCCAAGATATCCGTAGTTCGTTCCAGTCGCCGAGGTGAAAACATATAGGACAACCCTGATCTACTAAGTACCTGGCTGAACCCAATGTCCTTCAGGCCTCTTGCCCATTCACTGTTTATGTGCCACGCACACACCTTGTGCGGGTAGAGACAGATACTCAAATACAGTCCTTAGGAACTCATAACCGAAACCGAGTTGTTTGGTGTTGCATCAGGTGACCTTGGTCGATAATTGCAAGACCCAAGTTCTTGTCTATTTCTATTTGATTGGACGGCCTGCGGTTCTACGATGTGTCGCAAGCTCCTTGTGGAAAGTGTTGTTAATTTCATACGTGGCTAATTACACTGAGCATAGGCGAAGGTGCCATGACTTTGTGCAACGGAATGTGAATTCCTTCAGCAAATGTTCGCGATGGCTAGTGCCACGCCTATATGAAAATTATCTCAACGAAAATTATTCTCAGCAAGGGAGCAGAATGTGTTGCAATCGGGCGTAGGTCGTCCGTCCACAGCCGGCCGTCCCCGTTTCGGTCCTGCAATCGAAGATACAACGCCAATGATCTCGTCATCAGTGTCATATTAATTATACAACCCTTTTTCACCCTTCATCGAGTCCATTTACACCTGATATCCTCAAACACCCTATCCCACATGTCGACATGGATGTGACTGTAGGCGCGACCCTCCTTTCTGAGATCATGATACCAAGCGAGGGTGTGCTCCTTGTACTCGTACTTGAATGTCATGCAATTGGGGTCTTTCAGTCGCTCCATGCGCGCCGCATCGTGAAGGGAGTTGGTGCAAGCACTACGGCCGGACTGGTCACCACGAGGAGCGTGGAATATGACTCTTCCAGGTTCCAATGTGTCTGATGCGCATTTTGGGAACCCCGCCGTCTCCCTGGAGCCGGTTGGGAATGGCAGGGGCGCTGTAATAAAGAAGTCATTGGCCCTGCCTGGCACCTGGTGTGCTGGTCCTTCAATAAGTTTTTTCCAGCCCGCTCTCTGGAGACGATCCTCCATAGGGGGTAGCCAGCGTCTCGCGTTGCCCATCATTTCTTCGAGAGACATAACAGTGACGTCAACTGGAAATTCAGCATCTACAGGTACGTTGAAACCTCCAACCCATATTCTTTCAAGATGGTAATCGGGAAAACGTTTGGGAGCTTCTTCCCTGACAAAATCTATGACCCGCTTCTGCATCGGGAGTAAGTGCTCGATAGTTGGCTGGTCCGGGAATCTATCCTTTGCAGCACAATCCCAAATCAACAACTCCATGGCCGCATACCCTGGATAAAGCTTGTGAGCGTTAACAGGGCGGTAGATTGCAAGCCAAGGGTGGCGCGGGGAGTGACGGTCGTCGTTCTCCCCACTCCAGTCGGTTTCTATAGTATAGAACAGACCAATAAAGGTGTTGAATTTCTGGTGAAATCTTGTTGGAAAAGCGAACCAATCTCTGAATGTTTTGAAATGCGAACGCATATCCTTGTCCTGGAAGTGATCCATCATTTCGGTGTTGTACCAGGCTATTGGGTCCCGAAAAAGCCTGAAGAAGCTCCCATAACACTTTTTGTCAAGTTCGGTGAGTATTTCCTTGAAGTCGCGTGCGTTATCATTTCTCAGTATCCTACTTTTGAAAACGTATTGCGCGTCGACAACAGCAACTTGTACGCTAGCAGGGCCAGGCGCGGCATTCGAGGCTTCTTGAGATTCGGTGAGATACGCGAGGGCCGCATCTGGGTCATTAATAGTGTCGGGTGTATAGTTGGGGATTCGAGCCGTTCGGTGGGCCTTCTTGATCCCACTCGGGCTGGAGCCGATGACGTAGAACTTGCGATAGCAGTCCAGACGCGTAGTTGACCACCACGCGTACCAATTGACAAGGCTTTGTTCATCGTTGGGATCAATCAAGTCATCTGCCCACACCGTTTTCCGTATACCCTCCGAGGTCTCATCCAGACCAAAGCCATGATGGGTGGCATCCATCAAGGCCCTCAGTGATTTCCATGCCTGCACTCTGTCGTAGACATCTGTTTCGCCTAGACCTTTCTCTGAAGCCAGAAGTTCGACCATCAAGTCTGTAGAATTCTCCCGGATGAATTCATCGCGTTCATATGCCTTCTCTAGAGCCAGGGTGTGGAGGTAAGAGGGGAAGTCTGCGCATGCCACAAGGACGCACTGAGCAGATTTCATCTTGTGGCGAAACCAATCCAGGAACATACATAATCTAGCTGGCTCAGATATCGCAAAGCTAGGAGTTATGAGGAATGCGCGCCCACGTGGAAAGATGATGCTCAACTTTAGTTGAGCAGGCAAGGTTACCGCGACTCGGCTATCCGGGGAGTCTCCTATTGCGTTCGCGCCCCGTATCGGGTCGAGACTGGATGAGGACAAATTCCAGAAGTTGTGCGCACCGTTCTTGACCGCTTCCCACAGCCTAGGGATTTTTCTGATATTTTTGGTGGCGGGCTCGTGCAGAATCACAGCACCAGCATTGGTTGAGTCCAGGAATCGCCTCCAATTACCGTCCTTCTCATTGGTATATATTCGGCAATTAGGTTGACAAGCACGTAACCAGAGGGAGAAAATGCGTGCCAACAGGCCTTGCGATGGGTTCCAAAACTGGTCTTGGGAAGGTACATTTTGGACTCGACATGGATTCCAAAATAAGAGGAAGAACACATGCTGGCCTCGGGTGACTTTAGCTGATGGCAGTAGTGTGGAATAATTCATGAAAGAGAATCGGTTCAGTACCATCTTTACCACGTCTGCAGCATTTGGATCACCAGTTGTGTAAGCTGTGATGGCAGCTGACAATGGAGCATGGTGTCTTGGGCTGAGATTGGATCCGAATATCAGATAGCAGAGTCCAACCTCGGGTGGGCTGGCTGGATCAGACAAGCATGCCCAGGCCTCGCACTGGCCTGGGTATACCAGTATCGAGTAATCTTCACGGGTCAAGTAGAACCCCAATGACATCCTACTAAGGTTCTTGGCCACTGTCTCCAAAGCCGTGCGCTCAGTGACAGGAACCGGCTCCAATTTGCCACCAGATAATTTTGACTCACGAGCGGCTGCAGGAGGTGCAAAAAAGTATTGGGAAAGGAAATTCTCAGAAGTGCAAACAGTTCGAAAGTGCAATTTTTCATCCGTTTGAAACTGCGTGATCCATGGCCGGTCCCCCCGTCTGATACCATGGAACATGACGCGAATTTCTTGGGACCCTTGAGAACCGAACGACACCTGCTTCATGACGGCCTGAGTAGCCGACTTCTCAGCCGATCTTCCCTGATAGTTAGCCAGAGATAGTTTCCTCGTCGTAGCCGAAGGCCTGCTGGCAGGGCTTTCCGTATCGGGTTGCCCTTGCGGATCGTCAATATCCATTGGTTCGTCGAAGAGAGAATCATAGCTATCTTCCGTAAAGCGCACTGACTTCTGAACCTTCTTTGGTCCGCTAAATGGTACTGAATTTTCCGTAGTGTTCACCGTACTGCTTTTGGGTCTCTCAGAAAACTCATCCACATCCTTCGGCGGTTGTTCCTTCGGGTGATTGAGTGACTGGCTCTTCTTCGGCTGGTCGCCTGTAAGCAAGAAATTTGCCGGAATATCTGATGGATTTGACGGAGCTGCGTCGTTTAGCTCTATTCCTCTCTTCCGTGCCATGTTCATGATTCGCATTGAGCTGAAGTTTTTTGGACTCTTTGTTGGGTCCATCATAACTTGACCTAAAGTCTTTCGGCGGGTTCTGGCCTTGTTGACTTTAGATACTGGCGCAGCTGCTACCCTTGATAAGACGGGCTTTGGCTGAGGGCGAGTTCGAGTCGCCTTAAACTTGTTTGCTAAGCTCGAAGACTTGTTTGTGGGTTTATTGACCACTGCTGCTGGCCGCGCGGGGGCCTTCTCTGGTAGACTTGGCTTCCTCGCGGTGCCCTGATATCCAGTGATAGTCCCCGTTCTACCGGCGCTTTTGGCAGGAGAGTCTGATGAAGCAGATCGTCGTCTCACCTCCGGTGCTCTACCAGCGCCAACTTTTGTCTGGCCCGGTGCCGCAGTTGTTGAGGGTATCCCCTTGGTTCCTTTGGGAATTGTTGGCTTGATTCCTTTGGGAGATGGGGCTTCTGCGGCACGGCCTGGGTCGACTTGGTCCAACTCCATAGGATCTTCGCTAGAAGACCATTCCGAACCATCTCTGCTTTCGGTGGAAACAGAGGGTGCAGGCACGAAGTCAGGTGGGAAAGGGTATGTCAGAGGCAGCCCAAGCTTCTGCCGTTTCGCATTGCGCCTCATGTGCCTTTCCGCATATATCCTGCTTTCAGCAACTACGGCATCATAATAAAGCTGCATATCAAACGGGATCCAATTTCCAGCCGCCACCTGTCTTTTCTGCTCTTCCCATTGCCCATGAAGACCTTCTGACAGGTTTTCGCGAGGCTCCCAAGTGCATTGATCGAGGGGATAATCTTCCCTGTTTCAGTCAGCATATTAACCAAAAAAAACATCCTGGATGCTTACCATTGTATCAGATATTCCAGCTGGCCAGGCCTTTTCTCATCTGGCCGCTCGGCCAGAATGCCGTCCGCGACATATTCCTTATCTTCGGCGTCAACGATGGCAGATGTGAGTGAAATATCATCGTCGTCGGAGCTCTCATCGCTTGTACTGACAAAAAGTGTTGACTTGCACGGCGCGTCGTCACCACTTGCCATGTTGTTTATGTCGCCTCTCTGGACGATAGGATGTGAAACGTGAGCCAGGGTTTGAAGGGGCCAAAAAGTATAGCCCAGTCAGTTGAGCATTTGTAGCAACTTGACTGGCGATGCCCAATTGTGTTTTGTTGACAAAGAGTGACGAATGATCTGAAAGCGCAGCTGCGAATGAGGCCAAAAGATATGGTGTAATGCAGAACGCCGTTCCTACATATTCGAATTACTCTTTGAGTTCTGGGAATAGACGCTCGGGCCGGTTGATTTGCAACTGCATTCTGTGGCTACCTGACGCAGATGCGGTTGACTTCACAAGTTGAACTGGCTGAAGGCAACCTGAACCCCGGTGGACTTGGAGAGGTTGGGAATCGATGTTAATAATGTATGAATGCAATGGGCGAAGATGTCAATCATGCAACCAGTCCCAACTTCGATTAATTAGGTAGTCATGCCACTTGATGATGCCATATGGCTCTGGAGAGAAAATATGGATGCACTTCCCGTAGTGAGTACGACGTACGAAGCGCTACTGTGTAGAAGATGGCTGTAAAAATATTTAGGAAGTCTGATGTCGCGCAACTTTAGAGCTCCCCTGCATAAAACGCACAAAATATACATGATCACGAGGCACGTGATAATGGCACAAGTCTACTAGCTGGCCCCGCTTTCTGACAGCTGTGAAACGCCTGAGAGGAGTGAACAAAGACCCGGGCCCGGTTGTTGGTGGTGGTTGCCTTTGCGGTCAAGTCACAATTGAATGCAGCCCCAAGGGTGTCGGTGATTTCAAGCCCTGAATAAGGTATCCTAATCCTAGCTGGAGCATTGCCCAAAGCAACCCCAGCTACTTTCGTTCCGTTCGACTTCTCAACTTGTTGACCGACAGAACACGAGGCTTACGTTGACATTGGTCTAATTCAACAGCAACTGCTGTCATAACGGTATCACACTTTTACTTGGACCCGGGGCATCGACTTAGGTTGCAAGAGGCGCGACTCCCCCTTAGTGGCTGCCTTTGACTGAACCATTTCTCTTTATCACCACCTGCTTTACATATCCCGACTTCATACTGGTTGAAGCCGAGCCCAAACGCGACGACCCGCATCCAGCAACTTACCCTTCCGCTTTCCATCGACATCTTCCCATCCGACTCGTCGTAAATCGTCCATCATGGCTAATGACGAATATGATGTGAGCATGTCCCCTCCCCCGTACCCCTCCTCCATATTGCGCCCCCCTGCCAGACGTGTGTCGCTGACCAGCAATTTCGCAGTTTCTCTTCAAAGGTGGTTCCCGCGAACCGAGCGCAACGTACATCTTCGAAGATGACTGACTTAGTTCTGCTTAGTGGTGCTGATTGGAGACTCGGGCGTCGGAAAGTCCAACCTGCTCAGTCGATTCACCCGAAACGAGTTCAACCTGGACTCCAAGTCGACCATCGGCGTCGAGTTCGCTACGCGGTCGATCCAGGTCGACTCCAAGACGATCAAGGCACAGATTTGGGATACTGCTGGGCAAGAGCGATACCGCGCGATTACGTCTGCCTACTACCGAGGTGCCGTCGGTGCTCTTCTTGTCTACGACATTAGCAAGCATCAGACCTACGAGAACGTCACGAGATGGTTGAAGGAGTTGCGGGATCATGCCGATGCTAATATTGTCATCATGCTGGTGGGAAATAAGAGCGATTTGCGACATCTACGCGCAGTTCCCACAGAGGAGGCAAAGGCATTTGCCAGTACGTCCAGGATGATGCATCTCAACCCGGGCAAGTATCATGGTGCTGACGTGGGATAACCAGGCGAAAACCACCTTTCCTTCATAGAAACTTCAGCACTCGACGCCAGCAATGTCGAGCTGGCCTTCCAGAACATTCTCACTGGTTTGTTAACCCCACGATACCTCGCGTCTACCCCTGATCCACTTCAAAAGATCTCTTCTAACTTGCGACTCCCAGAAATCTACCGAATTGTCTCGAGCAAGGCGCTGGATAGCGGGGACGGTGCTCAAGCGACAATTGGAGCAGGTACTAACATCTCATTGAGCAAGCCAGCAGACGATAGTGCAGCCAAGGGAGGCAAGTGCTGTTGAATTTGTTATGGGCTGTTTCATGCAGCGATATGATGGCCATCAGCATGGGGCGGGTATTATGATACAATGGCGTCGTGTAAGTCCGGAATTCTCTGAGGAAGGTTGAGCATCCGGGGTCAGAAATTTGATAATTTTGTCTTCATCGTACCTTTTTGGTCCAAATGGGTGATGATGTTTTCTTGCTCGATTTTCATGCTGGCTGTCTGGGATGAGCCACGTCCTACAATCACTAGTCAAATAGCAGCATGTCTAGTTCAATGATGCCCCCTTTAGTAATCAGCGAAGGGTGCCCTCGTGATACAATATCTCTCGATTAACAACGCTTACGCAGTTCTCGTCGAATGGGTCGTTGCACCACCGGAAATGCCAGGCAGCGCGAGTTTCAATTCCTTTTACCTTATCTAAAATCAATTGATACCGGTTCTTCCTTACGGACAGGTGTGCTTCAAGTGGTAATCCACTAACTCCCAGTCTGCTTGTATGGTCATTGTTGTCTTTGAACTGGAATGACTTGGCAAATACATGGAGAAAACAAACGGTCCACCTATCTGGCGTAAGTATATTAGCCTACGTACTATGTTAGAACACTGGACTCTACCATACTATTTTACCATCGGCGCCCTCTTCATTTGATTTACCATTTGGCTTCAAAAGTATTCAGTATCGCTTGGAAAATCTTGGAAATTCTTGTTTTACAGCTGGGACGGCCAATAAGTCAATAAGTCACGCCCCATTTAAAACATATACCCCGCCAGCCACCTAGCGTGGATACGCGTTGCGACTAGCTCTTATCGCAGAAGGGGAAAAAAAAGTTCGGCGTGCCCAGCTTCATGTGGACTCCGAACACATTCACGTAGCCTGCATTGCATTGCAAGGGTCGATTCTTCATCACTTCGAGACAGAAATCAGCAGATATGGCAGCGGTTTACAAATCGCTTTCCAAAGGCAGCAGCCAAAAAACTGAAGCCCCCAGCAATGGCGTCCGGAAGAACAAGCAGAGAGTCCTGATCCTCTCGTCCAGAGGAATCACTTACCGGTGCAGTAAACCCAGCTTCTTGCGCGATGCGTCCCGACGGGGAAGGCTAATACATCTCAAAGACACCGACACTTGCTGAATGACTTGGCGACGATGCTGCCCCATGGTCGAAAGGACGCGAAATTCGATTCCAAGTCGAAGCTTTTCCAGCTGAACGAACTGGCCGATTTATACAACTGTAACAACGTCCTATTTTTTGAAGCGCGAAAAGGCCAGGACCTCTACCTTTGGATGAGCAAGGTCCCCAATGGCCCGACCTGCAAAATGCACGTCCAGAACCTCCATACGATGGAAGAATTGCACTTCACAGGCAATTGCCTGCGTGGCTCGCGGCCGGTCCTCTCCTTCGACGCCGCATTTGATATGCAACCACACCTCCAGGTCGTCAAGGAGCTTTTCATGCATACATTTGGTGTACCGCAAGGTGCGCGCAAAAGTAAACCTTTCATTGATCATGTCATGGGCTTCACTTTTGCCGATGGCAAGATATGGATACGAAATTACCAGATCAACACCGTTGAACCATCCAAGACGAAGGTGGATGCGGATGCTGAGGGGGAGAAACCAGCCTCTTCCAAGGACCGCACCAAGGAGACGGACATGAACCTGATTGAGATTGGGCCTAGGTTTGTCCTAACAATAGTGAGTGGCTATTCTGGCTATGGTTTCGTCGAACCGGTACTAACCAGCCAGCAGATCGTCATTCAGGAAGGCTCATTTGGCGGCCCGATCATCTACGAGAACAAGGAATTCGTCTCGCCCAATCAGGTCAGATCCGATTTGCGGAGGAGTAAGGCTGGCAAGCACAACGCGAGGACCGAGCAACATGAGGAGTCGCTGCTGAGAAAAGGCGATCTCGGTTTGCAAACGAGTGGCGGTAGGAAGATGCCGGTCGATGCTCTGGACTCGAGAGAACTATTTGCTTAAGGAATTGCACGATGGCGTCTGGTGTTGGGGCTTCATCAAAAATAATGCTGGCTACTTGCAACGCGTCCGGTTTTCAGCTCAATGGCATAGATAGATACCAAGCCCGTAGATGGCTTCCTTTTCCACCGAGGATATCCTGGCCAAATTACGGAAATATCTTCAAGTTCCTTGCGTTGTTGCTTTTGAGACAACTATGCCCAGGAATATTCGCAGTTCCCCGTATTCAAATCTTCCCAAGGTGCGGAAACATCAATTCTGGCAGAAATTTTGATAGAAGTAAACGTGAAGTGCGAAAGTTGTTACAATAGGCTTGGTTCAGTTCGATGAATAAATTGATTGAAAGCATGTTATCATCCTTTCCTCAAGTTTACTCAGTAAACTTCAACTGCCCGGGTCCGAGAATGCGGCTCTCTGACGGATAAACATTGTTGCTGAAACCGACCCGACGTCATTGGGTAGTGCTTCCTTTATAAGTCGCGTTACTCCTCTCTTTTGAATGCCGGGTCTACTCTCTTCTGTATTCAGTAACTATGACACCATACGTCTATATCGCCTCATTGGCGATGATGAGCCCACGGAACATTATGGTATCGTGCATCCTTTACACTTTAGATAGCCCCAAAGGAGGGGTCTCCGTTGATTGAGTCCCTTGACTCGTTTCCCTCGGTCGCTGAGAGGGGTGCTAGTAATTGATAGTCTCTAGAAAGAGCTGTCTAAGTCTAGCATCAGGGCGGCAGAGGGTATACTCTCCCACAACTTGGGTATTGATCGTGGTTGCGGAAGCTGGTTTGGCTATTGGTGGATAACTTTACTGCAACTATGTCGGCAATTCAATGACATCTTATTAGGTGAAAAAGCTGATCATATTCAGCCTAGGAAATTGAGGACCTGGATCAAGACGGCTTGCTACTGTGTGTGAGCAACCCGCATCTACATCTGCGTAAGCATCATTCGCTATACTACAACTGTCCAGTTATCTGACGCGTACTAGGTTCTGAAATTGTATTGCTCACATTTCAAACACATCCTTGTGGCTCTCCTGATCTGGCAGCGGATCCGGTTTCTCAATTGCTAGAGTTGCCACCAAACCAAACATCCACTTACTCAGTCCACCTCATAGAGTAATCATTGGCTGCGCCTGGGAACCTCAACAATTGAATCATATTGGTTTCAAGCGCAGTCCACTTCTCAGTCGTCTAAAAAGCTGTCACCCTAATCCGCCAGCAAGAATTATCTCGTCGTCCACTGGCAAAGGTTTACGGAGGGTGAACTTTCGACAGCCACAACGGGGAACGAATACTCACTAGTCTCGCTTCGGACTCCAAAAGAACCTGCCCTGTTCAAACCATGGCTGAACAACGCGTTCAGGGGCTCGAGGCAATGCCTTCAGAATTGGTCCACAAGATCATGACACATGCAGGTGTACGCGGGCTAACCGCACTCGTTTTGACAAAGAAAAGATTCCTGGCGATCTTCAAAGAAAATCAAGCTACAGTCATGAGCACAGTCCTATTGCGTCAACCCGAGTTTGAGGCTATGCTCTATTTATATACGATGGACCAGAGAGAATTCAACCCAGGAAGCATGCTATATCCCCGGACAATTGTGTTCGATGCCGGGCGAGACGATGACAAGGTCATAAGCCTTATTCGGTCCCCCGTCGCCTTTCAAGAGGGCAAATTGATATGCCCACGAAAGATCCGCTTTGATTTATCGGATATGGTACGCCTGTGGAATTTGACCAAGACTATTGAATGGTGGGTGGAGGAGTACCCTCGGCAAAGATGGCGTGATAATTCGGAGGATTGTCGATGCCTCCGGCCAAGCGAAGAAGTGCGTCTCCGCAAAGCACTCTCGAGATGGTGGCTTTATTCACACTGCTTCATGGGCGACTATTGGAGAGATGATTGTTTGCCTCAAATGTGGGAAACGGATGGTCGACTTCACCACATACGCCTGTTAAGCTCTCTCGAGGTTCGCGAACTAGAGGACCTATGGGCAACTTTATGGGCAACCGTCAGCCGCGATATTTGTTCCTCGATTGATCGTGGCATCGACATCGACGTAAGTAATGAACTACCCTCTCAGATGCTTCGAATAGATGCTTACTTTGTTAGGGTTTTCTTGCCGAAGGCCTCGTGCCATGGGGACACGAAGATGGTCGAGAAGAGACTATCGTCAACACGTACTTGAAGCTCGACCCACGGCAATTGAGGTACTTCATCGAACGTGGTCGTCGCACCAAACCGAAGAGGATGGACACTGTTTGGCAAGCTAGACTGAGCACCCGCTCCTTTGGCTGCGATGTCGAGACAATGACCTGGGCTATGGATATCGTACTGCAGGAGCGAGTGATGCAGAAGCCTCAGGGCGTCATTGAAATTCCTCTTAGCGGTATTATCGACGAAGACCACTGCACCGATCAAGACGGAAGCTTCATGACGGATGGATCACCAACCGGCAAGCCTACATTGACGAACGAGGAGATGGCATCGTTCCCGGTTGGGAGACGTCGATGGGTCGGCACTGGGGACGATGGAGTTGACGACCCTGAAGATGCCCACGGGGACTCATGGTGATTCTAAGGTATTTATCAGACAAATGTGCGAGTGTTGTAGTGGTTCTGGAGGATTATTGCTAGGGCGATCTGGAAAATGGTGTTATAGTATACATATACGGCGCTGATACGAAAATTGGCACATTAGCAATACATTGCAGCAGCGAGAGTGGCGACAAAGGTGCTTTCTATAGGTCGTAAATGATCTATCAGTTATTCTTTCTGCTATGGGCACCTCGCTCTATGGTTCCCTGGTAGAATTTTCGTTTCAAAATTTGAAACACACATATGTCGTGTTTTGAGCTTCAAAATGAGATTCTGAAATAGGGATGCCCTGCATAGTGATACTATAACTGCAAGCTGGAGCAGGCGTGTCACTTTTTACCCTCAATGTCATCGTGTTGGTCCATGGAGGATGTTGTGATTGCTTCAGTGTAGTCTCCTGCTCAGCTGAGACCGACGCTCGAAGCCCTCCAGACTTGATACGAAAGAAATATATTTTTATTATTATTAAATACGCCGTAGGCTCGAAGCCCCCGGTACCTCTACCAGTACTCCCGTATGTCAAACCGTGCCCTAATGGCTGGACTAAATACATACGCTGCGTCGTCGGTTCGCCCTATTGGCGACTGCGTTGCGTTCACTACCATACTACGTTGGTTCTCAACCTACCAACAAAGTCCCCCCTGAGAAGATCGATGCTATCTGGGCCTTGAAGCTGTCCGACCCGTCCCTAGCAGCCACCTTACAATAGTCCCACTAACTACTGGTTCTCCTGTTGCCGTTGCGAGGTCTCTGCGAGAGTATAGTGGCCGTGGTGCGATAGCGGCCCGTAATCGTTCCCTCGGTCCTTCCAACAGCCCGCAAAAGAGGATTACGTGCTCTGCCGTCTCAGAGGCGTCGCCACAGCGGCATAGCGGCGAGTACACGCCAAAAGCCCCTGTCTTGAATAAGAAGGCTGCTAGTCCTATTTTTTCCGTCCTGATCTGGCACCGCGTAGACGCCTCCAGTCGGTTCAGGCCGAAATACTTGCTCCCTTCGGTATCTGCATCGAAGGGCCCTCCGGGTCCTCAGCGATAGCGCGTCGCTGGCGATCGTGATGCTCTGCTCCGGTGAGCCATCTCTTCCTCCAGTGGCCGAGGAGGGCAGCCGGGACCTCCTTTTCCTCACTCATCCACTCGGAGCCCCGGGCCTCCTTCTCCATAGTGTACCCTGCCGGTCGGAGTAGCTGCGACGCCTGCTTCCTCTTCGCCGGCCTATCCTGCCGGAGCATATGTGACGCCTTAGCGCTCGCGCTGCGAAGCAGATTTCTCTTCCCGCTAAGCCGTAGCCGTTCTTCAAACTTAGCAGCCCGGGCACTAAGATGAAGAAATATATAAACAGTCTCCCATAAAACCTTATAGACACTGATTTTTTGCTCATGAGATATGTCGGATTAAATACCTCGTGCGAGTTGCTTGATGGGTTGCGTCGGTCAAGGGTTTCCTCGACGGTTCCCGGTTTAATCGGGTCCGATGACCCGAGCTCTGGCCAATCGCCAAAAAGGCAAGTGCCTCCCCTGCGCGTCTCAACATGCTCTTTCCCAAATCTACTTATCCAGCGACGACAACAACCTCGACCTCATATTTTCGCTGATCTTCTTCATGCGCCTATGATCTTTCATTTTCGTACTTGAAGTCTAGTACCCGTACGATTGTAGCTTTTGGAAGGGTGCTGTTCTGGCATTGCCACCGCAGCAAAGGTCATCTCAGACAGACACACCAGTTCATACACAGACCTAAAAAGTACAACATCTGACAAGTGTAAGTCCAACATTTTAATCCCTTAGCCCATAAGCACCCAAAGAAACTATATTTCATTGGGCCATTTATCTTTATGCTACATGGCCTCACGTGTCCGGAAATTCCTCAAATTCTTTGTCGTTGAAACAATCATCTTTTGGCGCATGCGTCTTCTTCCTACAGGTAGTTTGTGGGTGTTCTTACCTGTGAAGCTGGTGTGATCACGGGTGATGATATCGCCTTGAGTAAATTCAGCGCACCCACTACTTTTATAGATCTTGAATCGCAACCGACGCACAATGTCATTGTGATGGATATTTACTGACTATTGACAGAGCTGTTGTTGTGGCCAGTGAACCCTACAACACCAAGTCTGGGGCGCATTCGTTGGCATGCATGTATTCAAACCTCAATTGAGGTAGCCGTGCTTGATTGATTCTATCCAAGATCGGTGCCTATTTCCAAGCTTTCCTGAACGGAAAAGTATCTATTTGATGTGTCTTGTTGAGCTCTCGCACAATCTCTTCGCACCTTCTGGAAGAGGTGTCTTGCACTCGTCACCCATCACCAGTTCTGTGGTTGGTTGACTCTAGTACTTTTTTCGAACACACACCAGAATCTCGTCATGCCGCCCACAGCTATCGAAGCTGACGGCGAGGACCATGCCATGGTAGATGCTCCGAACGGCCTGAGCGATCATTTTGGACTTGAACAGGAAGATAACCACGACGGCACCATGTACGATGATGCTGATCTTGTTATCGACGAGTTCGAGTCCTCGGACGAGAACGATGAATTTATCAAGTCCTTAACGAAGCAAAACCTGCTGCCTACTGGCTGCTGCTATGATGATCGGATGAAGCTGCACGCAAACGCTGACTTTGGCCCCTCGCCGCATCATCCCGAAGACCCGCGAAGAATCGAGGAAATCATGAAGATCTTCAAGAAAGCAGGACTTGTTTATACCGGACCCGATACAGAGCTGTCAGAGATCCTTAAGGACACGCCGACCAAATACATGTGGAGGATCCCAGCTCGTGATGCCACGAGAGCAGAGATATGCACGTGCCATACTGCTCGCCACTTCGATTGGGTGCGAGGATTATCCAACATGTCGACCCAGGATCTACGTCAGCTCAGTCACAGCTTAGATCAGGGCAGGGCCTCACTCTATGTGGGTGCCATGTCATTCGAGGCTGCCTTACTTGCTGCGGGAGGAGCAATCGAGACTTGCAAGAACGTCGTCGCAGGCAGAATCAGAAATGGCTTTGCCATCATCAGGCCGCCAGGGCACCATGCTGAATATGATTGTTCCATGGGATTCTGCTTGTTCAACAACGTGCCCATAGCAGCAACCATCTGTCAACGGGAATACCCGGAAAAGTGTCGCAAAATCCTCATACTTGATTGGGACGTTCATCATGGCAATGGCATTCAGAACTTGTTCTACACAGATCCGAATGTCCTCTACATATCTTTGCACGTGTATCAAAATGGCCAGTTCTACCCCGGAAAGCCTGAGAACCCGCGGATTCCTGACGGAGGTATCGACCAAGTTGGCGAGGACGCAGGGAGAGGCAAGAACGTCAATATAGGCTGGGCTGACCAAGGAATGGGTGATGGAGAGTACCTTGCCGCATTTCAAAAGATCGTTATGCCCATCTCTCAGGAATTCAATCCTGATCTCGTCATCATTTCGTCCGGGTTTGATGCTGCGCAAGGAGATGAACTGGGTGGGTGCTTCGTAACACCTAGCTGTTATGCCCACATGACTCATATGCTCATGTCACTTGCCGGTGGCAAGGTAGCCGTCTGTCTCGAGGGCGGTTATAACCTCAAAGCCATTTCCCAGTCCGCTCTAGCAGTCGCGCGGACCTTGATGGGCGAGCCACCTCCTCAAATGGAGCAGCTTCCCAGGATTGAAAAGGAGGCGGCCAAAGTTCTTGCTAAGGTCCAAGCTACGCATGCCCCATACTGGGAGTGCATGAGACCGGGAATCATTGATATTCCGGAGTCAGACGCCGGTGCTAATCGGCTTCATGATGTCGTCCGTGGCTACCAACGCCAGAATTTGGCTGAGAGATTCAGCATGGTACCACTCTTCATCCAACGAGAGGCTCTATTCAAATCGTTCGAAAATCAAGTTCTGGTTTCGGCTGGCATCCAAGAGAAGAAGAAGGTCTTGTTTATCATTCATGATCCGTAAGTTGGACTATCGATATTCTTGTACGTATGCTGACCTGACCATCCAGACCTGAACTCGTCGCTATGCCAGACGTGATTGACAATACAGTCGAACCTCACAATGCATTCATTGTACGTGGCTCTTGCATCTTCCGCTGTCTTCCATCTACTAAAGTGTACTAGTTAGATGGCGTCGCCTCTTACGTTGAGTGGGCTTATAACAACGGCTTTGGCGTCATCGATGCAAATGTGCCGCACTACGTCACTCGTCCAGAGGATGTCGATCCGTATATTCCTGGAGCAAATGAGAGGACTCTTTCGGTCCAGATCAAGGAGCTGGTGAATTACATTTGGGACAACTACCTCCAGCTCTATGAAGCCGAAGATATCTTCTTGCTTGGAGTTGGCAACGCTTACCTTGGTGTAAAGCTTCTCCTAACTGAGCGACGTAAGATAGCCTCTTTCTTAACGTGTATATTGCATATCCCTATGCTAATGAATCCATTATGGTAGACTGCAAGGACCGGGTTACCGGGGTTGTCAATTTTGTTACTGGCAATTTACGCCCCGTTAAGTCCGCGGTAGACGAGGATCTCTCGACGTGGTACAAGAAGAACTCGCTGGTCTATGTGGCCAACGACCATGCCTGCTGGAGTGATCCCGACCTTGCCAAGAAGGTGGGCAAGAAACGGTTCGGTGGCGTCAAGCGTAGCAACCAGGTCGGACTGAATCGTATGATGCAAGAGCATGCCGGTGAGGTCCACGAGTGGATCACCGGAAGGCTCCCAGACAGTGGAAATACTACGGAGGACGAGAAGATGACTTGAAGGGATGGCCGTCGAGGCCAGCAAGCTTTAGTTGCGCAATGAGTAAAGAGTCGCTATACCATAGTTGTTGATGAGCTCTGGAGAATCCTCCTACCAGGAAGCATCTTCGAAGTATAAATATAACAGGATCTTGATCCTTGTGATCCCTTTTGACTTTAATTATCTTCGAATCGAAAGTGCGACATGATATATTAGAGCTGCCAGGTTACACGCAAAGGTGGTCAAAGATTTATGAGGTTGTAAAAGCATGACATTCTATCTAGTCCTATGGAGCACGAAGGTTGGACTTAGTCCCAACGGGCTAAGTCACGTGGTAACCTTGGTGGTCCTAGCAAAGCCCACCAAGGTTGCCTAACAGCCATAGCCATTCTGGCCGACGGGGTACACTATAGAGAAAGAGGCGCGGAGCTTGGAGCGGATGGACGAGGAAAAGGAGGTCCCGGCTGCCCTCCTCGACCACCGGACCACCGGAGGAAGAGGTGGCTCTCGAGAGCAGCGCAGCATGACCGCTAGCGCCGCGCTATCGCTAAGGAACCGGAGGGCCCTTCGATACAAATGCCGAAAAGTGTAAGGGTCAAGGGTAATGTCGATGCAATTAGCCTAGCCTACTGTGAAGGTCAACCCTCGCAGACTCACTACAACCAGGTGACTTACAGCTGGAACACCTGCCGTGGCAGTGTCAGATGGGAAGCCAATCATAACCCTTGTAGGAGCCCCGCCAAGCGTGGATGACTTAGTCGCGCTCCCTCAAACCTAAGTTGTCATCTTCTTTCCTTCGCTCCTTAGAGTAGAATCTTCGTCGATAGCACCTAATCGAGGTCTCTACCAATGCGATGCAACCCAGGTCGTGACAGATAGCATCGATCTTCTCAGGGGAACATTTGTTAATAGGTCAAGAACTAAAGTAGTATAACAGCGAACGTAACGTAGTCGCTAACAGGGCGAACCGAATAAGCAGCACATGTATTTAGTCCAGCCATTAGGGCACGGTTTGACATACGGGAGTACTAGTAGAGGTACCAGAGGCCTTGAGCCTACGGTGTATTTAATAATAACATGTCAGCAATATTTGGTATCTAGTACTGCACTCGCTTGGAGATCTACAGGTGTCCGAATTGCGCCTGAAACAGCACTGGAGGCGGGGTAAACTCTACTTATGTATATAGTGTCAGATAGGACACCTGGTTCCTAGGTTCAGAAATAATATGGCACTAGAGAAGACTAGTGTCACTTAAAGTTCAGACGACGAAATGAACCCCTCTTCCCGAAAGGAACACCAAAGTTACGGTCCACTTAGGGGTCAGACACCTGAACAATGTACCTCCGACATTTCCGAAAGAATCTATAAAGGGCAGAGCAACGGGAGTTCGCGAGAATAGAACACAGAGAACAAGACACCTCATTCATATACAATCTTACGCACTGCTGACTACTCGATTGGACACACGTGATATTCGACATATAGTTCAGATTGTCCAGACAAACAGTATGTAGAGAATCAACCTCTCTTTCTACTTGAAATTCTACATAATAATAATTATTATTGTTATCCAAATTAATAAGTACTCTGTAACCTTTAATAAATTCTTCAAAATATGTGTCGCACTTTTCGAAAAATGTTTCATATCAACTTAATTCTCACTCTAGCTCGTCCCTTTTCAAGTGCATTTTTCCACAAAAGGTGTTTAGTGCCTAATTTCGCTAAGTTGTTTAGTAATAATTCAACTGCTAAGATTCGGGTGATTGTGCTGTGCGTACATGCAGTTCCGCTTAGCCCTTTGTGATGCCTCAACTCCGAATCGCTTAAAACGTGTGTAACGAAACCTCTAATAGTCTAGCTGCGTAAACCACTAAAGAGTCTGTAAGGGTTTGTGCTAGTAAGCAAGTCCTGCTGCGGAGTCCTTTAGCAATAATATCGGGGTCTGACGTATGGAGTATCGGGCTCTGGGTAACCGAAGTATTCGAGTAGGGTAACTGGGAATAGAGTCGTCAAGGCAGTTTGCCTCACCAATGGGTTAGATTGATGCTTAGATTGATCACTGAAGTAGAGACTGTCTATCTATGAAATGCCTGGGAGTCCTGTCCCTTATATACCCATCTCTCCTTCACTGATCCCCACTTGGATATGTTGGTTGTCCAACATATCCACCCCTGTAGATCACGTGACCTATCGGTCCTTTCCTTCCTCCGATGTGGTGTCCCGTGATCCTAGCGTCTGTATCCACCTAGCCTGCCGACGGGCCTGTAATGTTGGTTCAGGGCCAACGGTTCGTAACAACGTGCAAACGAGCTACAGAATGAAGCTATCACTAACCCTATTTATGAGCAAAATGGCTAAATCTCGGCGGTTAACTCGATTTGACGTCTCCGTAGTACAGAATTGTATGCCGTAGAGTGCTTAATGCTAGTTAGAATTGTCGTCTAACAGCGTGGTAGACTCAACGGCTGTACTTCAGGTACGTAGAGTAGCCCCAAAATATAAACTCCGTCTTCCACTTCTATCGGCGCTGAATACAAGTGCTTACAATACTTCTCTAATGCCTTCGTTAGAAATGACGGCGCCCTCGATAATCCCGAAGCATTGTGGAAGTCTTATCACCCTAAACCACACACAGATCCACAGCTAGCATCTGGTATATCACCAGTAGCGCGAAGGCGTCACGAGTCACTTTCTAGGTTACTTTAAGGCCCGGCTTTATTGTAGGCTTGAGTCCCTAGGTCCATTCGCGTAAGGACACGATGTACCAACCTTCTTGACAGCTTGCGGTCAGGACTCTTATCCTCCAGTACTGAGGTGATCATATCCGTTGTGTACTACTGCGTAGCACTATTCTTCGTGACGATCCTTTCGATCTCGGCCATCGCCCCTTTCGTCAACACCCATGGCGCGCAAGTACACCAGTATGCAACACATCTTCAATGAATTCGAGCTTGATCGGCCTGACGGGTCAAGATGTTGAAGTCGGGAAACTCCCTTCAACTTCACATACAGAATTGCCCGTATGAGGGATATGCGGGAACGGTGGTCAGAGATGACTATTCGCACTGTCACAGGTCTCCCTTCACTCTCGGCCAGAGGCTTCGTACTTACATTCACACGCATCCTCCCCGGTGCACGGACTCAATACTATAAAAAACAAGCAAAACGCATAACCTCACTACTAGCCAACCAGCAGACGACTCGGCTAAGCACCGGTATTGACAAAGCACGCTACTTTAGCGTGATGCGATAACAGGATAAGGATATCAAAATATCTGGGCATGAGGGAAGCAACAACAGCTATTGTTATCCACCTGACCATCAAAATCGCGCCTCCAGTCTTGCCGCTCGGCGTCCACCTAATGACCTGAATGAGCAATCTGGCGGTAACTCGTACAGATATCAGAGACGCAGCTACACCGGTAGTCGACATCCCATCCGAACTCCATCTGAGTAGCGATTCAGCGGCGATAACCACAATTCCAGACGCGGTCGATCTAAACCTCGGTATTCTAGTAGGATGGCGGACAGTCGAGGTGGCAGAAGGTAAGCGCATCACAGAATTCCTCTCTTTTGACCCTTCAGACAGTGGCGCGTCTTCTTCCTGTTGTCTCCTTAAAACCTTTTCTGCTCCAGCTGCTTCCCTTGGGCATAGCGACGTGTTTGTAGCAGCTGGACTTCAAGGTTTGGTGGACACCTACCCTATCGTTGAAGTCACTTTAATCTGGCGACACATGTGGCCTTCCCTTTACTGCCACTCTCCGACATGGCTCGTATCAGACCTTGAAAATTGGATGTCGTATCATCTTTGCCTTGTGACTGAACTGCTTGATTTGACGTCTGCCCGCATCCGCGGAGACACTATATATTTCTTTAAGGAAACAGGCGAATCATTATTGACCTGAACTATTCTGCAGATACGAAGATGGCGAGGTCACTAGATATGGCGCTGGCGAATCGTATCGACCCTTCACTGACCGCACTCCTCGCCGTGCTAGAAGCCCAGCGGGAGAGCGAGCGAGAAGTCCCCCTCCCAGAGAACGGGCCAGAAGTCCTCCACCGAGAGAGCGGGTTCGAAGTCCCCTTCCGAGGGAAAGAGCAAGAAGTCCTCCTCCTAGAGAGCGAGCTAGAACCCCAGTTCTCGACAGTGACCGATATGTTCCTGACCGCACCGTCCGACGACGCTCCCGAAGTGGCGACCGCTTTCGACGAGACCGAGATGCAGATCGAGGCGGCGACAGCTGGAGACGAGAACGAAGCAGAAGCCAACGAAGAGGATCCCCGAGACGAACATCTCCACGAAGAGTCTCCCCTCCTCGATTCCCTGCAGCTTCTCGAGGGCCTTCACCTCCCCGAAGAACATCTCCTCGAAGACCTTCGCCGCCACGCAGAGCATCCCCCCCTCGGAGACAGTCCCCTCCTCGACGAAACAGCCCTGGCCCACATGCCACACAACGATACTCACCGAGACTGGATCCCAGAGATGATAGAGACGGAAGAGACCGCATGCGGTCTCCCAGAAGACGCTATGATTCAAGGTCCGGATTTCCCGTCTTCCCCAAGTCATCTGAAGCTGCGATCAACCTGAATGCCATACCAATCGCGAATCATCGCCTAAGCTTACCGACATGTCGTGATGCCTTTGGCAGCATCACCCCTAGTGGGCACCATGAGTTTTTTGCTACTCACGCTTCCAATTCTCAAGACAGCTTCATCCCACCTGCCGGTCGAGTTGATCGTCGCAGAGGAACGCGCAGAGGACGCCGAGGAAATGGTCCCAGTGGCCCTAATGTCATTTCTGTCTCTCACAGTCGTTCCGACCCGTCCGCGGCTGGGAGCAACGATGGTAGTGATAGTGCAATAGTCACGCCTAGTGGTCGCCCGTACTTGCCTCCCAAACCGTCTGTCCTTGTTGCTGACATGTCTCCGCCCTCTCCGCCGCTACCGCCTTCTGGTGACCCTCGCTTCTTTCGCAGCCGCAGGTTTTCCAATAGTAGCTCCGGCGTGCATTTTACAGGCGGCTCACACAGAGCCAGTGGCATACCCAGTGGCTACCACGACTTAACTTCCAATCCCCCCAGTCCTCAACACTCCTTTGATTTGAGACCCAAGAATTCTCCGTATTCGGCCTCTCGCTATCCACGATCTGCTCAATTTGGGCCCTACAAAAACCGAAGCTCCTCTAACTTGGGCCATAGAGTTCGATCTAGATCGCCCTATAATAACAGAGATCGCGCACGTGATCCACGACATGCATGGAATCGCGACCGACGAGGCTCTCCTCGACGAGCGTCCCCGCCCGCACAGCGAGCCAGCACCTTCCGACCTCGTTCGCCAAGCATTGATCGACGCGATGACCGGTTCGGCGCCTCGTACAGACGACAGTCGCCATTTCGCGAATCTGCGATTTCTTCTGCCCTTCCCTCTGGAGAGAATTCTCGACGATCCTCGCCGCATCCTACATCTGGTCGGCGGGAAGATCGATCTATTCCTCAATCACCTGTTCCGTCTCGACCTTTGTCACGGTCTTCACATGGCATGTCGGCAAGAGAGCCTTTGGAGCCACCAACTGCCCCCCGATCCCCGCCTCGCGGTCCGGCAGCTCTCCGAGCACCACCTACTGGTCCTAGAGACAACAGGGACACCAGAGAAGCCCGTAACTTCTCTGGACCGCCTGCCACCGCGATAGAACCGCCTGCCAGACCTGCTCCTGTTGTTCCTTCGACTTCGACTCCGAACCGACAGGACATGGCCAACAATGGACTCCCCCCATCGGGTCCCCGAGGCTTTGTCGGTTTTTCTCGCCCAGGATATGGTCGTGGCACTCGTGTACAAGGAAGAGACTGGGGTAGTCCCATTCAGAGTCGCAACATGGCGCCTGTTCCAGGCCCTAGTTCGGCGACTACAGCTTCGAACATCCCTACAGGTCCTCGTCTAACTCCGACGTCTTCATCAGTACCTTCCACCCCTGTCGTGCAGTCGAAGCCCTTCAATCCACCAAAGGGACCTGCTGCTGAACAAAACAGCAAGCGTCTCACATTCGCCGAACGAGTTATGGCCGAGCTACCCCAAATCATTCCTGGTGGCAAGCTGGACCCAGAGCTCGAGTCCATCGATATGGGTGTCCTTCCAGAGCTCGTGCCCCATACCAAGTCGTTGAAGGATGAGGAGGAGAAGATTCGCCAGGACCTATGGGCAATGCAAGACAAGACGCGCAAAATGTTTAATGAATGGGAAAGGGGCGAGCGCGAGGCCAAAGTCGCCACGCTTCGCACCAGCCTAGCTGAGGCGGCCCTGGCTAAGAGTGCCGGACAAGGTGAGGGAGGCTCTGCTTTCTGATAATAGCTCCGAATTCTTCGTTGAGTCCGATTTTGGCCAAACGAGAACTTACCGAGGAAAGAAACAAAACAGTCTTCACCCGCCACACCCGGAAACAAATGGAAAGAGGACTGCATATACTGTTGGCATTGTGTACGATGGAGTATAAGTGGCGGATCTTGGCGAGTGCATACAAGATGGTCTGCCATCGGAGTATGCCATCCATTTGTGAGACTCGCGTGGAGTGTTCACAATGCAAGAAGAGTTCGCATATTGAGGTTTGCGAGTCTCGCGCTGATACTGCCTAGTAGTGCGAGCGTGTTTCGCACATTATTTGCCGATCAAGGCCTCTTGAGGTTGACGATGCCCCTCGTCCTTCGGATTCGATCTGGAAAAGTCGTCTTTGACGAAACTGTAACTGTGCTTGTAGGAATAGATACCATACCTTGCTCGAGAGCACATGATACCAACAGACAAGTGCGAATGCTTTTACAGATCAATTATCTGCAGTGTTTCCAAAGCCACTGAGCTTCCTGTATCTCTGTATTGTGCCCGCGGTGGATTCGACACGGAATACCGAAAGCACTAACCGCCTTGACTACCATTTTGAATGCATCCCCACACCACAACTTCATTCTCAATTTAATAAGTAAAGCAAGCTTAATCATTATCCCTACTGTTGTGCTCGGCTTGTACGAGTCCTTTTGTAGGGGGCGGCTTTCATTTAAGAAAAGCGTTAACTTCTAGCTGTTCCTGGGGCAGCAGTAGCCTATTCGCTTCTCACGCTTATCTGATCACCTTTCTAATCACTGCTAAAGTAGTCAATACCTCATTTTCATTAGGCTTGATAGCCTAGCGAATATCTAGGGCGACGCAGGCAATTGGTCCTCTGTTAAAGACTCTGAACGGATGTCGTATTGACCGCTATGCCTGCTCTACGGGGGTTGTGCTACGTGGGTGGTGTTGAGAGGTTCTGTAAGAATGGAAGAGTCTGGCGCACTATCTGCGCTAGCAGCTGTACGGCTTTCGGCCTAGGGCATATCTATGGCGCTCAATCCCACAAATTCAATGGTTATAGCCATGGTTATTTACACTATACAAGTGATTTGTATGTGCGGTGAAACCACGGCGATGCCAGTCCGACTTCAGCAAGAAGCATTCCAGTGGTGGAATTATCGCGTGTTCAAGAGGAGTTGCGTCTTGATATTTTCTGAGATAGCAATTGAAATGGGTTGTTGATACGTTCAATGACAGGGGCTGTACGCCTGTGGGGTGCGCTAGTGCCGGGAGGAGCCGAGGACCCTTACAGCCAAGATAACTACAGCAACGGTGAACGTCGATCCTCGAACTGTATATTGAACCTTGAGGATAACATGTCAGGGCGGATGTCTTGGCGTCATCGGGTAGCTCTGAAGGGTGCGATGATGCGACGAGAAAGAAGCTCCATTACAGAGCAAGCCCATCTTATGGAGCTGCAATAAGCTCCGGACTCGGTATATATGCTATGCAGCACTGGAGAATTGGGCAATTCCCGAATCTGTGGTCCGACCGCTGGGACGACACCAAAGCCACCTATTGAACTATACGATATGCTCGCGACTTCGATTTAACTGCTAGTCGTCTGGTCTTCTTTCATGTCTGTTTCCTCAATACAAGGGTTCCATACACTGGAATGATGGAATTTGTGGACAAGGGTGACTACGGGATGTGTGTCGTCAGACGAATCATTACTGTTGGGCAATTATCATGGCCACGGAGTTCATACGATAGCAGATCTATAGCAAGTTGTAGTAGTAGACAGGGAGCTGAGACGGGTGCATTCTGTGGGCGTGCCTAGGAACTCCGCAGTTTCTATTGGATCAACACGTGGTTATGGGCTGATCAATATGATAGTGCTCATCGGTCGCGGCGACCCGCCTCAAGGCCATTAGAGTTGCGACGTACTCACCTGAGCAATGTCGGCAACTGTTAGCCCCAAGGCTTTCCCTTCGATGACGACCCCTGCCGGCATCACCGGAGCAGTTACAGCTTAGATGATGTCGAATGGAGCGTCATGTTGTTGAGGCTGGGACAAGAGGAGCTGCGATGTCTATATCAGATGCTGACGATTGACGATTATGGACCTGTCGGGCTTGGAAATTGTCTATTATTGTATCCTCCACAGTCGCGCCGAAGTCTCGGTTGAGTATCCATCCCTCCAGAACACCTCAGATCTTAGGATTTGAGAATACAATACGGCTCACCCAGATCAGGAGGGGTTCACACATATTACACCCACCACCTTCATGAATATCTCATCTCTACCCAACCAGCCAATTACAAGAAAGCCGGCAACCCAACCAGGATGCCAGCAGCCATCAACCCAGCAGCCACGCAAGGTGTCGCGACTGGACCCGCACCAGTACTGTCGGTCGAAGTAGCGTCTCCCGCCGCGCTCGTGATGGTCGACACCAAGCCACCAACTCCCGACGTGATGGTGGTCAGGATCTCGCTTCCATCCGAGGTAATTGTGGATACGATCGCGCCGGCGCCTGAAGTAACGGTTGCCACGATCTCGTTCCCGTTCGAGGTGAAAGTCGACAGCACGGCGCTCGCGGTCGCGGCAGCGCCCGAGGCCGTACTGGCAGAGACGTCGGCGTAGCTCCACCCGCAGGCTTGCATCACCTCTGCGAGGTCTAATTCACGACAAAGTCAAGTCAGCTCAGCTTCTTCATCCAGAAGACAGGGGAGAGAAAGAAAGATCGTGTGCCTCTACTTACCACTCGTACCGTCATTGATCCCGTTCGCCTTGGTACAGGCGGCGCAAGACGTCAAGAAGGACTGGGCGTTGTTGGCGCCGCACACGCACGTCTTCTCCGCGGCGTCGTTGTCGCTGTTCTGCGCGTCGCACGTGGTCGAGAGGTTGACGGCTTCGAGGCAGGCTGACTGGCAGGCTACGGGGAAGTCGGTGGCTTCGAGCTCGTCGATGTCAATATCGTTGTCGGTGTTCTGCGTGGCGCCGATGGCCACGAGGGAGAAGAGGACGGCGAAGGACTTGTACTGCATCGTAGCGGACTGGTGAAGTAGAAGATTGGGCTTCTCCGTGTGGTGACTGGGGAGAGGACGGGTTTGTAATGTGCAACTGTTCGCGGTGGGATATAGCTTGGTTTTTATGTGACTCCACACAAATGGCTTGATGATGTTTTGGATATAGTTGCTGAAGTCGGGCCTCTCAACATACTTATATACAAAGTCGACTTCTCGATATCTCAACAAACCCGATTTAATCGCCTTGGAGCTTGCCACGTCCGCATCGACCGCAATACGTTCACAGCGTCTCATTAGTCGCTGCGTCTTGCTTGGCAACTTGGCAACTGCCACGAAGTAGTTGGCATAGCCATTCCACGCGAACTGAAGGCCTGACATCTTCCCTCCCATCGTCAGCCAAGACGAACCAGTTTACTTCAAGTTTAGAGTTTGACATTTCCCAGAATCACAGGGCTGCCCTGACCAAATGCCTGATCTCCATAGGGGGTGTCGAGTAATATGCGGGGACCAAAACAGTGGAAATATTGGACAATGAGGTTTAGAGTTATCGAGTATCTCTAGGCAGAGGCTGCGGCAACGGCCCGTTGTATTACGCGTCATGGCTTGCATATTCGGCAGTGTCGGGTCTTGTCCTGCTGGGAAAGAGGTGCCGTGCTGACCTACTTGTCTTGATCGGCGTTCTAGTGTCGCACTATACGGATGGTTACATAGCGGGGCTTTATGGGTCCCCTCGTTATATACCGAAATGTTTGTTCAACCCAAGTGGTCACCATCGACGTCGTCATTGGCCAAGCGCTAGGCATGGAATTATCTTACACTGCCACAACCGACGCGGTCGGTTTCTTTTGTCTCAGATAGAGCTCAATTGTTGGTTACTATGTATATTGGAGTCCCGGCTTAATGGCAACATGCTGGGCAACTATCGTCGGGGAATGCTGCAATCTGTTAGCCTGTCTTAAGTATACTCTGGAAGAGGTTGTGTGAACTGTGGAGTAATGACCTCTAACGGAGGCTTTGAGTTGTCATGTTCTCGTGGCGGTGTCTGGCTCACCCTTGGCTCTGCGATGGGGACACCCTGATAGCCACATTATTGTTTCCCCGAGTGGCCTGTTCGGCGACCATCCAATTTGGCATAGCTTTGTGCGAAGTCGATACTTCCAAAGACTTTCGGGAAGTTGGTGAGTGCTGCGCAGTGTCCCCATTGCCTTCCTGAAAGTCAGTGGTCTTGTTGCAAGTTCTATCACACTGTATCTCATCTCCTCTCCAAGCGAACAGGGCAGTACTCCCAGGCAGAGTAACTTCTTGTTCGTAGATACACACCGCATTCTGTCCGATATGACAAGCAATAGCTGTCACGCTGCAGTTTGGGGTTTATTAATGCATCGCCAAGGCCGAATGCTTTCAGAGCATTGGCTACGGCTAATAGGTGCAGAAGTGGCAGAGTAGTGTAGGATAGAATCTATTTGAACATGTCGTACTTACTGAAGGACTCGATCCTCCCTAAATACTCCGGTTTCTCGATGGCATAAATTGCTACTGATCTTGCAAAGTTGATCGCATTTGCGAGGCCCCGATTGGGCCAGAATCCATCTTACAATATGTTCGCGCTGTGACAGGCGCGCAGGCCCTCATATCTTATCCTCCATATTGTGCCGGCATATTATCCGATACTTACTAGATAAACTTTCATGGCAAGTCGATCCAAAACTTCGGGCAGGTCAAAGTACACGTGTGCTGCAGAAACCCTAGTCGGCTGAGCTCTGCGCTGTTGTCTCGACGTATATGTTGAGTACTTGCTTTTGAACACCAAGAAACCGCGCCCTCCCTCCCGGGTGAAGGCATGCACCGTAATAAATTCCGGATACCTCTGGGTCATAGCAGTAGGATTCGTCAGGGGTGGTCTCTTCGTGGAGTCGAAAGAAGTGGCGGTGACGAGGCTTTCAGAATACTCGTTGACGGCCTGACCGTATCAAATATCCAAACCTTCCGAGTCAGACCTGGGGCGAGGCGTTTCGTTCGATTTGAGGTGATATGATGTTCTAATGGGGGCCGCTGTCACGTTCGAAGGTTGTTAGAAAGGAGATCGCCATGTGGGCGGATAAGCGCTTGGCACCATGTATATGCATTAGTATATGTACGAGGTACTCAAGACTTGAGTTACCAGATTAATAGTTTTAGTATGCTTCAAATATGGTCTGTAACTTTTGACTCCCAGGAAAGTAGGAATAATGCGTTCCCCCAGGGCAGATTCCCGTTCCACCCTCTCTCTCAACCTCAACTCGCGGCGATGGCAGTCGGTAGAGCAGCGGGCGGTTGTACATCAGCCTCGGGTGTAGCCGGCTGCTCCACTGCAGGCAGTGATGGCCGCTTGGAAATTACCTTCCGGCCATTTGCCTTATAGTACAGTACAACATCATTACCTCCTTTCCAGATGTGTGCCCGAAGAGTGGCGAGGCTCATGGTGTTGGGCAATACCTTGTCCTCGTCAGCTTGTAGATTGGATTGGTTAGACGAAGACACGTACCTGATCATTGCAGTACAATTCCAGATACTCCTCAGGTTTGAGAGCGTTCTCGTCAGCCTCCTGAGGCTGTGGGTCGATTCTTTCAGCCACATACGCCAGGATCTTCTTCACCCGGAGCATCCTATTGGCATTCAATCGATTGTTTCCGTCAGCCGTTGCTATGCTGGGTAGTGAGTCTTGCCATGGATGCAACACAAAGGACACCTTGACAGGTTCCTTCTGTGGAATTGTGTTCTGAACACTACCAGTCAGCGAGGTCCCTAGCATCTCGGGGTGGAACGTACGGTTAAAAGAACCTCACCCAACCACATCGGCGCCTTTTGCTCAATGATAGCTACATCTACACCGACAGTCTCTACAGTTCCTCTGTAGAGGTTGGCGCTGCCGCCAGATGTCTCCTCTTGAATGATGACCCTCGTACCGGATGGAAGCTTCAACACAGGGGTATCAACTGGCAGGCTAGGTGTGATTTTCGTCTCCACCAGCTTGTCAGGTACATCCTGGATGAGCTTATCGTATTCGTTCTGGATCTTTTGGACGACGCCATAGAAGCTATCATCTACCTCCTTATCGTGGTTTGACGAGGATTCGGACTTGTTCTCGTCTTCTTTCTTCTCGTCTACAACCGCTGGCTTATCGGAAGTGGCTGTCGATGCTGAGCGACCCAATTTCTTTGAGCCAAAAGACATGCCCATTCGGAATTTTTTGCCGAAGGCAGTGGGGGATTTGCCATTATCCTTTTCTTTGGTTTCAGTCGGGGATTTTGGCGTCTCATCCTTCAGAGGCTCTTTCTCAGCTGGAGTCGTAGCTGGTGCTTTTGCAGGTGCATCTGCCGAAGTGATGCCGCTGGAAAAGTAGTCGTTCTCTCCGGATGGCCGGCCAATCTGCGCAGAAGACCGCTGGACTAGGGGACTGCCAGGTGCAGCAGAATCCTCGGGGACGCCCGGGAGAAGTGTTCCAAGGCCGGGAGTTGCCACACCTATCGCCAACCCCGGAGTCATGGGCGGAAACCCATTCGCCCTTGGAGTTGCACAGGACGAGGCGTTCGCATCCCAGCCTCCCGCGTCTGGTATTTGGATCGACGACGGAGAGTTGATTTGAGCTGCTGCCTGTCTCTTCTCTACACTCTCATTCAGCTTCTGACGATAGGCTTCGTCTCTCCTGATTTCCTCGTCGATGAGTTTTGCGAACAGGTAGCGAAGGATCCATCTACCCAGATTGACTACAGAATCATTAGCAACAAGTGTTGCCCACGGCAGCACATTTTTTATACTTCTCTGGTCTTCGCGAAACTCGACAGGTTCCTCCATGGCCACCTCATCAGCGTACATCTCAGCATCGAAACAGTTAAACGGCTCCAGAACCACTGTGAGGTTTCCGGAACTGGTATCAATGGAGCACCACGGGGCTACAGCTTCCAGCGTGTTGACTTCGGGCTCCACATCCTCTAGATGTTTCTTTCCGAATCGTTGGATTACTTCACACTGAGCAGGGTTAATCCAAACCGAGTCTCACCTGCGTGTGTACAAGCACCTACCTTGATAAGATCCCATAATAAAACATCTCCAGCGGTATCTAAGGTCAGAACTCGTCGCCGATCGTTCAAGAGTTTATGCTTCACTAGTCCATTTTGGCCTTCAATGGTTTCAACGGGTAAGTGGTGGATCGGTTCAGCCACGGGGATGATAGGATCCGCTGTAATTTCTGAGCCTTTCCGGGTGACCACAGTAGGAGCTGCGAGGTTGTTTTCCGTGGGGGCGGCAATCTCGAGTGGGAAAGCTGCTGTGTTCGATATCCTTAATACGGACTTGACGGGGATTTCTTTCTTCGTAGGGTCATCCGTCGAAGACAAGCGTGCTTGCTTGGATCGAGAAGATGGACTGCTAGGGCGAATGTGCCTGAATACCTCAGGAAGTTGGGCATCGGGACCGGTCTCGACGTTAGTCCAGCGGTTGATTGAAGAGCTGGCGCTTGCAGTCCATATGTACTCATCGCACGCTACAAGCTTAGTCACGCCATTGTGTTCTTGTGCCACGGCGACAGACAAGCCTTCGTCCATTTCAACGGCGCCTGTGACGTCAGTCTTGACCACCATGCCAGAGCGATCGCTGCTGTAGAAGACACTGAGATCTGGGTGGTCTGAGAACAACGACCAAACACTGTCATTGTGCATGGTGAGGGTGTACATGCATCTACCGGCCGTGACGCTCCAGACCTTGACCGTTTGGTCCGAGCTGGCAGTCATAACAGTGTCGCCTGCCTCACTGACCAATATAGAGCGTACATTGTCTGTGTGTCCAACGAACTTGGTGATTCTCTTGCCCGACTTAGGATCCCACAGCCGAACTATGGACTCGGGGCCACCGCTGGCTAGGATGCTGCGGCCGACGCTCAAGGCATAAACGGAGCCCTTCTCTGTGATCTCCTCCCCGCTGACATCGATCTCGAGAGACTTTCCCGCGCCATTGAGGTCCCAGAGAGATATTTTCCGGTCGAGACCGCCCGATGCGACCCAGTCTGCCCCCCTCAGGGATGCGACGCACTTGACGTAGTCGGCATGTTGGCCAATCGTATGCGCCTCGGTCTCGCCCGCCAGCGGTCGCCAAACTTTGACGGTCAGATCAGAGGACGCAGACACGAGGGCGGTATTGTTGGAAGCTAGCACGATGTCGTTGACCCAGTGAGTGTGGGCTTGTGTCGAGGCGCGGAATTTCGATTTGGTATCGGAATTCGGTTGGCCAGCGCTCCTGCGATTCAAGCCGAGACTGAGATCCCATGCGCATACGACGCCGTCTCTTCCTCCGGAATAGCTGTGCAACGTTAGCTGCTGCCAGGGCGAGTGTGCCCATGTCGAAGCTCGGGAGCTCACAGGATGGCATTGCTAGGGTCCACAGCGAGCCCGTTTATGCCGAGTCTGTGGCCACCAGATGAGGAATGGTCAAGCTCAAGAACTACACGATGAAGAAGGTTTCATGTTAATTTATGCGCCCAGTACGGATGGATTAAAGTTGGGCAATGGGACTATTTGTCGCGGCCGGTAATCTAAGACGGCGCGAGGTGAAGCGGGGTCTGAGAATGAGGGACACATGGCAATTTGCAGCTTGAAGAGAGAAGGGATGAAACTTGCCGTATGAGATTCTTTGCCTTGCTTTCTTATGAGCCATTGCAATACTCATACGAATGTTGTGCTTCAGATGAGAACGGACACTCAAAAATGCGACAAAGAAAGTCAGGCAGGTAATGGAAGAAGCAATTGGATGGATGCGCAGGACAGCTCTGGCTGCTCCACGCTACTGTAACATGATGAAGAGCAACTGCAGAGTCGGCCGGTGGCGCTACCTTCCCCGGGTGGGCCAAGCGTTGTATCCGCCCCCGCTCATTATCCCAGTTTCTCCATCAATTGATCCCAGTCCTTCTTCCATATTGCCGGTGTTGGAATTCCAACGCTCCTCACCGACAGCCATAATTCGACACCGAATATTTGCAACTTGAAATAGATATGCACCCCACTCACTATTCTCTCCGTCACTGGGACTGTCCGTCACTAGGACTGCATGAGAGACTTCAATTGCTCTAGCGACCTGGGATCTGCTGAGTCCAACTGCTCAGCATCGGATCGGCTCTATGATGAATCATCCATGGGTCCAAAATGAAGGAGTCCGGCATGATTTCTTCAATTCCCACACTCTTCACACTCTGTTCGTAGATATCAGGAGCTACTACTCATGGTACCTTGCATTACAAGTATACACTACCATAGTCAACTTTGTCAATTTGTCAATACGGGGGGGGGGGGGATGGGGGTGGGCCGCCCGATTTGATAGGAAGTCTAGAACAAGATCTCATACCCTCGAGCTTATTCACACTTCAGACGACTACATTAGGTAAGCAAGACGTCAAAATGTATCATTGCATTTAATGTCGAATGAGAGGCCGAGCTCTGCCTCCACCTTGATTGGTTTCACCTCTCTATTTCAGGCAAACAAGTCGCTATTGCGTATCTTTCGGTTTTATATGACATTGACTTCCCGCCAGACACAGTACCATCCTATGTTGCACATCTTACAAACTGCGAATTCATGGCGGCTTCAATTGAAACAAGAATAATTGAGGCAGTTTCCGACCTCACTGTCGAATTCCTGCGAACGGCGCTGGACTTGCCTTCTATTACATCATTCTCCACGACATGTATAGGAACTGGCCAAGTGGGAGACTGCTACCGAGTGGCCCTACAATACTCCCAAGGAGCCCCTTCCAATGCGCCCGCAACAGTCATTCTCAAGATCGCTTCCCGGGATCCTCGTAGTCGGGCAAGTGGCCTCTCTTTGGGCATCTACGAACGTGAAACCCACTTCTACACAGAACTAGCCCCTTCCCTCATGAAAACAACGGACTGTCTGGCAAAATGCTACCACAGCGCCTTCAGAACGTCAACAGGGGCTTTCACACTCCTACTCGAGGATGCTGGTACTACAGCCCTTGTCGGAGACGATATCCAGGGCGCGACGCTGGAGCAAGCCCAAGTTGCTATGCGCGAGTTGGGGAGACTGCATGCAGCTATGATGATGAGTCCTGAGCGATTCGCTTGGCTGGTGCAAGACTCGCCTGTTTCCCAACCTCTCGTGAGGCAGTTATTCGCGGGCTTTGCGGAACGTTACAGGGACCAGATTGACCCCGGCCATCTCGACATTTGCCGACGATTCGTGGCCAGCTTTGGAGAGTATATGGAAAAGCGGACGGAACCAGGGGTGTGCGAAATGGGCATTATTCACGGGGATTATCGCATGGACAATATGCTGTTCACGCCCGGAGAGGGTTCATCGAAGCCCAAACTCATGGTTGTGGACTGGCAGCTCATCACGGCTGGTCCAGTGGCCGCGGACCTAGCATATTTTCTTGGGTGCTCGCTGAAAGTCGAGGATCGACGCCAGTGGCAGGACAGGCTTTTAAGGACTTATTGCAACGCATTGGCCGAGGCCGCCGGAGAGCCCGTCATGACGCTTGAGATTTGCAAGCGTGAGGTGAGGATGCAGGCTTTTTTCGGGGTGACCATGGGCATCGTCAGTAGTATAATGGCGGCCCGGACCGAAAGGGGGGACCAGATGTTTATGACGGTCATGGCGCGACACTGTGAGTTGGTGAAAGATATGGACTCGCTGGCTCTGCTCCCGCCACCAGACGATAACGGTCTGATGCCGCTGCTACCTGAGCTACAGGATGAACAGCAACACGAGCCCGGGCCTGAGAAAGACTGGAACGAAAGTTGGTATTTCGACTTCGTCGATGAAGCTCAAGGGGTTGCGGGCTGGATCAGGTTAGGCTTGACTCCAAACCGAGGAGGGAACTGGTACCATGCTTTTATTACATGGGCGGGCCGGCCAACCGTCATCGTCAGCGACTTCGCGGCACCCGCACCGGACAACCTGCTTCTAAACACGGCAGACATCACCGCGAGCCACGAGGTCCTGAAGCCTCTCGAGAAGTTCCGCTTGACGCTAACCGCCCGGGGGGAAGCTTTCAAAGAAATTGCGGAGTCATTATACGGAAAGCAGGGAACGTCCAGTAAAGTGCAACTAGATTTGCTGTACGAAACCACGGGAGTGCCTTATAAGTACCGCATCACGCCACGTTACGAAATTCCCTGCAAAGTGACAGGTACAGTGACGGTCGACGGCGAGATCGTATCAATTCATGCCGTACCAGGACAGCGTGATCACTCCGTGGGCGTGCGGGACTGGTGGGGTATGGAATGGGCATGGTCTGCCTTCATCCTGAGCAACGGCCAGTATGTCCACACGACGGACTTGAGGCTACCTAACGCGCCGTCCATGAGCATCGGATATGTTCAACGGGACAGTTCTATTCAGGAGGTGGAGGCGATAACTTGCCACGAAGCCTTCGATGATGACGGGCTGGCAGAATGGCTGACTATGAACATCAGGGTGATGGGTATAGCGGAGGAGTTATCCGTTGTGGTTACACCGAAGAGTCATACGCCGTTGAAACTTGTGAATGATGATGGACGAGTGACTGTGCTTGAGAGAGTATGGGGGGAAGTCTGCCTGCCAAATGGAGAAAAGGGTGTAGGTTGGTTCGAGTGGAATAGAAATACGAAGGAGTAATGTATTCGTTGCTCTTCTGGGCTGGAAATTGAGAGCTGGGAACGCTGAGCAATGACGTATTACAAGATCGGTCATGACCTTCCGGCAGACATACAGATAAAGTTCTTCAGAATGGACCTCGTACTTTTATGTTGTCCAGTATTGCCTGTTCAAAACGGATGCGAGGAAGTCTATTGTGTCTCAGAATCTTTGTAATGTACGATGTTGACGCAGATTCTCGCGCCACAAAATCCCGCGGATGCCGCTATTAAAACCCGATATTTTGATGTCATGTTCCCAAATCCCCAATTCCAAAGTGCTCTACCCGACCGCGCAGAACCATATAACACGATTGGCACTAGTTCCGGCTTACTCGTCGGCGGGCTTGTCATGTCTTGAATACATCTTGTACTCCAACGAACTAGAGAAGTCCAGTTTGCCCTTCTCGACTTGCTTCCTCGTGGTGGTGAGCATGGGCTCAGGCAGACCCATGGACTGGAGGAAGGAGACGGCTGTCGATCATGTTAGCAAAGTTTTTGGTTTATTGCAGGGAGGTGTGTCAAACTTACTGTCCTTCCACTCCGTCTCCTGCCGCCGGCTATCCCACTTCAGCTCATCGGCCATAATGTCGATGATCTTGGGCAAAGCCTCAAGGGAAGCCTGAGCGTTGAGGAAAGCCAGTCGTGTGCGGCGTGCTAACACATCTACGGCAGTCTGCGCATACTCATGACGGACAGCATACCGTATCTCGCCATCCACGAAAGGGTATAGGGTCGATATGCGCTCACCCTTTGCAGGGAACCGCCGGTCGGTTGCCTTACACAGCGCGGCAACACTCCACGCTCTATCACCGTAGCTTTCGGTTAAATGCTTGGCCACATCAGTCTCAATGCCAAAGTGCTGAATCAAGTGGATGAAAAGCGTCTTGCTGAAACCGTGAGCACCAACCAAGCGCACTTTGTGCGTTTGGCAGCTTCCGTCCAGGATGGCACCGTCGTCAATAGCTTCGGTACCACTCACGCGAGGTGCGTTGAAGAAAGGCTTGATAGGGAGGTTGAACTCCTTAACAGCCTCATCCACACACTCCTCGGCCATTTGGCGATAGGTTGTCCACTTTCCACCAGCGCAGGTGATGAGTCCAGACTGAGCAGTGTGAATCAAGTGATTCCGCACAACCGATTGCGTGTTCTTAGCCTTGGGGTCCTTAACAAGAGGGCGGATACCAGACCATGCAGCCAAAACATCACCCCGGCGGACGTTGATGTCGGGAGACAGGTAGTGGCTGACCTCATTCAGAATCCACTGAATGGACTTCTCATCGGGCAACGGGTTCGGGGAGATGTTGGTAGGTTCGTCGGTCGTGCCGGCAATGGTGTTGCCCTGCCACGGTAGGAAAAAGATGACGCGGCCATCAGAGGTCGATGGATCAATCAGCCCCATCTGTCCTGGGCTGTAATACCCTGGAAGAATAACGTGTACGCCAGATGCCGGAGCCACAATATCTTCACATTCTTGATCGTCCAGTTTCCGTATTGAGTCGGTGAAGGGGCCTGTGCAGTTGATGATGCACTTGGCCTTTACGGTGATCTCATCGGAGCTCTTGCCGTCTCGCTCTGGAATTCGGTCCCTGATTTGGGCACCGCAGAGTCTCCCATTCGCATTCTTAAGTAAACCAGTGACCTCAGCGTGGTTCACGGTGGTGGCGCCGAAGATGGCAGCGGTCATGGCTATTGACACGTTCATCCTCGAGTCGTTGTGCGCACCATCATAGTAAACCAGCGCCCCTACCAGGTCCGTCCTCTTCAGCATGGGGAACGCATCAATGGCTTTGCTCTTGGTTAAGAAGTAGGAGCTCTCGATGCCCTCACTGCCGGCAAGAAAATCGTAGAACTTGGTACCAGCCCAGTAGTAGGGCGCCTTCCACCACTTATCGAGGGGCAGCATGATGGGCAGCCAGCTGCTGAGATGCGGTGCAGTCTGTAGGAAGTACTTGCGCTCCTTAAGGGCCTCCTTAACCAGCTTGTATTGATCGTAGTCGAGGTTCCACACGGCCTTCTCCAGATACCTGACACCACCATGTACGAGTTTTGTACTCTTACTGCTGGTGCCGCTACTGAAGTCGTCCCGCTCGACCATTGCGACCTTCAAGCCTCTTGTGACGGCATCCAATGCCACGCCGGCGCCCGTTGCGCCGCCTCCGATGACGAGGACATCATATTCCTCGTTTGCTGCGGTGCTCTTCTTCAGCTCGGCAAGCTGCTCATCGCGCGTCTTGATACAGGGAAAGCGGGGGAGCTCGAAGGTGCCATCGGCGCCCCAGATGGGTGGAGGGACGGCGGGACCCTCGAAACCGGGGATATCTCGGGGGCGGTACGAGTAGTACAGCAGGGCACCACCTCCAACGGCCACGGCGGTCGTGGGGAGCGCAACGCGCCGAAGTACGCCAGCTGCCCGCGACAGTCTCGACATTGTGAATTCCCGCCGACGAGCAACGAGTCGGTAGGTTTAATGATCGGCGCGCTCTGGTAGAGATCAGAGGGCGGGTTGTAGAGCGACGGCGCTATGTGATATTATTCCAGGTGGGAGCGCCTGCTGCCTTTCCAGGCGGTAGACGAAACTTTGTTAGCCTACGTTGGGCTATGCGTACAATAGTGTAGTTGCTGGATGTCGAACGATGAAAAGTTCAAGTAACGGAACAAAGAGAGCCGAAGGAATCAAGACGACTTGGGGTTGTTGGAGATTGCTCGCTTGCAATTGTGACGAAACGGCTCCTGGGATCAATTGCGCTTTTTTTCAGGGAATGCAGAATGTACACGAGCCCATACTTTCGCGTCCTACTCGTCGTATCCTTCCTATTCTACGTAGTGAGAAAGAGCATGAAGTGTGCAGAAATAAGCTGGTAGGATCTCTCTTCATTTTTGCTAAATCTAATCGCCGCGACATGTGGTCAAACGAAGGCGTGTCCGCGCGCATGTGGGAGCAAGTATCGGTCCGGTCATGACTATCAAATTCATCCCCACGCTTGAGCTTGGCCTGAGCCCCATAAACGCGGCGCTTTCGCAATTCAGGGGGCCAATTCTACCCCAGCGCAGCACCTCACAGCCCGGCAGAATCCATGTTCCCCCAAGACTTTTGGAGCAATACTGGAGCAAAGGGACCATATTTCTTCCACCAACCTGTTATTAATCCGACTCAACATGTCATTGCGGAGTATTCGGTGGTTCTCTGCGTGACATGGGGTCTTTGGTGCCTCGTTTCGACCCATCACGAGATGGTCACAAGACATGCATCTGTACATAATACTGGCGTCATGGAGTCCTCAACAGTTCCATTGAATCACTCTGGTGGGGTATAAAACAGGTTCACGGTCTGGCCTGGAATAGTCGTTCCTATAACGAATTCCCGAAGTTTGACCGGAGGTCTGGGCCTGCAATTCGATTCTGCCCAGAAGTCCTGGAACAAATGGAGAAGGCGCGACTGGGTTCGGGGTTTAACGTTATTGCATGGAGGCAAACACCAAGCAAAGTTGTGGACAGAAGCGACTGCAGAGGAGGACGGAGTATTATCAACGGTTGTACGGAGAGCTATGTTCAAAGTGTACATTGAATTTTCTCTATCAAGCCACTACAATTTATTTATGCAGCCAACCATGCCGCGTTTCTATGTACCAAGGGTATTGTCTCTAAACCAAAGTATCTAACATCATCATCTGCCAAAGTTTGTTTTCCTCAACACAAACAGCGGTGGCCCGGCGTCTGTGAAAAATATATAATATATATAAAGAGTGGCTTACCTCCCATCAACACAAACAGTAAACAGCTCATCCACGAAGGTGGTCACGTCGACGAATTTCTCGCTTTCAACCACCGCAGATCCCAATGTTGGGCCACTGTGGATCTCCTCTCGGCCTTCCGGCATGGACTTCATCTCAATCACTGCACCTGGCAATTGTGTCTTCCTGCGCTCTGTCGTCACGACTGTCAACCGATCCACCCCGGGCTTGCCTTGCGTTGACAACCGGTTTAACGCCGATGGCGCACCACACTGCGACTGGTTTTCGTCCGCTTCCTGGACTTCAACCTGGATTTCTTGCGAGACCATGATACCGCCGAAGCTGGATTGTGGATGGGCTGCTATGAACCGCGAAGACGTCGACTCGTGGGTCGGCGAGCGCGGTTCGCTACGGCTCCCATTCCACAGCTTCAGCGTCGAGCTCGAGTGATTGGATCCTGTACTCGATTTGTGGCCGAACTCTGTCGGAATCGGATTGCCGTCTTCATCGACAGAATATGTCGCCGTGCTTGGCCGGCTCCAGCGCTTGAAGGCGTGGTTGAAGGCGCCAGCTTCGAGGCGGGTTGATCGAAACGAGTTTCTTGTACTGTCATGACCTAGTGTCGGGACACTGAGTGGCACAGCGTTGACGATGGGGGCAATATCACGGTGTACCGAACGGGAGAATGCCGCATGCTGAGGAGAATTCTTGTACACCAACTGATGCACCTTGAAGAAGCTCAACGGGATGAAGTCGCACTTGGGACTTTGCATGTTGACGTGGATCGGAATCACCATGTGAAGAGTAATCAAGGTGCAGGTGGTGGCTGAGGACGTCCCGGCCCGGGCTCGGCAGGGGACTCGCACCACCTTGGCTGTTAGCACCGCCTCGTCGATAATTGGGTTGTCTATCCATGCGCGAAGAGCCTCCACTGTGTCGTACAGCTGAGAAGCGAAGAGCATTTCTCGTGGGGACTGCTTCTTGGTAGCTTCCAGCTTTTGGCATAGCGACGGCACGTCTACATGATCCAGTTGACGTAGGAAATCGATCTGCCATAATTCGAGGCGCTCAAGTGGCATTTGCAACGAAGGAATCAGGTTCCTGGCCTCTCGCCTGACCAGAATGTCAAAACCGGCACCGACCCTCGCTCTTACGCCAAAAAAGCCCAAATGCACACCGGGCTCCATCATGTTGTTCTCTTCGGCGTATCTAGCCATGTCGTTCAGCTTGCCGCCAAGATTCCTCGTCTTGATTTGCATGCTGGATCCAATAATTCCACACACCTGGTTGATGTCGGCGAATCGGAAGCCTGCAGCTTCAAGCCGTTCAACGTTACGCGTTATCTCCAGACGACGTACCAGAAACATGAGAGATCCCCGGCCGTATTCTTGCTGCTTGGCTTTCCAAACCTCTCCTTTTTCAGCAAAGTCATCTTCTTCCGGTCCCAAAATCTGTGTGCTACGACGATTTCTCTGCGTCAAGTCGTCCGTCCGCCGAAACGACCCCCCAGCTCCCGTGGGGAGAATCTCGTCCCACAGCGTACCGACATTCGAAATGTGTTCCTTCATCCTGTCTGCCAAGTTCACGGCCGCGAGACAGAAGAGCTCACGGAAGATGATGTCGTAATTTTCAATGAGCTGGCCGTTTTCGTCGATGAGTCGAACCTTCGCATCTCGACCGCTTCGAGGGAGATGTGCAAGGTGGTTCCCCATGCCATTAATTATGCTCGTCAGTCCATTCCAGTTTCGAGACGCCTGAAACATCCAATGGAAGAGAGGGTGGGCGATATTAAACAAGTCACTTGGTGTCTTCTCGATGTAGGTATCTGTGATCTTCTCGCAGGGCAATAGTCCATCCGGGTTAACGAGGATGCGGCCATGTTGATCAAACACAGCAGCAGCGAGAACGACCTGCTGTGCCTTATGAGCGTAATGCCTCCTGACGTGGGTAGAGTACATGGCAACACCCGCCATGATCAACGCGGCAGCCACGGACAGGCAGATGACCACAACGAAGGTCGTATTGCGAGTGAGCTGGTTCTGTCCAAAATTTAGGCGTATGAGCCGATAATGAGTCCCAGTCGAAGCACACCAGTGCATCCCTGAGACAGCACCAGCCAGCACGACGGCAGACAAACCCCTTTTCCACCACGAATTAGTCCAGGATGCCCTGAAGACGAAGAACAACGATAGCGCCACAATACTCGCAGCTACGGCGATCAAAGCTGCACCGACAATGTTAACCGTGTTGTAAATGCAGGAATAGTTGTCAATCGAGGCATTACCCTGCTCGTAGTGAAGAGTCAGTCATGTCTCCTTCTGACCCGCCCTCAATGGGAGAAAGAAAGAAAAAAGGCCTGGACAACTCACCAGGTAATGCATACCGCAGATGGCACCACCAGCGATCGTACCTCCAAGGGCGATTCGCCACCAGGAGACTTTGTTGTTTGTCCCGACGGCGACGAAAGCAGTGAGCAGTACCAAGATGGGCATGAAGAACGACAACGCAGTGAAGCCGCTCGAGTATACGATCTGAAGTTCGGCCTCTCCATGCGCCAAGTCGATGGCCCTGTTGCCAATAAAGTGCATACACCAAATCGAGATTCCGCCCATTGTTACGGCCGCGCTGACCAGGATAACGTGGTTGGACAGGCCATTGCGTGAAGTTCTCCTGTTGATCAGCTCGAGTGTCGAAGCCGCCCCGATGAGGGATATGATGTAGCTCAGCGCGACGAAGCCACCGTTGAATGAGCGCGGGACAATATTCCCCTCATACTGCAGGAATAAGTCTTCCGGCGAAGACATTTCGAACGGTTGCTCCGAGCGAGAACAGGGCTTTCTGGTGATACTGGGACCGATGGGCGTATAGAATTGCTGATGTTTTCTCAGTCGATCATCGTCCAAGATCCAATATGATATTGCACAGTAAGGAGGAGAGGGTATGTAAGGGCGGACCGAGTTCCTCTAGAAGATTCAGGTCAACGCTCACTTTCGGCCCGCTATGGTATATCATCAACATTCATATGTCACCTGACCACCAGGATCTGCGACGGTGTGCTGATCCAGCCCCAGATAAGCTGCGTGTAGGGTTGGACGACGGGGAAGCCGGGATGGTGCTGTCCAAGCCTGCTTCTAGACTTCGAAGAAACAGGATCAACCGTGAGCCTATTCGCTCAGAAAATGATGGGAACAGGATGCCAAGGGGGAGCAAGATGCGAAGGGGGTCCGGGATTAATGAGATCCAAGAGAGTATCAGAAGGACACGGGCTAAACACCAAGTCTGGTGCCAAGCACTTTGCTAGTGAGCATCGGTCGTCGGCAAGTGCGTATGCAAGATTCTAGTCTTGATCGGACTGTCGGCCGCTACGAGATATCGGAGATTTCTGACAGAGCTCTGTACATATTTAGCTGCGGAGCTTTTACTACAAGTCATTGCACCCGTTGGGAAGTTGGTGTTATGAATTCCATAGATCGTGGGAGCCTCCAGCACGAGAAGCAATCCGTTGAGTGCCTGACGTCGGCATCTCTATCCACTGCTACAAGATACACCAATAAGGCATGCCCAAGCACGACGTATCCAGGTCCTCCCTTGCTTCCTGCCTCGCAGGCAACGGGCTGGCACTTCTCATTAGTGCCGAATCTCGATGAGACTAGTTTCAAGCCTCATGTCTTGGACCGTCGCGTACAACATCGAAAGTAATCGGTTTCTAACTGGTGGCTATTTCTGGGTTTTAGCAATTGCTTCGACCTCCAATATCATTTCCCCATTGCCCATCTATAGGTGCGAGGTAGGTTCTCAGACGTCCAGTTCCCTGTGCAGCCTGTGCAGGTCGAGATACAAAGCGTTAGGCCGAACATAGGAGCAGAACTTGGAATCAGTCACGATCTTGACCAGGATCAGGTAGATCTGTCATGTTAAAGCAATATACACCAATGGCCATGATTGGACTATGGGAAGCAAATATGCTGCATTGAACAAGTATTACCGATCAACTCAGCTCCCGTAACTAGTGCCCAGACGCCATCAGCACCTCAGGCTAGCTATCGCCACTTATCACTAGATATCACCAGAAAGGTTTCACGACAGCTAACCAAGTTCAGCCCCAAACGCTTGATTTGCCATCGACGTCAAGTTGTTTTGTCGACACAGTCCGATTCAATCCGCTAGTAATGAATACTTTGCTGTAGTGGTTGGCGAAGGTTGGAGAATCGTTCTTTGGTACTTAAGTAATGAGTAAAGATAATATGATAGCAGGTTTGTGCCACTTATTGGCCAGATCTCGGTGGCGTCGCACCGTGCCGGTACTTGCAGCTCCTGGATCATCTTGGGCAAAGCAACCAAGGAAACCTTAAGCCTTCAAAGGCCTTCACGTGGCGTGCCTCATGGCAGATGTCTGTCTCATTGCAGCGCGCCACGTATGTAACTGCCAGACCAACATTGAGGAGATGCTACTCCGGCGAGTGTTTTTTTGTGTTGCTCTGGATCTTTGAAAGAAGAAGAAAAGCCGGGATCCTGAATATGCGACGGCAAGTAGCCGCGGCGTTCTCAAGGAGAATGCTACTCCTGCGGCTCCGCTCGAGGGATTGTAGTTGACGCTGAAATCCTCCCTTTAGTTGCAATTGGTCGTCAACACTAAGCATTCAAGTTCGAACGCCACTGTTTCAGATTCTTTGCCTGCTTCGTCTGAAGATGACGAGCAATTCCAACTGCCAATCCTATTTAAAATCGTGTAACGGCCAGGCGACCCGCACGTTCCGACGGATTGGTAGCGTACGGTTGGATACTATAACTGAAAATGACAACCCTGGTGCTCTGGATAATTTCTTACCTCTACCAGTGCGGCTACCGCTACGATGAGAATGGTGGCGAAATTTACGGCAGCATGGGCAGCTTTCTCGTGGAAGTATGGTGTCTTCCAGACTTCCTCTGGCATTCCCAGCTAAGGCTCAGCTCTGGTAAGGTCTCTGCGATACGAAAAATTCTTGATTTTGCTGGAGCACGCCAGATGAAGATCTTCAGCTGTTCGTCGAAGCTTGTAACGCTCGATACAATGGGATGGGCTAACGCCTGTACGTAATCTCGCAAACATTAGCGTCTAGTATCTTACAATTTTGGAATCAGGGCTCGGATGAGATCTACGATATCTAATAGACGTCTTCGACTGGACCACTGATAGATGTCTTACCTGCCTGAGCCCCAAACTCCGTCACCCTCATGAGTCCATCGATTCAACGCATCTACCCAGCTGTAGTATCTCTCTTCTAGCAGTCCCACCAAACAGTTTATAAAGGTGAGGTCCAACTTCATGCATGATAAACTGGGACATGCTGCAATCTTCCTTGCTATCACATTACGAGTCTGGTATTTTACAGCCAGAGGACCATTTTAGTACAAGAAGCGAATGGGCAAAACCTGCCATTAAGGAAGGCATGGCTTCTGATCCCCTTAACACTCCAACTCATCAATAATGATTTTGCTACAAGTGCTGTTCTCGATATACATATTATACACCGAGTATTAATTAGGACTAAACTACAGCTTTGCAACGATACAGTGTCTCAATCATGCCCAGCCTGGTACTACAGGAAACCCGGGGTTTTCATGTATTCCTACCAGATGTCTAGAATATCCATGGATGTTCGCATGGTATATCTATACCACTCGATCCTAAATCGCTCTCCCCAAAGCAAACCAAACTCCATAACCGTTCCTTAGTGGATTCTTACTCTTCCCACATCCCACTACTAGTTCGCAACAGGTGGCAGCCCGACTTGATAGAGCTATATTTACCTCGGTAGCAAAGTGAATTAAACACTCACATTGGTACGCCCAGTAATCCAGTCTACCCGGACGACCCGACCGAGATGACCGAAAAAGCTATTAAATTTGTTGAGCTTGAGCTCATTCCACGTATCTTAGCATAGTCATGAAATGTATACACACGCATCTGCTTCGTGGGGAGTATAAGAGGCAAACATCACGGCACGAGAACTTGGCTGGAAAAAGGTGGAGACATGTCGCACAGTAATTGGTATATACTATGTACTTTGTACTTCAAGACGATAGATATTGTAGCTTTGTGGTACTGTTTCCGAATAGCGTATATCCTTGCTTCAGATAACCTGTTGGGTTAGTCGGTTTTTGCAAATAACGTTGTCGGTCGGGAAGGTGGGGGGTCAGGCGAGATGGCGTACACCAGAAATCCAAGTAGTACCCCGCATACATTAGTGATGCAGGTCGATAGCAAATTAACTTTTGTCAATGCAGTAACGACAGATTGTCCTTCATCTTTGGTAACATTTCGATGATATCAAACCTGGCTAAGTATCGTTTTAGGAGTGTTTTACCATCGCAATACCTTTGAGCACCACGCTCAGCCAGATCTATTTGGCCCTTGCCGTGGGTGGATATATATTCTTCACAGGTACTTGGCCCCTCAAGCGTGAATATGGCATCTGCCACCTCCCATCGGCGATGTCCACCTATGTCTTCGAACTCGACCATCCAGCTCTTCGCTTTACCGCATTTCAAACCCGACCTGTATGAGCGCGCGTGGCAATCGATTCCACACCCGCACGCACCGCTCATAGCGACAGCACATCATAAATCCGTCACGATTTTTTCTCTTTCAACACTCTCCTCACACAGCACTCTCAGTGGCGGCCACGAGCGCTCCGTTCGTTCGATAGCATGGAAGCCGTACGCGACACCAAACAAATTATGTCTTGTAACGGGAAGCTTCGATCGAACAGCAGGCCTTTGGCGCTGGGAAGAAGAGGGGCATTCTTCGTCTGATGCGCTCGATATCACCGCGACACGCGACAGCAGTAGTGATAAGGAAGACAAGGACTGGGAGTTCACACTTGTGTTAGAGGGACATGATTCCGAGATCAAGTCGGTGGCCTTCGCGCCTGGCGGTCAGTATCTTGCCACATGCAGTCGGGATAAGTCAGTCTGGATCTGGGAGGATATTGGCGCAAGTGAATCGGATGATGAATGGGAGACGGTCGCGGTGTTGAACGAGCATGAAGGCGACGTCAAAGCTGTGGCCTGGTGTCCTGAAACAAACCGCAGGGACAAGGGTCGGTACGCACCAGATTGCCTGGCAAGTGCAAGTTACGACAACACCGTCAGGATATGGAGGGAGGATGGCGATGGGGAGTGGGTATGTGTCGCAGTACTCGAGGGACACGAAGGCACAGTTTGGGGGATAGCATGGGAGCCCAGACCGGAGGGCACGCGATACCCGCGGCTGATGAGTTGGAGCGCTGATTGCACCATCCGCGTGTGGGAATTGAAGGAAGAGGACGAGGAGGAGGACAAGGAACCGCAATTACAGTATGCATGGGGCGGATTGAGGAGCATTCCGAATACTATGCGCAGGTCGATGAAGGACGAATGGGAGTGTACCGATATCCTCCCCAAAGCTCACACCAGAGACATTTACTCGGCGGCGTGGAGCCAAGACTCGGGCCTGGTCGCCAGCACTGGAAGCGATGGTATTCTGGCTATATATGAGGAAGAAGCTGCAGGGCCTGGCATATTGAATGGCGAACGACATGCAACTGATGCCGAGGCCAACGCGGAGCTTGATGGCGACGTACCCATGACCAATAGACATGATGCAACACCCAAAAAGCAATGGTATATCAAGACGACGAAACCGAATGCACACGGCCCATACGAGGTCAATCACGTCACGTGGTGCAAGCGCTACGACTCTGCATGTCCTCCTGAAAGGAAAGGGATTGAAGAGATGCTTGTCACGACCGGCGATGACGGCATAGTCCGTCCATGGCAGGTCATACGATGATGCAGATGGGCTTGGCATATACTGCGGGGCCGCAGACATGGCTTGGAGATATAAACGACCGAGATACTTGGTTAAGGTCGATCTTGCCACCCCTAGACTAAAGCATATGCATCGGATCATGACTACGGTTTGGCGGATAAGGGTTGCATCACATTCATAATCGGTTTAGGTTCACTCTTCTATGCGGGACTCAGGCTCCCAAGTTGAGTTGCATATCATTAGAGTTAAACTTGGCCCATGAGTCTAGTTACGAGCATTTCGTAGTCGAGGGCCGTGGTGGGCCTAACAAATCTCCGTCGTTGGCACTCAACAGCGAACGGCACGTAAATTCGTCTGAACTACTTGATCATGTGGTGAGATAGGCTCCGTTGCCACTTATACTACTGTTGAAAGGTAATCTGTGTGTGGTGACCTGTGGCCATGTTTGGGTTTATGATGATGTAGTTATGTCAGTGCTCGAACTCAAACATAAAGACGCATTTCTAGTGTAATCGTCGCCGCATGACTTTTCTTGGCAGTCCTAATACATCACCGAGACAACATTTAGGCATAAAGCCATTAAACGCCAGCCACGAGCTCGATCCGTAGGGAGGAACAGGTAAGCAACCGTATCGCCATATCGCCGAAACCCGTTCATGGAATGACGTAGGAACATTATCAGGAACGTAAGCGGATTGAAATGTCTACTACGACAACTCTTCTTAGAGGACATCTTACGAGAAGGTCGCAACCTGTATAAAGTAAGGCCCACGTACTTGTGACAAAACATGGAAGGTCATATTTATCTTCTCTTAATATGAAGGCAAATAAGTCAGGGCTGTGGGGAATCATGGAACCTCGATTAGAAGAGAGGCCTGATCGGAAAGTATAACAGTAAGGAGGGAAAGTTGACGATGGACTTGTTAGGCCCGGTCGGAGAAACGGAAAATTGCCCGTGCCAAAAAGTTACCAGGGATGCGTATCTTCTGGCCACTAGCTACAAGCTCGACCCTGGAACTTGCATTTCATGTCCTCGTCGTATCCTACGGCGGCGGCTCGTAAAACCCAACCATCTACAGGATGTGTGTTCCCTATCAGACGCTTTAATTTGCAATCGTCTTTCAGATGGGTAATGTGCACGATTCGCCACCTGGCGCGTGGTGTTGGCAAACTCCCCATTCCTACTTAGATATGTCGGGGCCAAGATATCTCAACATTGCAGTCATACCATGTGCTCATAAATATGCTTTATGAGGCTTTTTTTAAACCGTTTAAGGAAACCTTCTCGATTGAGAAAGTATTATTATTATTAAAATAATATTAAATACGCCGTAGGTGTTAACCCTCGGTACCTCTACAAGTACTCCCTTAAGGGGCTATAGATGATATAGCGGGCCCTTAAGCCGCGTCGGGCGGTTATACAGGTAAACTTGTAGCCAAATGACTACTAAACCTCCTGTCCCTCCCTAAGTCTGTGCTACAACCCCTGCCTGAACTACCGATAAGTGTGGTAATGTGGCACTTAAATTCGTCCTCAGGGGTGGGATGCTGCTGATGTGCAGAAGATGCTCGACTATTTTTTTGTCGCGACAAGTCGTAGTATCTGCTAATTGGGGTTCTCGTCGAGCGTATACATCTCAACCATACGCTCAAGTGGATAGACCGTAACGTGGTCAGACGCTCGCAAGAATCGCGGCGAGAGGGCGTGCTGCGCGCCTTCTATCGTGAGGGGACGGGTTCGCCGACGAGCGTTATCGGATAGGCGAGGTCCGATAAGGGGTCGGATTAACGATTCGAATTCTGGACCGGCTGTCGAGTTATATTCCGCCGACGTAGTGCTTGACGGTCGACTGGCTAGGATGCTCGTAATCCTAAACTGCACCAATCTCCCTATTATCGCTAGGTAGGCGAAGTCAACAAGGTGGGCAGCGCGCCGTAAGGGTTGACTAAACCCCCTTGTGTGTCAGCTGCGGGATTCGAACCCGCGACTCGTCACCGACCCAAGTGGGCGAGGCTCAAATCGGGACTTATCTACCAGCGAAGTGACCAACTACACCAGCCGATATTATTATTAAATACGCCGTAGGCTCGAAGCCCCCGGTATCTCTACCAGTACTCCCGTATGTCAAACCGTGCCCTAATGGCTGGACTAAATACATACGCTGCGTCGTCAGTTCGCCCTATTGGCGACTGCGTTGCGTTCACTACCATACTACGTTGATTCTCAACCTACCAACAAAGTCCCCCCTGAGAAGATCGATGCTATCTGGGCCTTGAAGCTGTCCGACCCGTCCCTAGCAGCCACCTTACAATAGTCCCACTAACTACTGGTTCTCCTGTTGCCGTTGCGAGGTCTCTGCGAGAGTATAGTGGCCGTGGTGCGATAGCGGCCCGTAATCGTTCCCTCGGTCCTTCTAACAGCCCGCAAAAGAGGATTACGTGCTCTGCCGTCTCAGGGGCGTCGCCACAGCGGCATAGCGGCGAGTACACGCCAAAAGCCCCTGTCTTGAATGAGAAGGCTGCTAGTCCTATTTTTTCCGTCCTGATCTGGCACAGCGTAGACGCCTCCAGTCGTATTGAGAAAGTAATAAACAAGATGCGAGGATGCTATACTATAGATAGCAGCTAACTTATCATATCGGAGTGTGAATACAGCACAACACACGGGTTTAAATTAGGATCTATGGAATGGATTATGACGTTGACTCTAAGAGGTACACTAGACTTTGGGGTTTATAGTTGCTACAGATGTTATAACACACAAGTACTTTTTAGTGTCTTCGGAGTAGTCGATAAGCTTGTACGTATGACATCGTCTGGGACACTATACCACCCGCCTGCTGATCTTTTCCTCTCCTAGTTTTGGGATTGAATTCCGTACTATGATCCTGATTTTTTTTTTTTGATTTTTTTCCATTTATTCAATAGCTAGCTCTGTGCCGAGAGGCTGGTGAAATAACAACATATTCTCATTAAGGTACTGTTGTTCCACCTCGACACCACCCTCAGCAACAGAGAGCTCAGGCACAACTGGCCAGATCGTGTCCCACTTTCATTTTCAGTGCAGATAGAGTTGACCATGTTGAAGATGCCGTCCTGAATAATTTGAATCGTCCACCACCGTTTCGCTATAGTCGTTTCTGGATACTTCACCTTCCCAGCCTGACTATGCTCCGCTCATATCCGGCCTAAAGTAAGCAAAGCACAAGAGACCAACATCACTTCATCAGTTTCCAAGCTGCGTGTAAGTCCCAAGCTGGCCATGTTCTGTCCAGTGTCCTGAGTTAGTAATTCTGATGAGTTGTGGAATCCCTAGACCAGGAGTTGCCGTGACGATGAAATTCCCTGACAAACGATACAGCCGCAGCCGGATGGATCCCCATTGTCTAAGTCCGTATAGTCATTTTGACAAGTATGGGTGCGCGCTGGATCAACACGTACACCCACATTAACTTCCATCCTACCCCTGTACCCGTCCTGTATTCGGCGTTCGTCATCCAAGCGTGGTCTTCCTACCTCGTATTTAAGGCTTAAAGCTGAAAAAGAAGACAAACCTTCTAAGCCCTGCATCCAGAGAACGACTGACTAGCTAGTCTTTCTAACATGAAAGATGGGATGAAGACCCAGGATCGCCTTATAGCCGTCGGCATGCCTGAATCAGTCTTTCCTATGTGAATAAGTTCAGCGTACGTTGATGATTCAGCCTGCCTTAAACTCAATTCCATTATCCCGCTAATCAACAATTCGTTCGGAGTGTGCGATCCGGGCATGGATATTCGGAACTAATTCAGACCGCGAACCTGTAAAGCTTTATTCTTGGACCTGGATCTATGCATCTCAACTCAGACCCTGGCTTGTAATTTAGTACCATAACCCATACCATGGGTAATCCCATGCAGCAGAGTCATGGTGACCTGGCTATTCAGATATCAAGGCGCAGGAAATTGCAGCGGGTCTCGTTTGTTGGTTTGAAACCGCAATTTATTTGACTATAGATATTACTAACCGCCAGTGCTTTGGCCAACATAGTACACATACGCTTCAACACCAACTTCCGAGGGCTAACAGGTGCAGCACAGCTCGTAGGCATGCTTTGACTGGTCCAATAACCACTTCGACCCAGTCCAGTATGTGAACAAACCCCTGCCCCCACCCCAACTCCATCTGATGCTCTCCATGTTTGTGTAATTCTCAACCCAACGACCGCCCAGCTCCTCGCAATGCATGCAAAGTAGTACGTGTCATGTTGATCTTTTCCATGTATCATTCAATCAGTCCAAAGACCTCCTTTTCGCAAAATTGATGCTGCTGTCCCGAGAAAATAAGTGGGAATGGGGAATATGTCGAACTTGTTGAAGGATATCAAAAGCGTCTTTAACCTCGTTTCGTAGCGCCATGCAGAATGAGAAAAAAGAGAAGAAGCCCCTCCCACCATAATGATTGATCCCCATGTCTATTACAATTCGTGAATTTTGACCGCCGCCGTCCCAGTAGCCTAGCCGTCCGCCCCAGGTCATGCCTTTAACACCGATGAATGTTTTGTTATCACGTGTTCCTTAATCGTAATTTTAATGTGTGCTCGTGCGACCCATCGGGCGTTCTTGGCTGACCCGCCAAAAATGCGTCCGCCGTCAATTTTGTACTGCCATCGTAGCTCCCTCATAGCCCCTAGATACGAGTGCTTGATCTCCTGCTGGACGGTATGCTGAATACCCGGTGTAGTAGATTGCGCTTCCCCCCGCCCTTTCGGCATCCGTAATCGATACAGTCGCAAACATCCAGGTGGCTCGATTCACAATTTAGCTTCCGTTCCAGTTCCGCTTCCCAGCCGTACAGGTCTCCGCCCGAATTGACTCTGCTGTAGCTGTCTGAATCAACAACCGTGACGGATGAATCATCCCCGTCGTTATCTTGAAACGAGATGCCCAGATGATTGGAGAAATCGCTGGGGCATGGGGTTGACCGAGTTTTCAACTGCTCGGGATCCGAGTCCTCAAACAGATACGTGATATTCTCGGTCTCCGTATCCGTGTCTGTATCCAATGTCGCTGACAACGTTTTCAATTTTACCTGGGGCGCCGGGTAGGGCAAGTATGGTACCGGTACCGGAGATACTGGTCCGTAAAAGTCGAAATGTTTCGACGCAGCAGCAGGGGCGCTCCTGCTTTCAGGCTCCTCGACGACCTTTGCTGGTATCTCCAACGGCTTCGGCATCGTGTTGCGGTTCTTGGACCGCGGAATATGTGGAATAATGATATGTCTACCACTACAATATGTGCTTTCTGCCTTTGCGGCCACATCACCCGTGCGATCATCACTGACAGCCAGGGGAGGGGGCCCCTTCATCCCAGGGAGCGCTCCGACAGGAATTGGAAGTCGCTGTCCTGGATGGGGTTCCTCCCACGACTGTTTAGGGGAGCTGGTGGTGCTCTCGCCATTCATAGGCGTTGCACCGCCTGACTCGGTGTCAGTGGTGGTCTCACGTGATGATGTGACCTTTAATTCTCATAAAAGAGACTCTTCGGCCCTTCGCTGGCTTGTCGCAGGTGTTACACTGACGTCGTTACTCCTCGACGGCACGTTGATGGGTTGCGATCGACGGGTTGATCGGTTCTTTCGGGTCAGTCCCAACCTCGCGCCCATCTTCTTCCAGCTATTTCCGGAAATGGCTCGTTGCAATGTGTTGGGCGATGTGCTGAAAGTGTAGTCTGAGGTTGGTGGGGTTACCGGGGGTGTCATGGGCTCAGCATCTGGAGTCGAATTAGGGCTGCCACTCTCATCTGTTGCCAAATCAGTCTCCGCAGCTTCCGTGACCGACGTTGACGTTGAGCGATTCGCAGCTACACTACTGCGGCCGAGACCGAGCAGTGGCAGAAAGGAGGTTTTCGGTGATTGCGATTGCGATGCATCTTCTCGCGACGATATAAGATCCTTGGGTATCCTAAGCCTCGATCGACCCTGTCGTGCCTCATGTGATTCTTCGTGATGACTATGGGACTCGGCGACAACGGGGACGACGGACTCGAGGAAGGGCATCAGAAGAGAGTCGTTCATAAGTTCACGAATAATCCGGACAGCGTCGTCCAATTCGGACGGTTGGGGTGGGGAACTTGGCGAGCAGTTCAGCCGCAGAAGCCGATCGCGTACTGGGGCCGGAAGGTTGACTTCTCGCGGGCCATAGGGTGTGATATATGTCTGCATGAGTTTTTGCCATAATGTGCAAATGGTTTCTGATGCATGCTCAGATCTTGGACTTTCGGCCGAGAGTTGCGTGTTGGCAGCTTGGTAGCGTTCGGCTTCGAGGATGAATTCGAGCGTCTCCAGGCAGTGGTTTTGAGAAAGGTATGCTGTAAAAGCACTTAAAGTCCACGGCGGAGGCGCCGTGTTGGATAGTATTTCGGAAAGGGAGGGTAATTTACCGACAGGTGACGTTGTACGGGGTATGGCCAGACTCGATGGCCGTGAGTTTGACATGGCGGTTTGGGAGTCCCAGTCGTCATAGGCGGACGACGGTGGTGATATTTCCCTCGGAGATGGACTTAAGTACGTCGGCGAGGATCGTCGTAAGCTTGATCTGCCCATTTCTTCCGTCTTCAGTCCCAGAGTCAACTGCGTAGGAGGGCGATTTGTCTGGCGTCGTAGTAGACAAATAGCAAACTGGGGTTTACTACAGTTGAGTCCGCCCCAACCAGACTATCGCTCCATTCAAAAAGTATTTTACCACGTTTCTCCCGATAACACGAAAGCAGCAGCACGTGCTTCGAATACCTGCGAGCTGCCAGGGAAGGCGGCCACAGGGGGTGCAATGACTGGAAGCTCGTTAGGTCACCGCACGGGTATCAGCAGACTGTCTCCAAACGAAACAGCGATGTGTCGGGTATACACAGCCCGTGGAGGAGCGCGCTTTTGGAAACGAGGCGAAATATACACCACAGCAAACGACCCGTAGCTGATGGTATATGTTGGTTCAATGCGGAAACCCCAACAACCCACGGTGACTGGTACTGAGGACCTCGGAACAAGAAGTCGGGGGTAGTCCTTGCCTGGTCTTGTCTACCAGGTGGGTTTAACCAACTTTGCTCTTGGGCCCAAGGTGCTGGCGTCGATGAGCGAAGACTCGCTGACAATAGAGTTTCGAAAATGAAGGGCGAAGCCCAGGCCTCCCGTGCAAGATATGCTTTTGCGCTAGTCTCGAAGCTGTTGCTGAAAGCTTATTATTCACGGAACGCCGAACCAAGGCTTCTAGTGCTCTTCTATGCTGTGTCCCGTCCAAAGAGCGTATTCCCAAGGTTCAATGTCGTTCTACAAGCTGCAGTCTGCAGAGACAATTGGCGCAGCTATTGCAGTTTTACACGTAGGGCGACAAGACACCGAGCGAACGGGGCTTGCCACGAATTGTGCAAATTTGACGGATGGGATATGGAGCTATCGTCAAACGCGCGAGGACGGCGTTGGGGGAAGATGAGATCGGCGGGCGTTGGTCACTGTCTACTTTTGTTCTTGGTGCCTTCGTTGCACGGGTTGGCGGGTGCCGAATGTGTCGTCAGGTCGTCGCTTCCACCAGAAACAGGATGACCCAACTGAAGCAGAGTCTAGCAGACTTGGGGGTATCGGGTTCGTAATAAACAAAAAAATAAGGTTTCGAGAGGAAAGAAAGACGCTTGAATGTTCGTGGGTTCCTCGTATGAAGTCGATTGAGAATGATCGAGCGAGCGGCGTGCGGGTGAACAATAGATTAAAGGGTTGGGAGAGGTACCCAAGTCGGCCAAAGGTACTTCAAGCGTCCCTGACGACGCGGCCGAGTTGCAGTGGGAATCGCCGGGGGTATTCTCCGTCCTGTACTATGGTACTGTAGTAGAGCCACTGAGTCTGCATGGGTATCCCCTATCTTTGCCGTAGACAACGCTCCTTCGGCTCTGTTGACTGGATTGAATTGAGCCTTGCTTTGAGCACGCGACAGGGGAGGCCATCCACGGATCGAGGCTGATGCAGTGTCACGGGTTTTGTTTCTCCTGGTAGAGACTCTCGGAAGACGCAAGTACGGTTGTAATGGCAGCCATTCCTCGTCCAACAAGAAGTCCTTTCTTTGTCCAAAAGGTTGCGGGAAGCACTTTGACTTGGTCTCCCCGGCAAGACACTGGCCGCAGCGACAGGAAAGATATCCACAGTGGCGTAACGCTAGAAGAACGCTAGAAGAGACGGAAGGTGGCAAAAGGCCAATCAGAAATGACGCCCCACATAGTCTCCGAGAAGATTGACGTTGCTCTTACCGCACTTGTGTGGTGCTTCCCGTGTTGCTCTCTTGCTCTCCTGTTGCTGGCGATAAAGCAGCGACGAAGCTGCAATGGAAGAATGCTGGAAGCTGGCCGATACGCCCAGTCAGTGCAGAGCGGAGCACGACTCCTCCATGCTCCAGCTGCAAAGAAACGTCCAAAGAGCGCGACGATGGCCCCAAGTTGCCAAGCTCGCCCAACCCGGCCAAAACCAGCGCCATTCCACTCGGGCAGCACGCCACTAAATCGTTCAATGTGCAGCATTGTGGTAATCACATATTTAATTACGCAATCGTACCGGCCTTTCCATGTTCTTGTTGGCTCAGGCTTTCATCCGTTACTTCATCTCGTACGTTGATGCGTCGACGGAGTAAGAGAGGTAATGGTATCTGCCAATTCCTACACGGCCATGCCCTGGACGGATGTTCTGTCAATTGGTAATACGGACATGAGGATAGCTGTGAGAATAGATGACGATCCCTGCCAAAAATGAGGTTGTTAGCCTTCGTTGTCAAGCTCCCAAAGCACGGGGAACAATGGCATCATTCCCGCTTCACTTTGTTCTCGTCAGCTTGTCTGATGATTGTCTGGTGATTTCTCAGCAACTAATGAAGCTAGTCACCGCATGCGGTGACCAGCTGCAATGCGGCCTCGCGGTCTTCACCCGTTGCACAGACGGACAGACGGTCGCCCAATCAATTTAGCAACCTCTTCAGTGGTTCCAGCTGCAATCGTCAAGATGGCCATCTGCGGCCATCTGACATTTTCCAACATTCGAATGTCGCAAGCTGGATTGGGCGGCGCTGCATGCGGTTTAATTTACCCGTGTCGTAGCGACCTGCTACCTTCCTATCTCTCTTCGGTTTCCGGACTATGGCCAGCCTCTCGAGCAGACTTAGGGTTATAACGCGGTCCGTTTCCACCTTCCTACTGGCTAACCCTATATTGTGCGTAGATGACGCTCATCACTTCTTATTGCGCATTAGACTATTTGCATGGCCAAGCTGTGCTTTGTCGGCAGAGATCCTCGATTGATCAACTGATAATCAAGATAAACCAAATGCCGAAGCGGCATGGATGGTCGAATGGCCGCTACGACTGATGAAACCTGGAACCCCCAGCGGAGCACCTTGTCAGAAATGTCAGATTGCTGATCGTACAGACGAAACAACAACTGACAAGTGTAGATCTACCCATCTGGGGCTTCCTGGTGCTGTAGATATCGGCAGTTGAAGGGCAAAGCCATAGCCACAAGCTGCACTGGTGGTAGGTTTTTGTTGGTCGATTGAATGTGTGCACCAGCGAATATTGGACGACATGCTACGCGACGACCCTAGCAAGCTTGGAACTCCAAACTGGCTCCTCACAGTAAGCCACTTTTTGAAATCAACTCTGGCACTGCAAAATCGAGATGATGTTGGCTTGACTCCCACTGTCCAAATCATCAGTCAACTATATGATTTGTTCCGCTGGTTATTCCCGGAACACCTGCATATGTGAACTGGGGCTCTGGGGCTCTTGGGGCCCTTTGCTGATAACGACAGACCTGACCCGGCAAACCCGTTGGCCTGCCGGGTTCTCTGTCACGTTACCGCTTGCTTCCACTGATTCCGGATGATACATTGTAGATGTTTCTCCCGCCGAATTCTCTTCGCATCCACGCAGATCGCACATCTCGGAGCTGAACGGAGCCTGGCCTAATCCAATGAGCCGGGGCTACCAGTGAAACTGCCTAGGGAATGCAGTTGACCGACCATGTGCTCCCAGGCCCCGGTCTATTACCGCAAAATGTTTTCGAAGAATCGACCGTTGGATGACTCGATTGAGGTCATGTTTCGATCTCTTTGAAATCTGACAACTCCGCAAGTGGGGATAGAGCCGGACAGCAAGCAATGTCGGAAGTGCCGAGCACACAGCTCAAAATTGGCTGTGGGCCGCAGCCGTCATAGACATGAAGCTATCGTGAAGAAAACTGTTTTATTCCCCCCGTCAATGTGTGGTTCCAGTTTTAGGGCGTCTCCAGCATGATGAACAGGCAATCCCATGCTTGCTTGCGACAGCGTTGCCAAGTCACGGCTAGGCCTCACACCAAAATAGAATGTGGGAAAGATGAAAATATTTTTCTGGCCCATCCTACTACTATGTTGTCATGGGTAAGTTTTCAATTGTGTGTTTGTACCGTGCCCTAACTTGGCACGCGCCAACTCTTAGCATATACATTCAATACATTTTACTAGTACTTTGTATGCAATCCGTTAGCCGCGATCACCACTTCCCACCTCTCTAGCATTAACTTCAAAAGCTCCTGTAAGTAGCTCTTAGGTAGTTCATCCCAAGCCTCCTTTACCCATATCCGAAGACGATCATAGCTAGGCTTTTTAGTAATACCGTATTTATCTTCAATATTCCTTTATCTAGTTCTAGCATATCTCTATCGGGTTTAGATCAAGGGAATAAGGTAGAAGAGGGACTAGAAAAGGATGATTGATAACTGGAGGAATAAGGCTCTACGGCCTTGCTTAGAACTTGTTACATATGTAACGAGCTCTTCTTCTTACTTACGAGATAAAGTCCGGGGTCTACTAGATCTCTTAGCTACCTGGCTTGAAGAGGCCTTAATAGTTATCTTGATCTGGTTAAGAGAAAACGTTGTAATAGTATGAATTTCGGCTTTCGATTTACCACCGTTGAAGTAGAGGTGAAAGTACCTTTTCGTTAGCATCAGTAGGCTAGGCCAGAATTAGTATAGCGTTGCCTTGGCAGTGATACACTGGTACTTGTCAGGGGGGTGAAAACTTTGGCCTGATACCGTAGACATGGAGACAGCGGAACCCCAACCAAGCCACCGCCGCTACGGAACGATTTGCCCATGGGATCTCCCTGTCAACGGCCAAATCCAGTAACGCTGTAGAAGGCGGCTGAAATCGTTCTATGCTGGGTTCGATCCAAGGCTATTGGCGGCGCCTCGTTGCCTCGCATGCGACCGGACAAGCCGGAAATCTAGGCACCCTGCACCTTACACCTTATACCTGCGTTGCATGATGGTTCGTGGACGACGTGAAACAATGTGATATCCACTGAAACGCCTTGATACCTGGATGTCCTATGAGTCGACCGCTTCGCAGTATTCGATTTGCGCAACGTTCCAAAAATCTCGACTCGCATTCTGTTGCAGTATCGGAAGAAGCACCTTGGTAAAAAGCTTTGGCCAACTTGGACAGCTTGACGGCATGATTCGTGTCCGTGTCTTGTGGCATCACCTCGATCAAATGGTTCCTCGGCTGACTCGCTGTCGCATTCCTGGTTGTTTGTTGGGTTCTACTGTGTATGGTTTATAGACGAACGAGACGCTTTCCCATCTTTCAACCAACCAACCTTGGGAACTTGGTTGGCCTGTTCCCTGGTCGAGTCATCCAAGCACGCCAGACGGCAGGCTAGCAATATCTATCCGGACGTGATGCGACTCGGTCTCCCCGTTTCCCAACACCGTGGCATAGATCTCTTTTTCAATGGTTTGCAATTGGTGATTAACAGGTCGTTGTCAGCCCGTTGCCCACCGTTTGCAACCCAACGGTGCGTTGGGTATCCACATTAAACCATACTCGTAGCTTACCTAGCGTCAGGTGGTCCAATTCGGGTGATTTACGATGCGGTCCAGACCTTCTTTTTGTTTGCGGCCCAGCCAGCCTCGCGACAAGGTCGTGTCGCACTTCATCCAACCATTCGCCTCGAAACCGACCTTCCGTTTCTGGGAGACCAGTTGGTCTTTGCACTCGCGGCAGCCTTGCTGATTGTCCGCACAGCGCACCACAACGGGTTCAGGGGCATTCACGATCCGATGCCTTGGTGCTGAACGGCTCCGTCTACATAGTAGGTTGCACGTATCCTGTTGTCAACCGTGGACGAAACAATAAGCTATCACGGCGTATGCATGAAACCGATACAGGGCTTTTGCCTTTCAATGTGGCACAGAAACGAACGACGGGCGGCCTTGCGCATCAGTGTTGTGCACCTTCCACAAGCTTGACCTGAATTTCTACAGGCTGGACTCTTCAAACTATTATCCTATCCAATGGACGCTAGAACACTATTCGTGTAGACGAGGGCGCCGTGGTTCGACTTGCTACGTCCAAAGCCCGGCGTGTAACCCAAGTAGTCAGCAGACTCAGCAGTGCCCACACGCTTGGGTTGAGGAGAAAGCTGTCACGGCAGCCGCTCCCATGCGTCTCCAGTATTAACGACATACCATAGGAATTGAGACATACAGTAGCGCATCTCGGAAATATTGAAAGGTCTGACAATATGCACTCAAGACTGGCGATCGTCCTTGGTTGATGAGGCTTACAGGGAACATTAGACTGTAAACCCGGGATATGGCCCCAACAGCATGCATCTTGGCAACTTTCTTGTGATTAATTGGACGGCAGACCGCCTTCGCGCACTCCCAACCCCTATAGGCTGTATGTATACAGCTACTATGTAGGACCTACTAGTGCCCAACCCGACACTGTGTTTTTCTCACCGGCGAGGCGCCGTACAGAAGACCCAAACACGCAAGGAATAAATGTACTACAACGTATATCGCATGGATCCATCAACCAGGGGGCGGTTGGCCCAGTTGATTGCAGAGCTGCCTCATCGGGCAGGAAAGCAAACCCACTCATGCACCCGGATCTGACTTCCGGGCCAACTGGACGGCTTGCACGCATTTAAAATAGCCTAAGAGTGCGGGACCTCAGGAGCCACGAGCCAATTGTCACCAAAGTTGGTTCACAATAACGACATGCCTTCCTTTCATAGCCTGTGTTTACGACCCAAGTCGGTTAAGATTCCGGACGACATCCACGCAAAAGAGCCTGCCTCTCCAATTCCCGATACATGCGGCTGGGAGAAAAGTCTTTGAGGCAGGGAGGGACAAACTTTGCACCATGACACTTGCTGCTCTAGGAGATGGATATTGCGCATCAGGTGAAACCGCGATGGGATATGTGGAGAAGGCTGTCAAAATCAGCTGATGGGGTCGTATATACGTCCAATTTCGATCCAGCAAGGCCGTCACTTTTTACGTCTGCGAATTGGAATGACGACAGGGCACGATGGGCACCGTCGGGACAATTGATTTCATCTTCCGGAGGAAATAATCTTTTCCCGGAGTGTGTCGGCGAATGTGTCCATTAGTGGGAGAGGACGTGTTGGTATCCAGACTTGCAATAAGTTGGACTTCTTAGCTTGACATGTTGTTAATCCGTTGGGTCGAGAAGCTACTCCTGGAACCACAGCGTGGCTATCGGCGTGAGCGCTCCTCAATGAAATATGACGCACGTAAATGAGTCCACATTTACATCTCCGACCTCGATCAGCTTCAGAATGCCCCTCGGGGGGTCAACCCTCCCGTAGACATGTAGTCGACGGGTGCCTTGTTGTATTAGATGCTACCAAGTCAGCCTTCGATCAACGTCAAGCGCTGCCTGCTGTTTCCTCTCATGACAGTGAGTGACAGCAGCATCGGTTTTCTCAAATAGCTGGATGGTATGATCGCCGGGAGTGTTTGCCGTTCCCTGAGATGCCCGTAGGTCTTTATCGAATGAAGAAATATGGTTTCCATGATTGCCGTACTACAGCCTAATCTTTCAAGCTGGATGGCCAGAATCTGCCTCCAGCGATCCCATAACCTGAATGCCAGAGATAGGAAACTGAACACCGAGCCAGTCCTCTCTACAATGTCTCAGCATCACCTTCCTCAATTACATGTCCAATTCTGCATGAGCTCCTAGAGATCTCTTCACAGGAATGGAAAGTAGTATTGGACCATCTCCTCCGCTGTGGCTGAAGGGAAACACGGCAATGTGCCTGTTCCACAGAGATGTGACGATACCCCGTCGTTGGCTAGTTCATTTCCATAGTCTCCATTGTGCCTCTGCTTCTCATATTGTTGTTTCTAGTTACATTTGGTGCCTCTACGCTCTTTTTCAATATGTAGACGTCACCAGCTAGCTAATAGCACCTCAAACCAGAGAACCCACATAGCGCTTAGCGTGGCGATAGAAATGTTGTTGTTGACAACCGAACATATCAACCTAAGAGATCAAATGCACTATTCATGCTTAAGCCTATGAAAACACCGGCCATGTGTGCAGTTCGTTCAGTCCGGCGGTTTACGGAGCATCAAGCGGGCGCCATCTTGTCTGGTTGCCAAACAGAATTTCCGCACTGATATCAACATGTGACTAGACGTACGCGAAACTTCTGGTGGGAATGGTAGGTTGGAAAAGCAATACGAATCTGCACGCCCCTTCCCCTTCCCCTCCCCAAGGCTGCCACTTTCCAAATTAAGTAACCCTCACGCCTAACGTCACGCTGGAATAGCCTTGGGGACAAGTATTTTGGTTCTGATGCGTCTGTCTCATCAGTCCCGAACTGCGTTGTACGTTGCATTGCCTAATCATAAATTACAACTTTGAATATATATGGTTGGGGAGGATGCCAACGGATGATACTTGCACGGTGAATATCACGGTGACGTGGCCATCAAGGTCAACGAAGGAACTGGAAATAATGAAATTTGAAATAGTGGCTAGAAAATTGATATGTACGCCATGCTTCAGTGGATTGCTTTACGACTTCAAGGTGTGCCGTACACGGACATACAGTGTAATTAGTAATGTTGCCCCTGAATTATGACTTCAGCTATGCATAGATATGTGAGGTCGACTGCGAACTTGAACTGTGAACTCTTCTGTCCTAGTGGGAACCATACACCCGATACTCTCACAGCATTCACTTGGAAAATTCATTCATTGAACACATAAGTTACTGTGGTTCCCGGTACGTGGGTCTTACAAGTACTGTACCTTGATGTGCATTCGAAGCTGCCTCACGGCATTAAGAAAGTATGTCAACTTCCCAAACCTTAATCGCAATCTAATTACATGGAAAATATATTTAACTTAATAATCGAAGCCTCGACGCCTCCAGAGTTTTTCAGAGCGTGCGATTCCAAGAGTGTCTGCGAGGAAGAAGCTTAAGGCAAATATTTTGGCTGATGCCCTACTTTACTGTTGACTTTAGTACGTTGATACACACGACGGGCATGGAACTACTTTCGGAAAGCATCGTACAGATTGTTATGCAGATGGGGCATGCGTGATTCAGTATGCTCAATCAAGAAGTAGTCCGGGTGGTTCGGCGAGGGGATATACCTCTCTAGGATAATTCAATTGACCGGCAAGTGCCATGTTCGGTACAGATTAACTGGATACAGTTCAATCATTATTAGATTATTATGAAATATAAGCTTGTTAGGAAGGATGTGACATCGTAAAGGAGAGACCATGAAAGAAATCAAGAGACCATTCTGTATACTGTCGTGATCATCGTGGAAACTTTGTCCAAGGAAATGATCCAAGCGACGGACTATGTCTTCCAAGTATAGACAGCTAGATAACGTGACATTGCAAACCCCACCCAAAGAGAGAAGTCGGGTATATTTCTAAATATTCCCGAATCGAAAGTCCAAAATCCCATATAGGCTAATGGAAGCCTCAAGTTCAAAGGCATTCGGGAATAAGGGTCGAGGCTTGAGCAGTAGTTGTTCCAACGAATTAGAAAGAAATTGGTACGGGAGATAGTCTAGTCTGTCAACTTTAGGACGTACTAGATGGGCGGAGGTAGATAGGCAGGGCTGGAAATGATCCTCAACCGTTCACTTGAATTAAGCATGTATATATTCCTGTTGCTCGAGAGGACTCTCGGGCGACTAGGGTTGACAGTTGGAAAGAGAAACAGGCACTAGGCTGACGTCGGACAAGTCTCTGGCGAGGTTGTTGAAGTTCGTGGGTTGCAACCTCATGCGCATACGAGCCATATGAGATTTTGTTGTTAAGGCCAAGGAATTCTGCAGACGATAGCGCGGAATCCGGTTTCTGAGGAGGGTCAATGATGAGATGGGTCATGTCTCCATAAATGAGAGCCTGTGATGGCCAGTTGTTGAGACTGGACCAGGAGAAACAGCCGTCATCATGCAAAGTCATTTGGCCTATGTTGTCCTCGATTGTCTGGCAAAGTTGAAAGACCAGATGTTAACTTGTCTCCAAACACGGTAGTCGCACCTAACCAACATTGCGGTCATCAGTATGTTCCCACCCGTAAGCTCCAACGGTGCAGAAGTAGGTCAGGTAACTGATGAGTGAAATTTTTCAGACGCTCTTAAAAGATACGAGTTATGGCTTGGTTATTCTGTTGCGGCGGACGTCATCAGTACACGAACCAATGAGTCAGATTCAAAATGCTCCTCAGAAACACAACCACCAATCTATTCGCCAAGCTATGGTGTACGCTCTTCAGGAAATAATAGAGGACAGCTGCATCCGAAGCAATCCGGTCGCGTTTAGTGTCATCATGAGTTTCGAATGTGAAGTGAATCCTCGTCGAGACCTGCGAAAGCCTGAAGACAACGAAGTGGACCATGATCCAACAATCTACGTACGCCAGTTTTGGCCTTCATGGCTTCGAATACTAGCTCTTGTGAGAACTAGGTGCCTAGCATTTGAGACGTCTAAAGAGTCATTAGATGAGTCCAGTGCCCGGACGTTTTCTTAAACAAAGGCTTCCATCTCTCAGACGTAAGCCTCGGATTTGTCTGCATCATCGCAGAGCATCTCGAACACATGGGCTTTGCTCTAATTGCCTGGCAGCTAGGCATACGAAATTCCCGTCGAGAGCGTGGACACTGAGAGAAGTTAGGTAGGTTGATGTCTATTTATTGATAGTTTCAATCATGTCTAGCTGACGTGCCCATAGGACAGAGCTCGGCGACAATCTGACTCGCAAGATCGATTTCTTCTATTGTGAAGAAGGATGTTATGCCGAATGAGGCACCAGCAGAGTAGGAGATATATCGAATACAGGACCCTATAGCTGTACTGCTCTCACGTGGCGAAACAGGGTTGAATCAGCACAAGAAGCACGTTGGCAATGAAGATACGGGCATGGCAGACGGCGTGATATTGGAATGACGAGGTGATGTTACGCATCAACGAACGAAGATGCCTGTTTTGAAAAGATGCAGGATGGCGTGGAACGACATAGACGGAGTTGGCCTCTGTTCGGCTGAAGAAGCTGGCCATTTGAAGACAGGGAACTCGAGAAATGCGGCGAGGCTTGTTGTGCAAGGGAAGATGGATGCTCGAGTGGAAGTAAAGCAAGGGAAAGCTGTGACGGCTGAATCTGAGCAACTCCTAGAACTTATGATTCACAACATGACCGTCACTGGAAGACTTGGTGAGAGCATTTTCTCAATAATGGCACTTTTGACCGAACCATGATCCCTTGACTAGGTGTGTTTGGACGGAGGCTTCGCCAGACATCCGTGAAGCATCATCTGGATGCCCAGTGAGTCAGCTTTAATTGCTAGTGGGAGAAAGGAAATCCCTCATCATATGGCTTTGGCAAGCTTGAAAATATGATACACGGAAGCAGGCTCCTGCTGTAGGCACTAGTGTATGGACTGACGTTGGGCCTACTACAGTTCATTACCGGATCTGCAGCTCGGAACAGAAATCACGGCCATTTTGGCGATTGTGCGGATAACCTCTAGTTCTTCTCCAACACTGATTGGCAAAAGCCTCAGGAAGTGCTGACGGCAATCGCCTCATCATTTAGGCTTTGTTGCAGCAAATATCTTGGACAAGATGCAGTCTTCTCTTATCGAACCTAATGCTTGCACAAAGCCATACGCTGGGGGCGTTATTATTATCTTCATGCGTTGGAGTATCGCTGTAACGACCGCAGCGGCCGCGGTAGGGGTCGACGCCGTGGGCGAATATGCAGAAGCAACCCGGTAAAAGGAGTTGTGTCATCGGGAAAATGACTCTACTTGGAGTCTCCAATTTGAACCGAGGAACACCCACAGTACTATCGACACCGTGTTATGGTTTGTAGCTACACGAACCTTCTAGCCATTAGCTCCATCCACGAGGAGAAGAAGAAGAAGTTGATATTCTGTTATAATCTTGTACTGAGTAGCGTGACCGGATACTTGGAGGACAATGCTTGTTCCGCTGTCTGTGACCAAATTCAGCAGGTGGACACTTTCATGAGCTTGGCTGTCATTACGCAAAAACACGAGAGAAGAAAGGAAAAAATAGAGATAGGGGACCCTCCCGTGAGCGTCGAAGCCAGCTGTGAGACGTAAGGCAGGTTGAGATTATCAGCCTTATATGCGTCAGCCTTGGCATCACCCAACTCCAAAATCGATACAGATAGAGGTACAGCGAACCTGCGAGGCCCAAGTCTCCCAGGGACATGAGGTGGCGTCATCATCAATGCATGTCATACTGGGTGATTCGTCACGTTGGAGGGTGACTAGCTAACAAGTGATAAAATCCCAAGGCCTGTCCACGAATCTTTGTGACTTGACGAAAGTGATGCGCCGGGGCATGATTGGACGACGAGATCTAGAGGGGCGGGTTCGCTAATGGAAGCAAGGACGTGAACGAGAGCGGGAAGCTGGAGAGGCGGGTCTATCAAAGTAGGGTATAGTCGGTCGCTGACGATTAGCCGTGCCGCCGTAATCATCGGAACGACGTTGGGCCATGTAGCCAATCAGGTTTGGCCTCGAGTTAGTGAGCTTCCTTTTTGGTATACAACCTACGAGCCTTCGAATTCTGAGGTCTAGACTCGCCATGTATCCTGCTGGCAATGACAGCCAGTGTCAATGTATTCTAGCGCTTCCAGTACGGCTACAGTGAGTTGAGTACGAAGTACATGCAGAGCCAGGTTTGCGTCGTTATCGCCTTTCCCAGCCCAGCGGATGGATCTACAGGGCTTACGACGTGCCTCTGCGAACTGATGCAGCCTGCATCAATCAGACTCTTTCCAGCCAGGCCTTGCGAAGCAGTCATTGGTCCATTTCCAGACTCTCGGTTTTCGACAACGCTTTTGAACGGCGGTGTCGTTCGTTACTAGTCTCGCCGAATCAAACCTCACCCATCTGGATGTCTCTCGTGTTCTTCCACCTCACGACAGACTCATATTAGTCCCATTGTTGTCGCAAGTAGCGCATAGATTGATTCAATTGATCCAGTCGCTGTCGTAACTCAACTGTAAGTCGTTTTACGTTTGCGGTAAGACGGCCAAACAGTTTCGAGTGAGTACCGAGCGCTCTTGGCAATAGTTTCAGCAACCCCGCCAAGACTGTTTCAACAGCCAAACCATGGCCGACGACGGTCCATACTCGGCCGCCAACGACTCAGACGGCGACGAGGATGTCTCTGTGAACCAGCTGTCGCCTTCAGATGGGTTCTTCGCGCCTTCTTCGTCGTCCAATGTCGTGCCGCATGTGCCTAATGTTATGCTCATCGACCCCACACTGCAACGGCCATTAGAGACAGCTGCAGAGTCCAAAGCACGCGAGGCAGACGAGGCGCCTCTTGCACATTCCCGCCGTTCATATCATCACACTCCCGGCGCTTCGTACTACAGCGAACAAAGGCAAGCGAGCTCGTTTGCCCAACCTGCTCGGCATAATACCACCTCGTACCCGTCTTATCCACTCTACATTCCGTCCTCGTCATCAGCAGCAGCGTCGACATCGACAGTGCCATCGGGATCACAACAGCAGGTACGAGCGGGCCCCTTCATAGGACGTGCTCCCTCTTTATATTCTGACGCGCCGCCTCCCTACTCGCCCTCACCTACGTCCCCCCTCTCTCCCGCAAGCCCGTCCAACCAAGCCAGGAACTACAGCACCATCACTTACAATATGGGTATCGAGAATGAGCGGCTGCTGGGGCAAGACCCCGAGAGCATGGCTGAGCCAGGTGAAGGTGACGAACCACAACGCAGCCCTCTGTGGGCGCGGCGCATCAGAAAACGTCTGCTGCCGTGGATGAGTTGGCGCATGCTGATGCTTACCGTGATCTTGCTTGCTGTAACTGTTGGGTTTCTGGCAAGTTCATATCGAGTCTTCAAGGGAGGGGAGAATGTAAGTCCAGCCCTTTCAAGACTTTTGTTGTACTTGTCGCTCCCTCTTCTTTTTGCGCAAAGAATCTTTTCTTACCGTCGACTGATGATTTTGAAGAAAAACAGCATCAGACCCCAGGTCCCTTCTGATGGGGTTGAGCGGCCACCAGAAGAACCCCAGCAACCACCCACAGCACCAGGCGCACCTAGCTCACAGCCATTGCAACCAACCTTCTGCACGGACGCATCGCTCCGCTTCCCAGACCAAATTTTGGCCGTTGACTTTGGCAAGAACCAAAACCTGACATTTGTGCAAGATTCGCACAATCATGGAGGTAACTCGCAAGTCAGAGTCGGTGGCCAGGTCAACCTACGACTGCTTGATGGTGGGGGAGAACCCCGCATCATACTGGAAATCGTCACCAACGACGAGAACCTGCGGCTAGATGTCTTTGCCGATAAGGACCTGCAGGCCATGAGGGTTAGTGTGCCTAAGAAATTTGCTTCCCTTGACTCGGGTGACGTGCCTTGCGTGGAAATGCGGGCGACTATCTGGGTGCCCAAGGGAGGCCAGCTAAAAGAGCTCAAGATTGGCGCTATTCAGCTTGATATTCTTTTGTTGGACGACTTGTCCATCCAGGTCGACGGTTACTCTAGGATCACGTCAATCACGGGAGACATCGTGTCTGGTGCTGACAAGCCCCTCTCGTATGAGAACCTGGGTTTGGTCTTCAATGAGAATCCAGACTACACCTTTGTCCCGGCCAAGCAATCTTACAACCTGGATTCGCGCGTTACTGAGGTCACAAGCACATCTGGCAAGATCAACGGAAACTGGCCCCTTTACGATGTATTGGGGCTTCACACTACGGCTGGCGACGTCAAAGTCAGCATCACGCCTAAATCGGTGCTCGAGTCTGACCCCAAGCCAGCTATACTGTCTATCAGCTCTATCTCAGGCTATATACATGCGACCGAGCCTGTTCATTTGGTTGACCAGATACTCTTACGCGAATACCTGGTTGATCTCAAATCAACCTCGGGCGGTATCCACGGTGCATTCGCCTTTGGCTCGGGTGTCGAATTGAAGAGTACGGCTAGTGACATCGCCGTTGATCTACTCCCTGTTATCGACTCGGACAAGCTATCAGCCTCGCGACCTGCACAGCTAGAGACGACAACTACAAGTGGCACGACGGCAATTCGCATACTTGAACCTGTTTGGTTTGGGAGCAAAAAGGCCACCAGAGAGCAAAAGTATATTCCTTACCAGCCTATCGGAAACGGGGATTCACATGATTCAATCCAGCCTGTGTCTCCACCTGACAGTATCGCGGGCAGCCGCAGGGCGGCTGCCGTTGCCCGACCGTTTGACTGCCTGCAGGCTCTGCACAAGTCGACTAGCTCCGACGTGGGACTGCGTTACCCACAATCCTGGGTAGGAGATCTGCAAGCCCAGTCGACTAGCGGCACGCTCAACGTCAAGGGCAAGGACGTCAGAGTAACCAAATCTACCGGCGGCTGGCCTGGAACCATGATGAAGGCACACAAGGGGAAGAGTGGTAACGGCTCCACCATCGTAGTCAATACCATGATGGGAAGCTTAGACGCAGTGATTGGGGACACATGATCAAGAAGAACACGCTAGGAGAAGAATTAGGAGCAAACACGGGATCTGAGATGCTCGACTACGAATGACGGCCACGAAGGAAAATATAACTACTTTAGCATTCGTTGACGACGTACAAGTCGGGGATACGGCGTTCTGGTTGCTTCAAGGTGGTATGCTTGGGTTTGGAGTTTGTGTTTTACATGCTCAGGAAAACGACATGGAAACAAATATGTCGATACAATACACACTGACAGGAAATGTTCATGTCCAGCCTCCACCGTCTATTTTCTATCTTAAGCTCATACTTGCGTATTCAAGAATACCTCCTTCAACACTGGTGACAAATTGCTCCGACTTCGAAAATATGGACCTGTACTAGAGCAAATTGGAGCCAAAACGAGTCCCTTTTTTTGGCCTGGCAGGTAAAAAGGAAACGCGAATTCGCTGGAAGATACCCCCCACCCCCTTTTAGAAGCGTCTAAGGTGAGACGGCCGCAGCGAATAGGGGTCCAACCTGAGGGCGTCGACATTCGAGACGAGGCGACTCATCCGCGACTGATGGTTCTTGTTTTGCTCATGTTCATTTGAATGGAGGATGGCACTCATCTCTAGCCGATGCTGCTCTCTATCCTTATTCTCCTCCGCCGCCTTTCTCTTGTTCTCTTTCTCGATTAACTTCGCCTCCTCAGCCTTTATCTCGTCGCGCAAGCGCTGTAAAGGCTCGATCATGTATAGCTTCGTCAGACACTCGTAGCACTGGTGCGAGTCCTCGGGCTGGATGAAGTAGACATCCCGAATGTAGTAACCCCGATAATAGGGCATCGACTGCAACGGATCGGGGTAGCCCCAGCCTCGCCTGTGAGGGCCGTGGCGTTCTTCGTGTTTGAAGGATGTCGTGTCGCAGGATAAGCAGCAGATCACTATGGCTGATGTTCTGAACATGGTGATAGTTTGCTTGGGTGGTTGATCTAGCAGGTGTGAGTGTGTGGTTTTGTGTGAGGGTATATATTGGGTGCAGCTTGTATATCTTGGATGTCTCTCTTTTGGAAGAGTGCATGGGTGGTATAGCAGGAACCTGTCTGAAGTTGGAGAGGTTCATGATGATATTTTCTTTTGTAGGAAACAATTCTGTGTTTCTCCGCTGCTGCAGAACATACAATATAATTTATGTGGGCGAGCCATTCACATACCGTTCGGAGAAGGTAGTTCAGTGGCTTCTCCGTTGGGATCGACAATATAAGCTTCACGGCCCCCCTGGATCAAATAGGAACAAGGTCTCCAAGTCGAGTTGGCATTGCCAGCGGTCTCTGCGATTTGCTTCAGTATTACTCACTTTCCAAAGGTATGGAAACTCCCGTAACGTTGTCCAGAACAGCTGTCCCTAAGCGCACCGCTCTTGATTGTCAAAATAAGTTTTCAAACTAACCCGACAACAAAGGATACCCCGTACGTAGCACGCTACCTAGCCGTGATCCACAGCTTACAATAGCCCCAGCTTCCTTTATCATATACATGTAAGCTTTCTCGGGATTCATTGAGCCATGGCCAAAAGTCCCATATTCTCGGTTGTCTTTGGTCCAAATTTGGCGAACAATAGTCATCGTGTCTAGAACCTGGGCCAGGCAGAGTTAAAATAAAATTAAAATAAAAAGGGGAGCATGACTCAACCTTTGTAGAGCACAGAAGTGAAAATACATATGAAGCCATCGTGACGACTACTAAGATACAATCTTTCGAATTGCTGGCAGTTCGCTTTTCCCATTTCAACATCCTCATAATCACGGATACCTTTGCCCAGCTGCGCTTGCCAATTCACATTATTTTCCTCTCATCGTCCAATTCAACTTTGGAAAACAAAATACATTTTTCATTTTGCCAGGGTCGCAAGCAGCTGACGACAACACACATTATCCCACTCCTATCGTAGAAAATACAACAACTCTCTTCAAATCACCGCCACGATGTGTACCGAGGTCCAGACCCTTCACCATGAATGCCAACACCGCCAATACCAAAACACGTACCACTGCCACATCGCGCGCCGCTGTGACGAGAAGGACGAGATGATACTGATCCAGCCCACCCTATTGCCCACCCCCCCTTCCAAGATTCCGCCTGGATTGCTTTCCTGCAAGCGGCGCGTCGCCACGCGTCCCACCCAGGGCTTGTGTCTGGAGTGCAAGAGGAAGCGACTCGCGGGAATCCCTGTCAGTATCGCTAGCAGCAGCAGTGCCAGCGGTAACGCCGAGGACAAGTCGAGCCACAAGAGCGCAGGTTCGTTGTCCAGCATGCCTTCGATTCCTGAAGAGGAAAGGGCGGGGATTCAGTTGGATCAGTTGAATGAAGTGCTGATTCTTGGGATTAAAGGGAGACAAGTGCCAGTCGCGATTGCGGATGCCAGAGATTGCAGCCCGTCGCCCGATAGAGAGGCTGTCAAGCAGGTGCGGAACAGTTTGTTACGCATGTCGCAGCTGTATGAGACGTCGCCTCAGGGCATGGAGAAAATTAAGAAGCTGAAGAAGGAGAGCGAGGAGGATGAAAAGGGGGGTGGATATATTGGGCAGCGAGACGACCAAATTGAATAAACTGGTCAGACATCTTTGGTCTGATAACTTCTATTGGGTTTGAAGACAAATGCAAACCGGCGAGAGTGGTATATATCTGTTTCTAATGAAAAGGCAGCACATCACTGGCCGCGGTGGATACATAAGCCAGTCACGTACACATACCCAGAGCCGTACATAACGCCCAAAAATACTGAAGCCACAGACACCCACCCCACAAATAGGCCATACATCTTCCATAATATAGTGGCTGCATGTCTGTCTGTCGAGAGGTGCGTTCTCTCTTAAATGCAATAAACTTGGAAAGACTGTCTTCAAACCAGCCCCAACGATTGTCAGGCCGACTGATGTAATATGGGAGAAAGACTACATAATTTGTCTGCTCGCACAGACGAGATTCTGCATCCGTCGGGAATAGGTGGTGGAGAGTTATCGGAGAGTCAGGCATTCAGAAAAAGAGCCGGAAAAAAAACGCGAGAGTACCTACTAATGACTCTAAGTATCATGCCGTATAGCAACTCCAGCTGTTTTATCGCCTAGATGCTAGTATTTTTGTAAGACGTCATCTCGTCATTATACACAAATGGGCGAGGGACCAGGACCAAAGCCTGCGGAATATATACAAAGCTGGACATTTCACCTGTTAGACGAGCGTGATCGAAACCCGGCCGTCCGCGTAAGTCTGATCCGGCCCTTCATGCTTCTTACCGCTCTGCCAACTCTTCGCGTCGCCCGGACTGGGCTCCTGGCCAAGGTGCCGGCCATCTGCAGGGTATTTCGGTCCGCCCGCTTGTACCTCATCTCGTACAAAAGCCACTTATCCAGTTCTGGCACCTGTATATCCAAGGATGGGAGAGCCAGCATCCTCATCTTGGACGTATCGAGGGCTTTTATGGGCCGCCAGTTCTGTTTTGCCTCTTCGTCCGTTGCCGCCTCATCCCTAGGAGTCGGGTAATTTGGCCGGGGCACCACGTTGTCGAGGTCGAGGTACTCCTCGCAGTAGATGGCCGGGAGGGTGTATCGAACTTTGCCGGGAGTATATTTCTTCAGTGCCTCGTTGAGTCGCTTTCGCTCCCTAGGCAATAGTGATTCCCTGAAGGACTTGGCGTGCTCGATTAAGAAGGGCATGACGACCACACGGTAGGGCAGGCGGTGGGCTAGCCGCACCCAGTAACGGCCATCCCAAAAGTGCCAACGGAGCCATGTGGACCACTTCCAGTGGACCCGCTTGCGGTGCTTCGCAATCTGTTCGGTCAAAGACCAGTAGGGAGTGCGCCAGGTTGGGAGAGGCCGGTTCTTTGGGTAGGGCAAGCGTGCCAGGTACCATGTCCGTGGATGAGTAGACATGGCGACAGATTGGGGTGTCGATTCGATGGGCATGAAATGGACTCCCGCGATGGGAAATGCCTTGGGCGTCGCCACCAGTTCTGCAGCTGAGTTGCCAAGCGAGGGGAAGAGACGAGATATGACATTTTGAAGATTTGCGAGTGGTGCCGTCTGTGTCTCGGGACTAACAAGGGCAAGTATTCGCTGGATGAGTAGACCTGCCACCTCGCGCTTTCGGGATACCCAACCCTGATATCGTTCTGAAGTTGGCCGATACTTTGTGGACTTGGGCGGCTTCAGTTCCGGAAACTGGACCACTAGTGTGCCTACCTGTGGTTGGAAATCATGAAGGATAGTTTGTTGGAGCAGTCTGTTGGCTTCAGCCTCCAGGGCCTGGGCACGACATTCGGACCGTTCCCTCAGTTCCAGAATGGCTGGTTTCTGAAGAGCTTGGGGAAGCTCAAAGTTCTTCCACAGATGCCGTACAGCATTTCGCATAGTCAAAGTCGGATCTTTGTTAGTGTGGTCCTCCCACCATGGGACGTTATTCTCGAGACACGTTGCAACGAGCCTGTCCTTACTGAATTCGAGGAGAGGGCGATAGATGTTGACACCGCCATCTTCGATGGGAAGAAGGCCGACCACAAATGATTTGCTCACGTCCCTGTTGAGATAGGAGTACGCGCCGTAATTCTCTTCGCCGGCCCAGGGGTCCTCTGCCTGAGCGGGCTCGTCTTCTTGTAGCAGCATGTTGATGCTGTGTCGAAGGTCATACCTTAGGTACTTGCGTTGCCTCTGGGTAGGTTTGGTGTTGTAGTAAGGGATTTGACGACTCTGGTCATCGATCCAACCACTATTGTAGGCGCCGTGAACGCCTTCACACTCAGGAATGCCAGAAGCGCGGCGCATGCCGCGCAGGCCCCGACTTCCATGGCCATTCAGCAAGCGCATGAGCACCGTCTCATACTGATCATCTTGGTGGTGAGCAAGCATCAAGCTGGCAACTTTGCGATTGGCGCACACCGTGCCCAGCTTCCGGTATCGTACTCTGCGGGCGACGCTCTCGAGATTGGGAAGCAGGTTGGGATCAGTGCCTAGGCCAATTTCCTTGTTCCAATTGATTGGCAGGACCTCGCTGAGTATCTCCATTTGCCAGAGAGCCTTGCAAACGGCCTCAGCCTCTTGATTAGAACCCTCTCGAAGGCCGTGGTCAACAACCAAGGCCTGGAACTTCTGGACTGGGTTGTCACTGATCTTGAAGTCCGGGTCAAAACGGCGGACCTTGGAGCACAAATAGGCCAGAGCCATGGAATCAACGCCGCCGCTTATGGCCAGAACGACAGGCCGGTGCTGGCTACCGCGCGCATGGGGAAATCGCGGCTTGCATGTGGCTCGCAGGGCATCGAGAAATTCGGCCAGGCGAATGGCTCGCGCACTACTGTGCACGACTGGCGAGATCGTAGCCATTCCATCACATATTGCTTGCTATATTGAGCAAATACAGACTTTGGTCAATGATTTGCCAGCTCTCGTCCTGGATCATGTTGGTTTGATCGAGGTACCAGGTATTTCCAATTCGGGTTAGTGAGGCTCCACGATCGCCTCGTTTTTTAGGCAATTTTTTCTGCGCAAACTAACCGCATTAGAGCAGCTCGAGACATCCGACCTCGGACAGCTTCAATTTTTGGAATCATGAATAATTTATCGAGATCAAATGAACTGATGCAATTATAGCTTCATTTACGAAAGTTTTGAGGCTTCGGCCTCCTAAGAGCCCTACCGATCAACCTCCATCACCAACTTTGAGGACATGTCACCAAGTCAACCCCCCTACACTACGGCCCTCCTCGCCGGCGGCTTGGCCGGAACCACCGTCGACCTCTCCCTCTACCCTCTCGACACCCTCAAGACCCGACTCCAATCCGCAGCCGGCTTCTTTCCATCAGGCGGCTTCCGAGGCATCTACCGCGGCATAGGTTCAGCCGTTGTTGGCTCTGCACCAGGTGCAGCCTTCTTCTTCTGTACTTATGAAGGCGTCAAGAATGTCCTGGCCACGCGGCGGCAGAACGCCTTAACCCCCCTGACGCCTGAAGAACTGATACATGGTCGGAAACGGGAAGCCCAAGGTTGGGTGGCGCCGCTGGAACACATGGTGGCTGCGAGTTCGGGGGAGGTGGCGGCGTGCGCGGTGCGGGTGCCCACCGAGGTTGTCAAGCAGAGAGCACAGGCGGGACTACACGGTGGATCGAGTGCGGCTGCGTTCGGCGCGATACTAGGGCAGTACCGAACCATTGGCTTGACCGGCGTGTGGAGGGAGCTCTACCGGGGCTGGGGCATTACCGTCATGCGCGAGGTGCCGTTTACCGTGATCCAGTTCCCGTTGTGGGAGGCGTTGAAGGGCTGGGGGCGCAGGCGGAAGGGGGATGGACTCGATGTCAGCGCTGGCGAAAGTGCCTTGTACGGAAGCATATCGGGGGCAACGGCTGCGGGAATCACGACACCGCTCGACGTGCTAAAGACGCGCGTTATGCTGTCTAAGGAGAGGGAAGGCGTCATACCCATTGTGAGGGAAATACTCAAGATGCATGGCATACGACCCTTCTTTGCCGGCATTGGGCCGCGCATCATGTGGATCAGTGCGGGAGGAGCCATCTTTCTGGGCAGCTACCAGTGGGCCGTGAATGCAATGTAGGCAATATTTCATGACCGTCGTGGTGAGACTGTGTGAATCAGAAGCCAAAGAGGCTGGCTACCTAGGGGATACGCCGGCTCCATGTGTACTGCCTGTTAGATAGCACGAAGGCATGGGTGGATTTTTTGTAGAACAATAATACCCTCTCATATTGGCCACATTGCCCTGGTGCTACTTGTGACCCTACCAGCTACAAATACTCCAGCCTGCTCTTTGGCATACTCTAAACCCTATTATCACAACCGTCAACGAGTAACCGACGTCTCCGGTCACCAGCATATCCTCCTGCTTCACATTATAATGTTATCCGGTTGCCACTGTGGCCGCTTGTCTGGTCGTGGGAACCCGCCATAAAAGTACCCAACGTGTCGGAAAAAACAGCTTGTACATGAGTTAGCGACAGAAAAGCAACCTCCGGGTCTTGGTAAACACGCACCGCCAGCACCAATCGCCCTTCCTGGCGTAGTCACCCTTTCGTCGGATGACGTGCCACCAGTTCCACTTGTCGTCATATCTGCAGTTTTGACAGGATGGGCGAACCGGCGGTCCCACGCCCGACCACCTTTCACATGCGTCCGTAACACTGGAGGATGGGGTGCAATCAGGAGTGGGAGGGTAGATAGACGGGCTGTGTTCTTCGTTTGAGTCCCCAGAACTGGACGTGCTTTGTCCTTGGCTTGGGTCCCCGAAATTGGACATGTTCCGTTCTTGGATTGGGCCCCCAGAACCAGACTTGCGGTGTTCTTCATTTAGGTTACCGGAATATGACGTGCTTTGTTCTTGAGTTGGGTCGTCCCCAAAAGTAAAACTGGGAGTAGGGGTGGGAACAGGCGTCGGAGTGGGAGCCGGTGTCGACAAATGGCTGCGTTCCGAGATAGTGTCTAGGTGCGTACCATTGTTACCTAGGAACGAGATAAATTCCTGAGGTGGTAGCGTGTAGCTGACATTCATGGGCGGCGATGCCGGATTCGAGTCGGTTGGGGATACTGGCATGGCATCGTGAATGGAATCGTGCATGCTCGGTGTGGTCTCATCCGAGTCCATCCAGGGCCGCTGTTGGTGGGAGACGACATTAGGAACCCTCTCTAATAACGGGCTTCGATCCGTTGGCTCACCACCAGAGAATGGTCTCTTGGAACAAGGATCCATGCGTGGTCGCTCATCGTACAACAGGGCAGGTGGCATGCGAGTCGGATGCTTGGCAGCAAATGGTGACCTGGAAGTGCCATGTTGTCCATATTGGCCATCCTCGACAATAAGCGAATGAATCGGACCGTATGACTGCGTAGCTGGGTGCGTCGTTGTAGCGTTGGCACAATAATCATGAGACGGTACATTCTCGTCCAACACCCGAGTCTCCCGCCTCAGTTGACGGCCCGAAGGAGAAGGCAGGTCTCCTTTCCTCGAAGAAGTCGAACTGTCTGCCATATACCTGCCTTTGTTTGGAGGGTGACCCAAGTCGGGACGCAGTTCATTGGGGCAGGGAGAGCTATCTGATGAGAGACGCGCAAAGCGTCGCAGGTGCTTGGGTGATGGGGGACCTGCAGCATGCCTAGTAAGTAACTGGACTGGCTCTTCCGGAAACATCGGAAGTTGTTTGTTTGCTGAGTTGATATTCTGTATATCCATGCTGTGATATGTAGGTTATTCAATTGAAGGGCGCCTAAAGCAAATATGTCACCAGCCTTCTCAAGATGGGGTTCGTTCAACTCGATAGTTTGGAAAGTCAGGAGTGGCATTCACTTCAAGAATACAACAACAATGCTCAAGGTAACGTAGTAATTCCGGGGGAGGTGAACTGGGAAATCAGGCTACTTGCCAACTTACTTGGTGTGTTCTTTCCTCAATAGTGCTTGGGTATTGGGCTGTTCTTACCCTCCTCATGACTGCACAGATCTTGTTTCCTGGTCTAATTAGGAAGCGGCAACGCTTCAAGATGATGGCATGGCAAAGCCACGATTTCTAACACAATATTTATGAAGAGACCGAGAAAGATTCCTCCATTTGATTCGCTAGGAACTTTGTCTACTCTGTTAGCCATGTAACTCTCGCGTGGATCTAGCCATTACGATAGGATAATCTCTACTGGGGCAGCATCAGACTCACTGATGACGACAGTTGCTGGTAGCTCTGGATCAAATTCAAATACTGATAAGACGCACCTGTACCTTCGTCGTAGCCAGCAACGGATATCTCATCAAATATGAAAACCTGGTCGTAACTAACACACAGCGAGTGTTCACAAGCCCCCTATAGTGGCCTGGCCAAAGGCGGCATCAATACTAGAAAGCACATTCACAGTTCAGATACGCACAAGTAGTGTGTGTAATAACCAATGCCTGGATTTCGTCATGATCGCTTCTATGAAGTGGTAGCGTCCTGTCTGTGTATCCCTGCCTATGCTCCGATTCGGAATTTCCCCCCGAGTAATGACCTGGACATTGTTTGTCGGGGAAAGAGAAGCATACGTGCGTAGTCACGACCTCGTGAAACGCAAGCCGTGTTGGAATAGACTCATCGAGATAATTACGAACAAGCCGCGTATGAGTGCCATTCTTGCTACGCTCAAGCCGTCCCTTACGTTCTTCACTGATCCTTTCGTTGCCAGCAATTCTTGACCAACGAGATTATCTCCATATACTAGCCCTCTGTGCTAGCCTGAAGTCCCTCAGCAGCCAGTGCCCTCTGATAGTCAGCTATCGCTTTGTCCAATGATTGAACCACAGGGTCCATCAGCTTTACTACGGCATCCTTGCCTCCACGAATTATGGGCATCTTCGTCTTCTTCGAGGTCCGCTTGTATATATCCCGAATCTCTTGCTTCTTTTTCTCTATTGCCTCTTCTCGCGCCCTGTCTGCATCAGCGGCGACGGCATTGATCCGTGCTTTGGATCTCTGAAGGGACTCGACCAAATACCCAATTTCTGCGGCCCTGTCTGGGTCTCCGGAGAGAAATGCCCCCCAAAACTGGTGAAGAAACTCCATGGTGGTTGCGTGCGTCAACTTGCAACGTGCGGCAATGTCCACCGGCAGTCCCATCGGTGTCAATTCATCCTCGGCATGGCCGTACACCTGCGCCCTCCTCTGCAGCATGCTGTCCAGGATCTGCTTTTGTGCCTCCTTTCTTGAGGCGCGAGACCCGACATGAGCCGACTTGTCTCCTCCGTCCTCGCTATCACTATCATCGTCGATTCCCAGCGCACCGTGCAAGTCCACACTGTCAGCGCCACGGCCATACAGCTTCTCCAGATCTTCGTTAAGATCCCTCAGAACCTTGACCGGGTTCTGTTTGGCATATATCTCCGACGCCGCCGAGCCAAACTCGATTTGACTAGAGAAGAATAGGTTTTGTTGCTTGATATTCAGCATGATCCGGCGTTCTTCATCATCCCCCCGTAGATCACGCAAAGCAAGTTCATCGTAGACGTCTTCGCCGAGATTCGTTGGTTTTATCAGGCCAGTCTCTACCGAATTTAAATCGTCCATCATCTTCTCGCTCAGGCTGTTTAGAGTCGGAATGAGTGGCACATCTTTTCGACCTCTCGGTCTCATTTCGACGTCGGCACGATTTCCACTTCTGAAGCCACCCTGGTTCTCTTCATTGCCCTCCAAATCGATAATCCTCGATACGTGCTGGTTTATAAACCTGCTGGAGTAAGATGCCATGTCTTCGTGTTCGTCGTACTTATCGAACACCCTGTCAGGTTGCTCCTGACCAGTAGCTCGCTCCCCCCTCAGCTTCGCGGAGAGCTTGCTGAGAAAAAATCGCTCCCAGAACTCCGCTTCCGAGAGTGGTGGAACATTTTCGTTGTATATGCGTTTGACCAGGGGATGTTGATTGAAAATGAGGTGTATTTGTTCAACCTTCATATTCAATTTCAGCTTACTGGGTGCGGCAGGATCATCGGGATTGGTTTCCATCTGGGGCCTGACTTCGGCAAGCACATTGTATGTGCCTTTCTTCTGTCTCGACTCAATGGCATGTGCTCGTAGTAGATTAATTCTCGCCGACCAGAATTGCGCGTTGAAAGTGATGTCCGACATGGACTCAGGTTTTGTTGCGCGTGCTTCCATATACATCTGATGGAGATTACGGTCTGCCTTCATCAGTAGTTGTTGCAGCTCAATATCGTACTTGAGTGAATTGTCGTCGAATAATCGAGATGCTGCTGGCTTTGAGTTGGCTGTGTTGGCAAAAGCCATGGAAGACGAGCCACTGCCAACAGCACCGCTACCACCACCAGCGGCAGCGGCAGGTCGAGTGGTGACGGCATCATTATTTTTGGACTCAGCAATAAGCCGTGACAATAGATCTTTGATCGCGTTGGCTTCTCCTCTCGGATCACCTGTTGAGTTGAAGTGGAATAAGAATGGGACGGCTTCACCCCCCTCAGCCGGCTTCTCAAAGATCTTGAGCATCACCTTTGCTGCGGTGTCTGGCGTTTGTTGGAGATTTGTCACATTCGTGATTTCCAGTGATACTGCTGGCGGTCCACCCGGTGCAGTTTGGGGGGTCCATATGACCGTCTTCTTATCATCAGTGATGGTGATGATTCCATCCTTCTTCTTGTAGGCGGCAGTGCCTCGCGGCGTTGCCATGTTCGCCAGAAGTAGCCGATACGACTCAGGATCAGGGAGATGTCGAAATTTGCCTACAATAGCGGCCGGTCGCGGTCAGTGTGCCCTTCCACTTGAGGGATTCCACGAAGATATTCTCCGTCCCCTGGTTTCACCGCTGGACCTTGTGGTGCGAGCGATTTCACCGGCTGTAGCTCCTTAAGTTGCTAGCTTAGCCTTCAGTAGGTACTCTCCTTGCCAAAACAGTTGGCGTTCCAATATGCCAAGGTTTGGCTACGCGGCACACTCCCCCCAATAAAATCTATGTCCTTGTGATGAGGTCGCCGGCAAAATGGGTCCTTGAATGCGCGTTGTGTTCTGAAGAGAGAGGCTCGACCAGGGGAGGATTATTCAAATGTCCATGTCAGCCTGTGATGTTTGTTCGAAATTCAGCCACATGCCTCGAATTAGGCAGTAAGTTGAGCCACTATGCCAAGGCTTGTCGTCAAATTGGCAATGAATTGCCGAAGTGGCTGGTGCTTCTGGTAGTGCCACGGAGCCATCCGTAGTTACAACCGCAACGGAACGGAACTCTCCAGTATGAGGACAAATGAAACTGAGTGTGGATCTACTGATCTCAAGCTGAATCAGTTCCTGTGCCCACAAGTCAATCACTGGTAATTATGGTTGTGAGTGCTTCAATGCGGCACCCTGTGGCCTTGAGCGCCAAGACGTATCCTAAACCTGTCAAAACCAACACCTGTTGTATTGGAGCAGTTGGCACTTTCCCAAAATACAGCCTAGACATGCCTGGGTGGGATGATAACCCCATATTGTCCCTGCTCGGGTATGACCATGTTGTTGATTCTATGGCAAGGCTTGCACAAAGGCCATATCAATACATCGGCATTTCTCAAAACCGGCAAAGGGAAGCCGCTGGAGCTGTCCTGTTGGTGACGGACCCGGTACAACCCGGCTTTCCGGGGTAGTCGCGTCCCCTGATTCGCGGACAAGGGCCGACAGTCCCATTCTGCCTGAAGAAACTGTATTCATCACTCAACCTCTCTAGGTGCATGCTTTTTGGGGTACTCAAAGCGACTTTGGCTCTGCGGGGTGCATTACCAAATAGTCGCATTCCAATTGGCCGGATGTGAGCGCAGCCAGTTTTGAAATGGCGAGGAACAACAAATGACTCTGACTGTTGCAGGTTTTGATCAGGTAACATGTGAAACATTGCAACGTCTTGTAGCTGCATACGACAAGTTATCGGCATAACCGGGGTGGTCATGACCTTGTGACCAGGGAACCTCGTCTGCGGTCGTGAACTTTTCTCCAACTCATCGCCTCCATTACTCCAGTTCCAGTTGATCTTTCCTTCCCATTGTCACTACATCAAGACTTACTCCGCCGCTCTTTTTGTTCATCGCTTCCATCCACATCTCTCTCGAGACGGATTGCAGCTTTGGTGGGGGTATCTCTATAATCATCTTAATTGGTCTTGACTTTGTTGATTGCTCGATCCCACAAATATCAAGGTAGCTGTCAACAGCATTAGCCTGGCGCCATGCTGAGAAGCTCACTGCGAAAGTCAGGCAGCCAACTCCTCCGAGCTAGCTGCCAAACCACCACAAGATGCGCACCACACAGCCCGAGGTGCTCTTCGGTCGCCTCTGCCCGCCGAACCCTCGCTGTATCCATGTCGCAAAGGAGATATGCCTCGGCGCAAGCATCTCCCCCCGACCCAAACGACAACTTCCTCTCTGGAAGCACCGCCAACTATATCGACGAGATGTACATGCAATGGAAGGAGGATCCCCAGAGCGTCCACGTCTCGTGGCAGGTCTATTTCAAGAACATGGAGACCGGTGACATGCCCACTTCGCAGGCCTTCACTCCTCCTCCGACTCTGGTTCCAGGTGCCACAGGCGGCGTCGTGGCCGGCGCATTGGCCGGTCAGGGCTCCGACGTCACGAACCATCTCAAAGTGCAGCTGTTAGTGCGTGCGTACCAAGCTCGTGGTCATCACAAGGCCAACATCGACCCTCTGGGTATCCGAAACGAATCCAAAGGCTTCACTAGCATCAAGCCGAAAGAGCTGAGCCTCGACCATTACGAGTTCACAGAGAAGGATCTCGACACAGAGTATACGCTGGGCCCCGGTATCTTGCCCCGGTTCAAACGGGATGGGCGCGAGAAGATGACATTGCGCGAAATCATTGCCGCCTGCGAAAAGATATACTGCGGCTCATACGGTGTCGAGTTTATTCACATCCCTGATCGCGCCAAATGCGACTGGCTGCGAGAGCGAGTCGAGATTCCCCAGCCTTTCAAGTACTCAATCGACGAGAAGCGAAGAATTCTCGACCGTCTGATCTGGAGTTCGAGTTTCGAGTCTTTCCTCGCCACCAAGTACCCAAACGACAAGCGCTTCGGTCTGGAAGGTTGCGAGACTCTGGTTCCCGGAATGAAGGCCTTGATTGACCGAAGCGTCGACTATGGTGTCAAGGATATTGTCATTGGAATGCCCCACCGTGGTCGTCTTAATGTTCTCAGCAATGTCGTTCGCAAGCCCAACGAGTCTATCTTCAGCGAATTCGCTGGCAGTGCTGCTGCCGAAGACGAGGGATCTGGTGACGTCAAGTACCATCTGGGTATGAACTTCGAACGTCCCACTCCCTCTGGAAAGCGTGTTCAATTATCGTTGGTCGCCAATCCGTCGCATCTTGAGGCCGAAGACCCGGTTGTGCTGGGCAAGACGAGAGCCATTCAGCACTACAACAACGACGAGAAGACTCACAGAACCGCCATGGGTGTCCTTCTCCACGGTGATGCTGCTTTTGCGGCCCAGGGTGTCGTGTACGAATGTCTCGGTTTCCACTCGCTACCCGCTTTCTCTACGGGCGGCACCGTCCACTTGGTTGTCAACAACCAGATTGGTTTCACTACTGATCCTCGATTCGCCCGATCCACTGCTTACTGTACCGATATTGCCAAGGCCATCGATGCCCCCGTCTTCCACGTGAACGCGGATGACGTCGAGGCTGTCAACTTCGTTTGCCAACTGGCGGCTGACTGGCGCGCCGAGTTTCAGACAGATGTTGTCATCGACCTGGTCTGTTACCGAAAGCATGGACATAACGAAACAGACCAGCCTTCCTTCACCCAGCCTCTGATGTACAAGCGCATTGCCGAGCATGACCCGCAAATCAGCATTTACGTCGAGAAATTGCTCGAGGACGGCACTTTTAGTAAGGAGGACGTCGAGGAGCACAAGCAGTGGGTCTGGGGTATGCTCGAGGAAAGCTTCTCAAAGTCGAAGGAATACCAGCCGACATCCAAGGAATGGACCACTTCCGCCTGGAACGGCTTCAAGTCGCCCAAGGAGTTGGCCACCGAAGTTCTGCCCCATAACCCTACTGGAGTGGACAAGAAGACCCTGGAGCATATCGGCGAAGTGATTGGTTCCGCACCGGAAGGGTTCCACATCCACCGCAACCTCAAGCGCATCCTTCAGAACCGTACCAAGACTGTCGTCGAGGGTAAGAATATCGACTGGTCGACGGCTGAAGCCTTGGCCATTGGTTCGCTTGTGACTGAGGGTCATCACGTCCGCATCTCTGGGCAGGACGTTGAGCGTGGCACGTTCTCGCAACGTCATGCTGTTTTCCATGACCAGGAGAACGAAGACACCTACACACCTCTCCAGAACATAAGCAAAGATCAAGGTAAATTTGTCATATCCAATTCATCTTTGAGTGAGTTTGGTGCCCTCGGCTTCGAGTACGGTTACTCTCTCTCATCCCCCAATGCTCTCGTCATGTGGGAGGCTCAATTTGGTGATTTTGCCAACAACGCCCAATGTATCATCGATCAGTTCCTCGCCTCTGGAGAGGTGAAGTGGATGCAGCGAACTGGTTTGGTCATGTCGCTTCCTCATGGCTACGACGGGCAGGGTCCTGAGCACTCCTCTGGCCGTCTCGAACGTTATCTCCAGCTGTCCAACGAAGACCCCCGAGAGTTCCCATCCGAAGAGAGACTCCACCGCCAACACCAGGATTGCAACATGCAGATCGCCTACATGACCACACCTGCAAATCTGTTCCACGCTCTTCGCCGCCAGATGCACAGACAATTCCGAAAGCGTAAGTCTCGCACCACACCAATATGGAAGAAACCTTGCTAACGGGATTCTAGCCCTCATTATCTTCTTCTCCAAGTCTCTTCTGCGTCATCCCATTGCGCGCTCCAATATTGAAGACTTCACAGGTCCCGATGCCCAGTTCCAGTGGATCATCCCGGACCCGGAGCACGCGAATGGAGCAATCAAGGCACCTGAAGAGATCGAACGTGTCATTCTATGCTCTGGCCAGGTCTACGCCGCGCTGCACAAATACCGTGCTGACAATGAGATCGATAATGTTGCCATCACTCGTATCGAGCAGCTCAACCCCTTCCCCTGGCAACAACTGAAGGAAAACCTCGACACGTACCCCAACGCCAAGACCATTGTCTGGTGCCAGGAAGAGCCCCTCAATGCCGGCGCCTGGAGCTTCACTCAGCCGCGTATCGAGACTCTTCTCAACCAAACTGAACACCATGACCGCAAGCACGTCATGTACGCCGGCCGCAATCCGTCAGCATCTGTCGCCACCGGATTGAAGTCCGTCCATAAGAAGGAAGAAGAGGAGCTCCTCCAGGCAGCATTTTCAGTAACGCAGGACAAGCTTAAGGGCGAGTAACGAAAGCATAGAGCTGTTTGTCTTGCATTGGGTTATCGCCGCATTCTTTGCTGTATTGTATATCGTGTATAACGAGCCTCGACGAATCATGAACGAGGCTAGATAGACGGAAGGCTGGGAAAGCCTTTTTCTCAGGTACTAATGCATTCATTCCTGTCCCTATAAATATATATATATACGTTCCTGCCCAAGTTCCAGGTGATTAGGCACACTTCAAATTGACATGTTAGAGACTTTGGACCTGCAACATGATTTGGCTGTGAAAATGCCGGACGAGATCTCGCTCAAGGACCATTTGGACGTCACGCTGGTGCAATTTAACTAGAACGGAATGCCACCAGTAACGCCGCGTGCTCAGGGCTGTTGATGGATGGTATTACTATCGTTCAGACAACATGAGCCTGCCCCTCTGGTGGGGTAAGGTTTTCTAACATGATGATTATCTCCCATCGGCTTCGTAGCTGGGACGAGGATCGGTATTTCATGTAACTTGTTAACACGATCGAGGCGCGGGGGAAAAAAACGCCGCTTTGTGAGTTTTTTGCTGAATAGGAGGGGTAAATGGAATGCTGAGGGACCCAAAGATGCATCAACACCTATACATTATTCTACTCTAATAACAACAGATGATTGTACAAATTCCTAGTCTCCAAATGCTGTTCGTGAAAATGCTTGGCTCATGCCATATCCATCATTTCGGCTTCATCGTCCGAACTCATTGCGTAGTCATCCTGGTACGCCAGTTCAGCTTGCGGCCTTTGCATCCGCTCCATTTTTGCGGCTTCGTTCTGCATCTCCAGGATCCTCTCCTCGTCCATTGTTTTCTGGTGTTCCTGTAGGTCTTCCAAGCTCCACATGCTGGTGCCTTCCTGATCCTTGGACCTGAACGGCTGGGCCATTTCTCTCAAGAACCTCCGGGCCGTGACGACCGCCATGTCTGTGCTGATGTTCGTGTCAACTTCGGTCATGGCCTGGGAAATCCACTTGGGTAGCTGCGTCTTCTTCTTTTGGAACCGGCGGTCTGCCAGCACCATGATACCGTAGTCGTCTTTGCCACGCAGCACACGTCCCAGACACTGCGCGGCGTGTCGCATAGCGTCGAAGGAGAGGAAATCGTTTTCTCGTATGCGGTATGTTTCGCGCAGGAATTCCAGTCTAGCCTTAAGAATACGCGACTCGGTATACTGGTAAGGGACACCGATACAGAGCACAGTTCGCCCGTAGTGGTGGTCAAAATCAATGCCCTCCGATACCTTGCCTCGAGCGACACAAAGCAGAACGGCGCCTCGGCCGTTGCAGCATGCTTTACGGTATGTTTCCAACGCCAACGATGTCTCTTGTGCATCAGGCGTCTCTACCAGGATCAATTTGTATTTCCAGACGTTATCCAAAATTCCCATGCCCTGCCACATGCTAATGATGGACTCCATATAGAGGTAAGACGGAAAGAAGACGACCATGCCGTCTGGGGTGACCTTGGCGAACTCGGTCAGGAGATTGCCGTAGTTGCGTACCACGCTGGGCTCGTTCCTGACCTGAAAGCTGGACGAGACTGGCGCCTGGTCACTGCCTCGAGTGACAATCATGGGCAAGAACGATCGTCGAGCCAGCGTCATGGCATATGACTCCTGCACAACCGCATTAAACCCCAGCATCTTGGGGTACATCTCCAAGGGAGATATTGTACCCGATGTAATGATGACGGAGCTGAATCTATCGAAGACGGGTTTGATGGCAATCGCAGCATCGAGACAGGTAAAGTGAAGAACCGGATTTGGTACCTCAGCCGTATCAGATTCAAATGGCTCCAGGATCAGGAGGAATCCCTTCTCGTAGGTTGCCACGAGCGTAGCGAAGGTAGCCACCTCCTGCAACGGTTGATAATCTTCAATGTTAGTAAGTTCCAGAGTCCTCACAAGTGACGTTAGCCTTTCTGCGCAGAAACGAAGCGGCTTTTTTTCGATGAAGGTGTGCTCTTTCAGGTGGGCCAGGAAAGATGGGGGCGTTTCTGAGATGACGGTTCGCACCTTCATCCGGGTCTTGAGGTACTCGATAAACCTTTTCAGGAACGCAACGAAGTGTTCGGCTCTCCGGATATTTCCTGGTACTGCTTCCTTGAGGAGGTCATCTGGCAGTGTCGGGTTCGCCATGAAAGCGTCTTCCTGACGAGCTTCATCATGATCTCGTAATCCTTCCACAAGTTTCTGGTACTCGTTCTCCAGCTGCTCCCGATCCGTCTCCCTCATATCCGTGATCTTGCGTTCCAGGTTCTGTGCACCCCGTGTCGCCTTGCGGAGCGAGTCATCGGTGATGTCTGTGCTCAGAGACTCGATACAGACGTTGTCGATATTGTGGGCCTCGTCAAAGACGACGATGCAGTCTTTAGAGAATTCCCTAGAGACACGCTCGGCAATCTTTGGATCAAGAAGATAGTGATAAGAGTAAATAATGACGTTGCAGTATTGCATCATCCGCCTGGCAGTGAAATATGGGCATTGCTTGTGCTGTTCGCCGTAGTGAAGGAGGTCATCAAGAGTCCACACGCCGTTCGGGATGAGATTGTGGGGTTCGAGGAGATCCAGGTTGTCATGGTATATGCAAACATCGACATTCTCGCCCTTTTCCTTCTTTTCTTTGACGAAGCCGGCTGTCAAACTGCGGCACCTCGCATCGACGATGGCGCCGCTCTTTTCACGCTTGACCGAGGGGTGGAGACAAAGGTTCTTCCGGCTCGTCAGTCCAAGACCACGGAAGTCCTCGACATGGCCAAGTTCATCGGCGCGGAATTTCATCAAGGCCTTCAGCTCTGCTAATGCCTTCTCGATCTCCGACATGGTACGGGAGCAGTAGATGAGCTTCCGGTGTTCGGGATAGTGCTGCTGGTAGGCTACAATGAGCGAGAGCAGAGAGACGGTCTTGCCGGTGCCCGAAGGCATCTCGAGGACGCAATGGCCGCCGGCATCCAGCGTCTTCTTAAGATCACACATGTACGCATACTGCTCGGGATAGATGCGTGGATACGGGAAGAGCACCGGAAGGCCGTCAATGAAGAACTTCATGTTGGCGGTTGAAACGGGTAGAGCACGCGCTCATGCAACGAAGCTCTCCTACAGGTGAATTCAATGAAGTCGTGATCGCGGTTGTGCTATTTTCCCCTTCTATTGCAGTTTGCTTTGCTTTCATTCCTGTCTCGAGATAGCTTGGAGCTCTTTGGGTCGACCTGCCCCGGTCGGACAGGGCCTTACGAGTCCAACGATACCGGGTGATGTAGCATCGATGAGCGTTCTGCGATTTTGATGATATTTTGGTTCAGCACTGCGTACCTGAAGGTGTATCTTATTTGATCAGTTGCTGGATCGAATTCACTTCATCTCCAAGCGGACCGTTCCTGCTGCTGTGGGCTATGGAAAAATGAGGCTGATGAATCACTTTACGCCTAAATTGTAGCGAGTGGTCAATGCTGAAGCTTGAGCTCACGCCACCAAAATCCGTAATCGCGACTTGGACCGTTCTTTTTGACGTGCCAATGTGGCTAGTGACCTTGGCTTCCAATTCCCAAAGTTGCGTCAACCCGAAGTTGAAGGATGTTAAAGATGTCTCGTCTGCTAGTCGGGATTGTATTCCATTCCATTGTCTAAAGAACCAAGATCTGGACTAGGTCATGAAGCCAAATTCTGGGGAATGAGCCCAGACTAGAAGAAAGTCTACAACGCTCCTTTCTCAGTCGACCAAATAAGCTTGTTTTGACAACGGTGCAGCTGGCAGCCCCCAACGGTCCTCGGATTCCCTTCTTCTTTCTTTTTTTCTCGTCTTGTTACAGCAGCAGCAGCTAATCACATGCCCATGGCTGGCCAGGCATCCCGAAACCACTGCTCACCTGTCGGAAGAGTTGCCGCGTTAAAGCAGCCGCTGAAGCAGTTCAATCAAGCTTCATGCTCAAAAAGATTCGAACCTCACTGCGTCCTGCCGGAGGCTATTTCGTATAAGTCGGCCTGACAAATGGTCTAAGATCGAGCGAGCAGAATCAGCCAAGTTACCAATCAGTACCTCGACTGACACAAATGAAACCACAGTATACAGACCTCTGTCACCATTCCACCTCATCAAGACTAAAACCTAGTCGCTTATGGAAGGGAACCCTTCCTCAAAGCGCATTGCGGCTGTGGCGGTCTGGTGCCGATGCTCGGGCGTCTGCCACAACCGTCCGGTATATGGAAACGGTACCTCCAAGGCCTTCTAGGATATCTTGAATCTGATCTACTCCGCTTCTTCATCAGTGGTGGACGATCAGGATCTAGTGGTGGTGTTTTGAGCTCTCGGACGAATACGTCTCGATTCTAATACTGTCTGAGTTGCCAACGCACACGTCCCAAATCATCTGCATATCAAACATTGAATTATCCACTTTCGTTGTCCACCTTGTACGAAGTGCAGCTCCAGCCCCCAACCTCGTTTGGTCAGTTTACGATTTTAGAAGCCGCGGATCCACTTGATACCTCATCACAATGGACCCGACGTTGTAAACCGCGAGCCGCAGGCGGTCCGAATCTGTGGAGCGATCTCTATTTCCTACCGAGACCATTTCTCAAGAGCAGACATTCACTGCCAGGCCGGTCATCAAGGCACTTAGTGGCTCAAGGCTCCAGATTCAATAGACGTACTCCGAACAACAACTACACGTGCCAGCTCAACCGGTACTCTAGCACCGCCCAAAACTCGGGATATCTGAGTCTTATCATTCACGGGCATGCACCGCATCAAGGAAGTGTATTTCTCCCTTGATCAGCTGCCGTGCTGTGCAGTTGCAGAAGTCACGATGAATGAAGCCGTCCGCAGCTAACATGACTGTCGGAAGTGATCAAGTTGGGATTCCCACTCTTCGGCCCCCAAGTCGGCTAACTAACTAAAGTAGTCAAGGTGGGGACAATAAGCGATATTGGACCGCCTTGAACTGGCCAAAGCTCAGCCTCCGATGCACTTCGGGGATACCAGCCCGGCTCCATTTGTGTAACGTGAGAACCTGCCTTTAGACGCCGAGACAGACGCTCAAGGATCTAATGGTCTGTTACCCCACGCGTCTTCGCAAACTGCTCCCAATTTGCTGTCGCCCCTTGTACCGTCGTACGAGATGAGCGACGTTATCGCTGCGTACGTCTGGTGTCAACGCATACATAGCAGAAGCGTTCTCGGGTCTCTCTGGTGCAACCATTGCGGATTACAGCAGTGACATGAGGCCAGCAGGCCCTTCTTTCAAATAACTCCAAACGCGCAGCGCTACGAACGAGCAACCGTATTGCTTTGACTGACCTATGGGGCATCTCGAGAAATGCCTCTTATTGCCGACAAGTACTTTTAGATACAGCAAGTCTTACGTCGGACTAGTCACATTTGACGCGTGCCCATGTCTTCGGTTCCAAACCCATGCTTTGAGGTTAGGGTGGGTGGGCGAACTGGCCAAGGCTCAAAGTGACGGTCTGTCCATTGAGCGCACACTCGCATAGCCCTCTCACGTTTATCACTGACTTCGTGAAGGTTAAGTGGATTTTCTATATGGGTTCATTACAGCTTCTTACGACGTTTGTTTCGACGCTACACGAGTGGGTCGGTTGCTAGCAAGCCATGGAAGTTGAATTGAGCATCCTAATCAAGTAGCATCCTTCAAATTCGTATTGCTCATTATTGGAGGAATCCGTTGGCTGCAAAACGAAGTCGCAACGCGGGAGACGTTGTCATGACCTCATGGCCTAAGGAGCCTCGTTGCGGTCGTGCAAGGTGGGCAACGGTGACATGGACTTGGTGATAAAGATCAGTCAATGCAAGAGATTGAGTCCAGTGGCTAAGTCTCGAACAACCGAATTTATCCGCGGGCTGGCTGGCCCATGTCTGGAGTATGCCTTAAAGGAATCGTAGCCATTCCTCACTTCACGGCTATCTGCATTGTCAACTTCAAACCCCACAACCTACAACTAACCTTAGGACCTCATGGCCATCGTCATCCCTGCGTCCCAGTGAGTTTGATGTTGAGACTTTGCCCGCGTTGACATTATTCCCATTCGACTCCACCCGCTCGCTTACTTTTGATCTCAGCTTCAGGGATCGCTCATCGTGGTGGGGCCTTTGGGGGGCTCGTCTCTCTCTCGTTTGTTAGTACCGTCCTACCAAGTACCAGAGACCTCACTTTCAGGAACTTGAGCTGTCAACTTTTAGTGGCCGTTGACGTGCGGTCTGCTGGCCAATTGGTAAAAGTCACCCACCCACCTTTATTTTGTTTGGCCTCCGCCTTTTGGTTCCTCGTTGGATGATTGGTCCCAACGACCCAAAGCAGTGTTGCGATTCCACTCTGATACCACGCTGCTTGGACGACTCTTGGCCATAACTTCTCAGCCCAAAGAAGTTCTGCCCGTAATCCCGGGTGGCAGCGGACAACCCCTAATTCTGGTGGCCCTTGATGCGAAAAGTCCCCTGCGTCCTCATCAGGTCATTTGCTCCAATCTTTTTCTGGCCTTCTCTTCCGCCCGGACGCACTTTATTGTGACAACCGCCCTATGACCGAACGTACTTCGTACATGGACATGGATGACGCTCCCCAGACCATGACAATTTCGCTCCTTGGGTGTGGAAAGAGATTGGTCTGGTTGTATGAAACAACGGCAGTGTGGCACTTGATACTCGGTGAGTACCTCTTGCTTTCGTAACAAAATGCTTGATTATTAATTGTCCCGCGTTAGGGACGCATTGCGAAGAAGTAAGGGTACTACTCTATCCGGAGTACTCTACCCAAACTCAAACAAACTGATTCCTTCTCTTCTTGGTTCCAACAAAGGGACTCGGGCTGGGCTATGGCATCGAAATCACCTCTAGCACTTTAGAGAGCCACTGCAGCAAGAGCTTAGCAGCCTACTTGCCTGAGTCTGTACCCTGGACTAGCCTTTTGGTATTCTGTGTCACTATGATCCACGGGTCACGGCCCACACTCTCTTGGGCTATCTTGGGGCCAGCCCCTTGTCAGCTTGCCGTATTAGTCACCAACCAGATGAACCCTTCCTCTCTCGATCTCCCGGGTACATATGTACCTTGCGTATTTTCCAAGGTACCTTCAATCCTTGCAGTTCCACTCCCCTTCTTCTCCATATATCTTGATTGATATACCACTCTACCAGATGGGCACGATCAACAGGCAGAAGCCTGTCCACAGTCCGTCCGCCTGACTTTACTAGGCTCGGTACATGGTACTCTGTGGATGGATGTATATATGGCTTCCCGGAGTCTGCCTTGACGCATCGCGCTTTGCACCACACCGTGGCCATGACGGTTTTGTAGATCATTTTAGTCACTCAGCCTTAAAATCTGTCCGTTACACCAACCACAAGGGGCTTTGCACGTCTTGTCTGGTTGTCTTGTTGCCTGCTCGTTCAAGTCCAAACGACACAGACTCGTGTTATATATCTACATCTGGATTTCTCGCAACGCCGACACGCTTATACGGCGACTCGCCACTAAAGGCACTTGAGCGCTGATACATGCAACTACATCAAATACGGATTGACTAGGCCTCCCCCAGGCTCCGGAGCTAGCACCATTTAATACCGCCCTTTCGCATTCATAACTTGGTCGGGACGACTACAACACCCACGTGATGGAGCTTTCACCTCCATCTCTTAGCAGATCACCCGTGTCGTCGCCCAACACGTGCTCGCCGCAAAACAATTTGTCAGACTACCCTTCGCCAGATCTGCTCGATAGCCATTACAGAATCACCTCCATATACGAGGGAGTCTGCGGTGGCATGGATCCCAATCTCGACCCAGTGACGTCGCTACCTGCGCTAGACACCATGACTTCGGCAGACTGGCCGGGGACGACGTCAGCGGGCCTGCCCAACGTCATGTCAGTCGACTATGATGCCTTTGCCAACTACGAGCAGTCTATTCCCGCCTATGGCCATGACATGTATTCAGCACACGGCCAGCAGAGCCCCCAGCTGCTTCATAGGACACTGTCCCGCACCTCCGTCACATCTTCCCGGCCTTCACCAATGCCGCGCATTAAGATGGAGGGTGAATATACCGAGGTTTCTGATTATCCGTCGCCGCGTTCTGCCCAAGCATTACCTATAGAAGTGGGCAATTATAATTCCCACCCCGGCAGCTCGGGTTACCTGTCAGACCCGGCCAGCAACTGGCTCAAGTCCGAGTACAACAACCATGCAGAGTCAGACCAGTTGCATTCCAGCAGCCAAGGGCTCGTGCCATCAGACCAACCCAGACAGTACCGACCGCCGCGCGCAATACGCAGACACCCGCGGCGGCTCACCACCAAGGACGAGGCAGTCTTCCACTGCAGGGTCGAGGGTTGTGGCAAAATGTTCAGCAGAAGCTACAACTACAAAGCGCACATGGAGACGCACGACGAAAACAGGGAATACCCCTTTCCCTGTCCCGTAAGCGATTGCAGCAAGAGGTTCGTCCGGAAGACGGACCTCGCAAGACACCATCAAAGTGTGCATATGAAGAAAAAGAACCACAGGTGCGACTACTGCGGCCGCATGTTCGCGAGGAAAGATACCTTGCGAAGGTATGTTCCGTGTCCAACCCCAATTCGAGTACGAGTTGACTAATACGGTGTAGACACATGGAAGATGGCTGTCCCAAGCGCTTTGACATTGGCACTCTGGACCTGCGTCAAGAGGGATACAATTCGCCCCATCGAGGCCAACTTGCACCTTTGGCTCAACTGCCTCCGATACAGCCAGGAAGCCCAAACCAAAATCTTCTGGCGCCTGTTCCCTCCTTAGCGCGGCGGCAGTTTGGCGATTAAAGAAGAATGGTCAGTGTGGAAACACGATGGCGTGGAATGTTTAATGTGCCCACGAGGATGACGTGGACGTGACACGGACTTGGGCATGCCCAGAGCATCTTAGGCCCCAAAGACGCCAAGGAGAGGCTGTATTTTGGACAAAAAACTCGACGGCATTGTCCGTTCAGATATCATGTACAACTAGTGCTTTACAGGACGATGTATGCATTGTCCACACACGGGCCTATGCTCTGCTATTTTAGAGATACCAAGATACATAATGACTCCCAAACACGTTCCCAACCTGCACGCAGTAAAACATGTGGTGCAACGAGATGTGCAGGTTTCTTCCCCATGTCTTGATAGTTCACAGACTACATACGTCAAAGTGCCCAGAAGGTGCAGCGCCGACAGGCGCGACAGATGCTACGCAGCGACCAAACCTTGCAGCGGAAACTGGCCGAGCAGCAGCACAAGACGCACGCAATCTAAGTGACAAGCTCCGACACCGAGACCGTGGATGGCAATGAAAATTGTCAACCAGGGAAAACCGGCCATGGCCATGAACTGCGGATCCAGATCTCTTCCCAAGCAAGATGCAAGATGGGAGATGCACAGGAAGGCCATCATCCAATGGAGGGATCCAACGGACCCGACGAACCCGACGGGGCTCGACTACGTCCGTCCCATATAACTAATCACCCGGTCCACTACGACACACTGCCGCCGCCGGCTGTGGCGTTTCCCCATAGCAACAGCGGCCGCATCGTCTCAGTAAGGCACAGCACGGCAGCTTTCGGGAACGGGGAATCGTTCGAGAAGGCTGATAGTAAATCAATCTAGAAAAGGGGAGGACGGCCGGCAACGTGGCGTGGCGTGGCATGGCATAGCTTGGCGTCTTTCCCCAGGGCATTCCTCCAACAACCAACGCTCCATTATTTATACTGGTAGTCGGCTTTCATACATGTCACACAATGAGCAACTCCGACGCAACAACTTCAATTCCGTCCGAACTGTCTGTGGCCTCCAAAGAGGGTCGGCCGACCAGGTCTTCAATCGCCTCCATAATATTCTTCAATGTAATTTGCAGATGACACGGCCAATGAGATATCGGCACATGACTCTCACGCACATCACACAAGGGCTCAACGATCATCCTCATCTCAAGCAGTATCACGATCAAGCAAGAACATTGCAAAGGTACAAAAGCAATCAAGGAGCGATCTACCCGGCTTCGGAAATGTAGTGCTCAAACTAGGGTTTGTTGGGGGAGAGAGGGGGGTTTTGTTTTGTTAAAACCAAGAACAAGAAACGAAGAAAAATTTTGGTCGCATCCAGGGTGGCTTCCCCGGGACTTGAGGTCGTTTCCGCAGCCTTAAGAGATTAGGTGGTGTTGTGCTCTGTTTGGTGTCAAGAACTTTTTTGCACCGTCGGACTATACGCTTTGGGTTAATAGCCTTTGCCGGAGTTACTTGACCTGCCTTCATCTGAGTGGCTCACGGAACGACGACCTGGAGATTCAGAAAAGGGAGCGTCTTCAGTGGAGAACTGTAAATCCTCCAGTGGGTCGTGGTATCCCTGCTAAAAGGTCTCTGCAGTTGCCCTGAGCCCTGAGCCCTGAGCCCATATCCAAAATAGCGCCAACAGCCGATGGGACACATACGATTGGCTGGCTTCAGAGCTGGCTGGCAGAGCGGGCGGATCTAACCCGATTGGAGAAATTCCCCCTTTAGGCCCATCAGTCTCCCCGTCTTATTTTCTGTCTTTCGCTGCAGTCTGCCTCTGGAGCCTGAGTGGGAAAGTTTCTCTCTCGTGGTGTCTGCAGATTGGCAGATTCCCATACAGATTGGGACCTCATGCTACAGATTACAAGGGCAGCTGCTTCTGTGTCAGCGCAGTGTAACTCGACCAAATCCTCGGACCTTGGGATGGGATGGTGTAACTATAACCCTGCCGCGATAAGCTGACCGCAGGAACGCGCACGAAGGACGCAGCTTCATCCCAGGTTAAGCGCGACAGTTCACCACTAGTTCTCAACAAAGACAGAGACCTAAACTTGACTTGAACCGACAAGCCGCAGCATAAATGGTACATGGTGCATGGGTACATGGTATATTTTCTGAGCTGCCATCGCGGAGGATGCTTACACAAAGCTACGCCCTGTTTTATCTGTTCCCCATCTATTAGTAGTGTAGGGCTAGCACCTGTACTAAGCCAGTGCTTGTCAATTACTACGTATGTATCTTGAGGTTTCCCTGTCGTCTCTGCCACTGCGACTCTGGCAATCTGGGAACTTTTTGGAGCACCTCAAATGTGGTCCCACTAATACGAGTGGAGGAAGGGCAACCATGGTAAAATCAGCTCAATGGGCAGGAAGAGAGGAATCAAAGGAATCTACCATGCGCTGCCTACTTGGTATTATCCACACCACCAGTTCAGCTTCGAGGGCAAAGTATTCGGCAAATGCCGCCACGTTGAATGGAATGAGACCTGCCATGCATGACTGACTCGTGGTGACGCTGGCCAGTGACTCTAACTGGTCTACACCTTGCAAGAAAAGAAGCAGAAGAATATGTATGTTGGCGTTGAGCACATATGCCTTCGTTACACAACACAGGCGGTTAACCTATGAACAAAAAAGTCGCTCACCCCTACTAGATTCCAACACTTAGGTTAACAACAAGCGCGAATAAAACATAATGCCTAGCCCGCAAAGTCAGGCATTTAAACTTAGGAGTAACCGTTGTATCAATCATTACGCACAGGGAGTTAAACCATCCTATGTTTTTGGAAATTATTTATTTGTCAGTTGTACTGGAGCTGTCCGGTAATAATAAATGGTGAGCCGGCTTTTTGTCCACAAGGGTACCTTTTGACAAGCACAGGGGATCGCACCACGCGGCAACAAGCGAAAAGTCGCAATGGTCGTGATCGGTGCTCGCCAATCACAGCACTTCTTTCTCAAAAAGTTCCTGCTCCGTGCCCTTTAGGTACCTCGTCTGGGAATTGCGGTACTTGGGTCAAATAATGCCAATGTACTGCTACCTGTCTCTACCCCGATTCAGCTTAGCGGCATCGATATAAGTACGAGGTTCCTTCCCTTTCGCACAAATACTACCCATGCATACAGATAATTTTGGAGTTTCAAATGCCACCATGGCCATCTGTTTCGGAAGATGCCACGGGGAGCCTGTACTGCTTTTTTCCTACGCGACGTGCGCGAAGTAGCCAGTACCCCCCCCAGATTGGTGTTGCACAGCTGGGTCAAATCACGATATCCTCAAACATATTCAAACCATGTTGCCATCCATCATCCCCCACCCCATCGCCCACATCCCACCGTTACTGCCCGCCAATGGACATAATCTAGCAGGATTAATGGAGATTCCATGTCAAACGCAATGGTTCAGACAAAGTTCTGACTATGTTGATCCGACGGGATATTGTCCAGGGGGATATTGAAGACGCCCATCAAATGACCAAATGACCAAACACCCTTGAAGAAGGTGGGGTATATGCCTGAAACTTGCGACCTCAGCCCTACTAAATAACGCACACTATCTACACTACTGCTTCCATGGTGCTTGGGGCTTGGGGCCTCTGACGTGTTAAGTTGATTCACCGAAGTGACGATCGGATGGCCACCGGTCAGATCGACTATGATCCTCTCTCTTCATTGAGGGGATGGTGGTCGGTCAATCTACTCTGGCAGACTGGCTCAACCTCCGCCTTTTGAATTGATATTTATGTGCAACCCAGGTCCTGCCCACCCATGAAGCGGCGGTCAGCTTGTGACTTAAGCGCCTTGCGCTCGCCGCCGCTATTAGCCTAGCTGTTCCTCGCGGGCACCCCTCGGCATCCAAGGCCGCCAGTCAGGACTCTGGCATTTCTCAACTCAGTTCGTGTAATGGCTTGTGTAACCTTCTGCAAAAGAGCCCTTTCAGAGGTTGCAGCGGTGCTTAGCGCCTAACTGGGCCTGCTCTCGGGTTACACAGGCACGACTGCGTTACACAGGGTAGGGTTGCAATAATGCACCACAATCTCTCTGGCATGTTGGCTCAATACATTAGGTCGGGTTCTCAGGAGAGAAGCACCTCGTCGTAGATGACGCCGTCGTGGTCGCTTACCCGACTGGGTATCCTGTCATTTCCGATGAGGAATAGAATCCAGAGACTATATCTTCAGTGGTATGGTACTATGGAAAGAAACAGCTCAACTTGGTGCGACCGCATCGCTGGCAGGATTTGGCCACATTTCTGCGCTCCTTTCTCTGCTGGTATTGGGAGTCACAGCTTGCTATGAGCCAACACGTCTTCCTACGTGTATCCTTTAGAATGCGAGCTTGGATGGATAATACAGTGTCACTTTGGAAGTCTTAGATAACTGCTGTCTTGCTGTCTAGATCTGCTTGTTAAGCATCTTCTATAGATAGTCGAAGGACGTTCTGCACAGCCTCACGACCATTCCAGAGCCATGAGAAATGTCCGTTCCGGGACTATCTTCTCCTTTGGGGGTGGCCTAAAAACAACCCAGATGTCTGATTGGCCACGACAGATGATGCCGTCGGCAACCTTCAATATTGCTCGCCTGCCATATCAACCTCTTCCGTCGTGACACGGGGTCACCGCTGCGGTTGCGCGCTTCCTAACCTGCGAGGCGGCGCGTGTCAGTATATTCATGTACCTTTGTGTGACTACAACAGTGGAGTACAGTATAGCCCCATAACTTAAAGGTGTATGTCGTGCCACATGGACGTTTCTGGGGCTGAAGATAGCGGCATGCTACCGAGAGGCACAGTTGCCGCTGAAGAAGCGAGGCAACAGGCTAACAGGCTCCATCGAGTAAATTGGCAGTCTTACATATCTACATGCATGTATTACCACCTTGAAAGTCAGCTCCAACTAAGCAACACAGCCAGGAATCGCATTCAGGAAATGCCCCCTCCTTCTTTTTAGGACTTCTTGTCAAAATATCTCACAGTGGTAATCTCGGAACTCAGTCGACAGGTTATGCGACGATGAACGGTGGTTTGGATCTTCTACAGCCGGCGGAATGCCAAGTTTGAATGTGAAGGACGCCTTAGCTTCCGAACATGAGGATTCGTGCTTCATCATTCAATGGTTGTTGAACCTGCAGCCGGTTAGACGGCCTGTGCTGTCAGCATCTTATTCTTATCACATTGCAGCTGTCAGCGACGAATAACATGAAGTTTCATTACTGTCAAACAGGTTGGTTACCCCTTGGCCTTGGGCTCTGGGCCCTATTAGCGTCTCAACTACCAAAACCGTCGAATCCATGGCTTTTGCATCATGTTCTAGACCCGTTAGCTGCCAAAATGGATATGCAACTGGCTTCCTTTGTATGACTGAAAACAGGAAACTGTGTGCGGTATCGTTTTGCATTTGCCATGGTGGATACCGAGGTATCAGTGTCGTCACTCTTGCCTGTGTTAGTCCGTCTCTCATCGAATCGCTTAGTCCTTCCTTTGATGCTTTGCCATGTCAAGTAGTAGACATTACTGAGATGCTATCTTGGCTTTCCAAGATGTCCTTCTCATAGAAGGGAATACCTTCCGTCTCGTGAAGCTGGTCGTTCGTTGACGCCTTGGAGGCCTTGCATTTGCGTGGACATGGAATGGAACCTTCCCACCCCTCCTTGCTGCCTTTGCGCCTGAAAATCTGCGTGTTTCTAACTCGTGGCACACTACATCCTGGCCTGAGCCGATTGGGCATAATTCGTGATAAGGATGGAAAGGATGCTCAACCGACCCAGGACGACCCAACGCGGCATCGGGACCGACGCGTCCTAGTATAAGACATTGGCCTCCTATATGGTCAGTCGATGTATGTTCTTAGATTCCACAACGTCACTCGCGCTCAGGTCAGGTCATTCATGGTAAGGAGCTTCTGGATCCTGGTAGCTGTCACACGCACAACTAACGCTAAACATGGGCTGGACCAGCTCGTCTACATAACCCACCTTACATGGCTCCTGCGGCACGGAAATCCAAGAACGAACATGATGTTTGACACCTCGATAGCCCCCCACGTATACTCAGTGTACGGCATCATCCATGGCTGAAATACGCCTTAAAGGGACATACACGCGGATCTATCTGCCTTGTTTCCGTGGGAGCGAAGATATGGTGGATATGGCCATTGTGATGTCGACGATATAGCAGGAATGCTATGGGAAGGAATCGAGACGGAGGGGCATCAAGCAACAACAATGGATTGACATGTTTCATCAACTATTTTGATTAAGAAACGGGGGTTTTCGATTGATTGCGATTCCCTACCAAATCTACTTGCTTAAAATATGGGCGGCATCCCCTTGGTTGATGGGTATGGCAATACTGGTTGCGACCTTGTTACTCTCACGAATGCATGCCTTAGTACCCTATCGGAATCACTGGCAAGGCAATTTTTAATAGCTGATGTTTGTGTAAACGGCAACTTCCGTTACCATCGCAAGTGGTTCTTAGGATATCCCAAATTCGTGGTACTTCCTCTTGGCGGTCTGATAGTACCAGCAAACATACCCCTTCGTTCCAATTCAATACGTCGTTTGGGAAGTTCAGTCCCATGAAGTATTCGGGTCTTTCCTTTACTCCGTTAAACTAGTTTGATTAATCTGTTTTACCGACTGTTAAGTAACTAACGTATGCTGATGGTATAAACCTAGTCTATACTGGAAGCTGCAGACTGAAACCTAGAAATAGCAATGCCTCATCTACAGGGAGTGTGTACATGCCATTCTCAGTACATATCATTTTATTAGGGACAATTTCAGTAGTCAGGAAGCTCCGTTGATGCTTGTGAGGTCATCCGTCAGACACAAGGATACGCCAAATAGATGAGTATTCAGATTCTGAAGGCAATCAGGCCAGTTCTCTGTCGGGGAAAGGGGAAAACCACATACGTGCAACCTTCATGGCTTTCAAATCTTCAATTCATTTAGTCTAATTCACGCTTATTTACAAGGAAACCTACTCAACCACTGTGCGCAGATGAAGAATTGAGGCAAAAAGCCCGTCAAGGTCCTTATCAGTTGCATGTGCAGGTGCGAACAAAAAATTGAACGATCGCCAATATGTTTACTTCCTTCGTAGTCACACGTGCCGTTCGGGGTCAATTTCCTGAAGCCACCTTAGATCTGATCGCCATGGCTTTCCGCTGAGAGCCCCAAAGAGGTGTCACGGGTATGCGTTGTATCCTCCAAGAGGAGCATCCTCACTTGAGTCCATAATCTATAACTCTTGGTTCAGCCAACAACTTAAGTCACATCTTCCCAATCCCACTAGTTTCATCACTGAGTAGAGGGTAACAGACCATTAATTGCTTTATTTATTATCGTGTCTGGTTTTCACCTCTCCTTTGGGTTTGTTCCAAAGACACCTAAGTAGCCCGATCTAACTCCATTGAGTTATCCAAAGCCCATAGAAACCAGGGTGCTTACAGATAACCAAATCGCTAGAGATAGTGGCTAAATTGCCGACAGGTCAGAAGACGACCCGCGTACAAAGCGTGGAATGCTTCTGCCTTGAGGCGACAGAACAGCATTGAATGCTTCCTGGAACAAGTGTAACTACTTAAGCGAAGCCAGGTGTTGCAACAGGACAGAAAGTGCGACTGCTGGGGTCACAAAGCTCCTCCCTGTATAACGACTTACCTGGCAGTGAGTACACAGCGTGAGAAGCAGAGACATTTTGGCCATTACAAATGTAGCAATTGCCTCCCAAGATAAGGACATTTAGACGTTGAGCAGCTCTCGTTCTTCACATACGGTATGTTAATGAGCTTAAATCCCCAAAACAAATTAATATATACAGTTCACCTGGATCTATTTAACCATATGTCCCTCACCAAGATCAGTGTCCTAACTACAGCCAGGCCCAAAAGCGACCAATCCTAGAACATCTCTAACATGGCTGAGAAATCTTCCATCAACCGCTCCATCGAAGTAATCCGCAAAGAACTCGAAATACTTCAAAAAGCGGGAGCGCTGCGATGGGAGCAGCTCAATTCGATTACGGCACAGTTGCCCGTGAGTCCATCCAATAACCTTACCGTATCTCTGCACATTCCTCCTGCCATGCGACCCCCACGGCTCGTTGTCGGTCAGCGCCAAAGCTCACACGCTGTGGTCCATCCGACATAGGCACCGGGTGGTCAACCTTCCGCCTACGTCGACGCCCGCTACGCTCCAGGTGGTACAGGCAAGAACGCCGTCGTCAGTCCCGCGCTACCGCAGACCATTGCTCAGCAGGCCCAGGATCCCAATCACCCAGCGAATCCGAATCACCGCAAGGTCGGTGTGCCCCCCGCTCGAAATCGAAGTACTAGGTGGTGCTGATGATTTCCCATACATTATAGCATGAAGAATGGGCCAAGGACTTGGCTGCCAAGTTCGGCAACGCGTTTGTTTTCGGCAGCGGAGCGACACTCGGTGCTGGTGAGTAACGCCCGAACACTCTCCCTCCTTTCTCGTCTTGTCATCGCCAGGCCCTATTACGGCGTTTGGCTTCGCACGTATCTTACCACAACGCACAAAGCCAAACGCCACGATCTTGTCTGGTGAGTATTTGCGCGATGGTACTTTCCAGAGAGCAGTCCCTACTCCCAAAAAATGAATTTTCCCTCCTATGATAGTTCCCAAGCGAATACGTAAATGACATTGGCTGTACCAGATATGGTAAACAGTGTTTGGAACAACATCTGACAGTAATGAAACCAACAACTCGTCATGACAGCGTCTCTTGGGTCGAGCGAACAGCGACTGGAGGACATCTAGTTATCCTCCTCTCGTTCCCAGTCGCAGAAACCAGCTAGTCGACAAGATAAATCAGAACAAAATGGGTATTCGATGTCTAGTTAGATGCAGGGCATTCTCGTGCTAAAATCACCGAAACGCCTCAAGATATTTTGACACTCTAGCTATGCAACAAAGCTGGGCTTCTAATGACTTTCCTGTCCAAGTAAACTCGAGTTTGGCATTGCCCGCTTCGAGGCCTTCATAGCCCTCATAGCTGGCAGCGTGTTCGCCTTCCCAGGCTTCCTCCCAATCTCCATGCACAGCATTCTGACCAGATCAGCACTTAACCAGTAGCTCGAGTGAGCACTCAGCATGTTGAGGTACTGCAGTTCCAGGGGCCCACCCCCAGAACGCAGGAAGTAATCAATTTGGCCGTTGTCATTGAGCAGGTATGCCTTCTTCTCTGCAATGTCCTCGCGCGTGAAATCGTGTACTTCAAGCTCCAGATTCGACGGGAGTCGCATCGTGGACGGTTTGACTAGCGCAGGATTGGTTTGATCCGCACTTGGCCCAAGTCCCGGCACCACACTCCTGAATACATTGCCCATAGACTGAAGCAGGGTGTTCGACGAGCTCGGCACGTATGCCGTCTTCAAGCTGGCCGCGTACTTTGGATCAACGGTACCATTGAGTAAGTAGGCCACAGGATCTTCTCTTGCCAGGATATTGTAGATGTTGTCGACGGCAAGACAGCCGAACAGGCCAGCATCGCCCACAATGTCACAAGACACAATGTCGGCATGGTCGGCCCCTGGCTTTTGACGACCTTTTCGTGGAATCAAAGCACCCCGCTCCAGGAGCAGAAAGAATGCGGCGGGACTGCCCAGAAGAAACAGGTTTTTGGTGTCGAATTCAAACCACTTGAGCTGTATCGTTTTGCTGAGATCCAGTGCCGGTGCTACGGTCGGCTGTTTCGACAAGACCTCCAACGCCATGGCACTTCCCAGTGAGTGGCCGATCAGATGCACGCGTCCATTTTTTGAGAATCCTGGGTTATTGCGGCACCACAGCCTGTAAACACGATTGGCCTCATTCACCAACGCCTGGATCATCTTGGGTTTGTGGTGGGACATGTAGAACGGGATGTCGAACATGATGTCAGAGATCATGCCTCGGACGGCAGGAATCGTGCGGGGCTCAATGTCCTTCAGCCCGAAGCCTTCGGGCATGTATTCGGCCTTGTCTCCCTCTTTCATAGGGCCGCCCTCCTCAAAGGACAGGTTCTGTCTCCAGTTGACGGGTAGCACCATTATGCCATTCTGTCCATCCCGGAGAACTGACCTAACCGTCTCATTCCCAAGTTCGATGTTGATGGCCCGACGGAACGCATTTATGGCGTGGGTAAAGTGATAGCTTTCCACCCTTTCGGCCAATTTCTGGCCGATACCATGGGCGACAAGTACTAGGTCAGTAACCTGGCCCCTCTCCTTTTCATATTTGCAGGCAGCACAAACATCCCGACCAGTACTCTCCTGGGATTCACTGGCTGCGGATCTTGACTGGGTAGGGTGCGGCGTTTGGGCTTTCCTCTGATGCAATCTCATCCATTCTTCATTGTCGAACCCTCGCACAACGGGAATCCCGATGATGATACCCTTGAGAATTTTTGCCACCGGGCGTCTTCCGTGGTATGCGGAAGGCTTCAGACTGGGTTTCAAGAGAAATGCGGCAGTGGCATTTTTGTAGATTACATGGTATTGTTCGTATTTGCGCTGAGAGGGTGCTTTCGGAGAGTTATCCTCATTTTTCGAGGGGATCAAGGTCCCCTCTGCAGCGGCTTCGCCTTGGAAACAATGAGCGGCACAGAAAGGATTGCTCGAGATCAAGGGCTCCTCGATTATGTCATTGGTTTTGGCAGTTGGAGCAAGGTCCTTCGGCCAAAGTTGGTGTGTTACCTTCTCTTCACCCAAAGGGCCGACCTCGACAGCACACTTGAGCTCGACGTTCCAGGTATCTGAGTGTGGTTTCAGTTCCCGGTACCCTGCTTCTAACTGGTTGGCCACGGTCGTGTCCACCGGTACCATGGTATCCCTATGCATATTTAGTCACTGCCACTGAGCCATTGAAGAAGCTTTGGACATACTTGTAGAACCATGTCCCGCGTAAGACGGTGGCCAGGTCATTGATTGGAGACCAGTATATTGGCTTCATTTGCAGGGCCGGCAAAGTCACCTCATGGAGTCTGGAGACTCCTACGGGAACATCGATAGAGCCCCTTCTTTTGGGGTTTCGCCCTCTCTCAGGCAATGTCGACGGCATTTCTGCAGTGGAATGCAGCACTGGCTTTACAGCGGCGCTTGGCTTCTCAGGAGTCTGGTTCTCAACAGTAGGAGTTGACAGTCGCGGGAGAGAGGCCGGAGACGATCCATATTGGGTGGTTTCCGGCGTACCGATTTTCACGAATGGCTTCCCGGAGATGCCATCATCCACAATTCCAGGGCGTATAGAGATGGGGGCCGTGGTATTGGCCTCATTGACAGAGCTTCGCGCTGTAAGCTGCGACTGAGACAGTACCCTCGTCTCTTGACAGCGCGGAGAGTCAGATCGCTCATCTCTGCTTGCCGGGTTTGAGGTACCCTTCTTGGCTTCACTGGGAGAGAAATTCTCCTTGGAATGAAAGGGAATATTGAACATGACAAGTGAGTCGGCCCTGGGGTGTGTTGAGGGAATGCTGCTGGACGGCACACGCTGGTCTGTAACTGAAGCTGAAGCTGAAGCATGTAGAGTCCGTATGGAAGCCATAACATGTTGAGCCACCCTGTCTCTATCCAGTACACGCTGTTGTCTTCTAGCTATGGCACAGAAGGATGTCCGGATTTGAACGCCCACATCGGCGATGAGCTCGGGACAACATAGTGGCAATAGGGCATCGGGATCTGTCAGCGAATCGGTGGTGGGCTCTTCGAGTTCTTGACTATTGCCTTCTCGCGCGTGCTTCTCTTTATGTTCAATGGCCAAGTCGTGTATTATCTGGTCTAACTTTTCGGCATTCGCCTTAGCCAGGGAAGGGCTAAGGCTGCGGTTGCGGCGGGCTTGGATATGGTTCCGGCGATAATAATCCGAGGCCAGACTGAGCCAAGCCTTCTCCAAGGCATTGTTGTCGCCTTGGGAGAAGGGTCGGAGGATACCCCGGCCGGATTTAGCATCGGCGGATCCAGCTATGCTTGAGGTCGAGAGAGGATCATCGATAGGGATCGGCGACATGTAAAAGTACTGGGCCTTGACAGGTGGGATGTCGTTGCTGTTGTTTGTCGTGAAAGGGTGGACGACGGGGGCCAGTCGGCACTTTAGACCGTAATCGTGCACCGGGGCTGACCCGGAGACGTTCACAAGGGAAGACATCGTCAAAATGTAGGCGGCCGAGTTTTTGTGTAGTCTAGGCAGAGACGGCTGCTGGTGTATTCGCTGGTTGGCTTTTGTAAACCACACTTGCCGTTTATTTTATCCGTCTACCCAGGTGCGCAAGTATCGACAAGATGGGAGAGCCGGGGCGAGTCCGAGATGGAGTTTGCGCAGAGCAGACATGATCCCAGAGCTTGACCACAGGTAAATCACCTCATGGAAAAAAAGGTTAGAGGAGCTGAAAGATTCTGTGGTCAAAGTCACGCCTACGCGACGCAACGCAATGTACCTAAGTAGTGGTAATCTAGGCGGTAGTCAAAAGCACATGTTGGAGACAAGAGCCTGGTTGATGACGTGGTGTGGCTGGAGCTATCGGGATCCGCCGTGGCTGAAGCTATGCGGAATCCGATTTGACGATGTAATTGTAACATGCACTTCTCAAAACTCCATTACAACCTTTTCAAGCACCAGACAGAATACTGTTTCGACCCACTGCCAATAGGCGCGGAATGGGTTTTATTATTATATACCTTGTTTACTAACTCACCATTGATTACTTTCCCCTGAAGCTCGAAAACATCAAACAAGCCTGGTCCGAAAACATCTCGACGCTGGCTAGGGTCATTCACTTGTTTACCTTGTTCAATACTCGCTGCTGTCTCCCTCCAATTTGAAGTTGACCGCTGACTAGATGCTGGCTCTCCTTTGAGGACCTCGATTGTGCCCGACCAATATACTACGTCCAGTGTTTGCTACGATTGGTGTATCTACCTCACCTGCTGTCTCCGTATAAAACCCAATCCACCCCAAGGCCTTGGTCGTACTCTCTTGGTACTAAACTTACAGAATTTCACAACAGCAGTCGACTATATACCCGCGCAAAGCAATACTAGCCAAGCTGCATCATCTGTCGCCCATCCTTCGATGCTGCGAGTCTCTTGTGACTCAATCAACGTTGAGGCTGTCCTACATTTGGCGACGTTTGGCGACGTGCCCTTATCTCGACTGCTGAGCAACATGACTTGGAAATTTCGCCAATTTACAGGTTCATCTTGGCATCGGATACACATCGCTCGAGTCGCTCGACAGGTGTGTATACTTCAGCAACTGTACTCAGGTCGTTGAGTCGGAACGGTTGGCCTCTGGACCTCAAAGACTCTCCTGTGCTAGCTGAAGTACACCCTGCCTGAAGCTGGTTGTATGGAAATATAGTCAACCTCATAAATGCTAGGTCTTGTCAAGTTATGGCGGAGAACATGAGGTGGGGAGTTTGACGCAGGTGGCTTGGCATTGCTTCAAGAGCGGGTGGTCTTGTTCTCTGTTGCGTTGACACTGTGCGATTCTTAATTTCAAAGCCAATTTAGACGATCTTGTGTAGAACCCAAGAAGATGAGAAACAATAGCAGGACGTTTCAATATATGTGTAGAGCAACTCTGTGTTTTTGACGATATCCATTGCAACTTTTCGCTGCAAAAATGGTACCGGACGGAACAAGTCCCTCCTGACGCTGAACGCTGATGATCTGGGTTGTCTCATATACAGGTTCGTCAAGCAAGGACAACTATCTCCGCTGTCATATGCTCGACCATCTCGATCTTTGCCACGAGGTGAAGGGGGTATACGAAGCGTAAATAAGAGATCGCGCTAACTCTCGATCTGATATGTCCATGCGAGTTCATCGCTCGGTTCTCAACTTACTATAAGATTCTGAGTGGCATGGTCTGTAAGCTACTTCGCGGTGAACAGTGAGTGACAAGTTCGATGTGCGTTGGTAGCCAAAACCTGCTGGCCACTCATGAGGAATGTAGGGTATACTGCGCTCAATTTACCGCACAAAAGTCTCGCAGAGCCATTCTTAAGCGAAAACATCCTCATCCCACGTACCACAGAACCAATACAATGACGACCGTGCTCAGGCATACTGCTATCGATGCAAGTCAACGTCGGATGATTTTCCAGACCTCTTAGGTTTAACGGTGAGCGTCAACCCACCTTCGCCAAAAGTTGGCAGCTCAAGAGACTTCTTGGATCTTTCTCAACTCAGCGCTGTCCGTCTGGGACATAAAGCCCGGTGGCCTCTGTCGGGTGGCCGCGCCTCTGACATTCCACAGCAGGGTTTCAGCAGTACAAAAATTGACTAATATCGAGCTGGCAAACATCGTTAACCGGAGCTCTGATCAGTCGATCAACCGTACGCCACAAGCGACCGGCGATGCCAGAGCTTTGACATGTTAAAGCAAACTGCGGTCCCGAGTCGGACTATCTACTGCGAAGGGCGATTGGGTTGGTCACTGGATGTGTCACCCAGAAAACTCGTTATCTAAAAGATGCATGTCATCTCAGTAATAACAACTCATGCTGAAACCACAGATGAGTGTGAAGAGCCCCGGAACGAAACCGTAAGCGCCGATCCGAGAGCTTGGTGCGCGCTTATACATGCAATTACTACGGCCAAAGCTCACACATAAGAAACTCAATGTTTGCTTGAGTCCCCTGCTGATTATCATTCCGGACGCTTACTACTTTCCTGTTACATGTATACGTATGATTTTCTGGAAAGCTATGCACGCATTCGTCCTTCTTGCCATTGGCTCATACATTGATGGCGATGAGAAGGCCGTTCAGCGTTCAGGGTGTTTTCACAGATGCAACCTCAACCGTCAAGAATAGTCCTATTCAATTGTGCAGCAGTCCTGTTCCGTCTCAGACTAAAACAGTATCGACGACCAATACTTTTGCACGTACACCACTACCGACCGCTTGCCATGTATAGCCGGCTTCTTCCCCATAGTGACCATGATATCATTTGCCCGAGCGCATTCTCCAGTGCCGTCGCCCCCGCCCCGTCCTCCCACGATCGCCTCCAACCCAACAGAGGCTAACAATCGAGCCCCGGTCCCCTTGAAAGAAGCGTCCCATTCGAATTGACTGCTTAATCCCAAGGAACCTGATGATCTGGTCGCAGAGCAAAGGATTGGCATGAATTCATTCAGCCAGCAGTTTGCCAAGTTTGGAGACGGTGGTTGTGTGGAAACCTTTATAGACGCTAATGCACCGCGAGCACTGACTGCCCTTGAAATCGCAGTGTTTCTAATCCTCTTGGGGCATGGTCTTGTTCCGTTTGGAGGGCTGCCGGAGGCCCACAGTGTCTGTGAGTCTGGCCAAAAGTGAGAGGGGAGCGGAGGTTTGGATACTTAATAGAGAGACAGAGACCCTGGTCCCAGTAGTGGCACTTTAGTATGCGCCGCTCCACTCTAAGCTCCGTGATTGGCTATTGGCCTCGCTCGTCACAGGTTGATGCCCCTCCGCCGGCTGTACATGGTGCTGCTCGCGGCGTCGAATGAGCCTATCAAGGTTCCATCAGTACTTCTTGAGTAACGCAGTGTGGTAGAGAGTTCCCTGTCAAACTCTGGGGATAACGCGACGCTGTACTGTCGCCTGCAGTGTGGGCGGCATTCTAGCCAGCTATTTACGTTTAGCAACTAGTATGTGAGAACGCCATTGATTTGGCCTATCTCTCGAGCTATCTACACTTCCCGCTCCCCGCCCGCCGTCGCAACAACGTGGTGGCATATCAGCCGTCTGTAATTCAGCTGGACTTCTGTCTATCGTCGCTTATTTTTCTGGTCGGTATCATCCTCAACCTCGTCTTCTTTCTCTTCCCTCGTCCCGACAGTCCTTTGTCGAGCTTGTGCTCCGGCAACTAAGTGGCCAATTCTACCAGGTGATACGTGCCACTACCCTTGCGTAACCCAGACGTTGAGACGGGGGAACAGCAGCGGCTATTTATTGAACAAAGCCGGGCCCCCTGGACGACGGCGACATTGTGGTTGGCACAAAGAAGTGGCCACTAGCTCGTCTCGAAACATCACACACAAGAGACACTTCTTTCCCCCACACATGAGCAAGGTGGAGTCGAAGGCTTCAGAACTCCAGACTCAGACATCTTGTCGAAGTATAATCCGTTCGATCTCTGCGTCTACTCAGCACCTGTATCAAAACAACAGACGAATTAAGCAGTGGTCCCGTGCTATCAGAAGACACTGCTCTCAATTGATTATTAACAACGCTTGTTCGTGTGAGTATCCTGAGTACCTTACTTAAGTACCTTATCTGCCGCGTTCGTATTGTCCACAGGGATGTGTGTGATAAGGCTGGCCGACTCCAATCAACAATAGGACGAGCGTGTAAAACATTCCGAATACCCTATATCGCCCCCCTCCTACTTCTGTGCCCCCTCTTACCATTCTTTCAGGGTATAGGGGACTTTTCTACAGTCTTTGAGACGGTTGCTAATATCTTCAGAACTAGGTTGCTGGAAAGAGGCCATTGGCGACGGGCTGACTTATATCGTTAACGAAAGTACTTGGAGACTGACGACCCCGCCTTCTTCGCGACGCGCAATTGGACGAATGCGGCCACATGCGACACGAGCACGACATTTACTGCAACCTTGGAACAATCAATGTCAATTCAACTTGACTTGAGAGTGTAGAATCTCAACTATTTTGGTTGCTGCGGTCACTATCTCGCAGCTTATGAAGTAGACGGGCTTCGGGCCTACATACATTTCCACGATGGCTACCATTGCGGTACCGAGACCCATTCCGCCCCACCAATCGTCGTCTGGTATCGTCACGCTATCGTCGCCGATAAGTCTCGACACAATCAACACAACATCACAAAAGCAGCAGCAGGAAGTGGTGCTTTGCCCTCCCATTCCAAACAAACACATCCCCGTGTGTCCAACAGGACCAGCTCCCGCGCAGGAGCCCAATACCCCGCCGCCGACACCAACACAGGACGATGAATGCCGCCAATCGTCGTTGCTCTTCCCGCCTGGTAGATACATTCGTCTCGAGCAAGGTTCGCTCTCTATCTACAAAATCAACGCGGCCGATATATCAGCTGCGTTAGACTATGTTTCGCGGCAACCACTCCCAACCCCAGGCCAGGTATTCCCCTGGTTCCATGGCCTACATCCCAGCAACCATATCCAGCAAGCCTTCTTCATTGCGCGCAGGAGGGCTCTGAGGAAGACCCCAAGTTGTCTGAGAGGAATCACCGTGGTCAAGGCCGATGGAGATTTGTCCGTCTCACGTCTCAAGGGGGCCATTGCACCAGATGAGTTCATGCAATCCGCTTCTGGAGGCGAGTTTCTCGAAGTCGACCCCAAGGAAGGTTTTTCGGTGCGCAACTTCCAGATTCAGTCCGCCAAGGCAGCCATGACTTCGGACATAATCATATACGGCGAGGACTCTGCTCTTGTGCGGAAGCTAGGCTGGCAAATTGCATCCGCCCAAGCAAAGTGGCGCGAGAAGCACGAAAACCAGAGCTGCTCCGTCCCGACATACAACACCTTTATCTACGTGGGGCCCTTCGAGGTCTTTGAGCAGAAGCACGGTGAGATTGTGTCGATTGATTCCGACGGACATCTGACGGGTGCCGTACTCGACTTCTTCCAACAGGAGCGAACGGAAATGTACGCCATGACCAAGGCTTCTGAGATAGCACAGAATGTTTGGCTGGGTCCTACACCAGAACCTGGGAGTGAAGAGGAACAGCAGTATGATGTCTTGATTGAGTGCAACGATCTCGGACGGCTGAACCCATCTGGTCTGAGAGCCATCGCTCGTGGGTCAGATGAGGATGTAAAGCACCCGCTGTACCTGGACTTCCCCTCGTCTGGAAGCATCCTTCCACCAACGTGGTCCCACGCAGAAGCAGACGGTATACTGGAAACATGCAAGTGGATCTGGCATCTGTCTCACGGAACCTTGCCGTCGAAATCCGGCACAGACTACGACGGCGATACGAACATGTCAGATGATTCAGAGAGCAGCCTGGGGACTTGCCGCGCGAGGAAAATCTTGTTACATTGTGCAGATGGCTACACCGAGTCAACCATGCTTGGAATTGCTTATTTCAGCTACAGCACGGGCAGGCCTGTGCCCGATGCGTGGCTGAACCTTCACACCACCATGAAACGTAACTTCTTTGCATACCCCACAGATGTGGCTCTTCTCACGTCTATCTCGAGCCGGTTGTTGTCCGAGTCGCCCGTGTGTGCCCACAAGAGCCTGTCGGACATCACGGCCCTGCTGAAAGACGAACCGAAATGGCTAGCTAGTTTGGATGGGTCGTTCCCCAGCCGTATCCTCGGTTACATGTATCTTGGTAACTTGGGGCATGCCAACAATCCCGACCTGCTCAGAGCATTGGGTATTGGCCAGATATTAAGCGTGGGAGAAACGGCCATGTGGAGAGACGGCGAGCTGGAGAAATGGGGACCCGAGAATGTTAAAATTGTCCAGGGCGTGCAAGACAACGGTATTGATCCCCTAACCGATGAGTTTGAGAGCTGTCTGGAGTTTATTGGTTCGTCCCTCCCGCTCGTCTGGCATCTGGATCCAGAGCTGACATGCATTCTCTAGATCGTGGCCGGCGTAACGGGACAGCTACACTCGTGCACTGCCGGGTCGGCGTTTCGCGCAGTGCGACCATCTGCATTGCCGAAGTCATGCGAACTCTGAATCTATCACTTCCTAGGGCCTATTGTTTCGTCCGAGCTCGGCGGCTCAACGTCATTATTCAGCCCCATCTCAGGTTTGCATACGAGCTGCTGAAGTGGGAGGAGATATTGCACGGAAGACGATCAAGTAATGATGACCATGAAAGTGGTGAGATCAAGAGAGAACTGGAGTGGGGCGAGATTGCGAGGGAGATCGCTCTCATGAATCGACCTTATGCCAGATGAGCTTGCTAGGCCTCAAGGACGACTCGACAGCATATCACGGCAAGACTGTCGGTTACCGCTTCAGTGCTGGGGCGGCAGGCAAATTTCCAGAGCTTTCGGTCGGTCGAGAAACTTGCTACTCTCCTGGGCAAGTTGCGGGTCTCCGTGCCCAGGTTGTGAAGGACTCGGCATGTCCGGGCTCCTAATACCAGGTACGCTGTATCGACGACCGAACTCTTTCAAGCATATCAGCTGCAGGAACAGATATTGGAAAGAGAAACAACGGGAAAACAACTAATTTTCATGACGCGCGTATAACACTTTCACTTCTGATGACGAGATGACGTAACAATCACTTGAGCGGAGGGGAGAAAAGGATACTATTTTCCAGGGTTTTATCTCGAAGGGCCCTCTGTGCTCCATATTGGCGCCAATTTGGAGGGTCAACTTGGGGTTTGGGCAGAATGGGGCTCGGGGTGCCGATTTATAACATGTAAATGGGGGAAACGTTTAGGAATCAAGGCGCGTCATACTACACCGCCGGGATCATGCTGTGGTTCTGAGGCGTATAACTATTATCACACTCACTAGGGACGAGCCCCTGTGGGACTACAATGAGATTTTGAGACTGGTGATACTTACGGGCTGGAGGGCAAAACACCTAGGTATGGGAATACACCATGACATGTGATTCGCGCAGCCGTCCTCCTTTATTTTGCTTTGTTTTCCGGTGACTAGGTTATGTGAGGACAAACACAAAGGGAAATGTTATCGTTGTCGGCCTGAGTACGGGATGTGTGCTAGAGAGGCCCTCTCATGAAAGATGAAAATCCTCGAAGTAAACACATCGGATATACGTGTATCAATATAATCAGTGACACTCAGGTTCATCATTCTACGCCAGTTGTAAGAATAAACATGGACAGAAGTCAAGATAAGTCGAGTGCCACCTTCATTTACGCCGTGTTTAGCCAAGCACTAGTTTATACACGTTCGCTTCCATGGACCTGGCCGAAGGTATCCTAGAAACGAATTCCACAGAATTTTTAGGGGCCATTGCGATGAAACTATCAGTCTCATCTATTGCCGGGTGAGACTATCGGCCACCCTTCCCGCGTTGAACATCGCCTCGCCACAGAGCGTGGAACACCCCGTTTTCAACCCCAAGCTGCTGCAAGATCTTGCGGTACTGTAGCCTTTACCCAACCCCTGAAGCTTTGTCCTGCGTAAATTTTTAATGCCCCTAATTGAAACCTCTTCATCTTGACTGCCATTGATGATACCTTCCGGTTACAATTGGTAGATTTTATGTTCTCAGAGTTAGGGGAGAAGGGCCGAGTAGACCTTTTTTTCAAAACGTTCCGACAGAGTTTACGGCTCTACTGTATGATATCATGACAATGCTGACGAGTCTATACCTGATCAGGTAATTTTCCAACGTGGATATATGTCACAAAGGGATGAATCACTTCAGGCTCACAGGGCGGTGCTTCTACTCAGGGTTGAAGAGGCCCATTTAATGAGGGAAACCTGGCTAGCCGGCTTGCTAGATCAATTTCGAGTACTCTGTATCTTGCTCCAAATGTACGAATTCTTGATCCAACGGCTTCTATTGAACTATTGATAAGTAATACCAAGCTCGATGATGATGATACATGCCGCATTCAACCAAAACGCCAAACGCTGATGCAGTAAATATTCGTAGGTAGGAAAGCAGAGATGCACGTCACAACACCAGAGCCCCAAGACGACTCTCATAACGTATTTCCATCATCAGCGATGCTGGCACACAGGCATAAACTTCGTATCATGCCAACTGCTGGCCTCCAGCATAAATTCATAACACCATTCATGGACCCTGGGCTACCACGCCGCTCAATGATCTCTTATTACAGACTCATCTGGCGTCGCCTTGGCAGTACTAGATTCTATCCTTGGCCGCCTGTCTGGGTGTCCCTGTCGATTTCAGGCGGGCATTTGGTGCCGTACTCATCAGCATCCGTGAAGCCGGTGTCCTACTGTTCGTCCTCAACTACCTGCACCTCAACGGCACCTTCCTAGGGGCCGTAATTAGAAGCATCGAGCTTATCGTCACCTTCAAAGACACTATAGGCGATTATATGGGTTAGACTTTTGCCCATAGCCCGCCTGGTGCAGGATTGGAAGAGAACGAACTCACGAAAATTGTTTGACCAAGTATCCCTCACCGCCCTGTTCCATGTCGATATTGAAGACGTAGAAGCCTCCATCACTCGTCACGACCATGACCTGCGGGCTAGTGCTGCTCATGGCGACCACGCTCCGTAGTTGTTGGCCAGAATTAGATTTAGGGGTTGCGACCGAAGATTTTGGAATTTTTATGTATGCAAAATCACGCAAGGGCTCCCACATCTCGGTGACAGTCTGGGGCAGATAGTTACCCACGACGCCAGCCACACTGCGGCCCATAATCTGCGAGGACCGGCGGAGCATGCTGCTGAACGAACCGCTTTGTCTCCTATGATTATTCGAGTTCGTTGCTGGCGATGCCGCCTCGGCAGCATCACTGCGCGGGGATCCTGTATTGCTCCCAGGGGAGTCATTTCCGCTATCGTAACTGCGGCTTCTAGACCAGCGGTCGGCACGAGGTGAGGCGGGTCCTCCCATTTCGGACGAGACATTTGCACCCTGTGGTCCCGGCTGATGGAGACGGAAAATATGAACCGTATCTGTGGTTGAGGAGACGCAGAGAAGCGAGCTGGCCTGGTTGAAGGACATACTGTAAATAGTGCTGGGATATGTACCCCGGCGGAACTGGAAAATCTTGTGGCCTTTGGGCACTGTGAAGACGCGAATGATTGTGCCCGTTTCGCTTGCTGTAGCCAGAAGGGTGCCCTCGCTATTTGTGGCTATACAAGACAGCGGCGAGCGGTGCGCTTCGATAACGTTGACGGCCTTGAGCGTTAAGGTGTCGTATATGAGCACATCACCAGACGTGACTGGGGCGTAGAGCGAGTTGGGCGGGGCGTGCGAGGGTCGCTTATCTTGTGCGTCTTCGCGGGGTTTCGGTAGGGGATACGCAAGATAGCAGTTGTCCGATGAAGGAGACAGGGCGCAAATAGCACTCACATTCGGCGACGTCGGAATGTTGGTGAGAAGGGACATGTTGGAGATGTCATACAGGTAGATCTCATCTTCGAGTACCACAGCCAGGCGCTTGCGGTTCAGTCGGACAGCAAGTACGGCCGAGGGGAAGGTGAGTTCGCAGATGACAGATGCTCGCTGAGGAGGATTAGCCTAGTGTTGTATCAATAGAGCTATACTTCAAGTCCCACCTTGGTATTCTGTATTATCAAATGCCTCGGCGAGAGTATCAGTGCCACGAGCGATGTGGAGAAGAGCATTTCGATAATAGCAATGTTTCCATCGTCGCTACTAAAGATCTTAGAGAAGGGATCGGTATGATATATTCGGAAGCCCTTAGAGGTGCCTAGACTGTTAGCGAAGACCCGCCCAGCATGTCTCGAGGGGCAACATACCAACAGCAAGACAGCTGTGGTCCTGATTGAAGGTGATGAAGTTGAGCTGCGCATTCGTCATGTTGCCCGAGTTTGCCTACCGACTTGTGCGTTTTGGAAGGCTGGTCGCAAAATAGCCAACTCGGCGATGGGCCGCTTTACTCTTTATGGTGTGCTCTGTTGCGCCGGTTCATTCGTTGCCTGGGAGTGGAGTAACGATTGTCCAATGTCGAGGATGGCACACGTCGTACTTTCAGGTTAGAGACGGCCTCACCAGCAGCCCAGAGCTCTACGGATCGCAATGCGAAATGTTTGCAACGCCGTACAAAAGCTAGTTGGTGTTATAAGGTCTGGTGGCGGGAAATGTGAGTGGTTGGTACGAAGTGGGGGAGAGAGCTAAGAAGGAAGCAGCTGCACAGAAGCTCCCCGAGCTATGCCGGGCGGGCCCTTTCTAGTGCTATCTAAAATTGCGTCAGTGCTCCAAATGCTTGCAGTCCACTGTGACAACCCGACCCATGCGCTGATCGACTTTACAGTGGAACAGGCGCTGTGTGGCTAAGAGCTCGGGCCACTAGTTTGTACCGATCTTCTTTCTTGGTGCCCATAGAAGCACAAATGTTATTAAGAATTACCTGAATAAAGTTACACACATATTTGAGTAGCCGGACAGATAACTCAATCGTTACTCCTGCCTTTGAAGTAAAATATAGCTTTAGGCACCCGGGTCGTAACATTCTCAGGGTTCCAGTCTGCCGGTCATATCCATGATACACTCGTCAAATGCTCCCACCGTTTGAACTTCTCCAAGGTTGATGTTCACTTCTCCCGGCGCATATATTTGGACTCAGCAACGTTCATGAATATTCCCAACCCACAAGTGAGTTGAAGGGTTCGAACAGTCCTAGGGAAGTCATATAAGGGCATGGCAGAGTTAGTACACTAGAATACTGGGCTGTCCTATCTTATTCCATCCCGGATGCGCCATTTATTTTGTCATGTATTTGTCACGGGTATTTGCTAACAAAGACATTCGCACCCACGTAGGCTGGCATTCGCGTCTCTGTACTCGAAACTATACAACTAGTTTCTTGATAGTCCATGCTAAACCTGTCGCATCTTGGTGGATAACTCATTAGCCCCGTGGTACCAGAAATCATGGCACCCCCAGCCGCGAAGCAAACCTCCAAGAGGTCGCAAAAGGAGCAAGCACACGATGAGTCGGTTATGTCTGCAAGTTTACCTGAAAGTTTCAAGATATGTGTGCTGATAGTTGACTCGTTTACTTGCAGACAAACAGCAGTAGCATTGTCTCCAAGAGAAGTGTTGAACGCATCTACTATCTGAACGAGCCTCACTTCTTTCGCTTTTTTGTCAAAAAGTTTCAGAGACGCTCCCCCTTGATCAATCGTGGCTACCACCTCAGGTTACATGTCATCGATGTAGCGGTCAGGAACTTCCTCCAAAGGAGCTCTGAAAAGAAGAAAGTAGTCATTAATCTTGGATGTGGAAGGTAAGTTGTGCTTGCTACCCTTGGCCAATCCAGGTCTTGAGCCTAATCCTCTCCGAACACTAGTGATGTCCTTCCATGGCAATGCATGACGAGATATCCGGATCATTGCAACAGTGTCAAGTTCATAGATGTCGACTTTCCTGACCTTATGGAAAACAAGTCCAAAACTGTTCGAAGTACACCAGAGCTCAACTCTATGCTCACGGGAGTTGAGGAATCCGGACACCCCCATTTGATCTTACAGAGTGACCGATATGTACAAATCGGGTGCGATCTGCGGGACTTGACCGAGATCCATGATGCGCTGTCGAGCGTTGTCACTATTGCCGACTGCGAGTTTATGTTTGTTGCGGAAGTCTCTATTACTTATATGGAAACCAAAGCGGCGGATGCGGTCATTCGCTGGGCAAGTAGCCTCGGCCAAGGTGGGAAAAATTATTTATACAATAACCTTCTGCCCAAGCTAACTGCAAGGCAGCCGAGTTCTGTCTTCTGGAGCAAATCATTCCCGATGGCGCGGATCATCCTTTTGCGGAGACCATGCTGAAGCACTTTGAAAAGCTGAAAACACCCCTGAAATCGGTGTTTGCGTATCCAGATCTTGAAGCCCAGAAAGATCGCTTTGCGCGCCTGGGATGGTCATATGTCGAGGCGGAGTCACTCTGGAGTACCTGGTCTTCTCCAAAGTACCTCTCGTCAGATGATCGAAAGGTCATCAACAATGTCGAGCCATTTGACGAATGGGAGGAATTTGCTGTGTTCGGGAGTCATTACTGTGTTATCACATCGCGCACCGGGACTATAGTGTCGGACCACTGTCGTCGACACGGAGTGGATCAAGACCCGCGTCATTTGGGACCAATCCGCAGTCTTGTGGCTTTGACTGAGTTCAGTGACGACGGGACTCGGGGTCAGCGGCGGTTTGGAGCTCCCATGATGCTGGAGTCTCACATTGGGGACAAACTGCTCGTCAACATGTTTGGTTTCGGACACACAACGCGCTTGAAATCGTTGGATCTTTTCAGTTCTCATCCACCAGCCAGGGACCTGAAGCTTCCTTCGGCTGGCCCACCTGGTAGGATGTGTCATACAATCGTAGAATTGGGTACTTATGGCAATATCCTGATGGGAGGTAGAGCATCACCATCGAACCCACTAAAGGACTGCTGGCTCTTCAACAAGAATAGTCAGACGTGGCAGCAGTTACGAGATCTGCCAACTCCCCTCTATCGACATGCTGCCACCAGACTAGGCAGTTCACACCTGGCACTTGTTATCGGCGGCAAGACTGGGCCATCCTCTGTCTTTAATGGATCTTTCCTATATCACCCAGAGACGGGATGGGTAGAGTGTAGAATTTCAAATCGGTGCTACACGCCAGTTTTCGGCGCCGTGCTTGTCAGCTTCAACCCTATGTATTCAGATGATACAGACTGCTCCCGCTCGGTTCACTTTCGAGGGATACTTGCTGGCGGACTTCTTGAAGATGGGACAGTGGCCAAGCAAATTCTCCGTTGGGATTTGGAACTGCCAGAATCTGGGCAACCCATCATCAACTTCACCTCGTATGCAGGAACACAATCAGCTACGGCAGCTGGAGGCCAGAAAGAACTAAAACTTGATTCAATCATATGCAGATTTGGAGCAAGTGCTTTTGTCGACGAGCATGGAAGCCTTCTGATCGTGGGTGGCATTATTGAGGACTATACAATTCCAAGAGAGCAGGAAATACTGGTCGTCGATATCACTCTACCCAAGTACCAAGTCATCGCCACGGCCTCGCTCATTCAGGCTGATGAGGGTAAATTAATCCCTAGGCCACTGCTTCTTGGGATCTCGGTTGCTCCCACTGCGGATGGGAGGCTTGTGATTATGGGTGGTGGCGCTACATGCTTCTCAATGGGCACATATTGGAATAAAGGTTGCTATACTTTGAGCCGCAGCCCCATCTCAGCCATGCAGATTGTGCTGGCGAATACCGTGCGCAAACCATTGGGGACCACATGGAAATACCACCAAACTCTTGAGGTCACTGACGCTGCTAATGCCCAGATGCCTTCCAGGCCAGAAATGGGTGCGCAACAAGCTGTGACGGTGCAGATACCAAGGCTTCGGCTTGACTCCCCAGAGGCCTTCTCCGATATTTTGACAGCCAGTAGACCTGTCATTATCGAAGGCAGTAATCTCGGCAGCTGCTTGCAAGCTTGGACACCAGAGCATCTCGTAGCCCAAGTCGGGGAGGCCCACAGGGTGATTGTCCATGAAGCCAACGCGGCCAAGATGGACTTCAACACCAAGAACTTCAAGTATGTGACCAAAGATTTCGGTACTTTCATACAAGAAGTCCAACGTGGGGGGCGTATGTATTTACGGGCGCTTTCTGAAGTGGCGCCAACAGAGAAACCGGCTAATCTAAGCCAAGACTTTCCCAAACTGGCGGAAGAGTTTCAACTTCCGACTGAAATGTCATTTGCTTCACAGAACACATTTAGCTCCGTATTGCGCATCTCCGGGCCTGTCAATATGTGGCTACACTATGATGTAAGCTTGCACTCGATTGCATCAACTGACAGCTAATAATGGACAACTAGGTTCAAGCCAATGTGTATTGCCAGATAGTCGGATCGAAAAGACTCATTCTGTTCCCACCTGCAGATGTCACGCAGTTGTCGTTTGCGCCAGGGGCGTCGAGCTCCAGCCTCGACGTTTTCGCAGAACTAGACTCATCATCCCTGGCAGGAACACACCCACACGAGGCCATACTAAAGCCAGGCGACGTTCTGTTCCTACCACCGCTCTGGCTACATACGGCAAAACCCCTGACCGGCTTCGGTGTCGCCGTAAACGTCTTTTTCCGCAACCTTGAAAACGGGTACTCCTCTGGGAGAGACATATACGGAAACCGCGATCTCGCAGTCTACGAAAAGGGACGGGAATACATAGCGCGCCTTTTAAATGCGTTCAGCAAGGTGCCGCAGGACATGCGAGAATTCTACGTTCACCGGTTGGCGGACGAGCTCTCGCAGAGGCTTCGCGACTAAGATGCGCTCTGATCGATCTCGGTCACCTGTTTCCTGTCCGACCTCTGCTTTAACCATCTGTAACCCATTGCAACCTGATGCCCCACATTCTCATTGGTATCTCGAGCACGCTCGAGCCCGCCTCTGCGCATACCACCTGGTAGGGCAAACCACATGAGGGAAATGAACAAAAAGATGGCTAGCACGATGGGCTGAAGGACCTCGACTCCTTTGGTCTCAGCAATCGCACCGACCGCGAACGGAAACACGGCAGCCCCTCCTCCACCAAACGCTGCTGCAAATCCGATGGCCGAGACGTGGTAATCGCTGGGAAGCAGCTTCGTGGCGGCTACAATGGCAGCAGGGAAGAAAGGGCCAATGAAGAAGCCCTCGAGCGCGACGAAGACGGATGAAGCGATGAAGTTAGGGATCAGCCAGTACATCAGATGCAGCGCAATAGATATCAGGAGGTAGAAGGTAATGGCCAGTTTTTCGCCGACTCTCCCTGTGACGAAGCCCAGGATCAATCGGCCCATCGTTAACCCGAGCCAAAAGAAGGTCACTGTTAGACCGGCTTGGAAAGGCTCGGCATCGCGCACTCTGAGCATGAATGAGACGATCCAGCCGCCCAAGCTGACCTCAGCTCCCACATAACCAAGCAAAAAGAGTGCGACTATCCAGGTAATAGGATGCTTCATGGCCATCCGCGTCGTCGTTCTGACACCGCCATTCACAACCGCGTGCTGCTGGCGATAAGCGGTGCGTGTCGCCCGCCAGAAAGTCGTAGTTGTGAGGCAAAGTTCGAGGGACGCCATTCCGACCATGAGATAGTAGAAAGTATACCAGGGGAGATTCGCCTTAGTCACCATTGCCGTAGCAATTAAGGGGGCGATGGTGGCTCCCAGCCCGTACCCACCATGGATGAAACCGAGCAGCTCGTTGGCGGATTCCATGTTGCCTATCCAGGCATTCCACTAAGGCACATCATGCCAATCAGTACAAGTCCAGAGTCTGCAGGTGCACTTGTCGTACTTTGACATGTGAAAGTTTTCTGAACATCTCAACTTACAGCACTATCCTCTATCCCGTTCCCAAAACCCGGAAACAACATGATGGGGGGCAACGCCGCGAATGGAGGATGCAGACACAAGGGAACGTATCCAATAAGACGGGTGAGCGGTCCTAGGATTGCCACACCCCGTTGACCCATATAGTGATGTATGAGATTGTTCGAGAGAGCGGCCAGCACATAGCCCACGAACGGCGCCAGGAATACGAGCGAGATGACGGTGTAGGAGACATTGTAGTATTCCCCAATCTAGCCTCTTGATCAGCTAGATGAAAAAACAACGAGGAATAATAGGTTTTATACGTAAGGTAGCAATGCTCCTACAGAGGCATCGTTCATACCCATGATGATAAAGCAGAGTATGGTCGTGAGAAACCGGTATGCGTTGATTCTAGGCTGGTTCCATTTAGGCAAAGACAGGGTTTGGTCATCGGCTGCAGTGTCGCCTTGTGCTTCCACGTTGTTTCCTTGGAGCGTACCGGGCATTTCTGGCTTTTCTAGGTCTGATTTGGCCACATCTGGCCCTTGCTTTTGGACCGGCTCTGCTGATAACCATTCCTCCCCGGCACCTGTTACGGGGAAGATCGGACACATTGTGTTTGATATGAGGCGCTGTTTTCTTGCGAGTCGGGTGCGGATGGAGAGTTGTGAACATCGACTAGAACAGACAGAATTTACTACAACGGGCGTAATAGTAGGTTGTGATGGGTAAGGTAGAGAGGTAGAGTGAACAACTGTATGTGGGAACATTCCAAACCTTGATGGCATGACCAACTCGAACCAACTGAAGGGCGGTACATATCTAATACTTAAATATCTTATCTCAATTATCTGTGAGAAACCTTCTGGAATACTTCACGATAACAATCTCCACCCTTGAAGTTGGCCGCCCATGTATCACTCTCCTCACTGTCCTACGACCTCCCTGACGACATTTCTCAGACTAAGCCCAAAGCCGACATTGCGATGGTCGGAAGGAAGGAGGACCCACGTTTGTCATGGTTAAGTGATCCTGCCAAGAGAAGCTTTGTAGTGGGGTATGTTGTAATCAAGTATAGTCTGCCGATGATATGCCGTCGGAAGGGAATACCAAAGATGCCGTCAACATCGTTCCCTTCAGATGAGATCTGACCAGTAGGATGCTTCCCGAAACTAGGTAGCAAGTGTCCCTCTCTTCATTAACTTCACCACATCTCATCCGCAGTTTAGGAATCTTACACATTAGTCGCCTTCTCGGTGATGGTACTATCATATCATTTCTGCATGTTCGCAACGCTTTCCACGCGAAAATCATTGGGTTTTGCCGATTTAGGCGCACCGGACTCTCTGAACTGACCTCTCCTTTCATCGTGAGAACTCGCATACCCGGATGAGCTGACTCTTTCCCGGCTGTTATAATGACGCAATTGAGCTATGAGAACCATGTGTTTCATGTTTCGAATGCTTTCCAACAACCTCCCTGCCAGCCCAACGGGAAGCTCCTTGGCTTGGAAGTCATGCGATAGGCATTTCGTCACCGTCTGCTCTTTGATGCCGTAGTGATCCTTCCCGGAATGCCCAGCACCTCTCCATTTGTCGACAGAACGCACCCTTTCTGTTGAAGGACTTGCGATCACCCTGGGAGTACACTTGGGTTGCATCTTGATCAAAATGAATGACTACTTCCCATTGCTTGGCAGAGTGAATGTACTTCTGCTCCTTAACTACGAGGAGCTTATGGGTTTGATTGTATCATACAGACCCCCGAAATATCCCTCATTCTGCGAAGAACTTACCCAGGTAGCATCTGTTAAGGCCTTGACGTCAGCGTCTGGCGTATTCAGTCAGCTATTGCACATTCCTTACACCAATCCATACAACTTACCGCTGATATCATCCAGATCATGCACCAAAATTGTGCTTATCGGTGTGCGTTTTCTCCAACAGAGTAATAATTAAGGTGGCTTGAGAATTAGTAGCACTTGGAAAACTAGACTCGGTCGAACTGTCATTGGACACTTTGGTGGTGAGCGTGGAATGAAAGGCTTTTGAATCACTCTGCGATTCATTTCTGTTGATATAGACGCTGATCATGGGTAAAATCATACACGGCTACAGTTTGGAGATAACAAGAAGGAGCTGTGGATGAGCGACGAGCATCTGTCGAGCTTCAAGGACAGGTGCCTTTCTTTCATACACAGGTTGCACGGCGTATCGGAGAAGCTGACTCTGTGGCTGAAAAGGGCAATATGATTTGAGGACGATTGCTTCATCAAATTTCACGATGTGACCCAGCCGGATTATCAGGGCTGCGACTGCTACACTATTCTCCCACGTCTTAGACAAATGATGGGCACGTCTACCACCGAGCTGGCGTGCATGTCGACTGAGCCCTTCTCTCTGAGACATCTGGACTAAGGTCGACTTTACTCCAGGGGCCAATCTGCAATATTGGCGACTTGCTCATGTTTGAGTCTAACGATGGCTTTACATCGACGTTCAACCGTGTAAGGGGCCCCTGGGAGCCGGAGGACTACTATGGTGAGCGCTTCTCTACTGCCTTCACCCAGTCGTTCAAGGATACACTGAGTCAGGGTGTGTGAGCTTAATCATGATAAAAGCACCAACTTTTCAATCTCATCGTAACCTAGGCCCGAAGAAGTATTATCTTGTAACGGAAGACGAGTTTATTGCGAAGGCCATGTCAGTACACTTTACTGCACTGCAGGCAAAACCCAAGGTACAAGCCGAGGCTGGGGCGAATAGTGGCAATGATTGTATGCCAACTAACACCAATGCGGTCCAATCAGCGGGCTGAGATTGGATGTCAGGGTACGGCTAGGCCGAAGGCAATAGTACAGAGTGATGGGGAGTAAATGGGCGTCCCTACTGCGTAGCACCGGGTGGTCACTGGCGGTCACTGGCGGTCTCAGGTAGGGGTGCCCACGACGGTCTATTGATATCTGCTCCTCCCCTATCCTACTCCAAAATGGTGCTTATATAGACAGCTAGACTACCGCTTGGACCCGAAGCTTCACGTAAACGGTAATCATAACCCAGGAGTCCTTTGTCCGAAGAATCCCACCGGTACCCCACCGGTGTCCTGCGCTCCGTGTCCTGACACGACGACCTCTCCCAACAAGGCCCTGTCCTCAGGGCCTTAACGCTCATCCCGTAAAACACCGACCCTTTCTATTCTCACATCCTCCGATGCCGCGCCGGTGGTCGCCGGTGCCCTCCGGCGTATACCCCGTAACTCTTCATGCGCAACAGCGTATACACTCGTGGCCTAACCACAGTGCTTCGCACTGTCACCCGCAGACACACGTCATGCTATCGGTCCAGCCATTGCTCGAAACCTTTGCCTGACAATCGCTCACGATAGCGTATACACTTGTGGCCTAACCACAGTGCTTCGCGCTGTCGCCCACTCTCACACGTCACAGCATCGGTCCAGCCATTGCTCGAAAACCTCTGCCTGACAATCGCTCACGATAACGTATACACTTGTGGCCTAACCACAGTGCTCCGCGCTATCGCTCGCCTTCCGAAGCTATAGGTTCCCACCAGCATCTCACCGGTGGCCCTATGCTCCAAATCGTCGGAACATTGGCCCAGTAAACTCTCGCAAACCAATGTTCGATACGTCCGCGTGACGGTGTATACACTCATAGCCTAGCCATAGTGCTCCCCGCCGTCTTCAGCAATAGAGAGACCCTGCTTGTCACCGGCTTCCCAACGGTGTACCGTTGCCCTCGTAGTTATGTAGATGTGATAATAGGTGACTTACCTGCGATCTTTGTTCCGTTCATGCCCAGCCTCCATCCCGTCTATATATCCTCGTCTGATCCGGTCCCCTTCGACTCTTCCAACTTCACCACATTCATCAATTCCACAAGTACACACTTCATTTACAATACTCATTCAATCAACCACTTCCTCTGTCACCATCAACACCATGTCTCAATCCACTTCTACTACTGCTGCGACCCAGGTGGTCACCGACGTGGCCCCTGACGCCGCTGTTGCCACCATCCTGCGGGATGCCCCTTGCTGCCGTTGCCTTGACGCCATGGCAAAATGGTCCCCATCTGAGGAGGAGCCTGAGCCCCCTCAGTGCCGCGAGTCCACTTGTACTTAGTCCTTAGTAGCTCTCCTTTGGCACTTGGCTAATTGTGTCCAGCTGCCTCTGGAAAATGCGCCCGTTGTGCCGCAATGCGCGGCAAGCTCTGCACGCCCGTATTCCCCCTCCCTGAGTGCCGCTCCTGAGGCACTAGTCTCATTGTACCAGTTCAGCTTGTGAAATTATGTTCGGCTCTGTGTTTCCAGTTGTCAGAATAATGCAAAAGGGGGTTTGCCTAACACCAGCATGGTCAGCGGATCGAAGCTTTGTAACTCAAAGGATAAGCCATCGGATCCAACGAGTGTGATGGATAACGATGAAATGCCGAAGATTCCCACCTATTCGCTCGTGGCCTTGCTATATCGGGCCAAGGCCAACTCGCATCTCAGTGGGACTTTGTAAAGTAGTGACGGGTCGGAGTATGTGAGGTGGCATGCCAGATGTCATTGGACAGTCCTCCTCCGTAGAGAGTTCACGTCGCCATTCCTCTCTCTCACCGTCGCCTGGCTCAACGTCTGCAAAGACCACAGCTATGAGTACCCTGTTTTCTGAACTGCCCAAGTCTCGTTCAAGATTGACAGGGCCGCACAGTTAGAAGTTGCCAAAACAGGCCAACAGCATCGCTCCTCCACATATCTGGACCAAGGTCGGTACGAAGACCAATTAAAGCTCCCCCTGCGACAAAGACTGATATGGACATCCAACTGCAATCACGATTCAGTGCCGCAAGACAAACAAACATAAAAGAAATGGGCCTTCATCACATGCTGGTACTCGGACCTGATCACCATGTCAATGTGGACAGCTGTCATCCTCATCGTGCTGGTGGCAGGTATATGCAACTCCATATCGACGGTGCTTAACGGAGCCATCGGGGCCGGCCTGCACATCCCCTTTTCCGTTGCGGCCAAGGCGAGCTAGGGACATTGGCTCAGTTATTTCTGCGTCATCAGCCGCGGAATCCTGCTCTCCTCTGGCTCGGCGTACAGTCTGCCAACAGCGCCTCTTGCATAACGCAGACGCTCGTCGCCATTTGGTCAAGCTACGCTTATTTGCCCCATCACTTGCCTAGGTCGGCCGGCACCACCAGTGCGTGGTAAGTAGTAGAAATATTTGTTTCCATATCAGTTACCTCAACTTTGACACCACTAGAGGGTCTGCTGAGATTCTTCATCTACTGCTGTATCCAGTTCCCGCTGATCCTGATCTAGACCCAGAAGCTGCAGTACATGTTCTAGATCAAGACGTCCTAGTTAAGTCCCATGGTCCAAGCCGGTGGCCAGGGTAAATTTCTCCAAGCGCCCGCCACTATTTAGGGATCGACACGTGCCTGGACCTGGCTGTCAAACCTGATGTTCGTGACTAGGGGCCACTCGACCGGTGCCGGCAACATACCGACTTCTCTCTGTTCAGCAAGCACCGCGGCTCCCAAGCCTAGCTGCTGGCCCAGATCAGCGTCAACATTATCAGCTTCGCCAAAGATATCACCACCCTGGTGCCCAAGTAGTTGAACATCCGAGTGGTGTCATCCTGGCATCTTTCGTCGGCACAAGGACCCTCTGCCCATGGAACATTGTATTTTCGGCCTCGGCATTTCTGTCTGACGACCGCTTCATACTGCGTTTTGAACTACTGGTTCTCGCATAGGGCTACCCTGATCGGTAGTGATGTCTTTGGATACAGATGAGGCTCGATTCTGCAGGGTGTCGAGTCAGAAGTAGAAAGTCATGTGCCGAGCGAGCAGAGCACGGACACAAACTGACCAGACAAGACAGAACCAGGGTTAATTCGCAGGGGCAATTGAAATCGGTGTTGCGGCCGCAGCCTCAACGACTTGTCATCCAATACAGATGGAGAAGCTGTGGTACATAGTCGAGGCACTTCCATATGGGCTTAGGTGCAAAGCACTTAGTTCACTGTAGCTCAAGCGGATGGTTCTCTAGGACGACTGTGAGCAGTAGTAAGCAAGGCAGCCTTGGTATTGTTTGGGTATATATTCATGGAAGTCATTCAATTGGGTAGAAACGCACCCCCTCGTCCAGGGCTGTAGAAGAAAATCCAGTTCTAGTACTTCTAGCTCGACACAGAGATATTGGTAGAAATCCATCCAGCAGGCCAAACTGTGGCGGCCGTGTCACGGTCTCCTTCAACAATTCCACCAGTCTGCCCCCCTTACTGCGTCGACTTTGCCAAGTTCCAAAAATTCTCCATTTTGGCCCGTGCCAGTGTTTCTCGAGCCTCCGCATCCGTCTCACACACCTTGCTGCCCCATTTCCGGAAGCCACGCGACTTGACCTCGCCCTCGAAAATGAGCTGGCACTTGTTAAGCGACATGTCCTTCAGTTCGCCCTTCTCATCCTCGGCCATCAGCCACTGCCGTAACGCTTCGCTTTTGCCGTCCTTATCCCTCGATGGCGCATTCTCGGTCCAGTCGATCCGGTCACACATGAGTTTCTTGTATTTTCGGGTGCTATACGCGCCCCCTTCCACAATGACCAGGTTCATTTTGGGATTCATGAGAGCGATGCCGGTCAGGGCCATCTGCTCGGCGTTGATGTTGATCTTATACCGATGCTGGCCGTTGGCCAGAGTGCTAATCTTGAACACAAGAATATGGAGACCTTTGGCGGCATCCTCTTCCTGGTGTTTGATGAGCTTAGTGTGCCGTTCTTCCTTGCTCAGTTTGCGCTCCTCGTTCGTTTGCATGTGAATTTCAAAACGTCCTCGGATCTCCTTTTCAACGCGGGCTTCGACAGCCGTGGGATCGAGAACCGCCTCGGATCCCAGTACTCGCATCAGATTGCCCTTCCTATAGCATCGGTAGTTAGCGATTGTCCACGGCCCATTTTGATAGATAAAAGGAATCCCAAAAAATCTTGATCAGGAATGTTGACTGCCTATGAAAGGCAAGAATGATAACACACGAGATGAAAAGAGGAAGGAGAATATTTGGGGTACACTAACTTCACCTTGGGCGGCGGTGGAGGCTCCAGTCCCAGCCGGATCTTGGCCTGTTGCTCTTTCAGCTCAGCACCGCGGCGTTGTCGCCGTAATTTGGCCATTTCCTTGCTTGTGAGATACATGGGCTTCGGAGCGGGGGCGTTCTTATCCTGAGGCGGTTCGATGGCCACGGGATGTTGTATATAGCTCGTCACAATAGTGTCGGGCGTATCGATTTTGATGAAGTTGGGGTCCTCGATACTGTCGTATGTGTTCCCGTCCACCAAGCCTTCGTCCCACCACTCGATGGCGGGCGGGGCCTCGACCAAAAAGTTCTTCTCGACATCAATGTCCTCGTCGATGCCGACCTTGCGGGTCTGAGCGGCGATCTTCTTCTTCAGCGCTTCAAGGGCGGCTTGTCGTCGCAAAGCATTCGCTTGGGCTATGTATTTGCCCTTCTGGTTAAAGATGAGCTGGCGCGACTGGCGCGGTTTAGTGGTGGGGGCACTGAGGCTGGGGTCGTAGTAGGGGTTGTTCTTGATCTCGTCTGCTGAGGGACCAGCCAGATCGAGGGGCTTCTGCTTCTGGGAAGGCTTGGGCGCCGACCGCGAAGACCGCGAATCGTTGAAGGTTTTGCTTGGCGGCTTGATCTGTCCTACATCGGCGAGGGCAGGATGAAGCCCAACATTCAGACCTCCTCTGGCCTGGTTTGTTACAGAATTCAGGCCGCCCAAGCTACCGAGGCCATTACTGGACCCGCCACCGGGGCCTTTTGTCTGTGTCATTCCTATAGCTGCGGCGACCCTGGCCTTAAGCGCAGCCAGCTTGTCGGCCGCCGACTCGGGTTTTTGGACCCTCGAAGATCCATCGTGTCTTGGGCCCAGGCCAGGTGAGCCGTGTCTATCCATGACGAAAAATGGAGGATGAAACTGAATACACGCCACGTTATTATGTTGCGCGCGGCGCCTTTTTAGCACGACAAAGAGGTATGCGTTACTAGTATGGTGTGGTTGTTGAATGCTCAGGAGATTCCTGATGTCCTCGGTGTCGGCGCAAGATGGATTGGATGAAATCGCCTAACTTGGTAAATGGGATATGATCCCTGCAGAAAGACGATGGGCAATCAGATCCCTGTATGCCGGAGCTGTATCACGTGCAGCCAAACCCATACTCTACGAAGTACTCGGTACTTCTCTTCAAACTGGAGAGCGTGGCTAGTGCTACTTGCAGGCTCGACAGCAATTTCTGCCACCTGCCACCGCCAAAAAATTGTCGCGCCAGCCTTTGCTTTCCACCCCACATACTTCGAAGAAAATGGCAGAGTTGAGTCGCTCTTTACGCGCAAGGCCAATCTTCAAGCATCAGGCTACTATGTTGATGCAGAAAATTGTTCCTTGATCTCAGATACCGATATCTCATGGAAAGCTCTTAGTAATTGCTTCATTCCTCTGGGATAACGCTGACAAAGCATTGTGGTTATCCCGGTCATTCGACCTACAACCGTCACCATGAATATCTCCCAGCCCATTGCTTCGGCCATAGACTGCGTCGACTTTGCCTTTCTGACACCCGAGGAGATCAAGGCCATATCCGTCAAGCGGATCGAGAACCCGACTACTTTTGACAGTCTACTGAACCCAACGCCCGCTGGTTTATACGATCCTGCCCTAGGCGCATGGGGCGAGTCACCGTAGGTGCTTATTCAATCAATCCATCAATTGAATTGCTTTCTGCACTCTGCTGTGACTCTTAGTACACCTACTAATACCATGCTGCAGATGTACAACATGCAATCTCGGCCCAATGAGCTGTCCTGGCCATGTCGGCCATATCGACCTCCCTGTTCCGGTCTACCACCCGGTTTTCATGGACCGTATCATGGCCTATCTCCGGGCTCAGTGTGTATATTGCCACCGCTTCCGCATGCGCCGAGCAGACCTCGAACTTTACCGTTGCAAGCTACGACTACTGCGGTTCAATCTCATAGATGAGGCCAACTTCCTGGACGAAATCACCACCGAAACAAAGGACATTCCTGGGCTTCAGATCGTGGATGAAGCAGAGGATGAAGCTGAAGCCGAAAGTGCCTCTATCGAGCGGGTCATTCGGATACGGGAGGCATACACTCAGCGGGCACTCAAAAAGCACACATTGTCCACCGCCGACATTAGAACAGGCAAGCATGAGGGCATTTCTGAAGCAAGAACAGCCCTACTCAAGGAGTTCCAGAAAGAAATGGTCAAGGGCAGAAACTGTCAGAACTGCAAGGGCATCTCCCCGTCTTACCGAAAAGACCGCTTCGTCAAGATCTTCGAGAAGGCATTGAGTACCAAGGATGCCGCCAAGATGGCTCAGGGTAGCTTCAAAAGGAAGGATGCGTTGACTATCTGGCAGAAGTCCAAAGCCAAGTCCGTCGCCAAAAAGAAGGAGCTGGAGTCGGACGAGGGCATCGCCGACATTGACCCAGCATCAAGTGAAGGCGAGGAGCTCGAGCAGGAAGAGGCAGAGAGCGACGAGGAAGAGGAGGGTGATGGGAAGGAGCTGGACGAGAATGGCGACGTGGTCATGACGGATGCTGCCACGGCCAAGCTACCCAAAGCCAAGAAAAATATTGCCACGAAAGCACTGCAACGATACGTGGGTCCACTCGAGGTCCTCGCTCTCCTGGAACTGTTGTTCGAGAAAGAGCAGGACATGATGAAGTTGCTCAGGAACTCAAGACCTCAGCCCAAGGGGGCCAAACCAGAGAAGCCGGCCACCTTCTTCCTGCAAGTGATTCTTGTGCCGCCAAACAAGTACCGCCCCGAAGCTCGTCAAGGCGACGGAGGAATCGCCGAGGATCAGCAAAATTCGCTGTATAAAATGATCCTGCATGCGTCAACCCGGGTTGCCCAGATTTATCGTGACATTTTCAATGCCGGCAAGTCGGGTGTGGAAGCACCAGTCCGGAAAAGAGACATATCAGAACTGCATGAGGCTTGTACCCAGCTCCAAGACTGTGTCAACTCCCTGATCGATAGGGATCGGAATCCCATTCGAGGAGCTGCCGGCAAGCGGAATGAGGACGGCATAAAGCAAAAGCTCGAGAAGAAGGAGGGGCTTTTCAGGAAGAACATGATGGGCAAGCGTGTCAATTTTGCTGCCCGCAGTGTTATCTCCCCGGATCCCAACATTGAGACCAGCGAGATTGGTGTGCCTCCGGTCTTCGCAAAGAAGTTGACTTATCCCGAGCCCGTCACTAGCCACAACTTCCTGGAGATGCAACAGGCCGTCATAAACGGTCCAGACAAATGGCCAGGCGCCGTCGCCATTGAAAATGAGAACGGCCAAATAATAAATCTCACCAAGAAGACCGCAGACGACAGATTAGCACTAGCTAACCAGCTCCTGGCTCCCACTACTCACAATCAGACCGGAGCTAGGGGCAAGAAGGTCCATCGTCATCTAGGCAACGGAGACGTCGTGTTGATGAATCGCCAGCCCACCCTGCATAAGCCTTCCATCATGGGCCACCGAGTCCGTGTTCTACCCGGGGAGAAGACCCTTCGCATGCACTACGCCAACTGCAACACCTACAACGCTGACTTCGATGGTGATGAGATGAACATGCATTTTCCCCAAAACGAGGTGGCTCGCGCTGAAGCCATGCAAATCGCCGACACGGACCACCAGTACCTCTCGGGAACCGCGGGAAAGCCGCTTCGAGGTTTGATTCAGGACCATCTTTCGGTATCTGTAGCTCTGTGTAACAAAGACACCTTCTTCGACAAAGGCGCATACCAACAGCTTGTGTACAACGCGCTCCGGCCTGAACATGGACACATTACTACGGAGAGGCTGGAGTTGGTCCCTCCCGCGATTCTCAAGCCGGTGAGACGCTGGACAGGGAAGCAGGTCATCACAACAATCCTGAAGAACACCAAGCCTGTCGGCTTCGGCGATCTCTGGCTCACTGGAAAATCGTCCATTCCCGCAGATCTTTGGGCATCCAAGTCTGAAGAAGGCCTCGTCCTTTTCCAAGACGGCGAGTTCATTCATGGTATCTTGGACAAGTCGCAGTTGGGCCCCAGTTCCGGCGGTTTTATTCACTCCGTGCACGAGACTTGGGGTCCCGAGTCAGCGGCCAAATTGCTGAGCTGCATGGGCAGGCTTTTGACAAGATATCTCAATATGCGAGCGTTTACCTGTGGCATGGACGATCTGCGCCTCACACCTGAAGGCGAGAAAGCCCGTAAGGAACAGCTCAAATCTGCTACAAGTGTCGGTCTTAAGGTCGCCACGAAATATGTCAGTTTGGACAAGCACGCCGATATAGATGACACCAACCCCACACTTCTGGAACGCCTAGAGGGAGTTATGCGGGACGATCGCGAGCAAGAAGGCCTCGACGTGATGATGAACCAGGCATGTTCTATCGTTACAAGTGACGTGAAGTCGGCTGTCATGCCGAAGGGCCTTGAGAAACAGTTCCCTTGGAACCAAATGCAATCTATGACCACCTCTGGCGCCAAAGGTAGTGCCGTCAACGCAACCCTGATTTCTTGTAACCTTGGGTCGCAGGTTCTCGAAGGTCGAAGAGTGCCCGTCATGGTCAGCGGCAAGACTTTGCCATGTTTTCGACCATTCGAGACTAATGTGAGAGCTGGTGGATACATTGTCAACCGCTTCTTGACGGGCATTAGGCCTCAGGAATATTACTTCCATCACATGGCTGGTCGAGAAGGGCTGATCGATACTGCTGTCAAGACTTCGCGTTCAGGTTACTTGCAGAGGTGTCTCATCAAGGGTATGGAAGGCCTTAAGGTGGCTTACGATACCTCTGTTCGAGATGCCGACGGCACTCTGGTGCAGTTCCTATACGGAGAAGATGGTCTAGACATCACCAAACAAAAGTACCTAGACGACTTCGGCTTCGTGCTCCGCAACCGGGCGTCCGAGGTTGCACAGCTCAACATCGACGAGAGAGGTTGGGACCAAGACATCTTCTCGTCGAGAGAGTACGTGCAGAAATATATGAAGAAGGCCGTTAAGGAGGCCAAGGCGAACGATCCTCGTGCGCGAGACCCCATCACAGCTGGGCTCAACCCTAATCGTAACGCCTTTTCCACATCAGAGACGTTCTATGAAAAGGTCACGGATTACATCAAGAACAACAAGGACAAGCTGCTCAAGGAGAAGGGTGACAAATCCAAGTCGACTGAACTCATTGCGCGCAAGTATGCCGAGATTCTTCTTCACACCAAATACCTCAATTCGCTTGTGGAACCTGGCGAGGCGGTGGGTATCGTCGCTGGGCAGTCTGTCGGAGAGCCTTCGACACAGATGACACTCAACACCTTCCATCTGGCTGGTCACTCAGCCAAGAACGTCACACTCGGTATTCCCCGTCTGCGAGAAATTCTAATGACAGCTAGTGATCACATCTCCACCCCAGCCATGACTTTGATCTTGAATGAGGAGCTTCCCGAGCAAACAGCCGAGAAGTTCGCCAAATCCATCAGCGTGCTTCCTCTGTCCCACGTTACCAATCAAGTGACGGTCAAGGAGCGCGTGGGCAAGGGAGCTGGTTACAAACTAGCCAAGGTATTTGACGTGCGCTTGGAGTTTTTCAAGTCGGCAGACTATTCCGATACCTACGCCATCAAGATCTCGGATGTGTTGAATGTAGTAGAGACCAAGTTCGTGTCCCACCTACAGAAGTTGATTAAAAAAGAGATAAAAGCACGGGCGGACCGCGAAAGTGCTTCTCGCCCTGAGATTGGTGTCAAGGCTGGCAACGTTGAGATGGCCGCACCTGATGCTGAGAGGATCCGCAGCGAGGACGATGATGACGACGAAGAGGATGATGACGACGCCACGAACGCCAAGCAGCGAGCAAACCAAGCCCAGGCAATATCATACAGCGCCAATGATGATGACGATAACGCGATCCAACAACGACTAGAGCGCGAGGCTTCGCCAGAAGACGTTGAGGAGCCCGAGGACGAAGGATTTGGTGGCAGCCAGCCACCCGAAAGCGATAACGAAAATGGCGAGTCCAAAAAGAAGATGTCAGCCCTGAACAGGAGTCGCGAAGAGCGTGTCAAAGAACGAGCCAGCAACATTTCCCGATTCGAGTGCGACGAAACCAATGGCGAATGGTGTGAATTCTCTCTGGAGTACGAGTCAAACATGCCCAAGGTTCTCATGCTGCAAATCGTCCAACAAGCGGTGCGTAAGACGGTAGTGCAGCAGATTGAAGGCGTGGGCAAATGCACGTATGTTGCCGACGAAGACATCAAGGACCTGGTAACAGGTGAGACGAGCAAAACACCTGTCGTCCACACAGCTGGTGTCAACCTTACGGCCATGCAGAGGTACGCCGACTTCATCAACCCCAACCGGATTCAGACCAACGATATTGCTGCGGTGCTGCGGGTGTACGGAGTCGAGGCGGCGCGCAGGGCCATCATCCTCGAACTCAGCAACGTCTTTGGTGGTCATGGCATCAGTGTCGATAACCGCCACCTGAATTTGATTGGCGACCACATGACGAAAAACGGTGGGTTTACGCCCTTCAACCGCAACGGCCTCAAGGGCAACGTCAGTCCCTTCACCAAGATGAGTTTCGAGACCACGGTGGCATTCTTGAAAGATGCTGTGCTTGATGGGGACTGGGACGATCTGACTACGCCGAGCAGTCGGATTGTCATGGGCAAACTGTCCAAGGTTGGGACAGGGGCTTTTGATGTACTTACAAGGGTACATGCGAAGAACGGAAAAAGCCAATTCTAGTGCTAGATTATACCTGATCTGGCGATAGAGGGGCCGCATGTCTGTCTGCCCACCACCTCTCGGGTGAAATGATGCGGCGGCATCTGCCTGTTTTGCATTTCCCTTTTGGCTTGTTGGCGAAAAGGAGTCCTGCGGGTGTATTAAAATGTGACATATACTAGTACCATGTTTCTATCTGAAGGAAATGAAGTTTGCAATGATTCGTTTGAGTCATGTTGTGGTCCCCTAGGAACGCATGCTATCATTCGAATACGGCCGTCTCGTCCGTTGGTCTGTCGGTTTCAAGGTTGGAAGCCTGTATGGCATCGCCAACCTTGAAACAACCATCTTAGTTAAACTGGACCAGGTAGCGTCCGAAGTTGCGCTAACCAGCGAACAATGGCCTGAATTCGTTGACGTCTCCTGCTTGACGTCACACCATTTTTTGGCAATTGATATGTAGGTCATTCTGGCAGGTTTAAAGTTCTCTGGGTTGCTTGTCGCGAGTTTGAAAGACTAATACCTGGCATTGATTGATTTGCATACCTAGTTAAGTACGGACAATGAATCCTGTTTCTTGTTTGCGACCAAGTCAACCCCCACATGCGCGTAATTCAACAAACTGTAGTTTCTTCAGACTAACGCTCCCCCTTGTGAGATTTGCAAATCATCGTATCTGCCCGTATTCCTGGGCACCAGCGGTGTCGCTAGAAGAGATCGTAAATATGGATTGAAGTCTCATGAGCAAGAATAATGAGGCCCAGTCGCACTCTTCTGCCCTATGATTTAATATCAGTTATCTATTTTGCCACCATCAGAGTATCTGGATGAGATTGGCAACGACCGGCGGTACCTGTGCATTTTGCGAAGCGATTGTTGAACTTCTTGAATGTGGAAGGTAAATGCATTCGAGGCTGCCAGCAGTATCACACATTACAACTAGAAGAAGGCAGCAAAGCCGGTCGAGTGAATTATTCCCAAGAGACTTGCAGTGAAATATGAGCTTGGAAGTGCAAGCCTTATCCATCTCATGATCATACACCTGCTACAGATAACTTCGAGCCACGAATCGATTGCATCAACAGATTCAGCTGTGTTACTTCTGAAGAATGTATCGCATAACATGATCATAGTCCATCAGCCCTAGACCTAAGGATTTATATCAGTCGCTGTATTCCAGAATCCCAGCGAAAGGGAAGGGTCACAAGATCGTCCTCAGAATGGCTGCTTGACCTACACTGAACCGGCAACAGCAACTCCAAGTGTGTTCGATTAATTCACGTCGCAAGTGTGATGTTTGTTCATAAATTTCCTTTGTTCAGAATCACGCGGATTATTGTTCCGACGCCTATGACTGATGTACAACCATGTTTCTCACCGGGGAGAAAAAATCAACGCATTTCATAACGCCATGATTACCCTTGCCATTTGTGAAAACCCTATCGTCAAACCATCCCAGTGAGTATCATGAAGTATCCCCCGAAAATCAAAGCGACTGAGAGCAGCTTAGTTGCGCTCCCCACGGAGGCGGCGGGCAAGTTGGATGTCCTTCTATATGGGTTGTTAGTATGTAATTAAATATAGCACAGGAGCAGTGGTGTGAAAACGTACCGACTGGATAGTGACACGCTTGGCGTGGATGGCGCACAGGTTGGTGTCCTCGAATAGGGAGACAAGGTAAGACTCAACCGACTCCTGAAGAGCACCGATGGCGGAAGACTGGAAGCGGAGGTCGGACTTGAAGTCTTGGGCGATCTCACGGACCTGTTGATGCATTGTCAGCTGGTTGTCGATTGAATTTGGGAAATCGCATCAGTCGCAATGCCAACGGTGTCGCGGAAACGCTGGCGTGGCCGCAAAGATAGGAAATGGGCAGATCAGACTTACCAGGCGCTGGAAGGGCAACTTGCGGATCAGGAGTTCAGTCGACTTCTGGTAGCGACGAATCTCACGGAGAGCGACGGTACCGGGCTTGTAGCGGTGAGGCTTCTTGACACCACCGGTCGACGGGGCGGACTTGCGGGCAGCCTTAGAGGCGAGCTGCTTGCGAGGGGCCTTGCCACCAGTAGACTTGCGGGCGGTTTGCTTGGTACGGGCCATTGTGTTTGCCTGATGGATGCGACTTATTTGATGATGAAGTTGGGGATGGAAGTGTTGTGTTGGGTGTGGACAGATTGATGCTTGTTGTTGAGTGGATGGTGGAAAAGAATGGTTGGAGGAGAGGTGGGGGAGGTGCTTAAATATCTGAGAAGTGGGCTGGCCTGCCGGGCTGATTGTGCGTGGTTGCTGATTCTGAAAAATCAGGCGCTAAGGTCCTTCTGCAATTGCTGGCCGAGAAAAAGCATTGCTAGAAAGCTGGGTGACAGGGATGCGTTTGTTGTAACAAAGTGCACGCGTTTTTGAGTGGGAATTTTGCACTTCAGAAACGCTGCCTATTTCTGATTGGGTGCAGCCGCAAGCACAGGTCCAGCGAAACATTCACTCTTTACCGATTTTGGCCCGAACGCAAGATCAAACAGATGGAATCGACTTCTGATTGTACTAGCCGCCTTGGAATAATGGGTGCATCAAAGCAAGGTGCCACTGTGGTTGGCTACCTGTGTGTGATGTATGGGGCATTTTGAACTCGATGGCAACTACAGCGAAATGGAAGTCACTCGAGCACATCTAGCAATTAACCAAGGTGTCTTGATATTGATCTTTGGTCATTATTGGCAACCATCTGTCATTCTTAGGCTAAGTCGTTCTAGCAGCAATCAGGTGAGGCATGAATTCCCTTCGCGAAAGGATTATTATAATGAGAATGGTATTTTGATGTTGCCTCCACATGAATATTCGGCCACGCATCTCGAATCCCCAGGATTTGCCATCGGCCGGCTGTCTAGGTGTCTTCATGACACACGAGGATGGAAATAGCATAGCCTGATGTCCAATTGATGATTGGCTACTGCTACCGTGTCTGGGGAAAATTATAGTGGATAGATATTGTGAAGAAAGTAGATTGGAGCACAAACACATTACTTCGATCAGGACATCAAGGTCACAAGACTCAGATTCGGGGCATCAGGAAATAAAAATGCGGCAGGTTGCAACAAAAGAACTCCGTCCATCATCCCATTCGCCCCCTCCGCCCCTCTCCCCAAAGGAAAAAGGGCTGCATCTCTTGGTTGGGTTCGAGCTAGTCGAATATTCAGTTGCGGATCTAGGCGCATTTTTCTGACTGGTGCAGCCCATTTCAACTTTTTGTGATAGGCTAGGCAAATTTTTGAGGTGTTGATTTTTCCCAATCGGGACGCGTTAGAGGTACGTACCTTTGCGCATGCCCCTCCAACTCCAGGCTGATCTGATTTCAAGCTGCACCCAGACCCCATACCTATTTAAACTGGTCGGCTTCCCCACGTCTTCAACCTTCTATTCTACATATCACGAACCCAACATCCACCAACGTCTTCAGCCGCAAAATTGCATTCTTGCACCACCAACCAAACCACACATATTTCGCAATCTTAAATCTCAAATCAAAATGACTGGACGTGAGTACATCAGCCCTATTCAGTCATCATGTCCTACTCCTATCGTGCGAAGCTTGAACTTCTGTCGTTCGGCTCAGCGCGTTTCTATTTGCCATATTCCCATTTACTGATGCGTCTTCACAGGCGGCAAGGGCGGCAAGGGCCTCGGCAAAGGTGGTGCCAAGCGCCACCGCAAGATCCTTCGCGACAACATTCAAGGTATTACCAAGCCCGCAATCCGACGTCTCGCGCGTCGTGGTGGTGTCAAGCGTATCTCTGCCAGTAAGTTCCCACCCCGCATTCAACTTCAATCCCACTTAAGAACGTGGCTGACGCGTCTTCACTGCAGTGATCTATGAGGAGACCCGTGGTGTCCTGAAGTCTTTCCTTGAGGGTGTCATCCGTGATGCCGTCACCTACACTGAGCACGCCAAACGCAAGACTGTCACATCTCTTGATGTCGTCTACGCGCTGAAGCGACAAGGCCGCACTCTGTACGGTTTTGGTGGTTAAACTTTGGGTCTTTGTGGAGTTTCACGTCTGTTATGAAGTCATTTCTTGCGAGTGCCACTTTGGTTGCAAGTGGCCGGTCATGACCATTGGGATTGGGTCTGCTTTTGGGTGTTTTGATCATGTACCATAAGGGAATGGGGGTCAACTACTACATCGATGGATTGTCCGATGAGGCATAATCAATCCGTCAAGGACATTTAAGAGCAAACCGCTTGTGTCTTTTCTGCTACCGTGACTTGGCAATCCAGATTGCGTCATAACCTGTTTCTCTGTCGTCTCGCGTCACGTCCTGGGCGGGCGATTTCTTGTTTACTATCGTGTCCTACTTGGCCATATGGCCATCCTTGCTATGTTGGTCATCTAGTTTGGGTTTATAATGAATGCTTGGGGTGGCAGTATCTACTTCTGACTCATCTGGGGCCTCTTTGTCACGTAGAGGTGTCAACTGCCTCGTTGATCATTACATTTCTGAGTCACTGTTCACAGTTTCAAAGGCGTGGTCACTGGGGCTTAACAAGCGACCATGCTTCTGTTGCCTTAACTAGTCTATATGAAGTGCCGACCAGGCAACAAATTGCTCTTATTTTCGCATTCTCTATATCAGTTGGTCTTTCTCTGCCATGTATTATTGCTCAAGATGAGCAATATCTGCCCTTATATGTGTTGTATCGCTTGTTCTGGTGGTATTGCCCCTACGGTTAAGGATATAAACCGAGTGAGAACTCCACCTGAGCAATATAAAGTAACTGAAGTGGGTCATATAATCTATTCAAGTTTACCTGCACTTTTGCTGCGCTTTGTTGGCATATTTGTTCTTGTTGTGCTGTTGTGTGGTTATTTCCTAGGCCTGGCTACCTAAGTATTGTTCGCCCACTGTTCGCAGTTACAACTGCAAACCTTTTTGCAACATAAAAAATGTATGCGCTTAAACGTTTTCTACAGTATAATCAACGAGTTGATTTAACCTGATGTATTGCATCATAGGTACCGTTCAGATACCCAACCCAGTGCCGCGGTGTTACTGGTTGTGTTGCGCTTAGGAAAGTTGTTGTCAACGAGCTGGCTCTAGGGTAGCTCCGCTTATGCGAGGGTGGGTTGACATGTGAAACAAATACACAAGGGGAGAAAACCCCACACGCAGTGCAGCTTGGTATGCTCTCTATTGGAGATATGAGTATTTTCATGTCTTGCTACGTTCGGGGTTGTTGGTGATGTAAACATAATTCTCAAAGTTGACTATGGGGCTAATATTCCCTAGCACAGTCCGTGCAAACTGTGAGGCTTTGGGCTTTAGAGTCATGTCATAACACGAGACTTCTGCTACAGATATATCGTCACATTGTGTATATTGGACACTGCATGCGAAACACTTGCATCTTCTGTTCATTCCGCAAAAGGGTTGTGGTCTCTTCCAAGAGGTCATACAAGATCCAATGTGACATTTTTACCCACAGATCCAGGTCGGACAAAACCAACGGAAGCCGAAAGTAATACAAACGAACGATATAGGATGCCCTGTACAATACACCTAGTAGTAGAATGGCAATTGGCTCGTGCTGTCAGAGCTTAAAGGCATTTCCAGACAAACCGGTACCGCAGATGACCTTGGAGGGACCGGGTTTCCAGCTAAAGCAAGGAGTTGATCAATTTCCGGACATCCACCAACACTTGAAGGTGAGCCCTGTTTTAATCATTGGTAATGTAAGAAGGACTTGAAGGTATCAATCCCAAGTATCATGGTTTAGATTATGTTAGTTCTGTCCGAGCTGTCCTATAAGCAGTGCACATATATAGCACTTGACCTATCAATATAGCTGTTATACAATTTGCTTTGTTAATATTGCGTCCATATACCGGAGGATTACAGATGCTGGTAAATACATGTCAGGGTAAAGTATAGTCATGTTAGTCAGTACTTTGAGCGTCCCCCTACGCCGGAAAAATGCTACCGGAACTGGTAACACTCAAAACAGTCGTATGAGCCCCAGGGAGGATGCGAGTTCGTAATCGTACGAAAAATAAAGACTCTGCCAGAAGTGGGGATATAGTTGAGCAGTAGTGCGAAGTTGAAAATACATCACATGGAGATCCTCGACGGATACTCTCCAAGCTGATAACATACCTTACATTGACTGACACACGGCCACAACCCCTCATTATGCGGCTTTCGATATAACTTTTGCAGACTGAGGTGTCTATAACTGACAAATTCGAGCACACTGCAGGCATGACCGCAGAGAGCTCCGATAATTCTCGAGGGTCTCCCCCCAAGAAAGGAGTATATCCCCGAACTGACGCAAGCATCACTGGCTTGAACAAATACATGCCTATGTAACCCGCCAGATGAAACTGTATAATCCAACGAGGGCCCCAATGGCTTTGTATTCCATACGGTCAATTACAGACGGCTGATTTCCATATTAGCCCGGAAAGGCTACCCGGAGTGGGTTCAGGAGTGGGTACGCAGCTTCGTGGAGGATAGGACGGTACGCCTCCGGTTCGATGGCAAGGAGTCAGAGCCAATCCCCCTACGAGCTGGCGTCCCCCAGGGGCCACCGCTATCCCCGATACTGTTTATATTATACATTTCAACGCTGTACGAGGAGCTAGCGGAGCAGCACCCACTACTTTTAGTAGTCGGGTTCGCGGACGACACGAACCTGCTAAGCGTCGGCACCGATCCAGACACGATCTGCCGCCGGTTGGAGAGCGCATGGGCTACGTGTCAGCGGTGGGCAGTGAGGCACGGGATGGAGTTCGCTCCTGACAAGAGTGAGCTAATGCACTTTACTAGGGCCCGAGAGCCCTTGCCGCAAAGTATTCGCCTTGGGGACGCCACAGTGTCGCCGGTAGTCTCAGCGAGGTTCCTAGGAGTCTGGTTCGACCGCAAACTGACGTGGCACGCCCATGTTGAGCGTGTTAAAACAAAAATGGCAACTCAAAAGCTAGCCCTGACAAAGCTAGTCAATATGTCGTGGGGCTGCGATCTTATACGGGCGAGGCTGTTATATACGGTGGTTATCCGTAGCGCGATCGCCTTCGGGGCGACTGCGTGGCATACTATAAGTGAGGAACCGGCAGGGCCAGCTAAGAGCCTGATGGGGATACAGAACGAGTGCCTCCGGGTAGTCTGTGGCGCCCACAAAGCGACGCCGGTTCGCCACCTGGAAGCAGAAGCAGCAATCCCGCCACTAGACCTCTATCTTAGTGCCCGGGCTGCTAAGTTTGAAGAACGGCTACGGCTTAGCGGGAAGAGAAATCTGCTTCGCAGCGCGAGCGCTAAAGCGTCACATATACTCCGGCAGGATAGGCCGGCGAAGAGGAAGCAGGCGTCGCAGCTACTCCGACCGGCAGGGTACACTATGGAGAAGGAGGGCCGGGGCTTCGAGTGGATGAGCGAGGAAAAGGAGGTCCCGGCTGCCCTCCTCGGCCACTGGAGGAAGAGATGGCTCACCGGAGCAGAGCATCACGATCGCCAGCGACGCGCCATCGCTGAGGAACCGGAGGGCCCTTCGATGCAGATACCGAAAGGGGGCAAGTATTTCGGCGTGAACCGACTGGAAGCGTCTACGCTGTGCCAGATCAGGACGGAAAAAATAGGACTAGCAGCCTTCTTATTCAAGACAGGGGCTTTTGGCGTGTACTCGCCGCTATGCCGCTGTGGCGACGCCCCTGAGACGGCAGAGCACATAATCCTCTTTTGCGGGCTGTTAGAAGGACCGAGGGAACGATTACGGGCCGCTATCGCACCACGGCCACTATACTCTCGCAGAGACCTCGCAACGGCAACAGGAGAACCAGTAGTTAGTGGGGCTATTGTAAGGTGGCTGCTAGGGACGGGTCGGACAGCTTCAAGGCCCAGATAGCATCGATCTTCTCAGGGGGGACTTAGCTGGTAGGTTGAGAACCAACGTAGTATGGTAGTGAACGCAACGCAGTCGCCAATAGGGCGAACCGACGACGCAGCGTATGTATTTAGTCCAGCCATTAGGGCACGGTTTGACATACGGGAGTACTAGCAGAGGTACCGGGGGCTTCGAGCCTACGGCGTATTTAATAATAATGTATTCCTCGTGACTCACTCCAAAACCCAAGAAGTATATAGAGTATCTTGCCCAGCGGTTAGCTTTGGGATCAGGGTGCATACGTCAAGTCTATTCGGAGGCCGCCAGATGGCAACATAACATTATACGGGGTTTGGTGGCGACTCGAGCTGTATCCAACCAAGAAGTTCTTCGAACTACATACGAGAGTCTTGAAGCTATGACAATTCCTCATACCGGCGTACAGGCCTCTGTTCGACCACACACTACGAAGTATAGCGCACATATGACATGTACTATGTAACACAGCCCGGAGTACCCTTGATGAGGTCAAAATAGTTCATTACATTACCCCACATGCTATGTTACTCTTACCGATAAACGAAGTGGACCCAGAGTATACCTAGGTAGGTCTGCAATGTACAGTGAGGCTTGAAAGCTCAACAATCAGGTCAAGCAAAGTGGCTGACTACATGGCATGTGGTCGGTTAGACGCCGAGTTGTCGATCCTGCCAGGGCAGCCAATGTGAGCCAGGCTAGACAGACCAGACAGTTGTAAGTTGTCAAAGGGTATCTTTTTTGAATGGATTCTAGGTGGGTCCCTATCTGGGCAGTACTATGCTACTAAATGTCGATCGACAATTTTGACAGCTGGTTCCTGAGAAGGGCTGCAAATTCTGCGTGGCTGTGTGAAGCGACCGTGGGGCTCCAGAACGTTATGCCGTTGCATTGATGATGTCAAAGTGGGAATGCCGACAGATGTGCGTCAGCCACAGCTTTGAAGGGGGTCTCCACAGTGGCATCCCTACCAGTAGTAGTCTACTTCGAGGATCGGGGTGAGCGTGGTGAAAAGGTTGACAGGAATTTGACGCCGGAAGTTCTTTACTAACAACCGCGGCATAACGTCGGAAGCCGCCGATTTGTTCTTGCACAGCATGCATTGTGTTCACTTCGCTTCTTCCTACTGGCCCGACTGCAAGGTGGTCTCAGCTATTTTCTGATTTCTGCGGCCTGGGCTGTTCGGTCAGTGCGAAGCAAATGTGGAAGGTTCTAGAATTTGATGTGGTAAGAGCAAGGTTATACTAATGCGCAGGACAGGACAAGGATGCATACAGCATGCACCTTGAGGAGGACGACGGGTTTCTTGAAAATCCCATATGAAATGCCGTGGACCAGTGGCCTGGCATGGGGGAGGCTGTGCGGTTACCCGCGCGGAATCGTCCTCATTCGCGCCCCCAAGTGCGGAATAGATTAAGTTAGTAGAGTTGCATCTTTTATAGCTGAATAGACATGTAAGAATAGACATGTAATGTTGGGTTTGACTAGGAAGCACCCACGGGCTCCGACATATAATCACGGGGGATTTGACGTTTCATCCGCGTCCCGGCAGTCTTGCATACCTGATGTTGGTATTTTGGCGAATTCAACTATCTGTCCACAGTGCGGCTTCATTGCGACGACAATTCTTGATGGGGTCACCAATGCTTTCTTTCTTGTTCTACAAGTTCCGCTGAGGGACAATTCTACATGCTACTTTTTATGTCTTCTTCAAATGGTTGGGGTATGCTAAGGCATGCCGGACGACGCCGGACCAGTCTAGACCAACCGACTTGGACTGCACGATGGCACGGCACAGCCACAACGTATATGCAGGACAAAATGTGCTCGAAGGTCTAAAGCGACCCAGATCGCCGGGACATACCAATACTTCAAAGTCAGTATGCATGCTTGCATAATCGCTGCTGCCCACAGGGATACTAATAAGTGGCGCATCGTATAGTTGATTTGATTTTGTTATGGGTAGATTCGGGTAGACTGCGCTGCCAAGTAATTACCGCCCGACCGTACATGGAATCCAGTTACGCATTGCCCGTCTATCAGCAGCTTGCACCTCGTGTTGTGCAGTTGCCAAGATGTGAGACAAGCTTCCCCTATCTGGCCGTGATGGACCGACGTTGGATGGTGTACGATGCACAGTTGGTCCATGGATTATTTCGAAGTATGTCCAGTCTTTTGCGTTCGCTTGATAGCCGGTATAAACATATAGTGCATTGCAGATTGCTGTGTAGGAGCGAGCGATTCAACGGGATTCGCCTGAGCACTCGCAGGATATTGTGCATGTGCGTGCGGGATAAAAGTGGAGCTACTGAGCATGCCCTCCTCGCATACTCTGTACTATGTACTCGGCATTGTGCGAGAGCTCGACATTTGGGAGGAGAAAGAATTGTGCATAGCCCAGTTAAAATGAACAATAAAAACTTGGCAAAGCCGAAGTCGACCCGGCTCCGCTTTCCACGTTATGCCGTTGTCGTTGGCGTTGTTGTTGGCGTTGTCGATGAATTAGTTTTAGAAGGGCGGCTAAGTTGGTAACAATAACCCAAGCGGGGCCGGAGTTTGACCCCGGCTAAGGATTGAGGACATACGCGGCTGCTGAGGTCGGTTGCCCTGGCTGCTCAATGCCCAAGCTGCACTTCTCAGTCAGCACTGTAATTCAAAGAGCGAGAGCGAGCAGCAAGCGAGCTGTGGCCGATTTCCTGACATCCAGCCTCAGTTTGGATGCCTGCTTGCTCCAAAAAGCATCACACCTACTTGAACTTCTCAGTTCCATCCATATAAGCCGCAATGTGACCCTGATTCTGCTAGAAGCTGTACAGAGCATTCTTGGCCAACAATGTACTTCGTACTTTAACATAGTGTGCATAAACTCCCGGTGTATTTTGTGGCTCCACTTCGCCGGTAGTGGGCAGCGAGATTCACTAAAAGCCGAACACGCGGTTCCCATGTTTCGGGAGATCCGCCGCGCTAACAAGACTGCGCAACGTGCCGTCAGAATGGGAAACCGGCGTTTGGGCGTACTTCGTTCCGTAAGCACTCAGTCCAAGCCTGTATACAGTCTGTGTGGTTCTTCGTATGACTTCAATATTGTTTGTCACCTCGTTGCACCTGCCCCTAGACGCCCGCATGTCTAGATCCGAGTCGAATTCTTTGGCATGGCTTGTTGAGCCAGATAGTCGCCATGATGACGACCAAATTAAGTTTTTTTTTCGTGTGACTCGCCCGGCCTGCCAGGCTTACGCGACACCTGGGTTTGTGGAATGTAACAAGGTATACGCATTTCAATTTCAGCTGAGATACGCTGGCAAGATGCGGTTGGGACCTCGGTAACCCACACCCTTACCCAAGCCCGTCCTGCAGGTGTAGTTACGGTGATTTGCACAATGTAGACCTGTCAGCAGTTACCAACTAATTGGAAATCCGTCAGGCCTAGATCTATGCCAAGACCAAGGTTCCTTACTACTATCGGGCGTACTTCCCAAGAACGGCCTAAAACGGCCATCTGGCGGAGTCACAAAGAGGGAGGGCGGAGTAAAATAAATCTCCACGACTGCACTGAATGATGAATAATTGTGGTTTGCGAGTGCTACCTGTCTACTTCCTATGCCGTAAATTCGAGATTTCCGTCTCCCGAGCAGCCGAAGCAGGTACCACCAGCATGACTAATGTGGCTTGCCTCCCTTGTGGCAGTGCAACTTTCCAATCGTGAGATTTCCAACGAGCTTCATCGTCTAGCTCGAAAAGTCTCATGATCGGCGTTACTTCACGATGGCAGCAGACCCATCTCGGAAGCCTCGATTTATGCGGGTATAATTAGCTACCGGAGAAAGCCAGAGCAGGGCAATCCCTGAGTAACGGTGCCGGGGGCTCCAAAAAAAAAGAGAAGACGAGAGGTCTTGGCAGGCCGCCCACATCGGCGCACCAACCCGTAGTGTCGCGCGCCCGCGAAGCCCGAATGAAAGCTACGTCACAGACACAGGCTTGTTGTGGCTGTATGCACCATGTCATCCTTTCGCCAGAAGTTGACTGTCCTGTCCAATCCAGTGCCCTTGGGGCTTGCAGCTTTCAATTACAATCTTTATTTTCTGCCAGTCTTCAACAAGATTTGAATTCAATATAATAGTATCTCGATAACGCCTCCTCTCTATCCCGCATCTTCCGTATCAAGATAATCAACACCTGACATGCATACACCAACAACATCAAATACTCCGTCTCAGTAATACATAGGATTCCCCAATTACAAGCCAGACTGGTCATCATCCAAACACTGAGGCCCAACGACAAACCCCAGCGACACAGACACGACAAAGACACGACAAAGAGATACTCGCAAGTGGTCACTGGTTGGGTCGACCTCGTGACGATAAATATTTCCTTGACAACGCTTATAACAGGGACAAACCCCCTTCGGATTACCAAGACGAAAGAAACTCAAGACTATCCACACACTGCGCTAGAAGCCGGTTCCAAGTGTTTCCAAGCACCAAACAAGGATCTCCCTCTAGTTGCGAAAATCCAAGCAGTCGGTGCAGATAACTTTTATTAGTGACGGTGACTCCAACACACTTATAAAGGTCATCCATTCGTCACCCCGCCCTAAACCCCCACTTTCCTTTACCCTTCATCTAACCTTGAACAACCTTGACCTCGATCACAAACAAAAAACATACGTCATCTACACCATGATGCTTGTTCACAACATCTATACTCGACCTACACATCAACAACCCTCGTTCAGGCAGTATCAACATCAACATCATCAGCATCTCGACGTGGACAGCAGCAACCTAGATCCCGTGGACACAGACAGCGTCGCATCCTCGCCACACTCGACACAATCGTCGCTACTCTCGCAGTACTCAAATTTCCAGACGACATCGCTCTCGACCACCTTCGACACCATACCGTCGGCCGTGCCTAGAGGGGACAACTTCAAATTTCCCACGACGCCTCATTCATACGAGGTACAAAACAGCCAAAGTCTAAGCCAAGTGCCAGACCTAACGCCTTCGGAGCAGTGGCTTCTCGGTTCCACTCAGCCGCAGCACCCGCAGCAGACTCCTCGAGCCGCCCACCGATTAGTACACCAACGCGAGCCGTCGTTGTCGTCGCTTAGTTCCAACGGCCCAGCTTCGCCCTACACAGCAAACACATCAAACCCGCATATTGCTGTAACCGACTCGAGTAGCAGCGAAATGTTTCACGACATGAGTGGCGGCGAAAGCAATTACGCATATCAGTCGAGCGGCAAATCCATGAGCATGAACGAAAGCTTTTACGCAACCCTGCAAAATCTCCAGGCTGGCAACGCTGGCTTCCAAGACGAAATGCCCAACATGTCGGCCCATCCGCACCATATCAAGCCGGACCGAAGCCTTCTGCCGGCGCCTGAACTTTCCAATGGCTCAGCTACGAGATCGTATTCACACTCAGTGGCGAGTTCAATCGCTGGCGGTGACTCACCCGCCACGCCATCCTTTCAAGAGCCTGATGAAGAAGGCAGAAGGAGAAAGAATGGTGAGAATCTTTCCATATGCGCCCTCCCACAACTACAAGATATTGGTTTCGATCTTATACTCGGCCTACACCTGAACCTTGATCACAATTACTTACGTTCCTGTGACCGCACAGTTTTTAGTTCGATGCCCAAGCTGGATCGTACCATGACGGACGTCTTCGGCGACGAGTTGTACAGTCCCAACTTTACCATCACATCAGCATCTCCACCTCCGCAGACGCGTCTCGCCATGTCTCCTAGCAATGATGTGTTTGCGCAGCGACTTCAGGCGGCCAACAGCCATCACTTGAACACGGGTCAGTCGCCCGTCTCGGTCTCGTCACGGAACCAGTCGCCTTTCCGTCACGGCTCGCCGCTGGCACCCGTATCCAATGACTTCTCGCAGCAGTCGAACCAGGTTCGCTCGAATTCGGCACAGCAACTGAAGGAGAAGCGAAAGACAGAGCAGGACGCGAACTCATTGCAACAAGTGGCGCGTAAGGCAGAGCAACAGCAGCAGGGAACGCCAAGCACCATTTCTCCCAAGGATGCCATGTTGGATTTCAACGAGCCGGCTGATGACTCCAACTTCCCGCTATTCTCGGCGCAGGAAACCAACAACTTCGATCTGCACCAGCTTAGCAAGTCGATGCCTCAGCAGATGCAGAACTTCCAGTCGACAACACCGTTGCAGAACGCCTTCAATTTCAATATGCCTACAAATATTCAAGTCCCGCAGCAATATCCCTTCGTGGCACGCCCACGACAGCGGCAACAAGCAACGCCGTCGGTGAGCACCTTTTCAAGAGTGGGCTCTGAAGACACAAACGGATCGGCTAGCCCTGGATCGGCTCGAAGGCCAATGCGGACCAACGCCGACAGCGGCACATATACGTGCACGTATCACGGTTGTACGCTACGGTTCGATACACCGTCCATGCTACAGAAACACAAGCGCGAAGGGCATCGTCAAGCGAACGCACTGAGCACTGCACGACCTGCAGTCACCTCCCCAGGTGTGCCACAGACACTGCTCAACACGCAAGCTGGCCCGCACCGGTGCGATAGGATTAATCCTAGCACTGGGAAGTCCTGTGACACTGTATTTTCACGACCGTACGATCTCACACGACACGAGGACACCATCCATAATGCGCGAAAACAGAAGGTGCGATGCGATCTATGCACCGAAGAAAAGACTTTTAGCCGCGCCGACGCCCTGACTAGACATTACCGCGTATGTCATCCCGATGTCGAGTTCCCCGGCAAGCACCGACGGCGAGGCGGGTCTCATGTCTGAGGTAGTGTGGTATGACGACATTTTCTATCATTCGACGTCAAGCGCATGCTGGCCATGTGTCGTGAAGGTGATGATGTGGTGTGGTGTGGTGAAGATGGGTCGACGGCCGGCCCCTCGCCGCGTGGTGTGATCGTCACGCCCAAGCTCTTTGGCGGGGTGTCGATTTTTCAGGGTCTCATGCGTGAAGGGTCTTGCAGGGTTGCTAGTTCAACGCCGGACCTTACCTTATCCGGTGGTCACCGGCGCACTGCACAGATTCTCCTGGTCATAGACCCACCTTTTACCATCTGGAACGTCGTCGTATGGAGCCACCAGCTGTCTCTCATGACGTCAAGCGGCCGATGCCTCGCAGCGAGCCGACACAAGACAAATCACCACCTACATCATAACAAGTCCTACCCCAACTTTTACATCATTTTCATGCTACTATTACCCCGATCGGGTTTCGATGCATTTTCCTCTTTCCCGTCCTGCCCGCTTGAATGCAGTGCGGGCCTTATCCCCGCCCGCGAACGCACAATAATGTTGTGACGGCGTCATTTCTTCATTGGGCAGTTGTATCTGCGGGCTTTTTGTTTCCGCCGGCTCTTCGCTGGTTTCTAGTTTTCAGCGGGCGCGAATGGCAAAACTGTTGGCTTTTATTCACGACATATCCTGTGTCATGCGCTGGGGCTTTATGGGTATAGAACGGGGTCAAAGAGATGGGCATTGGATCATGCATGCTGGATACTGTTACTAATCATGTAATGCCTTCTTTTGGATTCCCTGTACATTCTTGGTCCTCTTTATCGTCTACATGCGACTGCGACTTGATTTCTTACCCCCGGCCCACAACGACCGCGCGGGAATGTACGATGATGAGATGAGGCGTGATGGAAAAAAACACATCGAGTTGCTGATATCGTTTAACGAGCAGCCTCGTTGATGGCTGTGGTGGTTGCACTGTTCCATGGCTCAACATCGACGGACGGTGAACCGAATGGATAAAATTCCATAATTGAAATATATACGTCGAGCGTAGTATCCTTTAGAAATAATAAATTATTGTTGTGGATAATGTGCAAACAAGGTGCTTAAATAAACTGCCATTATTCTTCAATATCGTGATATTTGGAAAAGTCTGCATGTCATTCTCGAGGCCGCCAATGACGCGAGTAATGCTACCACACTTAAACGCCGGTTGTAGAGTGCTTTCGCAGGGTTTCTGATGAATATTCTACGGCTCGGTCGGGGTTTATGAGCTGTACCTGTACATCACTACAAGCAAGCAAGGAAGTAATGCCAGCCAGATTAAGACAACCCGGGCGAATTTCCAAATGCTTGAAAGTATTATGGACCGTTGTATGGATACAACACAGAAACATCCAGGAACTGAATTAGTATACCATAGTAAGTTGTTGAAAATGATAGCATTATACAAGGATTAGGTGATATTACATCCTTTGTAAACATTTCATAAAAACAAAAAACCGGATAGATGGCAGCCGGTAGTTGCCGAGATGGATATGTGAACTTAAACGATGTCTACACGAATCGCCAACGTCGATGATACTTGGACTCGATGGTGGACATGGACATGGTGTACATGCATGCATGTGGGCTCGACTTGGATATCCATCTTGCTTACTCCAGCCGGCGACGCAGCAACAACTGGGAATCGGGCTCACCAGCCACGTCTGACAATCGCCACCTGGCGTGACCAGAACGACGGAAAAACCTTCAAGAACCGAAATATAGAATTTTTCCTATGACGGAGGGCTGATACAACATTGAAAAGCGAGACATACCAGAGTTACAGGTTCTTGTCGCTGAGTGCGTCACGCATATGTGCTTCAAGTAGATGAGAGAGGTTGAGGCCAGGGGTCCTGCCAAGATGGGTTGCATCTCGGGCCAAGAACTAGAATCTAGTCGCGGTGGCAAATACGGCAGCCCAGAACGACAAAACTGACAATACCCTGCCGAACCCAGAAATCCCTATCAGGGCCCAACACACTGCAATCACCAGCGCAACCACCAGTCCATTTACCAGTACCCTTCTCTAGTTTCGTGTGTGTAGGGAGGAATTTTGAATCCGTGCGGCCTTCCCGCTACGTATATGAGGGATACGTGGGGCGCACAAGGCACTACTAGGCCAGAGAGCTAAGCCGTATAAACAGTATACGCGCGACCTATACACTCCACCTATCCGTTATACAGGTAACCAGCAAGCCCGTGTATTGACGAAGGGCAGTAATAGCTAGACTGATAATTGGGCTGGTGATTTTCATAAGTTGGGCCCGATTTTTTATTTTTGCAGGGAAGGAGGGTGGAGCTTGGGTCGATTATTGGGAAAATGACAGTTCGTCGTTCTGAGCTGCGCCAGGCAAAGTTCGGGTAAATACTATGTAGACGACGGGTACCCTGGAGTGCACCATCCAAACTTGGACCTAGCCAGAACTAGCCTGCTATGGCGAGAAAACCAGGCGTGAGAGTATAGACTATGCTGATCACTTGTAAAAACTGCCACCGGGATAAGTACACATTTGCACGCCGCAGCTCACACGAGCCTCTTGCCAGATACGGCTAGGATATGTCTATTCTATTCATAGAACATGATAAAGTTGACTCGCCAGGGGGCCAATAATAGTGCAGTTGAGCACAGCAACTAAGTAGGATGACACACTTCATACCCATCACAGCTCCATCCAAGAATTGGGAAGTTTATCTTCGCTCGGGGCTATTCGCCCATTACGGCAGCTCGAACATCCGAGAACAAAGGTGTGATGCCGGTCCAAAGCAGAAACTACACATGGCACATTGAGTTAGCAGTCATTTAACAAAGAAAAGGTGGCAAAATGTTAAGTAGGCGATGAAGGGCAAGGTTCACTAATGCTGGCACCACTCGGCAACATTGAGACTTACCTGATAGAAGCCTTGAGAACAGAGTACTTCGAGTCCGGGCATGGTGGCCCAGCCCGAATCCTCAGCAAGGCCCATGAGCGGGGTGTGTAGCGGCTTGTAAGCCATCTCCAGGAGCACGCGACGCTGCCCAGCAGACTTGGGTTGCCGCAAGATCTTTCCGAGCAGCTCTCTCATGGCTGGCTCAATGGGCCTATCGCCCGGAATGGTACTAATGATAACGGTCGGCAGAATTTTGACGTCGCTGGCCTCCTCGGGCCTTTCAATGTCGTAGTCGCTTGGGAATGAGGAACACAGCTCGTCGACGATCTTGGTGTTGCGTGCCACGATGTAGATGGGGCTAAAGCCTAGCGAGTGAAGCGCGTAAATAGCGGCCCGGGTCGTTCCCCCCGACCCCACAACCATGGCGCTACTCGGCTTCGACTTGGTCGGTGATACTATACCCGCCGAACGAAGCGTGTACACCATGCCCTGCCAATCCGTGTTGGTGCCGACCAGCCGAGTTATACCGTCTGGCGACAGCGTTGGGATGATGGTGTTGATGGCGCCAATAACCTTGGCCGAGTCGGTGACCTCGTCCACCAAGGCCATCATATCGAGTTTCAGGGGCATCGTTACTGAAGCGCCACCAAACTCTGACGATCTGATCAAATCCTTCACGGATGCGGCGTCGTCAGTCTCGTGCAACGAGTACTTGTGTGGCAGTCCCGTTTGCTTAAAAAGGGCGTTGTGGAGGGCCGGCGATCGTGACGCCGAGATGGGTTTGCCGAATAGATAAAACTGCTTCGTCTCAAGTCCGCCCACCAAGGCCAAGCCTGCACGAATTTCGGCAGCTGACAGCTGGCCGGGGGCTGCCTTAAAAGGTAGAGCAGGATGGGAGACGGGCGTGAGGAACCCGTTCAGCACTCGAGACAGCTTCCCCAATGGGCCCATGTTCAGCGCGATGATGGGCTTGTCGTGAGCAGTATGCATTCTGTCCTGGAAAGCTTTACAGGCAAAGTTGTCATCCATCGTCTTAGCTAACCCTATTAATTTGATAACGTCGCCGTACTGTAATGCTCTGTTGTACCACGCTTGAAACCCGCCGTTCTTCCAAGACAAAGCACCCGTTGGATCGTGGTGGGACGCAATGATTCGTGTTGACCCCTTGGAATGCATAATCTCGTCCAGCATCTCCGACGGCAGAGTCATCTCCAAGTCTATATATTCGACACCCATGCGCAGGGCCGCCCGATAGATGGAGATGAGTTGCTCCTCTGACGTGTACGCGAAGCGACCTCCTTGCCCCTGTGAGCGCAGTGTAAACACGATAGGAACTTTGGCCGTGGACCGCAGGAGCGAGATTTGCTTGACAATGAATTCAGGAGATAGATCTTCAAGTAGATCCACGCGCAACTCGACAGCGTCCGAGCCTACCACAACCCTGGGAATCACGTCGACTGCCGATGAGAGGTTGGGGACCGTGAGCGACACGAAAAACGACTGGCTTTTCTTTCTGACGTCCTCAAAGTGCGTACTCTGACCGCAGACAAGCGAAACAAAGTTTTTGAAATCAGCGGGAGCCTCGCTGATGCCGTCGAGGTACGGACTGTGGTATTCGTAATTACTGCACTTCTGGAAGAAGGGTTTACGTCGCTCGTACACTTCGCGGATCTGCTCCGAGTAAGCCGGTCGAGTCTTGTCTCGCATGAGGTATTCGACCATCTGCTCAACATCGCGGTTCACGAGGAGGACCACTCCTCCCTTCTTGTGGTGGTTGACGAGCAGCTCACAAGCTTCGGGGGTCTCGACTATACCGCCGCCGCAAGAGAAGACGTGCCCATAGGCCTGGTTCTTCATGACCTCTCGCAAAAGGTCAACCTCATCCTTGCGGAACCCTTCCCAGCCGCGACCGCTTTCCTTTATTATTTGGGGAATGGTTATGCCGGCCCGGCGCTCCAGTTCAGAGTCAAGGTCCGTGAAGGGTCGTTCCAGTATGTTGGCCATCCAGCCGCCAGTCGTAGTCTTTCCGGCCCCGCGCATCCCGATGATGAAGACAGACGGGCCGGTATCGGCCTTCTTTGCGTCCTTCGGCTCAGCTTCAGCATCGACGCCGACGAGACCAACCTTGAAGGACTGAGCCAAGACATCCCACCAGCCAGGCCAGGTCTTGCCCGTGCATTCGCGCTCGAGAACAACGACAGCCCGGGGCGACAGCACCGAGAGAACACTGAAGCTCATGGCCACTCGGTGATCGTCATAGCAGTAGATGCCGTCCTTTGGCTCGGTGAGTTCGGTGTACTGCTTTCCACTGATTTCGATACCGTCCTCGAGCTCTCCGCTCTCGACTCCGAATTTGGCCAGTTGTATCCTCATGGCAGCAATGCGATTGCACTCCTTGACGCGCTGGTTGGCAATGCCAGTGATTTTTGTGACCCCAGAAGCTACGGCAGCCAGGACTGACGCCGTTAAGAAGGCATCTGTCATTGGCTCCATATCGACGTGCGGGATTCCCCTTAGTGCCCCTGGCGGTGGCCCCGTCACTGTCGTCGAATAGTCAGTCTGCTCTACCTTGCACCCCATGGGTCGCAAGACATCGATTGCAAAGCGCGCATCGCCTTGCAACGATGTGGAGCCAATGTTGGGGATCGTGCAGCTGGTACCCGTGATGGCGGCCACTGCCAAAGGATATGTAGCCGAGCTCGCGTCGCTCTCCACAACATACTCGTCGGGGTTTTGGTATGTACCCTGCGGGATGTGGTAGGTGTTTGGTTCTGTCTCAGACTTGGTGACGATAATGCCAAAGGTCTTCATCATGGCTGTGGTCATATCGATGTACGGCTGTGAGATGGGCTTACCGCCAACAAGACGGAGAGTTACTGGCTTCTTTGCGTAGGGGGCGCACATGAGAATCGACGACACATACTGCGAAGAGACGGTGGCGGCCAATTCGATCACACCACCATCCAGCCCACCAGCAGCGTCAACCCGCACAGGCAAGCTTTTATCCTGACCGAGGTAATCGATATTGACACCGTTGGTCCGCAAAGAATCAACGAGGGGTCCAATGGGTCTGACTTTCATTCTTGCATTACCAGTCAAAACGGTAGAAGACGTCTTGGATGGTGAGCACAGGGCGACAACCGTCGTCAGGAAACGCGATGCGGTGCCTGCGTTTCCCAAGTATAAAGACTCCTCGCTAGCCCGAAGCTTTCCTCCCTTGCCCGTGACAACAAGGACCTCGCCGGCGTCCTCCCAAGTGTAAGTGGCGCCATCGAGCTGCGCAATCGCGTTGAGCATGTATTCCGTGTCGTCGGAGTGAAGCAAGTTCTTGACACGGCAAGTGCCTTTGCCGAGTGCCGCCAGAACGAGAGCACGATTCGATATGCTCTTGGACCCCGGGGGAGCTACGCTGACTTGCAGGCCTTCAGGCACACCAGGGTCGATGCGGGTGGCTGGAGATAGCACGACTCTGATGGCACTGTCCTCCACCACGCTAGCTTTGGGCTCGAACGTCTTCCCAATGGCCGATAATAAGACGATCTTCTTCTTCTTGCCATCGTTCTTCTTGTCAACGGCCATCTTTTGAAGTAGGACATCCACTGGGCAACGCTTTCCTGCTGTCAACTTGACGATGCGCTTGTCGCGGACGGTGGTGGGTAAATCATAGCTGGCGATACATTTGACCAGGCGGGCGACAGCGCCAGGGCGGAGTGCGCCGAGGTACCGGGCGAGTTCAGCCTCTTTGACCATACCAATGGCGACAGCCTCGCCATGCAGGAGCTGAGGGGTGAGGATGGCCTCAAAGGCATGACCGATGGAGTGGCCAAAGTTGAGAAGATTGCGCAGACCGCCCTCGGTCTCGTCTTGGGAAACCACTTCAGCCTTCACGCCGGCCGAGCCAAGGACAATTCGCTTGAGAATAGCGCGGATGGGGAGTAATCTCTCGGAAGGATCCGACGTTTTGGACCGGATGGTGTCTAGGATGAGCTTCGCGTTCTCTTCCAAGAAGGAAAACTCGGACTCGTTCCAGATGGCAGCCGTCTTGAGGACTTCGGCCATGCCGTTGATAAACTCGCGGACGGGCAACGTCTCGAGGAAGGCTAGGTCAATGTAGATGCGGCGCGGTTGCCAGAAGGCGCCGATCAAATTCTTGCCCATCGGAGTGTCAATGGCTGTCTTGCCGCCGATGGACGAGTCCACCATGGCCAACAGTGTCGTTGGGACTTGGACGAAGCGGACGCCGCGCATGAAAGTGGCGGCGACGTAGCCGATCATGTCGCCAATAACGCCGCCGCCCAGGGCAATGATGATGGTATCCCTTGTGCAACCTTGCTCCAGCAGCCAGTCATCGATCTCGGCCTTGGTCTCGCGGCTCTTGGACGTTTCGCCGGGCGGGATTGTCTTGGTCAATAGCCGGCTTTGCGAGCCTGCTTCTCGGAACGCTAACAAGTACGCAACGAGTCAGTAACTTTCTCTTATTACTGGGTCCACCGTAGTGTTGCCGGCTTCGCAACGCGCTTGTTCCAATTTATTGCTCTTTCAGGCGGGCGGAAGGGGGGGTCCTCACCTGTCTCGAAGACGGGCACGTATGTTGCGTCGAGGTTGGTATCAGTTATCAGAACATAGGTGGAGGATTTGAGGTCAGGGCTCTCGAGGAGATCGCGGGCGACGAAACTGCGCCATATGCCATGGTCGACAATGATGGACTCGCTGCCCAAAATAGAGATGCGCGTTGGGCCATTGGTGACGTGGTGGGCCATGGTCGGAAAGCACTATTCCATCAAACTCGACGTGGAATTATCCGTTGGTTCCACCGTAGGAAGTAGACAAGCTGCGGGAGGAACTCAGGTCAGCAGAAGCACTCCATACTCTTACGAGAATCAATAGTATGAGTCAAACAGGCCGGCGTGATCCTTCGAGGACTGGGTCGGTGGATGAACTCGAATGAAATATCTTACTCGTCGCAACGTGCTACGTATTCTCTTGATCGTTGCTGACGGGGAATGCGCTGTAAGCTTTGAGGTCGCCCTCGTTAATGTTCCTTTTGGTGTGACTCGACGACGCCGATGCGGATATGGCAAGTGCAGCTCAAGTCTTACAACTTTTTTTCTTCAATATCAGAACTTGTAGTAGAATTGACCAATTAAACGGTAGTGAATAGCTCCGCGTCGGACGCGGGGTCATGAAACTCGCGAGCTAAGTTGCACGGTGGCCCAGGCTCTCGGGGTTGCCCCTCCAGCCTGCAGCTGTCCCTGGCTTCCGGCCTGGGCTTGATGCCGAGGATCGGACTCATGGTTTTTAAATATAGGAACATCCTGAGCACAAAGTGTCGAATATCACGTGTGTCCAATCGAGTAGTCAGCAGTGCGTAAGATTGTATATAAATGAGGTGTGTTCTTGTCTGTCTGTCTTCTTGTCAGGGTACGGCCTGGACCGAAGTCGATAGTACAGAGTGAAGGGGAGAAATAGGCGTGTCCCCCTGGTGGTCACCTGGTGTTCACTGGTGGTCACTTGGTGATGGCAGGTAGGGGTATCCACAGTCGTTTATTGATCTCTCCCCTCTCTATCTTCCTCCGTCTCGACTCCTTACTTATAGCCAGCCGAGGTTCTCTGTTGGATTCTGGATGTTTGCTTCCGCATGTCTGTGTTCCTTCGACTTCGGCCAACATCTTGGATAGCGGCTCTTTATCTGCAACCAAGCGATTCCCTATCCGCTGCAAACGGCTTCAACAGCTCTCATTCGCCACAAGCGGCTCTCTAGCCGCCACAAACGGCCTCCCGGCTCCTCATTCGCCACAAACGACTTCCTTCCTGGTGGAAGCCGGCCCGCCTCGGATGACACTTGTGGCTCTGACACTTCTGTTCTCGCGAACTCCCGTTGCTCTGCCTTTTATAGATGCTTTAGAACATGTCGGTAACTTTGGTGTTACTTTTGAGAAGAGGGGTTCCTTTCGCCTTCTGAACTTCAAGTGACAATAGTCTTCTCTAGTGCCATATTATTTCTGAACCTAGGAACCAGGTGTCCTATCTGACAATTACCCCCTTCCTTCTAGGATTTGTGACGACTGACACATGGACGATAAGCAGGGACATCCTGACATGGCCTGCCCTGGTCTGGACGAGCGCGTTCCCCTTATAATAGGAGAACGGCCAGACATACTTGTAACCCTTTCCTTCTCTTTCTTCCCTAGTTTAGTATTCAACAATAGAGATGCACTGATATGCAACCTTGATTCGTACCTATGTGCCTCTGCCTCGTTACAGGATTACTCCTTCCCTTACTAAGTAAACTAGTAGATACTAAATAAAGTGACCCACGCTCTTGAAATCGAATTTTTTCTTGCAGCTATATACACTTCTTTGAAATACGATCTTGAATTTCATCAGGAGTACTCGATAAAAATGACGGTTGTATCCAGAGCTTCGGGCGAGTGGCTAGGCTTACGTCATCGCTGACTCACCTGAATGGCCTTTTTAACCCCCAATATTCAACCACGATTTATAACTTAGGTTTACCAATATTTACAGGCAGGGGACAAACAAGATATGTCACTGAAGTGTATCAAGCCTCAGTGGGATCCAAAACATGGGGATACGCGCACAGGTCAATATCACCTTCAGCAGCCCGGGTAGTATGGCCTTCACAGTAACATTGTTCAGGTTATGTTGAACTGGTCCCGTCAAATTGAAATTCTATAACTGAAAATAAAATCCTGTTCGGCCTCAGTCGCTGGTGGTCCAGAATATGAATCGGTATCCCCAGTAAAACCTCTGTAGCGCCTAATTTCTCTCTCTTCCCAAGATATAGAAGTAAATACCTCGAGATAGTGGTAAGGTAGAGAGCACTTTGTGTCAGATAGGGCACCTGGTTCCTAGGTTCAGAAATAATATGGCACTAGAGAAGACTATTGTCACTTGAAGTTCAGAAGGCGAAAGGAACCCCTCTTCTCAAAAGTAACACCAAAGTTACCGACATGTTCTAAAGCATCTATAAAAGGCAGAGCAACGGGAGTTCGCGAGAACAGAAGTGTCAGAGCCACAAGTGTCATCCGAGGCGGGCCGGCTTCCACCAGGAAGGAAGTCGTTTGTGGCGAATGAGGAGCCGGGAGGCCGTTTGTGGCGGCTAGAGAGCCGCTTGTGGCGAATGAGAGCTGTTGAAGCCGTTTGCAGCGGATAGGGAATCGCTTGGTTGCAGATAAAGAGCCGCTATCCAAGATGTTGGCCGAAGTCGAAGGAACACAGACATGCGGAAGCAAACATCCAGAATCCAACAGAGAACCTCGGCTGGCTATAAGTAAGGAGTCGAGACGGAGGAAGATAGAGAGGGGAGAGATCAATAAACGACTGTGGATACCCCTACCTGCCATCACCAAGTGACCACCAGTGAACACCAGGTGACCACCAGGGGGACACGCCTATTTCTCCCCTTCACTCTGTACTATCGCCTTCGGTCCAGGCCGTACCCTGACAAGAAGACAGACAGACAAGAACACACCTCATTTATATACAATCTTACGCACTGCTGACTACTCGATTGGACACACGTGATATTCGACATCGACTGGCTAGGATGCTCGTAATCCTAAACTGCACCAATCTCCCTATTATCGCTAGGTAGGCGAAGTCAACAAGGTGGGCAGCGCGCCGTAAGGGTTGACTAAACCCCCTTGTGTGTCAGCTGCGGGATTCGAACCCGCGACTCGTCACCGACCCAAGTGGGCGAGGCTCAAATCGGGACTTATCTACCAGCGAAGTGACCAACTACACCAGCCGACCTCTCGATATATGTCGGTACCTGAATCGCAGTCTGTCTTTGTAGTCTCCTCCGAGGAAGTAGGCTCTGTCCATTGGGTCCCATCGGAGAAAGCCGTCGCGATTCAAATCTTCAAGTATACCGCGCTGTGAGACAAGATGGCCAGGCATAGTACAGAAGACACATTTCCTGGTTGTCGTGCCCCATCGATTCGGATACGGACGGTGTTGTCTGGTCTCGTAATCGTACAGTTGTCCTTGACGAGAGATGTCTTGACGAGAGATGTCTTGACGAGGGATATCTTGACGAGGGCTGTCTTGAGTCCTGACCGTATTTCCTTGGGCCTGGTGTACGACCTGCTGTACGAGTGGCTGACAGCCCCATAGCTGCTGTGGCCGGTACGCAGTCCTTATGTCTTCCATCTGGTGTCTCCGATCAGACGGACCTACTTGGTATAACCGTATCTCCAAGGCTCTGAGCCTCTCCGTGAGAGCAGTCACATCTGGCTGGCTTTCCTCTTGTCCTTTCTTGCCCTAATCAGACGGAAAATATCTCTTGGCTCGCTTGTTGTGGTTTTCCAGATCGACCTTAGTCTTCGCCCATCCTCGGACTAACTTCTGGGCTTGAGAGTACTCCATCTTGAAGATCTCTTCGTACGTCATATCAGCTTTGCTTATGATGTCTTCAAGGCTGTGGCCGTGGATCCTCTCGAATAGACCTCGAGTGCAGTCAAGGTCGCTTGGGACTCGAGTAGTACCCTTCGTCTCACTAACGAGGATCTCATGATCAAGACAGTACGTATAGATCTTCGACGGATTCGATAGTGGAGGCTGGTTCTCGAGGTCTTTGAGGCGCTGGTATGCACTTCGTAGTTGTCTAGGGTCTCCGATTACGAAGGTACTTTTCAGAGCCGTTACCGCGGCACTCCAGCTGTCAAGTTGATCGATAGCGTACTCCACTCTTTTCTGATGCGTCCTGTCCTTAGTCCAGTACTGGATTTCGGCAATCTTTTGAGCATCACTGAGTCGAGCTCTCTCAAAGATCCGATCGACCTGCTCAATCCAGTCGGGTACGTTATCGCCGTCAAAGCGGAGGTTTGGGTATTGCGCTACATCGGGGATCATATATTGTATAGCAAAAGCTTGAGCCATTTTGATCGGATTCTCGGCGGTCTTGACGAGAGTAGTCTGATCAGTCCTAGGCGAATAATAGATTCCGTGCTTCTCGCCGTACGGTCTCTCTCTCGGCTCTGGAAAACTGTTCCTTCGTAGGAACTATTCTCCTATGGGTCCTGTCGTACTAGTCGTATCTCTGTATCTGAGTCTCATATCGTCTATCGCATCTCTGTATCCGAGTCTCTCTGTCTTCTGTAATGCTCTCGGTCCTGTGCCGTTGTTCTTCTTGTCGATACTCTTGATGCTCTTGATCTTCTTGTCGATGCCCTTGATACTCTTGTCCTTCTTGTCGATGCCGATTGTCGTATGTCTGTCTCTCCTTGATGCTGTGCTCTGTGCTCTCTTATCTCTCTGTATCTTATCTTCTGAATAAGAGTTCAAGAGCTGTGTGCCGAGCTGTGTGCCAAGTCCCTATCCATATCCTGTTGATAAGGCCGTCGTGGCTTCGGCAGTCTCGGAAGCCTGTACTTCCTCTTCGAATTCCCACATTCGCTGTCCTTATCGTCGATTCGTAGCCAGAAACTTTGGAGCCCCGCCCTTCCGAGTTTGTCGGTCTTAACTCTATGTCCGAGGCTTCCGTGTCTTCCGTGTCCTTAGCAGAAGCATTTGGGGGTCTCCATCATTCCCTCTTCGCGACTGATCGGTTGTCTTCAATAATTGCGATCCGACGAGAGATCCTGAAGAGTATAGTCCGCTGAGCGAGAGATTCAGTGCCGTGAAGCCTCCCTCTGATCACCATTGAAACGGGGTCAGGCGGTCAATAGGATATACCTACCACCTAACACACTGAACAGACGGCTCCAGTACCAACAGATCCCATCTGGTGGTCTTATCAGACGAAGATCGTGGTACTGGTTATAAGAGTGAAGCTCTTATACGTCTGGTGCGCGAGTTGGTCGGATGTGCCTCTGAGACTCGTATCGTGATAATAGGATCTCGAACGTAAAGATAAGCTGAATAACTAAAATAACTAAATAACTGACTGAAAAGCGAAGGTGAAGATATAGATAAGAAGGAGATGATGATATGAAGATGAGGATGATGATGCGTGAAGATGGAGGACTCGTGTCCTACTCTGCCTCTGTGCCTCTTAAAGAAGAGAAAATAAACTTTCTCCTAGCCCCGTAACCTATTTCCCTGATGTCCGGCCTTACCCCGTTACACTATAGCCCTATATTCCTTAATCTTATAGTTATTTCCCCCTCCGAAGCTACTAGTCCCTAGTAGTATAACCTATAGAAAATCTTTAGTAGTTCGGCCCGGCTAATTTTCTCTAATAGTAATACGCCCGTCCTACCGCTAATTTTGTCCTAGTATCTATCCTTATACTAATCGTTAGTATAACACTCCTAGATACTAGTAGCCCATTGTGCATCATATCCGATACAAGCCTGGGTTTAGACACTTAATGGATATAGGTCCTAGTCTCGGGCTATTGCTGGGAGGCTTTATTAATTCCAACAGAGACTGGCGGTGGACTTGTTACGTGAGCATTCCTCATCCTCGTCTTTTCCGGCTCCGAATGTTGACAGTAGGATACAGTTCCTACCCATATGGTCTATCATATGTTTTGTCCTAATTATCGTGCTGGCCCCCGAGACGTATCTTGGGTGTTTGCACCGCAACTAGACATTTCAGGCAGACAGGCTGACTTGCTCAAAAGACCCAATCAGGCTGTGAGCAAAGGCCCAAGCACTGGGGAAGGAGACAGGCGAACAACGATGGTAGGTAACATTGGAGAAAATGCACAAATCAGTTGCCAAGATGGCCAGCTACTCGCTGCTCTGGCCATTCCAGCTATTGATATTTGAGCCAATGTACCTGTTGCTGAGCAAATTCTCTGCCATTCTCCTCGGTAAACTGTGTATGCTCTTTGGGGCCTTTGGGCTTATCTTTGGGTACAAGTATGGCTCCACCTCTGGCAGACGGGATTGGCATTCATAGAAGTATTCTGTGGCATGATTTTTGCACCAGTAACGGATCCTATCTGGCATTGTGCCTACAACAGGGTGCTGGAACTGGATGGAGGCGTCTCCAAGCTGGAATTCCGCTTGGTGCCTGCTATCTTCGGCGCTTTACTTATCCCTGCCGCAATCTTCTGGTTCGTCTGGAGTGCTTACCCTTGGGTGCACGGGATTGTGTCTGTTCTCGGGTCTGCCGTTTTTGGCATGGGGTAAGTTGGGCCTTGAGGCAATCTTGTGTCCTGATGTTGGTATTGATGCCTGATACAGAACTCTGTTGGTTTGTACATCCATATTCATCTTTGGTAAGTTGTCCCATGACCGCGCCTGGAATGAAAATGCTCACATGTTTTAGTTGGTAAGCTGGCCAACGGACTGATCCCAGACAACGTTTATAAGAATGTCTTTTTAGTGGACGCCTACCTGATATATGCGGCATCGGCAACAAATTCTTTTGCACAACCTGCATTTGCAGGTAAGCAAGTTCTCAGTTTCTGCTCCCCCCTCCAGGTTGCATCTCGTGCGGAAGGATATTCCCCGCTGACTCGACACTGCCCCACAATCAGCCGCATTCCCTCTTTCGGTCTTCGGATGTATCACACATTATTAATGGGGGAACTACTTGCTGGCGTCCCTCACGGTGGCTATGACGCCGTTTCTGTAAGATTTCTTCCGATACGGGAAGCAATTGAGAAAGAGGAGCAGATTTGCGGTCGGGACGTGATGTGCGTGCGCTTCTTTGCCCTGCAGTGGCATTGCCCAAATTACGAAATACGCACACGCAATCAAAGCTGAGGCCTGCCCACAATACACTCATTGCGGCTCTGGTGTTACCTATGCGGAGGAAGGAGTAATAAGCTCCGTAGAAGAACCCTTTACACATCGACTGACGAGGTCGGTGAATCCAGCAGAGATTTGTCAAAAGAAACAACGTAACGAATTACCCGGAGAGGGTTTGGAGTTTTAAACTACTCTTTGGTGGAAAATGGGATGAACAATCTGCTAGGTGATGGACAGCTGTCAAAGTTTGAGTTGCTGCTGAAACGTAAACACTGAGGCTGGAGGGGCTTTGTTGCTCGCATGCGAGTGGTGAAGTTGGGTCCAACGTCAAAAATAAAACCCACTGTGGCTTCAAATATACGAGTATGATGCAGCAACGTTCAGCCTGTAGGGATCTGTGAAAAATTTGAAGATTGGTATTGTCATGATGAAAGTCATTGGCACATTGCACCACCCCCATCCTCGCTTCCTCTCCGCGTGCCTCGTCACTAATTTAACTTGCGACTCCCGAGCTATGACTCTAGGGCTAGCAGTTGAGGCACCCCACCCCAACATTGTCGTCAGGTGCAATCCGTAGCAAGCCACATGGATTTGTGAACGCCACAAATTGCTGTCTCTTCCCCTTCTCAGTTGGTTGAGATTTTGTCGGTGATGACAAGAGCTTTCGAGCTAGCGAAGGCTGTGAGGCTGGCTCCAAAATCCTGCTAAAATTAGGAACCTGCCGTCTCCATTTATGCTTAAGGGTACCCAGTCTTACCAGGCTTGCCAGCCGACCTCGTCCTTGGCATTAGAAGCCTTGTCTCGCTCCTTTCAACAGCCAACAAATGTTCTTCCTTCACAAACTGCTGCAATATTTTTTGATCTAATCAGGCCGCCTACACCTTCGCTCGTCCTTGTTTGCTCCGTTGGATTGTATCTACAACGACATCCTCTCTCTTTTGTTTTCTTGGGGCAAATTACCATATATAACTGAAATCGGTCGGCACACTGCTTTTGCGTAACCACCCCAGACACGGCTCTATCACCCCAGCCCAGCGATCAAAACATCCGACTGGCTGCGCCTGGAGATTGTCTCGTCAATAGACGGGTTGGCTGCCACAATCCTCCCTTGATATACACCCCAAAGCCGCTCTCTGCAGCAGCGCCAGAAGAGTCTAGCCAGACCAGCTTAATATGGCAGCCAACGACTACTACAACGACGCATCTTCGTCACGGCCCTACTATGGTGCTTACGACCCAACATCGTCACATCAAGCAGCCGCCCCCTCCTATCCCCCATCGTACGCGTCGGAGCCGCCTCAACGGCCGGACCGGCTAGGCGCAACGACGCCCGCTACTGCAGCTCCGATCGTGTCCCCCTTCGATACCGACTTTGATGACCACGTTTACCCAATGCACTCGCAGCAGCATAGTCAACAAAGCTTTGCCCAGGACACGAGGTACCATAGTCCCGCCCCCGGCAACGTGTCGCCCGTAGGAGACGACATCCCGCTGCGGCACCAAGACAGCAACGGCAACAAGATAGGCACGGCAGGAATACCCCTCGACTCAGCAGATCATGTATACGACGCCCCGGAGCATGGTCCCCAGCAGGGTCGCTCGCGGGGACGGCGCAGGCTACAGTATGGCGAACTAGGAATGCTCGGTGCAGGCAAGAGGAGGATACCGCTGATCGTCTATTTCTTCTCCGTCGTCCAGCTGGCCGTTTTTGTCGGTGAGCTGGTCAAGGCGGCGCAGTTGACGGGGTCGCCAATCCAGACCTCACCTACCTTCAACCCCATGATCGGTCCGTCTTCGCAGGTCCTCATCAACATGGGCTCGAGATATGTTCTCTGCATGCACGACATCCAGGGCATCTCTAACCTGACCACCCAGCTCTCCTTCGCCTGCGCCAACACGACTTCGTCCGACGGGACGGATGCCTCGAATCAATGCACTCTAGCTGAGTTGTGCGGGTTTGGCGCCACCACCAACTCCAGTCGCCCAAACGCCGCACCGAATCAGTGGTGGCGCTTCATTGTGCCCATTTTCATGCATGCTGGAATCATCCACATCGGCTTCAACCTGCTCCTGCAGCTTACGCTGGGTAAGGAAATCGAAAGGGCCATTGGGTCCATCCGCTTTTTCCTTGTGTACATGAGCGCTGGTATCTTTGGGTTTGTCATGGGTGGCAACTATGCAGCTGAAGGCATCTCATCGACGGGGGCATCCGGTGGCCTGTTCGGCATCATCGCCTTGACGCTGCTCGATCTACTGTACTCGTGGAAAGAGAGGCGCAGCCCGGTGAGGGAGCTCATGTTCATCTTGATTGAAGTGGTAATATCGTTCGTGCTGGGACTACTTCCCGGCCTGGACAATTTCTCCCACATCGGCGGTTTCCTCATGGGGTTGTGCTTGGGTATCTGCGTGCTTCACTCACCAAATGCGCTGCGGGAAAAGATCGGCGAGGATCACTTTGCCGCTTCTTATTCCAGTGTCAACAACGGAGGCATCACCAGTGTTGCATTCCCACCTTTCCTCCGGAACCCTGTTGGCTTTTTTAAAGGCCGAAAGGGTCTGTGGTGGGCTTGGTGGCTCGTCCGTGCCGCATTTCTCATCACCATTATCGTCGTCTTTATCCTTCTTCTGAACAATTTTTATACAAAGAGATTCGTGCTCAATCAAAACAGCCGTGAATGGTACAAGTACTTGAGCTGCTTGGTAGGTTTACCCGCCGTTCCTATGTCTGTATTTCAGTACAGCATGGCTAACAATAGCGCAGCCCGTCAACAATTGGTGTGATATCGGCAATGTCAACGTCACTGGGGTATCGAAGAGGAGCATAGAGGTTTACAAGCAAGTGGTTAATCTTTATTAGGATTGGGTATGTGTTTCTATGATACGTCGAGAGATACCATTTGCCGATTGCATCGGGACCTTTGGCATGGCATAACTATAACAATGTTGGAATGTACTGCACATCCTAGCCCGTCCCCATTCTTGATGAGTGATGTTTCCAGCTCTGTGAGCGACCATGTCTTGCTACCCCTCGCGCTGTCAACTCAACTGGCTTTGGAGTTGGCTGTCGTCTCAGTCAAGTTCAGAGGTCAGAACCTCCACATTCATATGAAAGCGTGGATGCGCGATGCTCTCTAGGGGAACCACATTCTTGGCAATGGCATGACCAACTACATTCTCTTGCTGTTGTCACGTCACTGGAAGACTGAGGCCTGCGGGCGCTCTGGGAGGCAGATGCGGTCGGCTCAGTTATGCTACGTATATCGAGACGACCTCGCGTGTCGCGTCTTGTCCACATTGCACGTTAAATACTGCCCTCCTCGGAGCCACCTTCCTTTTAGCGATAGGGTTGTTTAAGAGCATAACTTGATTAATTGATCCTGTTGCTCCGAAGCTATAATCAGGCTTAAATCAGCACAGGTGTACGGCTATAAATCCTGGTTCTTTGGATTAGGAAAGTAACTATCGTCCAAATTTTAAGGTCACCGCCAGTAAGACAATATGATACCTCGGGTTGATACTAGTCCTCGATATTATCCTTACCAAATCCTAGGCTAGTTCTCGAGGAACGTAAGTGCGCGGCATATTGAGATCGCAGAAAGCTAGATCAGCATCCTAATTTTATTCAATATTAGTATAGAGACCGAGTGGGACATTAGAGACGCGATATATTTAATATGCTATAACGCTCGTCGGCGAACCCGTCCCCTCACGATAGAAGGCGCGCAGCACGCCCTCTCGCCGCGATTCATGCGAGCGTCTAGACCACGTTACGGTCTATCCACTTGAGCGTATGGTTGAGATGTATACGCTCGACGAGAACCCCAATTAGCAGATACTACGACTTGTCGCGACAAAAAATAGTCGAGCATCTTCTGCACATCAGCAGCATCCCACCCCTGAGGACGAATTTAAGTGCCACATTACCACACTTATCGGTAGTTCAGGCAGGGGTTGTAGCACAGACTTAGGGAGGGACAGGAGGTTTAGTAGTCGTTTGGCTACAAGTTTACCTGTATAACCGCCCGACGCGGCTTAAGGGCCCGCTATATCATCTATAGCCCCTTAAGGGAGTACTTGTAGAGGTACCGAGGGTTAACACCTACGGCGTATTTAATATTTTTTTTATATCGAGAGAAAGGCGACGCAGGAGGGCAATTCTATCCTACGAGAGGTGTGCGACTGGGTCATGTCGAACAACCTTGATCCTCAATTCCAGCGGCTTGCGGCCTATTATCTTAGACGAGACTTTGGTATTACGAAGAATGATACGAGCACTCTCCAGATTCAGAGCTCCTCTCAGCCGCCGCCAGTACAGGATAATCGATTACAGACGCCAGGACTAGTACAGCCAGAGACAGCGAAGACGAACACAGCCCTTAGTCCTGACGTCCGATCAGCCGACCTTGTAGTTACCAAGATCCTCACTAGGTCGATAGTCGAAGATTTGGACAGCACGACAGTTGAACCGTTTTTGCAGCCGTCTGATCAGACGAAGAGGAACGAGACTGCTGATACTAAGAGGACCACCGCTGTGGACGAGGCTACCGTCGATAAGAGGACTACCGCCACGGACGAGGCTACCGTCGATCAGAGGACTACCGCTGCTAAGAGGATTGATATGAGCGGTCAGACAGTCCTACTATTCGGTCTGGAAGTAGACTACACTTCTCGGAGGAGCTTGTCAAGGAAGAAGATTCGGAAGCTACTAAAGAGGACGAGGAAGATACCGGACAGCCAGGCAGAATCGAGAGAGTCCTGGGGAGGAAAGAGGAGAGAGATTCCTGGGGAGGAGAGAATACTTCAGTCGGATGACAAGGCTACGAGAGGAAGACTGTGGTGCGTAGGACACAGGATTCGGACACAAGATTCGGACACAAGTCGTCTGATCAGACTATCAAACCCCCCCTCCCTCTCCAAATTTTTTTTCTCGAAAGACACCGCTGCTACGATTAGAGGAAGAACTTTGCCTTACCCTTTATTTTATATAGGTTCGACTGTCTCTGGGGACAGAGACGAACCTATAGGGGAGGAATGTAACGGGGTAAGGTGTAACGAAACCTCTAATAGTCTAGCTGCGTAAACCACTAAAGAGTCTGTAAGGGTTTGTGCTAGTAAGTAAGTCCTGCTGCGGAGTCCTCAAGCAATAATATCGGGGTTTGACGTATGGAGTATAGTGCTTTGGGGTAACTGAAGTATTCAAGTAGGGTAATCGGGAATAGAGTCGTTAAGGCAGTTTGCCTCACCAATGGGTTAGATTGATGCTTAGATTGATCACTGAAGTAGAGACTGTCTATCTATGAAATGCCTGGGAGTCCTGTCCCTTATATATCCATCTCTCCTTCACTGATATCTTAAATAAGAAAGCTGATAGTCCTATTTTCCCGGTCCTGATCTGGCATAGGGTAGACGCCTCCGGTCGGTTTAGGTCTGAGTACTTGCCCTGTTTCGGCATTCGCATCGAGGGGCCCTCCCGCTCGTCGGCGATAGCGCGTCGCTGGCGGTCGTGTTGTGCTGCCCCGGAGAGCCATCTCTTCTCCCAGTGGTCTAGAAGGGCGGCCGGGACTTCCTTCGCCTTGCCTATCCACTCAGAGCCCCTAGCCTCCTTCTCCATCGTGTACCTCGCTGGTCTGAGCGATTGTGACGTCCGCTTCCGTTTCGCCGGCGTGTCCTGTCGGAGTATGTGTGACGCTCTCGCGCTCGCGCTCCGAAGCAGGCTACTTTTGCCGTTATTCCGTAGCCGTTCTTCAAATTTCGCCGCCCGGGCACTGAGATATAGGTCTAGTGGCGGGATAGCTGCCTCTATTTCTAGGTGTCGGACCGGTGTCGCTTTATAGGCGCCACAGACTATTCGGAGGCACTCATTCTGTATCCCGACTAGGCTCTTAGCTGGTCCCGCTGGTTCCTCGCTTATAGTGTGCCACGCAGCCGCCCCGAAGGCGATCGCGCTGCGAATAACCGACGTGTACAGTAGTCTCGCCCGTATGAGATCGCAGCCCCACGCCATGTTCACTAGCTTTGTTAGGGCTAGCTTCTGAGTCGCCATTTTTGATTTAACCCGCTCGGTATGGGCGTGCCACGTTAATTTGCGGTCAAACCAGACCCCTAGGAACCTTGCCGAGACCTTCGGCGTTGCTGTAGCGTTTCCAAGACGGATACTCTGCGGGGAGGGGTCTCGGGTTCTAGTGAAGTGCATCAGCTCACTCTTGTCCGGAGCGAACTCCATCCCGTGCCTGGCGGCCCACCGTTGGCACGTAGCCCAAGCGTCCTCTAGTCGGCGGCAGGTCATGCCCGTGTCTGTGCTCACGCTGAGTAGGTTCGTATCGTCCGCGAACCCTACGACTAAGAGTAGGGGGTGTTTCTCCGCTAGTTCCTCATATAGCGTCGAGATATATAGGATAAATAGTATCGGGGAGAGTGACGACCCCTGGGGGACGCCAGCTCGTAGAGGGATCAGCTCTGACTCCTTACCGTCGAACCGGAGGCGTACTGTCCTATCCTCTACGAAGCTGTGTACCCATTCCTGAACCCACTCCGGGTAGCCCTTCCGGGCTAGTATAGAAATCAAACGCCTGTGGTTAAGTGTGTCGAACGCCCCCTTAATATCAAGTTGTAGTAGTGTGGCGATCCCTCCGCGCCTCCAAGCTGTATAGGTTACGTCCTCGACTATACGTATCGCTAATTCGGTGGACCGCCCCTTTCGGTTACCCATTTGGCCGTTTGGTAGCAGACCGGCCGTCTCCGCGACGGTAGTGATACGCTGGCATATCACCGCCTCTATCACCTTCCCTATCGTACTAAGCAGCGCTATCGGTCGCCAGCCGCTAGGGGTCTGCTTTTGGGCTGTCGTTTTGTTCGGCTTAGGGATAACGACTACCTTTGCCGAGCGGAGGCCCTCCGGGTAGTATCCTAGCCTAAAGCTTACGGTCGCTATATCCGCTAGGATCTCCCATAGGGGTTTACCACAGATTTTCAGTAGGCCCGTAGGGATCTGGTCATCGCCGGGGGCCTTCCAAGCCGCTGTCTTCTTGATAACAGCCTCGATGTCCTTCGCGTTTACCTCCTTAGGGACGTCCAGGTCTGGTCTCGTCCGTGGCGGGTTGTGATCGAGATCCGACAGGTCTATATCCAGGTCTGGGAAGAACCTCTCAGCTAGTAGCTTTGACTTCTCGTCGTGGGTGCGCGCTGTGGGTGCATCGCTTGCGTTCCGTCGAAGATCCGGCATCCCATGGGTGTCAGGGGGTGTCCAGCTCCGCAGCCTAGCCCATCTCTGTAATGCCCAAAGGCTTTTATGATCCTTCGCCGTTCTCTCGAGTTTTTCATGCCAGCTCCGCGCCTGTGCCTCGCTGATTTCGAGCGGTTGTTTTTGGTTAGCTCTTAAGTATTCGTCCCAGTTAGTCTGCGACCTCGCGTGGAGGTAATCTCGTCGTCGCCTCTTCGTCTCAGCGCAAGCCTTGCTGACCTGGGGGCACCACCACGGGGTCCCGGCGCCTCTACCAACAGTACGCCTAGGGGCCGCTACGTCGGCGATCTCTTGGAGGTTTTGGATGACCCAATCGACCGCCTGGTCTAGCTCTGTTCTCGTCTCAACCGGCAAATAGTTCATGAATCTCTGGCCCGACTCGGCTACGATTAGCCACTTATCTGCCATCGTCCAATTCCACCCCTCGGTGTTACGGCGGCCTTCATTCGCTGCCTCCTCGTTAGATATTACCCTGATTACTTGCGCCCTATGGTCCGATCCCTCTAGGCCCGGGTCCCCTTCGTAGTCTATTACGGTCCCCTTCGTCGCCCATGCAAGGTCGATAGTTGAGTCCCTTTGTCTGTGTCTTTGCCGTGTAATTTCCCCGAAAGGTGTGGCGAGTTCTAATTGCCACCGTCGCGCAAACTCTATCACATTCTCGCTACCCCGTGACGATCATCCGTGTATGTCCCACAACGGGTGATGTGTGTTGAAGTCCCCTACGAGGACCTGCTTCCCTTCCGGGGCCTCACTAGGGAGGTCCCGGAGCGGGCTAATCCAGCGGCTTCCGGACTGGTTTGGTGAATAGATAGACCAGATGGTAAGGGCATCCGGGCCTGTTCCTAATGTGATACTGCTCCAGTCGGTACCCGTTCGGGGTCGTAGCGAGGCTACATCGTAGCGTTTATGGACGTATAGCGCGGCTCGGCCGCTACTATAGACTGCCTCGTATCTAGACGACCTTGGGCAGTAGATTGACTTCGTCTGTCGATTAATCCATGGCTCTTGTACCGCTATTATATCGTGATCGCCTCCCTTCTCAATCGCTAGCGCTGCGTTCGCTTTTGAATCCGCAATATTCCACTAGAGAATGGAGACTACCATTACGCTGCCGGTGGTATTTCTTCGTTCGTGCATCCCTTAGTAAGGAAGCTTCGCATTGCTGACGCTGAGCGCTCGGTCCGCACTTGCTCCGCCTGTGATCCGCCTGGAGGGCGGCCCCGGGGTCGTACGATCGTAAACCCATCGCTAGTTAACGAGCTAGGTGGAGTGAGCCTGCCTTCGCTAGACAGCCCGTCCGAGTAGCTACGGACCTCAAACTGCCGGGGGCGGTGGGCGTACGCTTCGCATACGCGTAGTCGCTGTTGTTCCGCCGTCGGACAGACTCTGTCCCACGCTGCGTGTTTCCCATTACAGTTTACGCAGCGTTTTCTGCCGCTTGAGGCCTTCTCGGGGCAGTCTTTTTCGCCCCCTGGGTGTGCCGTCGCGGCGCATATACCGCAACGTCTCGTCTTTTTACAGTGCTTCGCTATGTGGCCATATTCGTAGCACTGGTAGCACTGTCGGACCCGGAGATTGCCGTCGTACGGCTCACAGTCGAATATCTGGGCCTCCCATATAAGTCCCTCAGAGCACAGCTCCATCGCCGCCTCGACGCTATCCACGTGTAGTATCAGAGCCGCGTATGGTGCCTGGGGCGTCCGGGGGAGGTTTCTTTTAGCCCTAGAGAGGTGCTTCGTATTATCTCGCTTTAGGTCCTTGAGTAGTTGGTTCTCATCATGGACCTCTCGTAAACGTTTCGCAGGTAGGCCTTTTGCGATAACTGCAACCTCCCTGCGGTTGAGGAGTGCCTTATCGCCGAAGGCGTTGCGTACCCACCGGCTATCCGTGGTCGCCGCCGAGGCCGATTGTTTGAACGTTACCACGGTGTCGCCACTGCGTAGCCTGCGGGCCGCTACGGCGTCGGTGCTACCGCGTGCCTTATTCACTGCTTTGACGACTTCAGCCGCCGTCCTGTTCTTCATACTGGGGTCTTCCGTCCCTCGGATCACTATTTCTCTTTCCCTTCGCTGGGGTACAACGACCCGTTGCTGCCACACCGGAGCTCCGACGGGTTCCCTCCCTTGGGCCGTTCCCGAGGCGACTGAGGCCCAGGACCTGGTCGTAGGCATAGCTACGCTTTTCACGGTGTCTTGTATCGTCTTTTGTACTGTAGTCGTAATCCCCTCGGTAAGTGCTTGGATCGCTGCTAGTACGTCGGCTGGTGTAGCGGATCGGTCTTCGCCCTGTTCCAGCGCCTTGCCGGCTAGCTTTAGCTCATGCCAGCGTTCCATTAAGCCTCCCATAACCTCGATCTTCTCGGGAGGTACTAAGTCGGTAATCTTTTGTTCGACGCTCGCTCGTTCGCTGTCGACTTGCTTCTTCGTTGCGTTTTCGTCGCTACTACGCTCCACGCTCGGCGCGTAGGCGCTTTCGTTCGCTTGGGGGTGGTGAAAACTCTGTTGCAGTCCCGCCCGCCCCCCGTCAATTACCATCGGCATCTCCATGGCTTTGCCCCCTCGATTCGCAAGCGATGCGAGGTCACTATCCGATGTAAGCGCCTATAAAAATCGATTGCCGTAATCTGTTTGATGGTTTAACGCTGTTCGATGAAGTTATCGATGAATCTCAAAAACCGTCTTTTTCTCACCAGCACAAATAAATCGTAGTGAGGTCCAACTATAGTTGCCTGGCTGCATTTAAAAATGCCTGTGTCCTTCAGCCCACATGCAATTTCAATTTTAC